TAGATCGTGTAGACTATTCTGTAAATCTTGGATTATAAGTGCKGCCTCAAACTCCTCCTCAGTCTCGTTATGAAGAGCTTTCTTGAAGCAATTAGCAATTGTTATTGGAGATAATTGATCCCACATATTAGCTGCCCACCGTACAGCACGAAGGATTGTCATTGTAGATAAAGGGTCAATTTCACGGTCAAATTCGTCAATAATATATCGAACCCAGGCTCGCTTCCATAGCGCTTTCCAAGTTCGTATAATCCCTTGATCAAGAGGWTGATATTTTGTTGTTGAATTAGGTGGAAGCCATATAACAGTCGTATGCTTTAAATCCTTTTCAATCTCATCAACAGCAGATTCATGCGCAGAAAAGTTATCCATTAATAGAATCACATTCCGACCAGCCATTTGTTTATCAAACTCACGAAGCCATTNCAGCAGATTCATGCGCAGAAAAGTTATCCATTAATAGAATCACATTCCGACCAGCCATTTGTTTATCAAACTCACGAAGCCATTCCTTAAAGATTTCCCCAGTCATCCATGCCTTCCCATTGTGCCGCCATTGGATACCGAGACTTTGAGGCTCAATATGAGCCTGTGTGAATGGCCGTGGCTTCTTTGACTTGCCGATAATCCAAAGAGGGAGTCGCTCCGAGCCATCCGAATTGCAAGCAAAAAGAATGCTAATTCGTGCCTTATCTTTCTTCCGGCCAGGTAAAGTGCGCGTTGAAAGACTCCGGTCAGGATATAACTTCCAATATAGACCAGATTCATCACAATTAAAGATATCTTGTGGAGAATATGAAGTAAGAAGTCGACGTATCTTAATCATTTGATTTGCCGCGTCTATAGCCAAGCTTGCAGCTTCTCCATGTTGTTTCCGGCTCTTTATATTATTCCGTGTTTGAAATCCATATAACCAGCCATTGCTAAATGATGGTGTAGGGTTATTGGGATAGAGATGTCCCCAATATTGTTGCGCTTTATAACGTATGGCCTCCTGCGAGATAGGAGCCTCGCCTTCAGTATGTTTTATCCAGTCCATAACAGCTTTTTCTAGTTCCGGCCACTGCTCAACACGGCGTCGTTTATCCTTCAATTGATGCTCTTGGAGATCGTCAATAAATGCGTATTTCGGCGATAGGATTCGTGTAATCGAGGTCCGGTCGATCGGGTGCTTGTACGTGTCATTAAACCACTTTGCGAGGTCTTGATGCCTAAGATGTGGATAGATTCGTTTTTGAGCGCGTAGCGCTGCTTTCCACTCGTTGGGAATAGCTTTGCGGCGTTGTTGATGGCGTTGTTGCTCCATATTAGAAAGAATTGAGGTTGGAAATGTGAATATTCTTCTTGGATATAAGCACCTTTGTATGGGGGCTCCAAAAAAATTGTGCTTATAGCTAATATCCAGGTATAACGCACATTTATATGGGGAACGAAAATTTTTCAAATTTTTGGTGCTATAAGTCGGGTTGTGCTACTAGCCGGGGATCTTATATCCAGGGTTTACTGTATTTCATTCTGAAACAGGCCTCGTGTTGGTTCCTGTCAAGTAAAGACATAATTGTTTACCCTTTCGAAAAATGAATGTGTAGTTAGTAAAAAGACACCATGGTCGTCGTCCTCGTGATCCGAATGGCCTCGGGATCGGATAATGCACAAGCTGCCCAAGGCAGCCCCTGCAAGCCACAATCACTGAAAGACTTGCCAACAGATCTGGAAGCTGCAGAGCTACGTCGAAGTGTCTTGACTGTCGATCAGAATATTCTCGCGTAGACAAGAACGACCCATAAGTATGATCAATCAGGAAGTAAGCAAAGAAGGCGATGGAAGGAGGCTTGGCGGGATGTTGGGGGCCTTGTCAATCAGGCTGCCATGTGACGTTACTTTGCCGGCCCGGACGCCGATGCCTCCCGCCTTGGCTGAAAACGAACGAAGAGTCATGATGGCAAGGCCTCTTTCGCTCTCCCTTCCAAAACTCTGCCAACCTCACTCCTAACCACACCACACAACAGCACCCACACAACGCTTAATTCTACTAGAGCACGACTTTGATTACCTCAAAGCTGCCAAAAGACGACTCTGGCATCTATCAGCATACGGATTCTGTGCTAGGCCCGACGATTCGTTCCGCTCAGCGAACCGAGTCACCAGATTGCGGGGATCTCAGTTCACGATATTCCTCATACACCCTCTTCGGCGTCGGACTTTCGCAAATTAACATATTCGCAGCATCATATTTAGTCTTTTTGTCTAAAGGAGTCCTTGCCGACCGATTAGTCTCGAATTCGTCTCGTGACGCGTCTCCTACTCAAAGAACGCCGTTTCGTTGCATTCCACAAAGATTGCTCTTCCCGATCGTTTGAAGAACAACCCGTGACTTATCAACGACAATTACAACTACAACACTCAAAACATAACACGAATCAAAAAGGCACTGTAGCCGGATTCGTGGACAACGGCCCATATTCTCGCACACTACCTTTACTCAAATCTCCAATATTGATATGTATCTGACTCATTCGAAGGCTGGCGTCTTGCCGGTTGTTTAAGTCACTGTTCCTCTACACCTCCCACCATGGACTTCACACGTGCTATTCGTGGCCGGAGCCCCTCTATTTTCGATCTCACACACAGTCAAATCGCATTCGAGCAATCTTCAGGCCATAACGGACTCATTCTCAACAATTTTGGCTTTGAAGGCCCTCATTCTACTTTCTTGCAACAACCTCACATCTGAAATCGGGGTTCCTGACTCTAGGTTCGAAACAAAAGACGCTTGTCAAAATGGAAGCCCTTGTGAAACATCATCCTCTGTGGAATTCTCTTCCAACCACTTTCCCGCGATCGCAGACTGCTTCCTCTCTTCGCGACAGCTCTTGCCCTTCCGACGACGTCTCCGACATTTCCTTGGGTACGATTAATACGGCCCTCACGAACATATCAACTACGTTGCCCGATTTCGGGATACCAATACCACACACTCCTAAGCAGCATTTTAAGTTTCAAAACTCGGCCCACAACCTCAGTGGTACAGACTTTGGCTACGAATCAGACGACTCTAGAGTAGAGGCTGCCGAGCATGTGGAGTTTAGTGAGCGTGCCTTTCAATATCCAGAAGATGCGCTGCAAGGCGATGAAATATTTGCATTTGAGGATTATTCCTACGACCACTTCGAAAATGCAACTTCGCCATATGATCCCTGTGACAGCGCTTCTGAATTCGACGACTTCGAAGACTTTGATGACATTGACGAAGCGCTTGACGGGTACGCCAACGATCTGCAATTCGATGATTCGCATATTGCGTTCGAGAATTTCGTGCGCTTTGACGCCGATGTCTCCTACATCGACGCCGTTGAGCTTCCTGATGAAGAAATCAACGACGAAATTGAAGAAGCACCTCAGATGACACTCCATGAGATGATGCTACTTACGGATAGACACCGGGGGTTAGCTGCTCATGACAATCAAGACACCGACGAGGACTCTGTCAATGAAGAGACGTCTATTGCGAATGTGATTATTGAAGAGCTTGCGAAAGATTATCCTCGCGACATGTTAGAAGTTGATAGACAGCTTTTTATCGCCTTCGTCAACGGTATCCATGGAGACACGAGAAGAAAGTATCAGTCGTGTCTTCATGATCGTGTACAGGGCTTCCGAGAAGGTCGCTTCTTGTCGCCTTTTTTTGAAGGTGAAACAGACTCGGCAGGCTGTTTTCTTCTAGACGAAGCACTCAAGCATGTTATTGGCATGTTCCGTCATATTGTCTTGCGCGAGGAATTTGATGAGCTGGTTCGCCTCGCCCAGGCTTCGCGAATGCAAGAAAAAATGCCTACATCGTTGCAGATGCAGCCGTCCACTTTCCTAAACAGAGTCGAAGGCCTCTTGTCCGAGCGCTTACTAGACGGTATTGCTAGCATCGGCAAGGATGAACTCAGCTTCTTCGCGGACGGCGTCGTCTACGCGCTGGAACATCCGAAAATATACATGTACGATGCTTCAGCTATTCCATCACCTAAAGAGGAATTTGCTAGGAGACTTGAAAAAGATGAAGCGATCGAGGAAACGAACCAGCAACTGTCAATGGTGTAGACTGATTCACTTGATTGAATCATCGCACAATACTGAAAAGAGAAGGGGACGGTAGTGGCTGGCTCCGGTGACCAGCAAACAGATATCCTACGATTCAGCGATTATCAGCATGCCTGTACATCGGCTGAGCGATACAAAAGTTACGTGGATAAACATGGCATAGAGCAAATTTCATTGATGTATTTAGCAATTATTATTGACTTTGTTATTCTTGCTATCAATTCATGCATTCTAGATCTGCATTCGTACCATAACCATGTACGTTAGCCAGAAGAGTACGTAGTCATTTACTCTGGTACTACCTACTATCACTTTCTAGTCCTGTAACTACTTAGGTATGAGCATCACGGTGTCGCATTGCTTGGCAGATCATCCACCTCGCCCGCACATAGCTTCTCGTTCTACACAGTTGATCGCTTGGTCACGTCCGAGTCTGATGCCCACAGAGAACTCTCGAGAGCCGGAAGAACAGTAGGCAGTAAAACAGCACACAGCAACCTTAACTATGTACTTAGTGGCAAACAGAAACATCCGAGGCACGATTCTCACATTTCAGCATTGGACGAAAAGTCCTTCCCCTCCCCACGGGGACAAGTCAGTACTGAATTGTTGTTCGTGCATTCAGTCTCGATACTCGGTTGGAGAACCTCTTCAATAGTTAATTTAAAAGCGTCGGTCGCTGTGGCTTTGGCACGTCCGTGCCGACTAGATCTTCACAATCAAATACTAGAAACAAAGCTTACTTAAAACTCAATTGGATAGTGTCCGCGACCATCGTTATAAAGGGTACAGAACCCGTGGTTCCGGAGCCCCAGGCGCTTTGAGAGTGTGACCAATGGGAAGGTTTCTGGTTGAATATCAGTATCCAGCCGAGTGGACGTTGACTGTTGTCTACTCGTAGTAGTATTCTGTCTAGTCTTGGCTCGATGATCAGGTTTTTCTGAGTTGAACGGTCTGGAATTTTGACGGGATGATCGACATGCTGTGCGATCTCCACTTCATCTTACCGGCTTTGGTTGGAGGAGTACGTACTACGTACGCCCTTGGGACGGTGGTAGATCACCCAGTAAGACGGGAGGAAGTGAGTTGCTCTCTAGTCTGAGATGCACGTATGCATATGCACAACTGCTATCACATCCAATTCAACATCCCAATTAATCACAACTCACCCTCCCCGATCCAAAACCCTTGTCTCTAAATCGTCTGGGAATCATGAAACAGGGTCTGATGAATGATGAGCCGCTATGCCGCGTCTTGTGGATCACAACGCTGTCAGGTCCCTCGCCAACAGCCAGACTATCGACGTATCTCCATCAATAAGACCCCTAATATAGATGCCATGCCGAATAGGATATATAGCCGTTGAAAATTATACCCAAGAACTTTACCGAACGGGAATCAGCATCAGTGGATCTGTCCTGTCAATTGATGGTGAAACATGTTTGAGTCTTGCCCTGTCAAGTTCATAGCTTCAGGCCATATAATTTCGGTACAATCTTGTGGATTTTGTGTGTGTGGATCTCAAGTTTGCAGTTTTGTTGGGTTCAGGATTAAGCTCATGTCAATTTCTCAACCCGCACATTGAAATGACGATKTCCGCCAGACGTTTCAAATCAGTACTTAGACGCCGTTGGATGGATAAGCTAGGTCTTTGCCGATGCCGTGCGGGGGACCGCGGCAGGTTTGAAGCTCGTTTCGAGGCAGGAGTGCTCGGAGAATTCCTGTGATCTGCACTTTAAGAAGAAGAAAAGAAAAAGATGGCTGGGCAACTAACAACTTCCAAGGTTGGGGTTGATATAGATTTAGTGGAATGAGTTTTGCGGTCCGGCCCTTATTCAGGGGTACAGAGGTTTGGACTCCATGACCGGCGTTTGGAATGCTTCACGCAGGTGTTTCAAGGTACCACGTACACATCACTACAACAAAAATAATTCCTCTCGAAACTGGATTCATGACAGAAACAAGTGTGTGGTTCATGTTGTGCGCCTGGACAAAGCTACGGATTGCCCGGCTAGGGTGGGCGAGCCACCACTAACTAATACCTCATTCGAGTCAGACATGAACCGTTGCACAGAGTACGACCCTCCAATGACTTTTCGAACTGAGTCTTCGGCGAGTCTCTCATCTCTTCACTTCTACGTACTCCATATTAGATAGTACCCGTAATAGGGGGTAGGTTTGAGTCCCCACAATTCTGTATTTTGTACGATGACTCGAGATACTGAAGCTTCAGCCACGATACAAGTTTTGCAGCTTCGGAGGCGTCTACTATTTTATTGTCGGTACTACTAGTACCAGACTACATCGCATAATTCCGCATGAATCGTGGTACCAGAAGCGAGATGAGATACGTTAGTAGGGCGGGTGTTTTAGATGATTTTGGGTTTCTTCTTCCATCGTTGTGCCGTTATGGCGGAGTACTGCCTGATTCAGACAAGGCGGCCTTCCACGTGTGTCGCAGTCGATCCGTACATCATTTACTGACTGACGTTAGTACGTAGTTAGTTATTTGGGCAGTGGGTTTGCAGTGCCAAGAGCTTCGGCTATTAATCGTTGTCCAAGAATTGCGTTGTCGTATCATGTCTGATTGTCCGATCTCATTGCATTGCAGGGGACCCCAATTCGGACAAACACATTACATAAGTAGTAAGCTGATTCGTTTGACGAATTGCCTCAAGCTGCACCCGTGAGCTGATCCAGCTGAAAATATAGAACAATGAAACGAGTGATGCCTGTCTTTGTGTGATGATGGTGCATAGCATACACACGGAGCCCATGGCACGGCGGATCAGCTTCTTCCCAGGTCATCGCCATCATCATCATCATTCATTAGCTAGTCGTACTGCCTACAGTACTATGTAGCTATCGGCAAACTAACAATGCAGCGCTGGAACACTATGTACTTTGTAATAGATAGTAAGTACCAGAGAGAACTTCATCATTTCTGTACGTTTACCCTTTGCGGCAATTTGTGGGGCTGCACGAGACGACTAGTACATACTGTGGACTGCTGGAGTGTGGTTGGCCCCACCATCGCCAGTCCGGAACAGATTCTATTGGCCACCGGCAGTTTTCCTTCCACAAAGGCAGTCCCAAAGAGGCTAGAGCCACCGAAGACGAGATCAGGCTTCCATCGCCAATTCTTACTGCTCTGTAGTATGTACTCCTTGCTAATGCATGATATTACTCACTACTCCCACTTAGTAGCACAACTAGCTTAGTCTGGCTCTGATATATGGGGCCAAACGAGGATGAAGAAACACCGTCCGTGTACAGAGTACTCCCTACTAACTGTATGACAGTTATCTCGCCTCGCGATCACAACCCTAAAGTCTGAAGTCTGAGGTCTGAAGTCGGCGGACCAAAATTGAGCCTTCTCGGACGGAACCATAGGACTCCTTTATCCTTGCGGAGCCACACATTAGCCACGGGCTCCAGAAATGATAGACTTAAGTGGGCCGATCAGTGGGTCGGTCAAGACTTAAACCGCCGCTTCAGTTCTGATTCTCAGGGACAGACAATCACGACGAGTAACTAACTAGTATTACATACCTAGCACTAGCAGTATGGAGTACGTACGTAGTAGGGAAATAAACCAAGCTTAAGCAGCAAATAGTCTGGATTCTTCCGTGGAACCGCGCACGGAAGCACAGTACCACGCTGGTTTCCGGAGTACGCTGCACTGACTGGTCTTAGTCTTACAGAGCGGGCGGCCTCTTTCCTAGTGTCCACCTGTAGCTTAGCCACCACACTCTATTATCCAGTCTCCTGAACCGTACGAGATAATCCCTTTTTCTTTTTTTCTCCCACGACACCGCCGGCTGACCTTGGCCAGCGTCCTGTTGATATCTTCGTCTCTTGTATATTGTCTATTCCCTATATTTATATATTCAGTTCGTTCTTTTGATGTATACTAATTTCGGGATGCTGGAAAGCCTGTGTGCTCAAGGTACGTAATTTGGTTGAATTGTCACACCGATATTCTTACCATTCGATTCATTCCACCCCAAATGGCTCATAGCACGGATCTGGATGTACCCAATTCTCGTCTCATATCGAACAGCCTACAATGCACAGATAAGACTGACTTTGATTCAACAGCGTAATTGTGATTGAGTGGACGATGACTACTCAGTGTCCGTTCGTTTTATAATTATACGTCCTTCCGTCTATATACCCGATTTCGCTCATTCGTTTATTATCACATAATCCCGATCAACTTGACAGCCACAATGCGGAGCCCTTCAGAGTACGGGGATATGAGTCCCCTAACACGCTCGCGGAGTGTGAGTATCTCTAGCGATGCTCCTGCAAAACCTATGCTGTCATCCCCACCGCCTGTCGATCCTAGCCCAGCGTTCATTGCTGCCTCGTCTGCCTCCCAGATCATCAGCGTCGATATGGAACAAAACGAAGTCATCCCCCATGACGGAGAAGAAGGATGCATCAATTCCAACAGTCTTGTTCTTTTGAACGGCTTCCTCGACTATTTGCTTTTCAGTTTTTTGGCATCGGCCAAATCAACACAATTGAGCGCCCTCCGTCCCGCCATCGCCGACGTACTGAAGCCACGATTGGCGAAGGAGGTGGTAGCCGCTGCCGATGAAGAGCTTGGTGAATATATGGGCGATGGCGAAGAAGATGAACTGCAAGAATTCCGAGGCGGCCGCGCTCCACACGGCGAATTCGATCTAGTCAGAGCATGGAAACTGGCTCGTCTGAGATGCATGGTCTACACTAGACTCGGTGACCTAGAAGAAGAGGAGGAAGATGAATATATCGCTAGAGAAGGCTTGGATGAGACCGGCGGCGCACCAAGACGGTTCTCTGGTCATGCCGGAAATATCACACCAGCTGCTGCGATTTTCCTGACTTCAATTATCGAGTATCTCGGAGAGCATGCGCTAGTCATTGCGGGTGAAAATGCTCGCAACAGGGTGTTTTCAGCGGCAAGACTCGCTTCTAAATTGCCAAATGCCGAAAGAACCAGCCAGAAGATGATTGTCGAGGAGGGCGACATGGAAAAATTAGCTCTAAACACCACACTGGGTCGGCTGTGGAGAACTTGGAAAAAAGGAATCCGCACGCCAACGCTGTCTAGATCTTTCTCCAGAGAGTCGTTCATCAGACGAAGCACTACTCCGAGCAGCAAAAATGGCCTTGCTAATCCGGATGATATGTATGGTCGAGATCCGAGACTGGAGGAGCCCCTGGAAGAGGAAGAGAGCCGACCAAAATCGGTCGAACCTGCAAGTATTGCATTGCCCATCAACGACAATGATATCGATGAAATCGAGGTACCTGGACTGTGGGTAGATGTAGAAGAAGCTGAAACAATGCAAGCTGCCATTGCTCAAATAGTGCGCCCGCGCAGTCTGATTGTCTCTCGTTCCGGATCATTCACTCCCACGTCCCCAGTTGGGGCTGGGACGTGGCCGGCTACCAATTCACCGAAGCATGTTCGATCACAGTCTGTTCCTGTTCAAGTTGAACTTTTCAAACAGGGCGACCGTTCGCCGTCGCGTGAATTGCCATCGTTAGAAACAGTGACCGAACAGGAGCCGACTGAGGCAGTTGTGGCCACGGAGCCTCCATCCAGGGATGCAAAGAACGTAACTTCGACTTCGGATCTAAAAGAAAATTCGAAAGAATCTTCACCAGACAAGTCGGAACCCCTTGCTACCGTCCAGCAAACGGATAGCAGTGAAGATACGACCCAATCCGAGCAGGATCGTCGTGGTTCCGGAGATGAGATTGTTGAAGGGCAAGGAACTTATCAGAGACCCAAACTCAACAATCTTTCCATGCAGAGACCAAAAAGAAAACAATCCAAAGAGACAGCGAAAAAAGAAATTCCCGGTACTTATATGGTTGAGAGCGTCTCCGCAGACTATCGTGACGATCGTCGGCCATCGCCAGCCACGGTGCAAGGGGGTGAAGTGGTTCATGACGTTAGATTTGCTCCGACGCAGCAAAATTCTACCCATGTGGATGATGTGTCTCATGCACAGGTGAAGACACCAACCAGCTCACATGCAATAGCGCCTACCTCTCATCCACGTCAACTCGAAACGGATATACGGACATCACTCGAAGAGAATATTAATATTCCACGCAACTCGTCAACCACCAGTCGATACGCATCTTCCTTGTACACAGAGAGCATCGGAGCTCCTCATTCAACTTCGGACGATAGTGAGGGCAGCGTCTATCGATCGACACCTTCTCGCGCCGCTTCACACGCCGCCTCAATCAGAAGTCAACCTCGTCAGGACGAGCAATCTACTGGTCGTGAGCGGGTTACAGTCCAGCGTGTACATCCACCATCTGCTACATCGCAGTCTTCCATTAAATCCCGTCGATCTACCAGCATCAGCGAGAAGCGACCTCTTACATCGGGTTCAGGAGCATCGAATGTGTCCAACAAGTTAAAGGTTCTCATCGGTCGTCATCCTGGAGAAACCGACGTGCCCTTGCCCGCTCCCCCTCGCAGGTCTTCAGATGCCAGCAGATTTGCTGCAAGTGAGGACGTCGACGAGGCTGCTCTAGACGAGCTTATCAAAAGCGACGAGACGATACGATTCACATTGACCCCTCGCACTATGCGAGAGATTGAAGTAGGTGCTCATCTGTGACTGAGTTTAGACGATGGCTAACATTTGCGCAGCTGCCCGGATCGCCTCGTTGGAATACCGCCCGTAACGACGTTCACAAGGATCGTACTGATACATCTGACCTGGCCACTTTCTTCAGGACTACCGCTCCTCCTGGACAGCCAATTCCCTCGCCGCGTTCGACAACCGAACGAGAACCTCCTGTACCTCGCATGAAGCCCGCTCCTCCTTCATTGGCAGAGACCACAAGATCACATTCGGCAATCGACACCGTTTCTGAGAGATCCAGCCCTACAAGTCTACATTCGACAGCTAGTCCCGTCAGTCGAACCTCAAGTCGGACCAAAGTCGCTATGCAGCAAGCTCGAGAAGCCCGAGTGGGGGGTGATTCCGTCCGGGATTTTGCACAATTCATTCGTGCCACTGGACCCAGAGTAGATGTGGGACCTAATGGCCATGTTCGTGATGGTTCAGGCTCGGTGTTCAGTTCCTCCAGACCTGGCACCGCTCAGTCCTTCTCCTCGCGGACAACAGCCAAGCCCAGAACTTCTAGCTCGCTCAAGAAGAAGGGACCACGGCTTCAAGCCCGTGAACCGGCCGGTCACAATAGCAGCGAAACATCGGACCTCATTGATTTTATTAGAGAAGGCCCTCCGGGCGCATCTACTCATCGCATACCGCGTACGGTCGCCCCCTTCAGGAATACCATGGATTCAGAAGATCTTATATTGATTGAAGCAGCACGTGAAAACGACACTAGAGTCACACCGTCTCTTGCAAGTACAGGCGCCGAATCGACTTCTAGTTCCCGGGCACCCCTTCTTTCACAGTCCGGTCCTTCCGATGCACCGCCTATCCCAAGACGAAAGCGCCGTGGTCCCCGAGACCCGTACGCTATTGACGTTTCTGATGAAGAAGATGAGGAGGAATTCTCGGAACCTGTTGTAGCTCCGAAGCCACCCCGAGCGGAAGAAAGTTTGCTTGACTTTTTGAACTCTGTTCCACCACCAGTCACCCAGAAGGCCCCCGAACCGTTCATTCTTACTTCATACCCAATACCTCCTAAGTCTTCTGGGTCGGGCATCTCCAGCGTTACGAATCGGTTCAGACGCAATACTGTTACCGATAAGAGCCCCACGACCAAGAAGTCAATGCCATCAATGCGATCCGCCAAGACAGTGGCCAAGCCGCAAATAAGCCCACCAATCCCACAGTCAAATGGATTCTCAACAAATAGATCAGGCTACTCGGCCCAACTCAGTCGCGAGCGCGGGCTTGCCTCTCAACCTTCTATGCCTTCTTTAAATGGACCGTCGCGGCAAAGCGAGACTGCGGCCCTCGCAGATTTCTTTAAAAACACCGCTCCACCTCAGCCTATCTCCCGCCCTCCTACAGTCATGTCGGAGGAGAGAAAGGACTCGACCTTTTCCAAGTTCTTCCGCCGCAAGAGGCTGGAGACTTAGCTATTGACACTTATATAATTTCCATCACTTTGCGATTTGCGATCTATATAGCGCTGCAAGTCATTCCCGCTGATATATTTCACAATTTTGATTTCGCTGTCTTTCTTTATACAACTGCCTTTTGCCTTGATTGTACGTCTCCACTGATGATACCTTGTTTCCTTGAAAACTTTTCAACAAATCTTTCGCTCGATTTTTGTTCCCTTCCTTCCGTTCAGAGCCCATTGTTCTATCTTTTAAGGGTATCTTACCTCCCTATTTATAAGAGGAGTATCTTGGGACTCGCCTCTTTCGGCTTTTGAGGCCTAGCTAGCTGTTACATTATGATGTATGTATATAGGAGATGATATTCAATGAAGACAACGATAGTATTTCCAATAATATATTAACTATATCTCTCATCCATATAGCGATAAACTTATCAAACAGAGGAGGGCGGAACAAGGATAATCCGCGGGATCACTACGCCAAGCCAAGCCCCCTTTACTTAGACTATTTCGGGTAACATGTTAGCTTTATGTTTAGCTGGCTTCTCTGACCTTCAAGGACTCACACGATCATCAACGCACAACACGATGATGGCATTCAGTCTCAAGACCATCATTGGTCTTTTGTTTCTATTCGGATTGAGCTCCGCGCTTAAATTCGATCTTACGGCTACATCGTCGTCAAAGAGCGAGCGATGCATTCGCAATTTCGTCTCGAATGGGCAGCTCGTTGTCGTCACGGCGATTGTGTCAGGGACCAAGGGCGATGGTCAGCTTGTTAATATGCATGTATGTTTAACTCTGCTTGGGCAATCGTTGCGACTGTTGCTGTGGCTGGGCTAATAGATTGGGGTTGCAGATCAAAGATGCCATGGGCAATGATTACGGTCGTCCCAAGGACATTGTCGGCGAGACTCGCCAGGCCTTCACGTCGCCTGCAGACACGGCTTTTGACGTCTGTTTTGAGAATACCGTGACCAACACACGCCGTACGCCTTTCCTGACCACACCCGCCTTCGAAGAAGAATGTTGCTAATTGATGACGTGCAGACATGCGAGGCCCCGTCTCCCGCGAAATCGAACTCGACATCGAAATCGGCGCTGACGCCCGCGACTGGTCCAGCATCCAAGCGCAGGAGAAACTAAAACCCGTCGAAACCGACTTGCGCCGCATTGAAGAGGTAGTCGGCGAAATCGTAAATGAGATGGAATACCTGCGCCATCGCGAGCAGAAGCTGCGCGACACGAATGAGTCGACGAATGAGAGAGTTAAGTGGTTCGCATTTGGGACGATGGGTATGTTGATGGGGTTGGGTGCTTGGCAGGTTGTTTATTTGAGGGCTTATTTCAGGTTTGTTTCCCTTTCCTTGCACAAAAACGGGAGGATCATGAATATATGGAATTACTGACGGTGAATAGATCGAAGCATCTCATTTGATGGATAGGAAAAAGAGGGAGTCTGGGTTGGTCTGGAGCGTCGTCTTCTAATGAAAAATGTATTTGTTACGATATACTACTTTGCGAGCATTTATAACCGATTGCGTGCATTCATCCGTTATGTGTTACTAGGTCTTTCTTATCGACTGGAACGAATGAATTGAGTGGAAATGACTGTCTTTAAGCTCTCATGCATTGCAAAGGAACCGATTTGAAAATTCGTTCCCACTACCTAGGTAACAGCTGATACATTAGGTCAACAGGCCCGACAAAGATCCAAAGGCTGTTCGCAAAATCATCTTGTCTACTCCTACAAACAACGCCCCTTCGTCCATCGTCTACCTCGGTACTCAAGGGGCCTAACAATCAACGAGTCTTGCGTCATTCAACACACCTCTCTGAGCCCTCGTGTCCAGACCAGTAGAGCATCTCAAATTCACGAGTTGTAGGACGTTTCGCTAACCGCATCGGCCATTTTTCGACAATCGTGTGCTTCGATTTCATCTTCACGCCAGCGGATTTTCCAAGTTCCTTAAGGCGGTATAGGTTCATGTACCTCTCGAAGGCTGGCTCCGAATCAATCAAAAAGCGGTGAGCGTTCGCAAACGTGTGGAATGCTCCAGTGTGATGCCCAGCACCAAATATCTCCTCTCGATCCATTGGCAGGAGCTGGCGCAAATGTGAGTCGACTCTGGCGTTGGGATATGCTCGGCGAAAAGCATCTCAGCAGTAGCGTCGTGAAACAAGATTATCAACGTCGCTTTTGAGTTTCGCAATGGATCCTGCAGGAGTGGTCCGTAAAGACTCAGGATTCGCTCAGGCCCTAGGTAGTGCCGATCGGCAAGGTTAGCGACCTAATAGACGTTGTTAGGGGCTTGCCATTACTAAATCGAGAATCTCTTGGGAAAAGGACATACCTCGATACGGTCATAGTTTGTCCCCTGTCCAAGCTCCTTGATCAGAGATGGCACTTTCGACGCAGCCATACGGAACGGGAAACAGAAACATCTGCCTTCATAGTACAGATTCTCTCGCAGAACTTTACCAGATACTTTCTGATATGACGAAATAGAAGTCCGTATATGTCGTCTTTGGCAACATGAGGCTCCTCCAGMACCTCGCTGAGCTTCCACCCGTCCATGGGATCGGCAGAGTAGTGCATCAACCATGATCTCTGGCGATACTGGCCATAAAAGAAGCTTCTTGATGCGGAGAGTCCTTAGCTCCAAGTAGACTTTGATTCAGGAAGGGGGGAAGCTTACGGATTAGGAATTATGAAATTGCTGCGTGGTGCGCCAAATGCTAAAAGTACCCCATCTTTCCAAAACTTGACTTTCGCAACTCGCCATGAAGGAGGAAGTCTCAACAATGCTCTGTCTATGAAGTCTTGCTGATTGATAGGAAGGGTCCCTACTTTTCTCAATCGAGCCGCATCCTCGAAAGAGATATTCTGATCTCCTTGGCCACAGGTAAGCAGAGGATCCCAGGTCTTGATATCAAGTCCAGCATTTAGCCTGATTTGCTGGTGTGTCCATGCTGCAAGTAATGATTGCTGGGGGTATATCAACTTTGCGGCTAACATGCTTTTAATGATAGCAGGATGGTATTCTCAATTGAGCGAACGATGGATTCAGGCAGGAACGCAGAGTACCAGAGATGAAGAATCATGTCACTGGCAATGTCAGGGAGGAAATAGAGCGCTATCAGGAGTATCAAAAGGGTTCTGGCCGCCACGATCGTCCAGAGCACTGATATTTAGATAGAGGTGTCCCTGATACTGATCAGGAAGACAGGCGATAGTATTGACATAGTGGTTAGAGTCTTTGGTCGCTATGAAATATTAGCAAGGGGAAATAAAGAACTCTGGGTCGGTAGAAGATACGTACCTGCTAAAAGCAGACGAATGTCTTGGGAGGTGTTGCTGCCTTCATTGTCCGCCAATTGAAGTAGGTCGATTGCAGGTACATTCTCCCATATTTGTTTGAGACCAACTTGCAGGAAGGCATACAGATTCGCGCCATTTGCCATCACGAGACCAGGTGTCGAGCCAACCACAAAGGCAGGTTCACGCTGCTCAACTTCCCATGCTGGTTTCCATGAGGAATTGCGAGGAGGGTTTTTGCAATCCAGCTTGTGGACGGTCTAGTGTGCTTTCTGACGTTCCTTGCTGCAGTACTGTGTCATAGCTCAGCATCGAAGCTTGTTCTTTGATGATTTTGAGTAAGCTTACCAATACCAATCTGCAAGCAGCACAAGCATGAAGTCCCTTCTGGGAGCATGAGTCTTGTGCGTCTCCGTGATGCTGATTAGCACATGTGAAAGGATCCCTCGTGACTCTCGACGCTGCACACGCCTTCTGAAGGTTCTGACCACGAGAAATAGATGAAAGTACAGGGATATGAGGTAGAGGAGGAAAAATTGGAAAGGGATCACTGTGGAGCGAGTATTTTAAGCCCCAGAACTACGTTAACTACATTGAGACAATGTTTTTTGGCAAAAGGAGGGCACAAAAAACGCTTTGGTTTGGTATATGCTCAATTCTAATTAGTCGGTGGTCCGCCTCGTTATCTGTCACATAACACACAAATTGAAGTACATTTGATGTCACATGGACAGGCAACTCTTAGCATCAACATCCCTGGCCAATTTCCACTTGAAATCATAGCCCTAGTACACATACACGAAATTTGGGTTTTGCTTGTCCGTCATGTCCCTAAAGGCAGTGGCATTCTGCGTGAAAGCATCCATTTCTCCACGCTCTCTCAGGATTTCCCGTTCCCGTTCCTTGGCACGATTCTCCCAGATGTACACATATCGCAGTAGGACGAAGATGAGAAGCTCGATACAGTTCGCAACCAGAAGAGAGCCGATACCTAAACGATAGGTTGGAGCTTGGTTGGACTTGTAGAAGAAAGGGCTGGAGATGTTGCCGACACAGACGCCGAACCAGATCATGCCAGAAACGATCATCTTCTTGGATTGTCCAGCTGTGTTGGAGGTGATGATGGAGAGGGACACGACGAACGAGGCTTGATATGAGCCAGTGAGATAGCTAGAGAAATCAGCAACAGAGTCTAGATGGGCTTGACTCAACTTACAAGCAGATCAAGCGGCCAACATAAGCGTTCTTTGGGGCGAGAAGAAAACCGAGACCACCAGCGATGGTTGGGAGCATGAAGATAGCAGCGACCAAGGTTCGGCTGTTCTTAGGAAGGTACTGGTTGCAAATGGCTCCCAGAACAATCCAAATCACTACAATCACACCCTGTGGAATACCGAGCAGTGTGGTGTGCAGAGTATCGAATCCAAGACCCTGAATGACCAAGGTAGAGAAGTTGGAGATTCCACCATTGGGGATATTGCTAACGAAACCTAGGAAAAAATATATCCATGTCTTGTAATCCAGGTAAGCCTCTTTGATCTGATCCCAGTTGATTCTTCGATTCTCGATACCAGTCTGATTCTTTCGGATGCGAGCAATCATCATGAGTTTCTCCTCGTGAGAAAATCCCCAGAAACTGGTAGGTGAGTTGGGCAGTAGGAGGGCTAACACAATACCCCAGGCTGCGCAGACAGCCCCGACGATGATGAACTCATAGCGCCACGACTCAAGAGCTCCCTTGATGTGGCCAATACCGTAACCTTAAGCTCAATTAATATCGACATTAGGAAAAATGCAGAAAGGGGAACAAACCAATTAGGCCACCACCAGCCACACCGATACCATTCCAGAGGTAATAACCTGCAATCCGCCACGGCTGCTCCTCTCGAGTATAATAAGTCGAGACGACAAGCATGAAAGCCGGATCCGCAATAGCTTCAAACGCTCCAGAAAGCACTCGAAGGGCAGCAAGAGTCGCGAAGTTCTTAGATGCAGCCTCGCACATGAGTAGGGCACCCCACATGAAAATATTGCCCGCGAGATACCATGCAGGGGGTAGTCTTTGCATGATCAGATTAGACGGTATCGCCCAGGCGAGCCAGCCGAAGTAGAAGATACTCGATAGCCAGGAATAGTCCGTGCCTTGGAGATGGAGGTCATTTTTGATTCCAAAAATGGCTGCATAAGAGAGGGTCGTTTTGTCTACATACTGTGTACTTCATTAGTAGACTTCGAGAAGCTCCTCCGACATAAAACGTACGTAGAAGAAATAGCAGATTCCGAGAAGAGGGATCAATCGAAAGTCAAGCTTTCGTTTCAATCGCCTTTCTTCTTCCTGATCAATGGCCTCGTCATTGGGGTATTTTTGGATCGCTTCCAGGTATAGTTCCATATGATCCTGGTTGATCATTTCAGCTGACAGGGTTTTGTCGTACTCGCCCTGTGTCGGGTCATCGAGCCTCGCATCTTCAATGCGGGCAACTTCTGCCACGCCTTCTTGCTTGGGATCCATGACCAATAACTTCAGAGATTTGTCAAAAAGGTCAGTATTGTAGTCTGCTCAAGGATAAAATGCAAGGATTGACGGACCGACGCCAAAACCTAGGTCAGCGTTTCGTTTCAGTATTTATAGGACATTCTGCGGCTCTAATAGCTAGGATCTCATCTTCTCCGAGATCGAATCTTTAGACTGCACTGATTCTAGACTCTATGATTGGTGGCATAATCCTGTGCGTGGGGGGACTCTCTCTCTCCGCAGGTATGGATACCCCCATAATCAATAAACCGGGGAATAGCCCTAGCCGTGCCTAATCGGGTAATGTCTTGCGGGGCAGCAAAAGTTCCTTATTGGGATCATCTCGTTTCCAGGGTTCGTTGGGCCAGTTAACAGAAGATAAGTTTTACCAAGGGCGATAATTGACAAGAAAGACTTATACATTTCACTATTGACTACTCACATGCATGATGATGATGATGATGATGATGATGATGATGATGATGATGATGATGCATGGTTGAGACCAATTCTCGGACAGTCAAGTATTCGGTTTCAGCTTGCGTGCTAAATTGGGACCATCGTCACTAAAGGCAGCAAATGTCCATCTTTCTTCTTAAGGCTTCGAGTTGTCGACGAGACGCAAAACCGTCGAGACTCGGATTCTATCTGTTGGCGACTCGTTGATAGTTCCAGCATGAATCATGTATGGGTTGTGAAACACAATGTCTCTGGCCTGATATTCACCCTATAAAGAACACAAATCAGTAGCTGCAAAGAGATAACAAAAGTCTGTAGATGGAATCAGCTGAAGCAAAGTGTACGTTCACATACAACAAGCCAGTTCCGGCTCCAATATTTGCCAAACTTAGACAAGTTGCGGTCTAACCAGCCTCCAGCATTCATATTTTGGTTGACATGGGGATATTCTCCCTACGTCACTCAATTCCATATTCATCCGTGTGAAGTCCTCCTCATACTTCTTCCCAATTTCATGCGACCGATCGAGGTATATCAACCCGCCACCAAGCCTCTCAATGTCACCGATCCGCACCCAGGCAGTGATGCTAGTTGGTGGACCAGCTCGAAGAAATATCTGATCATAGTGGACCAGTGTCGACTCTGCGCAAGAGATGCGCACCGCAACAGTGATCGAGCGAGGGAGACACCAAGGATTCTTGAACTCAAGGAGTTTCCGAACAAAGGGGTATATCTGTGTCGCAAACTCATCCTTAAAATCCGATGTAGAAAGGAGCGACGTGATTTGTTGACCAGATTACGGTCGACAATTGCTTTTATCTGCTCGAGATTAGACATCGTTGATTGTCAAGAGTTATTTATAGAAGCCCAGACGTACCCAGAGAACTCCGTCTATTTGCAAATACTTCTGTAGTACCCCGATTGGAGTGTCAGGTGTGAAGGGGGTTTATTCCTTTACATCTTCAATCGTTCCTCCATAAGCGCCGAGATTCTGCTCTTGCGATTTGGGTTCAATTATAGCCAACAGCATGTTGGTTCATTCGAGGAGTAATTGAATCAATGTAACACGGGAAATGATGGACTTTTGGGTATTGGTAAACGTAATACTAACGAGCCAGATTTATCTACTACATTGCCTTCATTTATGCTCTACGAAGGAAATAGAAATAGAGAGATCTCCACTTGAGGCAACTGAAAGTCTTCCCCGCAATACAGCCGAAAGAAGTAAGGGATATCTCCTTGTCCTAAAGCTAGAAGCGAAGTGGAAAAGCGTGGGGTAGATAATCCTGTTACTCCATAAAGAGATCCATCTGACGCTCAACGGAAAGAAGCCCGATACATTCTACGTAGGTTTCTCTCCTCGGCACTACGTTCATAAGTGACTTTTCCATCTATATCTCTCGTCTCTTTGCTAACAAGCATTGAGGTATTTGTAAAAACATTCGGAACTATACAAGCTAGACTTGGCGCAAACTTTGATGGCGAGCCAAATTGGGTAGCCCTCGAGCCTTGTGGCCCACGCAAGACAACAAGCGCAAGCCCAGGACACCAACGCACCCACAAACTACCAGTCAATGCCCGGGTATGCAAATACTACGTATATAGGGAATGCTCGAAACAAAGTTGGTAGTTTGTGTAGATTAAGTGAAGAAAAAAACTTTTCCGTATAGTACATAGCTGTCAAATTCAATTGGATGAGGTTGTGCATAGAACCCTGTAAAAACGTTCTGGAAGCGTAAAATACAACCAAAGACCACTACTGTTAATAAATCAGGTTTCCCGTGCGTCCCCATATTTCTTGCCTATTCTGCTTTCATTCAAGCTCACAGTCACGGGCACAACAAATATTAAATTCGAGGTGACTTTTTCGGCTTTTTGAATTATCAGATCCTATAGACTGACAAGGACAAAAAGATATAGGGGTAGAGCTACTAGGCAGTCCGGGTTGTCGACATGGCTGCTCTACGTAGCTCCGAACAGGGAGGACAGAGTTCTCTACTATCAAATCTCCCGACCGAGATTGTGATTCAAATTATGAAGCATTCTTTGGATTTCTCATGTCTTTGGGCTCTCGTCAAAGCGTCGTCACGTTTCAGCTCGATATTGATGGCATTTGCCTGGGAGATTGTTGAAGAGGTCATGATAGAAACAACACCTCCTTGCACTCAGATCATGATGAAACTAGCATTGATAATCCGCACATCACCGGACTTTTTCACCGGGCTTGATGATGTCAGCCATTATGCCATTGAGAGAAAGCAGTTGAAGTCTTTTCCGCATCAGCAAATAGCACCGCAATTGTTGCGCGAGTTTGTGCAACTAGCTCACAATATCCATGCCGTAGCACATGCCTGCTTGGATTTCTATTTGAAGAGATTGAAATACTTGAAACCACAGCGTATATCTGACACTGATGTCGAAAACCATGAGAGGAGGCTAAGTGTGTTATACTCCGAGCATCCGTTACCGGGACAGCCGTTTCAGCCAAATCTGGACTTCGGGCCTCCCACTTATCTGGAAGAGCAAAGAGCTGTACGACTATTGTGGCAATATCAAGTATTCCTGGATGTTAAGGCCGCTGGCAGGAGACAGGCGCTGGCCCATTGGTCAGAAAGGGACCACAATATTCTCGCACTGCCAATCGTTTCTCGACTCATCCGCTCAATCTATGAGAGGTACCAAATCGATCCCGTGTTTGAATTTGTAAACGAGATCACAGGTGGCCGATCTGGCCAGCCCAAAAATGCACTCAACAACCTAGAGAAAGCACTGCTGCAAGAGAAAGCACTAGCCCACTTCTTGCGCTGCCCACCCGTGTCTATATACAGCAGGAGCTATTATCTGCCGTGTTTTCCCAGACCCGATCTACTGGTAGAAAACTTCCCCGCTATAGGGAGGCTTGTTAATATTAATACCACAATTAAAGAAAGTCCGGGTGGTTGGCAGTTCTATTTCAACATGGTTGCTAATCGACAGAATTCTTCTCCCCTCAAAATGGGCCTCTTCAAACCATGGAGCAAGTTTGGATTTGAATTTTGGGACGATGATCGAATGGTAGACTTAGGCTTTCTACCACCTAGACACTTGCGCTACGGGTCAGATAGCTGCAGTGAAGCTTATTGGTTTGTATGGAGAAGTATTCTTACGCCAGAGGAGGATGCTGAAAGAAGATCGGATGTTGCAAAACGGTATATTTCCTCGATAAGACTTGAGAATAAGGATTGAAGCTGCTGTATATTTCAGTCAAATATACCCGTGGTCATATTCGCCATCACCAAAGGCAAATGTGTATCCTGAAATCAATGTTGTCTTTGCCCATACACACCCACTCCTGTACCGCCCATTCCGCCTCTACCCCATCGGACCTCATGCCGATGCACAGATAAAAACGGACCTCGTTCAATGGTTGTCTCATTGCAGTGACAAATCTTCAGAAGCAGCTTGCCTGTTAACTAATGAGTGCCGTTCCCTCTTTCAGCGTGGTCTTTTCTTGCGTCGCTTCGGGTTGGTAAACTATGCCCAATTCGCCGCTATTGGCACTCTATCCATGTATTCTGACTTGCAACTCAACGATACCGGTATCCGAGTGGTCGCGGACGAAGCGCTTGCTCAATTTCCCTCGGGACTTGAAGGAGATCTTGTTGCCCAGAGATACCTTCACATTCTTCGGGATCTACAAAAGGTCACGCTACAATTCAGCATGAATACCGGCAGTATATCATCGAACGAGTCCATGGTGGGTGACGCAGCCAGCGCGGAATATCCTGCTTTCGATGAGGCCCTGTTTCAGCGCGAGGATTCATTTTGCTCTGTGGTTCTTGATACTGTATTCATGGATATTCCTATTTCCCGGAGTGAATCTTAACAAGAAGTAGTTGAGATGAGTATCGTGCAGACGTTGAAATAGAAGAGCCAATCTCCCGTTTGCCCATTTGATATTGTGATAACATCTATCTATTATGTCAGGGCTACAGATGGCAAGTGGCTTCAACTGATAATGCCTTTTTATATTGACTGGGTATCTGTGTATATGAACGTGGCAGTAAATATATAACAAGAAGGTATTATAACATGCTGTTTTCACACTATAACCCAACTAGTATAAACACAAGACTGGTATGTTATATAGACTTTATTTCTACTGGCGATAGAGATAGACAGCTAGAATTATACAAAGCTTCACAAGAAGGAACAAGCAAGTTGTCCAAACTCGTAATTGCTTGCTGTATTTGTAGAGCTCCGTATCAAATAAAGAGATCCGTAATAACTTCGCGGTAGCATCTTCTTCATCGTCATCGTCATATTGTGGGTAGTGGGCGTGATCGATGAACTTGCTACAACCCCTACCAACTTTTGTATAGGTTGAACATGGAAAAAGATGTCCCCGACTTGTTACTTTCTCGTCATATAATAGTAAAGATGTATGATGGCGAGGTTTTTGATCTCTAACACGTTGTAGATTCCATCTATGAAATATCGCTGTTCGCTACTGAACTTGAGGGGATGTTTCGCAGGCCTTTCTTGTTGGTGCATTTCTTCGAAAAGAAGGGGCAGATCTGCGCTTTCCAGGGCATGGTGGCCTTCTTTAAGATAGAAATACTCTGTGATGCAAATTTGTGTACTCTCTGGTGTATGTGCGTGTGTAGGAGAAAGTTAAAGAGAGCTTTCGGTCATTGTGGAAGGTCAGAGGAGCTCTTTCTCCTTTGTAAACACGTCTGACCACAAGAGTCCAGTATTGGTATCATCAAAGCAGCGCTGTGTCGATAGGCTTCGGCTTGGGAAAAGTCCGGGCAGCGACAGCATCATTGTGTGTTTTTAACTGAAATTCAGGCGGCGATTTTATCACAAATATGCTCGTATAATCCTATAATCTTTTGGAGGGCAGCTACTTAGCGGCTTCTAGCACCAGAGAGCAGGTACCACTATCTTGAAGAGCATATTCATAGACTAATGATAAGAGAATCCGATGTATACTTCTAGATATCTAAGAATAAAGACTCCAAACACCCTCCAGCATGCAATGCTCTTTCAGAGCCACATTAACACATATAAACAATCGAAGAAAGAGGAGAGAAGTATAGACGGGTCTCGCTTCGAGGCAACACAGCTATAAAATACATGTTAACTCAAATAAGAATGCTCGCTCACAAATCTTCAGGGATGAGCATGTGTTCTCTTCGCGGACAGGCCAGATCTTCTCCATCTCTGGCTTCGGCGTAATGACGCTGGCCGCGGAAGGTATACCATACTTTCAATGTTTTGGGAAGTAGAGGGGCCGGGTCGTAGAAGCCTATAATTTGGAACTTGACGCGGAGTTAGTCATACTTATCGCTGAAAGGTAGAGAGAAGCTAAAACTTACTCGTATGGTATTCTTCGATATGAACAGTTGACTCTTATCAACTTGCGCGGCTACAGGGATTGTCACATCAATGACCTCAGACTCAGCACGCTTCGCATTTTTAGGTGGTAGATAACCGTATTCGGCTTTCTCGATGACTAGTCCACCTTTATCATTCTCGCGTGCTTGTCGTCGCTTCGTCAAGTCGCTCATCAGCTCAATCTGCTGCGCACTTTCTTTCTTGCGTGCCGAAAGCTGGGATTTGAGTTGTTTTCGTTTGCGAATGATGGCTTCGCGGCGACGGCGTCTTTCTCGTGGGCGAATGAAGCCAAACTCGACGCCGATATAGGTAAGCCAGGGAACAATAACGGCCATAGCAGATATTTCAGCATCTGCAAGATCGAGCGGGCAGATCATTATTGGTACTCTGATGGATTGTCCCAGACGGCGCCATGAAAGTGCCAATACTAACCCACGCGCATCACGAAGACTGACGCCAAATCCCATACTTGTGAAATCGCTAACTCTGCGAGAAGCTGTCACGCCCCATGCCATGTCCCCGTCTAGACCGACGGCTGCCTCAACCTCAACCCGTACACCGCGACGGTCTGGTAAAGGAATTGCTGGATGATATCCATCTAGATTCCACTCTGAGCGTGGAATATCCTCGAGCCTATCCGCGAACAAAGTGCGTCCATAAGTGAGACTCAATTGGCCTCCAGCTGGGGTTGCAGCAAGACCCCACTGCCATACCTCATTGTCCGTGGACTTCGCAAGATCGGGGTCATTGGCTACTTCTTCGGCAGTAGGGCCTGATAGTGAGGTATATTGAAGTTGCAGCGAGCCATCGTTGACTAGCATAGGTTCCAGTCTTGGATCAAGCGACATCCTCATGAACGGCGATAATATTCCTCTCATAAACGATGGCCACGTTAGTTGTGATCCAGTTGAGTATGCCAAGGTGCCGAATTTCCGGGTTCCAAACTGCCTCACGATTGACGTCGTTATATTAGGCATGAAGTTGTTGACATTGTTGGGTATAGTACTCTTGACGAGTAATGTGAATGGCTTGCTGTTTGGAAAAGGATATACTTGTTTCTCGATATGCAAGGCTAATGCCSGAGCCGGTAGAATAGTCATGGTTCCACCAACTGTTGCCCCCTCGAGCAGAGATCGTACACCAAACGTGGATTGAGGACTTGTCTGCAATTCAGTAGTTGTGAATTGGTGATTGACAGTGGCGCCCAGGTTGAACATAGCGGCGCCTAGGAAAGGCGAACCGTCAATCTATAATAGTTCGATCAGTTAATATACTCCGGATAATCGGCAGTGCGTTTGAAAATTACCTTGATGACTTCCGTCCTCCCATCCAGAGCTGGTACCCTGAATGCTTGTTTGCTTTGTCGTACGGCACCGCTGACACTTGCGTGAAAGGTCACCTCGGGTGAAGTTTCGGACTGTTCTTCTATCTCCCCATTCTCCTGTGAAGTTTCTTCTTCCGTATCCGTACGCCGTCCAGAAACCCATGTCCAAGCACTCGCGAAATCCGGCAAAGCCGTCTTGAAACTGTATCCGAGGACAAAACGACTCGTACGCAGCTTTGGCGGTGGAAAATTGAGTTCCAATTCACCTTCCTCCTCACCGGGCGAGATTAACGAAGATGCGTCGATGGTAATAGACATTGATGCCTAGTGCCGTATTCAACATCAGTACTGGACCGAATAGGTCAACGGAGGGAAACAGAACAAACCTTAGCGCCCACCAACCTATTCAAAGCCGTCCTCTCCTTCGCCTTCATTCTCGCGATAAACCACCTCCGAAACTCAGCCGGCGACATTGCCCTCGGGCCAACTTGCCCCAAAGCCGCATCTTCAGTTTCCATCATCGCTGCCATAGGTCCGCTCGCACCCCATTCACGCTGCACTCCTTCCTCACCTTCCAAGTCATAGACAATCCGCTTCTTCGGGTCACTCAGAATCATATACGCTTCTTGCACGAGTCTGAATTGCGCGTTGGCCGACTCGACCAGATGCGCGGGCTGCTTGTCTGGATGTAGACTGAGGGACAGGTTATGGTATGCGGTTTGCAGCTGGCTGTCTGTCGGAGGAGGGTTACGCGAGAGTCCGAGGAGGCTGTAGTAATCGACTTTATTGGGGTATCCCATCAGCAATTCGTAGTCTTTGTCTAGGTCGGGGTTGGCGTCGTTGTGGTGGAAGTTGCCATTTGGACGGCTTTCTCCGAATCGTGAAGAAGCCATCCCCGCAGGACTGTTTTTGGTGAGAGGCCGAAGAGATTGGATACCCGAAGCTAATTAGATGGCTTCGATCTTGCCATGATGGAGAAAGAAATGTTGTATTCTAATGTATTCAGTATATATAATGGCATCATGAGCATTGATTGCTCTATTGGCCACAGCTGTTATCCAGGAAGGAACAACTTTTGGAGCTCTTCCACAGCTCGGCGTTATGCGGGAAAGAGCCTTGGCGCCAACCGTTCTGCACGTTCGCCGTTAAGCTTAATTTAACCCTAAGGCGGGGAACGATACAGAGGCATTTTTACATATAGCTACACATTGTTATTTTGTGTAGGGTTGTAAATATTCTCGGACCCGAAACTGCAATCGAGGTCGCCATGCTTAGCTCTATCTGTACATGTTGATATCTCTTGACTGCTAGTAGACATAGAAGTCTGAACACTTCAACCGGACTTAACCCTAAACCCTACTTGACCGGAACTTGCACTCAAATCAATAGAATAGCATTATCAACTATTGTCTCATTATCAAACACTTTTGTACTCCGTATCTATTCGTTAAAGTCGTCTGGTATCACAGCGTGCCTCATTCACATTGGCCACTGTGTAACACCGGGGTTGACGGCAATGAAGGCAGGGCATGTTCAATCGTCCATTTGGCTTGATTCATCACAGTTCAAGACGATTGTACTCCAATCCCACAACACCGCATCTTTGTCATGAGTGATTTCCAGACCCGTCGCATCTCAAATCATCATATAAATATCGTACAATAAGCTGCTGGCGGGCTTTCCTTTCTGAAGGTCAACCTTTCATGTTTCGGATTGCAACAGCCACGGCGCCGATTTCTCAGCCACAGCCTGTCTTATCTCAGTCCGTTCCCGCCGATGTGGTTTGGCTGCTGCAGATCTCGTTCGTTTTTCTATTGGAATCTTCGCGCGCTGTACAGGGGCATCACTCAGTAAACAAGGTGTCATGCATCGTCCCCTTGAAAAACATGTCCCATTTATAGTCGTCATGATTATTTCTTTTCAACCAACTATAATTCCGTCTTCCGATAAACGTGTTTTGTTTCTCCGGCAAATCAACATTCGACCGAATCACAAGAGTGTACTGAACCCCAGGAAGTTGTCGCGAAGACAACCAGGGTAGCTGTTTGTTTCAAGTGCTTCGAAAGAAGAATGTCGGATATTCGCCGCTCTAAAGCTCGTCATTTTATGCGGACTGAAGGTCATGTGAAGAAGATCTGGCCCGATTTCCGCGAGGCCTAAAGAGGAAGGGAAAATTGTCAGACTTGAACCGATCATCAGCTTACTAAAAGACTGATCGACTTACGCGCTCTCAAACCGACATTCTCGCCCCGATTTCTGACATTGATCACATTTGGGCAGATTCGGCTGGCATTTCACTTTCTTCTCTCTGCAAGGAATACAAGCCTGCGCCAATCGCTTTCGCGCTTTACCAGCCTTTGTCAACCCCCAGTTCGGGTTGACTGGCTGACCATCGATAAGCTTCGGGCAGTAGGAGTTGTCTGCAAAGATATAACAAACGCCCTTCCCAGGAAGATACCGTTCGTCGACGACCTGGTTAGGAGTAGTGGGTCCACGTGACACCAGCTTGGGAGCCTTCTTGTCTCGGGCTTGGAAGGTAGTGGGATAATGACGGATCGGAATGTCTGGGGCTTGCTGTTGGATCTCTGGAAACGGACTGGCTACTGGGAGATTCGTCGTCTGACACAAGTTGCGAGCGAGATCTATGAGATGGACGTGTGCGCGAAGCGTCCAGGCCTACTTGCGAGATTGGAGGTAGTCTAGCAGACTGTGAGCTGCGATAATGCTCATATTCTCTGTCACTAGAAGGGGACAAAGAGGCATAATCAGAGAATCCTCCTTCCGAGTTTCGTGGATGGTTGTAATGCGAACTTGTAGGGCGCGAATGTATGGATGGCGAATTTTGTAGGGCGCGGCCGTGGTGCGGAGCGGCAGGACGGGAAGGCAAGTAGCTTGTATTTGCGTCAGACAGCAGTTGATGAACGGATGGTAGGCTCTCTCTTTGTGCAGGAAAGTCGTTTCTCGAATGCGATACATCTGTTCTCTGGTGTGATGGCGTTTGTTGGTCGTCCACGATGAGACCGATTGGAATCAATGAATGTGGCGGTGGGAGTCGATATTGACGATTATTTCGGTCCTGGCCATGGCTGCCACCGTCGTAATGGTGGTTCATACTCTGGAAAGGAAATAGATGGCCAGGGTGCTCGAAATGTGAGTACGTTAAGCTCATTCTCAGGCTGCTGTACTAGCAATGCTTACAGAAGTCCAGTGCTAGATTATGTCACGCAGGACAGAAAAAGAAATGGCGAGATGAATGTGTTGTGGTAGACAGGCTGGAATATTGCAAGAAATGATCGCTCTCAATGCTGTAATGTCTCTCGTTCATGGGGGATTTTCGATGGCATGACAACGTCGGCACAGCCTAAATTGCGAGCAAAAGGGATCAACGAGTGGGATCCGTTAGAAGAAGATTCGATTCAATGTGAACAGGTTTTTGTGAGCGATCAGATGACGCACAACTGCCAATGGACTATGGCATTGACAGAGGAAAAGCGAAGCATGTGTTCATTGCATAAGGCGAATAGTTCGGACATTAAAATCCAACAGTCGACAAATATGCATGCCAAGTCTATGTCACAATCGTCACCGGTCAAGGCAATTCGATAACCAGCGCCCAAGTGAAGAAGGCTGAACTTTTCAAAGCAGTACTATGACAATCTTCCAAGTGAGAAAGTGAAATAGTCTGCAAGTGAGTTCTAAGCTAGATGCCGATATGATCCCGGGACGCTCTCAAGAATCTGGCATACTCTTCGGTCGATTGTCTGCATGGACCCGTCAGCAAATACCGAGCAACGAATGGCAGGCGGATCTCGTTCAATCACTGATCAGAGGCGCACGTATATGTTCGCCATAGACTAAAGCGAGCACTCTAGGCAGAAGAAAGTGAGAGATCCAATGCGAGGGAGATCAACCGATATAAGAGAGTCGGTGGTGAGCAAATAGGAAAGGATTTTCGAATGGGCGACGCTGAGAGCTCCACGTTGTAGAAGTAAGTCGCAATCACTTTGAGTTCGGTTTGATGAAGACCCTTTGCTTGGCAGTGGGTACGTTAATTCCCCGTGGGCGATGCATTTTACGACGCTCGACTCTGTTTTTGCGTCTTTTGATGCAGTACTCTACCCATTTCGGAGTAGATACTACGTATGTACATCCATGCCGTAGTATGCAGCCAAAAGGCTTCTGGCTACGGGCTATAACCCTACACCCTAGTAGAAACTCTACCTAGGATACAGTCAAGGCCATGTTACTACTGCCCCGTTTTCGCCGCAGTCGCCGGTTCACAGAACAGATAGTCGGCGGAGGGGTCTAGCGGAAATCGAGAAATTAACGAAAAGTGGGAACCACCTAAAGTCTAAGACTCAACAATGCCCAAGAATGAGAGTGCAGCCGTTAGCTGTAGCCTCTAGGGACTGTTACGAGTCACTAGTGGGCCGGTATGGGCTAAATCAGTGGACATTCAGCGCGGTTTGGCCCTAACTTTGCAGCAGTATATCAATCCTCCTAAGACCTAGGGTGACCAGGGTTGAGCATTGTCTCCATATATGATGCGTCGAACACGATATACAAGCGACAAGGAGTCTTTGCGGTGTTTAATCCATGAGATATCCCCCAGTTTTTCTGAAGATCAAAAGCAACATTGTTGTCTAGACCACGGTTCTAAACGAAGACATGGTTCCACTCGTTCTCCTACGGCTACAGATCGATCATCACGATCTATGTCACACCTGATCGACATGCTGTAATTAGATTATGCACATACTACTGCCCTGCCGTTTGAGAGCTTTCAAGTTTCTAGTCATGCCGAAAGTCTGTTCATTAACAAACGTCGACATGCGTACTCGTTTGATTGCAAAAGAAAACAAAGTGGGCTGGAAATAGATTGACGTCCAATCGGCTGAGACACGATTTGTCTCTTTCTGGTAGACTAAATTAGCCAACAACAGTAGCCGTCTGGTAATGTAATTTTATCAACGGAAGTTGTTTGCTGTCCGGTTCATCTTATCGGTAGACCGTCTTACTAGAGACGGTTGCCAATCAAAATGGGTGGTTGACAACTTGACAAGTGCTACTGAAACTTGCAGTTCGCTCTACAAACACGGCTGCATATTGCTGTGGCTGGTTGTCATCAATGCATGAGTGAGCAGGGGTACATCTTCAGACAAGAAAGACATCAAACCCGGAGAGGCTGTAGCGTAATGAGTGCCGAACGGACATTTCCGAGGATCTTCGGTCGAGCCTTCGAAGTCAAGGACTGTGCAACGGCTAGTTGATCTATCTCGTACCTGACACCGTTTGACTTTGCTCCATATTGCCATATCCGCAAAGGACGTGCGTCCGGGAAGCTAGGCGAAAGTGCCGTCTCGCATCTCTAGCTAGTCAGCTTTCCGACGTTCAGCCTCTCACACGCGGTCTTGTCACGTACGGAAACCCGATACACTGATACACACTTAGGACTCCACCGGACCAGTGCTGGCCTTATGTGGGAATCGTGGCCGGCCCGACATCAATTGGTCAATGGAAACGCCCGGCAGTAGTGCCGACGGCCTAGGCGATGCCCAACTGTGCGTGGCGCCATTTTTAGAATTGGAAAACGCCGAAAATCAGATGCTAGAGACCCAGGGTTCTCCTTGTTGGCCAGTGTTCCTTCTGTCCGTTGTCAAGAACAGGGACAAAGAGTGAGCGGATCTGCGCCTGGGGGGCGGGGGCGGCAGCCACGATGGGGAAAGACCACAAGTTAACGCGACAGCTTCTGGGAAAGGGACAAGTAGCATGCTCCGAAGTGTCAGTAGCGGCTGACGAAGCGCAGCTAGCCACCGCTAAGGTACAATCCTAGCAGCTAGTTTGAGCTAGGTCCTACCTCTGATATTGGAAATGCAACTAGTGGGACTTTAGCGGGCAAAATCGCGTCGAAAATTCTCCGTCCGGACAGCTAAGCTTAGACTGGTAGTCGAGGAGGCATGCGGACAATTTATTTTACGACTCAAAAGAAAAGAGTCGATGGACCCGCATTGTGGTCAATGGATAATGGATATTGGGTTTCGCGCAAAGTTCGGGATTGACTGACTTTGTCTTTCGTTCGACGGAGCCAAAAATACTCTTTTGGAAAGAAAAAAGCTCCCAAACAGGTCTGGATGGTCCACTTCCTAGTTCTCGTAACAGTAATTAATTACACGAGAGGCTTGCCGTTGGATGGTTTGACGCCGTCTCCACCGAAACAAAGTATGGACGTCGTATCGACACGACACGCACCCAATGATAAGTGCAGAAAGCTATGCGTCCATGACACGATGGTTATTGGTAGGCCGATCGGGAATAGTCACAAGAAAAAAATTGGGGAGACAAAATCACGAACCTTGCAGCTGTGTGAGTTGGCAGGTCGAAGGATTGTATGGTCTTCGTGAGAATTGAGGTTGTTCAGTAGAGGAGATGAAAGGAAAGACGGAGTTCGCCGCGGGACGAAGAGGAAAGGACGGAAGCGAACCAAGGCGCTATCCAGGCACCGGAGCTCTCTTCCTATCACGAAGTTGAATTGAATATACAAGACACACGTACTCGCAACTTAGGTACAAGCAATTACAAAATATGCTCCGTCGAAAGACGGTGTATTTATTGCAGGATGCGTGGTAATAATATATTCCGACAATCAGCGTCATCATGCATACTAACAATAGCCCACTCATAATGACAGTCTAGACTTCAGCTAGTAGGAAAGGGTCTATCGATGGAATGTACTACGTATGTACTAACCTACTATTGATTTTTAGTTACTTCTGGTATCTCTAGACTCAACAATGGAAATCCATTCTACATACTCTACATGCGGAAAAAAGCTACTGCGGAGAGATTCTCCGATAAAACGCGCTGTACGGTGACACGTCAACCGAAGGATGTTCGAGAACGCCAGAAACATCAGCACTTGCTTTAAGTGAAATCTTTTTCCTATGTTTCTATGTTTTCTTTTGCCAATGCCAACAGTCTATGCCAATTCAATTGCATGGTCTCGTGACTTGTACGTAATATGGTGATATTGTTAGTACACACGCCATGTCTTTCGCTTAATTGTCTTACATGTGAGAGAGGAGACGACCAAAATTGCATTAATTTATCAGCACCAATCCGTTCAACGTTACTGGCCAACCAACAAGTACACATAATATAGTTAAATGAAAACAAACTTAGCCAGCGGAGTTCCAACTTCTAGGTAATACGCAGTCCCAATCATTTGCGGCGCAGGTAGCATTCGCTTCCTACATACGATTCATTGTTTTTGGTAACATTGCAAAGACTTCGGTGGAATATTTCCGAAACAGGTAATTGCGCACCTCGATTAGGGTTCTCCTAACCAGTGACCACCGACCACCGACCACATTGACCACGTAAATACTCCGCAAACTAGTCTTCGCTAAACGACTATTTTCGGCAGTCAGAACGCCAATATCATCTCAATTTTCAAGCCTTTATCTGTACGGACTCGGCGTCGCAATTGTTTGAAAAGCTGGAAACCTGGATAAAGCAAAGCCCGGCGCTTTTTCACAAGTGTGCGCGCCAACCCTGGATTCGTACAATAAAGTATAAAACAGAGCCCACTTCTCTACCGAGTCTTACTCGAGTCAGTAAACTCCGTCTCTGGCGATCGCGACTTTCAGTCTACTGTTTCGAGGCACCAAAGTAGCATTCGATCCGTTCATCCCTGTTGGTAAAAAGCCGGAACACACAATTGAGGCATTTGAGGTTTCTTGGCGGTTCAATGTTGGCTGTTGACAGCATTTCATTGTCAGTCATGAATACTACGTAGTATGCATTGAGGATCAAGTAAGTCCAAGGTAGGGGAATACTCTACCTGGGTAGTTATCCACAACGTACTTCGTACAAGGAACAGGTGTCTTCGGTCCGGATCGACAGAATCCCGAATCTTGAGACTCCACTCAAGCATCCGTGGGCACTACGGAGTATGTAGCAAACAGTAAAAACGCATTGACTAATTTACTCTTTTGTCGACAGCTATATACAATCAGGTATATCGATTGATGTAGTACTATGTCGATAGCTACAGTATCCCAGCCGTAGCATCCCAGATGGCAATGCGCGATTAACGTAGCATCAACACAAGGACCCCTCTACGTACCTACTTTCGGCGATCCTTCAAAGACCCTGAAGGGCCTTGAAGGTATTCTCATTTCAGTTTAGGGAGGATAGACAAAGCGGAACGGGAACGACAGCACGTTCCTTCCGATCGATTAGTACGCAGTAGTCCGCACTAAGTAGTAAGTACCCAGCTTGCTTGAGCAGAGAAGAGATTTCTTACGTACTCTAGAATCCTGACTGAATTGGAAAATTTTATTAGACATGAAAAAAAAGTTAGATCCAACTCTCGCCTCGGCAATTGATGGCTAGGTCCAACGTCACTGAGAAGTACGGGAATACTTCGGCATATGCCACTACTGACAGGATGCAAGCTGTGCGAACCCCAAGCGGACCATCGCTCATAAACCCTCCAGCCGGGTTTACTAGTACAATTTTTTCTTTCTTTATCTTTTCTTTCGGGTCTCTTCCAACAATAAACACTGATTGTGGGCATTATTTTTAGATCCATATTATCTGTGCGGTAATTTATTCTTCCAACCTCTGGATGGGAAATCGTATCATACAACTTATACCGTGCTGCATTAGTGCGGCACTGAGCATGAAGCCAGCCAGAAGCCATGAGGAGATAAATTGGAAACTCAAGGCTAGAGTATACTTTGTAGATAATGGATTTGACCAGACCATACGAAAATAGGACCAGGACCTTATGGAGGTATAATAGCGGTGTTATAGCCTCGACTGTTGGGATGCATGCACGCATCTACATAGTGGAATATCCGAGGATTCTGCGCTCTGCATGGCCTAAGCAAACTAGTACGGACCATTTGACGTGCTAGCAAGACGGAAGATCTAGAGCCGAAACCGAGATGGACACCGATGAAGGTAGTACTGTACTTCGTTTGTATCAAATTCAAGTGGATACCTGTCTACTTACTCTAAGAGCAACAAGACATCATAATTCCAGGGCCTATATCACAACAGAGCTAAGCTCCATTGTTCCAAGGTATTATGTACCTAGGGAAAAAAAGCAAATGGGACTTTCCACGGATCTCTTTTCCCGAGCTTCTCGGTGGCTCATCGTCCACCGTGTTTACCATGGATGTCTAATGCAAAGTTAGGTAGTAATCTTGTCTGTACATTGAATGCATACATATTCATGTATTTTCATATATACATTGACCTTTCCCCTCTTTGCGGTTAATTATGTCTCTGTAAATTACTGGTAATGGAAATCCCTATCAAACCCTGTCGTTGCTGAAGCTCAAAGTGGCCAACCGTCTAGCATTACGTACGCACAGGCATATATAAAAAGCTCACAAAAATTCCCGCGCATACTTGATTTGTCCAAAGCTCCATGTCTTAAGGTTCGGTACGTACTTCCGCATTCAGACCCTTGTCATGACTGTCTAAGCGAGGTTTTGCGACATTGAAACATCGATCTGCAATATATATTGTGCCTAGGGTCAACCGACAACCTTGGAAGAAACATGTGAAAGTCCAATTTCTTCAATGCTTCGATACGAGCTCAAATTGAGAAATTCCGTCAATAGGATGAGAAAGCGACATTTCGAACTGGTGAGTTCATCTTGACAAGGTTTCGGTGAAGAGATGAATGAATTATCTGCATACACATCGGACATCTGGGAAGAAAGAGGTATCTACTGCGCAGGCGGAGGAGAAGAGGCCGAGTTTGTTGAGTGAATTTCCGCGGATTGCGTTATTTGTACTGGGATTTGATGGTCGAGTGACAACCATGCTTGATTTTGCACACGAATGTTTCAATTGAGGAGAAAATCACTCATAATGTTGGAGAGTCTATCTCGGTGTGTCAACTCAACTGTATTAGGCGACTTCAATCTAGTTCGTACAATACTGTCAATTCATATCACCTCACTTATCAGTGGGACGCAGTCTACGCAAGCCAAGTCAAGTCATAATCGTTCATTGAGGGCATCACACATTATGGCACGCATGCATATTCATTTCATGTAGCTGTGCTAAAAACTAGTGGTAGTGGACATAAAAACCCCATTTTTGAAGAAACAAGACAACCAAACAGACAAAAGATGGTAAACAGTTTACTGTTCAGCAAGGATCTTCTGGAACTGCTCGCCAGCGCGCTCGGGCTTGGTAGCCTCAGCGGACTGCTGGCCAACCTTGTCCTTGGAGTATTGGGCGGCGTAAGGGTTGAGGCGGAGGAGAACTTGCTTGTTGCGGAGAGGGTTCTTCTTCTGGACGAAGGGACGCTTGGTGCGGGCCTCGCCCTTGGGCTCACGGAGCACGGACTGGACTTCAGAAGAGTTGATGATACGGGTAATGTCGGCGTTGGCAAGGACGTTGGAGGGGAGGAGGAAGTCCTTCTTGAGAGCAGAAGCAGTAGTGGTAGAACCGTAGACTTCATCCAAAGCAGCGAAAGCAGCAGAGGTCCAGACAATGAAGCGACCGAGGTGACCACCGGGAGCGAGCTGGAGGAGGTTGAGGGCGTAGACGGAGGAGGTCTCGACACCTGGGATGTTGCGGAAGGCCTTGACGAGCTCCTTGCCGTCGGTCTCGGGGTTGTAGACGACGAGAGGACCACGGCGCTGGCGGAAACGACGGCCACGCATCTTACCCTTACCGGCGCGGGTCTTCTTGGACTTCTGGACCTTGACGAGGTCAGGGCCGGCACCGACAGCCTTGAGAAGGGCAACGGCGGCCTTGGTCTTGGCGATGGCAGCGCTCTCGAAGGTCTTGGACTCAATGACGAGGGGGACTTCGGGGACGCTGGCGACACGGTGACCGCGGGCGAACAAAAGAGAAGGAACGGAAGAAGCAGCCAAGGCAGAGGCGGTAGCGAAACGTCTATAACCATCTTTTAGCACCAAATTCCAACATCATTCAACGATCTTTAAAGTGTAGCCTACCTCTGACCCTGGTTGACCTTCTGGTGCCACTTGCGCCAGACCTTGGTAGGAGCGAACATACGACCAGAACGGCACATGTTACCGAAAGCAGCCTGACCAGCACGGTGAGTACCACCACCAGAGACACGGGGAATACGGGCAACAGCGCGACCTGTAAATCAAATCCAATCAACCTCAAATCCTCGATTTTGTATAAACCAAATTTGCTGCCATTGTAAAACGTACCAGTACCCCAGGACTCGGCGGAAGTCTGTTCACCAGCCTTCTCGCTCACGGCATAGGGCTGTCTCTTGTTCTTCGCGATACCGGTGTGAACCTTCTGGACAATATCCGGGCGGATGGGCGAAGAGAAGACGGTGGGCAAAGGGTGAGTAGCACCAGAGGGCTTGCCCTCGGCCGTGGCGATGGTGACAGTTGGTCGGGACGCCATTGTTGTCGACAAGTTGGATATGTCGGTTTGGTCGATGTCAAGATCCAAGTTCGAGTGTTGAGACTTCGAGATTGAAGGTGTGGATTTTTTCGCTCTCGCTTAGTGTGGATTTGCGGCCGCCAGTGCGGGTATTTTAGTCGAAAGAGGAAATAGGGCTTAGGGCTTGGACTTATTGCGGTTGGTGAGTGGTTGGAGGATCCACATTGAATTCTCAAGCCAATCATTTTGTTTACTACAATTTACTATTCAAACTGGAATATCTGAACGATGTTTTCCGATGACTTTTGTAAGAGTAGAAGCGATGATACTCAAAGCAGAATACCTCCATGTCGTTTCCCATGTACATGTACGGCCGTTATGACATCACCAATATGAAAGAAAAAGACCTCCAGGGCCAATGAAGAAAGAAAGACAATTAATTTGCAGTCCAGTCAGTACGGATCAGGATTGAGCCTTGTCGACGAGCGAACGACGGCGATCATGTATGTGGCCAGCATACGCTCGCTTGGCCGCAACAAGAGTCAAGTCGCTTGACTGTCCAGCATTGCACTTGGTTCCGGCAGCAACAGGTTGAGCAGCCGACCACGCACCACTAGCACAACGTTGAAAGGATGTGCCGTCAATGCAATTCCATATGCCTTCGGTTGAACAAGCACCACTGAGAGCACTGGATGTAGTATCACTACTACTGCCCGTGGATGGGGTAGACGTTGCGACAGAAGTAGCTGGTTCCGTGGATGTTGGGGCAGGGACTGGCTGCACGGTATTTTCAGGAACAGTCGAGGTTGCCGCCGTGGTGGTGAGGATGGTAGCAGCAGCTGTAGTAGAGCTACCAGTGGACGCTCCTGAAGAGCCTCCGGAAGCACTTCCAGAAGTACCACTAGCCGCGCCAGTGCCAGTAGGAGTAGGAGCGGCAATGACACCAGTAGCAGTAATACCCGCGCCTCCAGTGCAGGCAGCCTGGCCCGATGGTAGAAGATTCGTAGCCTCGCCAAGATACACCACCGAATCACCTGGATTTGGAAAACGAATATCGAAATCTTCCTTTGTAGTACATCCGTTGATATTGGCGACAAACATTTCGGGGAAATCAGCGCGCTTGGACAACGATGTCTCTACCTCTCGCTTCCCGCTACCTGCCGTCGAAAGAATCTCAACAGGAGCACAGTTCATGTACATTTCGCGGTTACCAATTCGGTTGAACCAGGTCCAAGCCAAGGTATACCGACCCGCGGCAATATCGGGAACTGTAAAGTTGAATGTCGTTGGATCTGGTGCGTTGGCATCATCCCCGATGTTTCCAGCTGCATTTGTAGGACATCCGCCTTCAATGGAATGGATGACGAACCACGTGGAGTCTTTTGTAGGCGTGAGGTCGGTGGTCAAGCTGATTTGACAAGAACCACCGCCATGAGTGGCACCGCCCTTGAAGCTCAATAGAGGCGAGTCACCGACATGGTACGTGTTGGCCGAGAGAACATCGGCGGTGTAGGAATAGGTGTCGCTTCGAAGTTTACATGGAAAGTCAGAGCCATCGCCAGCCAAGGGAGAATTGTTCAAGGTGTCTTGACCGAAGGGCTGGGGAGAAGTCATTATCATATGTCCCTGCACAGTCCAAGATGCAAGGAAAGCCGAAAGGAGAAGATGTTTCTTTGTGGAAAACATTTTGAACGTTGATCAAAGGTGACCGTGGAAACGAGAAAAGCTTCGCGTTGAAAATGGATTTGTTCTAAGCGTGCCAGCCGCTTAGGAGGTCTGAAAAAGGGATCGTGGATGGAGTTTCGAGAGTCAAAAAGGAGCGATAACCGCGTCTACCACAGGTAACACAGATGTAAAGATTGTGAAGAAAGAAGGATTCTGTCCAAAAACCTGACCTGCAGAAAAAGGACAGAAATTATGAAAGTGAAGAAGATGACTGAAAGAGAAAATTGTAGCGCCAGCGTTTGACCAAACAAAGAGAAGAAGGAGAAAAAAAAGGAAAAACTGGCCAAGATTTAGGAGAGGATAGTCATTTTATACTGAGTGTGGGATAGAGAGGCATTGAGGTTATTGACTGGGCGTAGCCTAACTAGCGGTACTTCTTGGGGGGCACTCACCAATCACTGATCGAGTGGCTGGGTACCATTCTTGATACAAACATACTGTTCTATTAGGAGTGTCCATCTATTGTTGCCAAGGAAGAATAATCATGATTTAGTCAATCGGGAATTCGCCAACGATAGGCAAGTCATGGTCGAGTCCCTTGCCATGGAGAGCCGTGTTTGATGCAAGGATACTCCGCACGAAAGAAAGAAACTTTGCAACCTGCGATATATTAGGTGCATCATTCTTTGAGTCATGGTATGATGCTTCAAGTCGAAGCCATAAAGAGCCCGATCCATCGTCGTGTCTCGACAATCGGAAACGCATCAGGGCTTCGAAGTACCAAACTAGCGATACAATTCAAACGGCTCAGAAAACAATTGCGACTAGTTAGTGAGCCCCAGTTTCAGATACAGAATCCCATTGTTGGCTTTCCAGCAAGGAAACATACAGACACAGATTTATCTGAAACAGCCGCAAGGAGTTCAACATTGATCTATAGTGCAGAACGGACCAATCAGAGCTCTAGGATGCAATAATCAGGCATTTGATGAAACTGACCACCAAATATTTGATAGTCCATTTGTTTGGGTCATCTAGAGAATTTCGCGTTATCTGATTGTGTGAGCGATAATATGAGGCCATTTCACCTTCGAGTGTCTGCAGTCGCTGGCTGCGCTCAACATATCCGACGACCTGTTGTGTTAAGAGTGTTTCGAGTATGACTTTATCTCCATCCGGTGGCCAAATAGTAGTGGGTTACGGTTCTATTGCTGAGCTACGTCTACGTCTATTGATCCTTGAATTATATACAAGTTGTTAATGGGAGAAATGACCAGGCCTTGAAGAGCGTAATCTCGTGATCCCACGAACCCTAAACCAAGATCATATCCTTCCAGTAGCACGTGCAAGACGAAAGTTTGCGAGCCAAGCCAATTCACTTCTTCCCCTTCTTCTTGCCTTTATCTTTGGTGCTTGATGCCTCTTTCTGAAATCCAGCCTTGATAAGAGCATCCTTTCCAACATTGTTAATGATTCGGAATCTATCCGGCCCCAACAAGACTCCCCCATACCATCTCGTAACGACGACCAATACATCCCAAACATCCATCAATTGCATAAGATGTAGCAAACGTCCGCCTGCAGCCGTTTCCCCATCATCGTCACAGTCTTGGAATGTTCTTTCTGTGTTGTCGTCTTTCTTCTCACGAATGCGCCATGCGCTGATATTGTGTGTTGCACTGGCGACTTTCTTGTCTGTTGCGAGGAGATAGTCTATATACGCCTTGGCCTGATCTCTGCTGGTAACGGGTACGGCGCGACCCACGAAGACCGATTTCTTTTCTGTCACAACGTCGGATAGTATCCAATAGGGAGGACTGTCGATGCCAAATGCATCTTTCAAAGAAAGCGTCGCGATGTCTTCAGCAGTCTTGTCGAGCTGCTCATCTGTATCATCCTCTCCATCTTCGTTTCCTTTTGACGGGCTTTCATGATCTGTTGTGGTACCACCAATGCTCAATTCAGAGAACTTTTCGCTGGCCTCACTGATCACTTCGAATAGGCAGACTTGTCCTGGCTGATGTGCTCGGGTGATGATATCCCTTAATACATCAACAACTAGACTGCCTTCGCCGCGGGAAGAAGTCGATGCTGTCCCAGTCACTCGAGGGGGTGTTTCCGGATACTCATTGTCAAAACCGATAATAAAGGAAAGGTGAGGGTGTTCTGGGATACGCAGCCGTATCGTCGTCGTAAGAGCAGCTGTTTCAGAAGGGGTGCTCCCCAGGTCTAACGTTCGTGCGCCATTGTCCGGAATCGTGCCTTGACCGATTGTATTAACCTCGATCGTATCGACTTCGTATATCGCATTTATCGCTTCAATTTCCTCTGCAAGTTCTCGCTGATGCAGACGTTCAAGGGCCGAAGACATCGCATCGTCGCGATTTGTCTTCCAAGTTGAATGTGCAGATGAACTGTGAAGTCAGCGAGACAAAACTTGAAAACAGAGTTCGGAATTGCTCCGATCAACCCCACTATTGAAGAGCCCCACTTTGTATACTACCAAACAATAAACTGCTTCATGAATTCTATTTCTTTGATAGGTGCTTATATACATTAATCTCACTCATCCGGGCCCAGTAACGGCTCGGGKGACATTGAGATGAATCGCGCTTTCAAGTCTGGCTGGGTCTCGAATCTATTATCAAACGGCCACATCGGACGGCGGATACGATGATGACCCAGTCGGACAAGGTCCTGGTCAACACCACCAGGAGTAAGACCGAGCATCCAATCCGCCGCCATATCAAAGAGCTCTGGCTCCAGGTAGCCGATCTTGACAATAACAATATCCGCAGAGCGGGGTTTTAAGTCCAAGTCAGTAAAGTCATGCTCCTTGTGATACGGTTTGCGTAGTTTGGTTAGGATAGCATACACGCTACCCACTTGCAGAACAACTTCAGTCTCTGCCCATTTGTCACCATGTTTGATTGAATGTATTCGTCCAGTCATTGTGATAGGACCTGCATGTATGTTATCGACCTCTGCCCCCGCAGTCACTGTTACGGTCGCCCCAACGCCAGCGGCAACGGCTACTTCGACTGCTTTCGGACCTGGTACGCTTGCATATATCACAGTCGGCCCTGAAACATCCTGAAATTCAGGTCGAGCTAAAAGCTTAGTCAAACCCCAGGTCATATCACCGCTACCGCCTGCTGTTGGGTTATCCCCACTATCCGAGATAAAGAACGGGCGAGCAGAAGACGTCAGAGCTGTATCAAGGCATTCTTTGAACGTCCCGGTCGGTCCAACAAAATCAAAATCAGCATGAGCATCCCAAAATTTTTTTGCCAGATCCTCGGCACCTGCAGCAACAGCTGATTTGTCCCAGCCAGTTGCCATAACAACGGCTCGATTGCGCGGTTCGTCAGCCCAGGCATATCCAACCCAAATCGCAGCATCTATCACACCAGGCCGAGCTTCGACACCCGAAACAGCCGCATATACATGTTTTGCAGGCTCAGCTCGAGTAGAAGTCTGCTCGCCCGGTAACAGAATTGGGAGAGGTATCCATGCTTTATACGGTCGCAATCGATTATCTCCTGTTGCATGTTGCTGAGTGAGCAAATCTACCAGATTCTGACAGGCACGCTCTTTTGTTTCTTGTTCATCCTCATGTGGCGCCATTCGATAGCATGTAATTAGGTCGGTTTGGTGCGCAAGCTCACGCGACACATTTCCGTGTAGATCCATAGATGCCGACACGACCACATCAGGTCCAATGAGTGTGCGGATGCGACGGAGCAGTTCCGCTTCCACGTCATCGAGACCTTCTACGCACATAGCGCCATGTATATCGAACCATAGTCCATCAAGCTGCGGCACGGACGAACGTATATCTTCAAGTCTGTCAAGGATTTCTGCTGTTAGTTCCTCGAATGCTGCTCGAGTGACAATTCCTCCTGGAAGGGCGTGGCCGATGAGGGCTCCACGCCAGTCGGCAACATTTCCGAGAGGAGTTCCAGGCTTGATAAATTCGTATTCTTGGATACATTCAATGCCCCTTCGCGGATGGAATGCTGGAGCTAATGTTTTTGAAGGGGAGAAGGTCGATGTCTCGCAAGCAAGTCCAGCGATGGCAATTACTGGGCGGCTATACATGTTGATCTGTGTAGTCGGCGAAGTCTGAAGGACGAGTTTGAAGTGTTGCAAGTTGATAAGCTCCTGATGGATGTTGGATGTTGCGGCAATGTTAGGCAGGAGCCATGTGGGGAAGGAGCAACCCGCCTTGGTGGTACCTTCCTTGATAGGCAATAAACCTTGTCTCACGACATTGTTTTTTTCGTTTCTTTCGGGTGATTCAGAACTTGCTCTATATCCAGTTTCAGAGAGGATGTCATATTAGAGGCGGTTACATGTCCAACCCATGTACTATATCAGCGTCTACAACAGCATTTCCGCTACCTATCTTATCGTTATCAGAGCGGGGAGTATGGGGTAACACCGTAACAACAGCAACGATCTGCACCACCACCGAAGGTAACATCGCTCCCTCCTCACTTGTCTGCCCTTACTACAAGCATTTAAGTCTGGGACGCTAGATAACCTCTCACCATACATCCCGCGCTTTAGCTTTGCCATTGGTGTGTCGGTGAAGGATGCGTATCGTTTCCTTCCTCAATCGGAGTCGCTCGCCAGCTTATCTTTACGCTAGTATGCTCTGGACAATGGCGTGGATTGAAGAAATTTTAGTCTTGTGGTTCTCAGCGCAGAATGTGGACTTTGTTTCTTTTCTGTTCTTCGTATGATTCACTGCCTTGGGAAAACTAGTCTTGAGCAACGGTTCGCATCGCAAAAAGACACAAGATGTTGAAACGATCGCCAACAGGTACATGGATGCCCGCGTGGGTGCCAGAGTCTACCACTACCCTTGCAGTACTGCTTATGATATGCTCTATGGTGCAATCGGCTGTGAGTACTGTCATTTCTCAAGGATTTCCGGGAGAAAAAACGCTGAGTTGATTGAATCATAGACTGGAGGATACGACGGTTCGATGATGAACGGCCTCAACATCCTTCCCTCGTACACCGACTATTTTAATCTTAATGCTGCAACTACCGGTCTAAACACCGCGTCAGTATTCATTGGTAGCTTCTTCGGCACAGGGATGTCAGGGGTGCTTACAGATTGGCTGGGTCGTCGTCCAGCACTTCTGTGGGGTTCTGTGGTCGCCTTGATAGGTATCGTCCTTCAGACAGCCGCACAAGATATTGCCATGTTTGTGGTCGCTCGAATTGTATTAGGCCTTGGACTGGCAATCTCGTCAACTGCCGGGGCGGTATATCTTTCAGAAACGTTTCCAAGTCGGTGGCGAGCGTGGGGGGTCGGGGTGCTAAATACCTTTTACTAGTGAGTTAGATTCAACTGTATGGTTAACGATAGAGGGACTGATCTTGACCAGCGTTGGAGCGTTGATAGCCGCCGGTATTACATTGGGGACTGGCCAGTGGAACTCGACTTGGGCATGGCGTGCACCGTCATTGCTCCAAGGCATATTTTCTTTTGCTTGTATCATTGTGATCCCTTTCATGTGAGTTATATGGCACCAGGAAATAGTATGAATACCTGACAGCAGCAGACCCGAATCCCCTCGTTGGTTAGTCCATCAGGGACACCATGACTTGGCACGAGAAGTGGTCGCCCAAACGAACTCAAATGGTAATCAAAGCGATCCTGTTGCGCTGGCAGTATACAAAGAAATCCTTGATACGCTGAACTGGGAAAAGAAACAAGGAAGAACAATGAGCCCGAAAGAGCTTGTCAAAACCCCTGCTGCCCGAAAGCGAATGCTGATCGGGATGTCACCGGGGCCATTTTCTTGTATCGCCGGCAACATCATTGCGTCTTATTATCTTGGTTCAGAACTCGACACTGCTGGTATTACGGATACTGTGGCGCAGTTGAAAGCAGTAAGTGCCATGGTGGTTGAATATGTGGTGCTTTGAAAACTGACTTCGTTGGAAAGAACGTGGTACTGAATGCCTGGTGTTTAGTCTGTGCCCTGACCGGAACGCAGCTCGCAGCCAAATGGGGTCGGAAACCTACCGCTATACTATCCCAAGTACTGCTAATCGCATGTCTTTTCATCATCGGCGGTTTATCAAAATTATATGCCGACGACCCAAACGGTGCGTCAAGTGCGTTGGTCTATGGAGATGTAGCGGTTATGTTTCTGTTCCAGGGTTTCTATTCAATTGCCTGGACGCCATTACTCTATCTGTATCCACCGGAGGTAATGAACTATTCGATCCGAGCAAATGGAATGGCCCTGTCGGCATTTTCGCTGAATGCGTTTGCGTAAGTTCTCTTTTCTTGATGTATCTTTCTCGGCGAAGCTAACAGTAACCAGTCTTGTCTTTGTCTACATCATGCCGATTGGTCTGACCAATATTGGATGGAAGATGTACATGATAAACGGATCATGGGATATCATCATCTTGGTTTTAATCGTACGTTATACTTTTATGGCCCTGGTCGTTCTTCACTCACTAACACTATCAATACATCGCAGGTCGTCTACTGGGTTGAAACCAAAGGCAAAACTCTTGAAGAAATAGATGCTATTTTTGAAGGTGAGAAGCATTCTTCAGTGCCAGATGTCGAGCTGCTTCGACGGGGCAAGGAGCATATCGATGTGGGAGAGGTGGAGCAACAGATTGTGGCAGAAGTGTTGGCGACGAAGAATGATTGAGGAATCGGAAATTTCAATCATGCAATGGAAACGAGTGAAAGGACAATATCGTTGATTCGCAACAATAGCATTTCAGTGAGGTATATGTGCTCGGTGATAACGTGGCGTCACTCGGATCCGAGTGGATATTCTCCTTCCATCAGATGCGCGTTTTTTGCGTCAAACGTCTACCACCCACCTCCATAATGATATACTCGGTCAATAAATATATGGTCGCAATCTTTACCATGATACTCCAATTTAATACAATTGTAATTTCAAAATGAAGCAGAATCAGATCACTCAAGTGGTAGGCTTATGGCAACGCCGAATGCCTAGAGTTCCTTGCCTATCTCCGCCTCGCACCTTTTCCAGCTTTTCCACGGCACAACAACAATACCAACCATCCAGGAAGAATGACGAACGCAGGAAGAGTGCTGAACAGCTGAATCCAAGCTCTGAAACTCCTCAGCCACGACTACGATCAATACAGGACCCCGGCTTCTGGACCTGCAAATCAACTTGGCGCCGCGCAAGGATCAACACTTTACGCTGCCTTGTCGGCTGCACAATTGGCGATTTCTCGGCCCTATGGATACTGCAAACATTCTATCCGGGGCTCGGCATGGGTGTTATCATGGGCGCTTCTAGTATACTCTCTCTCTCTCTCTCTTTCCTACTTTTTTGAAGTTATGCAGAGGCACTAACTACCTCGGGGGAAAAACAGTGGCGTCGGGAATAACGACCTCCCTGATCCTCGAAACAATTCTCCTCCGCCGTGGTGCGGATCGACTCTCATGGTCCATAGCAGCTCGCACAGCGATGGGGATGAGTATGGTCTCAATGCTGGCCATGGAAGCTGCCGAGAATATCGTTGATTATCATCTCACCGGCGGCGTGGTAGATGTCGGCGATCCGAAATTCTGGATGGCGGCAACGGCGTCGGKGGKTGCTGGGKATCTAGCGCCGTTGCCGTATAACTATTTAAGGCTTAGGAGGTATGGGAGGGCTTGTCATTGATAACCTTTGTAAAATTATTGTACTACTTATAAGCCTGTAGGATTGATCCAAGAGGCTGATATCAGGCAGACATGAAACCTCCTATTGCGTAGGATAGCGCAGCTTTAAATATCAATTGTATAATGCTCCGAAGCAAACCCTAATCCTGGAAGTTCTGTAAATAGCGATTGACCAGAAGTTCGCAGTTGACAGTTCACATTTGGACACCTCAACGCTAGGGAATCGATAATGAAAGGATCCGGAGGGTAGGTATGCCGAGCTCTACCTCTATGAGAGCTTTTCTTGAGGGGTTGAAACAATAATCCAAAACGTAGAATAGATTAATCCACGAATGAATAGTAAACACCATGTCTCAGGCTATCAATGTATGAACTTCGTGATGCGGTGCGATAGGCTGGAAACGTGCAGAACAACGACGGTTGTGGCGCTCAGGATCCACCGCGGAAAGATTCTGCAGAGGCTTTAATTACGTAGTAATGGCTAATGTTTCAATGTAGATTACCTTGATCGATCTATACACGAAGCTTGAGAACGGGAATTCTTGGAGGGTAAGTATTCGATGTGGATGATGGGTACTATGATATAGAGCACCAGCTCAAAGAGCCCGATGATCGGATACACAACTGCCCAGGTCATAAATCGGAACAACGGCGAGTCTTGGAGAGTCTTCGATAGAAGTCGATGAGTGCGAACCATTTAAACGGTCTATTATGTATGTAACGGTCGACCGATCTAGATTCTAGAACCTACGTAGGTGGTTGATCTGATTGCGCAGTCATACTATGATTGGCTGCATCTGTCAAACTACACGCAGACTATTGATTCACTATTGAAAACTCGTCCACATGAACCGCGCCCAAGACATGCCTGATCAAGTCAGAGTAGGATCTCAATTGGTTATATACGTAGTAGAATTAATTCTCCGAATCAGATGCTCCCGCTTTCACGGCGTCTATCGTCGTGGGTTGGCCTTATCCTGCAGGGCTAAAAGCATCCATGGATATAATACCGCAGATGATCCGTTATATAAAGCCTATTGTTTCCTATTTCTCCCACCTCATAGTTCTCTTGCTCCCACCTCTCGTTGAGAATACCTGTCTTTAATTACAGCAAAATGTTCCTATGTGCTTGGGAACGCAAGCGCCGCCCAGCTCTTCCAATGACCATGAACACTTAAACGAGGCATTCGCTTCGGTTGCATGCATTGACCCAAATGACACACCATAATTATATTCACAACTCGGTCCTTGAATGGAGATTTTAGGGTACGCGTTGGTGAAATACTGCCACTGCGAAACGTGTTTCTAGCCAGTAAATTGTACTGCGCTGGAACAGTCGCAGGTATCGCCGGGAAATTGCCAAGGGTGGATCCGTCTCACGGAAGCTTTTGAAGCTTATAGTATTCACGCCAAAATGGAGGATGGATGATGATGATGCGTTCCTATGAAGACTTTCTGGCTGGTCAATACTGTCAATGGCAACCACAGCTCGGGACATGTCGAATAGATCTGGTCCCTCCACTCGTCACTCTACCGAGTGTATCATCCACGTGAGGACCATAGGCTCGCATCCTGAGGTTCTGCAAGTGGGGCGCCCGTTCTGCCACGAGGTTCGAGAATGCGTCGCTTTGAGCATTCCACTGATGAGAGCCTCGAGGCGCTGTGCCATGGTAGGAGAAGAGCGTGAAGAGGTGAAGCAGTGGCGCGACTGAGCAAAACGAGAGAAAGACGAGCAAGAGCGACACAAAAAGAGAAAGAGCTAGGCCAAAAGCTCGAGCCTTACTCATAATAAGGGGATCTTCAGGCGGATAGCCAATCAGCAGCCCAGCCACCGTCCAGCCAGCCGCTGATGAAGAATTCTCCTCAGAAGCGGTGGAAGAGCTTTGCTCATTCTGTCTTTCTATTCTTTTCTTTTGCTGGAACGCGATAGCCACCACGGCTTCTCATTCGACTCCCCTGCGTCTATCGTGTCCCGATGTTGCGGTGAATCGACTACCATAGCTCCCACGTGAATCGCACGCGATTCGTCGCCCCGGCCCTGCAACGAGCCCTACGATGTCTTGGGCTCGTCTTCCCCTGTGCAACAAGAATGAGTCCGGCCGTGAGAGGCACCCGAGCGCGATCAACCTATTTGACATCCACCTGCCTCCGAAGTGCCTCCGGAACTAGTCAGTAGCTGTGACTGTCTAGACCCGCGTTTTCTCGATCGTCCTAGGCACGATGGCTCTTCATAATTTCGTCAAAAGGAATCGCATTCTGTCGCATTTCACCCCCCGTCTAACCGCGGCCGTTGGTCTGATTGCGCTCTCGAGTCTCAACTATGGCTTCGACAATCAGGGGCTTGCGACTAGCCAGGCGATGACGACCTACAAACAACAATTCGGAGTCTGGAATCCCAAGACAAACTCTTATGCTATTCCTACTTACTGGACATCTTTGTTGAATAGTTTGAATTTCATTGGTTTTGCATTCGGTGCGCACCCATCCCACCCGTTCGTCGCCAGCGTTTTTCGAGTTACAGTCGTATTGATTGTCGCCACAGGATTATATATAGGCAGTATCATCAGCGCGCGGTATGGCCGTCGTATGTCCATGTTTTGCATGTGCGTATGGGCTACCATGTCGGCTACAGTGTTGGTGACGTCCCGCAAGATCGAGCAAGTTCTGGCAGGTCGCATACTAAACTACGCTTACATCGGCATGGAGCTTTCGACCTGTCCACCGTTCCAGGCCGAGATCGTTCCTGCGCCAATTCGAGGATTCGCCGTGGGAACGTATCAGACGAGTCTACTTCTCGGGGGTATCATTATCAACAGCGTCTGCCGAGGGACTTCTGAGTTGACTACCAACGCCGCTTGGAGAATACCGCAAATTTTGTTCTATATCGTCCCTTCTGTCGTTGCGATTTTCGTCTGGTTCATCCCAGAGTCCCCGCGATGGTTGCTTTTGCAAGGTCGCGAGAAGGATGCGCTCGAATCGCTACGCCTGCTTCGTACCACTGGAAGTCACGAGTCGGATTACGATCCTGGGCAGGAACTTTACTTGTTGAAAAATTCCCTGTTGGAGGAACAGAATCAGGGGACATACAAAGACCTTTTTCGAGGTAGTAACCGGAAGCGAACTTTCATCGCTATGGGAATGAACTTCTTCATTCAAGCCACGGGCTCGCCGTTCACTGCTGCTTACGGCACGCTGTTTATTCAGTCGCTCAACTCATTGAACGCATTCGACTATTCGATTATGAGTTCCTGCATCAATACATTCTGCTGTCTTGTTTCTATTACTATAACTGACAGGGTAGGTCGGCGGCCTATCCTGCTAATAGGTTCAGCCCTGCAGGTAGTATGGCTATTCTCCATGGCCGGGATTGGGCTTTCCCAAGATCCAACATCCAGTCAAAAACACGCCGTTATCGCCTTGACCGCGCTGTCTTCAGCTAGTCTATGCTTTAGCTGGGATCCGCTGAATTATATTGTTACGACCGAACTTCCAGCATCCAGGCTGCGCGACAAGACGCAACGGGTTGCATCTTTTGTGAATGTCGCTACCAATTTCGCATTCTCTTTCAGCACGCCTTATCTCCTCGACGAACCATATGCAGATCTCGGATCGAAAGTAGGATTTATATTTGGTGGTTTGGCCATTGCGTCGTTTTTCTTTGCATATTTTTGTGTCCCAGAGATGAAGGGACGTACACTCGAAGAGATCAATCGGATGTTTCAGGAGGGGGTCCCGATTTGGAGATTTGGGAATTATGAGGCTCCGGTTGAGACGGGGATTGCGTCAGAGATGGTCGTCGTCGTTGAAGATGAAGATATTATTCAAAGACACGCTACTTTTCATGAAAGCACTATCGTCAAGTGATGTACGTGCACATACAAAAAATTGATATTGAAGGGTATGCCGTATCTACGGATTTAGATATAGTGGTATATATGACATCAGACTACTTGCATATGAGTCGAATTCCAAGGTTACTTTCTTCTGGTAGGATGATATATATTCAGCTCCCACACGTTGACTACTCCGAATGTGACTATTCCGACTATCTGAGTAAGAGATTATGGCCAAGGAAGCGCACTTCTGCCCTTTTTGCGCCCACGAATTCACCAACATAAGAGGCATCATAAAACATCTACTCAAATACACAGCAAGATGGCTAATCCCCGCCGATGGAGTCCATGACGTGTCGGGGATCAAAAACCTCGTCATGATGAAAGATCACTTCGACGACCAGGAAGAAGTAGGAGGAGGAGACAAAAAGGCTTCTTACAAGTGCCCGTCCTGTGCAAAAGTCATCTACCAGCGGCGCAGGTTCATTGAGCATGTTGTTTATCGACAGCATTATGTTGCTATTGACGGCTTGAAGGCAACCCCGGAGTCACCGGGGTTTTCAATTGACCCGGAGCCTTATAAGATATGGCCCCCGGCGAAAATTTTCGCCTTTCTCGCTCTCCCTCCAGGTAATTCCATGTCAGCATGAGGGATTGGCAGGCACCTTTGGCTAACGAAACGCGATTCAAAACTAGAGATACGATACGAGATATACAAAATTATTTTCTGCTTTGAACGGATCGAGGTTTCTAGTGTATACGAGAGCAAGATTGAATCAGACAAGGGATTATGGCTTCAACATAGTCCGTCGATCAACCTGCTAGCCATCATGGCGACGAGCCACCAGGTGTACCACGAGGCACGTCGGGTGTTTTACCGGCTCAACGCATTCATATTTCGAAGCAGAAGAGCTCTGCTCATGTTTCTCATCAGCATTGGAAGAGAGAACGCTTGTCTCCTGAATACCGTCAAATGGCGGCGTGACAATGACGATGACAACGATCATTATGAGAATCATATCGACATGATCAAGCCATTTCTGACTCAACAAGAGACCTCGGAAGGGCAGCAGCCGGAAGAGGAAGCCAATATCTGGAACAGCGAGGCCCAATACCGCAAAATCTATCAGGCGATCAAAGGATCGGCGAGTTTGAGTCCCTGGTATTGGCAGTCGTATTGTCTAACTCGGCTTGATGCGCAGCCAGGGGATAGTCAGCTTCGCGACGTCGATGGCCTTATAGCTGCAGGTCGCCGAACCCGGTTTTTGTATGACATTAAATGCTACGAGAATCACAAAAGAGGCAGACACATTAGGGCTGGATATGAAATGCAGACACGGTTTGTTATGGATACCGATCGAGGACGGATGGATGCTCTTATGTCCTCTAGTGATTAGTACTCAACAGTGATCTATCTTGCTACGAAGTCTGCTACATCTGACCATGCGTAGTATAGTATCATCATTGCACAATCAAGGCTCTCCAAATCCATGGATAGTGCCATACCAAGTACACGCAGGTTCAATATGGCACAGTAAGGTATAGCCATACCAAATCCTCCAGTTAAGACCCCTTTTCCATCTCCAAAATTTGAGAGCTATAACGAATTCCTCAGTATTTGTAGTTGACCACCTTTTATAACTCTTTTGCATTTGTTTCGAGATAGCATCCCAGTGGATTACTAGATTGGGGTGTATAGTATCAGAATTGCTCTTCTTATATCCAAGTAAAGGGAACTACCTCTTTCATCCGATGTTCCTCATTCCTCAACATTTCAGGTGACTTTTCATTGCCAGAATTGATGTTGACGGCACTTTCCATGTTTCACTGTGATATTTTGTTATGCTATGTAAGTGAGTAGATAAGCGCTTGATGTAAGAAAGAGCACACATAAATTTAAAGAAATTTCATATGAGTTTCTTTAACCAAACTTGTTCTCATGCAAAGCTTCTTCACAGAGAGAACTCATATCAGACAAAGCTTCAGCCGCGTGTTCCTGGCTGTGTCCTTTGCCTCAACTGGATTTCCTGAAGGGTTCACATTAGACTCTCAGTTCCTTCCCTTCTGCAAACAAATGATTCTCTCCTACAACTAGTCCTGTGTTTGAAGCCTACCACTTTTGACCTTCTATAAGAGTCAACTGACCTTTCTACCTAGCAAACCAAGATCAACAGACATCCTGATTCAGAAAGACCCATGCGAACCATGCGACAAAAAATCAAGCAATTGACAGAATGTGCTGCGAAGATTGCATCGATTGCTTCCTCGAGGACTGGTGCTGGTGTTTCGGAATACTTAGAGCGGGTCGTCGACGAAGAGATGACCCAGAACGTGAGAGCGTGATGGTCCGTCGACAGATCGATGGAAGACAGGTCACCAGCATTGAGACAAGGCCAAGACGCCGCTCTCGAAGCGTAAGTCTATTGCACCCCTGTACTTATGATCGTGTCTTACTCCAGGATGTACAGACGACCAATCGACGCCATTTAATGATCACACCACTACCGTATGGGGTTACGCGTAACACCGGCAATACCAATGCTGAAGACTCGAATCGTGACAGAGGTGGACGGGTTGGGCAACAAGGAGGGGCGAGCTCGAATCTGAACGATAATCAGAGAAAAGACGCCGGTGCTCAGACCACTGATAGTGTGATCCTTGGTACAGGAGGTTCAGCGTCGGGCTCTGGAAATCAGCAAGATAACCAAGGCAAGGGCAAGGGCAAGGGCAAGAAGAATAACAACCGGGACAGCAACCAGAGGAACGATGACCAGGACAAGAAACAGGACACTGAGGACGGCAACAATGACAAGAACCAGGAGAACAGCAACAACCAACAAAATAACAGCGGTGGCAAGAAGAACAAGAAGAAAAACAAGAAGGAACAGTCAAGCCAGGACTCAGATCCCCAAGAAGAAAGCTCAAAAGTCAACGACAAGAGTGTTGACGCCAAAGATGAATCCGAGGATAAGGGCAAGGGAAAAGCCAAGGATGATGATGAAACTCAGAATTCAGGTACCAACAAGAAGAATGTCCACTTTTCCGAGAAAGATAACAGAAAAGACGAGAAAAATGACGATGCAGAGGCTGAAAACCCTGCCGAAACGCCTGACTGGCCTTCTGAAGCTGCCGCGGAATGGGAAAATACTACTGGAGATGATTCAGCGACGGCAGCCAATACAGGTACTTCTATATGGGGAGCCAATACAGAGACTGCAGCATGGGATGCTGATAATAAGGAACCCGCTAATGTCCAATGTAAGAGCTCACACTTCCATACCAGGGACCAGGATCCTAACACCAGGCAGGGTAGAAATCGACTACGGGCCAGGAGCAACAGTCGCACCAGGAGCCACAGTCGAGCACGGAGCCGCTCATATGAGGAGAATGAACTGAATACTAGGCCTTTATCATGTAAGCCGGTGCTAGGTAGAAACGGACACTATAAGTATTGGGCGTGTGATAGCGATGGGATATTTTCGTTAAGGACAAGGGCAGAAATTGACGAGCATTGTCAGCCAGGACGGTGGGAGGAGGACGGGGGGCATGAATATTTTAGAAGCCATAGGTGGTAGCCAACTCTAAAATGCACAAGTAATGGATGGATGGTCATTTTTTGTTTCATGGAAAGTATGTTAGATTTGAAAAAAATGTCGTTCGTTCTAATATAAAAGTCGAGGAGGGAAGGAGACCGGACACTTGATCAGCAACATGTAGCCGATTCAAAGCAGTTGAGCGGCAGAAAATTAAGAATATCTTTTATTTCTTTAGTAGTGTATTTTTTCCCTTCTTTTTGCGAATGCGACTCCTGTTACATGAAGTGTGATGTTGAGCTTTCAAATTGGGGAAAGATACGGCGGCCAGGACAAACCACAAACGCACCTGTTGCCATCATCAAAACTTCAACGTCCGAATCTTTTTGCTGTAAAGCTCACCTAACGCACCCTACACACCCCGACACCAAACACATATACCGACCATGGCTTCTGTCGCGTCAGGTCTGTTCAAGTCTCTACCGAAACCCAAATATACAGGCGAGGATGAAGAAATTCCGTCCCACGCGCAGCAACGTGGGCCCCGAGTGCTCGGCGCGGGCGCTCTCGATGAGAGTCAAATTGTACTAAGGGTAAATGAACCAGTCTGAAAAGCTCTACTGACTACGACAATGTACTAATAAAGAGTTGTAGAAAACCGGCCCTCCGCCGTACGGTAACAGAACGGGATGGCGACCGAGAGCGCCTGAAGATTTTGGCGATGGCGGCGCCTTTCCAGAAATTCTCGTCGCACAATATCCGCTCGATATGGGTCGTAAAGGCGGCCAAACTACATCCAACGCTCTGGCAGTCCAGGTTGATGGAGAAGGGAAAGTCAAATACGATGCTATTGCACGACGCGGACACAGCGATAATCGAATCGTCCATGCCTCGTTCAAAGACCTCATTCCGCTACGACAACGGGTGGATATGGGCGAAATCTCACTCGATCGGCCCTCACAGGAAGAAGTAGCGGAGCAAATGGAAAAGACAAAAGATGCACTGGCCAAGCTAGTCACTGGAGCAGTCGCAGCCCAGAAACCAAAAAACGTCCGCGGTGGGCAGAGGGCTGATCCCACGTTTGTGCGATACACACCGGCGAACCAGATGGGCGACACAAGTAAGAAGAATGATCGTATTATGAAGATTATGGAGCGACATCAAGATCCCATGGAGCCTCCGAAATTCAAGCATAAGAAAATTCCTCGTGGTCCACCTTCACCACCTCCGCCAGTGATGCACTCTCCTCCGCGAAAATTGACTGCAGAGGATCAAGAGGCGTGGAAAATTCCACCACCGGTCTCGAATTGGAAGAATCCTAAAGGTTATACGGTACCTCTCGATAAGCGTCTGGCAGCAGACGGCCGAGGGTTACAAGACGTTACAATCAACGATAAATTCGCACAGTTCGCCGAAGCACTATTTACAGCCGATCGGCATGCAAGAGAAGAAGTCCGGCAACGAGCACAAATGCAACAGAAATTGGCCGAAAAGGAGAAGGCACAAAAGGAAGAGCATCTGCGACAACTCGCTCAAAAGGCGCGCGAGCAGCGGTCTACTGCGGCCTCAAGTCGTCGGGAGTCTCGTGCCAGATCTTTCAGTGGCAGCCGAAGCCCATCACCTGCGTATTCGTCGCGATCGGTCTCGCCTAGCGATGATGAGTCGGCGGCGCGAGAGCGAGAGCAGGCTCGTCGTGAGCGCCGACAGGAGGCAGAGCGACAATTGAGGCAGTCACGCATGGGAACAGAGCGTCGTATCCAGATGATGGCTCGGGAACAGAACCGTGATATTTCCGAAAAGGTGGCTCTTGGTCTAGCGAAGCCTACACAAAATACCGAGTCCATGTACGATTCGCGCTTGTTTAACCAGACTAGTGGAATGAGCACGGGTTTCAACGAGGATAACCCTTACGACAAGCCTCTGTTTGCAGCACAGGATGCCATTAGCAGCATCTACCGTCCTCGCGCACAGGCCGATGACGAGTACGATGAGGACGCTGCCTCTGGTGAAATGAACAAGATCCAAAAGAGTGGTCGGTTTGAAGTTCTTGGACGGGCCAAGGAGGGATTCCGGGGTGCAGCGGAAGCTGAGGTAAGTCTACCATGTCTGTGTTCTAGGCTAATACTAATAAAATTCGTGCTATAGGCTCSCGACGGCCCAGTTGAGTTTGAAAAGGATACTGCGGATCCGTTCGGTATTGACAGTATGATTGCTGATGTTACTGGCGGTGGCTCAAGTGCCGGCCAAAAGCGATATGGAATCCAGCAGGCCGATAGAGACGAGGATGGGGGCCGCGGATCGAAGCGGGCACGGGTAGACGAGGAGGACTAGTTGATATATCATAAAATCTTGTGTATTATAGCGACTTGTTAATCATATTGAACAGCATGCTCTTTTCTAGTTAGAGCTTATACAGGATGTGGATTTAATCAAAGGATGGTCATCTCAGCACCAGACCAAGGCAGATCTCGACGGTCGAACTTTCCAACTTCAGTTCTTGTAGTAGTCCATAGCTTCAAGCCAACAGCATTAGAGACTCCGTGTTCGTAATCGTATTCATGCAATAGGCAGTTTGACGGCAGCGTAAACTTTTAATCCACAGTAACAAACTACGACCCTCCGACCATGACCGTGATAGCCGTACACAACCTGCCCCAGGACCCTGCAACGCAGAGAATCGACGAATTGGCATGCCAAAGTCTCCAGAATCCAAACTCGCCCAAGCAAAGAGGAGACGAAGAAGAGCTCAGTAGAGTCAGCATTCTGCAAAAAGCGGAGAATTTGCGGGGAGAAGTGGATCACTCATGAATCGTGTTCTGTCAACATGCCGGATTATTGAGTACTGTAATACGAAATCAGCTCTGTTATTAGATTAAGTATTGGATCATGCTTTTCCTTCGCAGAGAAGACGGTGTGATGTGTGGACTTTTGTTTTGCGTGTATACCCACTAGATTTGAATACTGCACGTTGTTTGAAAGTGGACTGTAGGCGACATTGAATTAACTCAGCGCATCATCGCCCTTCTGCTTCAGGGACATAATCAGTCGTTGATGGATGGCTTCATGACGCTGCCGGATTTTCTCGCTGCCATTCCGAGCTGATCGATCTTAAAGGAATCGACATCGGCAGAGATATTCGTCCAACATGTTCTCGATGAACAAGAACCACCACTTGCATCGATTCCTGCTCGCTATTTCTAGCAGGATGATCACGCAGTTGACAGGCATCAATGTGATTGCGTTTTATCCCACGTCCATCTTCGAAGGCACCCTCGGATACTCCGGCAGCGACGCCCACATCTTTTCCGCGCCTGTTTGCAGATGTGTTTCGCCCTCGGCGGTTTGACCACAGTCTTCGTCGTCGACAAATTCCGCCGCCGCTGCCTAATTTTTTTGTTTTCGACAGCACGCATGGTCCTCGCTGAAGCCGCCGTCGCAGGCCAATTGTCCGATCTGACCACCATCACGCTGGCCGCCCAGCCATCTTTTCTACTTCATGGTTGTCAGAGTCACGCTTACCGCGTTCGCGAGCGTTGTATGGCGATACAATATATGTCTTTACCGCGACTAGCGCGGCGAGTTGTGTGGTAATTTATTTGTTTTATCCGGAGACCAAGGGGAGGTCATTAGAACAAAGGGACGAGATTTTCTTGCAATCCCAAATCGAGTTGGAGCTAGTCAAGGTGGCCAAGACGCTTCCTGTGGGAATAGATATTATGGCTACGATTGAGGCGTATGAGAAGAGGGCTGAGATTGAGGGTTTGATGGCTTAGCCTCTGCACTGTAGCCATATCAGATACTCCTACCTACCCAGTATAGCCACAATTCATAATCCCCGCAAATGCTTGTTCAAATTGAAAAAAACTTAGTAAATTGGCCAAGTGTGGGGGACAGAAACCGGGGGGAGCACGTAATCCAGTCTCTTTGCCTTGCAATACGTACACAGCAACCAAGGCCGTGGTACGTACCCTACCTACGTGGTGCGCAGTAGAATCAGTGGCGACGGTCAACTGATCAAAACCATCCCTCAGCCATTAAACCGGCCTCATAACACCACCACCCACCACCACCACGGATCACGTCAGCGGCTTCTCCAACTCGCACATGTGTAACAATCAAAAAGGATGCATTCCGTCTACGTAATTTCTTTTTCTTGGAGTCACTCATTTACCCCGTGGGGGAGCTGGAAATTTGAGTTTGTCCGCTAGGGTTAGCACGTGCAGCGAGCCTATCATAGAAGGGAGATATATTACTACGTATATTCTTTCTTTTCATTGCTTTTTTTTTTTCGATTTCCTCCAGCTCTGTTTCCTGGAGTGGAAAAAGACTGTCCGTTATGAGATTGAGACTTGTGGTAGTGTAGAAGAGTATAGCGTTGTATCTCGAAGAATTGTTCCTTATCTCGGAAGAGCATTCCGATGAGCACACACACTCACACACACAGAGTTTTTCGACCGAGAGATTCTGGATGGGAAATGTTTGTAGAGGTAGCGTGATCAAGTGCCGTGTACAGATAGGGTAGAACCGGCCAGGGAGTACATAGTGCCGTTCCACCCAATCGTTGTGCCGAATGTACCCTATCTTTCGTAAGACTAACTTACCTACTCATACGTAGTAGGAAAGGAGCAAAAAAGTGCAGCCGTCTAATCAGGAAATGATTAGCTCGATTTTCTTCTCTCTCCACTTGTCATGCAAGTCAGGAATTAGCACGTAGTTAACTTCTTTACATAGTAGTGCGAGATAGCAAGGTGTCAGGACACAATAGCACTGGCTGACTATTTATCAGAACGAAAGCGCGATATGCGCAATTCAGATCCAGATGGCACGGMCCTGCCATACTGCAGCAGCGCAGATTCAGTGAGTAGTACGCAGTGCGTACGTACTGAGAACCTTGTCAATATCGAGGTCAATATTTCTGATCGGAATGTGCTCAATGACTTCACCCTGGGGTTGCTGTCTGAATGGCTGAACTCCGTCGAATAGGAAGTCATCTAGCAATCAGTTGGACGAACCACCATACACTTTTCTCCGATCGTCTGCTCCTAGTGTCTTGATTACATCTGCACGTACCTCACTTAGCGCACGGATACATGCATAGATCCCTGGACGAGTTTATTGTGCGAGTTCAGTACCTGTCGTAGCATCGTGCCTGACAACTCACCAAACGCCCGGCTCAATGCAGTACTAGACACTTATATACATACTACATAGTAGCTTGATCAAGCGCTGCGGCCGCCGTTTTAAATACGTAGTACGTACCCCTCTCCAGGTGCTAATAGCGCCGGAATGCTGGATTCAGTCTTCCGTTCATTTACTCATCGAGTCGTAGGAACTACAGTAAAAATAGAGTGACGTGGTCTGACTCGGCATCACATTGCGAGTACGTATCAAGCGCCATCGTGGCGGTTCTGCTGAGCCCTGCAGTCCGGAGACACAATACAGCTGAGCAGAATGCCTGTCTGATTGGCCACCAATCCAGAGGCTGATTAGTGAGATTACCGCATTTGGTAAACCATGAATCGCCAATCGTCAAATCAGTGGCTGCGACGCTTCTCACGAGGCAATGCGATAATCGTGATTGTTTGCAATTTGCACGAAAGCGACACTCAATTGATGCACTGATCGTCCGGTGGCTGCTGGCTCGAAAATAAGAGGGGTCTGGGAGTGGGAGTTGTCACAGCTCGCCTAGAGATAAACAGAAAACGCTTTGTACTTTGACCTACGTGGGGAAATGCCAGAGAGAGCGAGATACGGATAGATTGGCCGCAAACAGCACTAAGCGAGAGAGGAGAAGATAAGACGAGGTTGAGAGGAAGAGAAAAGAGGAGAATCACACAGCAGTAAAGAACACAGAATAGAAAATAGTACAAGGAGGATAGACTAGATGGTGATGCAAGTAGAAAGTCGAGAAAGCAGACGAGCACTCAGAAAAGAAAGAAGGAGCGACCCACTCCGGGCAGCGGATAAGGAAAGAGTCATCGTCGTGGTTCTTTATCGCGCCTTCCTCAGTTGATTCCCCTCATTCTTTCTCTCTCTTCCTGTTTTCTCTTTACTCTTTCTCTTCTCTCTTCTCTCTTCTCTCTTTCTTCTCTCTTCTTTACAATCCCATCACCCTCTCCTCTTATATATTATCATCGACTCCTTGCCGCCTTCCCCCTTTCTCGCGAAAGAGTGAACATACCACCGATAGCCCTAACCGGCTGCTAGAGCTAGTCTAGGGTTCTTCGCGGCTTAGGCCCTGGCTTTAGGGCATACTGCGTCTTACAATACCAACGAATGAAACCATACATCCTGTCGGTCCCTACTGTAACACTGATTATAGTTACATGAGGCCATTATCAAATTATTGATCTAACGCGCTAAGACCATTATTGCCACCACAAAACACCACCAGACGAAAACAGAAAAAAATTTCACGAGTCACAGAGAGCGACAGAAAGTAAATATTATCAACCATACAGACTCTGTGAATCGTCGCACCGGCTCGAGTTACTGGCTCTTTTACTGCGCTCTCTCGACAGGCAGCCACGACATCGTGCATTCATCCCTCTCATTCTACACTAAAATAACGTACTCTCGCTCACGTTTTCTTGTCTACGATTGCATAATACTAGCACCTTGCAGTCTATACGTACCAAATCTTTTCTGCAAATTTTTTGTTGGTCTCGAATTCATGCATCGCAAATTTGGTTTTCAATATACATAAACAACCGCTGGTGACTCCAGTCTTTACTGCATTTGAGTAATTGCAACAACAATATGGATCAGTCACTCTCTCTTATATCAGCAACTGTACAAATCACAGTATGTTCAGCCACATCGGCTCAGGGTTGTCTAGCTAACGTTGTCTAGGATGCGGGTTTAGCCCTAGTACATATTCCGCTGGAATTGTATCCCTTCTTTGTTCAGCCACTCCTGCGCCTTCTCTATTGCGATATACCTGCCATCAATAAGCTCGCAGAGGAAGAGGAGGAAGATGTAGAGCGCGCCAGTTTGACACCGTTCAATCTCGGCTTCATTAATTTCTCTCTGACCCCTGTCGAGTGTTCCGTGGTATGCTCTCGCCAACTGGCAGAGCGGTTCTTCATGCCGCTGGCAAACAAATTCAACAAACTCGCTTCTTCGACTCAAAAAGTTTGGATCAGTGACGATGACTTTATTGCTATGCAAGTTGAAGGCCAAGGGTTGGACGCCGGCCGACGAGTGCTAGAGTTGACCGGCCCTCTTGCTCTTGCTGGAATGTATGTTCAACCGATACGTATATTGGGCAAGGCTAATGATTATAGATCTATCTTCTTCATCTCTACCTACTTCTCCGACTACATCTTGGTTCCGGCCCGGTCAAAAGATCAAGTCATCCACACTTTGTCGAGTCAAGGTTTCACATTCGAGACTGACTCCGACCAGTTCGTCAACAACTTCAACATTCAATCACCCCCAACTCCAGGCCTACAATCATCAATACATAGCTCACCACCATCTACACCCCCGCCATCCACAGTGAATGAGCTCCAAACACGAACATTTGACTTTCTGCGAAAGAACCGCATCATCCCTCGTGTGGACCAAACCGTTCAACTAGTGCAATGCTCCGCTCACCATCGCGATGGTCATACCGAGTCTTCGKCGGCCATTCTACGGAATGCGCTCACGACTGCTCTGTTGATTGACCACCCCCGGTTTCTGTCGCTAACATTGACGCCAGCCGACCCAGCTGCATCGCTTTTATTGGAGAAGCGCTTGCTGCCACGCTTTACGTTAGATCCTAGCATGCACTCAGACGATGAGGAAACCAGTATCCTCCTTGGCTCGAAGGAAGATATCCTGATCCCCATCACTCTCGACCTACGTGACGTCCCTATCGACGCTACTGGTATTGTCTGCGGCGTTGCGGGTCGTCTCGCCGATGCCACAGGTCACAATCGCGACCCTTATTCAGGTGCCGCCATGTCTGTTGTCAGCTCCCCAGCCAATGAGTCCAAACGATTCTCCTTTGGCTCTGTCAACATCGACGACCTCCAATTATCCGATAGCGTCAGCAGTTTGGCTCCGAGTACCTCTTCCGCCACCGGCCTAAAAGCTCCAGACTCTGTTTCTGATGTCCCTCCACCAGGTCTTGATACCTACAACCCTGCATACGACCGACGACCGTCTCATGACGCCGTCAACACCTTAAAATCCACCTCCATTCCACACCATCGCCTAGAACCGGAGCAATACGGCGATGCCGTCGAGATCAGTTTCCTGAGCACCGCTCGTGCCGGAACTGTTCTCGTTTGGGAACGCGAGATCAACTTGGCTGTCCAAGCCTTGGATGCCGAAAAGACCCAACCCGCACCCATAGATGCGGAGTAATCTGGGTCCGAAAAATACGAAAAAATCCATCATGATCACGAAATTTAGATCGCGGGTTATCACAGGACCGCACCAAAAGTTATTGCTTTACTCTCCCTCCCTACTCTTTTTAATGCTGTTCATTGTGATGTGTCATGACATAAGATACCAAGCGGATTGCGAAATCATTCTTGTTCATGATAGGTGCCTAAGGTCTTCCTGTCATTCTGTCCTTCTATACTCTGGTGTATTCGTCCAAAAATTTTTCAATGATCTACCGTGCATGATTTACCTTGCATCATATGTATACCTATGAGGATCACGAGGAATGTTTACTTGCATTGGTTCGCTGAGGATATGATATTTGCTATTGGTCATATGAAAGCACTTGTATAGCATTGATTATTTCGTTGGTTCGTTCTTGTTGGAATATAATGTAAATATATAGCTGCATGTGCGTTCAAATACTCGCCATTACTGAATAATATGACGTTTGAGAAAGATTCATCACCTCATTGATCACCTCATTAATCACCTCATTTGTTCGGATCCGGCAGATCGCTTTGTATATTTTGTGGAGACTTGTAGTAGATAAATCACTTTTTGAAAAAATCCGTAATCCTTTGCGAACCTTTATTGGCGGTGGTAGCAGTATTCTTGCCTCTGCTTTTGGGCTTTGTCGGAGATGTGCCGGTTTTGTTTCTCGTTGCGTCTCTCATCTTCCGATTGCTCGGCAAGACTTTCTCTTCTTCTTTTTCATCTTTGACTGGTGATAGTGACTTTTGTCTTTTCGTCGAAGGTGGACTTGTTATTTCATCTGCAGATAATTTTCGTTTGAGATCCTTTGGTGATTGTTCATTAGTCAGAGGAACGGGTTTGGGTGCGTTGTCCTCTGTCCATTCGCCATCGATCGTTTCTCTGCTCTCATCCTTCACTTCCTTCTTTTGCTCTACCTCCTTCTTCTTCGCGCCAGCATTAGCAAAAAAGTTAGCAATATTATTCTTATTCTCCTTGCTATTGACCGGAATCAAGAAATCCGGCGAATCATTCCCAACTTTGCCTACTTCCTTCGAGACAGGATAACATTCTAATTCCCCTTCGTATGGTTTGAGGATAGACTGCAGTTCCTTTGTCCATGTCGTTCGATGCGGATCAAGCCATTTCTGCATCTGCTCGCTGCCGGGGTCGAGGATGACCGGCATACGGTCATGGAGGAATTTGAGGTAGGGGTTCGAGTCGGTTGTGATGATTGTATATGTATATAGTTTTTCATCGGATCCTATGCCCATGAGCCATAAACTCATAGAATATGAGGAAATTATGAGAGGAGGGAGACAACCTTCATACTGAACACAATCAAATAACCCAGCTAGGTACATTAATTCCCCGTCTTTGCGTCTAATGTAATGCGGCACTCTCTCTTTTCCGCCGGGGCCCTTCTTTAGCCATTCATAGAACCCCTGGCAGATTATTATGCAGCGCTTTTTCCGTTTCATGGATGTCCACATCCCCTTGTTCTCGGCGAGGGAGTCGTCGCGGCAGTTGATTGTGCGCATCATGGAGCCGTAGTCCGGTTGTCGTTTTGTCCAGAAAGGGATAAGACCCCAGCGCATTTTTTGGAGTTTATACCTTGTCTTCTTCTTCGTAGGATCTTCTTTTGAGTCTGTTGTTGTTATTGATGTTGTGCCCTCTCCCTCGTCATTCTGCGATTGTTCGTCGTGGCTATAGTCAGGCGTATCTGCGCGATAGACTGCGCCGTAGTAGCCAGGCGCAAAGTTGTGTGTTTCGCGGATCTCGTCGTCTTCAGGCGCTTCGTCGACTGGCATTCCTTGTTCTTGCATGCGCCATCGGACAAAAGCCATTCGCTGTGTCGTGAGCTTGTATCTCTCATCTGGGAAAAAATGTACTTACCACTCCCAGGGAGTACCGCCCACACATCTTGCATTATTCCGTACAGGGTTTCAATCTATTTTACATCGTTGATATCATAGTATACAATGAAATTATGTCCAGGCAGATACGAGTGACCTCCACATCCATGCGATTGGCCGGCGACGTCATGGGCGATAGTGGAGAAAGCTCGGGCCACTTTGCGATTGCCTGCAAAATTAGCTAACACTTTCAAGATCTTTTATCTCAATCAACATCAACAATTGTGTTTAACGTCGTTGCCAGCACATAGTCTTACAGAACACAATTCAGTATGTTGAGCCGCGCACCAAGGCGATTCGTCGCCTTGAGACCTCCAGCAGAAGCATCGCGAGCTCCTCGCCGTTCTCTCTTCAGAAATGCCTGTCCACAATCACAACAACCTACCACGCCGCAAATACGACCAAAAATTCACCCCATCTCCTACAAACCGACACAAATCCGAACATCAATGTTCTCCCAACGCATCCGACGAACATACCGCTCCGCAGCCCGCGATATCTGGCGCAAAAACCCCATTTTCTTCCCCTTCGCGCTTATATCCATAATCGCCGCCGGCGCACTCTCCACCTACATTCTCGGCGTATTCTACGCTCGCGCCACCCAAGTCGACGAAAAAGTTAATAGGTTCCCACCCGCAGTCGCCAAAGAACTACGCAGAGCGCTGTACTATACAGAGATCAACCTCGAGCCTCAAAAGGCATTGGAGCATTACAAAGCGGCTTTGCAGATTGCGATGGAGATGGATATGCATCCGTGGTCTGATGAGGTGATGGGCATCAAGCTTCAGATGGCTGATATGCTGGTGAAGGCCGGGTATCATGAAAAGGCTGCTGAGTTGCTGGGTCGGATTGCACAGCAGGGTTATGAATGGGTCGTTAGGACGAGGGAGCGATATCTCTTTACGTTACCAAAGGATAGAAAAATTGTTGATCCGAATTTGAAAGAGATTGTGCAGCCGGATGAAGAAAATCAGGCCTATGAGCTGGGACTGGTTGATCGGACACTCAAGAAAGTTATTGGGACGTTTCTGCTTCTTGGTGAGTTGTACGAGGACGAGCATATCAAGAATCCAGCAAAGGCGTTCTCGACGCGGAGAGCTGCGCTGCAAATGCTTACGGATGAAATCGAGTATCGTCGACGTCGAGGGCTTCCTGCCTTGGCTACCCCGGAAGAAGGAGACAATTGGATGACTGCCGAGGAAGTTGGGCACGTCATGTCTGACGTCGGTGAGACTTGGCTGCGGGCAGGAAGACCAGACAAAGCCCTGGAACTGCTCATGCCGTCAATAGCGATTATGCGGGATGTCGAGGGTAAAGATGTCAGCTGTCGACAGGTCGTTCTTCTCGCCAACATTGCAGCTGCTATGTTCGATCACAAACCTGCTCAACAGGAAGATGGCAAGAAACAGCCCGTGGTCAGCGTTGAGAAACAAATGGAATCCTCTCGAGCATGGGCTCTCAAATCAATTGAAGTTTCGAAAATCGTTCATGAAGATCTCCGCGATGAGAGTTGTGATATGGGATGTGCCGCTGCCGCAGACGTTCTATCAGCCATTGCGGAATGGCAAGGAGCAGACGAGGAGGCTCGCAAATGGCTTCGTGAAGAGAAGCGGTATTGCGAGTCGGCGAATTATGTAGAGGGTGTTGAGAAGGCGGTTAAAATGCTGGCGCAGGTTGATCGAATCTCGAAGCAGGGGCAGCAGCAGCAGCAAGCCAAGGGACAATGACTGGCTCGATTTCATGTACATTAGACAATACTCCGCCTTCGCATACTACGATTATAGAATACAATACAACGCGTACTACGGACGGAAGGATTTAAAATTTTTAGTCTTTTTATTCTTGCATGATAATAGAATGTCACATGGCGGTCATCCCGGGTCTTCTCAAAAGGTAGATAAGAGATCGAAGAGAAAAGACGAGACCATTTTGAAGAGGACGACGGATTTCTTACGATCCCAACTCCGTAAGTAACGCAATCTGAATTATTATTCATTGATATTGCGCAAGAGACGGAACTCTCGAACGGTAAAAATCTGGCTTTCATAATGCTCATCGCTTCATTCCAATTCCTAGAACCCCGCCCCCTTTTTTCAAAAGCAAACAGTCAATCAATCGGAATAGACAAATTGAATGTGGTATTTTTGATGGTTTCGTTGCCCTGCTTTTCTACTTTTAGATCCTCCCAAACTCAAAAAAAAAATCCATTTATGCTCGGGACATGACACCCCAAGCACGGATCTTGTTGTCGGTGTAACCAGCGAACAAAGTCTGACCATCAGCGCTCCAGGCCAAAGAGATACACTCTGGCTCACGGCTCTTCTTGCCCTTCTCGACGTATTCGGGCTTGAGCTCATCAACCTTGCTCTTCTTCTCGAGGTCGAAGATGGTGATGCTGCTGCTGGTAGCGGCGCAGAGCCAGTAGCGGTTGGGGGAGAAGACAAGGGCGTGGATCTCGTCACCGGCCTGGAGGGAGTAGAGGTGCTTGGACTCGTTGAGGTCCCAGAGCATGGTGGTACCGTCCTTGCCACCGGAAGCGCAGAGGGATCCGTCGGGGGAGATGGTGACGGTGTTGATGTATCCAGTGTGTCCGATGTGGTCGGTTTGAAGGCGGCAGGAAGCGAGTTCCCAGACCTGTTACTATCAGCATGCTGCATTGACATGTCTTGTGATCTTGTAGTGTAGTGGCAATTTGGTGATCGATCAGGGCATAATGGTGTTGTTTGTCTCATGGCCACGAGGGCTCTGAAGTAGCAAATACGTTTGATGCAATACATCATTCGAATCGCAGGTTTTGATATCGAGTGGAAAATAAACGTACCTTCACAAGCTTGTCCCAACCGGCAGAGACAATGACGGGGTTCTGGGGGTTAGGGCTGAAGCGGACGCACGACACCCACTCGGTGTGGCCCTTCTCGGTGATGGTGAACTTGCAGTCACCAAGAGTGTTCCAGAGCTTGATGGTACGGTCACGGGAACCGGAGACGATCTGGCGGTTGTCGGCAGAGAAGGAAACGGAGAGGACATCGCTGGTGTGGCCGCTGAAGACACGGGTGGTGTTGCCAGTCGCAAGTTCCCACAAGCGCAAAGTCTTGTCCCAGGAGGCAGACAAAGCGTAAGCACCGTCCGAGGAGATAACCTATGACCTTCCAGTCAGCCTCAGAGTGTTCCTCAATTTACCCTTGTCCAAAGATAACAAACGTACACAGTCGGAGACGATGTGGGAGTGGCCCTCAAGGCTTCGCTTGGGGTAACCGTAAGCCTGGTCGTCGCGAGTCAAGTTCCAGACGATCAAGGTCTTGTCGCGACTGGCGGAAAGGAGCATGTTGGGGCTATTGACGGTGCCATTGCAATTAGCAAAACGCTCTTCCAGAACTTCGAGATTTCGCCGTGATTGTTGGTGAATTTCTTACTTCTCAAGAGAGGTAGCCAAGCTGGTAACCCAGCCATTGTGGCCCTCAAGGGTTCCGCGAAGGATGAGCTGCTCAGCCATGATCAAGGTTTGGCGACGAAAAAAGAACCTTGAAACGGGGGAGTAAGGAGGAGAAAGACGACTGACGGGCTATCTATATCGTTTGAGCCTTCAGTTCTTGAGGAAAAAGGACGAGTAATCCGTAAGCGCACTAGTTCGGGGTTTGTGCCCTAGTACAGACGCCTAAGCGAGTTTCTTTTGGGCCGGACAATGCCCCACCGCCTTCTCAAAGTAGACTAGCCTAATATGGACAGCAGAACTGCAAGCTCTTATCATCTGTCACTTGTATGTGCCAGGGAATCACAAAAGAATGCAGCACATGAACTATGATCGACTATATGGTACACATGATATCTAGTATACAATGGCATATACAGGGGGTTGAGTCTACGAGTCAAACACCTTCACATCCGGCATCCGACCCAACCCGCTACCTCCTCGTTTCTTCTGTTTCGCAGCCTGGAAACCAACCGCACTCTTGTCTTGCACGTGCTGTCTCACCAATGCCAAAATCTCCGATTCAGCCCATCGAGTAGGCACAGGGCGATAGGCGGGCTTAAATGCTCCAACCGTCTGCGCCCACTCGCCGGTCTTGCCCGCTCCTTGCTTCCATACCTCTGTCGGGGTGTCTACCTTGACGGCAGACCCGGCATCTCCAGCGGATGAAGAAGCAGTCTCTTCGGCCTCTTTGGGCTCTTGTGTAGCCCAGTAGTAAATGTCCCAATCGTTCTCATCGAGGAACTTATCGTATTGTTGTAATTGTTCCTTGGACATTTCCCCGAGGTATACGTCGGCGAAAGTCGATAGTAAAAGATCGGTCTCGAGAATACCTCGCTTCCGGCTTTGATCTAATTACTGTCAATCTTTGTTCAAGGCTCGTCTTCTACGAAATGATGGCATACATAGTAATCTAGCACGCATTGTGCTCGTATCTTCGCCTTGCCGTTTCAATGGCTCGACCTTGAATGTAATTCCCTCCATCTCACCCACTTCCAATTCCGGTTTTTGAGCGCCCGCAGTCTCCCTTCCACCCGTCAAGTGTTCAAGCTTTCCGGTATATGGATCGGCTGGCTTATAGTTCGGATCGACAGTGCTCAGGAAATCCGGAGGAGAGCTAGAAGCGCCGACTTTTGGGAAGTCTTTGGTCTGCGTTGAGGTTGTATTCGGAACAGTTTGATTCAAGGGGCGATTCTTCTGAATTTCCCGGTGTTCTTCCGCCGTGCCTGGGAAGCGTTCAGCGGCACGAAGTGCTGATGCTCCAAATGCTCGGCTTTGCGACTGCAAGGTCGGGAAGGCCTTGAAACTATTCCGCGTCGCCGGTCGTAGAGACCGAATGAGGTGTGTTGCTGCCATCATATATATACAAGGCCGTAGCAATAAATATTCAATTGTAGGAGTTTCTTCGAGTTGAGAAAAAAGTTGAAGCTGATCTTGTAAGCATGCGAAGAGGCAAGCTTTACATCATATTGTTTTCTACAGTTTGCTCTGTTTGCATGAGAGACCTGGTGGGGCCTCGGCAAGCAAATAACAGAGGAACTAACCTTATCATGACAGTTATTTTATACAGCCTATCAGCCTGTCATAACATCCCCTACAAGATCTGCAAATCGCAACTGATCAATCTTCAGTCAATATTGATAGGCTAATAGTATTAACTCACATGGTTACATCCTTTTAAAGGATAGACGGCAACGCGTCGTTCACGCGTCGCGCGCCTTTTCGCGATCTTTTAAAGTCACACACAATGTCATTTTTCCAGCGTTGGATCCGACCATTTCTCAAAAGGCAGGGAAATGCGCTACCAGACAGTCATAAAAATGATCCCAAACCTGTGGAGGTGAAATTTAAAGTGGAAGATGATGATTCAGACTCATAGAGTGTTATATTCCTCTGGGAAAACCCAGTTTCGAAGGACGATGCAAACTTAAGGAAAGATATGGACTTACAGGGCAATTCAGGCTTTCAAGACGGTGCAGAAGATCTCAAATCGAAGACTTCGAGTGTTGGGTATACAGTCAAAAAGCTATTTATCAAGTCTCCAATCCGGGCAGTGCGTGCACTCGAATGCCTCAAAATGATACCCGATTGCGTTCGCTACAGATGAATATATTAATACAAAGACAAGTTAAAGAGTCATTGATCTCAATTAGAGAGGCTACCTACTAGTGCGTTTTTGGCTGGGCCTTGCTGTCAACTTTCCAGGCCTTGATTAATTCTTAAATCACTCTCTGAATTAGGATGGGTCCTTAGATCTTACGCTTTGTTATGTGCTCCGTAAAGACTGGAATCAAAATTCCTCTACAGCTTCTCCATCTTCAATCACGATTGATAGGTCATTGAATCAATGATCCATGATGACTCCCACGACGGCCACTTGAGGAAAAGCGGCAGCGCGTCGTGAGAGCGTTGCCCATTGCCGCATTGTGCGATCTTCAATTTCTTATCAATTGAGCCATGGACTCTAAAATGCCATTCTTTCAAAGTTCTTCTTGACAGCTTTCCAAAAAGCAGGAATTCAAGACAGCGGATTTTCAGCGTAACTCAGCATCCCGCAAAGAACAAGCCCATGACAGTTGTGACAAGTGATAAAGAGGAATTCGATCGAGCCCAATTAGCCGACCAGCCTCGTCTACCTTGGACATGGTCCGCCTCTGGTAGTAAGAATTGGGCGCTTTACCAACCTACCGCTGTAGGCAAGTGGTGGTGGACCTGGGCGCAAGAGAACAAGGATAACAAACGTATCATTACCGAAATCGCAAGAATGATGGAAACGAAGCTAGGACAATAGAGATTCGGCGAGGAAAAATGTACGTGATGTCAGAAAGAAGGGTTAGAGTGTTGGACACACGTTGAGAAGAGGGAATATCAAGTTTTATATGCAGGCACTGCGTGTGCTTGTTGTCGCGCGTTGCCTACAAATATGGGATGCAGTTTGGCATTACGAAAGAAGAAGAAGAGAACGAATCCACCATCACCTCCTCCGCCGCAATTGCTGCTGCCAAAGGGAGGCTATCCTCCTGTATACGCAGGCCCAGGGGCGCTGGCGGTTCCAGCGGATAAGTCAAAACGTGCTAGAGAGTGATGCCGGAATTGCGATGTAGAATTGATTCAGAGACAGTACTGAAAAGAGATCGAGTAGTAGATGCATCATGAGCTAGATTTAGAATTCTGCGTTGTGGATAGCCTCGACGATATGCAATCTATTCAATGCGGAGGACTCGTCCTTAGTGGGCTGCACTAAGAAGCAATTTGGAGTAGACAGGCCGGAGTTGGTGGAGTATGGAGAGGTGACTCAGGCATCAAGGCTCTCCACCAGGGACATTGCGAATCCCTTCACGTGATCGCAACCATGGTCCGGGATGGATCTCCACCGAAATCACCTTGACATTTCGCTGATTTCTCTGGAAGCGAGCTGCCATGTTTAATTAACGAATCAATAGTGCGAAGAAATCGTCGACTGCTGCAAATCTCTGGGAAGGCACATGGTTATTTCGCGACCATAGCAGCCACCGTTATACATTTATCATACATACGCCCTGCCAATCTCCCGCCCACTTGGCTCGTTTCTATGTATACTACTCATGGGCTCCACGCGCCAGAGATTGATACAAGAGGGAAATGACCCGTAGTCGAGCGTGCGATCCGTGTGCCACGAGAAAAATTAAATGTGATCGTGGAAACCCTTGCAGACGTTGTCATACTCTGGACATTCCCTGCACTACATCCCGAGTTCAGTCGAAGCCCGGTCCAAAGGGGCCATGGGCTGAAAAGCGGCGTTTGGCCCGCCTTCAGCAAAATGCCTTACAGCATCCAGCAAATTTGCCGGAGAGTCAATTTGTGCCTGTAATTCCAGAGCAAATACATGGCGACAGTGGTAGCAGTAGCAGCAGCAGTACTGTGGAATCGCCACCAACTAATAATCAATTCACGCCCAGTCTACCGATTCCTTTGATCCTGCAGTATCTCGATGTCTATCATGAACAATTATATCCGGTATGGCCGGTTGTTGACCGGGATGAAATGATCTCACGGATTCAGGATCCGGAGGATTCTGAAGCATATGCACTATGCACTGCCTTGACGGCGGTCGTCCTCGCGCATTTGAAATTTAACCCTGCGGATATCACTCAAACTTCTCACACAGTCGATAATGGGTGGGTGGCTGGAGAGTCAGAGCGAGCAAGAGCCTCGGTTCGATATCACGAGAAACCGAGTCTCGAATTATTACTTTCATCCTTTTTCCTGCACATATTTTATGCAAACCGTGGTCACGTCTGGAGAGCTACAGTTCTCATCCGCGAAGCTATTACCTTGGCCCAATTCTTAGAACTGGACCAGGCCAAACACTACAAACAGTTGTCCAAGAAGGAGGCTCAGTTGCACCTTCGTATAATATGGATTTTGAGTATCACAGAACGGTGTGTTACTTTCTGCTAAACTAGTGTTATACCCTGTCCCACTAACAAATTTCAGCGGGCACACAACTCGATTCGATTTGCCAAGGATTTTGAGATTAGATCCTGATTTACCACCATTGGAAACTCAAGACGTCGAACCCGGCCTAGTAGCCTTTACAGACTTGTGCCAACTTTTCCAGACTTTCGGCCGCGCCATGGACAGCGACATGTTAATTCGAACACCCGACTTTTTCATCGGAACTGATCAAAAGCTGTTAGAAAAGCGACAGTTACAGTCGAAGACGCAAGTCCAACAAGCCGATTTCCTCATCACTCAACAATGGATGAGAATCATGGTGTGGAAAATGTCTATTTTCCATGTCAAGCTTTCTGTGAATGCAGATGACGAGAACTTGAGTATCTGCTTCCCGGAACGTGTAGCACAAATTGTGCTCATGTATTTGAATAATCTTTCTCGCAATATCATCGAGGCTCATGGTATCGGCATGGTGAGTTCTCCTACTGCAATTTGTGATGAACACACGGCGCTAAACCATTTCCTAGCAAATGAAACTAGCAGACGTAGCAATATCCCTCGCAGACATGCTATCGTGCATACCATGGGTCTCCGAACGCCGACAAGTTATGAAAGTCGGACCAGGCGACATGGTCTGCCACATCGCCCAGACCTTGGCCTCTCTACGAGGAAACGTGAATCCACGAATGGAGATCTTATTTGAGAAACTGTCATCACAAGGATGGGGCTGTTCTCCGCGATCAATGTCGACTACTGACATTTCTTTCGAATCTTTACCCGCCACTACACCTATCACCACCACGACTACGACTATACTCCCTATACGGCAGATTGAAGATGTCTCCGATGAACCCGAGGAGGAGAACAATGATGATTACGACGATTACGTGAAACGGACCAAATTGCATACACCAGGAGGCTATTGATTCCAATTATAGTCAGGTGACTTAATTATGTGAAATTATGCATGAGATGATACTCATGAGAGGACGGGCATTTATCATATCCATATATTATCTAATGACCATCTATTTATGCTACATTGACAATGTGATTTTGCAATCATTTTAACATAGCAATATGATTCAATCTTACTTGGGGCGGAACAAAATACTCAATCATGAACATTGCCAGGTGCATTAGTAAATACTAGTTGTTTCTAGTCTTCTAAAGCAGTGTATACAATCTAGGCACTCGACATCTCTTATATATACTGGAAGCCAAACATCACTTAAGTCGTAAAAATGTAACAAGAAAAGCAAAAAAAGAAAAAGAGCAATCGTCAGTCATCAACGTCGAGAAAATTAACACATCTGCATACCCATCATCTCAGGCACGAAAGCATCATCCGGAATATCATCGAAATTCTCCAACTGCCAAAAAGCTCGACAMCCCGCCACAAAATGCTGCGAAATATCCGTGACCGCTTCCTCAGCCATGGGCGCAAAGCTGAGACGAATATACTGGAATGCGCGACCACGCATGGCCTCCGTGGGCGCGAACATGGTACCGGGCGCGGAGAGAATGAGGAATGGTTTCTTGAGCAGGAAGAACCATAGCGCTTTGCACACTTTTTCTGCGCCGTAGATCTCGAGTAGAGGGTGCGTGTCGTAGCGGATCTTGATCCAGATAAACATTCCGGCCAAGGGCCAGTTGAATTCGTACATGGGTACTTTGTTGATGACGGACCAGCTATCGAGGCCGCTGGAGCGTCTGTTCGCGGCAGGTTTGTCGATAGCGACCGTGCGACCTTCTTCGAGAGCGCTGCACATGTCGTGCACGCGGCGCTCGTAAACGTCTCGCAGGCCAGAGAGCCATTGCACCCATCCGTCCAGCGTCCAGCCAAGACCTTCTTTATCGGCTGATTTGCGTGCTGTGGCGGGTGAGCCTTGCTGTTGAAGAAGTAGTTGTGCAACCATGACCTGGACGAAGCCTGAGGGTTGCTGAGTCGAGACCTCGGTGATGCGCGTAATACGCTCAACGATAGCTGGCTGCGCGGTAATCCAGCCGAGACGACAGCCGGGAGCGATTGTCTTGGAGAATGTATCTAAACGCACAACACGGCCATCAACATCGACTGATAAAAATGATGGCACAAGGCTGTCCAGAAATTCATAACCAGAAGATCGGCCGTGCGCGTTGTAGTTGCGATTAAACAAATCCGCCTGTACTGCAGCTTCTCCGCGATACTCGGCGGCATGCTTCCGCGAAGATGGGAATTGGAGGTTCCAGTACGGTTCGTCCTCAATAATGATGACGTCGTATTTCTGGCACAAGCTGTAGATCTCCTTGCGGCGCTCGATGGACGTTGTACTACCAGTAGGGTTTTGGCCGAGACTGTCCGAAGAGTCAGTATCTACTATTTACCGACAAGGGCAATCAAGACTTACGTCACAGTATACATCAAATGCGGCCGCTTTCCCTTGGAATAGTCCCAATTCTCAAGCACATCGGCCAAACCGCCTGGTCCCGAAGCTCTCATTCCATCGGCGTCAACGCGAACAGTGACGATATTCAGACCACGAGGCTCGACTGTCTGCACAGCATTCATATAGGCAAACTCTTCGAAAAGAACACCCTCCTTGTCCCGAATCCAATCCTTGGTCTTATTCCAGGAATTCGTCAAAGCCTCAACGGCCTTGCCGAGTCCATCCGTCGCGCCGCATGTCATTACAACCTCCGGTCCTCCGGCGTACGGCACATTCGGATGAAGATGATCACGAGCGAACTTGCGAATAAAGGCTGCCAGTGGTGGATAACCTTCAGCGGTTCCATATTGCAGGGCAGTTGATAGATCAATCTTTTGGAGGATGTCGGTCGTATCTTGAATTTTGGGCACGGTGACATGCCATTCTGCTGGCTTACTGCTCTTTCCCTTTGAAGACTTTGGTTCGTTGAATCGAGACGGATGCGCTGCTGCTGCTTCAAGGGTATCATAGGGAAAGTATGATTGGTGGGGCAGGCCTGATACAATATTCTTAATGAATGATCACCAGAGATAAGACGAGGTCACCTACCACCGGCCACGTTCTGGAGCCCCGGAATCTGAAACCATTTGTATAGTCCCTTCACATTGCTACTCTGTCGGTTCTTGGTGGTCTGCGAAAAGTGATGCGACAGATCCAAAGGCGGCCGTTGCGTGGTCCTGGATTCTTGTTGTTGAGCCATGTTGATGTTGCGGATATGCAAGCCGACCGTGCCTGATCTGGGAAGCGTTCAGAAAGTGAAGTTCCTGATGGACAATGATGCAGGTGGGTAGTACGATGTCGTGATCGATGATAACGTGCTCACATTGATCAGATTGGTGATGATACGATCAAGGACGTGGTGGGCTATCAGCTACATTATTAATTCATTATTACCATCAGACTAACTTAGCATCGCTGATAAGGTACTTCGGCCGATGTAGTACCCGTAATACGGATAGATTACACTGCACGGCCTGGAAACTTACCGCGCGAACCGGTACTCACAGCCAATCAGACTACAGATAAATTCCCGCCGTCATATTCAGAAACAAACGATACGAAGAAGCCCCCAACAAGCAGCGGCCCTACGGACACCGCTCGTCAGCTTCTTATCTTTGTCAAATTGTCAGACGTCTGGGGTACGAAGTGGCCCAATCATATTCTCTAATCAAGTGTGAGCAAGTGGGGCTAAGTCGTTTTGGTCGACAATATTTCAAGTATTGTTACGGCGTCATACGGCATGTTCATGCACCAAGATAAAGCGAACAAAAACTTCCTACTGGTTTCTACTTTTATATAACCTTGGAAGTCGAATTTTCATACCCTTGCCAGCGAGAACAATGTCTTCACAGCGATTGTCTTGCTCTCACCCTCGCTCGTTGCCATGACGGCAACGTTGTGCCTAACCCCGGCGTTCCGTTTGACAGGATCACCATCAGCGCCAGTCTTTTGCAACTCTGATATCTTCCATGCTCGCACAAGCCAGATGGAAACAGTCGCTGCCATATACATGCAGCCCGTAAATATCTGAGCGTGTAGAAAATTGGTTCCGTTGTCGATCCGTAACCAGAGGGCAATCGGTTCAGCAAATGTGCTCGGTATGACCACCGAAAGCCAGAATACAGACAAGGCAGATGGTAAGAGTTGTAATCCCACCACCTCAGCGCCCACCGGAGCAACGGTTGTCGTGTACGTTGCGGAAACGGCGCCGCCAATCAGACCATAGAAGATGAGGACACCGAAACTTTTGGCAAAGATCCAGATTACCAAAGAAAACAACCCAGCCAGGAAGGTAGAAACGAGTGCAGTGTTGATTCGCCCAAAACTGTCACTGACATACCCTATGACGGGTCGCCCAAGGCCTCCTCCAAGGTTGAACATGGCACCTAGAATCGACCCTTGAGATGCGGTTAACCCTACGGTATCTGCGTAGCTGGGCAATGAGAAAAGGAGAAGCGCATAGCCCAGCACACTGAAACAACCCCAGGCTAAAGTGAGCAAGAACTCTGGTCTCTTTAGAAGCTCGAAATGGAAGGCAATTTGAATAGCTCCAATTGCCTTGTTCCGATCCCTTATAATGATGGCACAGAAGCCAGACGCAACAGCTGATACTATAGCCAAAACTCGGAAAGCCCAGCCAGTTCCCCATCTTTGAATGAGTGCGTCTGTTGCCAACGAGTATATCAGACCTCCAATCCCTGATCCTGCGGTGGCAACACCGTTTGCAAGAGAGCGTCGGCGGGTGAACCACTGAGGAATGATACCGACCGTGGCACTGAATTGCATTCCCATCCCGAAGCCAAAGCATACGCCCTGACTGAGAAACAATTGCCAAATTTCGGTCGACCATGACGCTCCCAACAGTGCTGCGCTCTGAAGGACAATTCCTATAGCCAAAGTGGTCTTTGTCCCCCATTCTCGAGTCGTGATCGTTGCGGCTGGAGCGGTAAATTGAGCCATACTGAGGGAAAGGCCTCCGATAAAGGCAAAGTCTAGGTCGGATGCACCTGGGAACGTGTTGTCAGACAGATAATGAGCCAGAAATACGCCGTATGACTATGTCAGGCGAAAGTTAGCAAATTGAGAATTGTCTTTTCAAGGCCACGAGACCTACACTATTGATTCCCCAAGTATGGGCATTAACTAAAAAGACGCACAGCACACAGACCCAGCCATAGCCACCATCTGGGGGAGGTTCAACCTCTGTGCCTGTCGGGTGTTGGGCTTGCTCGGGGTCAGTCTTGAATGGTTCGTTGTCGATAGGGTCGTTCTTGGGTGTCATCTCCCTTGAGAAGTCAGCCGTACAAGGATGACAGGAGTCTTCGCCAGCTCGCGACCCCGTTATCGTCTCCTTCTTCTCTGACTGCATTTCTTCATTCATCAGATCGTGGGTTTAGGCGATTTTTGCAAATGAAACATAGCGGGAACACTGCCTACATGAGATGCTCCATACAAATAGGATTTGGCAGTCAGATCGTGTTTAAAAATCATGAAACTACATATCATGTCCTGGATGATATTTCGCTGACTGACTCATATTTTAGATGGAAATTCAGTGACTCAATTTTCAAGAGCCAATCAAATAGCGCAGTGTCTTGCTTCGCTGTTAGGGCTTTTTTTTGGTTGATGCCGGACCCTATTTTAGGGTGCGCATCGCCTGCCGAGATGTAGTATTGCTGTCGCGGCATTACGTGTATTTGTGAGCGCGCTTTTATATCTTTTAGTTTTCTCCTATTGATATGGATATGATTTATTCTGGCTATTCAATTGATTAACCATCAAGACAAACGAAGCTACCTTTTGGTTTCTCGTTTCGTGCAATTTCGATTCGTACTCAACCCTACATGTGAGGGCCTTGAATCTCTACTCCGCGGCTGACGGTGCTGAACTTGCTTGGCCACTCCAGCTGTCAAGTTTGAAGCCACCCACCCTTCCTGGCTGCTATTTGGAGGCCTCATGTGCAGATTGATTTCATGAAGCCATAAATCCAAGAGTATACTAGGACAGATACTTCTCGCTCGTCGATGGGAAAGACTGAGATTATTGCTCAGATCGGTCTGAGTATACAGGGTGTAGTAACCGCTACAATCTGTGCTTATTTCAAAATGAAGTGCGCAGTCTTGACAACATGTACTGGAAGTTTATACCTAATGGTGATATAAGGAGATATCAGGAGATAGACGCTGTTCATGTTCAAGCAGGGTTGAAAACTCATGAGCTGCCGTGGACGAAAGTTTACGGGTTTGAATCAAGAGCGTACACACAGCACTTACGTTATCGGCTAAGAAGTTGGCCCTCACTTCTTTCCTTGATCATGCGTACTTCCAGACTGTACTTGGAGAGGAGACGAAGGCAAAAATGCTAGAGCAACGAAACAGGCCACCGAAGGAGCAATACCATAGGAAGTTTTATCCATTTATCAATCAGCCAAGTGTGGAGCTTCTGGAAATTGAAATTGGGGCTGATGGCCTTGAATCAGTGGCATGCTGCTACTCCGTCCGAGGGGACTGAAGGATTTTGTATGGGAGTAGAACATCTATGTTGAAGGGTCGGCATGGACAGATTCAAGATAGTCATCCCATTTCTGCTGGTCTGCACTATGCTGGAGTCGGGTGGGTTTATTCCCATTCTCCCATTGTGTCAGCAGAGTCTTGTGGTTTGCTAACTATCTAAAAGGCCAGAGCTTTATTCCTGACAAGACTCCGGATGCGCGGAATTGTTGCCGATACCGATGCCCAACTCTCGAAGGATTCAGGCTGCTAAATGAGATAGAGGAGATTATCCCCGCTCTAGAAAGTGCTCATATGCTCCATGGCGGCATGGAAATGGCTAAGACATTGAAAGAAAACTAAGATCTTGTTATTTGTGCTAGTGGAAGAGAATACGTCTATTCCCACAACGCATCTCGCGCTCTCCGCTGACTTTAATCAATTCAGAAGACAGATAAAGCATAGCGGATTAATGAACTACCCAGACCCGGACAAAAATTAGGTGATGTTCTAAAAGACCTAGAGAGATATTAGTCGTCTTTTGGTGTTCGATGTGGAGTGGTAACCTGTTCGTGGATAGTTGAACAGGCTACAGCTGGCGTTGTGGAGAGGTAGCACGAGGCATAAGGATGGTTGAGTCCGTTAAAATGATTGGAGGAGCATGAATAAATGAGAAAGTACAAAATTCTATACCTATTGAGGACCAAAGACACCAAAGGAAACTAGAATCTGTACCAGCTCGGAATGCGAGTTTGCAAAGTTGATCGATGTTTTTCCGAGCGCCTTTGCATATTCGCAGCTGTGACTGAACTGTTTAAATATTGGCTGGCTGACAAGTTGAATGACAAATTCTTACGTGTGATGATCCTTCCTTCCCTGTCAGCACCAGTGCATAGCGCTACTATTAGCGTTGTCACTCGCCCGCAAATTAGGCGTGGCTTGCGAGCTCAATCCCCGGAAACATTTACCTTATGAGGAGCTGAGGAACCCATGTTCGTGACAATGCGCTGATCCCTTTAGTCGCTTTTTGGGCCAATATTACCTGTCAGGCAGCCACTATCAATTATAACCTTAAATGCAGTCTTGACTATTGCTTACAGCAGGACGAGTTTATACTGCAATTTGACTCGGATTTACAGATGGGAGTGCGACTCATCGTTTCAATTGACCTACCACAGCTTGCGATAGATGAAAGGATCAGAGAGACTTGAAAATGGAACATGTCAATATACACGTGCAGCTCGTATATGCTCCGTTGGATCCGCAGTCCTCGCTACACCTTCAATTTTGCTAGCTGATATTTTACTATACTAGGTCATCTAGATGCGGAATGTCTTTTTGCCTAGTTGTTTACCCCAACATGCTCCAATGATCATGCCATCAGCTCGGCACAGATTTCCATTTACCACATGCAGTCCACTACAATAGTATCCTGTGATATGGCTGGKAGATGTTGCGGTGAAACTCCTGTCTCGCCACACCGAAAGGGGTGCGAAGGGTACCACCAGAGGAAACAGAAGTCTATATAAGTTGGGTCCTTCGAGGAGGAAATATCTCTTCCGACAATCAAAGATCAAAAAACAAGAACAATTGGGATTGTGATAGTAACTCAGATTGTCACCATGAAGCCAACTCTCTACTTAGGGTTCGTGGCTCTCGGTAGTGCCGTTGCACTTCCTTTGGACACCACACCATCAGACTGTAGCTGCTTGGCGGACGCGGTGTCTACCCTGAGTGCTGACCCTCTGGCTTCTGCCTTTTGCTCTCAGTTTGTTGGTGTCTCGACCGTCGTAGTGTCGACTACGATCACAACTCCTGCAGCAACCACCGTGATTGTCAAGACTGTACCAGCTCCATTCACCATCACGGAAACCTTTGTAGATTTTGAGAGCACTGTAAGTCTGTTTTAACTACATGGATTAGATAAGAATGCTAATTTTGACTAGAGTACGACTATCACCGAAACTTACGACATTTCCTATGTAAGAGCCTTCAGTATGAACGCTGACGAGTCATCTCTTCTTATTCACTATTATAGGTTTCAACTTCTACTGTCACCGTCACCTCTCCCACAACGGAATGCTACTCCGGTACCACCTTTGGCAACGCGGCTAGCCCAGCAAAAGCAACTACTGCAGCCGGCAATATCGTCAAGAAAGCACTTTTACCAACTATTACCCTTCCTACAATCTCTCTGCCCACATTCCCAGTTCCCATTCCCACGCCAACATGGGTGCCTTCTCTAGAAGACTCATTGTTATCTTCAGCCTGCGAATGTTTCCTTGGCCCGTCTCTTACTGTCACCGAAACTTCAACCGACTGGGTGGCATCTGGTACAGTCACTGCCACTCTCGACGTGACGACAGTCCCTGTCACTTCAACGTAAGTATAATACCAACGTTATACAAAAAGAACATCATTAATTTTGAGACAGAGTCATCACCCTCATCACAACTTCGACCGCTTTCGTGGTCACTACCGAGTCTACAGCAACATCAACTGTGACTACTACCACTACCTCTTACACTCCTGTGCCAACCAATACCCAACTCGGCCTGAACTGGTACTACTACTACAGCTCACAGAATTACTTCCCTGGGCACGCAATCACATTTGATCCCCAAACATTCAAGAGCCCCAACTACAACTTCAGCGGCTATGTCGAGAACGTTGCTTCATTCCAAACCGTGGCGTACTCCACGTCGAACTCAGATACAACTTGCAATTTACCAGCCAATGAGCCCTGCGAGTTCGTTTGTATTGTCATCCAAGGATATCTCTGGGCAAAGAACGGGCCAGGAAACTATACCCTATCCTCCAGCGCGGCCACTGACAATGCTTTCTTTGCGTGGCACGGAACCAAGGCATACAGTAACTACCAGAATTCCAACTATGACTACCTTGCCGGTGATTACATCCCTCAAGCTGGTTCTGTAACTGTCAGCGTTGGGGTTGGAGAGCTGGTGCCGTTTACTTTCATGTGGGCAAACGGTGGCGGGCCAGGAGAAGCCCTGCTTACAATTACTGATCCTGCTGGTAACCAGTATGCAGATACTACTGGCTTCTTTGTACCGGCGAATAGCACCTGTCCTGGGTATGTCGATCCGTTTTCTCCCTAAGCGTGAACGGGATGCTGTACGGTGGATTGCAGTCATACATCACATTACCTGTAGCTAGCGAAAGGTTCAAAGCTACATATAACTCAGTTGGCAGATAGTATACCTAATATCATCATCATTTGACATAAATAACCCTAAGCCTGATATAACCCTAATGTATTATGCAACGCAGACGGAAGAACTTTTATACGAAAAGAGACCAATCATCCAATGACGTAGCTGCCCGATCTCAACGCAGAGCTCTGATTGGCCAGTACCTTGCCGGATTTACCGATGACCCGGCTACATGTTCAGCTTCCTCAGGCACCCAGAGAGACCTTCGACATTCACACCCCAGCCCTATCTTTCATCTTTCATTCTGTCCTATACTCCCTCACTTCCTGTAGCGTTAGTAATTGGCATCGTTTGTTCTTGGTTGCGTGACATTGTTCATATACGCGGGCATAGCCGCCGGACTTGACCCTCGTCGGCAACAGGTTCTCACATTCAGATGCATGGTTTCCTACAATATCCCTACCAAATATGATTGAAAGTCGTGATGAGGAGAGAGGCATTTACATCGCTCCTTCCCTGACTGATGACGAAATTCCAGATGAGGATCATGACAACACACTGACTCATATACTCAATGTCGAATCCAACGACCAAGAAGACAACGGCACAAGCTTCCGTATGCCGGTCTGGCTACGAGAGTCATCACCTACTTTCCAATGGCGCTGGATCCCTTTGCCGTTACGGAGAGCTGGTAGGGCCACAGCACGCTGGGTGAAGGGTCCGGATCCACCTCATGATTTGCTGTTTCAGCCGCTGTTTCCAAAGTTTCAGGAGATGCCAGTGATTTTTCTGGAGAGATATGCTCCTAGAAAGTCTCATAAAGCGGGTTTACTGCTTTTTGTATATTTTATGTGGCTGTTGCCATGGTTTTCAATCATTCTCAAGGCCAATACATCTGGCAATATCGAGGGCTTTGGACGTCCGCAGGTTATATCATGTGTGACAAGCTTTTGGTGAGTGTAGCTTGATGAGCCTGTATTATATTGGCACTGAATACTAATCCTAGTTCAGGTCACCTGGGAACAACTGTGGTCTGAATGGAAATGACTGTCGGCCTTTTGACGCCTCTCATCTCGCGTTCCGTTGTCCGGCTAACTGCAAATCGGTTATCCTGCAACAGGAAAGAACCGTTGGCAACGAAACCCTCAATTACCAATCCCTCGTTGTTGGTGGTCCAGAACCCGAATCCTCTGAGCCTGGCATCTATCGAGCTGATAGCTTTATTTGCCAAGCTGCAATCCATGCAGGTGTCGTCAGCGATGCAAGCGGTGGTTGCGGCGTGCTGAAACTGAATGGCGCAGCACACTCATTCACATCATCTGATCGAAACGGAATTCTTTCAACGGGATTTCCGTCGACATTTCCAAAGTCATTTCACTTTCTCCCACTCAGGGACTCACAAGCCACCTGTCCTGCTGACCCAAGATGGCCATTGCTCGGCATCACTGTTGCTGCCGTCGCTCTAATCAGTATCTTTACAGTGTCACCTGGAGTATTCTTCTTCAGCACTTTTGGGTTACTCATTCTTCATGTTGGAGTGGTCTCTGATCCTCCATACTTCCCCTCTCTTACAGAACTCTTTTCTATATTGCTGTCACGCCTGGTGCCGGCATCCTTTATAGCATACGTTCTCTACCTTTATGCTGCTCGACCACTTTTGCAGCGAGTATCACACCCAGTATATCAAATTGAAAAGACAATTTTGTACTTGACTCCTGCATTTATTGGTGCCTTGAACAATTACACATTCGCTCTCTGGATACCCCTCCAGCGTCTGACACCGCACGACTTGGCAAACCAGCCCGGTGCAAAAGCTGCACTTGCAACGGTTGTTTCTATCATTATCATTATTGTTCTGAGTCAAGCGTGGCTCATCCGCCAAGCAGGTTTGATGCCTCGCTATTTGAAGGTATACCTATCCTTCGTGGCAGGCCTTCTCTTTTTACTAGCACTACCAGGCCTCCGCCTTCGAATCCATCACTACATCCTTGCAATGTTGCTCATGCCCGGGACTGTAATCCCAACCCGTATGTCTTTTATTTACCAAGGCTTGCTTCTGGGTCTTTTTGTGAACGGGGTTGCGCGATGGGGATTTGCTTCTATCGTCGAAACCCCTGCAGCTTTGGGTGAGGATCCCACCGGTCCGGGTGGATGGTGGGGTGCTTCGTATCCGAATATCACCAATGCATCTGTATCGATCCATCTGGACAATCCGTCCCTGATGCATCCACTCTACAATGCTGTAACGGACGATGAATATGCTTATCGCGGAAATGGGAATATTACATTTCAGCTTTGGGAGCGGCAACGTATGGAGAGTCTCGGTGTTGATGGTATCAGTGTTCTATTGAATGACGTCGAGCGCTGGAGGGGATATTTAGATGAAGATCGAAAGGGGAAGTTCACATGGCGTCGACAGGGACACCACGGCTTGGAGCTCGTCAACTACAACAATGGGGACCTTGATCTACTTGCCATTGATGGTGAGAGTGATATTGACGATGAAAACCTATCTTTCGCAGCGCTCAATAATGACATTGATGGAAGATCCACGATTGAGCAAGGCAGAGACGAAGATGAAGACGAACCCCAAGACCTTTTCTTCCGTTTTGCTTTTTTGAAAGGCTCCGAAGCTGGACATTATGGCGGGGCTGGTGTTTGGCTTCGAGACGGAAGATGGATTGACCCTCCGCCACAACAGAAGCGAGATCCATGATTACAGCGCAATATAGACCGTAGATATGTATTATGATATATGTTACGCAAACTCCTTTTGCAGTATGTACAACATCCTACCCAGACAATACTTTAAGCCGCCTCATAAACATACAACGTACTGTTATGCTGATCCGGCATAAACCATACCCTCAACTTCCCATCCACAACCTGCGCATCCACCGGATTCTCCGTAAGCGAAACCCCTAAATCACTGGTCAACGTAATCGGCACTTCCCACAGCGGCACCATCGTCTGCAAATCTACAAGTGCCAATCCGCCCAGACTCAAGCTGCCAAAAGTGCCAACACCGCCGCAAAGCATCACGGGCCGGACCGGGTTGAAGTCACTTCGTAGTCCGCAACCGGCCTGCGCGAGGAGGAGGTTGGGCATGGCATGATGACCGAGGTATTTACAGTCTTGATAACCCACATAGAAACTGGGGTTGGGCACTTCGCGTATTGCGGGTGTGAAACCCGGGATCGCGGTGAACCCCATGGGATAACCATTGAGCGACCACGTCGTCGCGTTCGCCCCGTTCCAATTTAATGTCACGAGTTCATTAGTGATGGTATCATGCACAATACCGCCGTTATGATCATCGTGGCGAAACAAGCGCGTAGTCTCCAAAGTTAGCGGATCAATTCGAGCAATCGTAGCAGTGCTATTGGGCCTGTATTGGGCAAGTGTAATCCAGACATAGCGACCATCATAGTCAATTCCGCCGCCGTGATACTCAATATCTCCCGCAGCGGTCAGCGAGGCATTCGCAATCCGGTTTCCGTCCAGGTCGTAAATGAGCATGTGCGAGAACCCGGCACCGACAGTGCGGTCAGTGCCGTTGATGGTTTTGTTGTATTTCACAGTTGGAACTGTGTATTGGTTGGATGTTACAAAGAGGCGCTCATCGCCTACACGCACCATGCCCTCGGGTTCGCCGGTGTCGCCTTCCATTTTGGTCTTGGAAACCAGAGTCCATGTTGTTGAGCTGCTGAGTGAGAGGAACAGGTTTACAATGTCCTTGCCGTCTGTCGTACTGTGGGATTCGGGGAGTCTGTTTCCTGGTAGGAAGCTTTCGTTGCGGTAGATGGTCACGTTGGATGAAGATGTTGCGCTAGTTGTTGTGGCTGCTAGTGCAGCTGCTAGGAAAACTGAAGCACGCATGTTTACCTATGTTGTCAAAGGATTGATCATCAGGAACATGGCGGGATACTGCTTGGAGGGACCATGCCTTTATGTAGTCGACTGTTGGCCTAGTTGAAGCAAGTACGTAGATTCTTATTCCTAGTCGTATGAGATTGTCGGTGGAGTCGCACTACCACGTTGTGATGCGCGGGGATGCCATTCGCGGTTGATATTTTAGTGCTCACTATTTTAATCAGATATGACATCAAACTGGCGGATTAGACGGCACGACCGGATCGATGACATTGTTTTTCACTAATCTTATCACTCCTATAAAACTTTTCTTGGGCTTGATTGTGACAATGGCATCTGGAACCTGGCACCATCAATTGATGCTCGTCTTACTGTTACGCGTTCTGTCTACCTTATAATTGAGAGGGTGAAATAGATAAATATCACACATATCAACTGAGGTTCGAGCGCTGAGACGATTCACTTACTTTTATATGCTGATTGGACATGAAGTCATGATATCTCGCCATCGACAAGCCCTGCAAACACACCGCTAACCTTCCTCTGCAACTCCCTCGGATCTCCCATTTCCACCACCCTCCCATCATCCAAAACAATTACCATATCCGACCCTAAAATAGTCCCTATTCGATGTGCAACAGTCAAGATCGTCAATGCAGTCAAGCAAGGCGTCTCCCGAAGAACGATCTGCATCTTCTCGTCCGTCTGAGCATCAACATTACTAGTAGGCTCATCAAGAAGCAAAATCGGTCTCGATCCTCTCCTGGAGCTCTCCTGCACTTTTAGAATAGCACGCGCAAGCCCAAAGAGTTGCTGCTGCCCCTTCGATAGTTGTACCGAAGTAGGTTTGACTTCGGCGTCTAATCCGCCTCTTTGTTGTATTACTTCCCTCCAGAGACCGACGCGGTCAAGCGCGTCTATAATATCAGCGTCCAAATGAATTCTGTTTGGATCAACATTTGTTCGCACACTGCATCCTTCTAAGATGAGTGTACTTTGAGGGATAGTTACAAGACGTTCGCGCAGTGTCTCACGGGGAAGGGTCGTTATGTCAATCCCATCGATTAGGACGGCGCCGTCGGTAATGTCCAGAATGCCGAGGACTGTTGCCAGGAGTGAGCTTTTACCACTATTAAGAGCAACAAGGCTTCGAGTTAGCATGCTACGCTTTCCATATCATGACTTTATAGGACTGACCCTCCTGTTCGTCCACAAATGCCTATCTTTCGTCCAGGTTGTGCAATGAAAGAAATATCCCGTAAAACGATCTTGTCGGTACTGATATCAGATTAGTCACTTGATACGCGGTCAAATGAAAAGATTGGACTATATTACCTGTACTGCGCCGTCACTTTCCTAAATTCAATCATACCATGGCTAGGCCACTGCGCATGAGGCTGGATCTTTGTCTCCACAACATCTTCCGGCGGGACATTGGCCACAAAATCCCGTACTCTTGATATTGATCCAAGCGAGACCTCGAGCTGCGTCCATCCTGAAGTTACGCTTGAAAGGCTGTTGCTGAATGCTATTTTTCTTATCAGCAAACGCCAAGAGTAGAGAGAAGGAAGACTCACAAAGAATGTTATTCAACGATACACCAATTAAACCCACACTAACAGAGCCCTTGAATTTGATGACCAGACCAACAAGAATAACCGCTTCTGCAGCAACAATCAAATCCAAGACTAACGTGAGCCATCTCTGAATACAATATAGAAGGTAGTACGGTCTTTGTGAAGCGTCCAAGAGCTTGAGATTCTTGCGGCTGAACAGCTCTTGCCATTGAAACGCTTGTATCGTAGCGAGGCCGCTTACAGTTTCCATGAAATGGCTATATAGCGGACTCCTGCTCTCGAGATCGAGGAGGCGGAGTTGCCGTGATGTTCGGAGGTAAAAGTGCTGTAGTAGGATTATCACAATTAGGAGAAATGGGACGGTGATGGCCATGTATCCTAATCCGCTTGCGACTAAACCGGCCGTAGCGATGCATACCAAGAGATCTGGTAGAAGGATCGTGTTAGAACTTATCTGAATGCAAGAATATTCTGGGCTTCCTACTGGAAACGAATACAAGCATGCCAACAGGCAACTGCCCCTCGATCAAAGCAATATCCTGGCTGAATCTGTTCAATATCACACCACTATCGGTGCTAGAAAGATACGACGAAGAGGCTCTACTCAAAGGTTAGTAAGTTTCAAAGTCTCATAGATGGTGACAGACCTTGTCAGAGTATTCAGTAGCCTTTGATGCAGTTTTCGTGACGTAGAAGGAGATATAAGTACAAGAATAGCCCTAACAAATGATTAGAAGCTGAAGGGCCAAAAAAAGTGGAAAAACTTACCAAACATAGCCACCATTCCCCACTGAGTTGAACAGAGCCAATATGAAATAAACTGTGACATACATAGCTTTCTCGGTACCATTACCAGTAGCCCACCATTCTAACCAAATTTCTAGGCGAAAAAAGTCAGTTCGAGGAGATCCGAATACAGAAAATGCCAGAGGAGACATACGGCTAAATGTGCTGCAACCGACGTGGAGAGTAACGAAAAAGACGAAAGTAAGTATCTTTTGCCAGCCAATGGACTGCATATAGTACTTATAAATAGTTCGATCCCCCGTTGCTCGAGTGAGATCATTGATCTGGTTTTCCTTCGATATCTGAGCTGCTACCTCTTTAACGGATGGCTTCGGCTTCGATATGTTATGCATCTCATCTTCAGGATCTTCGGTCCCATTTTTAGCAGGAACACTATTCAAATTCGTCGGGTTGTAGCTACCCACTGTGTTCGGAAATGACACGTTTAACTTTCCGTCGGATATGATAAAAACCTGACTGGCATATGAGAGATAATCGGCTGTATCCTTGTTAGAAAGCACTCTTGAATAGCATAAGGTTTGGTCTTCTCAGGCTTACTCTCGTTTGTTGCCAACACGACCGTTGAATTGAGCTGCCGAAATAAACCGCTCTTTCCAAAAAGGCGAGTCATGATCAGCTTCTTTGTGACACTATCAAGCGCACTGAAGACATTGTCCAGTAAAAAAATTTTCTTTCTGGCATACAAGGCCCTGGCTAGTGCAATTCGCTGTATTTGACCGCCACTCAATATAGTGCTGGAACCACTGCTGATTTGAGTTCTATCACCATTGACGAATAGTTTTAGGTCGTGGTCAAGAGCACATGCGTGTATAATAGCCTCATACCACTTAAGGTCAAGGCTTTCCTTATGTTCATCTTCGTCTGTAAATCCACATATAGCATATTGTATGGCAGAGTTTGGAAGCCATGAATCTTGCGCGCAGTAGGCGATATCTCGACGAGAGACGCTGATCAGGCCTTTCTCACAATGTGCATGGCCAAGGATGGCACGTAGAAGACTTGACTTTCCTGATCCGACTTGACCAAGAACAAACGTGAAGGAGCCCCGAGGAATAAGAAAATTGACCTCTTGTAATATAGTCGATGACGATGCAGCAGGGCAAATCGTCACATCTTTAAAAGCTATGGCTGTCGATGGCAATTGCTGCAACTCTACTGAAGTCGGGTCATGTGGATGTAAGCTCTCGCTATTCTGTTGATGTTTAAGATCTGCACTCTGCAATTCCAGTCCCCCTTGACAGCTCGGAATCAAGAGAAAATTCTGAATCCGATCAAAGCAACCTAGGGAAGCAGCAGTTGAAGGAATGGCACTCAGAAGTTTCGATGCTGGATTCGTGAGAAGTGTGATAATAGATATACTTGTCAAAGCAGTCGTGGTGTCTAACGAGTTCCCTTGAAATGTGTAGACTGAAAATGTTAAAGCAGGGGCTAGTGCCCAAGGTAGATTCTGAATGACATTCTGCCACACAATGATCCATCGAAAGCCTTCCATTCGTTGTGTTTCTTCAGTCTGTTTCTCTTGAATAATTCTGGCCAGTGTGTTGCTCCAGCCTATGCGCCGTATAGTCTGGATTTCGGCGAGCATCGATGTGGTTATGGCAATTCGGCGTTGTACTGCATCCACCCAGACCTTCTGGCGCCCTCCAATATGCTTTGCAATCTGAATACTCCCTCCTCCAGAGACTAGACGTTGATTAGTTCCGGATCTGAAGCTCAAATACACAATGCGACTTACTTATGATTATGACCAAAGGTATAATACTTACCCAACCTATACGGATGGACAGCAATGTCATACCAACGACTACCTCAATTGATCGGGCCCAGCATTCATTCAAATTGACCAAACAGGCAGTAATACGATCGATGTCTGTTGTCATCAGGGTGATAGCAGCGGAGCGATCTTCAAAATTTCCATCGGGAATATTGAGGCCATGTTCGTAGATTAATGAAGAGGTTGCGCCACGGAACATGGAAATGAAGCGATATAGCATGTGGCTATAATGCAAGTTCGAAACAGCAAGACCTAAGTATATGAGTATCGTGGCACTCAAGAGTCCATACCCTTCATTCTCAGAGTCATGGCTCTCACTGAGCCAGTCGAGCAGACCAGATATGAGGAAAGGCTGCGCGAACGTAAATCCTATTAGGCATAAACGAGGAAATACTGCTGAGACAAGTGGCCACCAGAGTGCTTTACAAAGAGTTATTGGCACCTCAAAGCGCCTCTCTGGCTTTTTGCGCAGTTGCCACGAAGATCGGGCCTTGATACTGAGGCTAGTAGATTGCAGGCTCTTGTCCAACCCATTTAGGTCATCCAGTGTGAGTACCGACTTGAATCCGGAGAGAAACAGTCGGTTTAACCACCACATAAATGAACGGTTAAAAATACCACTCGTGGATTCAGGCGGAAGGCTACGGTATTCACCATGTAGATATCGTCGTTTTCCGATGCTTTCCAGTAACAGAAAGATACCCTTCAGCCCTACACTCGTGGTAAATGCGATGGCAATCGGCTTGTTCTTGTCTTGAAGATTCCATAAAGTTCTGACTTGCAAGCTGTCGAAGATTAAAGAAAATAGCAAATATGCACTTAGCAGCGAGGACGGCCTGATTGAACGAGTGTCTTCAGTCCAAGAAAGAAGCACAAGCTGAGCGGCCACAATCAGGGTGAGTGTCGCCGATGGTATGGAGCTCTTGGTTTGTGGCTCCGTGCTGTGTATACAGAGAATTAGCAGTGCCAACTGCGTGGCTGCAAAGCTAGCCGCAACAACCTATTGACATGGTTTAGTCTTTCATAATAAGCCTATGTGGATGATATGACTACTAACCAATTTGCTGATACGAATTGGATTGTATCGTGTTCGAATCCCTCTATTTAGAAGATATCTGATCCGAAACGGGGACGCAATCAGGATTATGCTGGCGGGGAGGATGCTCAGCATGCTCTGTTCAAACAACAACGTAAAGTCGAAGCCATCGCGGCACCCAGCGCCGACGGCAGGGCCGAAGACGTTGTCTGCCGCTGGCGAACAGTGTGAAGCCATTTGTTTTTTTGTTTCTCTATCAATAACTCAGAGCATCTTGAGTCTGGAGTACTGAAAGTGTAAACATGTGAGGAAAAGAGAAAAGGAGAGGCAGTGGGTATTTTCCTTTAGGCTTCCATCGGTGTCGTGATTAATCTAATCTAATCAACCAACCCCAGCTGCACCTGTCTTCCACAATGTTGGCACTATGATAAATGCTTTTATACTACGTTATGCTGAGCTGGTTCGCGGTCAAATTGTGTCAAAATGCTATATTCTGCTTCCAGTGAAGATTGATTACACGCTGTAAACCTTTACCGTGCCTTAAAGAAACAATCAGCTTTCTGCGAATTTCATAGGAGCATGGGGGTCGCGACAATCAACTTACCATCGGCACAGGCACCAGCCCAACACTGCCCTTTTTCATTCCACGCGACGCAGCTGACCACCTTGACATCCTGTCCAGCTGGCACAGTCGCGATAATGTCGCCACTAAGAACATCCCACGCAAACACGGCCGCTTGACTCGTAGCTCCTTTGCTTTCCATATCTGTAGCTTCACTCCCACTCAAAACGATAGCATCTCCCTTGGCGAACACAGACCGGAGTCGAAGTGATTTGTTCAAGTACCTCTCTCCAAACTTGCCGGTCTGTGTTTCACCCCCGTAGGCTTTCAGAAGTTTACCATCGGTGCGATCGAGCATGCGAATCTTGCCGTCCAAACTAGAGACGAGGACAGCATTGCCGTCGGCGGAACATCGTACGCTCGTGACGGGGTGGGCGATAACATCTACTGTGGTACGACCCATGCGAAGATCGTAGATCCGAACTCGTCCATCGTAGCTTCCGCTGGCAATTGAGTAGGTTGGCATGTGAACATGTAATGAGGAGACGGTGTCGGAAGCTTCGGCCAAGGTCTGAATCGGTTTGTATGAATTGGACTTTGTGTCCCATAGGTTGATGGTGGTATCCGCGCTGCCTTGAGATATAATCAGTTCCCGATTGCAGTGCATATATCGATTCTGGGAGTGACCTACCTGACACGACAACTGAGTCGCCTTCACCAGCAAATTGCACGGCTTCAACACGGCTCGAATGGCCTGTCCACCTTCTTACAGTACCTCCCTGTTCTACATCCCAGAGAAAGACTTGCCTGTCTCCCCCAACACTGGCGAACCGTGAATTATCCGAGCTGACGGCGATGTCAAGAATCGAGTATCCATGCGCCTCGTATTTCTGGATTGGTCGGGTGGTTTCGACGATCGACGGAGTGTCGGTGCTCGGAAGTGCCCGAGACAGGTGGATAGCTCGGTCAGTTGAGCCTGTCAGGACATATGTCCCAGGATAGCTCGAAAATGTTACCGTGTTGACGGGTCCTGGAGTTGCAATGTCAGTAATGGATGCTGGACGCTTGTTGTACAATGTTGACTTACCATTGTGAGTCTTGAGAGTGTGAACATGGCGAGATGGAAACTTCCGGTTGCTTGACATCCGTAAAGTGCTCTGTGAATATGCAACTTGCTGCTAGAGGAACATAGCTTTCAGTTCAGGTTGTGTCGACTCGTGAATATAGGTGGTTGAATCAGTATGGAGCAAGGTAAAAAAAGAAGTTGCGGGGGTGGTTGATGCGGGAGCTTAGACCGTCTACGTAATTCTATTTTGAGCTACAAGCTTAGAGCTACCCACGAACAGCTGAGAAGTAATTTCCCATGATGAATATTAAATAACCTGAATTGGCAAGCTACTATCAAAGGAAGGATATTATATAGGGCGCAAAGAGAAACCATTACTCAACGACATAATGAGGCAAAAAGAATCATCGACTCACCCTAGCCCGGGTTTTTCTGGCCCAGGATAATGAGTATTTTTGTTCGCTCACTCAAGATAAAACCAAGGAAAAAGTAGGGTAGTCACGAATACGAAGTGGAAATGCACGTCGCACAAATCTTAGAAAACCGTCATCAACGGCCAAAGCATGTTCTCGAATTTTGGTATCACTCCCCCGACCTTTAACGACGACCGCTTCGAGCGGAACCCTGCATCTGTTCCATTTCCTGTTCGAGTTGCTTGATACTATTGAATAGTCAGTAGTTTTCTTTCGAAAACAATTATGGAAAAGAACATACGCCGCGTGGGTGGCCTCCAAATCTTTGTTGAGGCGGTCGCGCTCGGAGATAAGCTTCTGCTCCCACTGTCTGAATCGCTGTTCTTCGACCTTGACTTGCTCGGTGAAGCGCTTGCGAAGGTTCTCTTCCTCCTCCTTGAACTTGGGGTTGTCCAACTTGCGTGGTCGAGCTTCTCCGAATTTCCTGGTCTCCATTTGCTGGGCACGGTACGCTTCGTAGTGAGACTCCTCGGTAGTGTGGATGAGGTCAAGCATGTGGGTACGGATAAGGATGGATCGGAGCTTCTTGAAGTCGCAGTGGTCCTCGTTCTCGACCTCGGCAACACCCCAAGCGTACTGGCGACCCTTTACCACCTTGCCTTCGTTGTTCTTGACGTCCTTTTCGGAGCCAATAACGGCGAATGGCATGGCAGCCGACAAGCTACGGGCATGGGCGGCGGCGTGTTCGTCATCTTCCTCAACGGGTGGCTGGTAGATCTGGATACCTTGAGAGGCAACGACAGCACGAACCTAGACAACATTAGCAAGAATTCTAGACAGCAAGATTGAGAAAACTTACCCTCTGCTTGAAACGAGCCAAGTCAGATGGACTGAGAGTGTCGGCCTTGGCAATGACAGGAATCAAGTTCACGCGAGAGCTCAAACGCTTCATAACTTCAATGTCAAGGGGTTTCAAGGTGTGTCCGGTAGGACGGATAAAATAGAGACAGGCATGAACACGGAGATCGATCTTGTCTGTGCGGCGGGGTTGTTGCTCTTGCAACATATATGACTCGTGCTGGTCGTCGAGGAATTCGATGATGGGTTGCCATGAATCGCGGTTGTTGACGTAGTCGCCGAAACCAGGAGTGTCGATAACAGTAAGACGGACTGGCATAAAACATGTAAGTTAGTACGTGGTACGCCCAAATAGATCGTCTATCGTACCCTTGAAGAACTTCTCCTCCAATTCAGCCTTTGTGATCTCAATTTCGACGGTCTTGTCGATTTGTTTAGCGTGTCGCTTTTTGTGGTCGGCGTAGTTCTTGATCGTAGTGGAGAAAAGTGTATTGATGAATGTAGTCTTTCCCAAACCCGACTCGCCCGCAACCTAAATTCTTGTTGGTAAACGTTCCTTCCCAATTGTATCTTCGACACATATCAAAACGCACCATAATTGTGAAAGCTGCTCCCCGCTTTGCGACAATTTTATGACTGTATATTCCGGTCAATAAGAATTCGAACCATCTTCATCTCCTTGATTGGAGTAAATTGCAACGACATACCGCTGGTTAGGGAGCTAGAGAACCGAGTTGAGTTAGCAATGGCTTGTACATTTTGCAATTGATGAGCCCAAGGTATCATTACTTACATTGGCAATGCCAATAGGCGAAGCGTTCTCAGTTGAAGTAGCCATTATTCACACAGGTGTTGCCTTTCAAGATATGGAATAGAAGTGAATAGCACAGAGACTTGTTGAGGCCAGACAACCAAGCACAAGAATGATTCGGATCAGGAGAGCTGGACAGCGGGAGGTAACGAGAAAGCGACAAGGCAGAGAAAGGGGATGGATGAATAGGGACTAGCTAGGAGACTAGCTGTGGATGTCTCTGGCTGCGCTGATCCAGTCTGTCTGGTCTCTTTTGCTGTGGTCGTTGTGATCTGGCGTTGGAGTTGGAGCCCCTGAACTGGCTGGTGGAGTCGCCGTGGAAGGTTACTAAGGTTGTACATGGCTAGAGGGAAGCTGAGGAGGCAAACGAGCCAATCAAATCCAGCTAAACTAGGTTAGTTCGGGAAGGCACAGGCCCCGGACCACACTTGCCCCGATCAGGCTTAGAGATGTCTTCGGAGCGGATTAACTGTTGCTTATCGTTCCGAGGCCGAAGAAAAGCTTCAAAAAATTAATGGCGGAGTAGAGGTCCTTCTTTGAGTAGCAGATTGACAGACAGCCACAATGAAGACGGACTTCAAGGTGCGCCCTACCCTATAGGGCTCGACACAGCCATGCTTTATTTAATTAATGATTGCTGACTTCGACTCATTTTAGTTCTCCAATCTTCTGGGCACTGTGTACCGCAAGGGAAACCTACTCTTCACTCCCGATGGTACCTGCCTTTTGTCCCCAGTAGGCAACAGAGTGACCGTATTTGACCTGGTCAAGTATTTCTCCCACCCTGGCTAAGTAAATCTTGAATTTTTGTTAACAATGCACTATCTAGCAACAAATCATACACCCTTCCTCTTTTCCACCGCAAAAACATCGTCCGTCTCGATCTCAACCCACAAGGCAATCTACTTCTCACTGTTGATGAAGATGGCCGCGCGATATTAACGAACTTCAAACGACGAATTGTCATATACCACATCTCATTAAAGGGCCCGGCCGACGCTCTCAAATTCTCTCCGTCCGGTCAACACTTCGCCGTTAGTATTGGACGGCGGTTGCAGCTCTGGCAAACTCCCTCAGTCCCGGGAACCGACGCTGGTGGTGATCTAGAATATGCGCCATTTGTCTTGCACAGGGAGCTTACGGGCCATTTTGATACCATTCAGAACATTGAGTGGTCGAGCGATTCTCGTTTCATCCTTACATCGTCAAAAGATTTGACTGCGCGAGTATGGAGTCTAGACCCGCAGGATGGATTTGAGCCGACAACGCTAGCAGGACATCGACAGGGAGTCAAGGCGGCCTTTTTCACTGCAGACCAAGAAGCTGTAAGCCATGCACCTGTTCAGATGCCTTAGCGCTTTGCTGACTGGCTACTAGATATACACCGTGAGCGAAGATGGTGCGCTCTTTCGATGGGAGTATACCTCAAAGAGACTTGAAGGGGAGGCAGATCGCGAAGAACGTTGGAGGATCATGAAGAAGGATTTTTTCCTGCAGAATGATGCCAAGTTGAAGTGTGCTTCATTTCATGCCAAGTCCAATCTGTTGGTCGTCGGCTTTTCTAATGGCATTTTCGGGCTTTATGAATTGCCAGACTTCAACAACATCCACACATTGAGGTAAGTCATTTTCAACGAGATGGTTCGTATATGCATTAATTGTCTATAGTGTCTCGCAAAGTAATATCGATTTTGTCACCATTAACAAGTCGGGCGAGTGGCTAGCATTTGGCTCCTCTAAATTCGGTCAACTTCTCGTGTGGGAGTGGCAATCGGAATCATACATACTGAAGCAACAAGGGCATTTGGACTCACTCAATTCTCTAGTCTACTCAGCAGACGGACAGCGAGTCATCACCACGGCCGATGACGGCAAGATTAAAGTCTGGGATACTGTATCCGGATTCTGTATCGTGACCTTCACAGAACATACAGGTGCTGTCACGGACTGCAAATTCTCCAAAAAGGGGAACGTTCTTTATACAGCCTCGTTGGATGGTTCAGTCAGAGCCTGGGACTTGATCAGATATCGGAATTTCCGAACATTCACAGCTCCTTCTAGGCTTGGTTTCACTTCCCTGGCCGTTGATCCAAGTGGAGAGGTGGTTTGCGCCGGGTCTCAAGATTCGTTCGATATTCACGTTTGGTCTGTACAAACTGGCCAATTACTCGAACAACTCGCGGGTCACGAAGGACCAGTTGTGTCACTCGCCTTTGCTGCGGATGGTAGCAATCTAGTCAGTGGTAGTTGGGATCGCACCGTCCGAATATGGAGTATCTTCGGCCGATCACAAACTAGTGAGCCGTTGCAACTACAATCTGATGTTTTAAGTGTTGACATGCGACCGGACGGAAAGCAGATAGCTGCATCCAGTCTGGACGGACAGCTCAGCTTCTGGAATGTGTTTGATGCTGTTCAAGAAAGTGCTATAGAAGGGCGTCGCGATGTTTCTGGAGGAAGAAAGGTATCTGATCGACGGACAGCCGCCAATGTGGAAGGTACAAAGTCGTTCACGAAAATCACGTATAGTGCAGATGGAACTTGCTTGTTGGCAGGAGGTAACAGCAAATACATCTGTCTCTACGACGTGACTACCGGCTCCCTTGTTAAGAAGTATACCGTGTCCGTGAACATGTCCATTGACGGTACTCAGGAATACTTGAACAGCAAGAACATAACCGAAGCTGGACCTCGTGGCCTGCTCGACGAAGCAGGAGAGGCATCCGATCTCGAAGATCGTATTGACCGCAGCCTACCTGGTGCTAAGCGTGGCGATGCCGGAGCAAGAACCACAAGACCGGAAGTCCGTGTCTCAGCTGTCTCATTTGCTCCAACTGGACGATCATTTTGTGCGGCAACGACAGAAGGTCTTTTGATCTATAGCCTTGATACAGAATTCGTCTTCGATCCGTTCGATTTGGATATTGACATTACCCCGGACTCTATCTTGGATACTCTACAAGAAGCTCAAAAGTCGTCTCATGCAACATCCACAGATGATGCTTCATTCCTCAAAGCTTTAATCATGGCATTCCGCTTGAACGAGGCACCACTCCTCCGCACCGTTTATGAAAGCATTCCCTACCGTGACATCTCACATATCGTACGCTCCATTCCTCAGACGTACCTTCCGCGATTTATTCGGTTCATTGCACACTCAACAGAGGAAACTCCCCACTTTGAGTTCAACTTGCTCTGGGTTGAGTCTATCCTCAGCGTACATGGACGATACCTGAAAGAGCATAATGGTCAGTTAGCACCAGAGTTACGCGCCCTACAAAGGGTTCTGGATGATTTCAGAGACAGCCTCAAGCGCCTTACGGAAAAGAACGTGTACGAACTGAACTACTTGCTGTCTAAGCCAGTTCTTGGTTCGAAAAAGACCAATGGCACTCTGAGGATTGATGAGAGCGCGCCTGTTGATCAGGAAATGATCGAGACAGAGTAGAAGGAGACTCAAGGGCGTTGAGGCGACAAAATAGAATGGAGTTGTTGATCTCAATCTTTGAGACCAATGTTTGCATACTTTTGGCGGGCGTATTGGGTAAGTCATGATACCTGGGTATTAAAAAGTCGTGATTGCACAAATATTGTATGTTCTTATTCATGTACATAAATCCATGTGGCTCGTGCCACATGTCTTAGATCATCAATATAGATGTATTTTTCAAGCAACTACAAGACGTTCTTACATGATAGCAACAGCATTCGGCGGACTGGCCACGCCTCCTGGGACCTGTACACAAAAAGATCAGGGTCAAAATCCGCATATACTCTGGGAAGGAACAACCCACATTTAGCGGCACACTGGAAAAGAAAAATGTCCATTTCTTCTCCTCTGCACAGTGACTCGCAAGCTTCTCCAGATAAAACATCTCACCCAGCGGCAAACCCCATCCAGCCAAACACCACTGATGTAGGGACCATTCCGGAGGTACCTGCGGCCCGTCTACGGGCGAAGACTCAACTGCGACTGCATCACTGGCCACGGCGGCAAATTGATTCTCCCAAAACCATCGCAGCGTTGCTTCGCTGGATTCAATGCCCACAAATCGTGACACGGGTCGTTGGCCGAGCGCAATGCCTTCTTCGACGGAAAGTTGTTCATATGCTTTGGTGAACCCGACTCGGATGAATAGGATATCACCAGATCGGAAGGAGACACCTTGCTCTGCAGCGACCTTTTTGATAAGGTCAAGAGGGATTACTGTGCTCTCGAAAGCGGGGAAGGTGAGGTTGTTCTTTTCGGCGTAGGAAGCGATATCAATCAAGACACCGCGGCCAACGACGCCGCCATTGTCGACCCATGCTTGTTCGAGTCAGGCAATTTCATGGAGGTGTATGATGGATCGCTTACAGTCAATACCAAGAACATCAGTCGTCTCGATTGTCTCTTGCGAGGTTCCATTATAGAAGAGCTTGTGCACCTGGTTTGCTATACCCATTTCAGTCAGTCCAGTTACTTCTGAAAGCTGGATGCGTGAAAACATACCATAATGCCTAAATCCATCCCACTGCGTGCTGCACTGCGTGTTAAACACCAAAATATCATCATTCACCACCCTCGGCGCTTTGTGGTGAATCTTCTTCTCAAACGACTGTCTCCCAAATGCCGGTTTGTGTAGAGCATTGAGTTTCCAGTCCAGCGCAAAGCGGGCCCCTTCCTTGATCTCTTCGGATGCTGCTTGTTTTACTACTTCTGGTGTGAGGAGGTTGAGCATGCCAAGATGGTTGTCTTTGCCGAAGAGGCCCCAAGCGTTGCCCTTGGGGCCTGAGGGGTCAAGGGTCAGGTTGTCGAATGAGGGGATTGTGACGGGAGACATTTCGATAAGTACTGGGAGTAGAAATCTCAAGATTATTGACTGTTGGTCATGTATATGGAGGGTTTTATAAAACTTTGAATGTCACTAGAATAATTGCTGATGGACGCCACGAAACGCGGGGTATATATACTTCTACCTAGGAGCGGGGAGAATTAATTGAAGCTTTACAAGATTCGGATACATTCTTTCGTCTTATAGTTGTTGATTGACCTAGCTATGAATTGCCGAGAAACTGCATGTGGATGAAGAGGATAATTATCCGCATCGGCTTTCTTTCCGAGGAGAACCCATATCATTTCATACGGAGGACTAGAAGATATTTCTGTCAAAATAGAAGGCTGTATTTATTTTTGACTGACATCTAGTTGCGTTTCATTATTCAAGTTGATCTTGTCCCACTTGTCCAAAAACTTATCCATTTCCAGATTCTCTCCTTCTCGATCCTGAAAAGTGGACGAGAAATTAGGATAAAGGCTACTGAATTGAGCCCGATGTTTCTCCTCCCAATCCTTCTCGTTGAAATCAATAAAAAGTGCACGTGCTTCTTCTGGCAGAGATATATTCATATTTGCGGCATTGATCTGTATCATACGTAGGATACCTTTACTCAGCATATAGCGCCGAGAACAGGCGCGTGTGACGACGCATAGTTCTGTAAAGGCTTTTCTGTTCGTGTCTTCGTCGAGTGCTTCGAGTAATGTGAAGAGACTGACGCCAAGCCAATGTATCAAGGTAGGGGACATGCGCTGAATGCCCCATTTCCGGCGATGCACGTTGACCAAATCAAGGACTTTATGCGCTGCTTTGATGCGCACGTCTTGAATGTCTATCTGATCAAACTCAATTCCGTGTGACCTGACAACGCCGAAGAACTGCATAATGATGGTCTGATAGTGCATACTAGTGCCGCTCATGTCAACAACTTACGATCGTGGTCAAGCCAGCAAAAAGGCGGGTGGCCACACTTACTGTAAAAGAAGTATTTGAGGCACAGAGGCAGACTCGGCTTTCATACAATCCGGTAAATCCGCCTCCCATTTCTGTAAGTTCTTATAAAAGGTCTTGCCGTTGGAAACCAATTCTGAATCTGGTTGTACTTCTTTGGCCGCAATCCATTCGCCGAATCCGCGAAGAATGATCATTAGATCAGACCATCCATGTGAGACGCAAGATATATGACCCGGCACCACTTCTCCTTGTCGCGGGTAGGGAGACCAGACATCCCACACAGTATTGTGACTAGGCTTTGGCCGCGGATACCGAGGCGTCGCTATGTATTCATATCGCATGAGAGAGGTGGAGTAGGTTCTAAGTAATTGGTGGGTTATGAGCTGTCCTTGGCCATGTACCTAATATTATGGGGTTCAAAGCTTCTTACGTGATCATATTGAAGAAACCCCAGAGAGCATAACTGATCGAATCGTCGCCTTCTTCTTCCGTGTTGACTTTGGCCACAAGGTTTTCATACTCTTGAGCGGCACGTCTGGTCATTCCAAGAAACATCGAACCCGTGCGATCCTTTCCCACCACGGCCATTCTGTGATAATGTTAGATTTGAAAGCAATTCTCGGGTAACGGTATTGGGGATCTTCGCACGCCACGCTCAGTATAGCCACGCCCTGGATCGTAGTAAGCGCTGAGTAGTCATCCATTGTGGCTATCTGTGATCTTGCTGCCGCAAGAAACTTTTCGCCACGAGTCGCTACATCATTTGGAGTACCATAAACTTCGACATAATCACTTAGAGCCTATTAACACATCGAGAGTTAGCTTGAAAGGGCCACTATATCATGATTAATGGCATACTTACACTTGCTTCAGCAAGAATGGCGTTTACTAACAGCGGGGAGCAGTATTTGCAGTCCAGCTGGCCAGCTTGCATATCCCTGATGAAATTTTCGCGGTGCACAAAGTTATAAAATGGGTTGTTCCATGTAAACCATAAAGAAATCAAGTGGGAAACCAACTCATCATCATCAGTCACCGTGACCCATGGTTTGGCAGGCACTTTGTAAATCGGAATATCCGACAATCTTTCAACATCCATTATGCTCCTCATCTCCCGAGCCCGGACGTTTCTCGATTCTTGGATCTCTTGCCGAAGTCTCTCGAGCTCCGGAGTTTTCTCGATATGCGCCTCTCGAACTTGTGCGTCTATGAAGGCTCTAATTTCGGCGAGCGAGGCATGGCCCCTGATTAGACTCAGAAGTTGCTCGACATATGTGTTCTTGCCATCGCGCATACTCGCAACGAGGTCGAGGAGAAGGTGTCGATCCTTTTCCAGATCGTCGATTGTTCGTTTGTGTGCTATTCGGCGGCGACCATCTTGTGACTCGTCAACGACGCACTCGACGCCATACCGGACACAGCTCTCGCAGGGTGGACCGCCGGAACACTGTATTTCACGTCGTTCAGTAGGCGGGGAAGAGTCAATGAGGCGTGCAAACATCTAATACCTTGATTTTCCTGGCCTTGCAGCCTTCGCAGGCCGTTGACTTCTGATTCCGTCTTTTGGATGGCATGCGTCCAGGTGGGAACCCTGTAAGCCATGATGACGCTGAAGCTTGGCCTTGGAGCGGGGTCTGATTTGACATTGGACAGGTATTATTCGAGAACCGTCATTATAGTGTCTTTCCTCAAGAAAAAAAAGTGTGCCTTCAGATGTGATGATCTACTCATCCGTCGATTCGGAACCCATCACGTTAAATATGTTATGAGCAGGCGGGGCCAATTCTGATCCTCATCATGATCCTCCTCGTAAACACTTGCTTGGATCAAACCTGGTAACATCGCTAGCGGCGGGGKGGTTAGTGCAATCGGGGATATAGCCACTTGTCATTGGATGCTTGGACCGCTTGATAGTTCCATGAGGATCCGAGCTTAAAAACAAAGCAAGTTTGTGGATCATATCAATCAACTCTGAATTATTCAGCATTAATCTCTGTTATCTGCTAAGAAACGTGGGGTCGCTGGGATGTAAGCAGTTTCTGGGTATATCCATATGCTGGTCAAGTCTATTCTAAAATACATGTGTCGATGACTCGTGCGCATTGCCGATTTATCCAGATACATAGATTCTAAATCTTTACTGCTGTCTTAACCGAGTTTGACCCTCTACTCCGCGACAAGCCTAAAGACTTATGTGACAACAACGACTCAACCTCAACTGGAGTGAGGATGTTAGTTGTCAGAAGCATCCCAACACTTACAGTCAGCTTGTTGCAATGATTAATGTGTATTGTTCGAATATCAAAACTACCTACGGATTTATTGTGCCGATTTGCCTACCACTTGAACATGACTACAAATCTAGTTAACCTGAATGAATAGGGTTCGCGGATTGATAGCCCTAGTTGTGGTGGTCTTTTGCGCAACAGTCAATAACACCTAGCTCTATATCGACCCCTGGAACATGCTGCTATTACTATTATGTAATGGCTTAAGTCCTGTAAGTTCATATCAGATGTAATTACTCCCAGACATAGTCACCACGACATCTATGATATTCTCTATGCTAGGCTGGCATTCATGCGAAGATATCAGGATTTGAAAAGAGGTGGCGAGAAACAAGGTAATTTGTCCACTCTTTAGCAAAGTCCGTTGATATTACAGTCAGGACGGTGCTACTGAAGATCATCACAGAGATTTCCGAAAGCGCACGAGTCTTCCCTTACGGAGGTCTTATTTGTTCACGTCCATTCCGTCCTCGAATATTTGGTTGATCAGCGAGTGAACTCATTAAACTGCTGCAACCTAGATGACTGGAGCATACAATGATTACTGTCTTTTGAAAATCTGAAAGCTGAAGCTGCAATTGCCGCTTCATACCCCGGCGATGACCGAAGCCCTCCGAGGTCAGGAGCCCAATCTTGCATGGATTAGCAGAGACTCTGTTCCGTATGTCTCATATGCATCATGCACCGCGTTCAGCTGAGCCTTGCACATTACTCAGTAAGTAGTCGGAGTCAATACTGAGTTCAAAATTTGTATCATATGTATTGGCCGCGTGCAGTTCCAAGGTTCCGGGAGCGTTCCCTCCTTCTGCTGTGATGTAACGGCATTTATAACAAACTTGATGCAACCATTGACCTATGTTGGTATGTATATATACCTCTTTATGTTTATCGGGACCAGAAAATATTGTTATTTTTCTTATAATCTAAACTGAATACATTGTTATTCCTCTTCGATTGATCACCAGGTACAATATCTGAAAAATCCTAGACAGACGCAAGGGGGCACCTCGGCACTCCACAAACCAATTGATAGATCGTTCCTTCATTCGGACACACAGTTTTTCCAACCAACCACTTCCTGCTAGCAGGTTTCTGCGCGTGGCCAAGCTTGCTAGGCCTAGATCTCAGGTACGCTTCCTTGCCTCTCAACGAATCACTTCCCGTTGTTGGCCATGTTGTGAAGTGTAGAGCATTCCGCAATTTCAGTTTATCCTTCGCGTTGGTATTTCCATAAATGACTAAATCAAAATATCCTGTAATTGGAAGACTATGTGCTATTGTATTGGATAAATATAAGCAATTGAGCCTGTCTCTTTTCATTTCTTCTTATTTGTTTGGTAGGTTTTCGGCACCGTCCAGTCAGTCGTTAGAGGCTCAACTTTTTTTGTTTTTATTCCAACATTTGTCGTTCATTGATTCCAACTAATAGACGATCTTTCACGTTTGTTTTCTTTCCTGAATTGAGCTGACCACGGGAGAAGTTGCTCATATGATTCCTTCACTTACGTTACTACTTGTGTCTGGCCTTGTCCAGTTTGTTGCGGCCAAAGATGTCTACCTCGCGTGGAACATTACTTGGGTAAATGCTGCCCCGGATGGCTATGAAAGACCAGTCATTGGTATCAACAACGAATGGCCTTGTCCACAAGTGGATGTCGACGTTGGTGATCGACTGATTGTGGATGTGACAAATTCCTTGGGAAACCAGTCTACTGCTATTCACTGGCATGGCTTGCACCAATATGCTAGCGGTACTATGGATGGCGATTCGTTCGTTACTCAGTGTCCTGTTCCTCCTGGCTCAACTATCCGCTACGATTTCACTGTAAGTCCGCAAGTCAATTGGCTTCTCCCACATTTGAACAGCTTGCTAATTCATTCTTATCTTTCTAGCTCGACCAATCCGGTACATATTGGTATCATTCACACAACATGGGACAGTATCCCGACGGCTTGCGTGGCCCACTGGTTGTCCATGACCCAAGCCCACCTTTCCAGTGGGACGATGAGTTCACAGTCACCTTGACAGAATGGTATCACCAGGAGATGCCTGATCTACTCAATCAATACCAATCAACAGATAATGCGCAGGATAATGCAGGAAATGAGCCCATACCTGAAGTTGCATTGATCAATGACTCCACTCAATCACAATTCAAAGTTCTACCAGGCAAAACATACTTGGTTCGCTTCATTTGTGTCGGAAATTGGCCTGGACATGCATTCTTGTTTGACGATCATGAAATGACCGTTGTCGAAATCGATGGAACTTGGGTTGAGCCCTACCCTGTTGGCGAGAAGAACATTCGAGTTGCGCCCGGTCAACGTATGAGTGTTCTCATCAAAACTAAAGATGATGCAAGCAAAAACTACGCTTTCTGGGACACCATCGATACCAATATGATGTTCGTTTACGAAAACAGGTCTGCACCGGAAGGTTATAACGCTAATGCGACTGCATGGCTCGTTTACGATGAATCGCTGCCCCTGCCACCACCTCCTGTTATCAATGAATTTGACTTTATTGATGATGTAACGTTTGTTCCCTACGATCGTACACCACGTCTTGAACCAGTCGACCATCAAATCATCCTCAATACCGGTCATACCACCATCAATGGAGTCAGCCGGTTCACCGTCAATGGCCAGACATACATTCCTCAGCAAGTGCCTACTCTCTACACAGCATTGACTGTTGGGCCGGATTATTACAACGATCCGGTTGTGTATGGTGATGTGAACCCGCTGATTCTCAACCACAACGATGTTGTCGAGATTGTGATAAATAACTTCCACAACAACCTTCACCCATGGCATTTACACGGCCATCAATTCCAGGTCATACAACGTAGTGCTGTAGATGGCGGTTATTTTAACGGTTATTTCGCAAATATCTCTGCCACTCCAGTCATCCGTGACACCATCATGGTACAGAACAATGGCCATGCAGTCATCCGATTCCGCGCTGACAATCCCGGTGTCTGGCTATTGCACTGCCATGTTGAGTGGCACGTCGAAGCCGGATTTGTTGCTACCGTTATCGAAGCACCAGATCAATTGCAAGATTTGCACAGGCCCGCTGACCATCTGCGTATTTGTGAAGCCTATGGAGCGCCTACCAGCGGAAACGCGGCAGGAAAGCAGGGCACAGATCTGCAAGGAGCAAATGACTACATCTATGCAGGTGATTCAGGGTAAGTCAATTCATCCAGCATTCAGAACCACTAAAACCTCCTTTTCAATAACCTCCAATATTGCTTTTATATTCGTGCTAATTCCGATCTAGGGCTACTTACCCGCCACTTACGTTCCCGTAATTAACGACTGAATTCCGGTTCGATCGAGTATTCGTTTATTGATTGCTTCTTGTAGCAATATTTGACATTCTTTAATTCAGTGCAATGCCTTATTTCAACTCTTGGGATTCATTTCCCCACTTTTGAAGCCCAAGCAGTGCAGTGTGGCTCGAAGCTCCAGACATGCGTCTATGTTAATCTCTTCAACTTCAATACATTTATAATGTACATAGTACTATTAGATCGCGTGCTATCTTCTTAATCTATGGCACCAAATTTCCACCTTTACAACGATCTTGGTATATTTCTCCACTATTAGTTTCACGTCTTCGCCGCGTTAGCGAGCTGAGTACTTAATTTTTGAAGCGAAAACCCATTCAAAAAACTTCTAAGTACCGAGATGGTCACAAGAAATAACATATCAAATAATCAAATATATGAAAAAGTGCGTGCTACCTAAGTACATAATCTGCTGAATTATACCCAATGATTTGATGACAACTATGCTTCTGGTGATGACCAGAGTAAAGGGTAAAACACAAAACATACAATAAGCTGAGAAAAAACAGATTAAAACAATACAAACATGGAATAAGAGTCACTCCTGGTACTCAGTTCTTCAGACCTGGATTCTCGCCCTTGGTTAGAAGGTTTTCGAACCACTCGTAAGCTGTAACAAGGGTGTCTGGGTAGCCCATATGTGCCAATTTCTCGACAAAACTACGAGTTGTTAGTATACGGAAGAGTAAAAGAGAAAACAGTACTGATTAGGAACTATGCGACGTACCGGCCTTCCTTGGGACTTCCGTGGTTGAACAGAAGTAAAGAATCTTCGATTGGCACCACTCCATCATCAACCCCCTATCAATTGTGGTTAATCATCTGTCACGAACTGGATTCACACTTTAGTAAAGAAAACGTACATTCAACAACAGAAGCCTGCATGAAGGTTTTTGCATGATGCCATTATCGAGGAGCGAGAACTTCTTTTGTCCATCCTTCTTGAGGTCTTCTACACTCTGGAAGCCAAATTTCTCGGCCATTGCCTTCGATAGTCTTTGTAGATTCGTCAGGGATTTAGGCTCAAAAGATGTATCTTGGAAGAGATAGATACTCACATAAATGGATATTCATGGTCATCAATTCGTTCCAACCAATCTTCATGCAAAAAGTGGTGAGTGCCCGGTCCATGTGCCACACAGCCCAAGAATTGGTTACGGTGGGTCGAAGCTGCTCGAACAGCATAATAGCCACCGGCACTCAGACCCCATGCAACGATTTTCTGCAGATTGAACTCTGGTCGGGACGCCATGTAGTCCAACACAGAGTTCCATAGCCGATCAACAGATTCTGGGTCGGTTGGATCGGCAGGGCAGTCTGCTGTACCGGGAATCTCGCAGATGACAACGGCCCATCCACGACCGACAAGTTCATGTGTACGCTGAGAATTGTCACATCGATATCCGTCTAGACCGGTCATGAGTAGTACGACGGGGACTTGATTGGTGATATCTGCTAGCTGTGGAACTCGGACAAGTAAAGGAATAGTCTCGCCGTCGTTCCCTGCACGGTACTTGTGTGTGATGACCACTTCGTCGATGGGTGGACTCCATGTAGAAGCGGCTTTTAGGTAAACTTCTTTTTGTCGATCGAAAGCGGCACGTTTAAGCGGGCTCGTGACAGTTTTCCCTTCTGTGATAGGACTAACGTAGGGAAAGCGTGAGATGCGATATACTACAGCGGCACGTCGGTAGTACTCTGCTGCTTTATCTCTGATGCCGTTCTTTGCAGCTTCAAGAGCCTTTGACTCGAGGGCTTCTGCTGTCGGTAGAAATGAGTTTGTGTACTCATCCGTGTATGCATCGTTGATATTTTCGGCAATGAGCTTTTCAAAAATAGGCTCAAAGTCTTCATAGGCACCGTCGTGAAAAGGATAGACAGCTTTTATGCACTATTCAATATGTAAGTATGATGCTCACCATTAGTTTCAAGCTGCACAGAGTTGCTCTCTTACAGCTGCTTTCCATTTCGACTCCCACAATCCCTTGATTGAGTTCTTGTGCGGATAGACCGTATAGAATTTGTCGCCTAGAATCCAATTCGTCATTTTGCTGCAGGGAAGAACGAATACTTAAAAAACCGGGTATGGATGGAGAATCAATTGAAAGAAGGGAGACTGAAAGAAACTTATTGCCTCAAAATCTGTCCCTTTTAGTAAATCAATTGAAAAGCCATGAATCTTCATTCAGACGTAATGCGTGACTGAGCATCTCTTAGCTCAAACCAATTGTGTCATAAGAGCTCTTCAAAGCGAAATATTTCTTCCGTCTGCAGTTAGAACGTGGAAAAAGGCCAGGTTCAGCCCACCCTCTCCAAGCAAGGGCAGATGCTACAGGGATTCATCGACGTCCACACCTCATCTTCCGTATGCAATAGCCCTCATTCTATTTATAGCTTTGCAAGATCCACCAAAGGCATTCCATCTTTTGGCGAGTTTCCGATTGCGACCGCCCTTGAATCGCCACGAAGGGAGTTGTATCCACATTGCTSGAGCCATAATTTTGTGTTGGTGCATTGCCATCCCAAACATCTGATTGATGCATTGCATCCCAAGGATCCGATTGAAGCATTGCATCCAAAGGATCTTCCAAGGGATCCGATTGAAGCATTACATCCAAAATATACGAGTCCTGGAGTTTACCTTTAGCATGATGAATTACAGGCTGCACAGGCTGTACAGCAAGGAGGCTGATATCATCATGTGTTCAAATTGCGTAAGGGCTGAAACCTTGTGGCTTTGTCTCGCATGTTCAGAAAATATTCGAAAACGGAAAGTATGTCTCAATTAGGAAATAAACATTCATCACCGGATATGCACAAACAACATTCGTCTAGCCTGACCTGGGAGGTTGGGACTGCTCCATGATTCCTGGTACTTATCAATAATATGTTACTGGCTATCAAGGACGCGATTCAGCTGTCATGTGAATATTACGTAGGTATTCCGCCTCCTCCGTTTGGGTCCTCCACTGCATTAAAGCCCAGCAATGCACGAAGCCTTAGTTTCAAGAGACTCATTTTGTTACATGGACTAGATTTAATGATTGATCGAAATGCTATACTCAAAATTATTCGTATGAATGTGGGCGATTGCTTCAACATCAGGGTTGACAGCCTACACGTCGTCCACAACTCTCAACTGTGTATGGTACCTTAACGTTACAAAATACTTGAATAGGGTCGATGAATAAACTACCCACACATGAGTGAGGAGCGATGATTCAAATTATATACATCAGATAGCTGATAACAAACATGTAATTCTGAGCCGAAATCGCAAAAAATGGCTGCCGAACGGTCTAAAAAGCACCTGGATAAATGGCTCAAATGTTGGCCCCTCCGTTAACTGGAATGATTTGTCCTAGATGTAAAAAGTCAGTTATAAGTAGACTGCTTTAAGTATATGACTGAGTATAAGGTAATGGCTTACCATTGATCCATTCACCATCCTGGCTGGCTAGGAAAGAAACAACCCGACCAATGTCGGCGGGAACACCACATCTCTTCAGGGGACTGCCGTTCGCCAAAGCCGCTTCGATTTCCTCTAGCGAGGACGTTTTATCACAACCAGGAGCATATCGCCAAGAGTTCGCCAACCACATATCGCTCTTGATGCCAGCCGGTGCAATAGCGTTCACAGTGCAACGCTTCTCGCTGAAATCAGCAGAGAAACAGCGTGTGAAGCCTTCGACTGCCGACTTGCTACCGGCGTACAGAGCATGACCGGGGACACTGACACCGGCAGCAATGGAAGACATCAAAATCACACGGCCGCCCTCCTGAATGTACTTGTGGGCAGTTTTGGTGACAAAAAACTGACCGCGGGTGTTGATGTTGAAAACTTCGTTGAAATCTTCCAAGGTTGTTTCGCTTAGGGGTTTGAACTTTTCGACACCTGCATTAGAGACAACGATGTCAATTCGTCCAAAGTATCTCTGCACACTGCTGAACAAGTTCTCGATTTCATCGATTTTGGTGATGTCGGCTTGGAAAGCAGCGCCGCGAGAGCCCTCGGCCTCAATGGATTGAATGACTTGGTTCGCAGAGCTTGCACTGGACGAGTAATTGATAGCTACATATGCGCCTCTTTTGGCAAGTTCAAGGGCGATACCAGCGCCAATACCGCGTCCACCTCCGGTGACAAGGGCTACTTTGCCAACAAGAGTGCGAGGCGTAGCATGATCAACGTTGCCATTTGTGTTGTTACTTGGGGCCACCATCTTGAATAGTTGAATTTTGGAAACAAATATTAAATCAAAATGGCAAGCCTCGGTAGGAAAGCTCGGAACGTAGACCGTAGAGGAAAATGAAAGGTAGTCTTTACTCGTGAACTACAGACCCAATGCCTACGTAATATATAGTTCTAGTAACTTTTTGACTCCGGAAGTTGGTCATATTGAATCTCCTTGCATAAGGTGCGGTGAAACATCAACAACCGCGAGCGTATTTGGCAAGAACACGGTCCTTTCCCGAAATGGAAACACATAATCTCGCCCACTTAACTCTGCTGAAATCAGACGTGTCAAACGAGACGGTCACGAATAGAATTTTCAATTATGCGCCAATGTGGAACATGGTTTATCATGTGTCGACTTGGATCGAAAGTATGATATGCCGTCGGTTGCATTCTGTGTTTGGAGAGTTTCCGCTTTCGGCAAAAATTTGCTCTGTTTCTTCAATGCACGTTACAATGCCAAGGCAGACGGCGATCAAATGTTTACTGTACCTAAAATTGGATGATTTCACTTGCATAATTCTCGTAATAAGCCTGATTTCCGGTGTAGATATGGAAGTTGTAGTGAGACCGGGGCTGAAAGCCTCGTATGTTCCTTGTAAGTTGCTGGCAGGACGATCTGGACAAGCTGCCCAGCTTGTCAATATGACGGTTGTGTGCAGTTTGCATGCATCCAAATGTTTGGAATGTTTCAGTACTGGAACTTCATAAATGAGAGAGCGATCTTTCCCGTTAGGCTATCAAGTAGTTTGATTTGTTCCGCGTTTCTATCACAGCCTTCGATATATTTTATCACCATATCGTACACCAAGCATTCCCATAAACATAGAGCGACAGAGCGACGTGAGCTTAAAATTTCAATTTGTGCTTGCATGCAATCAACTATACCCATTTCTGATCACTTCGTTACAGCTAAACGATAACCTCTTCCAAGATCTCAACATGGCCCCATCTCTGAAGAACGATATTGAGCCTTCGAGCTTCGTGAGTTCCGGCAAACCAAATCTGGACATTAGCTTTCAAGGTAAAAAACAATTTTTGGATATAATTCTGATGGATTTTCCAGCTTACCAACGAATTAGATTTTCTTGAACTATCCAAGGTCGTTTTTGACTGGGCCGACAGCTACGATTCGAAGGTACGCAGACGATTTAGCCTGTATGAGATAGAGTCACAAAAACCAACATGGGATTTATAGGATTGGGATCGTCTTAGGGGCATCATTGCTACAACATTGACGGTACGCCGCTTAGCAGTAGACAGAACAAACAATGCTTGTGATATCGACTAAACCCCTTTGCATAGGTTGATTACACCGAAGTTGGGCTGTCACGGTGGGACTCAATGACTGCTGAGGAATACATGGCCATGGTCACTGATCCTGGCTTTCTTGGTGACCCTACCGTCAAAACCCAACATCTACTTGGTGGGACATGGTGGGAAAAAGTCTCCGATACTGAAGTAATCGGCCATCATCAATTGCGAGCTGCACATCAGGTTTACACAGACGCGAATCTGAAGACCGTCAAAGTCAAAGGTCATGGACATGCTACGAATGAGCATTACTATCGTAAAGTGAACGGGGTCTGGAAGTTTGCTGGTCTGAAGCCGACAGTCCGCTGGAATGAGTACCAATTCGAGGACGTCTTCAAGGCTTGTCACAACTGAAGATCCGTTCCTTGAAACATGCATTGGGCCCAAAATGATGCAAAGTAAGGGGTAAAAGACGGAAATTGGTTCCTGTACCGCATACTATAGTGAAATAAGCGACAAAATGTGATTTTCACTAGTAGTGCTAAGACACGCGGCCATATATTATATACACAGGTGAATCGAGTAACATCTAGTCCTAGTTTGGACTTTCTAAAAATAATAATCTTGCAACTCTATAGAACCCTGCCTGGGCTCAATTTGATATGCGACTATGCGGTATCCTGGTCGCCGACGCGTTCTGGAATGTCCGCTGGAATGAGAACAAATTCTTAGGTAACTGCTACGCCGTAGGATAGTCTCGTGTGTATTGCAGCAAATTATTCCATATCATCAATTTATTCTTCACCAATACCCTCTTACAACAAAACAGTACTTCAGCCCATCTGTGGTCCTACGCTGCTGACTATTTTGCGGTAAGAGTCTCACCGAAAATATGAAAGCCGGTCTTCCTTTGTTAGGCGCCGCAGCGTTGCCTTTGCTAGCCCTAGCTACCAACAGAGCGGGATTCAGAGGAGCACAAGCAAGCCCCTTCACCGTCTTTCAATATCCCGATAATGGAACCTGGATTGCAAATATTGCCAACCGACCAAATAACGATCTCGTCATAACACGAACTGATGTACCGGAAGTATGGACGATTAACGTGGACGAAGGCACTGCTCAATTGGCCACGATTATCCCGAACGCCAATAACTTGATTGGAATTTCTTCCATTGATGACGATGAATACGCTGTTATTGCTGGGAATCTGGACATTGCCACGCTCACTCCAGAGGCAGGCTCATTCTCGGCATGGAGAGTCTCTATCGGATCAGACGGTAACGGCACCGCCAGCTTGATTGCAGAAATCCCCGAAGCTCAATTTCTACACGGTGTAGTGACCTTTCAAAAGACGAGAGACACTGTCAATGTTTTGATTGCAGATGCTGGTCAGGGAGCGATCTACAAGTTGGACACGACTACCGGCGAGTACTCCATTGTAATCCAAGATGATGGCCTAGCTGGAGTGAACAATCTACGGATGCAAAACGGCTATCTTTACTTTACCGCTACGCAAAACAAGGTCTTTGGTCGATTGCCTGTTGATCTTGAGGAAGGAACAGCCGATGGGGCTATCGAAGTTATTCTCAACGACCAGGCACTTGTCCCAGACGGGTTCGCTTTGGCTCCCAACGGCAGTGTCGCATTCATGGCGACGTTCGTCCAAAATTCCATCATCACAGTCGATCTTGATAATGAAGAACATCCGACCAGTATTATTTACGGTAGCATTAATTCGACTGACATTGCAGGACCAACCACTGTTCAGTTCGTCCAGAATGGACCGTGGGAAACCCTGTACATCGCGACCAATGGTGGCCAAACTGCACCTGTTGGAGGAAGCTTCATTGAACCGGCAAAGATCGCCGGTATCTATCTTTTCTGACCTCACTTATTTTTTCTGTTAGGTGCCGATGAGGCGGTGCGCTTTATTTCGGGGTTTATTTTTAAAAATATGTGATACGAGTAATTTTCAATATTGACAACACTGAATTTCTGGAGCTGCACACAGTCAAAGTAAAGAAACAAACAATGCATTTGCATCATTGAAGCCCCTCCAAGATCATGATGTCTGGATGCGAGACACAAGCTGGCGTTGGGTGCAACCTCATGCCGTCATATGAAGTGAGAACGAGGCTGTTTTAAGTAGCAGATGTGAGATGCCAAGTTCTAGAATGACCATTAGGCTGCTGATATCAAGTTGGAACGAAATCAGCTGAAAACGGCTACTTAATACCTAGTATACAGAAAAATGGCCACTCAGAATTAATAGAGGACGGCCCGAAACGCCGAGGAATGCTTTCTTTGTGAAGATCGTCAGGAGATTTCTGCAGAAGCTAGGAATATGAAAACAAAAGTTGCATATACCGCCTTCCAAATGCGGCTGTTTTGAAGTCCAATTAATATTCTTCATTGACCTTGCTGATTTTAGATACATAGGAAATGTTCTCCTGCGCTAACTGCATTTTCCGGGTACGACGAATTATATATATATGAAACTGCAATTACCCACCAAAAGCTGGCAAGTCAAGTGAGCATTTGTTAACTCAAGTTGGTAACTTTTCTTTTTGAGAATTTTGCCCTACATTCTTCGATTAGATTTTGTCGAGTTCCTCAACTGCGAGTTTGTCCGGCCGGGTTGCCAGAAACTGTCAGATTATGGCACGCTCGAGTCGAATATTGCCATCTTGGGCGCTTTTAGCGACTTTAGTCCAGGGTGCCCGTGTCCATTTCGATCTTGACCTCACATGGAAGGTAGGTGCCCCAAATGGACAAGAAAGACAAATGATCTTTGTCAATGGACAGTTCCCAGGGCCGCCTATGGTGCTAGATCAGGGTGACGACGTTACGGTAGCTGTCACCAATCATTTACCATTCAATGCCAGTGTACATTTCCATGGTATTGAGTATGGTTCCCACCACCCCACTGAGTTACTCTACAAAAGAATTTCCACTAACAAACACATTTTTCACTTCCAGACAGAAAGACACGGCATGGTCCGACGGAGTACCTGGCCTGACTCAGTGGGCCATAGCACCTGAGAATACATTTACTTATCAATGGCATGCCAACGAATATGGCACCTACTGGTATCATTCACATGACATGGCTACCGTCCAAGACGGTCTCTACGGTGCAATTCGTATTCGGTAAGCATGTTCCATGAAAGCTCACGACCTGAATTTACTACCTGAGCGAATCTCCCATCTAACTATGACGCAGACCTTCCCAACAGACGGAAGATCCGTTCTCAATGATCACCACCAATACAACCGAGCTAAACGCTATAAGGCAAGCAGTGCAGAATGCCGAGCTCATTGTTGTCTCAGATTGGAGTCAATATACCTCGTTTGAGTACATGGATGCAATGAAGCAGACAGGTTACGATATCTTGTATGCATATCCTATCCCTTGCTTTTGTGTCAAATCCCGATCTTGTAATGTGCAGATGAGGCTAATTTACCATGCAGCTGCTCAGATAGTATCCTTATCCAAGGCAAGGGGTCAGTTTATTGCCCGCCACAGGAAGAATTAATTTCTTTGATGCCCTCTTCGGTCCAACATGTGCTTCAGGCAAACGTCACCGACAAAGGGTGCCTGCCCTTTGTGACTGGTACTCAAGGTCTCTGGGAACATCACCCAGAAAAGCTCCCAGCACACCTCAACGATGGCTGCATTGCCAGCGAAGGCTACAGGGCCACCGTGCAAGTCGATCCAAGTCACGGCTGGGCCAGTCTCAATTTTATTGGCGCAGCTAGTGAGAAAGCACTCGTTGTTTCTGTTGACGAACACCCTATGTGGATTTATGAGGTAGATGGCAGGTACATCGAGCCCCAGTATGCTGACACGTTTGAGTTCTATAATGGTGAACGATATGCTGCTCTTATCAAGCTTGACAAGGAGCCTGCCAATTACAACATCACCATTACCGACACGGGTGGTAATCAAATCATTGCCGGCTATGCAAATTTGCAATACCTGGGTGCCGAGAATAATACCAGGAAATCCACGCCATATATCAACTATGGTGGTCAACCCACATCATCAGATGTTGTTGCATTGAATGTCTCCGTTCTACCCCCTTTCCCAGAGATACATCCCGCTGAAAAGGCAGATGAATTTTTCTTGTTGAATTTATCACGCATCAATTCTTCATGGGAATGGTCACTTGATGGCACTTCATTCCTTCCTGCAGACCTCGGAAGTATGGAGCCTGTTCTATACAATAAGGAGTCTCCTGGTCTGGAGAACTCTCTCAAGATCACTACCAAAAACAACACATGGGTTGACATTGTTTATCAACTACGACTAGGAAATGCTTCGGTCACCCCAGTCCAGCCTCCTCACCCTATCCATAAACATTCCAACAAAATGTTTTTGATTGGATCTGCACAGGGTACTTTCAATTGGTCTTCCATTGATGAGGGTGTGGCCGCAAGCCCTCAGAGTTTCTTCCTTGACAAGCCTCTTTATAGAGATACATTCGTTACCTCGCCAAGAGGAGAGGCTTGGATGGCAATCAGGKACTTTGTGCAAAACCCCGGCCCATTTTTGTTGCACTGCCATATGGCGACGCATTTGTGGTCTGGTATGGGTATGGTTTTATTGGATGGTTATGACGTTTGGGATCAGATTCGGAGTGATCATTGGGAGGAATCCTGTTAAATCTTTTTCTATTCAAGCCCTTCTCTCGTGCAAGGCATACGATGGCACGAGATAGACTCTTCACTCATAGATAGATAGATACCTGTTTTTAATGACTCTATTGTTTTTAGTTTAAGTGTAAATCACTTTTTTTACATCGTATGTCTCCTTAATGTCAATTTGTGCGCTACCTCTTTCTAAGGGTTTCCTCTAGAATATGATTGATATGTACCTGGGTACAAGATCCTATTTCTCAACTTTCACAAATACCTATATTTCTGTTGATGAGCTATCTACGAAAGAAAAAATGACAACTTGCTTGTTCTAAGTATTATTGTGCTTATAAGTAGCCTTGAAAGTTATATGGCTGTAAAATTCGATACCTACATTCAGGTAATGCAGCGTGTTTATACTTAGAATTAACCCAGGTATGTTGGAGTTGCTACTTTTACGGATCATTTGATGTTGAAGATGTTTTGATTTTAACTGTAAAAATTATCTATTTCGTACCCGAACTATCTTATAATTCATGATATGATCGTTCAACACATCCAATTTAGAGACAATGAGCAGTAACAAGAACGCAAGTGCATATTTTGAAAAGGAATGACATCAAATTAGATATGAGAAAGGTATGCCGAAAGGTATGCCGAAAGGATAAATAAAAAGTACCATTCAAAATGATACAATGGAAAAGAATAATATCAATTTATGGGGCGAACGTGCTCAGAAAGCTTTTTTGATGAAGCTGGACAATCCACTCGCTTTGGCACCATCCATCATCGTGAAGTGGTTTGCTTCATGCAAAGCCTCAATTAAAGCGACCTTGTTCTTACCGACCAATGTATCCCAGCCGTTAGGACCAAAGTCTGTACGATCATTTAGGAGCCAAAGCATTTCCCTGGGATCCCGACTTCCATCTTCGGGCGGTGCTGGACGAGGATCTCCTGGCTTACCGCACACTCCGTCCTTGGCCCAGATGAGATAGGCCTTGGGGAGGCGGCTTTCGTACTTGGGGTCATTGCTCGGGAATGGGATGGCCTTGTACATGTCTAGCGCATCAATGAAAGCGAGGAAATGTGGCAAAAGCCATTTTGGTGGGGGTGTCTTGCCATCACCGAAGATCTTCATGTCGTCAAAGAACTTGTAGAGTCTAGGTGGCAATTTCTCAAGGCCAATGGGGAACGGTGAGTCGAGAAAGAAGATTCTCTCAACTGTCTCTCCCTGTTCGATGACAAGTTGACGAACTGCATCGTACGCGCAAATTCCTCCAGCGGACCATCCACCAACATTGTAAGGGCCCTTTGGTTGACGACGACGAATCTCAGCCACGTATGAAGCAGTGAGATCCTGAAGAGCGCAGTTGAGTTTCTCCGGAGTCTTCATGTAAGGACAGTTCAACCCATAGACACAGACATCTGGCGAGATTTTGGGTAGTGTTGCATACGAGGTTGAAGAGCCAGAGCCATCAGGGAAGAGGAATAGTGTATGTGTGGCCGTCTTGGGGCTTCCCTGTAGCAGGATAGATGTGGCTGGGGGATGTTTGAGCTTCAAAGACAAATTCTCCGGCTCCAGCAGAGGTGCCGGGGTAGACAAAATGGCTGACTCCGGCTGTCGTACGGGAGCTTTTGGTTTCAAGTCAAGAGCTTCTTCGACTTGCCCCATAGTAGGATTCTCGATAAAGAATTCGGACGGTAAATCCAGACCCAAATCTTCACGTAGTCTTCCAAGTACAGTCAAGGAGAGCAATGAATCCATACCCATTTCAGCAAGGTTTGCTTCTTCACTCAGCTCATCTGCAGACACACCAATCTCATCAATGAGAATTTGGCGAATTGTAGCTAGAGTCTTGTCTTCTCCTGCAGTAGGCGCGGCCTTCATGGGTGGAATAAAGTCTCCAGGAGTACCAGGTGTAGGCGGCCCCGAAGCCGAGAAATCGTCAAAGACAGATGCTTCTGAAGAGTCATCACAGCTATCCATCGGCGTTGCGGACTGCATCAAGAGAGCCTTAAAGTCTTTCACAGTTGGATAGTCCATGAAGATACTAGACTCAAAGTCAAGGTTAAGCTCTTCGCGGAATTTACCAGTAATGGTCAAGGCCAGAAGAGAGTCGACTCCGTAGTCCGAAAAGACAAGGTCGTCGGATAGTTCTGCTTCAGGCAAGCCAMCCTCGCCAGCCAGTATCTTGAAAGCTTGGACAAGAACACTGGGCCCAGCAGTCTTTGGTGCAGTAGGCTTGACTGCCTTTGCGATAGGCTTCGTCTTTGGTACAGCGACAGCAGCAGGAACAGGACCCTTGGCCACCGGCTTCGTCGCCTGTGCTCCGCCTGGTGGTGGCAGGACACTATTGAGGATCTTGCGCGGCACTCCTTGAAACTATAGCATTTATCGTTAGCATATCTGTCTGAAATACCGGTTTCTTTATTAATCTGAATAGCAGCTTGCTTACCTTGACACCTCCATATACAGCTATGATCTCATCTTTTTCAAACACATAGACATCACCGGCATAGATTGTACCTTGCCATGGCTGCATTCTTACATAAGTGCGGTACGTTGATTCAGCTGAGAATTTCGTAGCGCAACGCATTGAATCCCAGCCATGGTTGACATAGACATAGTTGACCGAATCAGTGGCATCGTTTGCATTCATGGTGAATCCGGTGATGTGTCCAATACTATCAATCCAGAAAGGGTTGCGGTGGAAGTTGGCTGCTTCAGCCTGGAATTTGACTAGAGCAGTTGCCTCATATTGCTCGCTATCCAAGATAACTTCTCGCATCGATTTGTAGTTCTTGTCATAGTCAACAAGTGCTCCAAATAACTTGTAGACCATCCCAGGACCAAGCTTGTTGCTGTCACCGTTGGCCGCACTTTCGAACAGCCTATCAACGCTTCGGCGAATGAGGTATGCATTACGCTTCCACTCCTCCCGCGCAGCTTCCGTATCGAAGAACTTGATGATGCAACTTGCGTGGTCCGTCATCTTCTTGCCTTCAGGTGAGACCGAGTATATTTGCATGGATACCTGTCGGGCATCCCAATCAGCAGTGGCAGCTGCTCGGAAGGGCTGAGGTCCGGCGTTCTTGTAGATCAGAGGCTTTGGAACAGCCATGTCAGCCACATCCAGACCAACTCCTTTAAGTTCAGGTTTGAAGTTGTCAATCAAGTACTCTGCCAATGTTTGAGCAACATCGGCATATAAAGAGGAGGGGCAAAGAGGAATTCCGTTGACCTTGTGGCCCTGAATAACAGGGCACAAAAGCGGATCGGAAATGTCAGTTTCGGTAATGACAGTCGCTTTCGTCGCGTCGCCAATGCTTTCAACAACCTTCTGCGCCGATATTGTGAGACGAGAAGGCGCAGTGTTGTTAGAAACTTGAGGTACTGGGTCACCGCCCTTAGTCAAACAGAAGTCGTTCTTGTAATATAGCCAGTAGTTCTTATTGTCCCAGCTGTAGGCAGGTAGATGGAGAACTTCATGGCTTGACTTGAAATCCTGGTGATACTCCTTCCACTGGATGTTAATTCCAGCGAGGTATACAGCCGACAGACTCTGAGAGAGAACTTTCCACGAGTCTTCGTTTCTGCGTAGCGAAGCGACCGTGTTTGCTTGAGGACCAAGAGTAGACTTGATCATGCCAGAGCAGATTGTGTGAGAGCCAATCTCAATCCACACTGTCTTATCAGTCATGAGCTTAGCGTGTCGGGAGGCTTCAATAGCTGCGAGGAAGTTGACTGTTTCTCTGCAATGGCGACTGAGATATTTACCACCAAGCTGCTCATAATTCTTCTCGTTGATAACTTCTCCTAGAAGAGGAGATACAAGAGGAATTGAGGGCTTGTGGAACTTAACTCCCTTGGCGGCGTTGATGAGCTCCTCCAGAATTGGCTCAACCTGAGAAGAGTGGAATGCAAAAGGTACCTTCAGTTTGGTAGCCTTGATACCTGCAGCAACAAGCTGTTCAGATAGAGCATCAATGTTCTGGGACGTAGCACTAATAACGGTCTCGCCAGGAGCATTGATACAAGCGACTTCGTGGACTCCGGGATTAATGAAAGGTGTAATCTCACTCAAGGCAGACCTCACTGCCAGCATTGCGTGAGTGCCGACCTTACACTTTTCTTCCAGAAGCTGGGCACGACGACCGCATAGGTAAATGGTGTCGAAAGCCGTCAATGCTCCGGAGACATAAAGAGCAGCATACTCTCCGAGGCTGTGGCCCATGACAAATGTAGGACGAGCATCCCATGATACCCACAGATTTGCTAATGCCATTTGCATACAAGTTGTTCCTAGCTGCGTAATCACAGGGTTCAACTCTTCAATAGACACACTGCCATCGATCAATGGAAGGAAAGAAGGAAATCCTTGACTTTGGGCAATTCCGTTGAAACGTAGAACATCAGAGCGGAATTGTGAGAAGCTCTCAAGGAATTGCTTTCCCATGCCAGCGTATTGTGCTCCTTGTCCGGTGAAGACAAACCCGACACTTGGTGCAACAGATGGAGCCGGGCTAATGGATTCCCTGCTAGCTGATGCGCGGAGAGCCTCCTGCACTTCGGGAACCTTGGTGCCAGAGACGATGACACGGAAAGGATGGTGGATGCGTCGGGCAGTAGTAGTATAGGACAGCTTGGCCAAGAACTCTTTCTCTTTCATATCGGAAGAGTGTTTGCTGATCCAATCGACTAGGTTGTTTATGTTGTTTTTAAGCGAGGCTTGACATCTGGCCGATACTGCAACTGAGTATGTTGAGCGCGGATCATTAACAACAGAATCAGCAAGACGATCTGGCGAATCTTCCACAAGCAAGGCAGTGTTGCCACCGGCTGCACTGAAGTTATTGATGAAGCATCTGCGCAGTCCTGACTCTGGTTTTACCCAAGGAGTAGGTTTGAAAGCAATGTGGACGTTACGCTCCTTGAGATCAGTAGGGAAGTTATGGTTGATCTTAGTTTTGATGCCACAGTGTGGAGGAATCGTGCTTTTGCGCATCATCATCAACACTTTAATCAAAGCTGCAACGCCCGATGCTGATTCTCCATGGCCGATGTTAGACTTTGCTGATCCGAGATGGAGAGTTTGCTCGGGCTTTCGGCCATGATCAGGAGCAAAGGTGTCAAGAACTGATGTCATCTCGACTGCATCGCCAGCCTGTGTGCCAGTGCCATGCATCTCAATGTAGCTGACGTCGTTGGGCTGGACACCAGCTTCGTTAAGAAGTTTGTCAAAGATGAATGCCTGGGCACCAGAATGAGGACGCGTCATTGAAACAGCCTCGGCGGAATGATTTGTATAGGCTCCTGCAATGACAGCCTGAATTGGGTCGTTGTCTGCAATCGCATCTTCAAGTCGCTTGAGGACAACGGTTCCTACACCATCCGCGCGACAATAGCCGTCAGCTGCGTCATCAAATGTGTTGCAATTTCCTGTGCGTGAAAGGAAATGGCCTCGGTCTAGACCGGCATGGTTGTCAGGGTTTGTCAAGACATTAGTTCCCCCAGCAATGGCGGCATCGCAGTCATTTTTCCACAACGAATTGCAAGCCATATGAATGGCAGATAGACTGGATGAGCATGCAGTATCTACGCTGACACTCGGTCCACTAAATTTGAAGTGATAATTAATGCGACCCGGTGTAAAGGCACGATTGCCGCCCGGAATAAAGTATGTGTCAATGTCCTGGCCGCTGTTGATTTCACGATAATCATCACTGGTCATGCCGTAGAAAATTCCGACGCGATCTTTCTGTGTAGAAGGCGTGGAGTCAGGAACAAAGCCTGCCATCTCCAGCGCTTCATAAGCAGTGACTAGTGCCAGTCGCTGGCCGGGATCTGCCTGAAGCGCCTCTCTCGGTGACATGTTGAAGAATCGAGGATCGAAAAGACCAGGCTCAGGAATCCAACAGCCATATGGCACTTGACTGGTGTTTCTCTTTTTTCCAGTGAGATCGACGTGCGTTTTCCAGTTCCACCGGTCAGGAGGCACCTCTCTATGAACATCGAGGCCTTGGTAGAGAATATCCCAGAAATGCTCGGGACTTGGTGCATCTGGAAATCTTCCCGAAAGACCGATGATGGCGATCTTTGACTGTTCAGTCCTTCCTGTTGTACTTTGGGACTTGTCGGTTTTTGCAGAGTCGATAAGCGCATTCTCCAGACGAACCTCCGATACTCCGGCACGTTTCAATGCAGACACAAGGCCTGAAGATGCCGAAGTGGCGACAGGAAAGATCGCACATGTAGAAATAGATGAACATTTGACAATGGAGGAATATCCATCGAGAACCTTATCCCAGCGAAGCTGCTTAAGAAGAATCTCTTCGACAGCAACCCTCAGCAGGTCCTCAAAGTTGTCTGCAGCGATTTCGCGGCCGGTAGTACTTGACAGGACCGGTATGCGACACGCGTATCCTTTAAATGAGCCGCTGTTTGTTGTTTTTAAAGCCCATTCTACATCCTGCTGCCCATAGAGATGAGGTGCATGGAAAGGAGCATTAACTGCTACTCTGAGTGGTTTGACATTTTTGGCTAACTCCGAGTCGATTAGCTCTTCCAGGACAAGAGGCGGTGCACTGATGGTTAAACCATTGCAGCTGACGGCGCTGACATAAGGTCGAGATGACGGGGAAAGGCCCTAGTACAGTCAATAAACAGTTGTCTAGACAGAGGTAACACAGAACATACTTTTCTGGTGGAAAATTCGGAAATCAGAGCAAGTGCTTTTTCTTCACCGACTCCGGAGATTACGGCAGACCAGCTCTGAGACTGACCGCCATATTGACCGACGTAGTCGCGCACTTTATAGGCACACAACCCAAGTCTGAGAGCAACAACGACGGCTTCGACAGCAAGAGGAATTAGCTCTCCGATAGTCCTGGATGACGCTATTGCTGTAGATGCAAGCAGGCCGGTACAAAGCCCAATGACGTGGCTTTGTGAACCTACGGGGTACACCTGGCCTCCATCTCCATAGTAGCTAATATGTGTTAATCTATTGGACTTGCAGTAATAAGGAAAGACATTTTCTCACCTGATAAAGGTGCCTAGTTGATGTAGAGTAGTCAGTGCACTTTCCAGAGCAGGGTTGGGACCCGACTCCCGATATCTAGAAAGTAGACTGGTGAGGCTGGTGAAGCGAGGGAATTTCCGGCGATCAGAAGGTGGAAGCTGTGTCACTTCATGACGCAGAGCAAAGTTGGATCTTTCCAAGAAAGAAGTCACAAAACTGTTGCCTTTGTCATGGAGCAGGCGTCGAAGTCCAGAATCGAACTCGCTCGTCTGGTCACCAAAGACATAGGCCCAGCTTGTCGAGCCCATCCCGGCTCTTCTGTAAGATTGCGTGAGAACTTGCGTAAGCTTCTTGATAACTAATGTAGATCTCTGTTATTGCTAGATGTGCAAGTTGTCGACTTCTTGCTTGTCGAAGGGTGCTGTTTGAAATGTGGATGGAGGGAGACCCCGGACGTACACTTCAGAAGCAAGGGCTCGGAGTGATCCTGGGAATACTTTCCTTTATTTAAAATCTTGTCTAGTAGGTCTTTATGTCTCACCCATTATGTATGGATAAATCTGGTTAGAAATCAGGAAAAGATATCTATGACGTTTCTCAGACAAAGTTGCAAGCGGTAACGTCCAGTAAACGATACATCAAATCCTTGGAAAAGATTCTAGAATTGTGCTTTATCCTGTTTGAGACATGTGAAAGGCCTGCCTGTGTATCTGAATCAGGAAAGTCAGTGACAGGCAGGGTCCCCATAAAGACTTCCATAGGCGCTGGTCCGATTTGCGGCGAGGTGGAAACCATCAACCTACTAGATACTACCGTTACGATGGCAGAGCCTGAGGAGCAAGGAATACAGACAGCTGATCCCTTGGCCCAGATTCAAAGGTCCAGATCCATTTGATTATTCACAATCTCATGGATCACGTTCTAAGCCGCAGCCACAGCCGTGATGGTAGCATAGTCGACCACATGGAGTCAGACATACATGATCTCGGATATCAGGTAGATCGCGATGCGTGACTTTGGCAAAACAGGTGGATAGATCGAGGAAAACGGCAGGAATTGAAGCTATAGTAGATTCTAGATCATTGGCTCCAAGGAAACAATGCAAAACTCCGCTTGCGGCGAAGTGAAAAAAATGTCAGCGAGGGCTAATGTAGTTGTCGTTACTAGGGGAATTTCCCCTGGCGTACCAACAGTGTAATTTAATACGCCAGTAATTGCTGTATTATCGACTATGCAGTCTGTAATTACACTGCAAATACGTGCCAATAACACTGATGTCACGTGGAATTCAATAGCCCTACTTGCATATTTCTTCCAGCATTGCCATATTTGCTGCAAAAGTATGATCCTTTCCTGCTTGGTTAATTAAGGCTGAATCTTACTGTTCTGTACCTTTATTGACCATCTGATCGACCACGCATTGGGGCCAGCTTATGTCGTCTCATGCAAGCTACAGCGCAGAGTACAGATTCAAGAGACCATCTCCTTACATGCAACGATAAGATGCCACTTTTGACGTAAAGACCCCCCAGATCGATGCAACAAGATGATTCTTCTAAATAGATGACGTCAATATTCATTTTAGAATGCACGGAGGAGCTAGACTCTTCCCTTCAGGCGAGGTACTTAAACTTAGATAGTCTCAGACCTTGCATACCAACCACCTTTCAAGCAGGAAAATATTCAATATTCCCGCCACGAGCATTTGGCAAAAGACCTCGTTTATTTTCTTTCAAGTTACACACAATCCCGAGGAAGCCTTTGCAATGTATGAAGCATCGTATCAACCTTGCAACCATTAGCCTATTACAAAATCTCGGAGTAATTAAGAAGGGCTGGTCTGATTCTTGCACGGCCATGCATGCATAAGCTGACTTGCAATACGAGATGAGCTGTGGTCCCTCCTCAGCTACAAGCACACAGCTACTAGTAGACAACTATCTTGCTGGTGAAATATAAATAACTTCTAGGTGCAATTAGTCGAAACGCGTTCTATGGAATGTGGACCTCTGCCGGATTTGGAACTGTGCTCTGCATGCGGATGCAGCAAACTCCGGAGACGTCGGAATTAGAGTCCATTCGGCGGGCAATCTAAAATACCGGTCGACTCTCAATCGCTTTCGTCGAGGGTGTCACGTTGCATTACCAGGAATTGAATATCAAAAGGAGTAAATGCCAAGTTAGATTTCTTTTCTTAGCACGCCTGCATCAACCACCTGGATGTCCCCATCTGGTCGATCGTCAAATCAATAGTTTCGACGCATCGCACCTGGCCTCTTGAGTCAAGCATGCCATGCAGGCTTATCAATAGCACGAGGACAGTTTGGTAACACACGATTACATTTTTGTTACCGAATCATGTAAAGATCGCCAGATCTCGTTCAGCGCGATAACCTCGGTTTCGGATTCCTTGTTGCTTGAGCTGAAGAACCGAAATAAATTGAAAACAAACAGCCCAATGGGCTTTGGATGTCAGGACAATTCGGGAGCGTTCATTGATCGCGAAAATCGGAGCTTGAATCGTTCTCCATGGTAGTCATGACTCATTGTGTTGGTCAGCATTTCTACACAGTTTCATAGCATCGTCGCCTCATGTGCTTGTCATCGCATGTGAAGTGGCGAGAGGCAACACTTCGATAAAGAACGCATGCCCAGCTGGATTCCATTTTCACATCCGAGCCTAAATTGTTCCTTGTCATGAACTTGCGGTAGAAAATAGAATAGTTCTTTAGGAATCAATAAGGAATCTCAGGAATCCAAGGATGGCCTGGAAAAAAGGTCCCGAAGATAAGCTTATCGATAAGGCAGTGACGCTAAACCCAAAGGAGCGCGGCGTAAACACAGGGCACAAACAATGAGCTGAGCCAAGCCCAACAGGGCAACCACCTCAACTCTCTCCCTTCCTCAGACTCCCTCACTCACTCCAACTGCTGGCTCCTTGGTACTGAAGAGTCTGGTGTCGGATTATCTCTTGTGTGTATTGGTCGTACTACTATTACTACATTCGCTACGTTCTGTAGACGATGTTTGGCTGAGCCATTATTATCATTGCTATTATTACCGCCGCCCTTCCTCCAACCTCCACTCCGTTATCTCCCCATATTCAAACAGCCCATAGCAACGCCGCCCGCCGGTCAATTCTCTGTCCGGAATTCTGTATCAATCGCATAGATTCTGTTTGTCGAGGAGGCGGCCCTGCGACACCCTATCTACTCCTGATCCGGTCGCGCAAGGCGTCTGTGACGGCTTCGCTATGACACCAGCACTGCCGACCAAGTTTCCATGCTGGTGTCGAGCTATCTACTCATGGGGAGGAGAGTCAAAAAGGGATCTTGGATTTGTGGAAGGAGATTTAATAGAATGTCTCAATGCAGGGGACGGCTCGTGGTGGATGGGACGCTTGCGCCGTGATAAACGAATGATGGGACTGTTTCCCTCGAACTTTGTAGTGCTCCTCGGGGAGGACTTTGTGCCTGTGACTCGATCCACGACAGACGCCTTGACACGAAATGACAGTGCAGATTCTCATACCCTCAAAAAGCAACGAACAGTCTTCCGAAAGCCGTTTCAAGCGCACAGGCACGCAGTCACACCGGGTGAGGCCAATCGTCGCGCTCGAGAAAAACTGTCAGAGACACCTTCCACAGCAACGTCCCGAGAAAACACACCACCGCGATCAATTCTTCCCGAAAAGCCTCCACGAACGCCAACTACTGCACTTCGGAGTCGAAGCACACTGGCAAGATCTCCATCAAGGACAGTGTCCCCGAGTCCCATTGAGAAAGCTCGTGTGCCATCACCGTTGCCGCCAAAACGCGATGAATTCGTGTCAACATCGCCTTCCTATCCTATACCTTCGGAGGTGGCTCCTCAAGTGGCACCTCAGCAACCTCGTGCGTGGTCACCTTTGCCTTGCAACCGCGATGATATTGTGTCAAGATCACCTTCCTATTCGATGCCCTCAGAGACGGCACTTCAGGTCGTTCCTCGCGTTCCCCAGCAACCTCCGGCTCGCGATCCATCGCCGTCCCCTCCACCCCCGCCTCCACCACCTCATCGAATTGCAGTAAGGAGTCAGCAGCATCGTATGAGTATAGCGCCTGCCCCAATTGACATGAACGATCGCTATACAGTATTCGCCAAATCCCCGCCTCCAAGTGCTACATCTCCACTGCCCCCCAGTCTCTCACCTGGCCATTCGCCTGGGCACTCGCCTGGAGGTCACTCATCAGTCGGTCATGGCAACACCCCCTCACCATTGCGAGATGCTATGGAAGATGTGATGACTTCTTTGCAAGACATGGGTCTGCCCCGCGGCGCGCCATCTCCTTCTCCCACCCCTCAATTTTCGAATCCATGGTCACCCGATGCATATAACGAAATTCGAGCAACAAGCCCACGACCGACCCGTGCTCGAGCAAACACATCTTTGGGTTTTGGTTCAGTTCGTGAGGGAGATTCTAATCAAGGAGGGAATGACTATGATGAGCAACAATCTAATGGTCAGAGATACCACGAAGGGCCCCCTCAGTTCAACAACTATGTGCAGCGAATGGAAGATCGACTCAGACAACTTCATGATCAGTCAAATCAACCGAATCATGACAACGAAGATGATGTTGGACCACCGCCACCACCGAAACAACATGGGTATCATACCAGGCATGATTCAACTGGTGTCCCCCGTCCTCAATTGCGGGCACGAAAGTCAGCTGTGGAATTAGGTAAACAGTTCCTGAACCGTACTATGACTAATAAATCAAACACAACAAATTCGTCCAGCGGTGTACAAAGCACATTTACCACGGACACGACCAGTACAAACACTACCGTCAGCTTGATGAGCGGAACGTCAGCCGGTCAGTACAGTGCAACGAGTGCAGGAAGCTTTGCAAGACACGGACAAGCAAAATGGGGCAGCTTTTCGGCTGAACGCCCCACAACAGCAATGGATAGCCTGAATAGAGGTGTTTTTAGTGATCTTGATAGACCAATGACTCCAATCAGTGGTATATCTTATCATTCGAGTCACGGCACTTCGAGACAGGGCGCTCAATCTGCTGTACCATGGTCACCCGGTAAAGATCTCGGCGATTCACCTGGAGTTTTTGGGGGCTTGTCAACACCCAAAGCCAAGAAGAACGGATTTCTCAAACGTTTCCTCGAATCTGCCAAAACTGGAGCGGCGACTGCTAGAAGCAGCATTCAGGTGCCGAACGGAAGGTCCCCGTCGCCCACAAAGCATCGGTTTACTCAGTCATTTGGCTCATCTCGACGTCCAGAATACAATAACTCTGAGGATGTTGATGTAGGTGCCAATAGTCCAATTGATTGGGTGCAAGTTCGACGGGATGTGAATCGTGCGAGCACGCCAAGCCGAAACGAGCGTATCGAGCGCGCGGAGCGTTGTCAAATGATGGATCATCCGGTCATTTATGCTGTTGAGGAGCTCTACGAAACGGCAGAGGGAGACGAGAGTATTGATGGCCTACCACTTAGCGATCCCACCAATTGGGGCGCCATCAACCTTAGCTTGGTTGACAAGAGCGCACGATTTATCAGCAGCCTACCGCCCTTAACAAACCCAGCAAGCTTAGCCCAAGGTTACATTTGTCGCCCGTACAAGAGCGACGTCCAGCGCTTGAGAGCCATCTTCACTTGGGTCAGTGAAAAGATTGCATGGGAGGAGCCATTGGATGAGAATGAGGTTGACTTGAAACGCGTAATTAACATGAAGCGCGGATGTCCTCAAGAGGTTGCTTTCCTTGTCCAAGAAATGTGCTCGGCCGTTGGGTTACATGCCGATATTATCAGAGGCTATTTGAAAAGCCCCGGAGAGCTCCTGGACCTGAGTGCACTTTCAAGACCCAATCACTGGTGGAATGCTATATTGATTGACGGTGAATGGCGCTTCATGGATTGTTCGCTAGCAAGCTCAACGAATCCCAAGCGAAGTCAATTAGTGACAACGAATTCTCAGCATGCCGAGAGCTGGTATTTCCTTGCTCGACCTCTCGAATTATGTTATACGCACATTCCTCTGCATCCCGAAGAGCAACATATTTGCCCGCCCATATCTCCAGACGTTCTTTTAGCTCTACCTGCCGTCAGTCCGGCTTTTTTCAAGAATGCAATGCAGATGCCGGATTACGATACAAGCTATATACGCATTGAAGGTTTGGACGTTATGCAATTACGCATTCTTGTTCCGCCTGATGTTGAATGTGCTGCTGAAATTGAAGCACCAGCGTTTGCTCGTGATGCCGATGGCGACTGGTTTGAAAGTGGAGATGTCATACGCAAACGCGCGCTTGCTCAACCCGACTGGATTCGTGGTCAAAAGCGCTTCACAATCAAGGCACTTCTCCCTGGCGATGAAGGTCAAGGCGTCCTCAAGATTTATGCGGGTAAGAAGGGCTTGATGCATTCAAACAGGGATATCCCTCATCCACTTGCCGTCGCCTTACCAATTCTTCATACCGGAGACAATCCTCCCTACGAGTTTTTGCTGCGACACCCGACTCCACATGCACAGCGTCATGATCTTTATGTCATCCAGCCGCAGTGCGGAAAATTGGCCATCAATAACACCTTTGTGTTTGCAGTTCGCCAACATCCAGCCGCGCCGTTTTCAAAGTCTAGTAGCGGAGAGATTCCAAGCGATGGGCGTGCGTCTCCATCAATCATGCGACCATCTAGTGCTATGAGCATGGTATCCAGCAGTTACGGCGGATCCGTGGCCTCCACTACATCCCTCGATGGCTTCACGGCCAATACATCCGTCGTGTCATCAAACAAGTCTATGTCAAGCCGCGAGAAGCCCGCTAAATTGGCTATACAATCACCATCCGGCAAGATTCTGCGTCTCATGCGCAAAGCAGATCATATGATTAGCACAAGCAACAATAATCCTGATTCTTTGACCGAGGGTACTCCAGACGGTAGTGTATGGGAAACTGTTATCAAGATTGGAGAGAAAGGCGTTTGGCGCGGTCTAGTTTTGGCAGATCGCAGCGCGCGTTGGTGCGTGTTTTGCGAATGGGAGTCTTATTAACCTGCATTTATCGGCTTKGTCGACATACATTAAGAGGATCCGACAGTTTATTTTCTTCTTTTCTTCATTGTTTGCACGTTTCTGTCTTGTCCCGTGTTCATTTACTAGAGCAGGAACGGCGTAATTAGAGCGAGCGAGTCTGATTTCATGTCCATTGCATCGCAAACAGCGGCATATTTGAAAATCTTGTTTCACCTTTTTTATTTCAATTGTTTTTACTGCATAACCCTTCTTCCTTTCTGTGGAATGTTCTGGTTTGAGATGCTTAAATTTTTGAACCGTACTTCTCCATCAAGACCCGGAGTCTGTCAATATTGTGTCTATATAAATGCTTCATCATCCATGATACCTAGGCATAGAAATGGGAACCATTTGCATCTTCGAACGAATACATATAATAACATCACCAAGGCAATACAATTTCTACCTAGTGAACGCCTCCCTAAGCAGCGGGGCGACTTGCTTTCTGCTTTGAGAAACATTCCCTTGCTGCCATATGTATAAACCCCCCGCATATTCATCAGTGCCTGCGAAGGGGAAATCATTCCACTTCTGTAGCCTTAATTGCTCTTTGGAAGTTTCCGCGAATTTTGCGAGTTTATCGTTGTGGTCATCTTTGAGACCCCAGACGAGTAGTTGTCTAGCAAACTGGCCTCCTTCGCCATCGTCGGCGTTGAATGCCGTCATCACGGAAATGACATCCAGACGCCTTTCCAGTGCGAATTTTTTCAAACTCTCCAAGAATGACTTTAACTCGCCATTCTCTGTCTTGGTTGAATCGTCATCTTCATCCCTCGCTTTTTGGATGATCCATTTCAACGGCCGTACAACGCTCGCAATTCCAATGACCATTTTCTGGGCCGATGGTGTTGATTCAGTCCAATCCTTGTAGTCTCGACCCAGAATCTCGTCAACCGTCAACCAATCCAAACTATGCGCTTTTGCATATTGAATCTGCTCAAAGTACGCCGTTCGGTCCCATTCACCACTACCTCCAGAAGAAAGGGAAGAGATCCTTTCCGTCAGAAACGAAACAGCGTCTCGGTCGACGTCCGTCACTTTTCCTTCGGCGGTGAGGTTTGTGGTATCGATTAGAATGGAGGCGAGCGCGAGTTTGGCGAGTTGGACTTCCCATTTCCCCTCTTCACCACCTGCATGATGAGCTTGTTCTTGCTTTTGTCGCTCCCCATCCACGGCAGAAAATGAAGGCCACAATCCTCGCTCCCGAATCTCACGAACAATCAAACTCGTACACGAGCCCGGTCCAGATACAATAACCCGCGGATTCCCCGGCGGTAATCGTTCCAGTGGCGGCACAAATCCTTCATCGGGGCGATGATCAATGCATCCTTTGACTGCGAACGTGACCAGGTCTGAGAGTCCATCTATCGATCCTTTCCCTTCTTGCTGTGGTTGGGACGGTTTATGTGGGAGGTTATTCCAGTCTACCATCACACAATCAAGCTCTAATTTCTCTCCCTTCTCCGTTTCGTCTCGGGACGATAAAAGTCCCTCGCGCAAATCAGCAACGGTGATGATATGCTCTCTCAGCAATTTCACGATCCCATCTTCTCCATCCTTATCACTCCCTGTCTTCTTCTGCATCGGCAAAGTAGATGACGATGACGACGAAGAAACAGAAAGCTCCAAGGCACACGCAAACTCAGGCCTCAATCTTCTCAATTCCGGCCCACTAGGCACATCCGGTAAATTGACCAGAGGCACATACCTCCTCTTCTCACTATCGCCGTTTCCTCCTCTTGAAAAGAAATATGAGTACAGTATTGCAGAGATGATAGAGTCTAGATCCGCGGATTGATTGCCTAGGACATAGATGGGGCTATGTGTTGTGGTGCCATTTCTGATTGTGGGTAGGAATGGGCTGCGGGCTTGTTTGAGGAATGGAAGGAGGCCCGGTGGGCTGAGACTTGATGGGCCTAGGTTGAGAGGAAGATCGGGGGGCATTTCTTTGAGTTGGGCTAGTAGGTATTGGTCCGGGGGTTATTGGAGGTTATTTCTGAGGGGAACACTCAAGTTGATGTCATTCACGTTTAAAGCGGGATGGCTCTTCACCGCCTGAAAAACAAGGCATGAACTACAATCTAATTGTTTACAAGGGAAAAAAACATAGTAGTAATAATAATAATAATACAATGTTGTCTCAAAGGTCTGCTTTAATCATACACACATCCACCGTCCATCTTTGTGTGATGACCAATGCCACGCAAAGAAAGGAGTTCTAACATCAAACAGCACAACAAGACATTATCATAAGGAAAAAAGTAGCGAACAGAGAGCAGCAAAAAGCATCATTGCCGAACGAGTTTTTGAACGCCATAGGTATAATTTTCTAATTTCCACGCCCGACACCAACCGAAAAAAAAAAATGTTAAAGGTAAAGCACTCGTAAATCCATCTCTTAAATAGCAATTCATCCCGCATCGGTCGAAATGCCCGTATCAGCAACTCTTTGGATGTTGTAGGATCAGCCTAGAAGCCATCGCCGTCTCTATCGTGATTTTCAACGTCATCACCCGGTCCAGATATATCACCATCGCCTTCATTGGTTGAGTCATGTCTTTCGCTCCCGTTGCTGACATCGAGAGCCTCGAGCGCCTCGTTGGCATGGGTGTTTTCCATTGGTTCAACGCTCTCCGGGTCGTCATTTGTCAACTCAGCGAAGACATCAGTCATCTCTTGCCGTGGTGGACTGCTACTGAATGGATTTCCAGCATCGATGCCAACCCCCGAAACACTTTCCTGGGGATCACGAAAAACAGAAGGACCGCTAAACAGAGGCTGATCCAGTCCGTGTGGCGAAGCACGCGACGGAAATGTTGCAGTATGGCTACTAGCATGAGGAAGTAAAGCGGGACCAGGTTCTGGAGTAGATGATAATCGGAATGATGGACTAGAATCCTGGCCAAGGTTGGCGTAGCTGCCTGAGAAAAAGGGAGTCGACGAATTCTCCAAGCTCGTTCCGTTATCTCCAGGAGTATCGGATTGGTACTCCGTCGTGCTGCCTCCAGGCTGTGGTGCGCGACCCAACTGGGTTGCGTCCATTGACTTGCGCTTGCCGGCTTGACTGGTCTTTGGTCTAAGGTGAGGAGGGAGATCTTCAACACGGTCTACCCCTAATTGCGCCATGATCTTTTGACTCTTTGTGGGACGCGGTTTTCGTGTTGAAAGGGACTGCTCCAAGATTGGAGGCGGGTCAGGGGCTACCGGTGCCCATTTATGAATCTCCTGACGGAAGAAGTTGGTTTCATAAGCAAGCAACACTTCCGCCCCCTCGATTTTGCGAAGATAAAATATCAGGGTGGGGACCTCCTCGCTGGTTGTACAGGCAGCATTTGTAAAACTTTGAAGGAACTCTCTGAATTGCGTGGCTTGTTTCACGATGCTATTCAAAACTTCCTCTTCATCCGGCTGAAAAGGTRGGGTAGCAATTTCCGCCTGCCAGTCTTGCAGATCTTCCAACTTGGGACGCGCGGCATCACGCGGAATTTTTCGTCGCCAATCACAGATTGGGCATGTGTACTTGTCGAACTCCTTGACCTTTCCTCGGGCGATCTTCAAGCATTTGCCATGGTACCTTTATAGGGTCAGCTTCTGTCAAACCGCTAATTCTCATAATCGACAAGGAAGCGAACAACTTACCATTCATGACATAATTCACATTCAATCATCATTCCAGATTCCGGTAACCTGCATATGCAAAAAACATCTCGCTTCCGTGATTTTGCCTCAAACCAGTTTGTGGATGGATTCTCCAATATACGATCGGGAGTATTGTCGCGTGAAGAAGGTTCAACAGGTGGGCGAAATCGATCATTTAAATCAAAACAGGAAGCGTTCTTTTTTTCAACAACCTCCATATAAGATTTAAGGATGTGTAACGGTGCATTAGCTTTTCCGAAGAGCTTTTTTCCCTTTCGCATCCAGTCCTCGTGATGTTTCTGCTCGCGTTCGAGATCGATAGCTCCGATCGGTCTGCTGTTGAGTTGTTCTAATGACTCCATCAATTCTCGCACTTCTTTGTAGCTAGGACGTTTGCGAATATCCGCATCTTTGGAACGTTCGTAGAGCGACCGGATATGGTTCTGAGCGTCGCGCTGCTTGGTCAAAATGGCCTCGACTTGAGCCAGAGTTTCGGGAGATACAGGAAATCTTGATGCCTGGGCAGACAAAGCTTCTAACTGCACATAATGAACGGCTTCTACAGATATCAGCTCCTTGGCTTTGGCTTCCCACGCCTCGCCAGACCGACGAAGCTCCTTGAAATGCGCCAGATCCGGATCATTGTCTGTAAGACCCAATTCCTCGCCTTGCTGGATAAATTGATGAACGTCTTCGAGTGTCAGGTGCTGGTCACGTTTGGCGCGAGATTGCTCCCTCCATTTTATCTGTTGAAGCACGGTTTCGAGTTTCTCGACCTCGGGCAAATCCACGTTGAAGTTTCGGCTGGTTTCGACTAACTCCTCAATCTGGGTGGCTGTTTGTACGTTGGTGCTAAGGGCGAGATGGACCTCCAGGCGGAATTTCTCGATTTCGTGGGTCTTCTCTTTCAGGGCCGCCATCTGTGGACAGTCGAAGGAAAGTATATCAGCTTCTGAAAGTAGAGCGCGGATATTTTCCACTCTGCGAAGCTCACGATCGCGTTCTTCAAGCTGTGCGGCTTTGGAAGTGCCTTTACGCCAGGCTTTCTCATTCTTCCTGCGGTTTTGTTGCTTTCGCGTGATATAGTTGTTGGCTTCTTCTACCCACTTGTCGCACCGCTGAACGAAAGCCGCCAGGTCTTGAAGGCCGGGCAAGTGATAAGGGATCTTCTCACCTTCGCTTAGGAGGCTATGGAGGACCTTCAGCTGAGGTTTCGCTTCGTCCTCCAACACCTTGTCCAATTTCTCAGTCCACGCCTCGGGTATCCTAGCGCGATCTTGTATCTTTTGTACCAGGGCCGACAATGAGTCATTCGTGGATCGGTATCGCAACGTGTGGTTTGGACCTAGCATCCTTTGCTCCAGTGGTTCGTTACAGCAGTCGTACATGTCGGCATGAATCAAGCATACGGTTCTCCCGGTATTTTCACAGCGGAATTGAGTAAGATAGGCATAAGCTTTGCAGTAATGGCATTGGTACTCATCTTCGGGGAGATCCTCCTCGTCGACGACATACTTCAATTTACAATCTGCATCGATAGACCAATCACTTCCGCTGAACTTACATTGATGCGGAGCAGCTCCCCGATGGCGATCAAGGAAAGATGCACGATCGGATCCTTCACGAGCGACCGCACGGTCTAGAGCTGGTGCAAGCCACTTGGCGGTCTTAATGGATGTATCTCTAGCTGCGGCTGTCATTAGCAGTTCATCATGTGAGAAACACGGTTGTCTTCTAAATGCTTGCAACCGCTCAACCCCAAGAGCACCGAATGGTTCCCAGTCTGTCGGTGCAAAATTAACGGCCTCGTTGAAGTTGAAACCATGATTGAAGCCAGCATGATACGCCTGGGGGAAGGTAATAACGAACTGGCCAGCTCTCTGATCAAGCGCATAGACGTTTACGCCAGCCTTTTTCAATTGATCGGGTGGTAGAAGAGTTACCAACTGAAACAGAAGGTCCGGTTGTGTTTCGAAAAGTTCCGGGACTGCCTGTCGCATCGCTTCTTCGAAAGCTTCAGCATCCTTTCCGGGTATGCCATACCAAGTCTTGGTAGCGCCGAAATGCTGATAGTTGGCAGAATAGGCATAATGATCCTCATTATGCCAGCAGAATGTAGAAAAGCACATCCCAACGTACACCCATGGCACAGTCATACCTGAAATGTCGGACTTGATATGCCTGAAGAGGGAGTCACCGTAGAACGGTAGTACATTCAAATTCCAAGGATCTTGTGAATACGGATCTAGCGGATTCCTTTCCACTGTTGGGAAACCACTGCCGTGGGTGGTAGAGTGAATATCAGCTCCATACTCAACCTCCACCGTCTCTGTGAGGCTCTCAACGAGTCTCCAGAATTCACGTTCCACATCGTCCTCGGTTTCACGGCGCTGTGTATTCAGGACAGGGTCGAATGGCATGCGAGGAGCAAAGTAGCTCTTTTTGAAAGCGTTGGCCTTCTCTTGGAATTGTTTCAACGAATACACGCCACCTTCTTCGAAGCCAAATTCGCCAGTACCAACCAGACATTTCGGGCAGTGCCAGTCATAGTCTGGATCGGCGTTCAGCGGATTTTCGAGACAAGCTTTGTGGTAGCCATTCTCGCAACTGTCACACACAAAGATAGTCTCGGGATTGTCTGTTTTTCCACAAGCTTCGCATTTCTATTGGTAAAAGTTTAGCTTTGTGTTTATCATGAAGTTAGGCTAGATGGAAGCATACCTCGCCTACTCTACGCGTGCCACTCTTTGATTTTCCCTTGGACGGTGTAGGACGGAGAAGACTCATGTGAGACCCAGCGACTGTAGGTACACCATCTGTAATTAGACTGTTAGTTAAATGTGACCGGGATAGGGATATGATAGCACAGTTGATTCTAGAATGGGATCAAGAAAGTTTACAAACCTTTTCGAAGTCGTTTGCTTCTTCGGCCTGAAGCGTCCAATTCAACAGAGTCACTTTGCGAGTCAGCAGCAAGGCTGTCATGGCTAATGGTACGTTTAAGCGGATGCGAGGAATGCCCGTTGGTGAGTGGCGTTATTTTAGCATCAGCTTTATCTTTACCCGGATACGGAGCGATATTCTTCGGGGTGGAAGAGCCATTTTCGTTCTCTCGTTTGATCGGCGGAGTGTGGTTAACCGCAGCAAACGATGGCGAACGGTTCACAGGCGTAAAGCCTCCCGGCCGGTTCACAGCAGTAAAACCCGGTGTTGGGCGGAGAGGAATCTCCGATGTAGGAGCTTGCTGTTCTTGTGGCACATTGTCGGTCTCAATCGAAGCGTTAAGAATGTTTGAAGCACGTATAGCAGGAGAATCTTGGCGCGCATTCGATGGAGTAGCCGACATTGGTCGCTTCGCTACCGGCGAACGATTGGGAGATGGTGTGTAAGGCCCACCTTGTTCAACTTCCAGCTGCTGTTGTACGCCAGGTTTGGCGACACGAAGATACTCTTCATAAGGCTGAAGCCACCGTTGATATGAATTTTTCAGCGATGTAGAAAGCGAAGACATTATCTTGCCACTATAGCCCAGATCGCGACCGATTTCAGCCCATTTCTTTAGCTTACAGACTTGATCGAAGCCACCTCGAACTTCGACCGCTTTTTTGAGTTTATATAGATCGAGAGGCCTTTTGTCGACGCTAGGAAATCGGTTGAGGTTGGTGCCATGTTGTTTATGGAATTTTGCGAGCTGATCGAGGTAATTCAAATTCGCCCGAGTACCTGTTCGGAGTCAGAATGGGGTCTTGGGGAAAGCACTTTGAAATTTGAATATCGCCGAACGCTACAACATACCTCCTTCGACTGAGTTTAATTCTTGACGGCGGGTTTTAAAATGGAATCTCTGTAGTGAAAAACGTGATTGTCAGCACTCTGTTGCATACCTCATCCTGTTTCCGCGACAAATTCAAAGGTAGAGTTGAAAAACATACTTCCGTATCGACTGCAAATGGAGGATTCCAATTCTCTGGAGGAATAATCCTGCAAATGCCATATTTAGATCCTTCGGGTGCGATCTTTCTTATGTATTCGTTCGGGTCTCTGAATTCTTCTTCGGTAGGACGGAAAGTAGGGGCCTCCGGCAGGCCATGAGCACGAACGCGATTTGTTGGTTCTCGAGTCGCACTTGGCTGACCGCGCCGTTCAACGGTCGAAAGATCCAATGGGGCAGACCGTCGAGCGCTCAGAGGTACATTGTGACCGTACGAAGGGTATGAGGCAGTTGGCCGCTGACGAGGATTGTTCGCTTGCGCATTCGCTGTGGTGGTCGCGGGGGCCACCATTTCTTACTCGAGTCGCTCGGAATAGCGCTGAGAATCGATGAGTAGACGGTTGCGTAGGAAGATTTATTTCCGGTTCTATCAAGACTGAGGACGTTTGTAGGACGGCATTGGACGAGGCGATGCCGAGCAATCAAGGATCAGCGAGGAAGGGATTGTGGTAATTGATGTGTGAACCCGTTTAAAGATGAGAAAACGAGACGCGGATAATTTTATGGTGATTTCAGAGAAGAGCAAGGTGGGAGTGAGGTTCCCAGGCTGAGCAGTTCCGCAAGGAAGGGAAGAGAAAGTGACCAAAACCGGGACCGGACAGACGAGATCGAGGAATTCGAGTCTGAAATCAGATATAGTGGGAGAAAGGTTTGCTCGGCCACGAAGGCAGCTAATCTAACAGAGCTGCCAGGTGGTAGACGAGAGGGCGAGCGAGCTGAGGGTGTTGGTTGTAGAGAGACGAGTGGTATAAAGAAGGGAAGAAGACCGAGAGAGGGCCGACTGACCTGGGTGATCAGTGATGGGGCAGATTAGTGTTAGCAGTGTTAGCTCCAGGCTAAGACTAAATTGTTTGGTTAAGGGCGCCGTTCCCTCATTGGGATTTTTCCACATACTGCAATGTGATAGGTCGTTTCTTTCTTCGCTGCCCCGGCCGGTACCGAGCTCGTCTCTACGTTCCTCACATATAACGATGGATTACGGTAATCAATTGTAATTGATTGTAATTGATTGTAATTGATTATTACAAAATTATCTTTCTCCATTGAAGAGGGAACAATAATGAGGATGCAATGATACACAATGATGAAAACCGGTTAACCGTTCGCTCATCTTCCGCAGGACGATCCGATCCGACAGTACCTGAGACGTATTGTATGACTACGTACACTACGTGCCCTGCAAACGGAAGGTCAGTGCAAACTCAGCATTAGGCAACAAGCAGAGAATGTTTATTGATCGATAACAAATATGCGTAGCGGCATAAACTACCATGTAGAGGCCACTCGGCACTAGCTATTTCTTTTATTCTTTTTCTTTGTCGCTGGTGCCGAGATAAGATGCGATGAATATACTGTATATACTCCTGGGCGTCAAAAAGACCCCTGGTCAGTAGATAACAACGCACTGTAGTAAGCGATTTCCCGGCGACAATTGCATACATGTGATGCCGCTGATAGCGAGTAATAAATGCACCCGACGACGAGAGATCATACAATGATCGATGATTTACTATAGTAATCAGAGTGAAGGAAAGTGGTCGAGTGCAGTCAGTTTTAACCCGGTCAGAGCCCCACTGGCTAAAGAGACCAACGTCGAGTGGCTAGCAATCCGCCAATGAGAGTTGGCACTATGCCCAAAGCGGGCCATCAATGGGCAGATGCATCACGTGTCCGACATCGTATTTTCCTGTTGGTATTGTACGTACGTATCGGGGTACGTATGCCGTGTCCCAAACAGGGACCGCCGAGTAATAGATACATGTCCCGGTTAATTCAGCATAATTGTCCAGATCGGGGATAATGATGTACATAAATTGACGGAATCGAAGGTTGAGTGGGCGGCATGCTTGTCACGTGACATCGTGTCGTTCGGCTTTAGCGTAACGCGTTTGCTCGGAAAGGTGCTCAGTCGCAATTGCCTTGCACGGATTCGACTAACCAGTCTAGTCAGTGATGCATTCCCAGAAATTACACTCTGTCACTTGAGCCATGTCCTCGACAGCTCCAGAGGCAACGGCTTCAACCAAGCCCATCCCAGCCTTCTATTGCTGTTATCTCCTACGGTCAGCCAAGAGGCCGAGTTGTCTATACATTGGCTCTACTCCGGATCCAGCACGGCGTCTGGAGCAGCATAATGGGGTTTCGAAAGGTGGCGCAAAGAGGACGGAGCGCGATACATTGAGGCCGTGGGAAATGGTCACCATCGTTGAGGGGTTCACGAGCCGGACTGGCGCGTTGCAATTTGAGTATGTCGTTCTTCTTTTACCCTATATATCCTTAATCACATGCTGACGAGGTTCCTTTCAGATGGTCGTGGCAGCATGTACACACAACTAGACATATAGGTGCCGTGGAAACCGACAACTTGAACCGACGGCGCAAGAATCCCCCCGTTGACCAAGGCTCTGGCCTGTGGACCTCGACACCAAAGGTATTGGGTAATCTACACCAGCTTTTACGTTCTACCTATTTTGGGAAATGGCCTTTGACTGTGCGATTTCTATCAAGTGATGTGCATTGTCACTGGCAACGATGGACCGAACGTGCGGATAGTTTGCTCCCCGATACCATACACGTCCAACTGGATTTTCGAGCAGAGGGAGCCAGCGTGCTCGACTCCCACCTGCCAGCCAACGACATGACGCATATTGATGCGACGTACAGTGGTATTCAAGGACATCTAGACAAGTCAACATCTCTTTTGAGTGATGATTCTAGAAGGCTATCATGTGAGGTATGTAGTCAACAAATATCTCCGCAGAGTGATATCATCGTGGTATGTTCGCAGCGTCATTGCCACGCCGTGTCACATGTCAACTGTCTATCCCAGCTGTTTCTGAGTGATGAAGGAAGATCTGGCTTGGTGCCGACGCTTGGCGAATGTCCAGGTTGCAAGCGAGAAGTTACATGGGTAGCATTGATGAAAGAACTAAGCATGCGGCTACATGGAACAAAAACCGCAATGAAGCTACTGAAAAGAGAGCGCAAAAGCAAAGAGAATACCGAAGGCAGAAAATCGTCCAAGACCAACAAAAAAGCGAAGATTAATGATGACATACTTGATAACGACTACGACGATCTGGACGAGGACTGGATGAATGCCGTGAATGTCGACTTCGCCCCAGAGCCCACAAACTTTAGATACCACGGGGAAAGCTCGACCGGGCGAGTCGAAATAGTGATCGAAGACAGTGAGGAAGAAAACTTTGATTGACATCTAGCTAGTTTGAAGCTCGATCTAATCCTTGCGGCCGGATGAACTCTCTCCTGTCGGAATAAATGTCCAGGGCCCAAGCTTTTTCAGCGGCCCTATCGAGTCCACGTTCTTCATACACTCTAGCACTGGCTCCAATATATCCTGCGCAACTTCGTCGACCGACTGCCCAGCATCGATAACACAGATTTCATCATTATGTGGGAGATCTAACAGCGAGAGAAACAAATCTCTAACCCGTTTTTGCATGGAATCGGTCTCGTATCGCTCGACACCATAGCCGCCTCTCTTTGCCGCTTCTTCGGGAGATATACTAAGGAAGAGACAGAGATCGGGACGAGGTAAGCCTACCTCTGGTTGCCATGCCCAGTGAAGCGATAAATTGGGGTTTCCCTTGGCAGCAGAGTAGACAGCGCCGGAATATGAATAGCGATCCACGATGACCGTCGTTCCGTCAGCAATGTCCTTTTGAATGCTCTGGGCTACCTCCCATCTGTTTGCCGAGAAGAGCAAATGTATTGAATGGTCGTCCAATTGCGATTCGCCTCGTAGATAGCTATCAATTTGCTTGCCAATGGGCGTGCTTCGGTCTTCGACAGTCAGTATTGCATTCAGTGCATCTCGTAGAAAGCATAAGAAGAAATTACCTGGAAATCGAATGTATTTGGCCTTGTAGTTCATGCCCAACAGGCTCTTATACAGCAACTCGCACTGGCTGGACTTTCCCGCGCGGTCCAGTCCTTCCACCACCACCAAAGCCCCGCGCTTCTCCTTATCAATCGCTGATAAGTCCGCCATGTCGATGCAAAGTCAAGTGACTGACAATTAGACGGCAAGATAATAGTTGTCTTTATTTGTGGCTACTGTCAAGAGTGTGCAGGTGCTAAAGTCCCAGGCAGGCGGTCAATCGATGAATCGTTTTGTCCGACGGGGTTCGCTGGTTGGCAAAGATAAAAAAAAGAATCCACCAAGAAATTAATTCATCTCAAACTCTTATATCCGGTTCAATAGTATAGGGATTATCACACCCTTGCTATAACCCCTGAACCCTGGAAAAAGGGACCAGAATAACGACGGGATTTATTCGAGCAAAAATGGGAAATGAAATTGACCAGGATAATACTACCGGTACTCCGACTATGAGAAATCCCTTTGCGGCGGTGCATACCTCGCCGGGTGGCCTTGCTGCTCGCGTGGGCAAGTTCGTCTTGCCCGACAGAAAACCGATTCAGACTCCGCATTATATTACTATCACGTCGCGAGGAACTGTGCCGCACATATCACCGGATATAGTCAGGAATAGTACCGCGATTGGAAGTCTCTTCATCGGACTGGAGGATTGTACGTCCAGCTTCTCCGGCGCTCTCTTTTACTATTTGCAAACACTGACATCTGTCTTCTGGCCAGCGCAGTTCTGGACAAAGCTCCTCAAAAGATCCCTGTGTTGAATGTCCCTCAATCCCACCCACATGAATCGCGACTCCGCAAGTTCATCGCCGCGCAGGACGACGACATCCTTATTCTAGCTGCCCGCCGAGCTCAACCTGTCATAACCCCGCAAGCGAACACGGCGAACGCAGTCGCGATTATAACGTCGTCGGGATCATGGATTCTGGAGCACACGAAATGGCTGGATATGGTACCGAAACTGCGACCGGATATTGTTGTCGGTTTCGCGGATCTGGCGTACGGGCATACGCCGGGTGTGAAGAGGAGGGAGAAGATGGTTGATCGCACACATGCGTTCACTCGGGATGCGACGAGACATCTGTATCCCGAGTCGACCGATTCAACCGATGATAGTAGCGAGCTGAAGACTCCGCTATACTTTGCGCCCGTCCTCCCGCTCGAGAATACGCAGCAGGGACTCTATCTTCAAGACCTGGAAGATGAATTACGACCCCGGGTCTCGGGTCTGGCTCTCTACGAATCTGCGTCGTTGTGCATCATACCGGAATCCCTCGCCGATCTGCCGCGACTCTGTATCAGTGAGCCATGGGTACCGCAAGAGATCCTTCGCGATGTCGCGCTGGGCGCGGATTTATTCACCATCCCGTTCATTGGGGATTTATCGAATGCCGGTATCGCATTAGACTTCACCTTTACGCCGTCAAAACCAACAACAACGGAAACTCCTGCATCCGCACCGAAACCATTAGCATTCGACCTTTGGCACAAATCATACGGTACTGACATCGCCCCCATCTCTGAGGGCTGTCAGTGCTATGCATGCCAAAAGCATCATCGCGCATATATTCATCACCTCCTCTCGGCTAAGGAGATGCTTGCCTGGTCACTGCTACAGATCCACAATCATCATATAATGGATCAATTCTTTGAGGCTGTGCGTCAGTCTATTGCGAGTAATACGTTCGAGGCGGACGTTGCTGCTTTTGAGAGGGAGTATGAGTCGGCGTTTCCGAAGCAGACGGGGCAGGGACCTAGGTATTTCCTTCCTACTATCATGAATCATTGTCTAAGGGCTGTCTAACGTCGTGTAGGATACGAGGATATAATAGCTACGTCTCTGGCGCGGGCGAGCCGAAACGAAACGCGCCGGCCTATGGACGATTGAATGATGCCCTGGAGAAATATGCCGAGTCTCAGCAGTCTTCTGTCGCGACGCCGGATACAAATGCAGAGGGTTTGGAGAGGCATGGGTTTGCGGAGAAAAGTGCTGACCTTTGATACCACCCCTCCTCGAGATTCATTATCAAGATAGTCAACGTGTCGAGGGTTAGACATATTGTCTGAGCAATGATATTAATCAGCTAGAGTCTCATTTACATATCCCCCGCAAGCACATTCCACAACGTATTCATCTCCGCCTTCTCTTCCTCCGACCCTGGCTTCGTACCAGCTCCATATCTATGCCCAATCACACAAAGTAACCATACATCATTCTTAGTCTCGTTCAAGAACCGCTCCGTAGCCGATCCGCGAGGGTAGATGCGTCGCCACTCGTCCCAGATACGGAACGCCTCTTCGCCCCAAGCACGGAAACTGACTTCTTCGATGATGGTGGGTGTGGTTATTTCGCGGCCGCGGAAGGCACCCCATGTTACTGCCATGCCGGTACTTTCGCGTATTTCGAGGGGTTCTTCGTCTGCTGCTATGGCGGATGAGGCGTCTTCCGGTTGCGGGGAGGAGGATGCAGAAAGTAAAAAGGATGATTCGAGGTGGCCGGCTGCGTTGATGGCGAACCAGGAGAATTCTTCGCTGCCGTGTCTGAGAAGTGTGGGTTTGACTTTGTTTTGGTAATCGGAGTTGGGGCAGAAGAATTCAACAAATGACTTTTGGAAAACGAAACCTTCGCCTGGTGGTCCCCAGCCGAAGATGGGATGGTCACTTCGTACGCCGTTCACGGCTGGTTGTGATGCCAATGTCCACCAGTTCTTTTTCTCGATGATCTGTAGAAGTTGTGGCTTAATGATTTGTGTCTCTGCATTGAGGTTGGCGTCTTCAGCTGCACCTCCTTCGGACCAAGGAACAATGTATAGTTCTCCAGATACGTGTTTTCGGAAAAGAGTACCAATATCTTCTCTTGACACTGGGAAACCCCATAATTTTCTTGCTACAGTGGCGTTCACATGTAGAGAAGGACCGTAGCCGTCAATCTCACCAAAAGCAGGGGAACGGGAATCACCCCAACGTCCGTTAGGGAAATCATCCCACGTTGCTTCGCGACCCAAGGATCCGATGCCCTCTGAGATCTGCAGCTGAGTGCTTCGTGGAGGCGGATTCAATGCTGGCACACCGGCGCTAGAAGCAAGAGTTTCGTATGTGATAGATTTTCTCGATGAGTGTTCAGACTGTTGGTCTGTCGGTACATGCAGCTTTTCCACAATGACCCGATTGTGAGGACCAGAGTTGATGGAAGAGGCACGGCGGCGCGATACCAGTGTTTTGAGGTCTTTATTAGTTGAATCAACTTCCTCAATCGCAATACCATCTTCAATGGCATTATCATCGCTGGATGGTGGAATCAAATCACAGCGTTCCAGTATCAAGGTCACAGACTTCTCCAGGTTCAGTGTATAGAAATGGTATCCACGGTGTCCCGGGTTGGGCAATGCTTTGATCTGGTTCGCAATCTCGCTCACAATATCGACACCGACTTGCTTAACTCGCTCATCATCTGACCTGACTTGCTCAATTCGTGACATGATCGCAGGCGGGATATGAGCTCCGCTAAGTTTCGTCACTCTCGTCAAAATCTTGTAACCGTGAATAGGCATAAGACCGGGGATAATAGGTATAGTCTTGATCGCCCCGGAAGGGTGGTTTCGAAGTCTGTCCTCAAACGTCTGGTATGCTTCAAAGTCATATGTTAATTGAGTCATGATAAAGTCTGCGCCCGCCTGCACTTTTTCCACCAGATACGGTAGGTCCTTCTCAGGATCTTGAATATCTGTCTGCGACTCGCCGGGGTGACCTTCCGGGTACGCGGCGACTCCAATACAGAAGTAGTCGCCATATGTCTTTCTGATGTAGCGCACTAAATCTATAGCCCATGTAAAGTCCTTATTGCTATCGTCATCTCCGTCCATATTGTACTCCTCACTGCGGGGCGGGTCTCCTCGGAGCGCAAGGATATTTCTGATGCCGAGTGCTTTGGCCTGTTCCAAGGCTTCATCGATCAGACTTCTCGTCATGTTTGTGCACGTAAGATGTAGACATGTCGTTAATTGCAGTTGACGCTGGCAAATCTCGGCCAGTTCAAGAGACTTTGCTGCCGTTGTTCCTCCGGCACCCCATGTCACAGTCACAAAAAGCGGACGCAAAGCCTGGGCCATACGTTCGAGACGAGCTTGTAAGTTCACCGAGCCCTATGGAGACATAACAGCTTAGTTTATAATCTTCTCGAAATTGGTGCTAAAAGAGCCTACCATCTGTGTCTTCGGGGGAAAGAACTCCAACGAGAAATAGTTGGAGTCCGGCGGCAACGCCGCAATTTTCTCAGTGATCTTTTCCATCCTCAAGAAATGCGTTGTATCAAAGAAAAAGGTTGTTAATACAAATAAAAGATAGAAAAAAGGTATTAAAAAATGAAGAGAATAGCGTTGGTTGACACATGAGGGACCGGAAAAGAATCGTCAAGTGTGGGGCTCTTTCTTCCCCGCAGCGAAGCATTCCCGATAGTCCACATTACTCTGTTCTGCTCTCAATTCTGAGGTCATTAGTGTTTGCAATTGACTGATTGATACAACAGCTTTCAGCCTGTCTTCACACTGTGGTCCAACTCGGATTCTGTCAATCAGCCGTACGACCTTTTAAGAAGAAGAAGAAGACGAAATCGGAGCGTGAGAACATGTGGGGTTCGATTTATCGTGAAGATCATGACTGATAGCATTCGGAGTTTGACTACAGCGTGCCTAACTTGAAATGAAAACACTGAGAAGATTGATGATATATTTATGCTTTTGCCTCTTGAACTGCCAGTCTCTATAGCTCCTTGAAAGGCACTTCTCTCGCGGGACAATATATCAATTTAGGACCCTTGGACTTCGGAGTAGAGGATCCCCTAGTCTTATACCGTCAGCTACGAGATTTGAATTCGGAAATAATGGAGACTTTACTCTATATATTCGAAATCCAGATCACTACCGTGAGTCTGGTCCGAGCTTCAATGTTCGATGTTGCTTGTTCTTGATTGTAGTTGCTGATGGATGATAACGTTACTCGGTCGTCTCTATCCACAATGGAAGAGATCTTGCAATATACTGGTTGACAGGGAATTATGACGGGCAGCGTACCATCAATGGCTAGAATAAAAATCTCTATCATATCGCGAGTAGGAACAAGGCTGGCGGCCTCACCTAATTGACACTTATGAATTTGCATCAATTTTTATATATACCGCTGCGGGAAAGCTGATGCAAAATCTGCCGACACCTTTCAATGTTGGGCCCGGATCTTCAAATTCTCTTACACGGTGACCTGGCTTGAGTCTTCACATCTTCCATTGACAACAAATCAGCACATTAGCAAGAGTCTACATAGAAAATATAGTGTGTTGTCTGTACAAAAGAGATGTTCCAACTGATCTAGACCGCGATAGAGCTAAGACAGTTTAGGTTTAGTTCAAAAATTGTCCTAACCATAATTGGAATAGGACTCATTGTTGTACAGACAAACAACACAAACATCCAGTGGCTTCAGCGAATCGCGCAAAACGACGACGACAATCCTGAGTTTTGTACATAATCGTGTCGTTGATGATGAATAGAAAGGAGGAGAATCCTATTTATATCAGCTAACTCCAGAATACAACACGAAATTCTGGGCTAGGGGAAACGGAATCAGTTCGTCAATTCCATCCTCTTCTATCGCATCGTTACTGACGAGACATGCAGTGCCTGCCTCCAGGCATTTCGCAAAAATCTCGTTAAATCATAATATATACACAAGAAGAACGTTCTCCACCCGACGGCGCCTTTTGAAGTCCGTCTCTCCTCATTCTCCTCCATCCGAAGCATCAGCCGGCCTCCGCACACGACTCCAAAAATTCAACGACCGACTCCCCTCGTTCCTCCGCGGCTACACAGCCCCTCTTATCGGCGCACCTGCCACGCATATAACGTCCTTCCTCATCCTGCACGAAATCACCGCCGTTGCGCCTTTATTCGGTCTATTCGCTTTCTTCCACTACTCTGGTTGGACACCACTACTTTCGGGTGGCGATGATAGCTCGTTGAATGATGCCGTGCAGCGGTTCGGCAAATGGATGACCAAGAAGGGGTGGGTGGGTAGTGAAGATGTAGAGGCTGCACAGAATGTTTCTTCTACTTCTACAATTTCTACAGAGGATGGGGATAAGTCGAAGGTTCTGACGCAGCAAAAGGGGGCGCAATTGGTTTTACAGTTTGCGGCGGCATATGTGATCACAAAGGCATTGTTGCCGTTGAGGATTGTTGCGAGTGTTTGGGCAACGCCGTGGTGTGCGCGAGTCTTGCTCGTGCCTATTGGGAGGGGTATAAAGAGGGTTTTCCGGAGACCGTGAAAAATCGGTGCATAGTAGACTGTACATACGACAAAAGTCATATTGAAAAGATCTCTCTATATGCATGGCTTTTGGATATCTTTTATTTCTCTGTCGTACCGGGCGTCATTGACAAAAGCATTTAAGCCTTCTCGTAGATCCAGTCGAACTGGCTGTGCTTGTAGCTGATGACCTCACCCTCCTTGAACCAGAGAGCAATTTCCTTCTTGGCGTTCTCGACGCTGTCGGAACCGTGGCAGACGTTGCGGCCGACGTCCTATTCAAAGTTAATTGGGTAACGGTGCAATGGATGTCAGAACCACTCACGATGGCGTAGTCACCACGGATGGTGCCAGGGGCGGAGGCAAGAGGGTTGGTGGCACCGAGGATGGCTGCGAAATGTTAGTAAGTTTCTCCTGGCTAGTCAATTGATGGAAAACATACTACGACCGGTCTTGACGGCATCACGGCCCTCCCAGACCATGGCGACGATGGGGCCGCTCAACATGTCTGTATTTAATTAGCAATTGACTTTTTCTGACATCAAATAGTCGCAGTTGTAGAAAGACTAACAGGTAACGAGACCGGGGAAGAAAGGCTTCGAGGAGAGGTCCTCATAGTGCTTCTCGAGGAGCTCACGAGGAGGAGAGACCAACTTCAAAGCGGCGAGCTTGAAGCTATCGATTAAAAGAGGATTAATATAATTCTGAAAGTGGTATATTGGCACAACTCACCCACGGGACTCGAAGCGAGAGATGATAGGTCCAACGAGACCACGCTGAGTATTTGTTAGTCAATCAGGTTACAAAGAGAATGGATCAATGGCTTGAATATCGATCAGAGGAGGCCGGCCGTACCTGGACACCATCAGGCTTGATGGCAATGAAACTGGACGAGAATTAGCACCAGCTCCAAGTATCAGAACAAAATAGGAGGGGTAACAAGAGTTTTGTGGCGGTCAAGCATGACATGAACGCAAATGCATAAGGGGTGGAGGGGACAATGTAACTCACGTCTGCTCGTTAGACATTTTGGATGTGTGAGAGGTTTAGAAAAGGACTCTGAGATTGGAACAGTTGGTGAAGGACAGAATGCGCGGAGGAGAAGATGGGAGAGAGAGTCGAGAAAATTGTTATGGCGGACACAGAAGGAGCGGTGGGGCAGGAGGGGTACCGTGCTGGCCAACCAGTCAGTAGGTTAGTGCTCTCGACGTGTTCGACTAGCTGGCTGTCTCCGTTATTTTATGCGCTTGGATGGTGTCAAGCCATATACTGGCTTGCAATTGGTATTTGAGTCAATGTTGCTTGAGCTATCTTCGTGTAGTTGTGTTTATTCAATGCTCCAGTGTAGATTCTGATAAATACCGCTGTATTGTCAACTGGTAATACATTTACAGCGCCGATCGGGGTGTCTTGGCGGCGGTTGTTAGCGGCGGCAGCTTGGCTCTTGTTTATCTGGCAGCTTCCTCGTCCTATCTCACTCCCTGTCCCTTGCTACCAGTCACCGGCTGCTTTACTCGGTATCGCAGCTTCCTGTCTGACCTCATACAACATAAATGGGGTCCAGTGCAAACATATCGAGTTGCTGTTCTGCATATAGATGACTTTCAGCCTCAATCGTTCCTTCATTATCTATACGTCATGGCTGGGTATCGGCTTTTGAAGCAGCAGTTGACGCTGTTTCTGAGCTTCATTACCATTTTTGCTAGTTTTGTTTCACCAGTTGGTACGTGTCAATTATCTCTGGCTTTCAATAACTACTAAGTTCCATCAGTCAGCGTCAAGCACGAGAATTTCAAGACATGCTCCCAGTCCGGTTTCTGCAAGCGGAACCGAGCTTATGCGGATGAAGCTATCACCTCGGGGAGCAATTGGAAGACTCCATATGAACTGGATCCCTCGACCGTCGAATTGAAGGATGGCTATCTACAAGGTGTCGTGTTGAAGACCACGGCATCCGGCGAGAAGGTCAGGCTACCTCTCACCGTATCGTTCTTGGAGTCCGGTGCCGCCAGAGTCGTTCTGGACGAAGAAAAGCGGATCAAGGGAGAAATCGAATTGCGACACGATCGCAACATCCGGAAGGAGCGATATAACGAGGCTGAGAAGTGGGCCATTGTTGGCGGTCTGGCACCAAACAAGGCTGCTGCCTTCAGCCCTGAATCAGACACTGGTTATACCAAGGTCCAATATGGCCCCGAAAATCAGTATCAAATGGTTCTTCGCCATGCACCTTTTGAGATCAACTTCCAGCGCGACGGTGAGACTCACATCAAATTGAATGACCGAGGCTTGCTCAATTTGGAACACTGGAGACCTAAAGTAGATGTTCCAGAAGGGGAGACTGCGCCGGAGGATGAATCCACTTGGTGGGATGAATCATTTGGTGGAAACACTGACTCAAAGCCCAGAGGTCCCGAGAGTGTGGCCTTAGACATCACCTTTCCTGGATACGAGCATGTATACGGTATTCCGGAGCATGCTGACTCAATGTCACTGAGAGAGACACGGTAAGCACATTTCTTATCTGCACGCGACCTCACAGCTGACATTCTTCAGGGGTGGTTCTGGCAACCACGAGGAACCGTACCGATTGTACAACAGTGATGTTTTCGAATACGAGCTGAACAGCCCAATGACACTTTACGGTGCTATTCCTTTCATGCAAGCCCATCGCAAAAACTCATCTGTCGGCGTGTTCTGGCTTAATGCGGCCGAGACATGGATCGACATCATCAAAGCCAAATCTACTTCCAACCCTCTATCGCTAGGCCTTACCAGCAAGAAGACCACACAAACGCACTGGTTCTCTGAGTCGGGTCAGCTCGATCTTTTTGTCTTCCTTGGGCCTAACCCCCAGACCCTGAGCAAAACCTATGGAGAATTGACGGGATATACACAACTTCCACAACAATTTGCTATTGCTTATCATCAGTGTCGCTGGAACTACGTCACGGACGAGGATGTAAAGGAAGTTGATCGCAAGTTCGACCGGTACCAAATTCCGTACGACGTTATCTGGCTCGATATTGAATATACAGACGGCAAGAAGTACTTCACGTGGGACCCGATGACTTTCCCTGACCCGAAGGGCATGCAAGAACAACTAGACGAGTCGGAACGTAAACTTGTCGCTATTATTGATCCCCATTTGAAGAACGAAAAAGGCTACCCTGTCATCGACGAGCTCAAGAGCAAAGACCTAGGCATCAAAAACAAAGACGGAAACATCTACGACGGCTGGTGCTGGCCAGGCTCATCACATTGGGTCGACTGCTTCAACCCAGCTGCTATTTCCTGGTGGAAGGGTCTTTATTCCTACGATAAATTCAAGGGTACATTCCACAACACCTTTATCTGGAATGACATGAATGAACCGTCAGTGTTTAACGGCCCCGAAACCACCATGCCAAAGGACAACATCCATTACGGAAATTGGGAGCATAGAGATGTTCACAATATCAACGGTATGACAGTGGTCAACGCTACCTACCAGGGTTTAGTTGAGCGAAAGAAAGGTCAGCTACAACGTCCGTTCGTTCTGACAAGATCATTTTATGCTGGCACTCAACGAATGGGGGCTATGTGGACTGGCGACAACCAGGCTGAATGGGGTCACTTGGCTATGTCAATGCCCATGGTTTTGAACCAGGGTATTGCTGGTTTCCCCTTTGCTGGAGCAGACGTTGGTGGATTCTTCGGAAACCCTGATAAGGACCTTCTTGTGCGTTGGTATCAGACGGGTATCTGGTATCCGTTCTTCCGTGCTCATGCTCATATTGATACTCGTCGTCGCGAACCATACTTGACCGGTGAGCCTTATATGCAGATCATTAGCCAGGCGATTCGTCTCCGATACCAACTCCTTCCTGCATGGTATACAGCATTCCACGAGGCTTCCGTTAATGGGATGCCTATTGTGAGACCCCAATACTACGTCCATCCTAATGACGAGCAAGGCTTTGCCATGGACGACCAATTCTACCTAGCCTCGACTGGTATCTTGGTCAAACCTGTCGTTGTCAAGGACCAAGACTCCGTCGACATCTACCTGTCTGATACCGAGAAGTACTATGACTACTTTGACTACACGATCTACCAGGGCAGCGGAAAGTGGCACAAGGTCCCTGCTCCGTTGGACACAATTCCTGTCCTCATGCAGGGTGGCCATGTTATTCCTCGACGAGACCGCCCACGACGTAGTAGCGGGTTGATGAAGTGGGATCCTTACACTCTAGTCGTCGTGCTGGACGAAAATGGTTCTGCTGACGGCACTCTCTATGTGGATGACGGAGAAGGCTACGACTACGAGAAAGGCGGCTACATCCACCGTCAATTCACCTTTATCGATTCAACATTTGTCTCCGAAGACATTGGTACGAAAGGTCCCAAGACTGATGAATATCTCAAGTCAATGGCTGGTGTGCGAGTCGAGAAGATTGTCGTAGTTGGTGCGCCAGCAGAATGGGAGCAAAAGGACACTGTCACCGTCATTGAGGATGGAGCCAAGGGAGCTGTCAAAGCTTCTTTGCAATTTACACGCAGTGAGAATGGCAAGGCAGCGTTTGCTGTGGTCAAGAACCCTAACTTCGCTATTGGCAAGTCATGGAAGATCGAGTTTTAGGCGCATGCCCTATGACGATGTATTATATCATAGCCGCAATATAGCCAATTGATTGAATTTTCAAGATGGAAGCTTAACCATTTTTGCTACCGTAAATTTTAAATTTATGCCCGGACGTAAATAAGGCCATCGTAGACTGACAGCTCTGATTGGCTCTGTGGGGGGGATCGCCAGGAGTCCCAGCCCACTCGAATAGAAATTCGCGCCTGATTCTTCAGGCTTTTGCGGGCCGCGTTCAGTCAACAATTTCCTCAACTCCGTCTATTGTCCACGCTCTCTCATTTGCGCGCTCCGCAAAGTACGAGAGGGAACTTCTCATGATTTTGTAGTTGCTTTGTTGGTCTGCGATCACATTCAAGACTTCCTGCGAAATTGCCAATCGAACCATCMCCTGCCGTGAAACACCAACTGTCATCCCGAAGACTCCGGTGCCAGATCACCTTATAATCCGTGACATTATCAGCGTGATTGTTCAACTGCTCCTCTCTTTTCGTCTGCCCTAAATTTATTTCATATATCCAGTACTTGAGCGAAAAGAGAGACTTCCACAGCGACCATGTGGCTTCTCGATATTATACTAGAATATGGAGCGCCATTCTTGTATGAGCTACCCTCAAAGCATCAATTGACTACTTGTCGCTCATTTCTAACACTGTGCTCCATGACTGCAGCCTTATTACCGCGCCCATCACGTCCTATGCCGACCAAATCCACAGCATCTATAAGAGCAAGAACTCTGCCGGCTTCTCCTTGGACATTCCTTTGATCATGCTCATAGCATCGATTTTCAAGTACGTCGCTATTCCTTCAGAGATTCTATGGTGAACTAATGATAGTGTTTGTAGATTTTTCTACTGGTTCGGCTCATACTATGCGACTTCATTATTCGTCCAGGCCATCAATATGATATTCGTTCAATTGGTACTACTCAAAATCGCATTGACCAATAGACCGACTCCGGGCGCAAAGGATAGCATCGAGCATACGCCATTCAGTGGGCAGCGTCAGGATAATATGCTTATGGGGTTCACGCGTCCATACAACTTTTGGCGCTGGAGGAACGAAAAGCCGTATGTCACTTCCCTACAAAATGAGCGAAGGGTTGTATACTAACATGGTTGTGGTCAGGTACTGGACATTCCTGGGCTACTTCACCGGCGCCCTTTTCGTCATCCACGTCTTTCTCCCCTTCATCTCCCAAACAGAGACCTACACCAACCTCCTCGGCGTCGCCGGACTCACCGTCGAAGCTTTCCTTCCCGTTCCACAAGTCCTCGCCAACCAGCGCTCTCGTTCCTGCAAAGGTTTCCGGGTCTCCGTCCTGGGATCTTGGCTCCTCGGTGATGTAATGAAGATGAGTTATCTGTTCTATACGAAGGATATTATTCCCCCGGCATTCAAGTTCTGCGCCATCTTCCAGTGCATGTGTGATATGTACTTGGGTGTTCAGTATCTGATGTTTGGCACGGGGAAGGCTGCTTATGCGGCGACGGCGAATGGTGACCGATGGGGTGCGAATGAGAAGGATATTCATCTGGGTTGATTGTTTTTTTGAGACTTTACTACATCGTGTGGTTCCCTTGAATAACGGTTTGGAGGGTCAGGGAGTCAATATATAATATAGCATTTTGGATACATAGGTATATATACAATTAATGTGCATTTTACAGGTGCATTCGCTTTGTGTAGAATTTCTTCGGCGTTTATCGGATCTAAGATAATTTTATGCGTTTCTCCTCATACCGAACGGCGGGGATGACCCCGCATCATCATTTGACATCGATAAAGTCGACACTAGGACTTTCCTTTGCCATTTCAATTGACTACGTGACAGCACTGTATAATATATTGAAAATATGGTAGCTCCCAAGAAAACGATTCGAGTAGGCTATGTGCCAGGTACGTTGACTTCATCCTCGTTCGACTCAGAAAGGGAAAATTTAATTAACAAACTCAAGAACATTACCTCGCACCCCTCCATCTCGCAATTTGCGACCCCTCCTACGCGGACCTCCCTTTTGAGCTGGAGCTTATCTCATTTCCCTCCGGAACAGGGCATATGATCACATCCCTCCGCTCCAACGAGATTGATATCGGTATCGGTCTGACAGAGGGCTGGATCGCGGGGTTGACAGGCAAGCAGCAATTGGAAGCCAGCAAGGCTGCAGGTGACGATGGCGGGTATAGAATTGTTGGGMAATGGGTTGAAACACCATTGCGCTGGGCAATTGTGACTGGCAGGAATAGAGAGAATATCAACGGGGTTAGCGATTTGAAGGATTCGCGTGTTGGCGTGAGCAGATTGGGGAGGTGAGCATCAACCGACTTCATTTCCAGGGTTCGACCTCCGTAACTGATGAGAACAGTGGATCACATATAATGTCCTTCGTCCTCTCGCAACAACAAGGCTGGGCGGTCGAAAGCCTCAAACCCGCCATTCTCGGTCCCTTCGCCGATTTGAGAGAAGGCGTCTCATCAAGCGGCGCATCCCAAAAGGCGGACTTCTTCATGTGGGAGCAGTTCACTACAAAGCCATACTTTGATCCCGTCGTGCCATCGACGACTCCGCCGCCGCTTAAGAAGATTGGTGAGATATATACGCCCTGGCCCTCGTGGCTTATTGTGGCGTCTACAAGGTCGTTCCAGACACCGGAGAGCGATGAGACGCTGCAGGCCTTGTTCGGCCTGCTTGATAAGGGTATTGCTACGTTTGAGAGCAAGACAGAGGATGTTATCAAGTTGCTCGGTACAGGGGACTTTAAATGCACATATGCCGAAGAGGATGCGAGGAAGTGGTTGGAAGCGACACGATTTGTCAAGACTACAAGGGGTTTGAGTAGCGAGATTGTGCAAAAAACGGTTGATGTGTTGAAAATTGCGGGGGTTATTGATCCGGATCTGCCTCTCAGTGATGCTGTGCAGAGGGTTACTGGTGTTTCCAGATAGATTCATACATTGGTGATGTAGGATTACAGCAGAGAGGTAGGCATAGCACTGAATACAGCCCTATTGATAAGCCTCCAGTCTCTAAATGAAGATTTCATTTCACCCCCGGTGCAAATTGTACCGCGTACAGCCCACTGCGATAGCGATAAAACGGACCAAACAACACATTATTAATCTAAATTTCCTATTTGGGTAAGTATAGGGCTTGTTTGACCGAGCTTCGGTGGAAAGCCTCGGCGGAAGTCAGCTCGACCGACATCTATCGCCCCTTTATCTCAAGCAGCTGAGGTGATTTAGCAAAAGAATAAAAGTGAACGGCTTGTAGTAGAAATGCCTTTCAATTTTGATTATTAATTCTGGATTGAAGGATGAGTTTCCATCCCGTTCGGGCCGATCATCTGTGTACTCGGTCAAACCCTAACTACGATCTTTAGCAAGTAGTATAAAGGTTGTTCTTCTGCTACTATTTTCGAAGCCATAGAAGCAAATTACGCGTGACTTTGAAACATATCTAGGTCTCGTGCCTCTCTCCATCTTCCATCGAAGATCGTCATTCCTTTGAACAGAACCGGCATCGAATTTTCAAACATCATGACGGCTACTCATTTTCCCAGACAAAGCCTGGACAATCCAGACGTGGAAAAGACCACTGAAACAGCAGATACAGAAACCGCAACCAAGGAGACGGAGTCTACTGAGACTGCAACCGAAAATGCCGAATACCCAAGTGCCTTCAGCTTGGCGTTGATTACAATGGCTGTGATGTTTAGCGTTTTCTTGAGTGCTCTTGACCAGGTAAGATCGTCTTTTGAGAACGGCAGCAGAGTCAAATTAACGTATTGACTAGACCATCGTCGGTACCGCAATTCCCAAAATCACAGATGAATTTCATAATCTTAGTCAAGTATCATGGTTCGGAAGGTGAGGCAAATCGAAGCAATTGTCTGCATGGGTACTTATCAAGATCCAGTGCCTACTTCATGACATTCGGCGGCTTTCAAACCTCCTGGGGCAAAATATACACCTACTACAATCTCAAAATCGCATTCTTGATCTCCGTCTTCGTCTTTGAAGTAGGCAGTCTAGTGTGTGGAGTCACTCCCAACACGATCGGTTTCATATTCGGTCGTGCCATTGCTGGTCTCGGTGGTGCTGGCATGTCGACAGGCGCCTTTACTATCATCGCCTTCTCAGTCGAGCCGCGACGCAGACCGGCATTCATCGGCATTACGGGAGCCACTTACGGATTCGCTGCGGTCGTCGGGCCCCTGCTTGGTGGCGCATTCGCCGATAAAGTCAGTTGGCGTTGGTGTTTTTATATCAATCTGCCTCTTGGTGGGGCTGTTGCACTTATCATTCTCCTCTTTTTCCACACTCCAAGCCAGGCGAAACCAGTTTCGGCTACATGGAGAGAAAGGTTGCTTCAGATGGATCCCGTGGGCGTGATACTTTGCATGGCCTCCATCATCACTTTCATCATGGCCTTTGAGTATGGCGGACAAACCAAGCCATGGAATAGCAGCGTGGTCATCGGCCTAATCGTCGGGTTTGTCTTGATCACTGCTGCGTTCATTGCCTGGGAATACTTCCAACAGGAACGTGCTATGATTGTTCCACGCTTATTCAAGAAACGATCCATTTGGGCCGGCTCTCTGTACCAATTCTTCTTCGCCGGAGCATACTTCCTTATCCTCTACTATCTCCCCATCTACTTTCAAAGTATTCAGAACGTGGACGCCATCGAGTCCGGTGTACGGAATCTGCCTATTGTCATTACAATTAGCTTCGGAGTAGCATTGGGAGGCTTCCTCGTCGGCAAAACAGGCTGGACGGTACCTTTCATGGCGGCTGGAGCGGCAATTAGTGCTATAGCATTTGGACTTTTTCGACTTCTTGACTTTGATACCAGCACGGGTAAATGGATTGGGTATCAGATACTGGCCGGCGTTGGTGTCTCTGTTCCCTTTCAGATTACAATAAATATCGCCCAGGCTAATGCCAAAACTGCCGATATATCGAAAGTTACTGCTATGTTGTTCTGTAAGTGTTTTCTTTTGTCTTAAACCCGAGAAGGGTTTGTTAGATGTGCATTCTGACTATGACTATGCAGTCTTCCAGATCATCGGAGGAGCCTTCTCACTTGCAGCTGCACAGGCAGCGTTCCTCAACACAGTCATCAAAACCGCGTCGAGCGTCGACCCTAGCCAGCTCATAGCCTCAGGTGCGACACAGCTCCGACTCATTTTCACCGCCGATCAGCTTCCTATTGTGCTTGATGGCTACCTAGCCGGTGTCAGAGCGGCATTTAATATTTCCATCGCGATGATGGGTGTTTCGTTCTTGGCTAGTTTCTTGAGCTCGTTTAAGAATTTGCATGAGCAGAAGGCGGAGGACGATGATGGGTCGAAGAGGGATGTTGTTGTTGGTATGGCTTAATTGTATTCGCTCAGGGGCCTTACGAGTGTCGAATTGGGCGTGATCGGATAGGGTGAGGTCTGTGATAGATGATGTCAAAGACATCATGTACTGTTCCAAGATTTAGACATTTGTCATTTGTTTTTTAATCTTTCAGGGTATGGGATATTAGATTTAGGAAATTATTTGGGAAGGAGCAGTTCTTTGACCCAGAACTGCTCCAGAAAAAAATCCAAGTCCTTTGTATATCATTCGATATAAATATAATTTTTTCCTATGAATTATGGCTATTAATTATAATCATACAACACTATCAAACTCCTCAAGACCAAACTCATTATCCCTCCCCCGTACCAAGCTATCAAAAAAGTCCAGATCAATATCCTGAAACGATAGCGGAATATTGTCTGTTGCTGCCAAGTCATCATCCAGATCTTGAAACACCATCGAAATGTACGGACATTGCTCTGGTACCTGACTAGTCGCTGACGATTGGTACATGTTTCCTCCATGCACTGCATTTGGCTGTAATGTGTTCATGATCTCTGGGACAGCTGGGATTTGTCGTGTTATTTTGATCATGCCTAGATAAGGAATGTTTATACACACCGAGTCCTCGAAGTCGCTGCTATGAGTATCGAAGTATTCAGACTCCTGTTGATAGTGGCTGAGGCCGGTTGTAATGATATAATTCTGCCCAGATGCCGCATCGGCCTCAATGCTAAGCAAACAGCGCAGTAGATTGATGCCCTTTCGCTGAGATTCCTCGAAACCCTTTGCCGAGGCCCGCTCGATGAGACGAAGGACCTGTTTCATCGTGGAACGATCACTGAGACGTTGATGCGGTGTGAGTAAATGCGGAATTGCACTTGACATCTTTGTCGTATCTTGAGGACTGCGATGGTTGCCAAGGTAGACAAGTAGCAAAGTCATCGAGGCCATCAAGACGAAATAATCAATCCGTTGACAGAAAAAGGATAAGTTGTTGGAGCTTAAGAGAATGATAAACCGCGTCAGGACCTCTCGACTGGCTTGAATGCAGGCGATCTTCGAGTATTCATAGTTCGTATCGCCAAAGTCCGACCACAGCAGATAGGGTAGATGAAGTTGGTTGAGTAGGTTATAATAAATTAAAATGTCCATCAGAATGGTTGTATCTTGGAAGCCGGCAACAACCTCTCCCTTTTCACCCGAACTGGCATTCGGTGGGGATGGAAGCCAGAATCTATTCGGCATATCGCGGGCTACCTGGAGTAACTGCCTGTCAATCTCTCGAGTGGTTTCATACTCCTCGGCGAATGCATGCCGCTTGTCGCGCTCGATGATTTGAGATGCGACCTGCACCTGGAATCGCTCGAGTTGGTCGATTGATTTATTGTTGGCGAAGCTTTTGTGTAATGCTGTCGGCGTGTCTATATTGCTTTGAGGGAGCCCCAGCATCATTGAGTAGAAGGTGTCAAAGTAGAGTACACGGAACCAGAGTTGATGTAAATCTACCTTCCTCTTGGAGTCAATAAGTGGCAGTGGTGGAATTTGCGGGCGATCGAGACCGAGCAACTGCCCAAGACTCAATGCTCTGCGAAAGGCAAGCCATGCGCTTCGAAGATTGCCACCATTGGCGTGAAAGCATCCTTCAAGAAGGACACATTGAAGTCCATCAACCGTTGCAACTAGACTTTCCTTAGTCATGACCAAAGTGGTGACTGTATCTAGTAATCGTTCTATGATTTTCTGGGGTGGCTCAGACATCTCAATGTTTCTTTCATCAGCATGTATGTCCTGTAGTAAATTAGCCAGCAGAAGTATGTGTCTCGCCAGAATGATTGGATGAGAGCTGGCTGGTGGAATGTCGGCGACCTGTCTCTTTAATATCTCTTCATTATGGTCTAGTTCTTCCCGTGGTCGTGTATGTAGTTGCAAAACAACCAAAAAGCAGCCTGAAGTGGTTTTGCATATAGTATCGATATCATGTTGCGCTGGAAAGGCAGCACGAAGTGTTTTGGAGAGCTCGGTAAGCTTGTGAGCCCTGTAGAGCGCGTGATGGTCATCATGGGTTGAGCCCCGGGATGATTCCGGAGTTAGCAGAGCGTTAGGCTCAGAAATAGTATTCGCTGTAGAGTCATGATTCGGCGCTATCTCAGAAGACGAAGGAGGAGCATAATCCTCCAAAAACTCCTGGCCGACACAGGGCGTGCGACGTCTCCGACAGGCAACACAGACTGTGGAGTTATCGTTGACCGCAGAAAACGAGCATTTCACTTTTCGGCGCTTGCACTCCCAGCAGCTCCGTGTTCCTTTGCGGACTTTTCGCTGCTTGACGGGATACTCGTACCCGGTCGAAATGGGGTCTCGGTGCTGTATGGTATCCATCGTATCCCCCTGGACTATGTACACAATAAACTATTGATCATTTCACAAAGCGGATACCTTCGATGTGATATGTTCTTTCAAGGCGGTTGAAAATTATTGACTTGCAAAGCAGCTGGGGCGAGATTGGGCTTCGACCGAGATTATGTTTTCCACCGAGGCCTCGGCGGAACCCTCGGCCCAATTACGAACATTGAAGCCCTAGTTCGGAGCATTCACTAACATTAACTTTCCTGCTTATCAATTCTACTCTTAGGTAGTTCTACATCATAGGGCTATGTTAAACATGAAGCTATTTGTATCAGTGGCGAACTATATAACACGTTTTTGTAACTATTGAACTAGCTAGATAGACATTCTGGACTCGACAGGATATAACGAGATGATTCAAGGGCGACGGTCCAGTACTGAGGCAATCAGTCTAAACCAATGATCTGCTGTCCACTGGGTATACGACTTTCATATTCCAACACCAACTTGATGTCTTTGCCTGGTTTGAGGGTAATATTCCATTTGATCTGACCGTTCTTTCCTAGTAGAACATCTCCCTTGCCGTTTTCTCCCTTCTTCAACAGCTCTTTTAGATCTGCCGTATCGTTCTCCTTATCCAGTCCCTTGGGCTCAATAATGTTGATGCGGAGATTTTCATCCTCACTGACGGGAACCTGATCAAAGACGGTAATCGAGACAGCATTCTTCTTGGTGTTTTTGATCCAACAGCTACGCGTGAAAATAGCGGAGTCCTCCTTGCTAAAGAATCCCGTGGTGGCTCGGCGCGCAGWCGGTTTAGCATACGATACCAACACGGACGGATCAACACCAAGAGATAGGTCGATAAATTGGCGTGGCTCGCAGCTCGAGAGGGTTGTCGAACCCAAGAATGTGCCATCAACAGTCATACCGGCCTTACCCCGAAGCAGACTGACCGATGTGGTGTTGGTAATTCGCGCTTTGAGGAAGGCTGCGCGTCGGAGCTTGGGAATCAGCACATGTGAAAGTGTCACCGATGTTAAATGAAGCTCAGCAATGACATGGCGTCGCTGAACTGCAGATGGCTCCAGTGTACGCTGTCCTGGGAGATCATATGTCGTAGTAAGACCGTAGTCTTGACGAACAGAATCTTGGTGTGCAATTGAAAGATTCTCTAAGATCATCGTCATGGCATCACCGTCGTCCTCGGAATCATTGTCTGACTCGGGCTTTGCCTCTTGATTTTCCGCTCTGGAAAGTAGTCTTGGATGGGCTCTACCAAGTGGCGCAGGTGGTGGAGGAGGTGCTGATCTCAAATGATCCGCGAAAGGTGGTTGCACTTGTTGTTGTTGTTGTTGTTGTTGCACTTGCCGCAGCGGTGCTGCGCTTCCAAATAGCGATACCGCAGTGTTACTCACTGAACCAAAACCGCCGGTAGTGTTGGTAGTGTTACCGAAACCTGTAGGAGCAGCACGCGCGGAAGCACTAACTAGTGGTACGTTGAGATCTTTTTTAATCTTCCTATGAACGAACGCCGAAGGGTTGTTCGCCATAATCTCTTTTCTACTTTGCATACTGCTGTCAGAAATACCGTTCTTCAAAGTCACTCCGAACGCACTTCCGAGTTTCACATGCCAAGGTTCGAGTATTGGAATTTTCTCTTCTAACCCAGAGAAAGAAGTTTGCGAAGTCGAAAATGTTATTTTAGCATTCTTCCATGTCTCGGAAGTTGTATTCTCGAACTCCGCTCTGTATACCAAATCAGCCGAGGACTTTGGTGTGCTGATTTTCAACTCGTAGCGAGGTGCCCATCTAGCACCAGGTACGACATATGTAAGACGAAGGTTGATAGAATCCTCATCAAGCGGCTTGGAAGGTTTAGAATCGGCACTTGCTTCGGTGACTGATGTCATAGACTGTCTCCTGCTTGGGCCAGGCGTAAAGTCTGATGAACGATCAAGATGAACGATAACCTGACCCACGTTATTTGTCCAGAATCTGCGACGTTGTTGAATTATACGCCGTTTTTCCAAGAGCTTCTGCTGCTTTTCGCGTTGTTTCTTCTCTTTTTGTCGACGGATATCACGCGAGGCAGCATCTCTTGCTTTTTTGAAGGCTGCCTCAGCACGATTGAACTTTTCACGAGCACTTGACACTTTCTCAGTCCAAAGAGTAATATTTGTGGACGATCCCTGATATGTTTTGCTCTCCGACGTGCGTTGCTCTCGATAGACAGCCAAAAAGTCGGACATTTTTGCAACGTCCACCTCCTCGGGTTTAATGCTTTGGCCGTAGTGGTCCAGAAAGCCAAGAACCTTGACAGCGGTGTCCTGGCTATTTTGAAACCCGGCCAAAGTTTGCTCTGCAGCTTGTAGCTCTGACTTGGCAGTATTGACAGCGCTCTTGTCGACTCCGTAGTCATCATCAGAGAGCTTTGAGTCATCGTCGGAATCAAGATCAACTTCTTCTACAAGATCAGGATATTGATCCTCGAACTGCTGCTTCCGAGGGATAGTTTCTGTTTGAATATCGGTGATGGTAGCCAGGCCGTAACCCTCTACTCGAACAGAGTCCGGGTCAATACTAGGATCGAGTCCCAGAATGGTGATTTCATTTGCACCAGACTAATAAAATGTTAATTTGTGGGCTCATTCGTCGTACAGATTTTGGGGATCTACTAACTTTGATCTGGATGCCTTCAATCTCCCTAGTGACAGTGGCCGTATTCGGCGCGAAGGTCACCGACTTGGTAGGCAGATTTGTTATATCAATCTCAGACGTATGAACGGTGACTTGAGATTGAGACATGTTGACTCTTTCCTTTCTTGCTTTTTTTAATAAGAAATGATTTGATGATATGTGGGTACGAATGAAGACAATTATACACGAAGAAAATACAAAATAGTGTCAGTCAACTATATACACAATTGACAGGGTTTTGTACACTCGCAAATAGCTACTTGCGACAAAAGAGTATTTAGTATTCGCAGTATATGATAGAGATGAAAGAATGAAGCGAGAGAAAAGAGAGAGAAGGCAGCCTTTATAGGGGTAATTGGCTGTAGGCAGCAACTAGCGGGTGCGCCTCGTTGCCTGGATGCCTGAGGATATACTTCAGCCTTGGACAAACACGGTCATAATGGGCTCAGCCTGCAAAGTAAATTGGAGTCAGAATACAAGACGAATCTTCAAAGTCTTCACAGATGCTTTTGTCGAGGAAGTGAGTGATGGAAATACGGATGCCTGAATATAGAAAGAATTACCAGAATGGGCCTTAGGGTCATTAGGGTTGTGATCTCATCATCTGGCTGATTAATCCATCGGAAGGAACAGCGGCGGGGAGGGKTTTCGCCGCTCCATTTTCTTTGCGCGCGCCCAGGTACATTTCGTTTTCTGTCTTTCATAGAATCGTTTCGTTTTTATTTCTTCGTACTGTTGATTCCGAGACGATCAAAAGGCATATATATATCGTCTTTATAGAATAACACTGCATCATGAGCTATTCCAATACTGTCCCGCAACTGCCGACTCCCGCTCACATCCAAGCGGACTCGATGCTGGCCCGACGCTTCGGTAAGGAGACGGTGAACTACTTTGGAGGTCTGTCGCATTCGTCTTTTGTTTTCGAGATTGGGGAATTATGAACTGATATATCACGATAGGCTCCCCGTTGAATCGCCTCTCCTTTCTCCGAACAGACCATGCCTTCCTCAGTGCTGCCGTGAAGCACCCATCGACCCGCTTCGTTCTGCTTAAAGACCTGGCACCCTTGATTAAGGGCCCTAACTCATTATACCATGCCGAATACAAGGATGTACAGAAACTCGTACCCCCAACCGTTTTCGATAAATCTGAAGAGGAATTGATTAAAGATTTTGACTCGCGCATCACGAAGCCAGACCTGGTCTTTTTGGGCGTTGACGAAAGCGCGGCGGATAGTGTGCAGACTGATGAGAAGCTATTGCAATGGACTATCTATAAAGGCCGGCCGTACTTTGCGCTGGACGTTAGTGAGAAAGGCACCGATGAGCAGAAGACTGAGGCCAAAACGGTTGTAGAGGAGCTTGCGGCAAGAGGGATTACTCCATTCACTACTCGTCAACATTTGCTGCAGCCGCCAAATGACGGTACGTATGCGAACTTTGCTTATCACGTTTCATTACTGATCAAATTGTCTAGGCGCTATCTATGCCCAGGCGCGTGCTTATATGGACTGGAACAACCGCAACAAGTTCTGCGGAACATGCGGTCAGCCCACTCTCTCCGTCAACGCAGGCACAAAGCGTGCATGCCCACCCACCGATAAGGCATTAGCGGCAGAGGGCAAGAACCCCGAAAAGCAACCCTGTTCAACCCGTACTACCATCTCCAACCTTTCGTTCCCTCGTACCGACCCCACCATCATCGTCGCAACCCTTTCTGCCGACGGTAAGCGACTTTTGCTCGGCCGCTCCAAACGTTTCCCACCATACTGGTACTCGACTCTGGCCGGGTTCATTGAGCCAGGTGAGTCTGTCGAGGACGCTGTCCGCCGAGAGGTCTGGGAAGAGGCAGGTGTTACACTCTCTCGAGTCGTCATCCACTCCACACAMCCCTGGCCATMCCCCGCCAATCTCATGATTGGCGCCATTGCGCAAGTCAGTGATCCAGCGCACGAAACCATTAACCTGGAACACGACCCTGAGCTGGAAGATGCCAAGTGGTTCACCATTGCTGAAGTTGAAGAAGCACTGAAGAACGGTGCGAGTATGCTCGGCGAACCTCCAAGCAAGGATTACGTCGAGGGCAACCTGCGACTGCCCCCGGTCACGGCTATAGCGAACCAATTGATACAAGCGGCCATCAACCAGGAGTATATTGGTGACAAGCTTGCCAAGATGTAGACTACCAGATATATAGATATTATATAGAGACCTTTATGATATTGATAGAGACTGTCTAATTGTATACAGCTACTATGTGCAAGTATCTACACTTACCAATACCCGTCCAATCTGCAAAGTTCTAATAACTAGAAGGCTTCGAAGCTAACCTCCCACCATCTGAAACAACAATCGCCCCATTAAGATMCCCTCCACTAGCACCAGCCATAAACAGCACCAACCCAGCAATATCCTGCTCCGATCCAACCCTCGTCAACGGCACCGCATCCTTGGGCACATCGCCCTCCGTAATCCCATGCTGAGTGCCGAATTCTTCAAGCCTAGAAGTAGTCATATCACTCGGATAGATTCCCGGCGCAATACCATTAACCCGAATGTGGTATTCGAGTAATGTAGTTGAGAGGGTCTTGATGAGTGATGTTACAGCTGCTTTGGAGAGTTGATATGCCAATCCGGACACGACTTGCCGCATGAATCCGCCGATGGAGGAGGTGATGATGACCTGTGGCCTGGGCGGGCTCAGTATGCCGCTGTTGGGGACTTGGGGCGGGCGACGCTTGTTGGCTGCATCTAGAAGGGGCAGGAATGCGACGACTGTGAAATGGGCGCCGGTCACATTAACGTGGAAGGTGTTGGTCATTTCATTGGGGTCGATCGACCAAAGCGATTCTCTGTATTGTTCCAATGGAACGGGTTTCCCGTCCTCTGTGAAGTTGCGTAGATTCCGGGGCCCGATTGTCCCGCTGTTTGCGATTAGCAAATCGATATACTCTGTTTGAGAAGCGATGGTTTTGTAGGCGCTTTCTAGGGAGTCCTTGGACGTGATGTCTGCCACGACAGGAATGATTACGTCCGGACGCGGGGACAGAGATGCTGTTTCACCCAGAGCCTCAGCTCGACGGCCAAGAACGAAGACTTTTGAGGCGCCATTTTGAGCGAGCGTTAGAGCCATTGTTCGTCCCAGGCCTGCATATGACATGTTAGAATTGTTGCAGAGGTGCGGAATGTGTGGATAGACTTACCACTTCCACCGCCGGTGACAACGGCGACGAGGCCGTTGAGGGCAAAGAGCTTAGAGGCGTCTAGATGAGACATTTTGACTGAATTGGACAGTGTTTGTTGATGAAGTGGTTGGATTGGAGGTCTTTCGAGGAGACCTTGGCTGGGATCTGGAGGTGAGTCATTAGCAATGAACGAGACATTCAACCTGCCTGGGTAGATGCTTACTTGGATCTTATGTAAAAATGTACACTCAACTGAAAGGGAGTCAGCAGAGAAGATGTAGAAGTCCGTGATCTCATTAAGACGGCCTTCTGTCCGACTTCGCAGTGACGTGCTTGTGTCCCACTTGCCTAAAGAGGCAATCGGCGGCTGAGCTGCGATAAGAAGACATTTTCCCAAGATCATATGATTATTATGATCATGAGCATAGTAGAATTACACATATTGTAGTTATCGTAGCTAGGATAATACTGCGATGTTTCGATCGTTAGGGACATCTGGAGAAGGTACTAACAGTCCACATGCAGGCTGGTGGGTATAAGTATATAAAATTCCTGACATCTATGTACATCAGGCATAAATATGTACAATGAAGTGTAAAATAGGTCTGCTATGAAAGAACATATCAGCAAAAGACACCCAGTCTAATCTATTCTTACGCGCAAACGAAAGAATCGGAGAAACTAATCTAGACGGACTGGCCGTTGTAGGCCAAATAGGCAGTGATAGCAACAGGACCAGGCACAAGGTTAGCACCAATTCCGCCGGTGCTAGCCTCGCTAGTCTCACTGTAAGCATTACTCGCAGATCCAAGACTGTTGGTGATATAGGAAGTCACGCCATTACCAACAAGCGCCAACCCAGGGTAGTCAGTGACGCCACTATCCAAAGCCACTAAAGCAGAGACATCAAAGCCACTCCAACCATCATTGGCGGTGTTGTCAAAGTCCCATTCGCCCCAGAAACCAGTGATAATGCCATCAGTGGCATCGCGGGGAACACCCACAGAGGTTGGAGATCCGACAAAGGCACCCTGGGAATCGACATCGATGGCAACGTAAGCGGCACCACCCGTAGGGACAGTCACGGTCAGAGGGAAGGTAGTGTCAAAGAAGCCGGCAAGTTGCCCTGCTTCATTGCAGTTGTTCCAGAAATAGACGGTGTATTCCTGCAGGATGAAAGAGCCGTTGAGAGTGATGGTGTACTCGTAATCGGCTAGCTCGTCCTCGGTGATTTCTATCATGTTGGAGCCATAGGGGGAGCCGACGTTGCCACAGTAGGTGTCGCCAGAGCCGGTTGGGGTAGTAACTCCTCCAAAGCCAGAGGTGGTGTAGCGTTTTTCTACATTTCGTGTCCGGTGGTGGACGTGGTCGTGGCCGTGGAAACGAGCGGCAGCGCTGCCGGCAAGGAGGGCTATGAAGAAGACATTAAGCCCTAGCAAGTTTTTGATTTGCATATTGAACATAACGACTAGGTCTTTTTGTTTGCTGGAAAGCGAGTATATAGGTAAGGAACGAGGGTTATTGTAAGGAGCGTGTTTTGAAGGAGTGGCTATGAGAACAAGCTCAAAATGGACAAAAATGAAGATCTGAAAATGCAACTGACGACCTACTTCGACTGAAAATTGACGTGGGAAACAAACACTCTTATATATTAAACTCACTTTTGACCTTTGTATACCACGCGGCCTTCAGGATCCGAACCGTCACGCCTAGAGCGTCAAATGGGGGCCAGTCTAGAGTCCAGACTCGTGGTGTTGACTCTGTTTGGGTGCAATTATTGTTGGTAGGAGTATTAGTGCGCCCCTAATAAAGCATGAAGCGTGACTTGATGCATCAGCAAACTTCCCTCTCATGGACTTGTGTCTGATGCCATAAGAAACATGGTTGATGGTAAGACCAGTATGTTGTCCAGGGCCCTCGCGTGGTTTCTTTCGCAACTCACCTCAGAGTGCCATTACCTGGAGGAACCATGGAAGCAATGAAAACTCTTATACAAATCGCTGTCCTGTCGACTATCCGAGAAGCTTGCTAGTGCCATTTCCGGTTGACATTACATTGCAAGTCATCAATTAATAGTTTCCACGCGCAGACACCAGTACCTGCATTAGCCCTAACATATGAAATTAGGAGATTCTCGACCCATGAACGTGACTCAAGGCTACTTGATTATTCCTCTGAAACAAAATTAAAGAAAGTTCCTACTACGCACTACATATGTACTAGTCTAAGCTATGAGTTAGTGAGGTTACACGCTGACGAGGCCCTCAGCCAACACCCGCGATGTCACAGTCATCACCACCAAAATTTTCATGAAAATAGTCATTAATTCTCTAGTCTAGACTCCAACGAAGACCTTTTCATTGATTCGATCACCAACATCAATCAGATTCCAGAATGAATTGCCTGCTTAGGTATTGGAAGGATGAATAATCGACCCGCGAGCGCCTCATTGAATCACAAGTCAGCACCATGTACCTAGTAGGTACGTAATGCGATGCCTGATACCACATTCCCAAGCCACCAGGAATCAAATTACATCAACTTTTTATTAGTGTCAGCCACTTGGGTTGGACTTATGAGCAAATCGTAAAGCTTTACAACATCATAATTAGCTGGCTCAGTTGGCCCTGACTTAGAGGTTACCTAGGTGCTTTTTCTGATGTCTTGGAGGGCGTAACCCAATCTTGTCTTATAGTGATCAATCTGGAGTGAGCAAGGTGAGAACAAAACGGAGATGGGCTACACATTTTATGTACGTATCTCGGACCTAGCTAGGCACTTGAAAAACTGATAGTTATCATCATACTAATAAGATCTTACAGTGAAACCATCTGTATGGCTATAGATACAACAGATCAGTTCAAAAGTAAAATACGAGAACAGTAAGAACTCATCATCCTGGCTGTTGTGCTCTATCGCCTTCCTGACGTTGTCGCTTCGCATCACGTTCCGTCTCCTGGGGAGGTCCTGTGCTTGCTCTTCTCTTCTCTTTTTCCTTTTCTTTTTCGCGATCTTTACGAGCTTCGCGGGCTTCTCGGTCTCTCTCCTTACGGAGCGCTTTGGATTCGAATTCGTGCCAATCACCCTCAATATTCTCGAGTCTATTAAATTCACATTAGTATATAAGCGAGTGAAATCACAGTATGATCCAGGATAAGACGTACTCAGTAGCCTGTTGTGGACCGGGCTCTTCAGAAGTAAAGTATGCATGAGCAAGTACTTCATCCGCCGTCGGTCGTTTGGCAGGATCATACTGAAAGATCTGACACATCAAGTCGAGCGCGCCTGGACTCAAAAAGTCTCGATAGGTATCTTCAAAAACTCGTTTCTTTCTTTCTGTCGGCCCCATCAACTCCACCCACGGCATGTCGACGATGCCGGGCCACTCGGCTCGAGTTGGTGTTCCAAGGCTGCTATAGAGTTTGTCGAGTTGGTTGAGCTCCTTCCCATCTCCGGGGAAAACTGCTTTCTTTGTAAACATCTCCATGAAGACACACGCAGCGCTCCAAACATCAACCGCTGGTCCATATCGGGTGTCTCCGAGAAGGAGCTCTGGAGGTCTATACCATATCGTAATAACACGATTCGTGTAGTCTAGCTGGCGACTTTTGGAAAAGAAACGCGCTAATCCAAAGTCTGCATATTTCAGCTGACCGCGATTGCTGATCAAAATGTTGGCAGCTTTGATATCTCTGTGAAGCACACCCCGATGATGAAGGTACTGAAGACCATCAAACATCTGCTTCGCAAGGTCCTTTTTGTGTGCTTCCGTAAGTGTGAAAGTCGGATGGTTGATCAAACCAGTCAGATCGTGTGACAGATATTCGAATACCATGAAACATTCGTTCTTTTCCACCATAACCTCTAATAAGCTGACCACGTTGTTGTGCCGGAGATGTTGCAGCAGTTTGATCTCTCTCACCGCCGTAACGGGAAACCCATCCTTTTCTCCTTCCATTCGTATCCTTTTCAGAGCAACCTTGTCCTGTGTATATATATGTATTGCTTTGAACACTTTTCCATATGTGCCAGCACCGATAACAGATTCATCACCAGGTTTACGATAGTATACCGAGTCCGAATCTCGAAATTCTTCTGGCAGGATACGTCGAGGTTTGAGGCGCTGAACAAGCCTTTTCTGTCTCTTTTGTTCGGGAGACCTATCCCGGCGACGGTCACGGTCATGTCTAAAGTCGGGTCGCTGATCATCGCGACGTGGAGCTCCACGAGGGTCAAATCGATTGTCGTCCCTCCTTAAATCGCGCGGGTTTCTGGAGTGGAAATCTCGTCGATCGTCTCTGCCTCGGCCACGGTGTGAATCTCTGTCTCGATCTCTCCTATCTGACCGATGATCCTGCTTATACTTTAGCGGGGGTAGCGGTCCAGACATTCTATTGCGAGATAATTGTTCAGGAGTCCGCTGGGCTGGCCCTCGAGGCGGTTCACGAACTTGCATTCTCTGAGCCAAATCGGGAACAGGCTTTGCAGCAGGCGGAGGAATCGCTTTAGACTTGAATGCAAAGCTGAATTTACCGCCTTCCTTGGCTGGAGTTGATGACGAGGCAGGTTCCCGGAGAGGTGGCGGCATATTCTGAGCGTCTTCAAAGTCTGCATTGGGCTGAGCATGCCGGTCTTCCATATTCTCATCGCCTGGATATCTGGAAGTATCGTCATGGTGGGTATCGGATAATGACTGATCGTTAAATTGAGAAGCTTGGTATTGCGGTGTATTTGAACCGGAACGGCTGGGAAATTTGGGAGAATTGTTCTGGCCTTCTCGGTCTCGAGGTCCTGTCGGGATCCATTGGGAACTATTAAAATGACCTCTGCCTCGGTGCGCACCGGAACCGTTGAAGCCGGAACCATGACCGGAGAAATGACGATCTTGAAAACCTCCTCGATGATAGCGTTGAGGCGTGGTTGCATAATTCGGAGGCATGTTACTGTGATCTGGATCTTGCATATCATTCCCCATTTGCTTGTTGCGACCTCTGCCATTTGGATACAGCGAATTATTAGCTCCGAATTGATTTTGTCTGTCCGCACGTGGTCCTGTCGGAGCATCTCGCATATCGAAATCCGGTGCCGAAGTCATTCTTCCGTGCCTGGGTCGTGAATCAGAAACGTGATTATTGCCACCGTTGTCGTCACGATCCTCAACACCCGGATGAAATATGGACGGCGAGCCCCGTGATGCTGCTGTAGCGGAGAAGTAATCTTTCGATCCAGTCTCACCTTCTCGAATTGGTGACATAGACGGCGAATGCCTCGTGATTCTCGACACAACAGAATGGGGTGACTGCCCGCACTTGTCCTGATCTTCGTACAAGGATCCCGGACTGAATGATCGTTGAGATGTTAAATGTCTTTCAGGCGACAAGGAGAAATGAGACGTGTGATCAAGCCCTCCGCTCGAGTATGGCTGATTTCTGGGATGCCGCTCTTGGTAACTCTCTCGTTTTAACGGGTTTCCTTGTTGATTTGGCTGCCCTCGATTCTGATTTGCGTTTCGATTTTTGCGATTGCGGTCTCGACGTGGACGACGAGGAGAGCGACCACGTCGCGATTGTGGGAAGGTTTCCCAGTCAGCGCCGCCGCGTCCGTGCGGATGTCCAAGTGGTACGTCGTTCGCCTCTTGAGACCTTGGTCCGTCTCGGCTCACAGGCCGTGACAGGGTGGAAGTAAATGAAGGTCTTCGTGATGCCGAAGGCCTAGACGATGATTCACGATGCCCAACACTGTCGTCGTACCCAGATGGCGGACCTAAACGCGATGACAAGGGTGATCTCGAACGACGTTCACGACCAATCGGCCTGCGTCTCCCACGGTGTTTATTTCTGCCCCTTTCGTGTTCGGGAAAGCGATCGCGAACATAAGCAGTATTATTTTGCTGTTCTTGTGTAACTCTCCACTCGTCTTTCAGCCCCGGACTCCTGCGAGATCCAGCCATAGATTCTTCGATGATTGCATCGGGTGGGGAGATTATAGAAAAAATTGCGGGAAAAGTCGAATTATCCAAAGCTTATACTAGTCGGCGAAGGTCCTGTAATACGAGCCGGGATCGTTTCGTATAGAAGAGTGGAATGTTATGGGACGTGGCCTCGTCACCAAGAACGAAAGTACTTTCTGGACCGGCTTTGCCTGAGATTCTTCGTTGGCAATCGCAGGGCTGTTCGGAGATTAGCGCAGGGTGGGCGGATCATTTGTTTTTCCGTAACACAACCGCGTCTCGGCTTCTCGGCGGGCAACTGCTGCTTGGCTGAATGCTTGCTGTCAGTATCTAGACTCAACAATATCTCTCTCGTTTGTGGTGCTATTTTTTTTGAGAAGGGAAATCATACGCACCTGGCGCATATCCCACTTATACAGGACTTGCGATGCGACAAGTCATTCTACAGTGAACTCTTTCCGCAGCAGATACTTCCAAGACGCAGTGAATCCGCGTCATGCTGCCACAATCGCGGGTGAGATCCTCTAGAAAGCACGACCATCCCGCGATAGTTGATACTCTACGAATTTCTTTGTAGCCAATGCCATCCCCGGGAACAAGTAAACTCCTGTACGATCACTCGAACGAGTGTCATGGTTCGAACTTGCTCGATCGATTTGTTTCCTTCCATCACACTGACCTTAGGACCTAGCTCCGCCACAGGATAATATCGTGTCTGTAATCACCCAGCTGTTTGTGTCCCACGCTAGATTTGCAGTAGAAACAATGAGCTTTAGGCCAATGCGTGCTCCGTTGGGCTCGACCGGTGAAGTAGAGACTGGGCGTGTGCCGTGCTCGTATAGCTTGGTGCGGGAATCTCTCACCGAGGGAGATAGCCGAACGGATTATCTACGGAAGACGAAGAATCATCGGGAGATACTCGTCCCATGGTGCAGAGGAGCTAGTGGTACCCTTGTTGTTATACCTCTGCTGTGCAGAACTCCATCACTCGGAACGCAGAACAGTAACACAGGGTAATTGTCACGGAGAATTGCAAGCAATTGACGCAGTCAGTTTCGCTGCCGTGAATAACCTTCATATCTGCTGTCTCGTCGAAAACTTCACATCGAAAGATATATTCCCAAAACACAGGATAGAGAATGAATGTTAGTGTTGTTCGCTGTCGTACGATGAACCGTGGAGTGTAGTTGTACATGAGCCAAAGGCCAAATAGTGCGGGTGGGATGCGAGCATATTGAATCTTTACTAGTGATCGTAGCTCGGCATCGATCGATAGTCGGGTAAAGTGACGACTGCTAAAAGACCACATAGGCTACCTTCGAAGCAACTGGCTTCGCCATGAACTTTTCCCTGAAAGCCAGGCTACGGAAAACAAACAAAGCATGGCCATGCTCTGGAATAGTGTCTGATGCGAGTAGCCGATATGCACGAGCTGAAAGCGACGAGAGTCATGGCGGTGAGAGTCGAGCAGCCAGTCGAAGCGACGATCTAGCGAGGACAGATATCGTTATACTTGAATTGTGCACTCTGGGCTACCGAGGAGCGTATAGTTTCATGGTCAGAGTCGATGAAACACGTGTGACCTGACAAGTTGTCTGGCAAGACGACTGTTCCTGATCGACGGAGCGGGCAAAGTCTCGACTTGCGTAGTAGCACTTAGACCACGTGACTGGGTTCCACAATAGCGGCCTGAGGCAGCAACATGATATCCTACACTGTCCTATTTACACAGAATCTACCAATTATTATGAAAATCGAGTAATGTAGGCAATATGCTTGGTGATAGTCATCACCTGTACAAGCCTCTTTGTTCTTTTCTAGTTTTCTAGAACCATCATACAAGACTATACAACGAGGGTTTTCTCCCACGTCGTGGATCGACATTTTTCAACTAAAACAGTGATGCGAAGTATGGCCTGACCGTGAATTATTGCATCATCTTGCAATACCTACTCAGCGGCTTGCGCAGGKTTCCTTCCTCTAGCTGCACCTCGACCCCGACCACCAGGGGCGCTTCCTCCTCGGTTTCCATTTGGCCTTCCGCGCCCAGCTCCGTTGTTCAAGCCAGCTGGGGGCGGCACATTGTTGTAGCTCTTTGGCCGGAAATCTGGGTTATTTCGAATCGCTCCTTCATCTTGATGGCCGTTCTCCACGGAGGTATAGCCTCCTCGAGTTTGGTGTTGCCCGCGAGGTGCACCACGTCCACGTCCACGTCCTCCTGTCCCGCGGAAGTTTTGGCCATTTCCTAAGCCATTTGCGATAGGATAAGGATGACCGGACTGAGTAGGTATTCCATTCGGGGCGCCACGAGCACCTCGTGAGCTCGGGGCACCACGTCCGTTTGTCTGTCCAGAAATGGCACCTCGATACGATCCTCGCAATGGTGCGGGGGGGGTAGCCTCCCTTAACTGGCCCAACCCGCCGGGTCCGAGAGGTGACCCATAACCTACATTCGCTGGTGTCTTTTGTGCTTTTTTATTTGTTGCAGCTCGGGAGCCAGCCACAAGCTGTCGATCAGTCAGATTGAGGACAGAAGATATGGGTACAGTTTGCCCTCGGAAAGGAGAGCAGCGGTCACCCAGTGTGGTTCCGCTCATGAAAGGGGCATCGAACACAACGTCAAGGAAGACAGTTCGAGGGGTACGAGTCAGCCCGACGACGGTTCCTCGAGTAGCAAGAGGAACCTTTCCGGAGTCTTGAGCATAAATGACACGATCTCCGAGGGTAAATCGCTGGTTTCCAAGCCGATGTTCAACATCAGCTGGTTTCAATAGTGCTTGTCGCGGAACACTTTTTATTTTCTTGATTTCAGGTGCGGACTGCGACTGCACTAAGCGATCTGCATCAGCCTCGATGAGTTTCACAACGTCAGAATCGAGCTGTTCAGCATCAAGAGGGACACGCTCTAGATGTTTAGATTCGACAGATTTCAACCAAGCCTTGATCTCTTTGATTTTATCCATCGCGATATCCTTCGGGTAGAAGTCCGTGGGCTCGTATTTGTCGCCTTGCGGGTTGCGTTGAATACCAGCAATGAAATCGGGAAATCTGATCATGTATTGCTGAATAAGATCAACTGCCTTATTACTAAATTCCCAACCACTTTCTCCTCGGCGAGAGTAACCAAGGACTTTGAGTTTGCGAGCTTCAAATTTCAAATTTAAGCCGAGATTAGCTCGCTGACCATCAATTGTCACTGAAAATGAAGAGGTGATTTTTGCCAAGACAAGAGGGTTCAAGCGAAGATTCCTTGCAATAGCAAAAGATGGCGTATAGGGCGCATATTTCTCTGCTTGTCGAACATGTTGTTTACCAAAATCGGGCTCCTTACCCTTAATGGCAATCATCATGCCATGGACCTTTCCATCTTCGTGAGAAGTGACCTGCACTGGTGCTCCATAATTAAATTCTCCGAGGAAGAATGCTTTCGAATTCTCTGGAAATTCTTCTTCAATAGACAGCGCCTTTCTCTCGAGGAACCTTTCATCTTCACTGACGACCCGATCAACAACAAGCTGCAAAGCATAGTCTGTCTCTTGACCTGGGATATCTGCAAATTCCTTGACTGTCGCACCATCATCATTTTTTTTCAGACCCTTGAGCAACTGAACATGAATCATTGATTCAACCGGGCCAATGATCGTTCCAAGGCGTTTACTATAGTATCCCTCAATTTTGTCCGACTTTCGAGCCCACTGCTCTATTTGAGGTGCAGAATGTGGCACTGAAACGATATGTTGCTCTCCTTCTGGCAAGACGTAGTCGAACAATTCATCCGACACGCGGACGACGAGGGCTTCCTGCAAGAATGGGTAACCAACATAGACGCGTTGTCCAAGCTTCTGCTTAGCCAATTCAACATTGGACCTCGCTTCTGGCCCAAGTAATGTGATGACCATACTCTCCTTGCGACTATCCTGCTGGAAGACATTGACGCCATGAAAGGCCAGTTGCCCGGCATGTGGCAATGTCTTAAGAGTTGGAAATCCTGCCAAAGCTGCTGCACCGAGCTTAACGCCATCAACAAGTCCAACAAAATGTTCAAGACCGTCCATAGTAGGGAGATCATAAATGTTCTCGATACAATGGCAGTTGGGGATATCCGGGAAGATTCCAGGAAGAGATGAAGGGTAAACGAATTCAATCGACGGAGAGTAGGTAAACTTCAACGTGACACCGAATTCATTTCTTGCCCTCTCTTCTGGGGTTAAAAGATGCTCCTTCGTGGCCATGGCAGGAAGCAAACGCTTTTCGTCAATGAAAGGGATTTTAACGACAGCCTCCCATTCCATTTTCTTGCCATTCATATCGAGCTCAAAGTCACGAGGATAGAAGTCGACAATTGGTGAGTCGGGAGATGTCATCAAATCCCAATAAGCCGTAGGAACAATCTTTTTGCTGCGGTCAGGTAACACACCCATGAGCTGTTGGAATGGGCGGAATGGTTGTCCGAGTTTGAAATCAACGTTCGCACCAAGGCCTTTTTTCACATCTAAAGAATGGACAATGAGTATCAAAATGAGACAGTGAAAGAAATGAGAACGAACCGGAAATCATGGGCGCATAGTGATATTGAAAATACCACGGCCAGGATACAACACCACGATAGTAGTAGAATAAGACCCACTGAAGACCCTGCACGTAGTTCTCCGTCAACTTGGTCATTGCCGCTTCGTCTTCCAGGCCATGACCAAACTTCTCCATGTAATATTTGTTCTTCCATTCCTGAAACTTCTGTTCGTACTTCTGCTCGGCAGCCATCTGAGCCTCTTCTGCTGTCTGCTCGTGCACCTTTGCATTCTCGTATCTCTTAATCACTCGTCGAAGAGCCATGAGAGCTTCTTCGTCCTCGGACTCTTCAGACTCATCAGCGTCGCCCTCAGTTGCAACGGTGGAACCTGGCAGTTGAAGTCTGATGAAACGCTCCCCATGATCGTCCGTTATTGTCGTCCACATCAATCGTAGGTCGTCTGCGAGTTGTTCGACAAATTTTCGATCTCTAGCGGGAAGGGCCGGTGAGAAGTCCAACGGTTTAGCGTGCTGAATGTTGGAAGGCCGATTCAACACATATTGTTTGATATCCTTGAGAAGCTTTTTTTGTGAGGGGGTGATTGTAAACGACTTTTGGTTGTCTTTTGATTCGATTGCATCACTGCTCGAAGTCTTTGAGCGGATCCATTTTGCATCAGAGTACTCGGCTTCGAAGAAACGGAACTCGAATTCAGATAGTTGATCAAGCAGAATGCCAAGTCGTTGCAAGTTAATGCTGCCATACTCGTTGATATAGCCACCCATCTTCGGAAGCGCCTCCTTGTACTTGGTAAACATCAATGCGAGCGCACCCTCATTGATGTGCATGTGTGGTAAGTTTGGTAAAAAGTCGTTTCCAACAAAGAAGGCCATAAGAATGAAGTCATCAATGATTCGTTCCATGTCATAAACGAAACCAGTATTTTCGGTCATTTTCAATTCCTGAAATTCCAACTCCAGATACTCCCTAACGATGCAAAGATGCAGTAAATAGAAGTTTTGATGTTCTAGTTCCTTTGATTTTTTCTGTGCCTGCCTTCCGAATGTGACTTCCTCGCGTAGTAAGCAAAAGTATGGGTCGTGGCTGAGAAGTCCAAGCATGATAAGATCTGCATCTAACCCGTACAGGCAATGGCGTACGTTTGGATCATAACCCGGCTGGGCTTTCGCCTGACGGATGTACTCCATGATCTTGTGTTCACCTTCTCCGGGTACTTCATGGCCGGAAAGAACAATATCTACACCTTGCCATTCCACGTCTTCGGAGATCTTCTTGCTGATAAAATATTTCAGCTGCTTGGTTAATCGAGCCATGAACTCAGTACCAGGAGTGATACAATTGCTGTCAAATGCGTCTTCCTTCGGCATTTCAATACCCTGGGCGATCGCCTTCTCTTTGGCAACTTCGGCATCGAGCGCAGAACGAAATCGTCGAGCACGTTGCTGGTTCATTTTTGCGCGCGGAGCTACTCCGTCGATAGCCATGAAGAAGAGCTTCTTGGGTTTGATTTTCCCGTATAGATGCTCAATGTAGTTGAAAATGGCAATGAACATTTGATCTTCGGACATTCGATGCGTCGGCGAGTCTGAATCATTGTGTGTGCAGTTGTGAATAATTCCGTTCATATCGAAGTAGAGGTTGTCGAATTCAGGAATGCGATTCTCGGCGATCAACTGCGATATCGAGGGATAGCGCTCGCTGAGCCATCGAAAGAACTTGGGGACACCCATTGCTATTTATGGCTATGGGGTCTGATGTATGTGTCGTAATGTATGGAGAGAAAGTTGGGGGTATACTGCGAGTCAACCGCAAGGCATTAAGACGAGCTCAAAACTATGGCTGTAAGTGGTAACGTCGATAGCCGATACAATCTTTAATCTGAGAATGTAGCACTCGCAATGTAGTACTTAATCAGAAACAAAAAGAAATGAGATCGAATGAAAAAGAAGGGAGGAGATCTTCAGACGCGCGAGAGTGTGCAAACAAGAGGCAGCTCTTCTTGCAATTGGGATGCGGGATAAGCCATGGATACTGCCTTCCTAAGGGTTCGCCGCCTTAGCCTGGATTCTCAGGCTGCAAAGGTGAACCCGTAGCTTCGGTAGGACTCCGGAATAACTATCTCCCTGCTCCGGTCGCGGCTCTTTGAAGTCGCCGGCCGGAAAGAGTTTAGTGCCTATTAACGCGCTCCGCGTGTTTGCTAGAGCTTCACTCCCACTGCAGATTTGCGTGCTCGACCTCACCAAGCTTTACTTTTAACCAAGTCTGCAAGAAGCTCCCAAATCCAGATCGAGACATTTTTACTCCCTACGGAACTCTTCCTATTTTAGAGAACAATTATCTTGACGTGATCAGAATTCACTGCAGTCATGGAGCCTTACGACGATGGTGAGATCCTAGATTCCTTGTCTATGGAAGCTCAAATTAACAACGCACAGGCTTTATCGAGGAGCAGGAGGAGCAAGAGGAAGAACGAAATGAAGAAAAGATCATCAACGAAGGTTTGTCTGTTGTCGTAACAAGCAAATTTCGCGACTGACCTCTTTGCCAGAGTATAAAACATGGAAGAAAAATGCGCCATTCCTCTACGACATGATTCTAAGCACTGCTCTCGAATGGCCCACTCTTACCACTCAATGGCTTCCCGACAAACAAGAGTAGGTCTATCACTCCTGAGTTACGGGATATTCGTGACTTAACAAGCTCTAGGGTCCCCGACAAACCTTACTCGACACATCGCTTACTGCTCGGTACTCACACATCCAATGACGCCCCCAACTATCTGCAAATTGCGCATGTGCAACTCCCCAATCCAAACTATCCAGAAGCCGAAGACTACGATGAGGAGCGCGGCGAGATTGGAGGCTACGGTGGTGGATCGAAAAAAAGCGCGGTAGAAGTCAAATTCAATATTGTTCAGAAGATCGACCACAAGGGCGAGGTCAATAAAGCGAGATACCAACCACAAAACCCCAACATCATTGCCACGATGTGCACAGACGGTAGAGTCATGATTTGGGATCGATCTAAACACCCTAGCATGCCTACTGGAACAGTCAACCCCCAATTGGAGCTATTGGGACACACAAAGGAAGGCTTCGGGTTGAGCTGGAGCCCCCATGCCGAGGGGAAATTGGTGACCGGAAGTGAAGACAAGACTGTGCGACTCTGGTGGGTAGCTTACATGTCTAGATTGTTGGTTCCAGAAGGTTAACACAGCTCTAGGGACATGGAAACATACACCAAGGGCAACAAGGCCATCAAACCAACCAGCACGTATACGCATCACTCTTCTATTGTGAACGACGTTCAGTATCACCCGCTACATTCCTCGCTGATCGGTACGGTGTCAGACGACATCACGCTTCAAATTATCGACATTCGAGAGTCTGACACAACCAAAGCGGCCGCTGTTGCAGAGGGCCAGCACCGAGATGCTATTAATGCGATCGCATTCAACCCCGCCGCAGAAACGGTTCTTGCTACGGGATCCGCGGACAAGTCTATAGGTTTATGGGACCTCCGCAACTTGAAATCCAAACTGCATGCGCTTGAATGCCACACCGAGTCTGTCACCTCTGTATCTTGGCATCCGTTTGAGGAGTCAGTGTTGGCTAGTGCGAGCTACGACCGCAAGATTATGTTCTGGGATCTGAGCCGAGCTGGTGAAGAACAAACGCCAGAAGATGCTCAAGACGGCCCACCTGAATTGCAAGTTCCCGTTTTGTCTTGGTTGTGCATAGTTGTACTAATTATCATCAGGTTGTTCATGCACGGTGGCCATACCAACCGCATTTCCGATTTTAGCTGGAACTTGAGTGATCCATGGGTGCTTTGCTCGGCAGCAGAGGATAACTTGATGCAGGTGTGGAAAGTTTCGGACGCCATTGTGGGCAAGGATCTCGGTGATGTGCCGACGGAGGAGTTGGAGGCTTGAAGTTTACAACTCGGGTGATTGTTAGAGTCAACTCCAAAATACAACACATACATAAAGGCAGTCATCAATTTTGTGAAAATGACCAGATACTAATTAGGAATTGTATTTGTAAGATGGTAGCTGAAAGCATCGAGGGGGCTGAAAAGAGCTGACCTTATCGCCATTCCTTATCAGCAAGTCGTGCATCGCCGTTGTTAGAGCAGCAGCAACACTAATCCTAATACGGAATGCTTGATGTACTATTTGTAGGTAATTGCAGCACGTGATTGGCCGACTGCTGTCATTTCCTTTCGGACAATTCCTCCCACCGTTAAAGCAGCAACAGCGCGAGTGATTCATTGCGGGGATCCCATAGGAAAAAAAAATAATAATTACGGTCGTCGCTGACCGAAGGGAACTTCCATTATTGCCGATGTCTGCTTAGCTCCGATTGTTGTAATCCATCTACTCTTCTCTTCCAGCTACAACAATTTCATCAATCCTCCTGTGTCTTCTCTACCAAGTCATTTTTCAATCGAACGAGAAGCTTTCTTACGTTCGGTCATTTCACATAACTCCACTCCTGACAGACATCATCAATTGAAATCGCCATGGGCTCCGGCTCATCCCCACCTCTTGGCCCAAAGCCCTTTTCCGCTCTCCCAACTCATCTTCTGAATGGCAGCTCGCCTCTACATTCTTCAGCTGCGACGAGCAACAGTGCTCGTGAGCGCGAAAGCTTGAATTCGTCTATCCGCTCGTCGTTCCGCGGAGCCGTCAGTTATGAGTCTGCCGACGCGAACGCCGAAAATGAGCCCATTGAGGCTGATAAACTTGGACCTGTGAGTCCGCCCTCTCTTGTCAGTCGACCGGCCAGTCCGTATACGCTGGTACCGCCAATTGATTTTGATGGTTTGAGCTGGCCTTGTGAGTATTCTGTCATATGTAACTGAATCGGCGAGCTAATATCCTTAGGCCCCGGTACCAAAGAACGACTAGAGGAAACTCCTGAACAAAACGCAGAGCGAGTGCAGAAACTAGCAGGAGCTGTAAAGACTATTCTAGAGTGTGTGGGCGAGGACCCCGAACGAGAAGGTCTTCTCGGGACCCCAGAGCGCTATGCCAAGGCAATGCTGTGGTTCACAAAGGGTTACATGGAGAACGTTCGAGACTTGGTCAACAACGCCACATTTATGGAGGACCATGACGAACTGGTCATTGTGAAGGACATTGAGGTTTTCTCGCTGTGCGAACATCACATGGTTCCGTTTACAGGAAAAGTGGGTTTCCAGCTTCTGTTACCAAATTGGGTCATTGCAGCATCTCATTTGACTTTTATAGATTCATATCGGTTACATCCCCGATCGCCGAGTGCTCGGTCTCTCGAAATTAGCCCGTCTAGCCGAAATGTTTTCACGCCGCTTGCAAGTACAAGAACGTCTCACGAAACAAATCGCCTTGGCCATCAAGGAGGTGCTGAATCCCCGAGGTGTCGGAGTGGTCATGGAATCTTCGCATCTCTGCATGGTGATGCGCGGAGTCCAGAAGACCACCAGCACAACCACAACAAGCTGTATGCTAGGCTGCATGCGAACCAGTGCCAAAACCCGCGAGGAGTTCTTGACACTTCTCAACCGCAGATAAGCACAACTGCAACACTAATGAATCTTTCATGAGTTGAGTGTACTTTAAGCGTTTTTTCTCTGTCACTCTTTCTTTCTCTCTCGGCAATCTCTCAAAAATGGAGTTATGGCGGGACCTCTCAACAGGATTTTGGTTGGCATTTTGCTTTCTTGTTTATTATCTTTCATCAGCGGTGGGCGGTATTGATCTTACCACCGGGACTGCATGATGTATTTTTCTCAACGATTCTCTAGATACATACATGAATTCCGCAAGGAACTTGACTTTCAACCGGGAAGCGTCACCTCGAACTGGAAATCCTAGCATCCAGAAACCGCTAATATGAGTTGATGGAGCCTGGTGACTGAACTTTCGACTCTCATCTCATTCATTCAAGACTCTTTCTCTAATCCACGAGTTGAAGGAATTGGGAGGAGTGACATCAAATCTCAGGTCAGGCAAATTGGTAGCTGTTTTGTCACGTGAAACAACAAAGTCTACTGATTATAGGGCAAGTAGATTCAGTAATCCTTCTTTTTCGGTAGAGTCGCTATTCATCTTCTGGAAAAACAAGGGCTTCACATATTGTGAGGCACGTAGGGGCATTGATCATTTGTGTAACATTTTCTCCCTATTCACTGCACACTTCGTCTGATATTAGATTGCTTTTGGAAAGTCCTTCCTCTTTCCTCTTTTGTCCCGTTCACGCCCGCGTGTTTGTTGACTTTAGCCCACAAAATCTTTTAATACGCGCACTCTTATCATCGTACTCTCATCGTCACAATCTTTCTGAGACTGTTTTTTGTCGTGTTTGCTCACTCAGTTTAATCTGTGGCAACAACCATGGCACCAAGGGTCACAGGATCAGGCTCTGGTCGTCGTCGTCGTCAACCTGATGCAAATCCTCAGACAAGAGCCAGTACAACCCCTCAGCCCAGGCCTTTGGCACCTGCTTCAATTCCAAGTTCCATCAACGCTTCAAGTTCCAGCAATGCTCAAGTTCTCGACCCAAACATCAATCCACGCCTCCAAGGCGTGGTCATGGACGATGATGAGGTTGTGCAAGTCCGAGCTGATCCAGCTTCCGAGGCTAACATGCAGGCTGGAAATGGAGATGTCGACCTGGCAGCTGCTGTCTCTGGACTGTTGCTATTGGGTGCAACGACTGGTCCAGTTACGCTTGGAATTCAAAGGTAAGCCTTGATATCATGCCACTGAAAGCACATTTTTGCTGACTAGATGGCAGCGAGACGGCCACTGAAAGCGCTGCTTCAGGGCCCTTAAGATCATCCACTCGAGCGGCACGAAAGAACAAAGGTGTAAAGCGACAAAAGCTAGGCGAACCTGAAACTCCTGTGCCACCAGCGGCAGAGCTGTCCATATACTCGTTCAAATCTCGTCGACTCATCAGTGGACGTGCAGTTCCTCGATTCAATATCTTCCAGGCCATACTACAGCATGTCCACATCTTTTTCCATTTCGTCACGTGTCTCGACGTGGACAGTCTGATATCTCTCTACGCTATCTCCAAGGATCTGCACAACATGGTCAACACATGTAATAGCGCAATTGTTCTGGCTCAAGCTATGCGCTACGCCCCCATAGCAGCATCAACATTTCCATTCAGATGCTACCGCAGTCTGTGCAATGAAGATCCACGCGTCGACCTAGATGTGACTCGAGGCCAGACTCGTATGATCCCTTCCTTTCGTTGGCTTCGAATGATCCACTATCGTCAGCAGACAGCACAGAAAATCGTTCGACTCCTGAACGAAGAGGGTCTCTATCTCCCGCAAGAACAGGGAGAAAGAGTCGTCAAGAAGATCTGGTTCCTGATGGATATCCCCGATAACCAGCGACGCCTCGCTACCATCCGAAACCTCGAGCTATGGACTGCAGCCGATCTTTTCTATGCATGCATGTTCTTTATGAGAATCGACATGCGTTGCACCGATCCACTTATTCCAATCGCACATGCCAACATTCGTCGTATGCTCATGGCTCAACCTTCTCTAACCATGACCTGCCTCGTGCTTGATCGGAAGTTCCTCCTCGACAAACATCAGGCGATGCAGACTTACATGCGCTGGAAGCATATACCTGTAGACGGCCAGCAGCGTAATGTCTTTGGCGTTCCACGGCATGAATTGGGTCTGGTGCAGTATGAGGGGTATGGGAAGCATGGTAGTCGGGTCAAGCTTCAGCGTCCTGATGAGTTGGTTCTCAAAGAATGCGTGCGCCGGGAAATGCAGATGGAGACTGCATTCTTTTGCATGTTGAATTGGGTGGGCCCACAGCAGGTTAATACTGCGGCTTCTGCTAATGCTGCTCCTACTAATGCTGCTGCTGCAAATGCCAATGTCAGTGCCAGTGCCAGTACCAGTTCTGTTAATGCCAACTCTTATGCTGCTGCCAGTGCTGCTGCCAGTGTTGCTGCCAGTGTTGCTGCTAATGATGATGACGACGATGCTACTGAGATCTTGGATGAGGCGGACATGTGAAGTTGCTTTGAAATCTTGTCCCCAGTTTGGTAGGTTAGGGTATTCGGATTGAGCCACTATGGCCTTGCTACACATTACCTAGTCTAGAGCCTAGTTAGTAGAAATCAAATTGAATTTTGACTATTGAAGATCGGGATATTAAAATAGTTGAACCAGTGATTAGGGTAGATGTGTAGATAAGCTTCCCCGCATGGCTCCTTATCGTGAACCATGGACTGATCTCCCAGGGACCAGCTGATATTTGTGCTACTACACTATTCTAATCCTTAGACCTAGGGTATATTCTTACAGTGAGTCATTATCTTATATCTTCTCACGGTAAGCGCTGCCTGCTGTTATTATTCAGTATACCATTTGAATGCTTTTCATATCGTCCTAAGCCAGTGAAAAATATGTCACTGACTGTGCCCTAGGTCTTTCAACATCCACACAAGCCTTGCAGAAGGAATATAACGCGATAAATATTTCATAAGCATCAGGAGTCTGAAACATAACCCCCTGCAAAGAAGATTGTCAATAAAGCCTCAAAAAGTCCGACTGCATTCAGTCCCCATCTCCAACTCACCCAACAACCCCGCATTCAGAAACAACAATAAACAAAATGGGCGATAACACCTTCTTCTTCTACGGTGATAACATTGAATCCTCTCCATTCCATATTATTTTTCTCTCCCTACTAACTCAACATAGGAACCCTCATGGTCCCCGCAATCCTCCACCGCATAATCCACGGCTCCGCAACGCCTGAACCCTGGCAAAAAGCGCTCCTCACCACCAGACCCGCCCTCTTACCAGGCTACAGACGCTACCGAGTGAAAGGCGCAGACTATCCCGCCATCCTGCCCTACGCACCACCGGAGTCGTCGTCTGTACTGGGCGTTGTGGTCACAGGGCTGACGGAAGGCGATGTCCTGCGTCTAGACGTTTTCGAGGGAACCATGTATGAGAAGCGTATTGTAAAAGTCAAAGTCCCCAAGACAAAGGGTGCTCTAGAGGATGAGGATGACAAGTCCCTGCAGAAAGGATTAGATCACACAGCGCACTTGACGGGTAAGCAAGAAGAAGACGAAATGGAGGAAGTCGAGGCGACGACGTATATATGGACGGATCCCGAGGAGGATTTGGATATGGGCGCGGAATGGGATTTTGAGTCGTTCAAGAGGGATAAGTTAACGTGGTGGATTACTGCGCCAGAGAGCGAGTTGTAGTAAGTTACTGCTCTAGAGGAGGAGGAGGAGGATGATGATAGATAGGTAGATAGAATAACGATTCAGTTCAAACACGTGTTGGTATCTAAAATACAATGACTCCTGTAATGCTAACCCCCATAACCTGGGGAACCCTGACAAATATCAACTTGATCTGCAAAAGCACCTCCCATCCATGCACAAAAAAAAAAGCTAGAAAACGTATCAAAAAATTCAAATCATAATGATAAGAAGTGAAATGGCAACTTAAAGCATATACCGGTAGACCATGAACCGTAGCACTTAGTATGATCATACCTTCTTCGATTTGATCTGTCGCGGACTGGTCCGTACTTTGCGGGTCCTCTTGGCCGGTGGTGTGTCCGGAACCTGAACAGTAGGGATTCGGACCTCTACCCTGTCCCGCGGAGTGTTGCTGAGATACTCAAACATATCGTCGAATATATCCTTTTCAGCTTGGACAAGCTGGTCGGGGTGATCGGGCTGAGGAGTCTCTCTTTGTACATCAGGGGCGGAGTTTGCTATGACAACTGGTGAACTGTCAAGCAACGCTGCCCTGGTGTTCAACTCCCGTTCTGGTGTCTTGGGAACTTCAACTATCTCATCGACATGCTCTGCTTTTGACTCATCGGTTGCCTCTGGCTCGTGTTGAGGGTCAGGGGCACCCTGCTGCTCCGAGAATTGAGTCTCTTGAATGACAGATTCCGCATCTGGTACAGCATCATCTTTCAATTCCTCCTTGTCTTGGAAAGAATCGGCGATGACTTCTGGTTCGGCAACAGGGCCAGCTTCAATGCCTTGGACCTTCTTAGCTGGCTGAGCAGTCGGGCTTAATAAGTAGGAGATTGGCTGCGCGTCAATCAACAACTTAGTGTCCTGGCCAGAGTCTTGTTCTTCATGTAGCTTGAAAAGAAAGTCACGAAGTCTCCGTCGCAACAGCCCGGACTTCAAAGTTGGCCAGTCAATCTGTGTACTCATTTCTCTTCGAAGAATGTTTCTGACGAATTCATCTGGGTCCTGCACAAATTTTTCAAGATATGCCAGCAGATAAAGACCACAATCAGAATAATTAGGCTGCAATGGAATCCCTTTAGCCGTCATGCCTTTGATATCCTTCATTTCAAATGATATCTTTGCCTTGATAGATTCCTCTATGAGATATTGTTTCAAAACCTTGATAGCAGGCTGCCTTGGTTCGTTAAGAGAGTCGAATGTAATGATAGTTGGTTGGTCAATCGAGTAGACTGGGCCCGCAGATCTCAACTTCTTCCTCTTTGCAGCATCAGATTGAACGGTGTCAGAAGGAATTTCGCTGTGGAAAACGGCAGGCGGCGAAGCCTGATTCTCCTCCTTCTCGGGCCATTCATCTTCAGAATTAGGGCCCGTCTGAGGATTCAAATTTGGTACCACGTCATCTATCTTCATCGCGGCAAGTGAGTCACGAGCCGTCTCCTCAGGGGTAGCAGCTTTTTCGGACGGAGGCGTCTCAGGTATTTCTTTCCGGTTGACCACCTCCTGCTCCGCTTCGCTTTCCTCCTGTATAGACTCTATCTCTTTGACCACCGAGCGTTTTTTGAGAGTGCTCAGATTGCAGATGATAGCCAGATACCAATGCGCACTCTCATTGATGGGGACAACCACGTAGTCATGACTGAACAAATCGACATTTCTCGTCCATTTAGAAACGCCTTGGTAGTTCACCCCCTTTTTACCTTTTACAGGACTAGTGAGCGTCGCATAGAAATAGGAATTGAAAAAATAAACTCGTTTGGAGACTTCTGGTTTGTTCCGTTCGAGGTAATGCTCTAAAAAGCGAGCATAAAAGCCTATGAGATTATCGTTCAAGAATTCTCCATCGCGTAAGCGCTCGAGATCGTGACTGTTGACTTCTGCCTTCTTCTTTCCCACAGGCGGATACACGAGTGCTTTTGACCAGCGGTCACCAGGGTTTGACTTCGGACTGGAATCAGGCTCATCATCGATCAAGTCAACTAGGCCTTGGCGAGCTTTGGATCTCAGCTCTCGTTGTTTGCGAGGTGCTTGATATGTTTTCACCGGGATGCTAATTCCTTCATCATCCTCAGATCGAGGTGTTTTGAGAGCAATGGAAGACTGCGCGACTGGTAGAGGGACTCGACGTGGCGGCTGATTGATACCCTTGGGTTCATCTTCACCTTGCAGTGTAGCCGACAGCTTTTGTCGTTTCACTGAATCGGGTTTTGCACTTTCGCCAGGCTCTGTAATACTAGGACTGCTAAGTCGCTTTCCACGGACACGTTCAACAACCACGACATTATCAAAAGCCTTGTCCATCCACTCCCTAAGGCATGTTAGCACCAATCAATCCAAATAAAAGATTGTAGCGTGTAAGATAAAATGTACGCACCTAGTTTTTTGACGTATTTTTGCGGTCTTTGGTAGTAAACTACGAAGCTGGTCCTTCTCTGCTTCGGTCGCAAATTCAATATCGATCGACTGATTTGCAGTTCCCTCAATTTTGGAAAGAGTAAAACGACATTTCAAGCTACCTTCCGTACCTAGCAAGACCTGAATAATTCTGCGAACCGGTATGCTCACAGATGGGATCGATTGGTGCAATCCTATAGTATCATCACCCTCGTCCAGGAATAATTGTCGGTTCTCGAGTTTGATGCTGTCATATCTGAAAAATTTGACATCAAACAGATGTTTGTGGGATCGAGCAATTCGCTGGTTCCGGGCTTGGCGCCTTTCTGGAGTCTTGTTTGATGAGTTGAAGACTGTCGGTTGAATATCATTCGGTGACATTCGGCGTTTTGACCGTCTGCTTGGCTTTTGATCTACCTCGTACAAGAATGAGTGTGATCCAATAGTGCGTCGATTCGAAGCAAATGATTCGGGGTTTGTTCGAATGGATACATCCTCTTGTAGCTCATCCGGGCTTTCACTCGCATCAGAACCACGGCGTTTTTTGCTGTCAGCTCGACGTCTGATCACGGGACTTTTAAGATTGTCCTCTGCATCTTTGCCGTCGAGTTCCACAGTTTCAATAGGTTTCGACCTATGCTGTGCGTTCGTTGAATTCACTTCAATGCAAGCATCCTTAGGACCGTGATACTCGGAAACATAGGGTATTCGAATTGAATCTCCGTTCTTTTCACGGTCTTCGTGTGACTCGACACTTGCAACTGAAGGGCTCTGATTTCGAAGTGTATGGCTTTCGTCATCGTCCACGAGATCGATGACTGGACCAAATGAATGCCGCCGACGCTTCAGAGGTCGATGCTCGTTTTCAAAAGGTGTCGGGGAGCTGAATGGGTGTCGAGAACGTGTCGAGTGCTGGGCAGCGCTGTTGGTAGTGTTGTTTCCTCCCCAGGCACGTACCGGGCCGCTGTCTTTTCCATTTGGCGTTATGCGATCGACTATTTTGAACACAGAATGTTGCTGGATTTGTCAAAAATGAATTAGCGGCGACTATTTTCAATAGATAGGTACGCGTACGTTGACTCTCGACTTTTTGGGTTTGGCGAACGATTGACCGATATGGATTCGAACATCATCTTGGCTTTTTCTAATAGTAAAAGAGGGTTAGCATAAGCCTCAAAGCTCCAAGCACGTATTATCGACATACTTGTAGGTTGGAAACAATCTCTGCTCATCCGAAATTTCGTCGCCCTGCCGCATGTTCGATCTGCTCAAGGGTCTTGCATTGGATATCAGTCAATGTCAATATTGGATCGCAATCAAGATAAATAATGTAAGCTCACAAATGCTCTCGTGACAGGAACTAGACATCAGATTAGCGACAGTCCAAAACTAAGACTATATTTTTCAGTCGACAACCATGTCTATAATCAGACATGAAGTTTTGTGGCTGTTGCTGTGCATGCTAAAGACACCAGAGCATGAAACTCACAATCGAATTCCCTCTCGGCACATCTGGAGATACACCAGCTGCTCTTACCCCGGACAGCCCCTCCAGGTTCTGCCCTTCCTCACCACCATGAGACGCGAGAGTATCGAGGTTGGCACTGAGGTCTGGGCGGTGATCGGGAGTGGGAGGCGGTCGAGTGAGGAGCTGGGCAATTCCCGAGAGAAACTGCATTTATGTCATGCAATCTGCCAGTGGGAAGTGCCAAGATGCATTATTTGTTTTTCCAATAGACTTGCAAGCAGAGCAAAACTGTGTGTGATGAGGAGTTTGGGTGTTGTTGAAAGTTGTCGTACAGGGACAATAAATGTTCCCGGGTAGTTATGATGCAGTGGTGCATGCGCCCCATGCCCACTAAGAAGGCGGAGACTTATTCTGCCCGCACCGGAAGGAACATGCCGCTCTTTAAGATTTATCTAGGTGTACTTGAGTCTACTGCTGATTAGAAAGATTTTGTGATTCATAATACTGTTACATTCCATTCCATCAGTCCACATAAGAATAAGTCTTCGTAATAATGCACACCATATGAGCAAAATCTTTCCAAGAGCAACAGAAGTCAATGAGTCCAAAGGAAGAACAGGTATAAATGAGAAAAAAGCCCAACAAGTCACTCCACAGTTGCTTTGAACGTTTTGTATTTCCAAATATTCCCACTCATTGTCATGAGATCATGGCTCCAATCCAATCACAAACAAAAGAATAAAACAGAAACAAGAAATGCAGGAATAGCCCAAACCCCCGCAGATAACATCAAAGACCGTTGTGTAGAGAAATTTTACTATACAGGGCTGCATCAAGAACAGATTACCGCCTATGGAAAAAAACTCAAGACGCCATTCCTTTGCTCCTATCACTATAGGATTCATCATTAGTACCTGCCCTACGGCGCTCATTGGCTCCGTGGTGGTACCCATGATGGTGATGCCCGGGGTTTGCCGCGGCCTTCTCTTGTCGAGCTTGGTCGATGGCTGACCTCTGCGCGATGCTGTCATCGTGGCTCTTCCAGACGATATTTGTGTCCGCCGGTAGAGCTAGTAAACGTTTTATCGTTTCTCTATAAACCCGTCAGCTTTGAATTGAATATTCAAAGTATCAATAATCGTACCTTATTTTGATATTACGCCCTCCGTCGATTCTCGTCCATACACTGAGCACATCTTCGCCGCTTCGCACACTCAGGACCGTCCCGCATACCTCATCGCCCGCCTCGGCGAATTGGTCACCGACTATGGCTAACAGGAGGTCTTCCCAGTAGCGGTCCGCCACACCCTTCTTCAGACGGATGATCCACTTTCCACCACGTTTGTTAGCCTCATCTTCCCAGACAGGGCGAATACCCTTCTTGAAGATGTGATAATCTGAGACAGTGGGAAGAAGTGAGGGGCGTTTGAGATGGGAGTAAATCGTCCAGAAGCTCTCCACGGACGATATGGACGCAAGAGCAACGGTTGATTTCTCGTAGTCCGAATATTTCGGGGTCGGAGGGCGGTACCAGACAATCCACGTTGATTTCAACGGGTGGTCCTTGATTGCGGAGGTAGATGTGGTGTCGAGCGAGGAGGAGGAGGTTTTTGATTTTATGTTCCCCGTAGATGACGTATCGTCGCTTGTGTCGCGTTTGTCTTTTGTGCTTGAACTGAGATCAAAGGTTCCACCGGGAGTCTTGGGAGTCTTTGTGGACGAGCCGAAAGATGCGAACGCGCCGGAACCGAGTCCGAAAGCGTTTGACGCACCAGCGGAGGGCGAAGATACGCCGCCGGAGAGGGGGGATATGGCGTTGAAAGGGTTTGATCGTCCGTGCGAGCTGTCGGGTCCGAAGCGCTTCGATGAATGAGTGCGAGGAAGCTCTGGTCTGGAGCTACCTTCCTTGTCACTGGCCGTGGACAGAGACAATTTGCTTGCGCTGTAGTGATGCATGTCAGTACGCTTACAGAACGGGTAAAAGAAAATAATTGTAGGCGTACTTTGATCTCCGGGTCCACAGGTTTGCTTGATCCATCGAGAAAGCGGCTACGACAGCTCGGAAAGGCCAACGAACATTCGGTTGCTGAAAGCAAGTCAGGTATCGAGCTTGGAGACTAAGAGTAAGCGAGAGGACGGAGCAGCGAATGTTCAGTAGCGGACAATTGGCGGAATGGCTGTTGTCGGGGCGGGTCGAAATGATAGATAATTATATTGGTCGAGTCGGTATTATAATAGAGTCGGATCGTGTAGGAAGCGGTTAGTGAGGTGTTGGAGGCGAGGGTGGTTGAGTTGTGTGAGGATGCTGTTTGGAGTGGGATGGGATGGAGTTGGGAAGATTTGATTGATTATTGGCCTGAGGTTTTGGAGAAATCTTGTAATTTACTCAGCACAGCCTGGGCTGTAGGGACGGTAATATTACACGCCGTTTATCAGCGGAAATCGTACGAAAACAGTACAAAACAGCTCCAATTACTGCAGCCGTTACTGTAAGCTTCCTCACCAATCGGCATCGATCTGCCGCCCGCGGCCGCCTTCTCCACTTCCTTACAGCAGGCCGACTATTTATTTCTTTTCTGGTCGAATTTTTCTTTCTCTCTTCTTCTTTTCCTTCTCTTAACCCAAGACCACCGACTCAAATCATCGCCAGTTCTCTTTTTTCCTTTTCTACAGCGCTGGCGATTCCGATGTGTGTGTCGAGATCAAATGGCATTAGAGCCTACTATCGCATATAAAACCATCATCACGAGGGCTATTTTCAAAACAGCTTCCCATGATGCGTTGATGACCTAAATGACGGGACATACTTTGCTGCTGCTCGTAGATTGATTTCTTACTTTCTCACCTTGGATCTAGCAGACTGGATCATTTGAAATACCTCTAGTATGTGTGATCTTTTCTTCGTCGTCTCCCAAGCCCTTTGCCCAGATGAAGAATCACGAGCGTAATGGTAATCCGAGCCTCAACCGCAAACTTCGGTTTCATCCTTTCTACAGGTCGCTGGTTGAGAATGAGGTGTCAAGGCAAAGTCTGATAAATTGTTATTTTTTTCTTTTTGGTTTTCAAAAGCCCAGGTCGCACCTGGCAATTGGTCGCTCAGAGCTGACTTATATCTAGAGGTCGGAGACCTTTGTCCTTGACTAGTTGAAGTATGTGCAGCGAAAGGTAGAATTTGTTTATGTACATTGGAAGGGAAGTAAAATACAACCCGCAAGAGACCACTACTATCTATCTCTATCAAATGAGTGTGCATACACTGTGCCATCCCGCAGCTCATGTATGGAGTCACTATCCAGCCACCCAAACTCCGTATACTTCCGCCCGTCTCTCAGTTCGTGTATTGTGACCCGTCGATGGCCCTTTCTCCGTCGTGGTCGTCGCCGAGAGACTGGTCCACTCCTGGTCGACTCTAAGCTGCCAGCATCACTGGACGCTGCGCTAAAAGGGGAAGGCTGCTTCTCCTCTTGATTGATAGAAACCTGTAGCATATGGTCGGCCGCCATGGCAGCACCGTCTTCTCGGAACCAAGTTTGTAGTAGTTTCACATATCCATGTTCACGCTCGCCAAGGGTCACATTCGAAAGGGTGACACAGGGCTGGTCAGCTGAGGAACTAAATACAGTCCAACCACTGTCGTTAGAGCTAAGTAACTCGATAGAATTGTTGTAAGTTTGAACTTGAAAGGCATGAAGCAAAAGCACATCGCCTTCCGTCACTCTAGGTCGAGGTGTTTCTGTTGGCTGAATTACTTCCACAATGACTGTCGTGCCTGCCATTGATATGTCGGTGACACGTAGTCTCATATGATATTCTTCAGTCTTAGTGGTCGAGGGCTCAGCAGGTGACACATCGACAGCCACAGCAATAACGTCAACGGCCTCATTGGACCATTCGCCGAGCATAGCAAGAGTTGTATAAACTGGCAACTTTGGCTTTTCGACGGTGGGAGACGTGAGATCAAATTGCAAGTCGGGCTGTGCGACTTCATCTGCTCCATGGCTTTCATTTTCCGTTGGTTCGATTGAATAATCTTCTATGAGAATAACTTCGTCCAGCTTCTCCAAGGTGCCCTCGTCCTCATCTGCAAGCCCATGAACCAGATGCCCTTCCTTGGGCAATTGTCGGCCAATATCTTGCAAATGCCGTTCATCGGAGCCATCAATCCATCGACGGCGACGATTATGATTGCCCTCCGCCTCAGGTGTTTTTGTTTCTGGCGAGGAACGATAATCAACTGAAGTTGGCACCGTACTTTCAACAAATGTGTACTGAGACTCGTCATTGACAGTTGAGGGAGGGGTAGCTACTGGCGCTGGTGACACGGTGCGATATGCCAATTGTTGCATAATTCGAGTTGCACCTCTAGATTGCTCCTGGGATAACTTTTGGTCCTCTGGGACCAGAGATTGCTCGTCCTTGACATCAAAATCATTGTTTCCATCTGGAATTTCTTCCATGTTTGAGGAATTATTATTTCCTGGCATTTCAAGCGTCATCATATCGTGATCGAGACTGAACGTATCGTTTCTGGCACCGAATTGTACTTCTATCTGTCGTTGGGCACTTCCAGACACACCTGGCAGAGATAAAGACTCCTCCATGTCGCTAGTATGAGGTCCATGTTCCTTAGCTTCTTCTGCATATGCGTCACCTCTCTCGTCCAGGTCATAAACCTCATACGTGTGCGCATGTTCATGGCCAGCATCTCCGCGCTCTGGACCCTCAGCATCGCTTGGCAACATGTCCTGATCGTCTTCTTCCTCTTCTTCATCGCTGTATGCATCTCTGTCTTCTTCCATGCGGTCAATCTCCTGACTTGCAATCTCGTCTTCGCCATCTTCATCGTTTTCGTGATGTGTTAGACTCCCTATATGATTGAAAGCGCTATTGTTGTGCCTGCTCAAAGGTGCATTGGCTGTGGGTGGCTCATCCTCGCTATCGCTGTCCAAGACAATCACTTCGGGATGGACGATACGCTGCGGGGTTCTTGAGGCCAATTTTTCTTCAGCACTCTCCTCTTCATATCCAGAGACTGTATCGGAGTACTCAGACTGTTCGGACAATATCGCATCCTCCTCGCTGTCAGCCTCTTCAGCCTCATCAGASGAGCCTCTGTCTTCGAGTTCGCTCTCTTCATCTTCGACTTCTTCAACATTTGGACCTCTCTTTCCATACCCACCGAGACTTGTATCATCAACCTCAATGATCTGCACCTGTGAGCTTATTTCGTTATCCATGAAGCCTTCGGATTCTGAACCATCAGGATCGGCTTCTGCACCATCTTCCAACACCGAATCGTGCGCACCCGTTGGCTCACCGTCGTTCTGCTCAAAATGGTCATCTTGTACCAAATCAGAAGCCAAGTCTTCCACATATCTCGCGCGTTTCGATTCATTACCCTGTTCTACGGCAAAGTCACGTACACCAGTGAATGTTGAAGGTGAGAAGTGCCCGTGGACGCCTTGTGGCGATTCCTCATCTTGAAACACTTCGAGAGTATCTATTGCCAGGTTTTCTGATCGAAGCTTTGATTCTAGATCTTGGCCGTTATCAGCACGATTTTGGACATCCAACTCGCGCACTACTGTGTCGCCTGACGCGCCTGTCTTGTACGCATAAGATGATATGTTGTAAATTTCGTCGTGGTCGATAGGGGAGAAATGCGGCTGAGAGGTTAGTATATCGCTGGATGGACCTTGGGAAACTTTCGCAGAGTCCACCGGCGTTTGAACCAGGGGCGATGGCGTTGGAAGCGTAGAAGAAGTTATAGGATGAAGACGTGGTGTTGCAAATGAGAGTTGTGAATCTGGAAGCTGGAGCTCAACAGCAGTTTTTTCCAAGGAAGGCGCTATAATTTGAATTTCCTGGGCGTTGCCGTATGTAGACTGTGCCTCCTGTACTGGAGAATTGGACTTGACAAGTTGAATTCTATCGCCTGCCACATCATCCGTGGAACTCGTAATAGGGACCTTCTCTGCAGGCTCTTTGAGTCTGAAGGCGGCTCCAGAGAGTGCCACATCGTTGTCAACATCTTCGTCTCGATCGAGCAGTTCCTCATCCGACTCAAACCAGTTTACATCATTTTCCATATTGACTTCCACCTGGTCGTCAGATTCATCCAGCAATCGCCACTCGCTACTCGGAAAACTGAATCTGGGTCGTTTCCTGCCTATACCGGGTACATAACCATCTTCTTCTGCGAACATATCATGTATGGAAGGCACAGGACTCCGTGATCGAAGCCGTTTCGTACGTAGAAAGGCAGGCGTCTCCCACCTCTGCTCCGAGAGAATCGGTGAGGGAAGACGGGCTGGAAGCAGCGCAGGTGTGGTAGGTTCAACGGATTGCGCATCTTGTCTGGGTGATTCCAGTTGCGAATAGTCGAGCGCAGCAGTCTTTTTGCCGTTCCTGGTTGCCTATCAACTATTAGTTGGACAATCAACACATGCCAACTAGTCACCTACCTCAAGCTTGACCCGATTCTTGAATTGCAGTTCCCAACTCAAAGATTTTCCCGGAGTTGATTGGATTTTATGGTTCTTAGACCATTGCCCACCCTGCAAGCTCAACGTGATTGTGTCACCGATACCGACCTTGGTGCGGGCAACCTCCTCTGCGCAACGCCCGCAGAATGTCACTCTGATCTGCCCATTCTGATTGCGAAGGCGAAAATCCGGTTCGGCGAGTAGAAGGCTAAACAAGCGATTCGAAGAGGAGAACGGCCACACGAGTGTAACAACAGCTTGAACAGAGTACTGACTCGCATCCTCAAGATCTGGCGACAGTTGCGGTATAGATATTAAATTCGGATATTGGCCAGGTCCATGCGATTTTGAATCGGCGGGKATTTCCATCTCGTCGGACGATTAGGGTGGTGAGAAATGTGTCGCTTGTTGGCGGCTTGCTGGAGGTTACGCCATGACACCAGTAAAGAAGATATTCCGCATTCATCGATTTCCAGAGATACTGTACTAAGATATCCCAAGAATAAGTCATCACCAAGACATGCTAGTATGTTGTAAGTAAAAGAAACAAAGGAAAGGATAAAAGCAGGCTAGTAATGAAAGAACGACATTAAGATTATGATAAAGAAGAAGATCCAAGATTGTCGCGTGTAGACCTTACAAGAGAGAAAGTATTGTCGTCACAGCATCGCCCAAAAAGATGGGAAGGAGCTACCCCATCTGGGCTTGGCGCCCGTGCCTGTTGCGCCTTCCGCTTCGGGCAGTTTGTCCATAAGCTCCGAGCTCTTCTCCCCATTCTCTCTTTTCTTCTTCTTCTTCTTCTTCTTCTTCTTCTCCATGCCTCTGTTAAATCGTTTTCGGCAACTCTCTCGGTCTGGCTAGAGTGGCCGATACTTGAACTCTACACAAACTGAAAATCCTTCAACACATTGATGTTTTACACGGCATACCAGGGAAGTTCCCATTGGATCAGCCTCGGCATGCTTCTGGACCTAGAGAGGCCCGAAGTTGTTCCCAAATGAATGTCATAATCCAAAAATTTGGGTAGATTTTTGTTTAAAACTTTCTAAACCAGAAGCACTTCCGGACTTAGTGCATCTCGTTTTATGACATATCATAGGCTGTGTTCAATAGCCAGTATCACCGAATTGGATCTCATTTGAGTACAGCCAATTTGGGCCTAGACAATAAGCATGTGGCTGTTCATATACCGCTAGAGTTACTGAAGATTGAATTCAGTCGACACCATCTCTGAACAATTGCGTTCTTCACAAAAACGCTGTCTTGTTCTATTTTCATTCAACGCGAATCCTCAAAGACCGACAACAAGGTGGCGTCGAAGCGCTGTCCATTCTTGAAAACTTTGGCATGGTGGATTAGGCTTGCAGCGCCAAATGTCTCGTTTGTGGAATTGTGATCGGCTTAGAGAGGAAGGGCAAGAGCTTCGGGAAGCGCGCACGTATGAAGAAACTTAGCGAATATTCGGATGTCCTATACTCAGTTAGTCGATCTCGGGATGATGGTTTCGGCATTCGACCATTACCCAGTTTCTATAATCGGAAGTATACGCTTGCCTACTTGGAAAGTTCTCATCGCGATGGTTGTTCTACATGACGGCGTCCTTGTGATGTCGCGCTCCCCATGTGGTACGAGAGGTCGTCAACATGACAAAAGGCGAGAAGTTACTACAAGTTGCAATTCGCCATCAAGTTAATCCAGTTCGAATGACCTGAAATTTCCAGAAGCTACTGCGCATCTGGCCCCTTCTCCCATGAACGTATGGGCGCTGACTGAATGAACCATGATTGAAGACGAAGTCAGCAAAGAGGTTTTGGAGTACGAACGACTTTCGAATATTCCACCTTCCGTAGTCATGCCACTTTTCTTCTGGAGTAATCCACCCCATTTCGATGACAATTACCAGTCTTGATGTGACGTGGTATGATGCTCAAAGATAAACCGGGTTCTGACCTGACTTACTAACTTGTTTATCATTATAGCCGTTCTTTAGTATTCTAGTGATGATGAAAATGGAATTCTTTCTCTATCTCCATTCTATGGCCGTGTATCAAGCTTTCAGAGACACTAGACAGCCTTAATCTTGATCTTCATGGTTACATATGTGTTTCAAACGTTGTATCCCCCAGCCACCCGAGATACATAATAAGTTCCAGGCACAGCGCAAAACACGACCAGCCTAGTTTATAAGACGTGAAAAATAGCATTCTAATCAGCGTGCGAATGAATCAGTATTTTACTTGCAGAAATCATTTTTTTCTGGAGATTGGCCGTATAAACCGTGGTAATTGGGGTGGATTGCTGGCATTCGTTATCTGTTATCACGTGAAAGGCGATTGTCTAGCCCGTCGATAAGAGCTCCAGACTTTCTTCTCCGCTTTACATCCCATACAGGCCATTCCACTCGTGCTATGTTGACCGTGTTGTTGTGCCATTGCTTCTCTGATTGAAGGTTAGCTCGAAAAATACAAATTCTCAATTTTTACAATGTCTGCCTGCCATAGTTCCTGGACATCGATTGGCGCTTGACAGGGCGCGTAAACACACCATCATACATGCGCATCTGACCAAATCAGGTAGGGCCGGACAACTGTCAGTTCATTTTACATTCAGATGCATGATATTAACTCGACCAAGTCAGGGAACTGTGTAGAATTAAGTCAGCAGGTTCTTTCATTGCAAGCTTTGCAAGACGCGCAAGATTCTACTTCTGCAACGCTTGCGTCTTCCTCGCACACTGCAAGCTCCTATTTCAAGACTCGGAGCGACTGTGCCCAAAATTGAGATAAGTAAACTTTCACCAAGCAGAAATTACTCAAGAGCCATGGAGACGAAACGAGACTCAACAAGTCGTCAAGGCTCCGAGTCTGCAGGAAGATTCAATGACATTACCGGCTCTACCCCGAAAGAGAAGCTTCAGAATGCCTATGCTCGACTGAACAGTATAAGCAAGGGTGTGTCGACTCCAATTGCGGGAGATAGTGCAACACCATCATCTGCAGGGGATATCGAACCTGCGGTACCGGTATCTATGCCCCAGACAACATTACCCCTAAGTACCCGGGCACCAGAGCACCCAGTGGACATCGCTGCACCGGTCATGGAAGAGCGGAATGTTGCAGATATTGTTGTAGTCTCTCCAGCACTGCTATTTCCCGAACAGGCAGGTGTACAAACTATTCAGCCCAGTGCTATATTTGAAAAGACCGAACATGTTCTTCCGGGTTCACTCCGACTTGGCCCTTCTGAATTTGCTGTAACTATGCCTATGGACTCTATTGGAAAAGACAACTACGAAAGAGCACTTGCTGAACACTCGGAGTCTGTGAAACTTCTCCTCTCTGGGTTCAAGTCGGCAGATGGAAATGTTCTTCCCATGACCGAGCAAGCTCAAGCTCTATCGGACATCCGACAACTTATCGAAAAACTAGACAACATTGCTGTCCATACTGACTTGAACATAGCTGAGCATGTGAAACGGTCTCAACCGGATGTTCAAAAAGAAGCGTCGTGGGCCGAATATAGCAGCGCCAAATTTCTATTTCTGGGTCAATTGATAGAGATTGCCGGAGCACAAGATATGCACATCTTGTTCGTACTAGGCAAAAGGGAAAGTGCAGAGTTAGTTGAACGCTATTTTATAGGCAAAGGCTTCGCTCCCGTCCGGCCACGGGCTGAAATGCATGGACATGTTGAGCTCTCCATGATCAATGGATCGCTGAGCGTTGGTATTTTGTCTACGGAACATGTTGGTACTGTGGAGACGTATCGATCACCAACAGTTATATTCGCACTTGACTCTTCGTTCAATGCTTCAAGTCCTGCTATTGAACATCTCAGAACTACAAATGCGCACAATGGGAATTTGCTTCCTGTCGTGCATTTGATTATAGCGAACTCCAGTGAGCACATTCAGCGATGTCTACCCAACCTCCCGGAGGCACAAAGTTTGAGGCTGCTCGTTTATATTGTGAAGAGTTTAGTGGATATGCTCGGTGACTTACAAGACAATGCTCTGGGCGTGCAGGATGATGCCGAGGAAATCTTCACTTGTCTTATGTCAGATGATTTCAATGCAAGTTGGACTCTTCCCGCAATCGAGCCACTTCACATACTTGTGTCGGATGGACTGCAGAGCGAGGATCCTCTCGGTTCGCAGGTGACGGATCCGATGGTCGTATCAACATCCGTCAATAAGCGCATATTCGTAAGTGCTGATTTATGATATTCTTGTCTGCCCTACTGACTGGCTGATCTATCAAGGACACACTGGATGCCGACACACCCGAGTCAAAGAGACAGCGCATTCATTCATCGCAGGAACTTACTCAGATAACAACACAGTCCACTGCTCCGACGAGCGAAACCGTGGACCTGACCGCAAAATTACAGGCTTTGGAAGCTCGACTGATCGAGATAAAGGTTGACCATGCTGCGGAAGTTGATCGATTGCAAATGACTATCACGGAGAATGAGGCTCGCTTCAAAGAGCGCGTCAAGGGGTGGGAAGACTTACAGCATCGCTACGAGGCTCGCAACAAGGAGTTACATCAAATACGAAAAGAGCGAGATGACTTGCTCGTCGATAAGACAAAGGCCGAACAAAAAACTGTGAAACAACAAGAAGAGATCACGAAGCTCAAAGATGAGAGAACTCAACTGAAACATGATCTACAATCCGCTAGAGATGATCTCAAGACTGAAGGTGGATTGAAAGAAGAACTTGAGGTATTACGAGAGCAGCATCGTAAACTCACTGAAGGTTACGCCAAACTCGAAAGAACGGTCGAGTATGAGAAGAAGCAAGCCGAACGCGCGCGCGAAGTATATCAGGATGCATCTCATGAGGCGGGGAAGTTGAAGAATGAGAATAATACCTTGCAAGAGAGGAATGCACATCTGCAAAGCCAAGTCGATGCTGAAGCCGTCAAGTTGAGCGAACTCAAAAAGCAGAACGACGAGTCAAAACATTTGGCCCAAGTGAAGAAACTCGAGGATGCTCTGAAAGCACGTGAGACTCTTCTCCAGAAGAAGGAAGAAGAACTACGAAACATTCGCAACAACCGCCCGGCGACACGAGCAACCAGCACACAACCTCGAAGCCCAAAGTCATGGGGCAATAACGGCAGTCGCCCGACCAGTCCTGGCATCAACAACGGAGTTGGGAACCGTGGCAGTGGACTCCGATTCAGCTCTGAGATGTCTTTTTGAACCTGACCTTCGTCTCACAATACTTATCATTAACTGGATACTGTCTTTCTACTTGTGATTTACAGGCCTCAACCTGTTCTGTACCCGAATACTTGTTTATATGTGAAGAGAACCGAGGCTTCTCCGACTAGACATCTTTTATGACGAATTTACGACTAGAATATAATTTGCTTTCTTATTGTCCCTAGTCTAACCAATACAAACATGCTTGAAAGAAATCGATGCCTTTTCAAGCAATAAGCGTATAACGCCACAATTGCACCGCCACAACCATCTTTGTAGCTTATGATCGTCCGATGAGCGCCACAATACGTAATGGTGTTTCAGTACGTACCAGGTAAATACGCATAGGAAACAATAGCAATGACATCATCGCTTGCTGCTGGCCACAAGCTCACGAATGACTATTTATTTCCCTAACTGCCACAGCTTATTTTCTTTTTTCTCCAAACGGTAATTTCTCTTCTCAACACATTGCTCGATAGACTCAATAAACCTCGCAACTTTCAATCCCCAAGACGAGAAGGAAAAAGGAATTCTAGTCAAGATGGCCGACTGCTCTGCACTCTGTATTGTCATCATCACCTTGTTCAGTACGTGCATTCTCCCTTTCTGAATGTTCGCGGTGAATCAGCTAACAAGAAAACAGTACCACCCCTCGGGGTCTTCCTCATCTCTGGCTGCAGCGCTGACTTGCTAATAAATATCCTCCTCACTATCCTTGGGTACGTCCCCTCTACACAATGTGTATTCGGAGAGACCGATGATTAACTAATGGCTTATAGATACTTCCCCGGCCACATTCACGCTTTCTACTTAGAATACGTCTACTACCATCGCCGCGGCCTCGCTGCTGGCGGCACCACGTTCACGACGCCGGCGACGGGCGTTTATTCGGAGCGTATCCAGTCGGGTGGTCGTCATCAGCAACAGCAGACACAGTATGGGACTATACAGACCTAAACCCCCAATGAGCCGATGTGCCGTGAGTCATAATGAGTGAAAGCAACTATGGCTAGGGTGGGAGCTTGGGAGTGATTGGATGGCTTAGTTTCATTGTTTTGATTATGCTGTGCGATACCCAATTGCTATAATTTGGTTTCGGAGACTTTTCTTGAACTTGCTTTTTCGTATAGTTAGGCGATTCGAGAGCATATGCTTTAATACTATCTTTGAGTTAATGGTTCTTGCTAGATGAGTATCTGTCGGTTCGTATTTCCTACTTCACTACAAGAGTGCAATTATAAAAAAAGACACTATACAAACTCCAAAATCTATGCTCAGTAACCTAACTACATCTAAACGTCCGTAGCCTGCGACGTCGTACTCGAACTCGACTTCGTCTTCACAGCTGGAAAATCAAATGATTTACCCCTTCCAACCTGTCCCTCCGTTCGCGGCCATGCACCTGTTCCCTCACTCCACAACAACGCTCCTACCCAGGGCTGCACATTCCATCCCACTGTGAGCGTGACATTCTCACGCTCCGCGATCTTGCCTGAGATATCTGTGATTTGATATTTTGATTTCTGATTGCGGAGGTGCAGGACACCTTTTTGCTCGGGCTTTGTCGACTTCTGCGACTTTTTCTTATTCTTGTTCGTCTTCTTGGCCTTGCCGGTTGATTTTGTGGATGATGAGAGGAAGCGCTCTTTCAAGTTGGAGAAGGAGTATGGTGATTCGGGTGCCGGGATGATCATGTCCCAGATGATAGCTTCGGAATTGTGAGGGTTTTCGCTTGCGGGTGAAGACGCAGGGTATGAGGCTAGGACGTAGACGAAGAGTTGTTTAGTGTTCCAGTTGAACAACGGCGAGAAATCTGTTATGAATTAGCTTCGTATTCAATCTACACACACTTGGGCATAAGATAATCTCACCTGCATCAAGGTCGAATTCAATTCGGGCATATTCCTCTCGTTTGGAGGAGTAGTAGTGCGGTCTCCCTTTGACACTATACCAATTAACACTCCCGGTCAGCAATATTTTCTTAGTTTATGACATGAAACAACGTACACTTGAACACTCTTCAGTTCCACGCTCGACGTCACATCTGTCGCAGGATGCAAAAAGACAGATAAAGCCGCAAATCCGGCGACGAAAGCTGCTACTGTAGTGAAGAAGCCGAATACGCCCTGCGCACGATTGCTTGAGGAATACATGGTTGATTGTCGCAAATCGAGCAATCTGATGTGATGGAATACGCCCCTGGGCGCTGGGTCGGTTCTAGAGACGAATATCAAACACAGGCAAATTGAACGATCCGAGTAATTGAAATAGGAATAACACAATTGTCGTTTTCACGGTTGGTTGAGATTTTCGGAGTTTATTTGTTTGGCGGCGGAAAGACACGTTGTTGTAGCACGGATTGAGCCAATCAGAGCTCAGGCCATATAGCTTACCAGTTTCTCGCAGACAACAATACTTTACAAGGGAAAAGAAAATAAGAGCAATGACTGTTTCGGAATTTGACTGATCTGATATTGCATCCCGAAAAAGCTTTACCTGGTTTACCGAGGTAGATAGACTATGGATGACACGAAAAAGGGACATTTCATAGCCCGTTTCTCTGCTCCTACTGTTCAATTCATGGACTGTGGTGACAGAATCTCTATGGATCTGCCAATGTGCGGTATTTGTAGACCAATCTGTTACGAGCGAGCTGCCCAATGAATCCATAACTCACCAGCGGAGCCTGGACGAACAGCAACCTTGCTGCTTTCTCGTTAATGATGCTTGTATGGTAATTGAATGAACCACCCAAACATAACACTGATATTTCTGATATGCAAGTCGCATCCAGCTCATGGTCATTGATCATACTGCATCCAAAGAAGCTCTGGCAGTGACTTGCTCATTCTTGTTACCAAGCTTCGAGATCTGCAGGAAAGCATCCACGCCGTACCCCTCCAAACTGTGTAGTTCTAGGCTTCCCGCCCAGTATTCGGCATAAACTCTGCTCATGGGCAGCCCAATACCCAAGCGAAGATTGGGTGGACGTGAACTCAAGGTAGATAAAGATCCTTCACGGTAGCTGCCTTTAATGCTGGGTTCCATTTCCAGGGGAACCTCAAGTTCCTGCATCGTGGCCGCTAGAGTCGGGACCTGACCGAGATTTTCCAACCGGTCCTGAGTCCGTGGGCCTTTACTGAAGGACCATAACGTCGGGAATATCTCCCGAGGAACGCCGCCGCCTCGGTCGGATATACGTAGGGTGACATACTGCGATGCTTCACATATAAGAACCTCAATTGGCGGAGGATCAGCGGTAGAGTCTCGGTACTTTTCCATAACGGCTTKTATAGAATTTCGCAAGAGTTCTCCAACAATATATTCCAAATGTCCAAGAATGTAGGGGAATGTTGCATCGAGATGTCCCTTGATATTGATCCCAGGAATCTTGTTTGACCCAGAGCTCTGACGCATCAACTCTTGGGTGAATTTCCCACATCGTTCGACGACATCCTTGGCATTGCATTTGAGAAAGACCTCACCGACAAAGTCGGAATTTTGGTCAGCTCTAGGGTCAGATTTGTTTGATCGCTGTGAGATGTTAAATGTTTCGGTCAAAGCAAGATGCTGCTCTGCTATCACGCGACGGGATATCCTCTAGATCTCATGTTAGGCGTGTCTCGAAACATAGCATATAAGTCATACATACCGCGCGAAGCATTGTATTTAGAAATGTATCAATTTCGTTCGGTTTCACAAGCCCTTGGCACTCAAGCACTCCCATGGCGAGGTTCGGGATGACCGTCAAGTGCTCTTTGAGCATTTCTCGCAAGACGTCGCAATAGCGATTATTATCATCTAAGGACTTGATTGCAGGAATAGTTCTGAATCTCTCAAAGGCTTTGTAGTACAATTCGTAGACCAATGATATATGAGGGTTTGCCACGACTACATATGGCAGTGTTTGCATTTCACGCAGGCGATGTGCCAGTCTGGACGTATCATTAGCAAATGAACATTTAAGTGACCCGAGCGAGACATCTAAACACACCTTGTGGGAAGCTCGGTTCGAACATAATTAGCAGAATCCAGCAAGCGAGGTTCTGTTAAAGCTCGGCCAAAAAAAGTCAATTGTCGTAGACTGATAGGGCGCACCGGCCTTTCCACCCACCTGTGAGTCATAAGTCAGCAGGCGTTGGTATACAGAGAGCACAACGATTCTCACTCGTCAAGTATTATAGTTGGCCTCCATGGCGGCGGCTTCTGCACTTGTATAGAATGTAAAGCTGGACTGTGAAGCGACCGCTTATGTGGTTGGTAGCAGGTTGACACACGACCTCTGATCATCGTGTCTTGGTCATGCAATGGCTGGCCCTCCTGGCAGGTCTATCCCAATGAGAGCAGGTACTGTTGACTGCACAATGCTGCCTGATGGGTCTACACATGGCCATTCAGCAATTACCTAGCATTAGTATGATGGGAAAGTAGAAGGCAAAACATAGTTGAAGGACTAACCAGGAATCTCTTAAAAAAGTGAGGATATCTGCCAAGGCGGTCTGGAGGTGTTTAGCGTGACATGTGAACTTGCTAGGTGACTTCCCCGCAACTCTTTCACGCTATGCTGCATGTAGTAGTAGAAGTATTGATACATAATATACTTTGTCTTTTATAGAGACAGGCTGCCAAGATGCATATCATAGAAAGCTTGATATTCCAGGTTTCAGTACCCTCTCTAGATTTTAGTTTAGAATCGAAAAAGCCCAATGGTAGTACGATGTTCGTACGTACAGGGAGCTTGGGCGCGTATGGGTAAGATCTGTAAATTACCATACAGCCTTATCGCTATCAACTGCCGACACAGACCTTTGACGATGAACTCGACACAGAAAGAATTTACATAGAGTCAGACATATGCAAGAATTAAGGCCAATAACATGGCCATATTAAGACACTACCTGATAAAGCCCAATTCAACTCCCGACATGACGCAAGAATCGTACGAGATGATCATCCACAAAGAAGAAAATGACTGTACGGTACATTGTAATCAATACAGTATGGTGCTACTTGGCTAACGGCAAACAGACTAGCGCGCGAGGCCCTGCCCAGATTTACTGATTCTTTCCTGCAATCATCGTCACTCCGCCTTCCTAGACCTCACACCTCCCACCTCTTGTCGATACTTTCGTTCATCTCTTGACCAGCCACCGTGTCGCTGGAGGGAGTCTATCTTGTGAGAATTTTCTTCCTGTTGTGCACTCATTAGTGCCCCGTAATTGTGCGGAGGTAGCATTTCCTCCATGGCCAATGTAAGTGCGATTTCAGTTCTTATGATAATTTTGACTTGTCCGCCGTCCCGACATATCAACAACTCAGCCTGAATAGCTTCTACAATATTCAAAACCTTATTATCTTTTGATACCACGCGAGAGTAGTTGCTAATTTCATCCTTTCCGTTTCGTCCGATATAGCTTTCGGAGAGCGAGATGCTCTACGATGGATATGACCAATACAACAACAATGACCGCACCGATGTTATCGTCGTGTCTCGGTCAGGTTCCGAGGATGAMCCCGAGTCCGAGCCACTTGCAAATGACTGTACGGCACTCCCTTTCCAGCGCTTCCGAAGACTAAAATAATAGGCTCGGTGCTTCGATGTCGTATAGTTTGAACCTAACATTTGAATGCTCGAACAGTTCCGGCTATGATGGCACGAGTCCTTCCAAAGGACCCCGAACTAGAGACCGAAGCCGAGGCTTATAACACATGGCATATTAAGGACTGGCGGAAGTTGAAAAAGAAGGAACATGGACCTGTTTTCGAATGCGGAGGAGCTCCATGGTGCGTGCATTGTCTTGGTCATTCATTACCGGGCTGCTTGGATCGTTCCTAACACACTGTTAGGCGAATTCTCTTCTTTCCTTACGGCAACCAGGTTGATCATGCTTCATTTTACCTCGAGCAAGCTTGGGAAAAAGATCCCCCGGAGAACTGGTATGCATGTGTACAATTCTCATTGGTCTTGTGGAATGTGAATGATCCTTCCATACATATATCTCATGGTAAGCATTTCATATTCCTACCAAGTTACGTCCGCTGACAGCGCACAAGTTGCCACGCATAGATTCAATGCCGAGGAAGCCGACTGGGGCTTCACACGTTTTGCCGAACTGAGAAGGCTCTTCCACATGGGCTTTGAGGGCCGAGGAACTCCTCTGGTTCAAAATGATGAGGCTATGGTGACTGCCTATGTGCGGATCGTGAAGGATCCCACGGGAGTTTTGTGGCATAGCTTTCAAAAGTATGTGACAACGCTGCTGTATTGGCCATTTCTGAACACGTTATCTAACAAACCTTTTAAGCTACGACTCAAAGAAAGAAACCGGTATGGTCGGTCTGCGAAACCAGGGCGCAACATGCTATCTGAACTCTCTGCTTCAGTCATTGTATTTTACAAACGCATTTAGAAAGGTAAGCTTCCTACTAGATACACGTGGGACATGATTGTTGAGCTGGTATGCAGGCTGTATATCAAATCCCGACGGATGAAGAGGCGACACGAGAAAATAGCGCATGGACCTTACAACGGCTGTTCTTCAACCTTCAAACTAGTGATATTGCCGTTTCTACCACAGAACTCACGGCGTCTTTCGGCTGGGAATCTCGACAAATTTTCGAACAACAAGACGTTCAAGAGTTGTGTCGCAAACTGATGGAAAGACTCGAGGAAAAGATGAAAGGAACGCCTGCCGAGAAAGCACTACCGGATCTATTCGTCGGAAAGACAAAAACATATCTATCGTGTATTAACGTCAACTATGAGTCCTCTCGTGTAGAAGATTTCTGGGACATCCAACTCAACGTTCGAGGCAACAAGACACTGGACGACAGCTTCAAAGACTACATACAAGTCGAAACGCTTGAAGGTGAGAACAAGTATGATGCTGGCTCGCCATATGGTCTTCAGGATGCCAAGAAAGGCGTGATATTTGAGAGCTTTCCTCCGGTTTTACATCTCCATTTGAAAAGATTTGAGTACGACATCAACAGGGATGCCATGATGAAAATCAATGACCGTCACACCTTCCCCATGGACATTGATCTCAGTCCTTATCTTTCAGACGAAGCAGACAAATCCGAGTCCTGGGAGTATCAGCTTCATGGAGTTCTTGTACACAGTGGAGACTTCAATGCCGGCCATTATTATGCATTTTTGAAGCCTACGAAGGATGGCAATTTCTATCGTTTTGATGATGATAAAGTCATTCGTGCTACTGACAAGGAAGTTCTCGAGGAAAATTTCGGCGGAGAATATGATTTATCTAACGGTTCAATGGCTATGAAGCAGCAATACGCCAGAGGTTTGTCCACAAAGCGCTCGATGAATGCATACATGTTGGTCTATATTCGGAAAACACGACTGGACGATGTGTTACTTCCTATAACCAAAGAAAGTGTCCCATCACACATAGGTAGGGACTCATACAGGTCGTTTTTTCTTGTCAATTGTCGATATGCTGACAGTAGTTACAGAAACACGCTTAGTAGAAGAACGTGCTGAATTGGCCCGAAGAAGGAAGGAAAGAGAGGAAGCCCACTTATACATGAATGTCGGGGTGCTTGATGACACGACTTTCCGAGCCCATCATGGATTTGATCTGACTAGTTCTGATCTTCCAAGTGGAGATGCCGCCTTACCCAAGTCATATCGCATTCTTCGTGCAAAGAAGGTTAGCGAGTTCGCTCAGGAGCTTGCTGAGGAGAAAGGGCTGAATCCGAAACAAGTCCGCCTTTGGGTTATGGTAAACCGACAAAACAAGACAATCCGTCCTGATCAGGTAATCCAGAACACAGATATGACCATGGAGGAAGCCTGGAGCCGACTTTCCACCAAGAACAATCCTCTCAAAGTGTGGATGGAAGTTGGTGAAGCTGGGTCAGATGGCACTGTGTCGTGGCCAGAGGCTGGCTCCTCTGTCCTCATTTTCTTGAAACATTTCGACGTGCCTAGTCAGACTTTGACAGGTGTTGGATCCGTCTATGTTCGTAAGAATCAAAAAGTGGCAGATCTTGCACCAACGATTCTAGAAAAGATGGGTTGGACAGCGGGAACCGAATTTCTACTTTTTGAAGTATGTTTGGATCAATTACAATTTTGAACATAATAAGCTAATACTTTTCCCTTTCTACAAGGAAATCAAACACACAATGGTTGACCCAATGAAGCCGAAACAGACTTTCCAACAGTCTGAAATACAGGACGGAGATATCATTACCTTTCAACGAGCGTACAAAGAAGCCGAGTCAGTTTTTGCAATATGATGACACACGTGTTCGTCAGGACTAACTACATTCTAGCCTCCCTCCTACCGCACTATATACTGAGACTCGGCAGTATTACGACTATCTTTTAAATCGCATGAAAGTGAAATTCGCTCCTCTGAAGAGACAGGGAGACGAGTTCGTCCTCACACTTAGTCGAAAGATGACATACGATCAATTCGCAAAGAAAGTTGGCGAGCATCTTGGCATCGATTACAGCCATCTTCGATTTTATCCTGTGCTCGCAACCAACGCGAAACCAAAACCACCCATCAAGCGAACGAGCAACCAGACATTATATCAGATTTTAAACGGACAGTATGGAAGTTATGGATACAGTATGCATTTGCCAGATGCGCTCTACTACGAAGTTCTCGACACGAGTCTTAGTGAATACGAGACTAAGAAGACGCTGAAAGTGACTTGGCTCATTGACGGTATCAACAAAGAGGTACGTGTATTTCTTAATATATTGCAATTCTGTATAGACTGACATGTATCACGCGCAGACCGCTTATGAGCTGTTAGTACCTAGAACAGGCACTGTCAGCGACGTGTTAGCTGCTCTTCAGAAGAAAGCAGATCTCGATGATGAATTTATGCAGGCTGTCCGAATCTACGAGGCACAGAATGGCAAGCTTCACAAGGAACTCCGACATGACCTTACTATCACTGGATTGAATGAATACGTGTCGCTTTACGCGGAGAAAATCCCAGAGGAAGAGCTCAATATGCAAGGCGATGAGCGCCTCATTACGGCATTCAATTTCGACCGGGAACCCACCAAGTCGCATGGCATTCCTTTCAAATTCGTCGTCAAACCTGTAAGTGTCGTTGCTTCTATACAGACTGACGACACGTGACTAACATATTTGTAGGGCGAGATATTCAAGCAGACCAAAGAACGATTATCGAAACGAACTGGCATCAAGGGCAAACAATTTGAGAAGATCAAGTTTGCCGTTGTTCCTCACGGGATTTACCAGAATCCCAGATATCTAGAAGATGGTATGTGCACGATTCCCTTGACATGATAACTACACACTAACACAAGCTGGTAGATGACATCCTCTCAGACGTGGCCACGGAAGCTAATGATACCTTGGGGCTTGACCACGTGAACAAGAACAGAAGCTTTTGGAGAGGCGAGACATTTTCTATCAAATAAGAGAATTTGCATCGGCGTTGTGTATGTATGTACGTTGTCGGTAGAAAGTTTCTTATGGGGCATTTTGGAAAGACAGCTTTTACCAGAAGGTTATGAGCTGAAAGATCCATATACTTCCCGTCATTAAATAAGACATGTTTTATGATGCCATTCTGCTATTGCAACGGATATGTTAGGTGGCTATTTGGATGATAAGAACATAAAATGATCCAAGGCATGCAGAACCGATATTATCCCAATCCGTACACATTACATTCTTGATCATAGTAGAATACCCGTATTGCTCTAGAAAGGATGCAGGGCGTACGCTTTTTCGACCTCTGCATATGCGTCATATCCATATATCCAAGGTTGGATTTTAGGGTGCGTCCTATCCCATCAGTCAAGCTCTCCCTGTCATTCGCACCAAAATGATAGCTTACCAGGTCTTCTCGCCACTTGTTAGCTTCTCAAAAGATTTGCTAAGCAAGAAGTCTCTCTTGACTTGCTCCGGTCCATCTGCTAAATGATGTTCCTTGCCCTGCTTGAACGTCTCCTGGACGAGCTGGTCTATTCTAGGTCGTCGTATTGAGTCGTACATGGCCATCGCAGCGCCGATTTGGTCTCTTCTCTTCACTTTGGAAAGTAAGGCTCCAATTGTTGCGCCGTCTTCTAGGGAAGAGTTGGCGCCTTGAGCCATATAAGGTAGCATGGGATGAGCGCAATCGCCTCTGTCAAGTAATGGTTCATGTTAGCTTTAAAATAAGGATTGTGTGAAAGGGCTTATACTGACGCTAATAAAAATCTGCCGGACTTCGATTTCCAGAAAGGCAGCGGTTCAACTGGGGAACATTAGATGTAAGTCATATATGAGGAACCCCTTCACTTACGATAGTTCAGGCGCCATTTGTCAACCTTCTCAACATGTCCCAAGAATCGAGTCAAACTAAGCAAACCGTTATTATTACCCCAATTAAAAAAAAGCAAAGCAGTGTTGCTTACACAGGGTCCCAATTTTGAAAAATTGCTTTCATTTCAGCCAAATCTCCTTCTGCTTTCATTACATCTTCTGGCAAGTTATCTTTGACCAGAAGTACTACGTTCAACCATCGACCGCCTTTGATAGAGTAACCCACCGCGTGTACCTCAGGGCCAACCCAGATATTGATACCTGGTGAGTCGAGCCAAGCTCTCAGCTTGTCATCTTTGATGCTTTCTCGGTCTAGCAGGATCCTGTACGCCAAATCACCCGTAGGCTTCGGCCTTACTTCCTTGCCTAACAGACTTTGTCGAGTTTCTGACCAGATACCATCTGCAGCGAGCACAACGTCTCCTCTTACCTCTTCACCACCTTCTATACTTACGCTCACCTCAGCTTCTTCTTGTTCTTGCCCGCGGGCCTGTTCCTTACCCCAATCCACCCTCTCAACTTTACATCCAAGTTTTATCACAACGCCTAACTCTTCCGCTTTCTCCGCCATCGCAGCCTGTAAATCTGCACGATGCAGACACCACAGCGGCGATCCATACCGCCCTTCTATCTCCTCTATATACGCGGTACGTTCAGCAAGTAAATCACCATTATACCTGCGCATGCGGAAATATTTGGGAGCAGCAGCTTGAGGTCCTAGAGTATCAGCTAAACCCCAGGCCTTCAAAAGGCGTGTGCCGTTGGGTGTGATTTGGAGGCCGGCGCCGACCTCGCGGAAGGCTGGTACGGTTTCTAGGACTGTGACATTGTGGCCGGCGATCCGGGTTGCGATGGCTGCTGAAAGACCGCAGAGGCCGCCGCCGATGACGATGAGGTGTAAAGGCGACTCGGGAGTTGCCATGACTATTTTGATCTGGAAGTCCTACCACATAGTATGCCCATTTGAATGTAGAATTGGTAGTGTACAATTTGAATATAAAGAGTGCCGCGTCGCACGTAAATGCAATAGACTTGAATACAGCTGTTTGGGAGTTTCAAAATCTGGGTGATTGCGTGATGCTCCTGCTCAGTCCTACGGCAAAAGAGTCGCTTTCAGATAAGCCCACAAGTCGTTACGAGAACTTTCTATAATGTTTGCTCGACCAACTGTAATTGGTCGTAGTGAGACCGTGAGATTGTTAGCGACTCATGGTTTCCTCTTTGGGAAGTCCGAAGCCATATTCGATTCTGCGGGTCGATATCATCACAGGTCTCATGGAAGGGTATCGGGATGCACAACTTTCGGCGATTTCTTTCCTTCCGCTTATGCGCGATGCGCCCTTGTTTAAAAATTGTTAAGGGCCCATACCATCCATGTTATATGCATGAGGATGTCATGCGGCGCTAGGCGCTAAACCCCGGTCTCAACATATGCAAGAAATGCTGATGAAGAATGTAACATTATTGATGTCATATAACCAATTGAAGAAACTTTTGCGGCATATTTTTGAGCTTTAACGATAAGAGACTATTTAGTTGATCACTTGCAGTAGCTAGTAAACATGCACAACATTTCTGAAAAGTAGTGTGGTTCTTACATGCATAACGCCAGACGGCCTCCCGAAGCCACATCGTTGAATCCATACTCTTCTAGGTGATATTTGACTCTTTATTATTCATATCTGATAAGATGAACAATTATAAATACGTAGCCCACCCTAGGATATATCTTATCACAACCCTGTACAAACAAGGTGGATCCGACACGGCTTAGGGAGTGTTCCAGACATATGCATAATGTTTGCTTTTAATTGACTAAATGGAGAAATATTTGCGGTATAATGCATGTAAATCTTCATATAGGGTTCATTTGATAAAGTTTCGACTAATTTAGTCGCGCATCTCGATTCTATTATAGTGCGACATCCAGAAGAACTGCATGACTAAAGTAATTGTTTAGATGCAGATTGTCTAGTGGCAGATAACGACGGAAATCTTCTGCAAATCAACGCCGTATGATTTTCCCTGGGTATTACAAGATAGCATAGGAGGAAAGCTAGCTAAGGATTTTCATAGAGCTACAGGGTGTAACGAATTGTGCAATCAAGCTAAGCTCAGCTGAAGCTACCTGTGTGCAAAAGCCAAATTGATTTTAACAAAGATCATTTTTTTTCTATGAAAGTGGACTTAGCAAATATTCAAAAATTATACCTTTGAAATTGCTTCAAGTTATAGCAGATATGACCGAATCCACGCATCTCGAGGCACCGGTAGTGGTGGTTGGAGCTGGGCCAGTTGGCATGCTCTTTGCGCTCAGGCTGGCACAACTTGGAGCTTCAAGCCTTCTCGTAGAGCAAAATGAGGATACAATTCGTATGCCAAAAATGGACGTAACAAATATCAGATCCATGGAAATCTTGAGATTCATGGGTCTTGCGGATGAGTATCGTCGACTCGGACCAAAAGAGGAGCTGCCGGACTGGGTGACCCCTTTCACCACTGGGATGGGGGAAACAGGACATCATCTGTTTACTTGGGTACGTTTCAGTGATGAATCAGCTGTATATTCCAAAGTGATTAATGTAAAATTTAGCCTTTAGACGGAAACAAGACCTGGAGAAAACGAATTATGACTACGAACGATGGAACTCAGCCTGTTGAGCCACCATTGAGAAGCTCTCAGATTATTCTCGAGGCATTTCTGAAGCGGAAATGTTTGGATGAACCGCTTATTACGAGTAGATTCGGGTGGAAATTCGAGTCGCTCAGTGAGGATGACACCGGCGTGACTAGCAAATTTGTGTCGTTGGATGGTACAGAACATACAATCAAAAGTCAATATCTCGTCGGAAGCGACGGCGCACGAAGTGCTGTCCGCAAAAGCGCTGGGATTCAGACATCAGGCTATAATTTGTAAGTCAAGCTCGTGCACTTGCAAGGAAACCGTGCTAAATAGACGTTCTCAATCAGCCCTGCAAAGTTATTCATGACCTTCATCCAATCCGACGAACTTGCTGAGCGCCGCCATTTCGGACATTTCTGGCACGTTGTTACTCCAAAGGGATTCCTTGTTGATACAAATGCGGGCAATTTGTTTGCGAGCCACCATATCTTCGGTGAAAACGAGGATACAAGCAATTTAGATCCAGTGGAAGTGGCGCAAGCTAACCTCGGCGGCATTGGCGAACCCTGGAAATTCAAAATCGATAAGGTCCTGGCTCATTCGGTCTGGCAGCCGAGATTCCGCTGCGCAAATTCGCTATCAACCCCATCAGGCAAGATATTTCTTGTGGGTGATGCTGGTTAGTGGACTACATAGTTTGTCGGTAACTGAGCAAAGCTGACACTAAGACTCAAACAGCCCATGCAGTCCCTCCTCATGGAGGGCACTCTCTCAATACCGGAATATTGGGCATGTGGAATCTCTCTTGGAAACTTGCAGCCGTATTGAATGGATTTAGTGGAAGCAAATTGCTTGAATCCTACAACACTGAGATGCGGCCTATTGCTATGGAGATTATAGAGGCGGTTGGTGGCCACATTAGTCGCCAGATGTCATACTCTGATCTAGTCGCGGAGAATTTGGAAGTCATTGACAAAGAAACTCCCGAAGGTGAAGCTATTCGCGCAAAAATCGGTGCAATGATTAGAGACATTGGTAATCATGGCAAATTCTTTGGACGAGAACTTGACCAGCGGCTCAAATCCGACATTATTGTCCAAGATTCTGATAAGTCCGCCGAACCGAGATGGAATCCGCTACAGTACACGCCGTCCACATGGCCGGGAGCTCGAGCTCCCCATGTCTGGCTGAAAGATGGCCCTACCCCAATTTTTGATCATTATGGGTTGTGGTGGACTCTTATGGCATTTCAAAAGTCTGAGCAGATTAATCATGCTGTTTCAGAATCCTTCAAGAAGGCCACAGACATGGTTGGTTTGCCATTGAAGACTGTTGAGCTCATCGATGAACATCATGCGCGAAAGATCTGGGGCAAAGATTTCGTCCTCGTACGTCCAGATGGACATGTTGCGTGGCGCTCAGATGACACACCTTCAGTCCAACAGATTGTGGATATTATGGAAGTCGTTTCTGGGAGGAAATCGTCCCTAACAAATGGTCATACGAATGGCCATACCTAGCGCTTGGTTAGAATTAGACTGAATTGCGAAATGATTATATGAAATACCACAACGAGATTTGATGTCAATTATAGATTCAATCTACCCAAATTCCTTCTGGTACCTAGGTAGTCTAAACACATAACATTTGAGGTCTTGATGTTAGAAGTAAGGCAGTCCGAAGCCCTGCTTAGGTACATGACAACCAACTTAGACTAGATCTTTCTACCCGTGGACAATTCAATGTTATACCTACAAGGGTCCCAGACACTTTCAGATGTGAATGTACTGTTTGTTCTCCATTCTAGTTCAAACTTCCAAATACGGAACCTCACTGGCATTATCTAAGGATACTAGCGCTGCAATCATTGGAACTGGTCACTACCTAGTCTTCCTTGAAACCCAAACACCAGGAGATTTTCCTTGAGTATCTCTTCTTTCCGCTCAATCAACTCTTCAACATCCCAGGTAACATTGAACAGCCTTCCACTCATGAATTTAGCTTGGTCTGTCGAAAGCCAAAGGGCAGCTCCACCAATCAAGTCAAAGTCAATCAGGTTCATTGTCTTGAAATCATCAAGTAGCATATCTGTGTCTGCCAAACATGGGTCAAGAGCCATCGCCGTGACGTTTGGGTTCTCGGCAGAAACAAATCTTTGCAGATGGATGGCCGCTAATTTTGACACAGTATAAGAAGAGATATTCGGATAGATCCCGATACTGCCACTGGTTGCTAGATTAATAATAGTAGCCGATTTTTCACGTCCAACAAGTTTCAAAAACCCTTGGGTCATGAGGAAGGTTCCTTTTACGTTGACCTCCTATTCCGAAAAAGCTTCGTCAGAAGAAGATGATTCAGCGTAGGATTGATCAAAATCACTTACCCAATCTTTCCACCAATCCTTCACCTCAGCGTCAGCCAGAGATCCGTTCGAAACAAATGCTCCGGCATTATTGACTAAGATATCGACAGTGCCAAACGTATCCTTGACCTTGCGGTAGACTTCTTCCACAGCAGCAAGATCCGTTATATCTGCTTCGGCTTTCAGAACCTGTACATCAGGATTGATCCTACTGATATCTTTTTCAACATCATCTAGGGAGCTAATACTGCGAGCAACCAGAATAATAGCTTTAGCGTTTGCTCGAGCAAATGCAGTAGCAAAGGACTGTAAAGATCAGCCGCCATATTCAGTCCGTTCTTTTCCAAGTACAAGTAATGACATACCTTGCGCCCCAAACCGCGGTTGGCTCCAGTCACGATCACGACCTTTCCATTTTGCAAGAGGCTTACAGAAGTAGGATCAATTGCATTGTACTTGTGTATATGCGTGGTTTTGGTAAACGCTGTTGAGCTGACAAAAAAATCTGCTGGTAAGGAGCCCATCTTCCAAGGTCGTCCAATATCTTCTGGAGTAGTAAGTTAGATCCAGAAGATTGCTCAGTTCTAAGCATCTTCCAAAGCTAAAAGACCAGAAAGCACGCATTTGTTTTCGCAATCGCTATTATTAAGAAGATGGACCAAGATTCATCCGACGTTGCAGAGCTACACCTGAGACCCATGCATGTGAGGGTGATGCATATAGACAGCCTTGCATTGCCACTCGTCATTAAGATTTATGTGGCTTACGGATAATGCAGCCTTGAGCGCTTGTGGCAGATGATAATGAAGTGCCAAAGTATGCATATCGCGTTCCTAAATAGGAAAGTTTTCAATGTAAGACTTGGTGAGTATTGACCATGAGCGCTTGGCAAAGAATCATTTATTATTGTCTGTAGTTTGATGGGATCTCATAGTTGAAGCGATATTTTGCCCGAGATGCATCTCGTATCTAGGTGGCATTACAAGCCTTACGCACGTACACTCGCAGATCTTCACGTTTCGCAAGAAACTCCTCTCTAGGTATGCACAAGGAGTATTATGCATATCGCTGATCTGCACACTAAGTGGTAAAACAAGCTTCCTGTTCTAGATTCTACATAAATTCAATATCTCTGGGGGTGTGTTAATATCTTATAGTTGGATTAATGCGCTACGACTCTAACCCTTGCTAGTCGTTGGCCCCAAATGCCGGATACCAATATAGCACCAGCCCTAAATCCCACATACATACATGCATAATATCGGACATAATCCCTAATACAGAAATATCTAGTGCTTCAACTAGGTCAAGACATATTCTTGGTATTATCTTCAAAGAACCAATCAAATGATGCAACAAGTTCCATCATGCATATTCTTCTGAGCTTGTAAACCAATTCACTCACGACATGTATTGTACCTCCTGATATGCGGTTATCTTCAAGCTATTCTTGATTATTTAACACGATTCAGGGCCAAATAATCTTCCACAGTGAAGTTAAACTTGAAATTGCGAATTTAAACGAAAACACACGAACTGTGATTTTCTTCTACATTAGGATCAACAATGGCATCATCCGTTATTGATGTACAAGTGCCTAAGCACGAGCAACAAGAATTATACATGCTAAGTAAAAGAGACGAAGCAGAGAAAGACAGGTAGGGATCTTAAGCAACCTTATGACTGGTAACACGTACTGATATCTTATAGACTTGACCAGCAGAGCAATATTATCAGAATTGTCAGGGGTGGCCATGTTCTTGACCCGTCTATTCCCAAGGGGAATATTTCCAGGATTGCAGATATTGCTACCGGTACTGGGTACGAGTATTCTCTTCCGCATCCTTAGTACCGAGCAAAGCTAACTCTCTATTTAGAGTCTGGCTGAGAGAAGTGACAGCTGAGCTTGCCGAAGCAGGTTACAAAGCTCCAGAGACAGTAGGATTTGATATCTCTGCTGACCAGTTCCCCAAAAATCCTGCTCCAAGCAACAAATTTTTTGTCTGGGATGCAACAACCTCATTTCCCGCCGAATATCATGGAAGCTTTGACATTGTACATGTGCGACTTCTTACTGTCGCTGTAACAATCGAACAAATCAAAACTATAGCAAAGAACCTCGTTGAGATCCTAAGTGAGAATCATCTTTCCTCTGAGTCCTGAGCAGCTACTCATAAACATCTTTACAGAGCCCGGTGGCTATCTCCAGTGGACTGATTGGACATACACCAACGGCTGGGAGATAATCTATCCCTCCGGGGAAGGTGAATTATCCTTGGCACGTGAGGGTGAAATGATGTACAAGTTTCATGGAGAGTCTGGATTTTCCTACGATACCACGGGAAATGTAGCAGAAGCTCTTCAGAGCTTGCCCATGGAGAAGGTGCAGGTAACCGATCACACGGGTGCGTCACACAAAAGGCCTGAGATCAGAGACCTAGTGGCGGAATGGCACTCTCGAGTAATACCCCTCTTCATGGAGATGATGTCGTTTCGACAGGGACAGAGCAAAGAAGAAGCGGCAAAGACAGCGGAGGATTACCGGAAGAAAGCCATAGAAATGGGTAAGAGGGGCGTTATATTTGAGGTGCCGATTACTACACTCGTTGCTCAAAAGACGAGTGATATCTAGACGTTCATATACATAGCCTTTGCAAATACAAGCTTTTTGCGCATTAAAGTTGAAATGATGATGTGACTTAGACACAAAATGTCCTCTGTGTTTTCTCTAAAATGTTAGGAGCATCTGTACCAAGTGCACAATTGATCTAGTCTTAGACCCGCTGTTAAACTAAATGAATCTGGAAACAAAAAAAAAAAAACATTTTTATGTCTAGTTATCCGGTATGTATTCTTCTAGGCACCATTTCACCGCTTCTGCAATAACTTCCGGTTGGGTCAATTCAATTCTATGACCACTTTGTTCGGCAATCAGAACCTTTGACTTGGTCGAGTATACCAATTGTTCTCTTTGAAGAGCCTCTTCCTTTTCGCTCCACGTCTCAATCAATTCTCTCATTCTCTTCCGCTGCTCTTCCGTCCCATTTCCCTTCTCAACACCTGCATCATACAATCCTTGATAGTCTCGGCCCGATCTTCCAATGACGACACAAAGGGGTCGATTTCCAAGTAGTGGCGGATTCATCTTCATTATATTCTTTTCAGCAAGCTTTGGAAGACTTGGCGGGTACTCTATTCTCTCCCTATCCGCGGCCTTTATGTGATGCGGCTTAACCAATTCACCCATCAACAAGGAGAATTCCTCGGTCGTTAACTTGTGCTCTTTACGTATTCCAAGAGCGGTGTAGTAGTCGATATCTTTTGATAGAGCTTCAATATTTGAATCTCTCCAATCAGTGACTTCCAGTGTACGCTCCTGGTTTGTGTCCACAAGGACCAAACCGGCCACACGCGAAATGCCAACCCGCAAAATGTATTCGGGTGCAGTAATACCGCCCCACGAGTGTCCGACAAGAATCAAGGGCTGTTTAATTCCAGCATTCTGGACTAGAAGATCCAGTTCTAAAGCAATATTCTCCGCAGAAGGTGGAAGAGGGGTTGGTTCGGATGAACCATAACCAGATCTGTCATAAGAGTAGATATGAACGTAGGGAGACAGAAGACGAATGACTGCAGCCCATCCTAGATTGCTACAGGCCAGCCCTGACATTAAAAGCACGGCTGGCTTCTTGACATCTGGGGTGGGAGATGGTCCGATCGAGTAGAGACAAAGGGAATGAGTCCCAATGTTTACCATTCTCGACTCCATCGTGCTGTAACTTCCCATATCGACTGTGGAATTTTGTTCCTCGAATTTAGGAGCAACTGGCTTTGTCGGGTTAAATTTTTTCTTCAGGTACGAAATCATCGTATGAGGGCCTGCACAAAACACTCAGAAAGTGTGTATAATGAACCTTCAATCTCAGGCGGGGAGATAAGAAGCCGAGTATCAACACTTCTGAATTCAGGGACCATACAGTGGCCTCCTTCATGCAGAAAAAAAACCTCGGGTAGTAGCCGTCAATTTACTTTCATGCATATGTATCGAAATCCGTCGCAGCTATTACGCCAGTTACCACCACTTTCCTGGTAGAGAAAGAAAGTACACGCCCGAATTTAGAGTTGACATTATGTTATTCCAGACATTTTAGGTTCAGATAAGCCAAAAGGAGAAATGTTTGCGGGAGAGAATATGTACGCTTAGCTGGCTAGATGGAGAAATAATTCCGGTACACGAGTACATGTGGCCAACTATCAGACCCCTGTTCACGGTCTAAGTTTCCCCCGAAAATGAAAATTCTAACACTACCTTGATTGACTGATAAGTGTTTTATTCTCATTTCAAATATTGATTCGAGCTAATGCAAGTGTTTTCATTCGGTGGCTTTTTTAGTTTCATCATTGAACAACTCGATACTGACTAGTTTCTGACTTCCTCAGTATCCTTACTAGCACATAAACCAGGCAGGTCAGTTAACTATGTCAAGGCATCTGCGGGCTTGCCTATATGTAGATCCTTTAATTGGTTCCCGGGTTGACGTGCTAGTATTCCAGATACTAGTTACATGGGGCTTTAAGCTTAAAGATAGATACGGCTACGTACTACCTATATCGATACATACTATATGTCCAGAACGTCATTATTGAGAAAGATTATGAATGACTAATGCTCAATAGTATACCTACCTAGGTGGGAATGGTTGATTTTTAAGGTTCCATTCTAGCCCTAAGTCTAGTAAAGATTTAAAGGGGTTCGTAGTGGGTAGCTCATGGTTGTTTACGGCCATCACACAATATAATTGTGTGGATCAGAAGATAAATGCTAGAGATAAGTCGATAGTGATAGTTCTGTTTTAATGGCAAGGAATATGATTGAATTTCTTGAAGGGTGAAATTCCCTGAGATGCGTGATTTACCATTTCTGAAAGTAATTCTGGCGCTAAATGGTGAAGAAGGCGATCCTGTAATGTGTAATCTGGTTGAAAAGAGGCTATGTGCCAGGGTATTATGCTTGAGAGGACTTAGCTCGTCCCTTCACTTAGGAAGGCCTCCGACGCAGTTAGATAAAATATCGCACTAAGGCATATTGTTGGTCCGGTGAGGTATTTGATTGGATATTTCCCGAAGTTGTTATCAATTTCTTCATTCTACTCCCCTTCGACAAGTCAATATGAGACTCCTTATCGAAATGATCCCTCATGAGTCTGGAGCATGCGTAAGCCTAAACTATTCCGCCCGGATATTCAAGGCTATTTCAAGGCTATTCACAAACACCTCGCGTTTGTGAAGAGTCTCGGATGTTATATGAGCCGGTAAACTGAAAATTAGATATAACTTACAAGCACTGGCTTCTCTTAGCAACATACATTTCTCCTTCGAGTAACTTCAACACACTCTGAACATTCAGCACTCTTCAACATGTCTCCATCCGCATCGTTTCCTCCTGAATCCACCGTGGAACAGACTTCAACTCTCTCAGAAGTCCGAATCCCCCCTGAGAAAAAAGCACATCTTCGCACCATATCTTTATACGAACTCCAGGTTGGCTCTGCCTCAGAACAGAAGCTTCTACTCCAAACCTGTATTCAAGATGGGTTCTTCTATCTAGATCTCACACATCCAAACACCTCCTCACTTCTATCTTATGTTGATGCTACCTTCAAACTCTCGAAAGAATTGTTCAATTACTCCCCTGAAATAAAGTCATTGTTCGACGTGGATAAAATCTCTGGTCTAAAACTCAACGGCTATAAACCCAAAGGTAGAAACGTTGTCGGCAATGGCAAGGATGGTAAGAATGATGGATTCGAAAGCTGGGTGGTAAGACAAATTCATTTGCAACAATACTAATGACTTTGCATATAACACATACTGATATTGCTTAGATTCCTCGTAACGGAGTCCTCCATCTGTCAAACGAGGCATTTCCTCATCCTCCATTGGTTGCGGATCATCTCTCAACCCTTTATGGCCTGTTTGATGGCCTTGGTTCTGCATCTCATACTATACTTAGCTCTCTCTCTGACTCGCTTCTGATGCCTGCTGGTCAACGCTTTGAGGACTTTCAAGGGTTAAATCGCCCATCACCCGACATTCTGCGCCTATTGAAATACCACCCCAACTCGAACACCGATGTGATCCCTCAGACACCTCACACCGACCTCGGCAGCCTGACTTTCGTGTTTTCAACGACCCCTGGTCTTCAGGTTCTCCCACCTGGTGTGATGCAGAAGCCAGGTGCATATAGCGAGTCTGACTGGCTCTATGTTGAGCCGAAACCTGGCCATGCCATTGTAAATATTGGTGACTGCATCACTATGATGACCAATGGTTTACTAAGAAGTGCTCTTCATCGGGTCGGTCCTGTTACTGGTTGCGCAATGCCTGAACGCTACAGTATGGCATACCTCATGCGGCCTGAGGATCAAACACTGCTGCGACCTCTAGATAGCCCCCTCATTCCCCGATCTGCGTCAACTGAAGAAACTGCTGTTACTAGCGGGGCATGGATAAGCAAGAAATTCAAGGCCCTTCGTGGTACAAAAGATGCGGGTAATTTTGATCAGATTCTTACTGGCGGGCGAGGTATTTTGGTTTAGGAAACATATTCTATATAGGGCTAATTTTGTGTATATTTGACTAATTTTCTTTTGTTCTTGTTTTTTTCTTGAATCTTGAACAGCGAATTTGAATACGTAATGTACCTCTCTCGACACAATATAAATCGCAATTTACAACTGACTGCATGATAGAAGTGTGCCTAAAGATGATTATTGTTATTACCAACATAGGATTCCAGATAGTAACAAACATTCCTCAATGCTATTTCAAGTACATCACGAAGAGTTATAACAGGCACACTATTGCATGTATCGGCTGCAACACAGTTCTTTAAGTGCCGAAAAGCACAACCGGAAAGGCGCATTATTTACTATACCTCACTGTTGGTGCTGTGAGATTTGGGCGTTGCCCAAGCAATTTTCTACATTTATTCGAGGACAGCCCTGAATAATTCAACCTGAATTTGCCTTCCATGCTCAAAAAAGATTAAGAAAGAGTTAAGAAGCATTTTCCATTAATCGTATCAAAAATTTCACCACACGCGATCCAGTCTAAATTCAAACAAAACTATCAATCACAGTAACAAAGCTCAAACCAAAACTTCTACCGCATGTTCTTGCACTGCAAGTTTTGCTTCGTAAGGCTGCCCAGAAATCATGGTAACAATCGACTCCCCGACTGGGGAGGATGTAGCGGAGGCCTCTTGTCTCTGACGAACAGCAGCGGCAAGACGTTCAAGAATAGACTCCGTTTCAAGCCATCCTACACAGCCATCTGTTATACTGACACCGTATTTCAGGCATTCTTTAGATCCTTTTTCGGGGACATCTTGACGGCCTACACCACAAATATGCAATTAGCCAGTCGATCATGATGGAGATCAATCTACGTGAACATACCTTCATTGATGTTACTTTCTATCATAACCCCCATAATAGGGGCACCAACAGCAATCTGATCGGCCAAGCAAGCAGCAACAGCCCCTTGATTACGATAATCTTTCGATGAGTTACCATGACTGCAGTCAACCACGATAGCGGGCTTTTTCCCAGCACGGAGTAGTTCAGCCTCAGCAGCTTTGATGTGCTCAGGGCTAAAGTTGGGGCCCTGGCTGCCTCCTCGGAGTATGGCAAATGTATCAGGATTTCCCCGGCTCATATGAAATGCCAGGGATGCATCTTCATCGATACTCACTACGGTGTGAGATCGAGATGCTGCTTTCATGGCATCAATAGCGACCTTGAGCCCCCCGTCAGTGCCATTCTTAATGCCCATTGGCATGGGCATGTCACTAGCCATCTCGCGGTGAGTCTGACTCTCTGTAGTACGAGCGCCAATAACACCGAGGGATACAACATCATCAAGGAAATACACAAGAAGTGGATTTAAAAGCTCCGTGGCAACAGGAAGACCTTTCTGTGCGACTTCAAGCATAACCTTGCGTGCTGTAAACACACCCTTACAGAGGTCGGGGGTGCTGCTTTGTGGATTTCCAACATCCTGAGCATGATCAGGATCATGGATCAGCCCTTTCCAGCCAACAGTCGACCTTGGCTTCTCTATGTAAACACGCATGACTATGACGAGCTCACGTTGGAACCGCTCGGCCGCCTTGCTAAGTAGGGAGGCATACTCGAGAGCGGCATTGGTATCATGAATGCTGCACGGTCCGACAATTACCATCAAGCGGTCATCGGACGTTTGATAGGACATAAGACCGCGAATGGCATCACGGCTCGTTTCTATCTTTCTCTTTGTTGCTTCATCCTGCTTGATATTAGCATGATCCCACATCAAAGTTGATCTAAGATGGACTAACCAAAGGTAAAGCCAGTTTTACAATCGCTGGTTTAGGAAGACGCGTAGTGAAGCGCTTCACAGGCTCGTAGATTGTTGATGGCATGATTAATGGCGTTGTTGAAAGCCTTGATATGTATTGGTACAAGTAAATTTGACAGATAGAGAGGTTCTAAAGAATAATTCAGAAGTATCTAAGTATGGGAAGTGACAGCTCAAAATGACATTTGATGTCAATGGATATAAATACACATATCAGTATAGAGCAACTCTTTTGGGGATAACTTGACAATTGGCCCTGCAAAATCTTCCGCGACATCGCTTATCGTCCAGCTCCTGCACGTGTCGGGCCCTGATGTTCGCAAGTATCTGATCATCGATGAGGGTGTCGTATTCTAGGGTGCCTATTTCCAAGCTGAGTATCCTACCATCGCTGAAGGGTGTTGGTATAACAGCGATGGCAAGTATGTGAAACAATATCTAATCTTAGTGTATGCTTGAAAGACAGATACCAGAAACCCACTAGCACCGATAGTCAGAAATATTTCGTTATACATTAGTGAAGAATAGTATGAATCAAGACCCTCTATAACACATGTACCTCATGCGCAAGTTGATCTACAAACTGCACTACATAGACCCTTAGATAACGCCTTAATGTATATCACGGAGATATAGCTACTTTGGTATTAGATCAAAACTCAAAAAAGTGGAAGCCAAAGATCCAGACTTGCTTAGCCAACACAGCAACTCATTTTTCATTCGGACGTGATTCATCAATGCCCGACATAACCAAGCCCCTTTGCTAAAGTTGGGGGCGAGAGCATGGGTGACGAATATCTGCAGTAGCCCGGAATGCCACTTTGCATTTGCCGTTCAGGGATTTCTGGTGTTTGACCCAGGCCAGTCTAGGGCGTCGAAACATAACATAACGAAAGAACAGGGGACTCGAAGTAGGGGTGGCAAGTACCATTATAGGAAAGTACACCCGAAGAAAATCCATGAATCTTGGCCTCCTGCTGGAAGGACTTTACTAGCACCGTGATGGTACACAAGGATATATATCCGAATGGTATATTTCCGAAAATAGTGTCTGACGCATGGAAGGCACGTTATGGAGGGATCAGGGATAGACCATCTTACAAAGCCTTACCGCGAGTGCGTATGCATAAAACGAGGTGACAGGAAGGTGGGTTCTTCATGCAGATCTATATGCAGCACGGACCGCACCCATCCAATGCGAACGGCCGGGGGGAACCCTAAAAGCTATTAAAATGGGTCCGTAATTCCGGATCACGCTGATTGGCTATTAATCACAGATCTACTTATCTGTCCTCCTTAGGATCAACCAGGAGGTATGTAAAGGGATTTCTTGGGTATAAATATGTATGACACCATAATACTACCGTACGTACATATATATTAATTACATATAGCTACTCATTATCGCGACTCGTGGGTGGCGGATGGGTACACCCGAAGCGATGGCAACTTAGTACGTCGCAAAAGCTTCCTCATCGGTTCCCTAGGTGAGTTAGAAGATCGCCGTCTGACTTACTCTGTAGCCTCAAGAACTAGGCAGTATAGACTACGCCCTATGATTGAGCCTGGATGGAGACCGAGGAATTCATTGCCATATCAAGTCCAATCATAGCTTGGCATAGTTTGATGTTCTGTACTGCGTAAGCAGGTATCTAGGTTTGATGGACTGACTCGAGTTCAAGAGCTCGAAATTACGATGGTAGCAGTCTATTGAACTTGGGGCTGACTAGGTGCCTGAAGAAAAAGAAAAACTGTTCTTGAGCTTACTCATCAGCTTACTATTTGAGTACGTCCTAGCTAAAAAGGAAATAAGCCCATCGTCTGTGGTGTATTAATTACTTGATTATATTTTAGCAATATCTAATTACATAGTAAAAGATCTATATCCATAAATTCGACAGAAACTCCTTCGCTTCAATTGCGATCTTTGGATTCACTGCGATGCCATAATCTATATCTAATAAAATTCGCAACATCCACTGCAGTAGCTCGAATAAATTCCAGTGACCAAGTCTGTCCATCTTTGTATGATTGTCGTTGATCTCAAAGATAGCTCCCTGATGACTATATAGTTGGAAGCCGGCTTTCCTTCTCGGCTTCCCGAACAGATAAGGTGCGGCAGACAGAATGGCCTCGCAAAAAGTCTGGGCTTTTTCTCTGACGACCCCTGGTTTGTGCGATGGCAATAGCTGCGCGACACCAAGAAGTAAGACATTGACGCAACGCCACTGGTTGTATACGAAGGCAATCTCACGGCTATAATATACCTCTATGAGGTCTCTATGCCTGGAAAAGGTCTCGAGGCCTGGGTTCGGTTGCAGCGATGGATACCAGTCTGCTGGGATGTTCTGAACCCATACCATAAGTTGAGATTCCAGATCTTGGCTCATCAGATGTAATCGATCCAGGACCCGTGTGGAATTTCTGTGCTCGCCTCGAAGACATGCTGACACTTGCTTCCTCAGATTGAGCACCCGAGCTATGATTTGATCGAGAGCCATGGTATAATTTGTCCGTATACTAGTCTCTGCTCGATTAAAGACTCCCATGTTTATATTGTCCTGATTTGTCCACAAAGCCTTTTGAAGGACACTATACCTTGTCGCATCTAATAAACTTTGCGATACATAATCCCGAAAGCTTTCGGGACCACGCTCGGATATGAGTGCCATAGCAGCAATATGATGTTCAACTGAAGAAGGCACAAGTGTTCGAGCATATTCGATACGCTCTCCGAGATCAAGTAGAATGAGTGCAAGGAGCGTTTCATTCTTTCGGCGTTGAACTGGGTCGCATAGTGCTACACGCATAGCTTTTGATGCTTCTACGCGAGACCGAAGATGCCAAGGCGAATCGTCTGGCATGCGATGATATAACAATAATAATTCTCCAGCGACTTGAGAAAGTACGGGCAAAAGCGGGGAAGCTGAATCGGCATTCTGATAAAACATGGCCATCGTATCGAGGTGCGTTTGATTTATGGGTATATTGCGGTTAAACATGGCAAAAGTTTCTAGGAAGAAATGTAGTCGGTTGTACTCGGGGGCTTCAACGAGCTTTGCTGCATTCAAAGAAGCTAGGTGTACCGTGGAGTCATCGTGAGATTGGGATGCTGATCTTGAGACAGTCTCTACCGTTGATCCGGTTTTTGAGCTGGTCCGTCGCGCGTGTCTCTGCTTCCCATTTCTGATCACTTTTGCCGACTCGTCCTTGAAGAGAAACCCTCCTTGATTTTGGTACCCCGGGCAGGGTATCGCTTGAGAGACACACTTTGTGCATTCCGGCCGAGCTTGATCGCATTTCAAATGCTTGTCCCGGCACCGGTCACAACCACGACTGAACCCTGTATGTACCATCCCGGTTAGAAGGAACGTTAGATCGTCATATGGCAGGAATAAACACAGCGATTTGAAGATTATATGGATTACTCCTTGCTCAGTGATTTCAAAACCTGGGCACTACATGATCACCAGTTTTAGTTTATAGCCCCAATATTCAATCATGGGCAGTGCTACTTTATTGTTGTCGCAGTCGGTTCTAACATATTCTCAGCCGTCTCTCAATCATAGGCAACAGAGCGCGTATCCAAATGGCCAAGTCACCGTAGTTTATCATCTTCGTATTGAGGTTAAAACTGGCCAATCATGCCTCCAATCTAAATTAGTCAAAGCCACTACGTTTCAAAGGCCAAGACTAGATTAATACTTAGTAACTAAAAATGACCGATGATTTAAATGAAAAATCATCAGCCAATCACATTGACGAGCTTCGAAATAGGCGATAGCTAGCATATGCTGGTCGCAAATGGGATCGGGCTATATATACGCATTGGTCAATTACTCGGTTATACAGTGTTACTATTCATCCTTCGTTAGTGCTTACTCGCCTACCTAGTAGAATGATCTTCACATGCGGTCTTCCGAGGTCGACGACATATTCGCCTGCTGAAGAATATCACACCATCGCTAATATGTACACATACGTAATAATTTGTCGTTAGTTCTCTTTCAGCTCCTTGGTCTACCTAACAGCATAATTCACACCACCTACGTGCATATTGTCTATAAGGGCCAATCAACAAGGCTGAGATCAGATTATCGCGTTGATTTAGGTTAATGTGGGCCGGGTAAAGACCCTCTTATCACGGCCCGTTGCAGGGATGTGCATAGTGGCGCCGCTGCCTCGGACCGAATGTCGCCGAATTAGATTTGTCTGGCTGAAAGAGACCCTGTTCATCTCAACTCTCTTCTGATTTAACATATATATCTAATTTCTGACATGCATTCAGGGGCTGAATTTGTCAGCCTCTCCAAATCTCTGCCTTTGATTAAATCGGCACATCCACCCGGCAGCTCCCACCGGCACCCTCCCACACGGCATGCTTCCACACGGCATGCTTCCACTGGGAAATCCTCCCGCCCGGGCGGCTGGCCTCCCACACGGGCCTTGCCCACACGGCTTTTTAAGCTCTCCCACACGGCTCTCCCACACGGCACCCTTACACTCGACTCTCTCCAACTGGCTTTGTGTCATTTAGTGTCCTCTCCTACTGGTTTCCGTTCGAAGCTTCGAATCTTTTGTCAGCCCGTGCTCATTTGTCAGCTAGCCTCCAATAGCATACGTCGATCAGTATGATTTTTTGTTCGTCATGTTGTTGTTTACGAGATCACTCTATGTACTCAAACCCAGCCTTTTCCTCCAATACATGGTATTTGAATAGCCTTTAAAAGTCAGGAAATCATAGATCAGAGCCAGATCTTGCTTGTCTCTCGAGCCCTACACCTCAAACTCTATTTCCGCGTAAAGCTTCAGCTAAACACGACATGGCATCCGCACCAGACGCTGCGACTGCGCAGCACCCTCTTTCTGACGATTCGAATGCAAGCTCGTACCAAAACAAGACTTCAAATGAGGCATCCGAGAAAGGCGAGGAGCAAACAACTCCCGAATCCTCCAACCTTCAACCAGAGACCAGAGCGGTTACAGGATGGAGATGGGTTTTAGTTTGTTTCGGTCTCTACTGCGCCATCTTCCTGTACGGTCTCGATAACACGATCGCTGCGGATATCCAAAGTGCCGTTTTGGACACCTATGGAGAGGTCGGGCAGTTGGCTTGGATAGGAACTGGTTTCCCTTTGGGGTCTGTTGCTACGATCCTGCTTTTGTAAGTTTATCAATCACTCGAGAAATGATTCAAGCTAAACTGCCCTTTGCAGTGGAAAGGCATACGGAATGTTTGATGTTAAATGGGTTCATCTTGGAAGTATCCTCGTGTTCTGTGTCGGTAGCGCTGTCTGTGGTGCCGCCCCCAACATGAATGCCCTTATCGTAGGTCGAGTCATTGCTGGTGTCGGCGGTGCGGGATTGTATCTCGGCATGTTGAACCTAATTGCCATCAACACCTTGGAAAACGAGCGACCTGCGTACATGGGCGGTACCGGTGTGATCTGGGGAGCTGGAACAATATTGGGACCTGTTATTGGAGGTGCATTTGCTGATTCGAGCGCTACATGGAGATGGGTAGGCCACTATCAATCTGGAAACATTTGTAGCAAATGCTAATAACAGAATACAGGCTTTCTACATCAACCTTGTCATCTTCGGAGCTTTGTCGCCAGGTCTTCTTTCCATCCCAAGCTTTAATCCCCAACCGACGGTTCCATTCCTCACAAAATTGAAGGAGCTTGACTGGGTTGGAGCAACTCTCATTGCAGGACTATACTCTTCATTCGTTATTGCTCTTACATTTGGAGGTGTCTCATGGGAATGGAGCGACGGCCGGACAATCGCAACTTTGGTCGTTTGCGGCGTCATTCTGCTCATCTTCATTGCCCAGCAGTACTTCGCAATTCTCACTACTCCCGAGCGCCGGCTGTTTCCTATCCAATTTATTGCTTCTCGTACCATGGTCATATTACACATGTGCACCGCATGTGGATCAACCGCCATGTTCGTCGTTATCTACTACATCCCTCTCATGTTCCAATTCTCTCACGGCGACAATGGTATTGAATCTGCTGTGCGATTGCTACCTTTCATTATAGTTCTCAGTGTTTTCATCATGGGCTCCGGTCAACTCTTGGGATATCTCGGATACTACTTCCTTCTCTATCTCATCGGCGGAGCATTCCTACTCATCGGTGCCTCGCTCATGTTTACCGTTAAAGCTGGAACTACGATTGGTGCCATATATGGCTTCGAGGTCCTAATTGCCATTGGTGCTGGCTTGATCGCTCAAATCGGCTACAGTGTGGCCCCCTCCAAGGTTCCGCCACAGGAAATGGCAGCGGCAATTGGATATATCAACGTCGCTCAAATCGGAGGTTTGGTTATTGCCCTTGCCATCTCCGGCACTGTGTTCCAGAATATCACCATCCACCATTTGACCAGTCTCCTTACTCCATTGGGATTCTCTCTGGATCAGATCAAAGGTGCTGTTGCAGGTTCTCAGAGTACTTTGTTCAACAGTCTGTCAGCCGATGTTCGGGACCAAGCGATTGGACTCATTGTTGACTCTATCAGTCACATTTATGCTTTGGTCATCGCTGCAGGAGCATTGTGTCTGGTTCTAGGAGCTCTTTTGAAGAGAGAAAAGCTGTTTGGAGCGGCAGCTGTTGCTGCTGCTTAAGCTATCGCTTGCTTCGAACATCATATAGAGGCTTTCGAAGACAAAATTTCTAGGCAGAATGTCGCTTTTCTTTGAAGTCAAATCATGTAATACAATGCTGGACCATCGTGGAGGGCACATGCATTTTCATGGCCAGTCGCCCCTTTAAAAACTATGTATCTATTTAATTAGAATGCCAATTTTCCTCGTATCACCTGTGATCTAACAAGTTCAGCCCCAGATAAACTTAGAAGGCTTGTGGCTGCGAATCCGATCTTTTATGATACTCTATCCGAAAGTCTATTCTCCATCCTCGGAAAGTCCTGATGCTTATAATGTGGAGCGATCAAATAATCGAACAATGCGAATCACTCCTGACTTACTTATCAGCATCTCTTCACGACTAACAAGCTACGATTATCAAATCTTGAATGATAAGCGGGTTCATTCTATCCAGATTTTGCTTGAATTAGTCTATCTTCTGAGTTGAACTTGGATGGGTCGATCGATTCATGGAATTAATCTTTGAAACGAACATATCAAACGTGGAAACGGCTGCGGAAAATAGAGCAGTTTCGAATCCTATATCAAAGTAGAAACTATGCCAATGCCTCCATAGCTGACGCAGAGCAAACTTTCTCGTTATCGCTCAAGCAGGAGGAAGGAAGTTGAGACATCGAATAAAGGTCAACGCAGCGGCATAGAATGAAATGAGGACACGAAGATCTTGTGCTTCGCATGATCCTCGACGAAGATTCATTGGATCTTCTCTCTCTTACAGCCCAATGCTTCTCCTACGTATTAATGAGTCTGTGGTACGCGCTTCGAGCTGGAATAGTTGCCATTGCCAGCCCCATGTTTCTGGTTCAAATATAGGATTTACGAGTAGAACATCTTGAGCTAAAGCCCTTTCGTTGTTATGGTCACTTGGTATTATATGACCTCCCAAGGAAAACTATTCTGTTGACAGCATATCTGAGACCCATTGCTCATGTGAACTTCTCATTTTCTCTTCAACCCACAACGGTCCCGACGATGTTGATGATGTTCACGGCATATACTCCAGCTCTATGATGAAACAAACTGAGTGATTGTTGTACACCTATTCTTCTCCAAGCTGCTTCTCGTTTCGACAAATGCTGCGATATTTATCTAGACATATCTCGAAGGGATAGCTGCTTGCCTGGGAACTAGAGAGACTTCAGAAGCTGTATGAAAGTACAACTCGAACCTGATGTTGGATGAGCACATCCATTTTCAAAGAGCAACGCTGTACTGTTTCGCCCATATCTCACGATCAACCAAAGACCTTCGAGATGCTCGATTCCACATGTGCAAATTCATTTAATCCCGAAAGTAATAGTACACTTGCACCTACCAAGGCATCAGTCTTCAAAGTCTTCTATAAGCCTTCATGATTGTGGTTATATCCTAACGATCTTATGCGAGCGATCCATCGAGTTCTATTCTAGAGAGTTCGAATCTGCTGAATACCGGTGGCCTTGATCATCCTCGAAGTCTACTTACTATACTACATGTACCTCGGCATTTTGTCTTCTACGGTAAGTATATTACACTCCAAGTAACCTGAAAAATTCGTCAGAACAGAATACGCAATAGTGTCCTGGCCATATTCCCATCCAATTACTTCTTCAGATTGACAGTCGCCCTCTGGTCAGGAAAGCATATTAGACAGCTTTGGGGAAGGATTTATGAGTCAAGCAAGAGATTGGCTAAATTTTCAATTTAATAACTAGTAGTATGAAACTACTGGATATTAAAAAATTGAATGCAATGTGAAAGTTGACACTCGAAGTGACCGCTTTCAGGTATGGTAGTTGCGGCCTCAGGCATAAATGCAAACACAACAAACATCAAACCCGCTAGCTGTCCAGTTCCGCCATTTCAGGAGAAAGCCAAACAACAAATTAATCTAACCGATCTGTTTGCATCGCGCAACTCTCCCTTGCGACACATATCCAGACAACACATATACGATGCGCACTACGAGCATTGTGGCGGGCCTGTTGGCCACGCTAGTTCCAGCCGTTTCAGCGACCGCGTTGACGTACAAACTCGATGCTCATGAAAAAGCGTGCTTTCATGCCGATGTGACGCAGAAGGATGTCAAGGTGGCTTTCTACTTTGCTGTATGTCGAATTTGGATCCGGAATCTTAATTGAAGCCATGTCTCTATTATAGAAGAATGGCGCTGACCATAATGACAATCGCACAGGTGCAATCCGGCGGCTCCTTCGATATCGATTACCAGGTCACGGGACCCCTTGACAAGGTGATTCTGGATGGAACAAAAGAACGACAGGGCGACTTTGTATTTACTGCGCAGAGCATCGGCGAATATAGCTTCTGCTTCAGCAACGAAATGTCGACATTCGCCGAAAAGCTAGTAGACTTCGAGATTGCGGTACATCCCCTCTCCACCGATCAGTCATTATCAATGAAAGAATTGCACGGCTAATTGAGTCGCAAAACAGGTCGAAAACGAGCAAAAAGCCGAACTCCCATCCCGGCAAGGCGCAAGCCCCGAACAAGCCACCGCCGTCGAAGAATCCATCACAAAGGTGTCGCACCTCTTGTCCACCATCTCGCGAAACCAGAAATACTTCCGTACGCGCGAGAACCGCAATTTCAGCACTGTGCGCAGTACCGAGAGACGGATTTTCAATTTCAGTGTTATTGAGAGTTTGATGATGATTTCGATGGCTGGTTTGCAGGTGTTTATTGTGCGGTTCTTTTTCCAGGGGGCTAGGAAAGGTGAGTCCCTCTACCTCGCTTTGGTATGGTTGAATGCTAATATGAATTATTCCAGGCTATGTATGATCATGAGATTGGGATATGTGTTATATGCTTGGCATCAATCAATGGGATATATTCTCGGTTTCAATGAACTTCCTGGCGTGTATTATGTGACATTTGCTTGATTGTGGGGAGCGTCTTTTTTATATGCAATACGGAAAAGGATGGTTATAAACGAAATGAATATATGGATACAGTATTTTGAGTTGAAACTGATCACGGAGACCTTATTTTGATCCTAAGACTGATGTTACGAAATCTGTTCTATGTTCTACGTATCGGAAGGTCCGTGACATACTTCCGCGTAGTTAAGTACGGAGCCACTGTGGTAGCAGTTCTGTTCACATTCTGTGTGACGATAGTGGGCTTCATCGGGCGCAGTGCGGGTGACAATGGCAATTCTAGCCTTGTTCGGATCGATGATGTTGGTTGGAAAGAAGGCATGAATCGGGTCAGGGTTTCGGTGTGCCGAGAGACGATCAGACAGTGACCGGCGCGATGATTATTCATCTTCACCAGCGATTGCCCATTGTAAGATCCTTCGAATTGTCTTACCATTGCCCGAGACGGCTCGTGCAGTGTAGGGCGTTGGTGTCTGAGACTACAGGCCGTAATGGACTGAGGATGTTTCAGTGTTCGAGCCAGCCAACCCGATCCGAATCCGACCATCTTACCAATTATGCGGCGAGACCAGACTTCCGGGCAGCTCAACGGAGTGAGCCTGATCCCTAGATAGTGTCATGGATATCGCGTGTGTGACTTACGGACAAACTGAAATCTTAGGGGGCTAACCGTGATTAATTGATGCAGTAGTCCAAGCCGAGTCGATGATGAAGAGAAAAAAACGACAAAAAGACGACGAACCCAGCGTATGCCTACTTGTTGGATAGTAGAGGGGGTTCGACCAGACAGTCATAGCTTGAAGACGCGTTGTTGCCCTTGCGGCTTCGGAGCGCGCCAACGTAGCTTGCTATCGACCATTACGCCATCCTGGGTCTAGGCTATGGACCATCATAACGCACCGGTTCATATGTTATCGTCGTTTTCCGTGATCCCATTAAACATGTCGAATGTGTAGGTAGGTGGATTTCTAGTGATGTTATGGAGAATACGACAGCACCGTTCAATTTGGCCGTAGACGTTGTCTCAAAAGCGGTTTGTAGTATTCAGTTAATCGATATTGATCAATATCGGTATTGAGTCTGGGAGCCGTTGTAACATGTCTTTCCTCTTTACCTAGGTAGGTGCACATTGATGCCCTGAGAATCGGAAAGCCTCAATGCCGGCAGAAGCTGTTGCTCCGTATATATCTGTCGGGCCGGTCAAGTGACCTCGGGAAAAACACTACTAGGGTAGAGTATCAACCCTAGTGTCAGTCGGGTCAATCACGAGACTTGAAGCAAAACCTGTCAAGCATATTAGCAGTCTTTCTGACAATTGAGCTTACAACATAAACATAAAAGCGCCGTCTGTCCAAAAGCCGTCCAATGGCTTGCTGCCGATTCGGTGCACCGCTTCACAGAAATGCTGAGATTCATTCTACCCTGACTGGAAGATGGCAGCACCTTCTTCTGTTTGCCAAGATGCTACTCAATTTCACTGCTTCTCCCATGTAGTACTGATTGGTTCATATATGCCTCAGATCGTTTGAAACATAGTGTGGCTTKATAGTCGGAAATGTTTTTCCSCCCCCGCTTTGGATCACTGGACTAGCCGCAGCAGTCGCGCATATTGGTTTCGGCAGCAGGAGATTCCCTACTGACTGCAATGAAACTTTGTCTGTGCACGGAGTGGTTCCTAGTGGATTTAGATATTTAATGAAATAGTCCACTAACTATGTAGATGTCCTCTGAGAACATCCAGTAATCAGCGTCTTCTGAGTACTCGCCCTATTCGCCCAGCGTAGGAGGTACTGGCGCGCCAAGCGTGGCTTGAACTCTGCGCCCAAAACGGAAGCCGAATATGGTTGGGGAGTCCAGATCGGGAATGGCGCCCGTGTGAGATGCCCCTTTAGGCCCAAACAGGAAAACACGGGTGGAGATGACGTCAAGCTCGGCGCTACGCCCAAGCCGCAACGTCACTGCTTGCTCTGTGTACCGTCTCTGCCCTCTACCATGTAAAGTGTACAAAATATGCTCTACATTATAATTATTAATAACCGAATCAAACAATCATATGCGGCGGTGTTATCAGATGTAGAATCAGAGGGAAAGTCACTGAAGACGCCACCATCGAGACAATGGCCGGGGGCTCGCAAACTTTGTTGCGACGTCGACTCCGCGACAACTGCATACGGAGTGTAAAGGCAGTAACGGTATGACGCTGTATGATATAGTATGTCGACACAAGCTCACTACTTCCATCATACCAAACGCTCGCCAGACATAGACACAGATGGTACAGTCTAGACCTGTATGATCGCATTATCTCATCGTCAGAAGCTGATGTTTGACAAGCTGAGTTGACTCTGCTACATAGTACTGCTATGTCCATCAGTCTGGTCAATCATCCAGCGGAGTGGGGCCGTGACGCCAATTGGCGGGGATTATGGATGGTATGGAGACGCAACGATGGATAGTCGTCTTCTAGTGGATCAGGTGGAATGCCATTGGACAGCGTCACATACGATACGGTCATACTGGGGTGTCGACCATCATAACCTATTTCAGAATAAAGCATAGAAGGTCCAAGGTACGCTATGCAAACTAACAGTAGAGCTAGGAAATGACATCTACGTTCCCTTCACTATCGCTGGCCGGACTGCACCACTCCACAGACTGTCCGTAGTCCTTATACCATACCATGTAGACTGTTGAATGACCTCATGAAAGGAACCACTCAACTTCCGTCCCATTCAGAATAACATCCAAGCCCCCACTTGGTCGAACTTAGCGTTGACTGGCAATGACAATGGATTATGGAAGCCCTCCTTTTTCCCCTTTCTGTTTCGAAATGTCAAACGTCAAAAATGCACACGGCGTCAAGTGGAGAACTCAACTGTCTTGCGGCGCCAAATGACGAACTCACGCACTGGTAGATCGCCGACGCTCCATCTACTCCATCGGCCGCTCCACCGATGAATGCACGCGAAGACGTGAGTGGCGATCCTCGCTCTTAGCGAGGGAACGTAGCTTTGCTCCCCGGTGATATCATCGCCCTATCAAAAGCAGTCGTGACAGAAGGCACTGCACCGCTAATCATATCCCGATCTGGTTTGGCCTTGTGATTGGCTGAGTTTTGCCAGTGTGTGCCTGCCGTTGAGGGCGCTCACTCCTTATATAAGACTTTCCTTTCTTTCCTTCCACCTGATTTGACTTTAAATCTCCTTCCTCAACTTCCTTTCAGCGTTTATAGCACTTCTTCGAACATCTCCTTGCGTACGTTGACTACCATTTTGCCGATCAAAGCCATTTCGACGAAATCTGCCATACCCAAATTTTTTCAGGCGCCATAGTCTTGTGAGCGATTCGGCCTCTGAACTGTATACCGACCATCGAGTGTATTAGACTCGTGAACCACTTCTTTACACTTATTTGTAAGGACCCCTGTGTACTTGACAGCAATCGAGACCAGCAAAAGAGGACGACCTACTTGACCGTGGGTGATGGAAATCGAATAATGGGAACAATACAATGCAAGTATCTTTTACTGATAAGCTCTTAGATGTATTGGGCAATGCACACACTCCCAATGCCGATCGATCCAGCAGAAGGTCTACCCTCCGAGGACATCTCGGGCCGTACCATTGGCATCGGGCCCATGGAGACCGCGCCTGGTGTCGACCCTCATTCCTCGGTTGACGATTACAATCGCGTGATGCTGCAGTATACTCAGCGCCAAATCGAAGCCTTCACCCAGGCAGGTGACATGCTCGGACGTCGTAATAGCGCGAACAGCCGTAGCAGCGGTAGCAGCGGTAGCAGTGGCCAGAGCAACACGTCCTCTGTGACCAACATGGCCAGTGCTGGTACGGCTCTGCCACCACAGCAGACTCGACGAAATACCAATACTGAGCCCCATGGAGGGGCTCGTACATAGATTAGTGTCTCCTCGTCGACTCGGCTGGAGAGGTTTGTTCGAAGCGGTATGTCCCTGATATCCTGTCCCTGCTAATATGCAAGTAGCTCATGTCTGCAGATACTTAATTCGATGACTTATAATTCTCGACCGTCGAGTTATATCAAGCCTCGTCCTGCATCTTACGAGTTATGACATTTATCAAATTGGAGAGGAGGCGTTCAAGTTTCGGCATCAGAGTGGACGAAAGAGATAATTGATCTGTCTCTTTCATTTGCCAACTCTGAATTGCCAGCGTTGGCGACGGATTCGGAGTTTATTTACCTACACCTGCGCCCACACACACATACATCGATATTTTGACTCCACCACTACGCTGCTAGTACGTGAGGTTATTGCGTTAAGTTTTGATTCTTCTTTCGACGATTCGATCCGCATCCATCTACTTGCCAGAGATGAAATGGAATCAGATCCGATTTCAAATTCTATTGACAATCATTTTAGCCCAACTCAGCAAGTGACGGTGGTCGTCTCACATGCTGCAATATTTATATCTACCCCAGCACAGTCCCCTTGATTTTCACATTGCAGTCAGAGTAGTCGACAGAGTCTCCTTTTCTTGTTTCGGACTGTGAGATAACTGGGAGACATTTCTCTAGACACTGACAATAGAATTTACCAATTACAACCCATCACCTTATTTGTTTTCAGGTGTGTCGTTATTTAGTGACTTGGGGAGCGAGTCTTTTGTTACGACGTTACGATTTTTCACGACTTGTATATTATGTTGCTGTTGTTACCACTTCCTCGCTGGGTCGAGATGTACTTTTATTTGCATCATTATGGGATAGGATCATCTTTTAGGTTCGGAAAAGGTCAAAAGCTTGAGTCATGTCACTAGGTTTTGCATGAACATGATTCAATCTTTCACTTTCAACAAAGTTCTGCCATATAATTATTTTTACATGGTTAAGCATGCAATTAAATCTGGTGTCACTACATAGCTTTATTTATTGGATGATACGCGACACTATGACATGACTGGTTCCACGAAATGTGATCCAAGCGAGATGATCTTATCCCATCGGTTCTTATCCCATTGGTAGACGTAGAACAGTATTCGTAAGAGGCACTCTGATAATTAATATATTCGGGTATGTAATTGCTCCAGTTGAGACATCCCAGAATGGAGTAGAGGAACGTGCGACGAAAGTGGGCTTCAGCTGTAGTGGACAATTACCCATGGATGTAGACAAGCATAATGGCATCATCATCAGCGTCATCAATCTTATTGAATATGCCTATAAAATAGCGAGATACATCTTATTCTGACTACAGCCCTGACTAGAAACAGTGCATCTTAAGTTGCATACATCAAGCAGCTGAAAAATAATCAAAGACACATATATGATAGAATCTCAGTAAGGCCGATTCAAAATGAGGAGGTGGCGAGCAACCTGAAATTGACTGCGGTGAATAATCTGGGCCGCCCTACTCTTCAACATTCTGTAGGAGGAGAAACGTACATGTAGTAAAGCACAATGGCATCATAGTCGTCATCACCATCACCAACTTTTAATTTAACACATACCTGTCAAGCACGCCTCGAGAAAAGAGCCATGCTGATTGATAGAGGCTATGTATCTTTTCAGCCCCTTGGCGCATGAGATGATCAACGTCATTTCGACTTTGCCAAAGGCTTTAAGATTCGAATGACAAGCTATATTTCCTGATGATAATGCCTAGAGGCCAGATGCTGAATAATAGCCATCAGCTAGTTCTGGCTACGTATCCCGAGCCTCTTTGAGAAACTAAAGAACGTCATTTGCGGCTATGTAGCTAGCCAGAAACTTCCATGCCTAAGGACTGGATGTTGTTTGACGTACATCACTCCACATGTGTGTTGGTACATGTAAATCTTTCGGGGATTTAGATACCTAGCCTGTACGAATACCCGTCTTATAACCTAGGTGATTGTTAAGACATTGCAAAGTGTATGATGCAGGTAGGAAGAAATTGGAATGGGCATTAGGGCTGTCTATAACCGAGCCGACGACGTCAGACATGGCGTCAGGGCCATTCGTAGATGTCCACACTGTCTTACCTCCTCCTTTGCTAATATATATCTTCTTGGCTTTCTTCGTCGATGACATCCTTGCCTCCATATATGATGAAGTATATATGTCTGTGCATTTGAAATTGCTGCTCTTTCTTGCGAATGTTTCTGTCCTATAACGGGACAGCATGTACGTAGGCCTTCATCTTTTAGGCCAAGTTGCACTATCTCACAATATATGACACATTCTTGGAGCTTGATTGATAGGTTAATAAATTCTATTGATAATTTCCCAAGAAGGATGCTTGACGAACTAAAAGTTCATTTTCATGTTGTATCCCTGGGCGAGTGATGCAATAGGGTTAGGGTTATAGACATCCCAAAGTGTCGATCATGATTTAGCTTTTATTTGCCAATCAAGCTCTCGCCCGTTCCTACGGTACACTACTCTTATATGCCTAGATACTTTGGACGAAATTGTCCGATTGTCTGTAGATTGAGGTGCCCTGATATAGTTCCAGCTGCCCTATTGGTCAACGTATTCCGAATCCGGGATAAAGTCAACACGGCTCGGGATAGATTTCGGATTAAGCCTAAGATAAGCGCGGAATTGTAGGCCATAATCACGACAGTACAATGATCGAGTATCTTTCCAAATTCTCTTTCCATGATGCATCAATGCTGAGCACTACTGTCGTGCTCTACGATGACCTACACAGAACAGAGCCCTCTCCTCGAGGAGCGACCGCAGCAACAAGATCGACCTCACACAAAACGGTCAACATGGAACACAACGCGGATATGTATAATCTGCTATATAGGCGCGCTACTGTTTGATTCGGCGCAGATTCTGCGCACGATGCCGAGAACAAGACTCTTCGAGTCGGTAATATGTCAGAAATACTACGCTTCTTCGACCAATATGCTAGGCGATATACCAGAGTATATGTGCAAGGTGAATCCGATTCAGGAAGAGCTGGTCACGACGCAGACGTGGCTCAAAGTCGGGGAGAGTGTATGCGGTGCGTATCACTTTCATCCAGAAATGACTATTTTTTTTGTTTCGAGCTGATTGGATTCAAATATAGCCCTTCTCGTGGCACTGCCATTCGGTAACATGGCAAACACCAAAGGCCGCTCGATCGTCTTAATCCTAGGTATTTCAGGCCAGATTCTCGCAGACGCATGGATTATCACAGTCTGCTTCCTCAGCCACACCCTCCCGCTCTCCCTAGTCTATGCCTCCCCACTTCTTCGCTCAATCGGTGGAGGAGAGATGGTTCTGTCCGCACTGATTCACGCTCTTTTGGTTGACGTGGTTAGCGAAAAAGATCGTGCGCAGGCATTTTTCAATATGGCTGTTATGACGCTTATTGCTGAACTGGTGGCCCCCGCCGTTGGGTCTTTGTTAGTTGATTGGAAGGGCATGTATATCCCGTTACTGTGTGCATTTCCGTTGCAGGTTGCGAATATGGTTATTTTCAGTCTTTTGCCCGATACTAGAGTTTCGGAGAATCTGGAGAGTAATGATGATTCTATTGAAGGCGGACATTCGACTGAAAGATCATCCAACAAGGCAGGCTTCGCAACCTGGTGGAAGTCGCTTAAGAGAAGTTGTGCACCGTTCCAAACAAAGGCCATCTGGTTGGTGACAGTTTGTTACATCTCGACTATGTTGGCTAGGGAAACGATCGATTTTCTGGTTCAATACGTCTCCAAACGATTCGACTGGAGTCTAGCCAAGGTAAATTTCTCTGTGTGTCTATTCTTTCTGTCTGCTAATACTCGATAGGCAAACTACCTAATTTCGGTCAAGGCGTTGGTTAGCATGGCGCTCTATTTGCTGTTGTTACCACTTATCAGTAGGATACTGGCAAGGAAATACTCTATGGCACCCCCAATCATAGATCTATGGCTTGCACGAGGAAGTTCTTTATTTGGTGTCCTCGGTCCTATTCTTCTCGGATTGGCCTCTGAGCCAATTGTCTTGGTTCTGTGTACGTCTACCCTCGGACTCTTATATGGTCTGTCGTCCTTTGCTAACGGGCAACAGCACTCGTCCTTTTCACTTTTTCCTTAGGATACCCATTCTCCATCCAGTCATACGGAACATCCCTAGTCCAACCAGTTGAGGTCGCACCATTCTATTCTGCGCTTGCAGTTCTGCGGATTACTGCTACTCTGTTGATGTCCCCCCTCATTGCTATGGCTTTTAAGTATGGGTTAAACTCTGGAGGCGCGGCGTCGGGCTTGATTTTTGATATTGCTGGTGGTTTGTTCTCAATCGCTGCCGTCGGCAGTGCTTTATTGCGGTAGAATAGATATAAACGGCTCGGCAGGAGTTATGTTGGAATTATAGAATTTATACGCTCTCTCGGATGGCATATCTCTAACTACCGACGGCTTCCTATACGGGCAGCTTTCATAGCGGACAATAATTTTCAGCGATGCCCATGGAACTGGGGATTTTGGCCAGGATCAGCTACCTGGACTGAGCTTATTTACCTACCTATTTATGGGGAGGCACAGCAATATACCTAGGTAGGCACATTCTCACCTAATACGTTGCTGGTATTCGTACACGTACTCTAGGATATAACCCAAGGATGTTTAAGCTCCAGAAAAGTGCAGTACTAAGGTTACCTTCATGTTTCAAGGTCAGGGGACCTAAAAGCAATGGAGTGAAAGGGCAATGAAATAGTGACATAGCCCTGTCACATGGAAATTTTTGATTACTTTTCAACTACGATAGCCTTACAGCGGAGCAAGTTCAAAAGTATTCTAAGCTCCACAGCCTTGGTATGCCTATGAGGGAGGGACGAGGAGGGCCTATTAGCTGACATGATAAAACCACCCTTTCTGTACAAACCTTTAGAGTATCTCAGCGCCGGGGATTCTACTCTCCTGGCACAACGCTTGCTTCATTATGTGTGAAGTTCTAGACAAATTGAAGATTTCTGTTGATATGTTTGTAACATACAGTCAGGTATTGGCAAAGGAATACGGGACATACAGAAGAAGTTAAGCGAGCTCAGAGTCGACGTCAAGTTCACATTCTACATAATCTACACTTACAAGATCAAGGACAAGGTCAACTTCAAGCCCAACATTAAAAGAGTCTACACTGCCATCAAGAAAAGCACAAAGAACTACTTAGATAATTTCACTATCATAATACTAAACAAGGTCACGCTCACCCAATAGATAAAAACTAAGTTCATAAAGATAGACACAAAGAAATCTCTAAGAATAATGAATATCTTCTATAGTAAAAGTTCTGATGCCATAATAGTCTTTTCTTCCATAAAAGCTACACTTTAGATTCGAAATAGAAGCATCATTTATTTAGGAAATAAATTAGATTCTATCAGGAAAAAGTTTAACAATTTCACTAAATCAATCACCAAAACGAGTTATGCTAAGACAAAGTCTATTATAATACAAGATATGGAAACAAAAATGATAATAGCGATACAACATGAAAAAGACGTATAGAAGAAAGCACTTAAACAGATCAAAGATTACAACAAGAAGACTAAATCATAGTATATATTCTCCATATATAATATCCTTAGCGTGTAGGGGCTGATATAATAGCATTAAATACTCCAACACATATAACTGCGAAATGCTTTCATCAAAAGCATTTTCACTAGTGTACATCACATACAAGAATGACAGATAAGAATAGTATTTACCTCAAGTATACTACTTCGACATAGGCTTACAGTAACATAGAATGCGGTATGTTCTACTACTTTTCTAACATATATATCGAATATATACTCATGAACCTTTGGGACGCAAGAGAATGCAGTTTTAGGTGGACCAGGTTTCCGTGACTGAAAAGCCGCATAGTACAGCTTCGACACAGGCTATATTTCAAGACAATACTCAGATCTCAATACAGAAGTCGTAAAAGACAAAGGCTAGAATTGCTATGATCAGCTCATAAGAAGTATATACAGTGCTGGTATATTGCCTTACCAGAAAATTTTCTTTAAGTTTGTTTTACTGTATCTGAATTAGTTTGTCTTTGGTGGCTAGAGCAATTGCCAATTTATTCATACAGCTTACCGTACCCCTCACGAACATTTTTTGAAAATCAATCATATATAACTCCAAATCGATCAGAAGCAACGCTATTCAAAAATCGATCTAGCGTTAATGAAATAACTACGGTCACTACATAGCGCAACTCTTTTAAGGGCATTGATAGTCAAATAGCCCATATGGCAGACAACTATCTGACGGCCCTTTAAACGCTCTACTGGAATGGGCCACGCTCCCAGACAAAGTGATGGAGACGCCTGCAGAGACGTTGTTGCACTATTGACACCTTGGAGATCGATCGCTATACCGAATTGGAGCGGCCGACGCGCTAAGCCAGGCCATCACATTCTTGAGGTGGCTGAGGTGCGCTAAGCTTCATGGTAACCCTCGATAAGAAAGTCTTTGGGTAATCAGCACGATGATTCTAGATCAATGCTTAGGATCTGGACATGCGGATTTACCTGGGTCATTATCATTCGGCTGGGGTCTCTAACGAGCTTCGGCAGACCATGTAGACAAGTCTTACTTTGAGAAAGTGAGACAGTATATTTCCACCTCCATGTTATTAATCCTTTTTCATCAGTTTTCCCTATACGATAGCATTTAAATTCCACTTTACGTCGAAACAAGCGTACTGTGCAGCTCTTCAAGAAGGACACCAACGTCCCCGCTGCCGAGGAACCCTGGAAGAAGTATGGAAGATTCAACGACTGGAACATCGACTTGGTCCCCAAGCTGTTAATGCTGGCAAATGGCGAGTTGACAAACATTTTGGTCTCCACCGATGTGACGAGATACCTTGAGTCTCACCGCGTACCATTATATCAAGCTTACGAGAAAGACATAAGGCTCGGTTTCTTACCGGCTCSTGCCGATGACGGKGAAAAAAGTGCGTAATGCACAAGCCACCCCTTCCGCCCCTTGGCTGCCCCATGCTCATTCCAAAACTCATCCTCCATGTCTGAAACGAGAACCTTTAATCTTGCATCAAGATGCAGAAGCCGTTTAGCAAACTGATTCGCGACGGGGACGAACTGTTTCAGAACAGCCTGTTCGTCACCTTCCGTTGGAGTTCGAAACCCCACCTGGAGCTCCCGAAGTACTTGGTACAAGGTATTTACACTAGTAACCTCCTTTACGTAGGCTTCTAGCAGCTCAATCGTTGCCTCTAGCGACGTGACTGACAGTCCCTCGAACAACTTTAGGCTCATTAGCCCTTTGTTGTTCAGAGCTGTCCATAGAGGTTTTAGGACACAACTTTCCGCCCCGGTATATCTTCCCCGATTGTTCCTGTGGTGATCGTTGAGCTCTTGTTCGGAGTTGTCGACATAGGAAGACATTCCTGCGCCGTCAAAGAGCTCAGCTAATCTAGTAGCGTGATCTCGGCCGTTCTCGTCATGGACTTGATAGATGCCAAGCCAGGCCAAGTGATAAAGGCAGAATATCTTAGCTTCTAGACTCTCCTTCTCGGTGTTGATCTTGTCGGAAGCTGATGGGAGTTTCTTTAGACTCGAGGTACTGTCAACACTATCTCTAGGACTCCCGTTGGGCTCGTACTTGCTGGAGAGAAAACCAAACATTTCCACGAGTATGGCTGTTTCGAAGGGGAAAAATTATCGGACTTTGATCTGGAATCAATAGCAGGGAAGATCTTGTTCAAAAATGAGACGGGACTATAAGCCCCTTATGAAGTGGAGGTGCTGTTGTTGCTATCCGCTTAATTGGGTTTGGGCTAAGCCAGAAACTCTTTAGCCAGCCCGCTTACAGTTAATCGCTGGAATTGTATACATATTTCTGATTCAATGTTTTGTGGCCACGCTAACGGCGACGAGGCTGTTAGCCCTCGTGGCACTGGCTGAGTCTTATAACCGAAGAAGCAGTAGGCATCACAGCTCTGCTTTTAAAAAAACATTCCGACCCGAATAAGTCACTTATATACGCCAGGCGGGACTAACTAGAAACTGGACCGTCCCAGGGTCTCGATGACCCGATATTCGGAACAACCCGATCCTATGAGGGCGCGCATCTTCTGTTAGTCTTAGTATGATATGGTGGCAAGCCTTTGTGGGCGCCTATCCACTGTCGAGCTGGTTACAATATTGTAAAAATCATTTGCTGGGGCGCGTCCTATGGCGAGCTGATTAGAATATTGTAGAGACCCTTTTGGGCTCTTGATTTCTGTCAGCCTAAGGACGATATCGTACGCCGGGGGCAACACTGCGAGATCGAATAAGTACCAGGTAGTGCTCCTAAACAGACAGACATAGGAGAGGGGGGCATACAGAGGATCACTACGAGTCAAATAGCCCATTCTCGTTGAAGCTAGTCCTAGCACAATAAAACAATTTCAGGCTAGCGCTACGCCTGATCAATTTGGGGTCCAGCCAATTGCACGAAGCCCATATCAGTTAGTGTGGTTACTCTTCCCAGCGTCGTGGAAAGTCCGTATCAATTTTCTAGCCATCAACTCATGAATGATCATTTGATCCCTTATTGATCCCTTATTGATCCAACCGGCATGACATAGCTAGCATCCGATTATTCTCGTATTTGTATGCCTGCAATGGCGATGCGAGTACATTGGTCCTGACATTGACAAATTTTCGTTCTTCGCTCGTTCGAAAATCATGCGTCCTATTACTAGCATTGGACTCCAACCCATACAACGCCTCAGGGAAATTTAGCGTCAGAGTACGCAAAAAGTAAGCATTTGGCTACCTAGCGTGCCCCTACCCGAAACATCACTATACACGGTTGAGGCTCACAAGATTGATAATCTAGTACAACATTCCGACCGATTTCTCGAACAAGATTTGAGAGAACTAAGAAAACGTATCCAATCACAGATTATTATGATAATGATAACTAGGCTCGTCTTTGATCGAACGGAGATGTCATAATGAACTGCCAGCTAATTTCGCCAGACGGTCGGCTAGTCAATTATACAATTTATAAGACTCGGCGAAGATTTCACAGACGAGGAATTCGACGTGTAACCGGAGTGACTGAAAAAAAAAAGCAGTTTGAGGTTTATAAGAAGAGTAAGGACTTTTTTTAGAGCTTGTGGACTTATCAGGATCGATATAACACATTCTAGTAACATGAAGTTTGGATTGAAGCCAGTCCGGACAGCCTACAAAAAAGAGCCACGAATTCGATAACACAGCGAATTCTGATCATAATCATGACTATTGGTGACTTGTTTCTAGAGCTAAATAGTAGGGAACATTGCTTGTATTTATGTCTGCGTAGAATATCCCAGACAACATAGCACAGAGAATCAGTACTCAAGAGGCAATGGGATAAGCAAACTTGCCGACACTCCCCGCAACGAAGGACAAAGCGAGTAATGCAATTGCTGCTTCATTTTTGTATGCAGTACAACTAGCCTACCGCTCAATGTACTCATCCTCCACGATAGGGAAATTGTTAGCATACTGTACTTGGTCAGGTGAGTTGCTCGTCCTAGTTTCTGTGGGTCTAGAAGTTAATACTGTCCATTGAGATGGCTGAAGGGTTGGTGCCGGCTAATCTTCGGTCCTTTATTTTCAAGGTATACACCGGCTAATCTTCGGCACTTTCTATTGCTGGCTCGATTTAGATTAGATGAGCGACTGCATCAGCTTATAGTCCAGCTTCTTCCCCTCATTCAGACAACCATTCTTAAATTCGTTTTTTTATTTTATCTCTGTCCTGCTTGATTCATAATTGCTATAGTATCAACATGGTGCAGCTTGACATTGAAAAGACGCTCTCGGAGCTGGACTTACTTGAGAAGATTGCCCTTACTGCTGGTATAGAAACAAAACAGTCTTTTACAAGTAATTCTACGGATCGAATACTAATAGTCGGACAGGTAACGACTTCTGGCACACAGTCCCAGTAGAACGCCTCAACATACCCTCTGTCCGCACCTCAGATGGACCAAACGGCATCCGCGGAACTCGTTTTTTCAATGGAGTTCCATCAGCATGTTTACCATGCTCAACTGCTCTTGGATCAACCTGGGATGTTGAGCTGCTCGAGCAGATTGGTGAACTATTAGGCGACGAAGCTAGAGAAAAGGGCGTCCACGTTCTATTAGGACCTACGATCAATATCCAGCGCTCGCCTCTGGGTGGCCGAGGATTTGAATCCTTTTCTGAAGATGGATTACTCTCCGGTATCCTTGCGGGATATTACTGCAAAGGTGTCCAGTCAAAAGGTGTTGGTGCGACTCTGAAGCATTTCGTGGCCAATGATCAGGAACATGAGCGTATGGCGGTTGATACGATTGTTACATCGAGAGCGTTGCGTGAAATTTATCTATTGCCGTTCCAGCAGGCATTGAGAATTTGCCAAACTGCATGCTTTATGACTGCCTACAATAAGATTAATGGAACCCATGTGAGCGAGAACGCAAGTATCATTGATGACATTTTGCGCAAGGAATGGAAGTGGAATGGCCTTATCATGAGTGATTGGTAAGATCGTCTTCCATTCTGTCTTATCGATATTTGTTTCTCACCTTTCATCAGGTTCGGTACATATAGCACATCCGAAGCAATCAATGCCGGGTTGGATCTCGAAATGCCAGGTCCCACCAGATGGCGAGGATCAATCCTCCACCATGTCGTGAACTCACGAAAAGTGGCTGATCATGTTCTCGATGAAAGAGTACGCAACGTTCTCAAACTCGTCAACTTTGCCCAGAAATCCGGCATCCCTTTTGGCGCTGAGGAGAAAGGCCTCAACCGTCCCGACGACCAGAAGCTCCTTCGCCGTGCCGCTGCTGAGTCTATTGTTCTCTTGAGGAATAACAACAGTGTTCTCCCATTTGACAAGACCAAGCCTATTGCTGTTATAGGGCCAAATTCCAAAGTCGCCGCTTACTGCGGCGGTGGTTCGGCGTCCCTACCACCTTACTACACTGTGACTCCGTTCGAAGGAATCAGCAACGCAAGCAAGGCCGATGTTAAATTCTCCCAGGGCGCTTATGCTCACCAAACCCTTCCTCCGCTGGGACCGTTGATGAAGACTCTTGACAGCGAGAAGCAGGGCTTCGTGTTCAAGGCATACCTTGAACCACCCGAAGATAGGACTAGCGACAGTAAGCCAGTCGATGAAATACATCTCGTTAGCTCATTTGGGTTCCTCGCCGACTATAAAAATCCACGTATCCCTACCGATCTGTTCTACGCCGATATGGAGGGAACTTTCACACCGGAAGAAGATGGTCTGTATGACTTTGGAGTCATCGTGATAGGCACCGGAAAGTTATTCGTCGATGGTGAGCTTGTCGTGGATAATGCTACTACCCAGAGACAAGGAATAGCCATGTTCGGCAGTGCAACTGTTGAAGAGACTGGTGCTAAAGAGCTCAAGGCTGGACAGACGTACAAGATTCTCTTCCAATATGGCAGCCGACCGACGTCGAAGTTGGAGAATCGTAGCGTCATTGACTTTGGTCTTGGCGGATTTTCTTTCGGCGCAGGAAAGCGTCTGAGCCCAGAAGAATCGATCCAGCAGGCGGTTGACTTGGCATCAAAGACGGATCAGGTTGTTCTCGTTGCTGGGTTGAATGGCGAATGGGAGACTGAAGGTCATGATCGAGATAACATGGACCTTCCACCGGGCACGGATGAGCTTATCTCTCGCGTTCTCGATGCTAACCCCAACGCTGCTATTGTTATTCAAAGCGGTACACCCGTGACCATGCCCTGGGCTGACAAGGCCAATGTCCTAGCTCAAGCATGGTTCGGAGGCAACGAGCTCGGAAACGGTCTTGCTGATGTTCTATATGGCGACGTCAATCCTGCTGGGAAATTGTCTTTGACTATCCCCGTTCGTTTACAAGATAATCCATCGTACATCAACTTCGGCTCCGAACGGGGTCGTGTATTATACGGAGAGGATGTCTATGTGGGATACCGGTACTTTGAGAAGACTGGAGTCAAGCCCTTGTTTCCCTTTGGACATGGCTTGTCATATACTACATTCGTCCGATCAGATCTAAAATTGCAAGTAGACGCAGAGAAGCCTGTTTTAGAGGATGGCGAGACGATAACTGCCTCCTTGACAGTCACTAATACCGGCTCAATTGCTGGTGCCGAAATAATACAGCTTTGGATCCAACCACCTAAGCTTGAAAACATTGGAAGACCGGTCCGGGAATTGAAGGGCTTCACAAAGGTATATCTACAGCCAGGAGAAAAGAAGAGTGTCTCGATTACGGTTGAGAAGAAGATCGCTACAAGCTTCTGGGACGAGATTAGGAGGTCCTGGGCTTCTGAGAAGGGTGATTATACAGTTCTGATTACTGGAACTGGGAATGAAAGCTTATCTGACAAATTCACCGTTGAGAAGAGTCGGTACTGGCTTGGATTGTAGAGTCAGTCTGTATAGGATTAGCTAGCCGACACTTTCCGGCGGAGCTTACATGCTCAGATTTCTTCTAGGATAATTTCAGCGAATTGAAATGACTGTTCAGTAATGGACTGAGAGTAAATCAAACCTAGAGTACTTCGAGAAGTCTCTCGGGATGCCGTGGAATGTAAGCCAGAGCGTGGAATGTCAACCTTTCGAATATTCAGCCAATGGAAGCTTAGCATGAAGCCATTATTGGATAGAGTTTAGATGACACATTCCTAAGACAATGAAGGAAAATCCTATTGGATGAGTTATAGGTAAAAAGACTCAAAGAGGTTGGCATACATTCCAAAGCCCCTTTCTTGCTTATTCTAGAACATCCCATGTGCCTGCACAAAGCTATTAATGAAACTTCAGGCTGGTAAGCCCGGGGTATTTCTGCCATCTTGGAGAATGTTCCAATATTCTTCCATTTGCTGTGTGATGGGAGGCTGGTAGGCATTTGAGGCGTCGAGCGTGGCACAAAATTACCTAGATAGGAAATTTCTTCAGTACCACTCAGTTCTTGTGAGTGGTTGGGAATTCTGTTGTACTTGACGATAGTATTCTGTTCAGTATACCATGAGTCTAGTATGATGATCAATTCCATTATTTATGGGGCGATGATGTCCTCTTGCAAGGAGTTCAGATATTCAATTCTTCATTGTCAATAATCTGTCAAGAACTCATCTACGACGCGAGAAAAGAACAGTGCAGATCCATAGTTAGTTACTCGGATTCTATCTAAGGTGCGTTCTCACGCGCAACACATCTGGGTATCACATACTAACAAAATCAACTTCATTACAGAGAGCAAAATAATCAACAAGAAAAATGTTTATCGATCCCACTCCCCTCGCCATTGCCTTGGCAATCATCCTCTCCACATCTCCTCATGTCCTTGCAGCACCACACAGACGGCATCATAATACGCTACTCAATCGATCAGGTGAAATCGAGTATTATGAGCAACACCATGCACATGAACCATTGCACGTGGCCACATTACCTTTTCAGGCTCCTCCCGTTACAGTCGAGAGTGTCAAAACTATTACAGTGATTCCGACACCGGCTAGGACACCGATGCCGAGTCATATGCAGTTTCATCTGCCACCCGGTATCCCGCTTCCAGATGGGACTAGGAAGCCGGTCGATATGAAATCTTCCACTACCACAACCTCATCATCATCATCAACCACTTCGAAAACGACATCTACCTCAAAACCTATATCTTCATCATCCGCGCAAGCAACAAAAGAAGTGGCAGCATCAACTACATCGGCGTCGATTATTGTCATTGCTCTTCCGTCAAGCTCATTGACAATCACTGTGCCAGACGCAACATCAGTCACTATACCATCAAAAGCTACTCCGACTTTGCCTTCGATTGGGACGATTGAGGACAATGCTGCTTCCGGGATCCTCTCCGTGCTCGGAACGAGTATAAGCAAGTTGACTACTACAGTCACCACGACAACAACATCAGATACCACCAAGTCTGACTCTGACGACACAAAATCAACAGAGACAGACTCAGCTCAACAATCAGCTGCAAGCACAGCTACGAAAGCGAAATCAACCTGCTCAACCGGAACAACACGCAAATGCTGTTCTGCCGTGCATAACAATCTCAAGAACGTGGTGGGCGCTTTGGATGGTATTACGGGATTTAATCTAAACTTCCTCTCATTTGATACATCAGTCGGACTTGACTGTGCCGATATCGATGACGATGATACCGCCCCGGATGGAGCGGTGTGTTGGAATGTTGTGAGTTGCTGTGAGAACAATGGGATCGTAAGTTCTTCTCCTATCACTTTATTGACCATAGCATGCTAATTCTCGACCAACAGTCAAGCTTGGGATCGATTTTTGTAGGCTGCGTGCCAGTTGTTTGAGGTCGATGGTGAATTAGGGTTTGCATTGATTGGAGTTGATTCTGAGCACTTTGATTGTTTCCAAAAATTTTGTGTATAGCATGGCGTGAGGATATACCTAGTTTTGAGCATAATAATAATACTACTACTGGGCTCACCTATGAGTCATAATAACACCCATCAAAAACTCAAATCAGTTCCATTTCGTAGAAGTAGGGTTACGGCTACGATTATGGGCGGTCCCCACCTAAAGTTGGGCGTTTCCGGGGCGCGTCTGGGGAGCTTCGTCACTATTGGCCCGGGCGGTCAGCTGACCTTCTATGACGCGGAGAAAGGGAAGTCACAACCCACGATGTGTAATTTTCTCCATCCGTCTCCCTAACTTCACAAAAATGAGCTATACGCGTAAAAGAGCTGCACTAGCCTGCGTTTTCTGTCGCAGCAGGTATAATGTAACCGCATGTGAAGCATTACATTACTGATTTCGAGAAGGAAACGACGATGTGACGCGCGGAAACCTTCGTGCTCTAGTTGCACCGACTTGGATGTCGAATGTCATTACGATGACACGCCATCACAGAGGTATCTATCAACTCAACGAGGTCTCAAGTAGACTATGTATTTACTTACAAAATCAGGATCGATACATCCGGGGGCAGCCGAGAGATACTCAATCGGTTGCGAAACATCGAGACTCTCCTTCAGACCCAGTCGGAGCGGATAACGGCTCTCTCTAGCGAGGCCCGCAGGCCTTCTTTGCATGCCCATGATGCCGCAACACCACGAAGCCAACAATCGCTTGCAATTACGGATATTCAACATCAAGCATGGCCGTCCTCGCATCTCAATGGTCCATCTGACTACTCAAACTTACCACCTCTAACCATACCAGTCAAACATAAGACTTCTTCTTCCTATCTATTGACGTTGCCGTCAGTCAAAGCATTAATTGGCGAGTATCCAACAGATTTGTTCTTCAGATTCGAATTGAGAAGTCAATTGCCCCCTCAGCTCTCGCTAGAACTATTCCAGCCTGCATCGCCTGTCTCTATTGAGCGGGAAATTACAGATGAATTGGTAGTATTCTTCTTTGCATATGTCCACCCTAACCATCCAATTTTGGACCGCGATGAATTTGAAATCTGCTATGCTCGATTCCTGGAGGATGGGCCCGACTTTAGCCACGAATCAATTCTCTGCATGGTCGTTTTAGCTTTAGGAGCCGTTGCTTCAGCGGCACCAGACCCGGAGCTTTTCAAAGAATCGCCCCCGGGCATGGAATATATGCAGTATACTATGCCAACTTTGGTCTCAATCTCGGCATGGTCTTTCTCTTCAAGCATGCTGGCGGCCCAAGCCCTTGTTCTGGCTAGTGTCTACTTTGCCTATATCGTTCGGCCACTTCAGAGCTGGCGCTTGATTTACTCTGCGTCAACAATATTGCAGATAAATCGTGTTGGGTAGGTTTCAGTCACTATTGATAGATTAAATCTAACCTCAATAGGATGGATTCTCTTCGGAGAATATCAAACGATTTCAATGACGGAGAACATCTCGCCCGTCTATTCTGGTCTTCCTTCCTCGTCGAGTGCGACCGTCTTGCCGAGCTAGAACTCCCACGAAGCGGTCTGGAAGAGCTGACGGACAGTATCTATCTTCCTAACTGTACTAATCTTGGGCTCGAAGAATCAGCTTGGTACCTAGCCGAAATATCAATCCGGCGGTTACTCAATCGCATACATAACTCCTTATATCCAGGCAAGAGGCAGCCACTTTCGCAGCCACCCATTACATCTCTTGCATTTGACGACTTCTCGATGGAAGAAGTGGCTTCTATTGATGCGGTTTGCAGTGAACTACGCTCACAGCTGGAAACCTGGTACATGTCTATTCCTGAAGGTCTCCGACCTGTTCTAGATGATACCACTACGGAAGATCCTGCCAACAGACAGGCAATATTGAGGATTCGGTACTTTGCTGCCAGACATATTATCTATCGCCCATTCCTACTTTGCATTGTTACGCACGGCTCAAAGCGTGCTCCACGGTCAATGGTTGAAAAGGCTGCTCTCTGCATTGAAAGCTGCCGATGGTATTTACACCATACCACGAAAGTGCTGGCTAGACCAAGTCAATACACCTGGACATTTGCATTGTCGTAAGGAGTGCGAACATTACTCATGTATTGCAAGCTTGCTAACAACTTGCACAAGATCCCTCGGTGCAATAATAATTCTCACGCTGGCTTCTCTCAATCAAGACTTGCAAGCTTACGTCCCTGATATCGACGAGCTACAGATGATGGCAATCAACAACTTTCGGCCATGGGCATTTTCGAGCCTGGGCGCAGTTGTGTCAATCTTGGAGGACATCAGGAAAAAGCGAAGACTTCTTATACAGGTATAAATGTGATATCTTTTTCTATCATGCGTCAATATCTATAGCTCGCCACCAGTCGGTTGTGCGATAATTTCTCTGCCAATGTCGCTACTCCAAAAGCTGCCTGTGGGATATGTGTATTTTTCCAGCGCTTCTTCGGTATACCCGGTTGAATATCCAGGAGCGAGCGGAGTGACATAGTGGGCATCCTTAATCACGGAGGGATGACGCAGGTTTTCCCGATGACTATCAGCAGCCTCGAGCATTGACTTACGCCCGCTAACAGCAATATAATCGATTGTGCTCAAGTGGGAAGTCAGCTCTGTCAATCCCATTGCTCCATTATGCGGAACGCAGGGTACATTGAACTTCAGAGCCATGAGCATGACAGCCTATGAAATCAGCTGAATGTTTGACTATGTCTAGGAGCAGAAAACTTACGAGGCATTCATTAACGCTACCAAGCCTGACTGCATCAATCTGGCACACATCTGTTGCCTCGGCTTGCAGCAGCTGTTTGAATGTGACACGATTCTGTGCAGCCTCTCCAGTCGCTACTCCAACGCCGTATGGTTTGAGAGCCTTTCGGATGGCTGCGTGGCCAAGGACATCGTCAGGATTTGTGGGCTCCTCGATAAATACCGGTTTGAACTCGACTAGTTGTTTCATGTATTCGATGGCCTCTGGAACACTCCATACCTGTCATCCATTAATATTTGCAGATAGTATAAGGGTTCGTGAAATACCTGATTCGCATCGATCATGATTTGATACCCTTTGTCATATCCTAGAACTGCTCTAACCGCAGCCAACCTCTCTCTATCTGCCTCAACGCTAGTACCAACCTTGAACTTGAAGACGGTAAAGCCAGCTGCAATGGTTTCTTCTAGCACTTCTTTCATCCGGTCACCAGAAAAGGCGAGCCATCCCGCGGAGGTAGTATAGGCAGGAACTGCAATGTTGTTCAAGGCCTCCTTCAGCCGCGCATCTTTGTTCGTTTGAGTTTTCTTGAGCATCTCGATACACTCTTCCGGGGTGATAACGTCGGTTATGTATCGGAAATCGATGCATTGCACTATTTGCTCGGGGGTCATTTCGCACACAATCTGCCACACAGGCTTGCCCAGGATCTTGCCCCAAAGGTCCCAAACTGCGTTTAGGACTCCGGCAACAGCCAGATGTGTAACGCTCTTCTCTGGACCGATCCATCGATATTGCGAATCTGAGACCATATACCTCCATGTCTTGCCCATATTTCGTGTGAGCTCGTGCATGGTCTTCCCGACGACACGGCGTGCAAAAATGTCGAGGGCCATGCATATCAATTCGCTACCGCGTCCGTTGCTGAAAGCCTGGATCTTGTTAGGCATAAATTTTCAAGTAATGGAAGTAGGACTCACAATTCCTTCTCCGACCAAGCCATTGTGATTTGTATTTAACCGAATGTATGGATGCGAGCCGTTGGTGCCAACGTGCATTGCATCGGAACCGACACCATCGAGACTCGTTGGAAATCGAAGATCGATAACCTCGAAGGAGGTGATGGTGACTTGTTGTTCAGTGATTAAAGAACCCATTTTGAATCTATGTATGAGTGATCTGGTCAAACAGAAAGAGATTGTTGAAGGTGCGAATATTATAAATTTCACCACATGCTGCTCTTTAAAAAAGAGCTCTTACCCTCGCGCTATGCCCGAATCAATGAGTAAAGCGGAGGGAGCGGAGTAATCCCCGCAGATCGGGACAGGCTGCCGCTTTTCCCCGGCAGACAATAATTGGACAAACTGTAGTTATGGTCCTGCCGCGTCCCCCCGTCGGATCATCTCCGAGTCAAATATATCAAGCATGATCATACACATCGTGTATAGCTGTTAAACCTTCTATCTAATTTAAAACCAACAAGCGACATGGATGTCAAATTTGTTCTCGTTACCGGTGCCACCGGATTTATCGGCGCTCACATTGTCGATGCTCTCCTAGCTCGGGGCATTCGCGTGCGGGGTGCTACCCGTTCCTTATCCAAAGGCGAGACTATGCTACAGGCACGACAAAAGTATGCCGGTTTGCTCGAATTTGTACAGATTGGAGACTTTGAAAGTCCTGATGGACTTGTTGAGGCCGTGAAAGATGTCGATGGAATCATTCATACAGCCAGTGTAGGGCCTCGCTCATGATACTTCAGGTAACATACACTAATCGCCTGTTTAGCCCTTTACATATGACACCAAAGACAATGAGAAAGAGCTCATCATCCCCGCCATAAATGGGGTCAGAGCTGTTTTCGAAGCAGCTTCTACGAACCCTAAGATCCAACGCGTCGTATTGACGTCCTCCTTCGCTTCCGTCCTTGATGCAAACCGGAAAGCGCCGCCGTACTTTGCCTACACTGGCGCCGACTGGAATCCATTGACATATGAAGAGGCTGCCGACAAAGCTACGAGCGCTGTTATTGCATATAGGGGGTCAAAAAAGTTCGCTGAGCTCGAAGCTTGGAATTACGTCCGCGACAAGAAGCCGACGTTTGATCTAGTGGCTCTTTGTCCTCCCATGACCTTTGGGCCGGTAGTTCATCCTGTTCCTAGCATTGACAAGATCAATGAGTCAAATGCGATGTTATGGCAGGKCGCGAGCGGTGCGAATCTACCTGTTGCGCGGGTACCGTTCTGGATTGATGTGCGCGATTTAGCAGCTGCACATGTTGGAGCATTGGTCACAAGGGAAGTCGGTGGGAAAAGATATACGCCCACTGCACCAGAAACCTTCTCTTACGCCAAAGCGGCGGCTATCATTGCTGCAGAGTTTCCGGAATTTAAGGATAGGGTGTCTCGAGATGAACAGAGCATTGATGAAAGCTATGGCTTGGATGGGGAAACGGCTAGTCGGGAGCTCGGGTTTACGTATCATACCTTTAGAGAGACGGTTCGCGATTTCGTGTCACAGGCTATTAAGATGGATAATTAGAGGTAGATTGTGTAAATGCCAATCAATCAATTAAGTTGCGTCGTGTCCGTCTCTTGAAACTAGGTGAAAGCTACTCAAGTTAGTCAACTTGAAACGGTCGAGTAAATCTGAGTTCTTCCTACACCAAGATCGTTGACCACCTCGGACAGCATTGATCAATAGTCTAACCATGCCATCTGATCACCAAGTCACCGAATCCGAAGAACAGATTGAGAACCTGCCGCTCACCCGCGCAACACTATGACTGCCGCCTTGCCCCGAGCCAACCAAACCCGCTTTTATATCGCCTCCCCACATTCCCCGGCCGGTTGCCGAGTCCCCATGGGGTCATGCATCCTGATCTAGTTCACTGCATAGTCAATCTTGCATAGTATTTATTGCGCCTTCCCATCCCTATATCTACCTCGTTGCATCAATAATCATGAGCATTTTTCAGTCAGTCTCATCCTGATATCGCACACACTATCATCCACAGAAGTCGCACCAATGGGCCTCAAACTATCAGACCGTCTTTCCGGACGATGGCTTCTGACCTTCGTCACCATCGCTAATGCATGGTCAGACACTCTCCCTCTTTCACCGCGTATATCTAGCTAATATGAAGCAAATAGCTCAATGGCCTGGTTCGGCTATGACCAAGGCGTCTTCTCCGGCGTCCTGATCTCCGCCGACTTCAAAGCCCACTTTCCCGAAACACTGAACGCAAACACCTCAGGTATCACGTCTAGCTGTTTCTCTCTAGGTGCATTCTTCGGCGCAATCTGTGCTTTTACCTTTGGTGATCGTCTAGGTCGCAAGAAGACTGTGGCCATGGGACTAACTTTCAATGTCGTCGGCGCCATTTTGCAGGTTGTCTCATGGCATTTACCGCAGATGATTGTGGGGCGAATCATTAATGGGTTTGGCATGGGGTTGACGTCCTCAACATGTCCTGTATATCAGGCCGAGTGCTCTAGTTCACGGTCTCGCGGGAAACTTGTTGTTGTCGGGTCGTTGGCGAACACAGCCGCATTCTGTCTGGCTAGCTGGATGAACTACGGCCTCTATTTCCAGGGTAGCGCATTGCAATGGCGTTTCCCGCTCGCATTCCAGTTAATTTTCCCCGTTATTGTCGCGTTTGCACTCCTCTTCATCCCCGAGTCCCCGCGATGGCTTCTCCTGAAAGATCGACCCGACGAAGCGCTACAAGTCATTGCGCGCCTTACAGGACCCGGTGTTCCAATCGACAATCAGGACGTCATGGCCCAATTCTTGTCAATTCAGTCCTCGCTCCAGGAAGAACGCAAAGACCGCCGTCCCATAATGGACATTCTCCGCTCTCGCGACAAGACTCAGACACTGCGTCGATTGATACTGTCGTGCGGCACCCAATTCATGCAGCAGTTCAGCGGCGTCAATGCGCTTGGATACTATCTACCCACGCTCTTACAGCAGAGCGTTGGTCTCGGGGAGGAGATGAGTCGGCTTTTGACGGCTGTGAATGGGACGATATACATGTTCGCGGCGTTTTGTTGTTTGTTGATTATTGATCGGTTTGGAAGGAGGAAGTACGTCCTTTGTCTCCCCAGAGATTGGAATCAAATGCACTGACGATGATCTAGGATGATGTTGTACGGTTCCCTAACTATGGGATCATGCTACCTGATCGCATCAATCAGTTTGAAATATGCAGAGAGCGACCCATCACGCAAGCAAATCGTACGTCCCTTTCATAACCTCGTCTTGTAATACAGCCAACTAAACCCCCTCCAGCTCGGCCGCGTTACAACAGCCATGTTCTTCCTCTACTACTTCTTCTACGGCACCAGTTTCGCAAAAGTGCCTTGGGTCTACAACTCCGAGATCAACTCTCTCGCCTGGCGCACGCGCGGCGCAGCCGCCGCAACAGCTACAAATTGGATGGGCGGATTCATCGTAACGCAGTTCACAAAGGTTGGGGTTAATAATTTGCATTGGCGGTTTTATCTCAGTATGTATTCCATCCCTTTTACCTCACGTCGATTGAAAGAAAGATGGATGCTAATCAGGGTAGTGTTTGCGATTATTGTATGGGTCTATTTCCCCGTCGTCTTCTGCTTTTATCCCGAGACATCGCAGCGCACGCTCGAGGATATGGACGAGATCTTCATTCAGAATCCGTCGTTGATTGTGTGCGGAAAGAGTGCTTTGACGCAACGCAAGCGACCTGTCGAGTTTATTGAGGCTGAAGAGCGACGGATTGCGGAGGAGCAGAATGCTATGGAAGGAAAGGCGGGAGCTATCACGCATGTTGAGCAAGTATGAGCCTGCTGGGCAGATGTCGTCTTAGTTGCAGCTCGTACATGTGAACGGGAAGTAGTTGTACATAGTATACACTGCAGATTCCAAAAATTGGAAGATTCCTTTCGCGTACATATAATATTATTGTACACTAATGTGCTACCTATTTCCACCTTGGTTATAACTTCCTTGGTGAGCGCCCTGATGACCACCTTGATGATTACCTTGGTACCCTCCCTGCCACGGTGGCGGAAACGCCCCCATATGCATCTGCTGCATCGAATAGGATGACGGTTGGCCATATTGTGTTGGTTGACCCGCCGGCGGCTGATATTGCTGAGGAAAATTCCCAATACCCGGGGGTACCATATGTTGGCCGCCAACTGGATACGCAGGATTGGGCCACGCATGGTTATAATTCATCGGAGGCGCAGGCGGGACATTCCCAGCGAATTGGGGTGGAAATGATGCCGCTCCATTATATGAATATGGAGGGTTGGGAACATTAGGAGGTGGCGGTGGGGGCTGCTGATTGTTTTGTTGAAATGCAGGATAGGGTCGTGGAGATGCCGGTTGGGGTGAATATGAGATGGATCTTGAGCGTGACTGTCCGCCAAGGCGTGGTCTAGGGGCCTCGCGTGAGTCGTTACTCGATGGCGATCTAGAATACCGTCGGCGATCAGGGTTACGCGAGCGCGAACGAGAGTCATCACGGCTTCTGCTGTCGCTATAACGACGTTTCCGATAACGCTCGTCCGCACCGTAGCTATAGCTGCGACTCCTTCGAGACGTTCCCCGGGCCTTTCTGTTTTTCATTTGTTGACAGAATTCCCGGGACCATCCGTAATAAGTATCAGCGTCGATAACCTCTCCCGTCTTATCGTCACGTAGCACAGTCTGTCCGAGCTCGTCAACATCTAATGACGCGTTTTCTGGGAGATCCGATTCGATCGATCCGTATATATGATCCACATCTTGCAAAAACTTCTTCAATACCCCGACAAGCTTTTGATCAGCTGGTCCAGCTAAAAATTGTATCGGTTTGACGGTATCTGGTCGTATCGGAGTCGTGGAATCCGGAATAATATGGGGTACGAAATTTCCCGCCGGCAAATCATAGAACGGCGTGGATGCATCACCATGACTGGCTGGCATTATATACGGTGCATCCCTCTTAGACCCTGTCGACTGTATGTCGCTCGCGCCTTCCGATAAACCGACGTACGTCTTGATTGCATCAAAGGAGTCTATATTCTGAGCCAACTCTCGCAGCTTGTCGACGTACTCGGCAGCGTAATATCCATGATTGTACCAGGCATCCAGCAGCTGGCCCAATCTTCGATGATGTTTCGGATTCTTTTGGCGATCGTACGAAGCGGCGAGTCCAACAAGCTCAACGACATGTGGTTGTAACGAACCGCTGAAGCTGACAAACGCGCCGACCCCTTCATTCAAATGATATTTGGTGTGATGCAAAACATCATTTATCAGATACAAGACGTGCAACCGCTTCCGCTTCCCAGACGGCCGTGCATTGGCGGCTTTTGGCTGGTCCTTAACTGATACCAACTCGTAGGAGGTCGACAAAGCGGCCAGGTATTTCCCTAGCACACCGACTCTGTTTGAGGAGGAGACAACATGACGAAGCAACCATTCCTTGCAAGTCTATTTCAACATTATAGGCAACATTTAGTATATCACGTCTCGACCACAGCTACCAAAGGACATAACGGATCAGACCTGGACGTTGATGCGCGAGCAATGCGATAGAGCGTTGTCTAAAAGAGTATGGAATGTGGTGATGTCGTCGCGCGATAAAGATGTGGGATCAGGCCGAAGTAGAGCAGCCGAGAAGGAGGCCTTTGCTATGGCGAGCTGATGGGCGGCCATGACGACAACTTGAGGAGTAACAGAACCCTTCGCGATGTTAAAGTGCGGCGGAAATGGAAAGCGCGACCTTGACGATCATGTGGGGCACAGTCACGTGAGTCTTGACGTTCTTTGACCAATAGGAGCCATATATGCTCTCACCCTCATGAAACGACCATCTACTGTTTTGTTTAGGAAAGGGGAGGGAAAAAGTAAATAGATTGATGCCACTGGTCGACTCTACCTCGGTATGTATTCAAATAGTTGATCCAGGAGAGACCACATATTGGGCCAGCCGGTTTGTATGCGATACAGTCCCAGATCAACGCATACATATCATGGTGCTTAGTTATGAAGACGATGAGTCGCTGAGCCTTGAGAGAAAGAGTGCATCGGTCGAGACGAGGAAGCAAATCCTGAATCCGGTCTATTGCTGAGCTATATAGTCATGATCTCCCTATATGGGTAGGTGGTCCCGAAGCGGTTTTAGGGTTGGATGACGAACTACACGGGMCTTTGAAGCTCAAGGCGCTTTCTCTCGCATAACCCGTCCCTAACGCCAAGTCTCTTTCTTGAGGGAAAGGGAAGACAAAAACGGACTCACGGCCTACGTTTACAACGAAGAAGTCAACCGTCAGGTGGTGGGGCTCGGGGCTCCGAAAAGTCACTCCGTGGAGTAATACTCGGAGCGACGATTTTCGATATGGCCAATGTCGCTGATGACGTATGCAGGAATTAAATTATCGATTAGATCCACGACAACGCACACCAGCCAAAGAAGCATTCAGTCATCCATTTAGGGAAAATAAGTTAAGATTGGGCAACAATTTCCTCCCCATGACTGTCAGACACCACGGATGTCAAACTACTAGATGGGGCTCATCGGCTGAGGTGGGGGATCGCGTGGTGACGGTTAAAGACGGGCTGGCCCTAATCCGCGAATAGTCGGGTCGTTGTATGAGACTGTGAGACCACGGAGGCTAAGAATCCGTGTTTGTCACATGGTTCAAATTTGCTCGTAGAAAGAATGTCTAAATTGTTGAGGTCTCTTTTGTGATTACTTGATACCATCAAGTGTAGGGCACTAAATGCAAGATTATGTACTAGGGAAAACACTCTTCCGATCACTTGTTGACTGAGTTCAGTACGTACCATTTATTTCTCGGGGCCGACGCTTCGGCAAGAAGAGCGCAGTCTCCCCACATGCGCTAGCCTTATCGATAGCAGCCTTGGGCAAGTGTCGGTGATTGTCCACTGAGCAAAGTGCATCTTGATAGAGATCAACTAAAAGACATGTACTATGGTAAGGCAGAGACCTACATGTAGTTGGCTAGAAATGATTATGAGCCTGATGACCATGAGACTTTTATCTGAATCAAGGAGGCAAATGGCGTGACCACAGGCAAGGCTGAAGCGGCAGTCGGCAGACTAGTCATTGGTAATAGGCAAGCGTTGATTGGACGCCATGCTCCACGGAGCGTTCGGCCCCGCAGCGAGTCAACAAGGTGCCTGGCTTTATTACTTTCTTATTAAGTGCTGTGCCTGCTGATGGCCCTTTAACTCTTGACTTCGATTATTTGCTACAGTCACTACCAGTACCTTTTAATAAGAAACCTCGCTTTGAATACATCCGAAAGAACAAGAGTCTCGTCGAATCTGTGTACAACAAATCTCCAAAGTCACAACATCATGGCCGTCGCAATCACCGCCTCAGGACTCCGCAGTTCAGTGCGCCATTTCTCAGCCCACCGTCCTCGACCTGATACTCGCACATCTCGCTTTGTGGCCTCGTCATGTCTGGTTTCCATGGTCGTATTGCCGTTTGTTCCTCCAGCATTAGAAAGTTCTCGAGAGAAGAATACTGGCTATCCTCATAAGTGAGTAACCCACTTCTATAGTCCGTCTTGCGCTCCAATCATAGTTACTGATAACCCCTCAGAGAGCGCTCCCTTCCACCACTTTGCTTCCATGCACGATAAACCAACTTGGCATCGTTCGCCATTTCATTACTTTATTACGACGTTATACCCGACCCTTTTCGCTCTCAGAATACCATACAATACCCATCCCATCTTGATCCGACACAGAGTCTACAGGCAAAATCACGGCGTCACGGCACTAAGAGCCTAATTGCTTGCATGAACCAGGAACGTTTGCTATGACAACGTTCACCAACGGGACACATCTACCGCTCATTGTATTTGGCTTTTTTTTTTTGTTTTTCGTACCTTTACATTTGCATACCAGGGGGATCATCTATAGGCACGGTTGGCGTTTTGACATGGGGCTTGCTGTTTTGATTTCAGATTGCATGTGAATAGTTGGTCCAGAGTTGAGATTATTCGCTATTGAATTGTTTACCAAACAAGCTTACCGCAGGATGAGTAACTATTGATGCTAAATGAATTGGCCCTACGTAGGCAAGCACAATGACTTAATAAGGCCAAATTCAGTTAGCCCCCGTTACCGGACAGCCTCAAAGGGTTCACTTTCCAATCTATAATACATATAACATACAAAAAACGAATCAAGCCAGCTCAACTAAATCTGTTCCCCCGCGGCGGCCGGAACGGCTGCGTAGGTTCATATTTCGACTTCTCCAGTAATCCCTCAGCATCAGTTTCTGGTTCATGTCGAGTCGGTACCGGATCTTGACCTGCTTCTCTGCTGGGTGAAGCTACATCATCTCTCGCGGTGTATGAGACGGCACTGGCGCTCGCACGCTGCAAGGACGGGTCGTCTGTAGGTTTCCGCGTTTCCTGCGGCAGCGTGGATGAGGTAGCTCGTCGACGATCTTCGGCTTCAATTGCAGCTAGTTGGGCTTTGCGAACCATGTCGGCTTCATAGCGGGCTGCGCGGTCGGCGTTGACGGACTTTTTGGCGAAGTAGTAGGCTCCTCCGCCGGCTGGAGAGTATGCAACGTTAGAGTGATTATCTTGTGGATCGGTGCTATATGAGGAATTCACTCACCAACGCAGAGCACACCCCATCCATACCTTTCGAGAGCAATTGCTGTCAGCAGTCAAGGCAAATATCGGACGGAATCTTGTCGGCTTACCAAGTTGATCTTATCTGAAGGGTCTATCAGCTTCTGCTTGGTTTTAGATGAACATTTGACAGCACATAGCGGGCTTACCGTATTCATTCTGCTTTGTGAAGGATGTGTTGGCCTGTATCGCGAAAATTGACACCGAGGATAAGTGAGTAAGTTCTGAGAGCTCGGACGTCCAAACGGCTCTGCTAGCAGCTGCTAGCTAACCCTAAACGTCGATCGGAATTACGCAGCACGACCGGAATGAATGCTAGCCTCTGATTCGTTGATTGCTTACCAAGCAGGTGAGTGCCAAGACCGCTGATGCCTACTTCATCAACGACGACATCTTCTCCATCTCTTCTGTTCTTCATCCCTCATCTCGCAGCGCGGTCATCCTGGTAGCTCACATTTGCATCTAGGATATGCTGGGATCCGACTGCCGTCGTTAAAGACCACATTTTTATGGCTTKAGAGCGCCCYCGCAGTGCTACGCTACGGTAGACCACGTTATTCTTGATATCTTCGCCACAACGGTCACCATGGCCCCAAAACGCAAAGCAACTGAAACTGCCTCAGCGCGAGCCTCAAAAAGAGCGACTCCCGTGCCCGATACACCGCAGAGCTTCGACAGCAGCGATGAGTATTCCGAGTACGATGAGAAAGAGGAACGCACAGCACAACTAGTCCAAAAGTTCTCGCTTGAGTCCTTCAGCAGGGATAAGAAAGCGGTGATAGACAGAAGTGATCCACATTATGGCTACAAGGATTTCTCATCACTGCCGCTGAAACCGGATCATGCGAACCGACCGTTGTGGATCGAGCCTCTTAAAGGCACAATTACGCTCGAGAGTTTCTCACCTCTTGCGTCGCAGGCTGCTGATTTCTTGACGACCATCGCGGAACCGTTGTCTCGACCGGTGCATTTGCACGAGTACCGACTTACTGGAAATAGTCTGTATGCTGCGGTGTCAGTTGGCTTGGAACCAAAAGATATTATCCATTTTTTGGACAGACTTTCCAAGACACCGATCCCAGATGCGATTCGATCTTTTATCGTTGATTTTACAAAGTCTTACGGAAAAATCAAGCTCGTTCTCAATAACAATAAATACTATGTGGAAAGTACAGATCCTGCGATGCTACAAATGCTACTCCAAGACGACGTGATCGGAACAAAGCGAGTTCAAGGCTCAGAGGGCATTATCCAGCAGGCTGCACCAAAAATGGCAGGCCTTGTCATTCCTGGTACTAAAGATGCGGCTGGCGKCGCACAAGCAAATCAAGGTTCCGGCGAAGCGAATGGGGCGAACGCTACCAACAAAGAGGATGACTTCTTGGCTACTATCCGTGACGAAGATGACGACGACGATGATGCACAAGTCCACAGTTTTCAAATCCCCAACGACGACGTCGAATCTGTCAAAGCGCGATGCCAGGCAATGGGCTGTCCGGCCCTCGAGGAATACGACTTTCGAAACGACAGGGATAATCCCACGTTGGATATTGACTTGAAGCCAAATGCTCAGATTCGAAGCTATCAAGAGAAGAGTCTGAGTAAGATGTTCGGTAACGGCCGAGCCAAGAGTGGTATTATCGTTCTTCCCTGTGGTGCCGGCAAGACGCTTGTCGGTATTACCGCAGCATGCACCATCAAAAAAGGTGTTATTGTACTATGCACCAGCTCCATGTCTGTCGTCCAGTGGCGAAATGAGTTTATACGATGGTCAAACATCGACCCTGGTGACATTGCCATTTTCACATCCGATAATAAAGAGAAGTTCAAGCGGTCAACTGGTATTATTGTCTCGACATATTCCATGGTTTCTCAAACTAGAGCCCGATCGCATGATGCACAAAAAATGATGGATTGGCTGACCCAACGAGAGTGGGGTTTAATGATTCTTGACGAAGTGCACGTCGTTCCGGCCTCTATGTTCAGAAAAGTCACATCGAGCATCGCATGTCAGGCCAAACTAGGATTGACTGCGACACTTCTTCGAGAGGATGACAAGATTAAAGATTTGAACTTCTTGATCGGTCCCAAGCTTTACGAAGCAAATTGGATGGAGTTGGCTGAACAGGGCCATATCGCCAAGGTTCAGTGTGCCGAAGTGTGGTGTCCGATGACCACTGAATTCTACTCGGAGTACATGCGAGAGAGCTCGCGTAAAGCAGCTCTTTTGTATATCATGAACCCACGAAAGTTTCAAGCTTGCCAGTTCTTGATTGATTATCACGAAAAGCGCGGTGACAAAATTATCGTGTTCTCCGATAACGTCTACGCTTTGCAACGATATGCTCTCAAATTAGGCAAAGCTTATATCTACGGTGGAACTCCGCAAAACGAACGCATGCGTATCTTGGAGAACTTTCAACATAATGAACAAGTCAATACTATTTTCTTGTCCAAGATCGGAGATACTTCGCTCGATCTCCCCGAAGCCACATGCCTGATCCAAATCTCATCGCACTACGGTTCCCGCCGTCAAGAAGCACAGCGACTAGGCCGCATCCTACGAGCCAAGCGTCGTAACGACGAAGGCTTCAACGCTTTTTTTTATTCTCTTGTCTCCAAAGACACAGATGAAATGTACTACTCCTCCAAACGACAAGCCTTCCTCGTGGACCAGGGTTACGCGTTTAAAGTAATCACGCACCTTCAAGGCATCGAAAACCTCGAGGGTCTCGCCTACGCTACCCCTTCCGAACGCCGCGAACTCCTGCAGGAAGTCATGCTCCAAAACGAAACCTCCGCCGAAGTTGAGAACGTAGTCGATGACCTCTTCTCCGAGCGCTCGGGTGGCCAACGCGGCGGCCGCGCAGGCGCCAAAAAGGCAATCGCAAAACGCAGCGCGGCTACACTCAGCGGCCTCGCTGGAGGCGAGGATATGGCTTACGTGGAATACAACAAGTCACGCAATAAGCAGCTCAAGGAGAAGACGCAGCATCATCCTCTGTTTAAGAAGATTGCCCGCGATCAGCAGAAGCGCAAGGAGGCTATGAAAGATATGGGGCCGAGAGGGCGGTGATAGCTCTTGGTGTACCTGTCTTTATGAAAATAATTTATTTCGTAGATTGGATCTTGTGAATATACAGAACGTGCCTATCGTGTGATTTAAGAATTTAATATCCATCCTATATAAGCTTGTGCATTTGGTGTCCCTCCATTTTTAAGCACCAGATAAAAAGGATTCTAGTGTCCCAATGAAGAAAATTTCTACCATGTACTTATGTATGCAATAAAAGGACACTTGTCAAGCGAGCACGATTACGTGAAATTCAAAGCAGCTTAATAGATATATTTTCATTATACGTGGGAATACTCCCACAGCCTCAACCTATAGCTATCATCTACTTAGAGACAATAATCTGGTGGTAGTCTTTGTGCGCGAGCTCCTCCTCAGTGTTGAAGATGTTGACAGGCCAGAGAGGATCGTTAATGACACCGGGAACATTAAAGCGCTTATTCTCCTTTCCAAGAGCATCAATCTCAGCGATTTCGTCGGCAGAGAGCTCGACGTCGGTGAAGTTTTCGACGATGCGGGATGCGGTGACTGATTTGGGGATGACGCTGTGGCCGCCGACCTGGGCCCAGGCGAGACTGGATGAATGATAAGTATTATGCTCGTGACTGGTTATATGGTGGAAAGTAACTTACAGGACCTGAGCAGGAGTAACGGTTGTGCCGGTACGCTTGGAAGCGCGCTCTGCGACGGACTTGACTTCTGGGCGGGTGATGATAAGAGGCCAGCCGATGGAGTTATTTCCGAAACCCTGGTAAAAATAAGCTTTTTTTGAACATGTATAACGATCTTTGGGGTGTATCATACCGAGTAGGCAGTAATGTGAATTCCCTTGGACTTGGCGTATTCAATCAAAGGTGGGTTGGGGAGGTAAGGGTGGCGCTCGATCTGGAGGACGGAAGGAGTGACACCGGTAGCCTTGATGATGGCTTCAATCTACAGTAATCGACAGATATTAGCAGAAAATACTGGAGTAGACATTTGTTATACTCACGTGGTCAATGCTGTAGTTGGAAACACCGACAGCGCGAGCTTTGGTCTTGGGTAACTTGGTTACGGCTATTGCATGTTAATTAGCTGTCATTCTCTTTCCCTGCCGACTTGTTGGGAAAACATACCGGTCCAGGTGTCGAGGATGGAAATATCGTCGTCAATCTCGACCAACTTCTCGTTTCCAGCTTGAAGAGGGAAGAGGTTGTTGATCTGCTTGTTTGACTTGAAGGCGACTGGCCAGTGGATTAGGTAGAGCTATATAGACTCATTAGTGTGTTTGAAAACAATCTGACTCGTGATCAGGCATACATCGAGATATTCCAAGCCGAGTTCTTGGAGAGTGTCGTCCAAAGCGGCTTCAACAACATCAGGGTGGAATTGGCTATATGGGTCGTTAGTGTCGTCCATCCGTGTTGATAGGTAGAACGTTGAACGGACCTGTTCCACAATTTGGAGGTCTGATAATTGATCAACGTGGTTAGTATATGGGCGCAACGATTGGAAAGGTGGTAGCCTTACAATGAAAACATCCTCACGCTTGATGCCGAACTCCTGGAATGCTCTGCGAATGCCCTCGCCAACTTCTTTTTGGTTTTGGTAGCTGATTATAGTGTTAGATTTGTAGCATGGTTACGTAGGCATGGAAAGGTTATTTGCCTACATTTTGGCAAGATCCTGAAAAGTAGCAATCAGTACAGCGCTCAATCAACATCGGTTGTACAAACTCACGAGGTGACGGTAACCGGCCTTCAATGCAAGGTAGACACCCTCGCCAACCTGGCCGGGCTCAGCCTGCCAAGTACCATATCCTCGAAGACTACTGATGTCAGTAATGCGCGCATCTTGGACCGCAATGGCGACTTACGGAATGGTGGCACCAGTGTTGAGTGTAGCGGTCTTTCCGAGCGACATTTTGACGTTTGTTTTTATGGATGGAAGAATGCAATCAATGGAGAGGGAAAAAGAGGAAATGGAGAAAAGATGAGATTGCGACAATACAGGGGAACTTGGGGACAATTTATTTCCAGACGCCGTGGGGGGAAACCTACCTTACCCACCTGGCCAAGCCAGCAGCAGGAACAACTGTCTACCTAGTTACAACTTAGCTAATGAGGTCCATGTAATACAGTGTACTGTACCCATACATCATGGATATTTCGTGGTCGGTTCCTTTTCTTCCGTCATTCAGCATGGGCCCCGCGATGTCCAGCCCCGCTCTCACATTGAAAAATGCCCGGGGGATCGGTCGGACTTCCTCCGAGGTATGATGCCATTGCTTTCATCGCGTGCTTGGTCTCGATTGTGACTACAAGCACCCTTTATATGTCGCTTTTAGTTCTCTTATTTGAGTATCTCTGGGCGAAAGAGTGACTAACCTTTCAACTGACACCATCGAGGTTAATCGTGTTCATCATCTGAACTGTCGCGCATCTATGAATCTGAAGTAAAGACGCGTTATGGTTGGTGGGATATCCTACTCGGCGATTATCCACCTATCGTGTCGCTGCTTTGCTCATCCCGCACTAAGCCGCTTTCGATTTGTTCGGCGCGATATTTCCTGATTAGGAAGGTGGCACTTTTTTCTGCGCGACATCAATACCTTCAGGCGCACGTCGATGATCGGACGTAAGTAGTACGTACGTTTAAAGGGTCAAAGCGGAATATAACTGGTTCATGGCGATGCAAATCTGTTCTTGAATCCGGGCCGATTGCAGTAGAATTCGAACAAATCTCGGTTCGGAATTGGCTCCGATCGGCATCAACTTGTCTCTGCGGGGTGACGACTATTATTATATGTTTAACAGTGGTCATTTTTAGCAAAATTACTGTACTGCTGACATGAAGGAAATGAAAATTATGAGAGTTTAATCGGAGTCTGCCTATTTTCTCATTAATTAGAATTAAATCCAACGTGGACGTTGAGAAATTGGAGATTCGGATTTGAGATACTACTATGGGCTATCATATGGAATCACTATACTCTGGAATAAACATCTTATTCGCACATACTTATTAAATGCGCATGTCAAACCTAGACAGCTTCCGCCTGGTCTTTAGCCTGCACATCGACTTTGTAAGCACTCGGGACAGGAGATTGATCGGCACCACTATCATGATCCGCAGAGCCCGGAGAGTACAAAACGTCATTCTCAATCTCTGCCAAAGTGCGGCCCTTGGTCTCTGGAATCCACAACGTTACCAACGCAGTCAGCGCCATCACACCAGAGAAAATCCCCAGCACCCCGCTCAACCCAATAGCATCCTCGACACTCCCAAAGGCAAAAGCCGTCAAGACTGCGCCGCATTTGCCCGCTGCAGCTGAGATACCGTGTGCCGTACCACGGACACGGGTGGGAAAGACTTCAGCAGGAATGAGGAATGTCGTAGCATTAGGGCCGATGTTCAATGTGAATTGTGTGAGTGTGAACATGACCATCAACCCGGCTGTACCGGTGTGAGCTGATGGGGTGCTGAGGCCAGCCCAGATGGCATAGAACACGGAGACGAGCGCACAAGTATAGAGTTGGAGTTGACGGCGTCCGATGAGGTCTGGAAGGAAGATGGCGACATAGAATCCTGGCAGATAACCCTAGAGCTAGTCAGTCTTGTACACTATAAAAGAGAATATGATTCTAACTTACAGCTGACTGAACAATGATATTGCCAACGGCGGTTTTGTATAGAGTTTCCCAATGCGTTGAGCCCTTGGCGAAGCCGATCTTGGCCAGGATTACACTCTGATTGAAGTTGATTCCGTAGTATGCAATATCGCTACGAATGTAAGTATGTGGAATTATAAACGTATCAGACGTTCCAAACTTACTAAAGGAACCAGGAGAGAGATGTGGCTATCAGAACCTTCGCATGCTTCCACTCGCTGAAATAGGCCCGAAAATCCCGCCACTGGTGTTTCAAACCACGCTTCTCGCCATCACGCTCAATCACAACTAAATCAAGCTCAATTAGCTTGAATTCTTCAGAAACACAATATCTTGGATATGCAGGTCAAGACTTACATTGTTTGTATGGCCCGGTCTCGCCAATAGTGAGACGCGCATACAAGGTCAAGGACGCAGGAATGATAGCAAGACCCAGCAACAGTCGCCATACCCATTCGAGATGTCTCTGATTGTCTGCAACAGAGCTTTCAAAGGCTTTGAGCAGAATGAGCAAGACAATGCCTGATGTGAAACTTCCCAGGCCAATGTTTGAGAAGACCGTCAAGATCTGTTTGGCACGAGTGCCGAATGGATTTTTTTCAGCAGCTAAGGATGAAGATAGGGGATAGTCTAATTCATATTATTAGCATTTATAATGGAGTCCAAAATGTTGTTCCAGACCACCTACCGGCTCCAATGCCTATACCCGTAACCACACGAAAGACCGATACCCAAGTCGTAACGGCAGAGGCTGAGAAGTTCTTCCAAGGCAACAGGATGACCAAAAATGTCCCAAACAATGTCAACATCAGTTCCTTGCCATATATGACATGGCGACCCCATGTATCGGCCAACGTGCCAAATGCTATTTGGCCCACGATCATGCCCAAGCTGAGGGCACCTTTGATCACATCGCCATCGATAGTGGACACGGCACCTCCTGGGAAGTAGAGGTATCCGAGGATTGGGACGACTAGATAAATGGTTAGAACACGGTTTCCTTTATATCCATCCATTGATGTACAACGTACCAAGACCGATGGAGAGGTTGAGATACCCATCGGCAAAGAAGCCTACTCCGGCTGTGGCCAGAAAGCGCAACTTGGCTCCTAAAGAGGCCATTACTTCAGATGATGTTTAGGTCTGGGCGAATATAGTATTGAGTATGAATTGTGTCGACGCCTTGTTGTGAGGCATTGAGACTCCCGCATCATATCATATTGTGAGGATTTCCAAAGGTATATATACGCCTTCATGTTTGGTAGGCACACCCAGGCACATGTATCCGTGACATTGCCATCCATGGTGATTGCTATACATCCCAACGACACAGGATGTCCCGGCAATGACAGTCGGGGAGAAGTACTGCGGTGGTCGGCAGCACGTGGGCGAGCTGTCAACTTAGGGCCAGACTCGGCTAACCCTAACCCGTCCCGGCAAGCCATTCGAAGGCCACCCGGCCCCCACGTGCTCCCAGGCTCGACGCTTACGGCACGTCAACGTCGGCACGAAGTCCCTCTGCTTATTCTCGAGCTCCTTGATCTCTCTTTTCTTACGTTTACAGCGACAGCGATTGGATTGGATGATGGAGCTGTAATCTGAGCGCGTTCTTGGCAGCGAAGCTATGGGGATGATACTTTTGTTATCACCGTCATGGAATTGAGAACACTAATTGGCAAGTCCGCACAAAAATTCAACAGGTCGAAGGAGCAGTACAGGAGATGAAGAGACACCTAGAGCTTCGAATGTGCACACAAGCATCATGGGGGACTCATTTCCATCGCCGCCGCCGGTTGTTCGTGCCTTCCGCGAGTCCTTTGGCGACAGAAAAATCCCAGATATATCGCGAAAGATCACTGCTTGTGTAGCCTGCAGAAAGCAAAAGGTAAAATGTCATATGAAAGATGGCGAAGTACCATGCTCCAGATGCAGAAAGAGAGGACTGTCTTGCACAGTCAACCGGAGCTTGCAAATGTTGCTGGAAGATGATGTAGCGTAAGAATGCAAAAGACCCCGCGGCGAACCTTGAATTGCTAAGTGTGGTGGCAGCTGGAAGGAGGTCATGACCCAGAAGATCCAGCGCTTAGAAGAATCCATGGACCAGGTCTTCAACAGAATTGACGCCGCGGAAAGTCAACCCCAACGGCTGGCTCATTCAGTTGCCACGAGTTCTCCGCCAGTACCAGCTGCAACCGTTAACGATGCGCCAACGACGAGTTCGACATCTTCACAACACCCACCACAGAGATGGCAGGTTGTGATGGATTCTCAAGGCGGACCTGCATCAATTCCTGCGTCATGCGTATCAGAAATACGAACCACGGCTTCATCGGGCAATATGCCGGTTTCGCAGTACCCAGATTTGATTACGGTTGGAGTTTTATCCCTAGGACAAGCTCTCTCGCTATTTGACATTTATCACCTACGTCTTGACCATTTTCTATACAAGATCCTCGGCGATCTGACCAGCCTTGACGCCATTCGAAAACGTTCGCCCCTTCTCACCGCTGCTATTTGTACCGTTGGAGCGCTGCACTCGCAGTCTTTAGGCCATCTATACGATCCTTGCTATTGTGAATATAAAGCCTTGGCAACGGCGGTTACTTTCTCTCCTACAGCAAATGTGGATGATGTTCGAGGTTTGTGTATCGGCGCATTCTGGCTTCACGAGCTGTCTTGGGCGCTGATTGGAACTGGTAAATCTGTGTCTACCAGTCCTTACTATATATGCTAACTGGCGCAGCTGTAAGAATCGCTTCCGACCTCAAGCTTCATCATGGTATATATCGAGCTTTGAACGGCGACCGTAACGGATATCTGCAAGCTCGACTATATTACCTAGTCTACGTGTGCGATCACCACTTTTCAGTCGCCTACGGCAGACCTCCAATGTCTCGGGAGAGATTAATTGTTGACTCCGCTGCCCGATTTCTAGAAACCGAACTTACGACTGAGGATGACACACGATTAATAAGCCAAGTAAAAATATGGGCTATCACCGGTCAGGTATTTGATACATGTGGTGTCGATGTCGATACTCCGATACCACTTCAATGTGTTCCACAGCTCCGTCGATATTCTATTGAATTAGACATCTGGTACGCAGACTGGAACGAAACTTTTCGGCCCAACCGAAACGTGGGCAATTACCCGCAGAAAGGGGTTGGAATGCATTGGAACTTTGCAAAGCTCTACCTCTGTTCACATGCCTTTCGTGGAGTATCAACGGCGCAGGAAAGGAGCCGACCTTTACCGCCTGAGCTAGAAGAAATTGCAAACACCGGCGTTCTCTCGGCCATGTCTATTCTTAACGTCATTGTTTCCGATGATGAAATGAGATCTTTTCTTCACGGCCTGCCCTTGTACTTTGACACGATGATCGCATTCGCTGTTGTTTTCCTGCTGAGAGTGGCCACCAGATATGCGAACACTATACGCATCGACACTGACAAGATATTATTGTTAGTGAGCCAGACAGTAGCTGCGCTGAACGAAATCACACACCATATGCATCCACAACATTTGCTGGTCGCTATCGCCGAAGGTCTACAAAAGTTGCTATGGAAATGTCAAGAACAGCCTCATGTCACTCAGGAACCGATGCAACAGCTACCTGCTGCACTTGAAAATTCGCCTACGGAACTTGCCTGGATGGAAAACATTACAAACTTTGATTTCTTAACAAACGTGCCTAACGTAGATGATTGGGTGTTTCAATACCCTGTTCCGAATGGCGCACATTCTACCCATTACAATTCATAATACATCGATACCCCAGTAGACTCCCACTGTCTATTATCTCGACCAGTTCAGCACGAGATCGAAAATGTCATAATTCCTCCATTGGATTGCTGCAGCAACTCCTTTAGCTGTATCATTGATTCGTTTGCTCATGATGATAGGGATTGCCTGCTCACTCAACCCACCATGTGAGCGGAGAGGATGGTCTTTCACTTTAGACAGATCATGTTCGGACTTTCGTGAGCCGATTACCGCATCAGGCTTCGATATGACGACGATATCCCCTTCACGATCCAGTGGCATCTCATATTTCTCTGCCGCCTCTTTCCCGCTTACTGCAACTTCAACCTCGGGAAGCGATTCGCAATATGCCAATACAGAATCAAGATTCGCCAAGTCTTTGAGATATACTCGAACAAACGATCCCAAAGCACCATGGTGACGAACGAATGGATCCGTGATGGGGCATATCACACGAGCTGATCCAGTTCCGAATGCTTCGTATAGTTTGTCCTCAAGGAAAAGAACATTGGGTTCACCTTGTGCATTTGACTTTTGGCTCATGCCGTGATCACCTGTAATACCGATGACAGGAGTCAAGGAAGCCAATGTTTGCAATCGTGCATCGATCGCAGCCATGAACTCGTCGGCTTCTTTGCTTCCTGGTGGATATTTGTGCTGGACGTAATCAGACAGAGTAAGGTATAGGAAGTCGGATTTGCCTTCTTCCAAGAGCTTGATTCCAGCATCGAGCACAAACAAAGACAAGTCCCCGGAGTATTGACTCGGCGCTGCGCGACCAATCCATTTTTCAACGTTTTCGATTCCATTCTCCTCAATGGTGCATTCGCCAGCACGTTCCGCAGAGAAACAGATTGCGTCTTTGAGTCCGTGGGCTAATATCTTGCGGAGTTTATCCTTAGCTGTGACCGCAGCCACCCTCATACCATGACAGGACATTTGTTCGAGAATGGTTGAACCTCTCAGAAGGGTGTCGTCTGTGATCATTGTTTCTTTGCCCGTCTCTCTGTCAAGGAAGAAGTTGCCGGCAATCCCGTGGACAGACGGTGGCACACCAGTGATAATCGACACGTTGTTGGGATTGGTGAATGATGGCATACAACTTTTCGCCGTTGCATGGAAACCGTTTTCAACGAACAACTTGAATGTTGGTAGAGTGCCTGATTGGATCCCTGATTCGAGATATTCCGGGTCGAATCCGTCAATGCAGATGACTACTGTCGGCTGAATAGGCAGGTTGTATTGTCTAGAGTGCAGAGTGAATTTTGTTCGTGATTCTAGCCGTGGGTCAAATGTCAGATATAGGCCTCTCTCTCTTTTCTCGGTACCCTGAAAATTTACCTAATAAGCAGTGATAAATTGTTTCTTCATATTCCAACAAATCAGGCACCTCGATGTTCGGCACCTTGGCGAGGTCGTCCCACCGTCTAACAGCAAGCTTTGCTTCAAGCAACGGGTCCTTTTGCGCTTCCTTGACCTGGGACTCGTTGAAAATGCCTCCCTGGAAAAAGAATGATCAGTTCAAAGTGCCTCTCGATACGAATATCAGGTAGACATTACATACCTGATAATTCAGAGTCCTCTTACTCGTCTCACTCAATCCATCATAATAATCCTTATCGGTAGCAGTTAAATACCGCTTAGCCATGACATGGGCGCCAACTAATCCAGCCACTTTATCACTGAAACCGAGCGTGCGCAAATAATGCTCTCCAAGAATCTCATGACTTAATCGCCCAAGATATTCGCCGTCTGCCGCGTACATCTTCCCCATCTTCTCGGCCGCTGGAATGAACCGTCCCACATCGTGAAGAAGGGCGGCAATGACTACTTCGTCGTCTTGGCCGTATACGGGATCCTTGCGTGCGAGATGGGCGCATTGGAGAGAGTGTTCGAGTTGGGTGACGCGTTCTCCGAGATAGTCGGTTTTGCCTTGAGCGATCATGTATCCGATGAGAGTAGTGACTGTTTCGCGGGTGTGCGATTCGACGGATCGCAAGCTCGTAACGCCTCCAGATACATTTTTCATGTTCATTGTTGCTGTTACTGCGCGATGGAGTGATTCTGGTAGATGTTCGATAAAGAGACAATTCTTGGATCGTGATCTCCCTAGTGTTAAATCAGAAGTCTCTACTCTTAAGACATTTCGTAGATTGATTAATTCCTTCAAGACTTTTTAGATATCAAGAAACGCTGTGTTGCTACGATATTATCCCTCATCCTCCATCGGCTCCTGGACCGAAGATCGCGATGGTGTGCAAGGTATGAAGTCCGATGGTGTGAACAACAACCATCATCCAATGCTTTCGTGTATCTGCACCACGAGGATTGAAAAGCGAGCAACGAAACTATCGCTATCTCGCCGGCATGAAGAGCGCTTCTACAACATCGGCACGAAGTGCGGCCAACCCAACGCTGGTGGAGTCGCTCGGCACGAAGAGCTGTGGTGGTAGACTGACAGCGAATTATGCTGATGTGTTCTGATGCACTTGACAGTGGGGTAAAGACGTAGATTGAAGGTTAGTGACTGAATATAGAATCTCGAAAGAGGAAGGTGGAAAGACGGACCAAAAAAGTAGTAGTAGTGTTAATTCTTAATAAGCCTCGTTTTCCGTCTTTTCTGTCAATTCTTCGAGGCAAGTTGAAGACTTCAGAACATCAACGACTTATTTACCGTCTTCTCAGAAGAATACAAGAATACGGAAAATGTATAGCCTCACCCCAGCACAGGTGGAATCCTACCACCGCGACGGCTTCCTCCTTCTACGAGTAGGCGAGCACAAGCTTGTCAACCCAGTGGAATTGGCAAGGTGGACGGAAGAAGTGAAATTATGGCCGCGTGTGAAGGGCAAATGGATGCCATACGATGAGATCAACATCAAGGGTGAGCGCCAGTTGATGCGCACCGAGAACTTTGTCGACTATCACGATGGCTTCAATAAATTGGTCTGTGGAGAGGCGTTGGCTGGTATTTTGGGAGCCCTGGCTGGCGATGTATGTCTACTATTCCTTGAGATTTATTTTTGTGATTACTGCTAATATTTTTCCAATCCTTTAGGACATGCTCCTGTTCAAAGATAAAATCAACTACAAGCAAGCCCGCGGCAACGGCTTCCAAGCACACTTGGACGCCCCTGCTTACGATCACATCGGCCGCATCGAGCATATCACTGCCAACTTCGCCATTGACCCAGCAACTAAAGAGAATGGATGCCTCGAAGTGGTCCCAGGCAGCCACAAAATGAACGTACCATGCATTGACGGCGGACGTATCGACCCTGCCTGGGAAGAAGCTCAGCAGTGGCTAACTGTGCCGCTGGAAGCTGGCGATGTGCTGATATTTGGATCGCACTTGGCACATAGATCGGAGAAGAATGATACCGACAAGGCACGTGCCAGTTTATATGCTACATTCTATGGAAAGAGTGATGGGTTGGATTTGAGGCAGAAGTATTACTTGCATCGACGCGCTAATTTCCCTCCGGATCATGGTATGTAATCGTCCCTTGTCTTTCGCTTTTATTATTATTGACCCAATTGCTGATTATAACAGAACGTGAACCAGGCAAAGACTACTCACAAGGCTTCAAGACCTACGGCTTCGCAGCCCCATTCACCCAGAATGAAGACGCAGCTCCAGTAACGGCATAGTTACGACCAAGCAATTCTTTCATGGTCCAATTACTTAATTGAGATGATGATCATACCTGTAGCTACTGTACAATGTATGCAGCCGAACATGGATATATCCGGCCAATCAGCATATATACGTTTCCTGATTGGGAAGCAGGCCCTAACTCCGTCCAGTTGCGCATATCCGATCTTCTGGTCTTCCACGTGGTCTTTCTAGACCGAGCTATTCTCCTCGAATTAATAAGCCAATATATTAAGTTAACCTAGCCAAGATCTATATCCATTAGTAATATCACCAAATTACGAATGAATCTCGAGTATTGGATGATGATACAAACTAATTGGGAATTAGAAAAATGCGGGGAATCCGGAGAAGCCCGAAGAGCCTCAGGTATTGGCTGGAAGCGCCGCTGACATCGTCATTCTTTGCTAATCGCTGGAAATTCAGTAAGTTGGATACCTAATACCTAGTTATTATTATTAGTGGCCGTATTCAGTATTTAATATGCACAATCAATGCATCTAAATTCAGAATGGCTGGACTCAAAATATTTGTCATGCTTCTCCTGTGACACTTTCTCCACTATTACTTTGGGGTTGTTTATGAGACTTATGTATCACTGTAGTACATTTATCAACAGGTCGGAGTACTTTCAACTGTTCTTCTTTTTCCATGCGCAAGGAACTATTCATTCTACCACGGCAGCTGAGATTGACAAATAAACGGCTATCTAATCTGAAAATACACCGCCGATTTTACAACATGGCTACTGCAACGCAAGTCCAACTCTCGACATCGAATGCCGGCGTATTCTCACATAACCCGAGAGAAGATTCGGCCAAACGCGCTAGCGAACTACTGCAAAGGGATATGAAGGAACATCACATCTTCTTCAACGAGAAGAGATTCCATAGTACGACTATATTTATTTTGAATATCAGCTTTGGATACCCTCACTAACCATAATGTTATGTCTACAGATCACATCGTTCACCATCTCCTCACCCTGTTTTCACTGGGAGCCTCACCCGAAGAGATACAGGATGCTTATGATCGAGGACATAGCTATCAGCGAGCGCCATATCCGGTTGACGATAAAGTCGTGCATGCTATTATCGAAAAATCAACATTCAAAGACTATCTCGGAAAGGAGGAGCATTACTCGAACTTTCTTGCTTTTTTCCAGCAAGAGATTAGCACCAAAGGTGTTGAAGAGACTCTGCGGGAACATGTTTTTGCGGAGGACGAACATGCAGACGAGTTACTAGGAAGACTATTTTCAGGTATTTTCCTTCATTTCATGTCATGATAATGAACAACTTTAACGACAACGATGTCTAGGGCTGATTCATCCAATAATCCATCTCGGTTTTGGCATTGAGTTCAATCAACCAGCTATCATCGCAGAAGGTCTTGCCGAAGCTGCAGTACATGAAGGATGGATAAGACCATTCCTGCAAAGTACCGAAGATGCAGCTGGAGGAGTTGGTTCCAAGCCTGGAAAGACTATAACTGAGCTCTTGCATGAGCTGGGTAAAGACGAGGAGATTTTGTCTAGTGTCCGTTACAGTGACAGTAGTCAACTACGAGATGGAATCCTCAAACGTGCCCCGGAGAAGATGAAGCATTATGCCAAACAGTACACAGTGTCAGCAGAGACATTGAACGAACAACTGATTGAAATGGTCAATGCGCTAGGTACGTGATATCAATTCTTGACATCAGCCAAATGCTGACGAATCTATCAGTTTACTGTGCCGCTGCCTCCCAACACCCGCCTAATGTAGTCAAATATGACTTCATACTTATACACGCCGTGAACTGCTCGATTTTCTTTTCTGCTATCCTGGATCGACCCTGGATCAGCACTCGTGCAAAGGTCCGCTTGTTGGAGTGGAAAGGACGCATGGATTTGCTTATATATGCTTCTCGTCATTGTCCCCCTCTCAATCTCACCGAAATAACAAAATACCCTATCACCAAGAGCTGGGACGAGATTATATATGCTGGCAACACCCACCAAGGGGATGATGGACACGTTGTAAAGCTCATTCGGGCTATAGCACACGGCGAAGAGATTACTATGCCTCTTGAGAAGCAAGGAAAAAGCAAAGACCTGAAAATACATGGTGATGCGTGGCTCAAAGCGGCTAACATGGGTTCGTATTTCCTGTTACCTCATCATATCACGTTTGAAGACAGCAAGCTAACAAAATATTTTTACTGTTGATTAGCTATTGATTCCACTGTGACTTCGTCACACCGATGGATTTTCGGCAGTGGCTTTGAAGAACCATGGGTAGACATTCCGCGGCGTGCTCGATAGTGCTCTGAAGATCAATTTAATCATGTATCATGTTCGAATTATCGACTCAGATACTTGGAGTATTGTGTTTTACTCTATTACCCGACTGGATTGACTATACAAATACTATTTCCTTGATTGTATGTCCTGAAGTAGTTTCACACCGAACCTGTCGAGGGATCATACGAGTCGACATGATAGCCTCGGTCCCAGTGTGTGTAAAACACTATTGGCCATCTGTCTTCTCGAATATCATGGGTGATATAATACCGCTCGATCCGATCCGTTGACTGATCTGCAATCCAAGCACCAGCTTCCATGAGAATAGCCTCTATCTCTGGAAATCCTTTTGCAATAGCAGTACGTAGGACTGTGTTCACACTTCGAATCCACTCCCGGGTCCTGTGATTTTCCGTGTTCTGGTATTGCAGAATTAGTCTTACGGTGTCATGGTTACGAGCGTTAACAGCATGTTCAAGGGGAGTCCGGAATGTCGAATCCATCTCCAAAATATCTGCCCCGTGGCGAAGTAGCTCAAGTACCTCACTAGTTGTGCCATTCAAGCAGGCACGATGCAATGGGGTGAAACCGAACTTATCTCGCTCGAATATCATATCCGTCTTCCGAGATATCAACCATTCTGTGAATTCCTCGTGTCTATATCTGATACTGAGATGCAGACAAGTTTGCCCATATCGATCTACCAGGTCAACATCTGCGCCATTCTCAAGAAGTACTGGGGGAAGTGTGAGATGGCCACTCCGAATCGCATGATGTAAAGCAGTTTGACCATCCATATCTTTAGCATTGACTTGACATCCTTTCTCTAACAAGACTCTCGCTGCGGACACATTCCCTGTCTGGGCTGCATAGTGTAATGGCATGCGCTTTTTTTGGTCCTTTGAGTTCACAGAGGTAGTTCTACTCTCCACAAATTGTTTGAGAAGCGAGCCATCGAGCCATAGCGATATCAGATGAACCATAGTGGATCCTTCCTTTGTCCGACCGTAATCGTACTTCGCCAAATTCATGAAAAATTCAACACCTTCCCTGTAGCCTTCATTTGCGGCTAGATGTGCCGGTGTAAATCCTCTTTTGTCTCGTGCAAAGATATCAGCTTGCGCTGTGACAAGCCATCGGGCGACATTTATGTTGCGCTTAGCAATAGCTAAATGTAGCGCAGTCATACCGTTATTATCTCTCTGGTTGATGTTACCTGCAATTAGAATTTGAAGATCGCTCTCGCTCATAGGCCAATCGTAATCTAAAGCCCAATGAAGCAACGTGCGATTGGCGTGATCACATGCCACCGGGCGTAAGTTGAAATTGGTTACAAATCCTCCCACGATATCATGCCAGTCTTGATTGGCACACAAATGCAAAAGATTGTATTTCCCACAAGTCGCGACTTTTATAACCTCGTCGTAAGAGAGCTTAGTGATACAACGGATTAAGTCTGCACGACGTCCGTGATAGGCAAGAGCGCTAACGAGATTGCGTCCTGTATAGTTGTCGACTTGCAATAGAATGTGACTGTTCCTACTCAGAAGCTCATCTTCGACATGATGCCAACCCCAATTTTGGACAACTTCCAAAATTTCGACATCGAAAGGCATCGTTGTCATGGCTCGACTCCAGTCCAATCTCATAATCCTCAACACCACATCCTCCCACATTGGGCGTTGTAAGGCAAGTGTTAGAGCGTTTCTATTCATGCTATCTTTTGCCCAGACATCAATATGCGGTTGTTCTAGAAGCAGAAGGACGTATCCCAGCTGCCCGTGGCGTATGGCTTCCAATAAAGGTGTTGTGTGGTATTCGCCTCGACAATTTAGATTAGCTCGAGAGTCTTTCACCATGTAATTGATGTAGAATGGATTATTGCTCATGGCTGCATAATGTACAGCAGTTGACTGCGATGGGTTTCCATAATTCACTGACAGCGCATCACTACGCATCAGAGCCAAGAATGCCTCTTGCCGGTCACATAGTATGGTCCAACTCAGGGGGGTAATGCCCCGAGGGCCCAGAAAATTTACCTCTGAGCCAGACTCAATTATCGCTCTTATGAGCCTACCGGAGTCACCACGCGAAATGGCGTTCATTAGCGGGAATGACGCAAATTTGATCATTTCCGAGGTGAACTCATCCATCTCCGTCATCTCCATCCAAAGCATATGAAACCTCGATAGCTGTAAGCATTGGGCGACTTCCAGATCCAGCGCCACGGAGGGTGTAGCTTTCATATAGTGCTCAAACCAGTTCATCAAAGCATATAGTAGGCAGGATGTCTTGCTTTCTTTCTGGATATTAGATTTCCAAATTGATATCTTGTAGTACCATCTTGTGGTCGGTAATTTCAATTCATTGGCTTCGTTTCTTGAATGTGAGATAATACACTTTATTTCCTCGTCTGTAAGTAGTATCGATTCTGCTTGTAGAACCCTCATACACATCTGGAACAGTATGGAATGAGCGTCTGACTCGGACATGGTGTATTGGTTCAAGGTTCTCGCATTTTCCGCTGATTTTGATTGACCACTGAACAAATCCTTCACAGTTTGATGAGCAAAGCCGACCAACCCATTTTCATTCTTGCGGACGAAATCTCCGCAACGCTGGTGGAGAAAGGTTTCAAATCTAGACCGCACATCCTCCACAGCTCTGGGATCAAAGCTTGAGGTACTGCAACCAAATTTCCAGATCGTAGCAAATAGAGAAAGTTGTCGAGACGAAAGTCTCTCAGAACTAACGCGCAGAACGGCAAATGCTCGCCGGATCTCCTCCCTCCACTCCACAGGTAGCATGTTGAGTAGGCCGCAATAGAATGTTTCCAAATCATATGGCAGATGGTAGACTTGCTTAAGCGGAAGTTTGTTGTCGTCTCCTATCCAGACTTGAGCTTCATTCGAAAGCCACTTCCAAGTAAGTGACGCCATAAGGAAGTTTCCACCTGATATTTCGATGATCTCATCTTCAACTTGAGCTCCGACCAGCGGATTTGATCTCGTATTATCTAAGTGGCCTCCAACTTGAGCATGAGTAAACACTTGAACTGCTTGACGAGTGCTCTCATTTTTTAGGTTGATAATAGAGGTACTTGCATGTCCCAAAAACTTTTCATCTGGCATTTTGCGTTCTGTGATCAGCAACCTCATGTGGTCGCTCACATCTGCAGCCAGCAGTCTCTCGAGTCGCTCCAGTAAAGTTACGCTGTTGGTTTCTAGGACAGGATCAAATTTGTCTATGGCATCAACCACGAACTGAAAAATGACACCACGGCTCCGCTTAATGATTGATGACAGACACTTCCATAAACTATCCTCATCCAGCCTCCGAGCAAATAGATCAAAATCTTCGATATCCTCCAGGTATTTGATGGTGAATGCAGTTTTGCTATCTTTCAAGATTTGGTATAAGATAGAGCAAACAAATGACTTGCTAGATTGAGTGGCAGGATCGCTGCCATCATTCAAGAAGTACAATGGTTTGCGTACAATAGCTGCGTTCGATTCACCCTCACTAAGTCTGTTGAGATGGAGAACCACTGCTTTGCTTAGCACGGTTTTGCCAGAGCCAGGTTCACCCTGCAACCAAAGGACACGATGGCCATGCGATTCAATCCATGACTTGAATGACTGGTGGTTGATGAACCACTCATGTGATCTTTCCCATGGCGAAGGAATCCGGTGAAGCATATCTACCTCATTCACTACCCGCAATCGCCTCATAAACATATATTGGGGTGACGTAAAACCTATTATGAAATAAATTGTGTAAGTCACGCCTCATTTACTGGCGAGATTTTATCCTTATTATGTTCTCGGACATAGGAGAAGAATGAAGAAACGTACACGAACTATCAAATATTCCTGCACATGCATCTAGAATATCATCAAAACAGCCACGAACTAGTAAGTAGCTTGGATTGGAAATGGTCAAAAACCTGCACATGGTCTGATGATCTGCTTCTAATGGGACTGCAGTCTCATTGGGAAGACGTAAAATGGCCGACAGCTCATCGACAATCTTGACCAACTTCATCAGTACTGTAGACTGAAAAATCATTTAATTGAATTTCAAGGTAACATTTACTCACAAGTGCATTGAAAATGGGCGTTGTCAATTTCTCATATAGACTGAAGATTGGTAGTCCCGGTCCTAGCTCTACGAATCGAGAGCAAATAGTTCCCATCTCGGTTGACTTTAGTTCAAGGTTATCTAGTAAGTCCTGTCTAGGCCTCCCAGAAAGGGCCACATTCGCAAGTTTGATCAAGAGATCTGACCAGTATGGAAGATGAAGGCCCATACTGGGAGTGCCCAAGAAAACGACCCCTGTCACTGAAGACGCAAGTGTGCTATATGTGATACTATGTTCGTGGGAGACAATCAGTGCCTATAATACACATACGGATGTTAGCCAACAGATCGTCTTTGCTCAGTACCCAGGTATTTAGCAAACTTACTTCTTTGAGAAGAATCCCTCCCAGACTATGACAGACAAATATTGTGTTGACCTGCCCGTAAGATTCCATGTCAGGTGATCATGAACTGCAATTTCTTGAGGTTCTCATTAACAGTATATCCTACAGATTTATTGGTCGCCTGCTGACGAAGCTGCCTCAAGCTATCCAACAATTGAATGGCAAATTCGCGTATAGAAGCTGTAGGTTTTGTAAAAGCATCTTCCGAATTGTATCCGAATGTCAGAACACGGGCTCTCGAGATATCCTTCGGTATAAAATCTTGAAGCCATAGTTTTTGTCCTTCAGTCCACGTTCCAAAGGCATGGCCGCCCAGGCCATGGATGGCAACAATGCTATTCGAACGAGATCATTATATTGACCACAAAATCTTCGGACATAAGGAGCAAAAATAAAGGCAAACTTACTCTACGTCAAATTCAAACCCCGATGAGCTCATGAGCTCGGGATATGGCCATAGCTGGAATAAGCCTATGGGTGGACTGTCGGATTGAGTTGAATCATCACCAGGCTCCGGGACGACCGAAGCTGGTTCGAGACGTTCAGGTAGACTCATTTGTCATATGTTAAGATACAAAAGTGGTATAACAAGAACCGATAACGAAGGAATTAGAAGAATCTGATTAATATCGCTGCACGAAGTATGAAGTCCAGAGTACATATGTAGCATCTTAACTGATCTTTTTGTGAGGGGTACTTGTCACTTCCTTTTTAGCTGCATGCTGTCTATTGGAGTATGACTAAACTGAACACATTCGGCGCGGCGCTGCTATTTTAAGTCTACATTGGCGCGTACCAGGGTCAGTGGTATTTCGCCAATCATTTAACTAGAATGAACTGGGACCCTATGTAGAGAGCACGAAACCAAGCCGATCTCTTTTCATTGTCAGATAATGACAAGACTCCTCCTAAATATTGGTGTTTGGACTGAAAATAACGGCCCCAAAATCATTCATTAGGACAAGACATTCACAAGGGAAAGTATTCATCCATATTTACGGCGAAAGAGCCAGACCTCTATGATAATTCCCCACAGTGCTCCATTTATTCTCGCCTTAATTCCCAAACGCCCTATGCCATGCGGGCAACCTAAATAAACAAAATGATTTACAACATATTTAAATACCATTCAATGTTTAATCCTAACTCCGGGGGCAGAAACGTGGTTTTGACTTTGATGAAGTTCACTCGTTTCAAGGTATTATGAAGTTACTAAGACTATATTGGCCTAGAGAGAAGGGGAATTTATATACTTGTTGGATAGATCCCCCTTTTTTCTGGATTTTGTTCCGTGTTGCTGATCATTGATTTAAACAAGCGGAATAAAGTGTAAGAAGGTTTTTTCCTGGATCTGAAGGGATATTCGATTTCCTTTTATTGCTCCGCTAAAGAAGTTTGTCTACGCAGTGGAAGTTCTCAAACTCCGACGTGATCTCATCTCAAAATGTGGAAGTACTGGCTGCCCAGCATTGCTTTTACTTATTGGAGTCAATACACTGTCTATGGTCCTCGCTCCTATTAATATCACCCTAAGAGGCCCTCTTAGCTATACATAGAACGGCACTTGGAAGCATTCTGCATCAATCTTACTTTCCATCAAATATATAGAAATGCTAAGCAATGGCTACATAGCAGAAGGACTTTCCGTCCCACAGCTCTCCAGTGAAATCTTCTTCGGCACTCCAGACGCATGTGCATCTCGTCTACAACTGCCTTCTCATCTAAATGAGACATGGAACGGCACGCGTTCCGCCACGGAATTTGGCCTGACATGTGCCGGGGCAGGAACACAGAACAACTGGGTTTGGAGCATCAGTGAATGCTGCCTTAATCTGGACCTCGTAAGACCTATAGGAATTTACTCCAGGAGAAGCCTACCTGTCAGGGTCTCGAATTATGGGGGTGGATTCTATCATGGATCTGTGACGAGACCGATGATGAATGGGAGTTATATTGTAAAGACATCGAATGAGATCGGATTGCCTGCTATTGTCATTACGCTGAATTCGAGAGTCCTACAAAATACACTTGTTCATGCGCAAATTTAGCGGAAAAAGGGAAAGCAAGAAGCTCTTCATGATACGAATATATCACAATGAAGAATTGTATAGATCCGCCAATCGGAGCGCCTTATTATGTAGACTAATCAATTCGGGATGATAGGGTCACGTGGCGATAACAACATAGATGTGTTGCCGTTTTGCCGCCAACAGCACAATGCAACTCTTAACTCATCTTTTAAACTCCTCGTTGTTGACGTTTCAGCATATATCATAATCCAAAATATTGATTTCATCTATTTCCATACAATATCACCAGTCCAGATGGCAAACTCTGACAAAGACCGCCCAACTAACCCAGCTAAAGAATCACACGACAAGACCGCGACGCCACCCGATAACAAACCCGATACCGAGAATCCATTCATCGCATTTCGACGATATGCAGATGAACAAATCTCATCCATGCTCCAGGCGGTGATGGGTTTGCCTTCGTCATCTGTACCACCTTTCTCGGACAAGTGGTTGTACTTTCAAAACTCCGACAGTAACGATCGAAACGTCGACGGAGAATCTGACTATCGCCCAGAAGATGACCGGCCATCACGAAGATGGGGATTCCATAGAGATGAAGACTTTTTCGACCGCTGGCATAATCATCGACGCTTCTCGGATCGTGGGTTTCACTCACTGTTTGACGGATTCCCTATGAACCTGGGCTCATTCATGTTCCCGGAGAGCATACTATCAGACGGAGAGTCGCAGACCTGGCCACTCGCCTATCTTATATTCAGCCCTTACTCGCCCTTATATTTGGAACGATCCCAAGGCCATGGACGCCATGAAGGAGCTCTCTCATCATTATTCTCCTCGCGGAAACCTGCAGAGTTAGATTCCAACGAACCGCGCTGGCGCGATGCGTTTGAGGATCTTCTAAGAGTCACCAATGGACAAGAGATGCTAGACCAAAGTATGGAGTCGGAGCGTAGCAGGCAATCAGCTGATAATTGGTTGAAGGGGTTGGTACAGAGAGGTAGCCTTGGGAATAATTGGCGGTTGTTAGGTCCCGAACATTCGCGAGATGGAATAGCTCTGGAGAGATACCAGCAGCACGACCATGATAAACGTGGCCAAGACCCACCACGTCAGTTAGAAGAAGACTCTCTAAAAGAGGAAACGGAATCGAACGAGGCAGAAACAGAACTGGATTTATATGATCGCTTTCTCAATGACATTGCAAATGCCCATGAACGATACTCTCGCGCTTTCGCCGATAGTCCTTCAATGCGTCTTCTTGACGAAGAACGAAGGCGACATGTGCAGCAAGACAGGATTACGTCTGAGGACGCAAACTCAGAAAGCAAAGATTGGCTTGAGTATACATCTGACGGAAACAAAAGTCTGCTTGCTTCTCAGACAACAGCAGAAGATCCCTCTTTCGAAGATTCCCGAGTGGTTTCGACAATGACCCGCAGTGTCAAGCGCACACTAGCAGATGGCTCGATCTCGACAAAGACAGTGAAAACGAAGCGCTTTGCCGATGGTCGTGAGGAGAGCGACGAAACAGTCGAAGTCACGCCTCCTCCCATGATTGAGAAGAATGCCGAGCAGACTCAAGGTTCTGACAACGAGAAACACTCTCACGGAGGCTGGTTTTGGACTCGTTGAACTCAATCTCGTTCATAATACTCCAATCATGCGATCTTATACTCTTTGACATCTTCATCAAGAGGAAAAGTCGTTCCGATATCTTCTATCCCGACTTCACATATATTGCACTAAGACTGTGCACCACGCGTTGTATACGATTATTTGTCAATTTATTGCATTATTTGCCTAGCATTTCTGTGACTCCCCACTCAAGACTCCAACAAAGTCAGGTTTTCGTTTTTTTTTTTGAATTTCCTCTCGATTCTTTATGCTCAGTTGAAATTTGACAAGCATTTTTGTAAATTTAGGTTCATATAGCTTACTGAATTCTATGTCGTGATCTTTCGTATTTGCATCAGTAAATGGTAGTGACTATAATGTGTCATTACTGGTATGAACTTTTTCGATGGGGAAAATGAGAGGAGTTAGGGCTACTGCGGCCTAATTCGGTGTTCGGGACCATAAAAATCGCAGAGAAAAGTTCAATGCACAATATGAGGTGATACGTATCGCCGATCAGCGATAAGTTTGAAGGACTACTACCTAAACTGAAATAACCCTTGAAGTTTGGTTAAGCATTTTAGGTACGGGATGATCGGGAAAGGGGGTAGAGAGAGTGGTGGCTTGGCTTCACATTCCAGTCGCATGATTGTGCCTAGCAACACAAGCAAATATTTCTAGACAGTGTTGTTAAATGGTTCTAGCCTTAAGTAAAATCTCGCTTCTGTTTATGCATAATTGTATTGCGCACCCAAAAGATGTGAAAGCTATGTACAGTTGAAAACGAGATATGTAATGTCCGTGTGCAAAAGATCTTTTCGCACTTTACATATCGCTTTTATAATCGTAAATGACACGTAGATCGACTCTACCAGCGAGCCAATCTCGAACCCTTCTTTGATGACTGATTTACCAGTAAGAACGGTCGACAAGGCGGCGCATGATGCGGGAAATAGTACCGCTGCTACTGCTACCCAAATCCGATGCAACACCAGTGATAAAGCCGCTATTAGCATAGGCCTGGCTAGCGTCCCAGATCATGACACCACCAAAGCTAGAGAAAGTAGCAGAGTATTGAAGAACTGGCTGAAGGGCAGAGGGAGAGAGGTATCCAGTTCCGGCAGCACCGGTGTTACCGGGAACACCAACAAAGACCTTGACGTTTGGGTTGGCAGAGGTGTTCTTGGCCCAGGTGTCCCAAGTCGCGAAGTTGTAATTCTGGGTGCTGGCGCCTGCAACGTAGTCGTTGACTCCGCAGTAGTTGTTGTAGAACTGGACCCAGATGGCGTCGAAGCTGACGGCACCGTTGAGCATTTCGTTGTCGGCAGCATCAGGATAGACGCATTGTGGGGCGGCAGTCAAGTAATATTTCTAATGAAAGGATTAGATAATTTGTAGGATTTTTTCAGATTGTTCAGACGTACCTTGCTGGTGTCGGCGTTCATGAGGGAGCGGAGCTCGTTGCCGAAGGTGGCCATGTTGGAAACAGTGGCCTCAAAGTCAAAGTCAAATCCGTCAACAACAGCGTCTCCGAAGGGGCGGAGAGCCGAGCTGTTAGAGTCGGGACCGAAGGTCTCCCAGATCAACTGCGCACCAGCGGTAGCAGCAGTTGTGGAAGTGAATCCTCCTTCGGAATATGTGGCACCACCGATGGAAAGGAGGATGGTCTTGCCAGCTGCCTGGCATGTCTTGATATCGTCACTGGAAAAAAAAAAATTGACAATGAGCCTTGAATCTCCCAAACATAGAGAGTAAAATTACTCACCCGACTTGAGGGCAATCCAATAGAGCAGTGCCGTCAAAAGTAGTACAGTTGTTGCCAATATTAGCAAAGTTGATCTCGGGCACGCCACCGGGCCCGTTGATAACAGTGACAAAGGCCAATTGCAAAACATCAACATCTGTGTTTTGACAGTAGTACGCCAGGTTTTGTTGTTCAAGGTCACCGCTGGCCTGGCCGTATGAGTTCTGACCCCAGTATAGGGCAATGTTGCTTGAAGAGTTCAAATTAAGAGCTGCTTGTGCTCCAATGAAGCTAGCCATTGCGACTGCTCCGGAGAGAACGTATTTTGCGGACATCTTGAGACTCTGAGATCTTAAGGAATGTGTATAAAGAAATGTAAGGACTGATAGAAGAAAGCAAATTGATGCTGACTGAAGGAGGGAATGAGGTGAGCAAAGCAGACCTTGAACTTTGAGGTTTGGCTGATGACTGACAAAGCAAAGGAAGAATGTTGAAAGAGGATATCACGATACTTTTATACTCTAATTCGGGTCTTCTGGCTGACTCCCCAATGGAGCTGTCGTTTAGGGTTACGTGCTACCGGATCATCGTTTCATGGCATCCAGCTGCGCGTGCCGACGGTAACGACGGGCAGGAGGCACGATAGGAACCTAGAACTTTCCTCGATAGAGTGTGTACGATGTACCATTGACAGAGGAGTGGATCCAATTTCTCAGTATGCAAAATGCCAATGAGCGGCGCGGAAGTGCATCGTTTCCTGTTCCTGATGGGACGGCTACATTCCAGAGACCGCTCGCCCCCCCACAACCAGCCATCTATCAATGAGCTATGGAATGTAACAGTGAATTTACTAACCTCCATGATTATGGGCAAGGGAGGTAATGAACAAACTAGTGTCATCATTTTATGGCTTACACTAGGGTAGCTTACCGGCCTAGTCACCTCTAGGGTCACATGTAGGGCTCTCCTAGTTTGGAGTCTGTGTAGATGTGGCTTACTGTAACCCGGGGTCATCATAATCTGGATAGTGCATGGATGATTGCCGATGATTTTAGCATGTGTTTAACCCAAGCTAGTCAACCCAACGATACTACTATCTCAAGCCACAAGCGTCCTCCACGAGACGCCAAGCGCTGTCGATCATTTTGTTAGTTGTACAAGCCTGCGAAAGATACAGTGTGTTGATAACATCCTGAAAGGTCTATGAATGATGAAGGATATCTAGCCAGATAGGTCCAACCACAGCGTATGCGGAGTGATGTAGACATGTAGCGGGATCAACTAGACACGCGACAAAGTCATCGGGATATGTTTCCGAAAATGTGAAACTTGACACAATTTTCTCGTATTTCTACAAATAAGAATTGCAGTACGTACATGGTGGAGCATACGTGCATACATCGCCTCGGCACATCGTATGGGTGGCTTGGACTGGGTTGGTCCGGTTTGTGACACGACCCTCCCAGGAATCGATGACACCGAACTGCACATGATAAGATATCACGTTAGCAAGGACTAAAAGTATATTTGGGTAAAATAGTCCGTAGCAATGTTTTATGCAAGACTCGGCACATGGTAACCTAGAAGCAAGTGCTGGTAAGCTGCTGACCAACACTCGAAGCACTGCGACTACAAACGATCGAGATTGTTATTTTCACCAACATCTTGTGTCCCTGATGACGATTACTCAGAAACTTACTAGACCTATCAAGACACATAAAATAAAGTTCTCCATTGGTTATTGGTCATTATACAGACTATGTTTAGTTAGTATGAAGCCACAGATCTGAGGAGGCGTCAAAAGGCGTTCATGCCACCAGATTCGGGATCTCAGCCAACGGTTGGCTGAGTTATAGCTTGTTCAGCTCTCGTTCCATGTTCATAAATAGGTTAATAATATTTCGGTTTCATGTTTTTGTAACCCTACACTAGGTAACGGACCAAAGGGCGGCTGCTACAAACGTACTCCAGACGATGCACTGACAGCACGTCTCGTCTAGGTAGTGGTCGAATTTCCCGCTTTCAGAACATCTCTGTTACGATTAAATCTTATGTTTACCTTAATTTAAGTAGATTTGACGAAGATAACTTATCAAGGCTGCGGGGTCCGGCAAGTCGAGGTTGAAGCTTGACGTTGCATTCAACCTGAATTAGCTTCCCCTTCATACAAGCTATACCATTTAGCTGATGGAACTAATAACTAGCTCGATGGGGTAAATATGGAAGCTCTATCTCCATGAAACCTAAGATAATAGGTTAGTAGTCTCTTGAATATGTAATGTTTCTAACTGTGCTTACGTTTCATGTTCGAGTCGTTAGCGAGCAGCCAATATTACCCCCCCAGCAAGGCTAGCAGCAACTATGCCGTAGGAAACTATCCGAGAGATCAAACTATCACAATCGGTCGAGCTACTACTGCCCAACACCTATATCACCAAGGCTGCTCAATCAGGCACCTTCTGAATAATCAAGTACTCTCCGCATCTACACAGCTACAAATTCACTTACATAGTTCCGAGATACATGGTGCGTACAACATTACATTGACATTATCCCGACATGGTTACATGCCTTCGAGCTTTATCTCCAACCAAGTACGTAATTAAGGGCGTTACGTCGATGAATCGCCGTTCGACAAATGATACCAAAAATTAAACCCTGAATTGCGGTTCTTCTCGCACATACATACGTATCAGGATCAATTTAGGTAGGTACATTTCGTACCTATTTTAGGGTCAGAGCAATAGTCCTATTAAAATCCTTCGTGTACTTTTCAGAAGACTCAAAACATTAAACTAAACTTGTACGTATAATGCTACTGGCGTAAACTGACAGGACCAAGAAGAAACAAGTGTCTGGACTCGAAATTCTGTAACCATAATGACTCTCTAGACCGTTTTGGGGTGATCTAAAACGCTGATCATAGGCACTAAAAGCTGGGGGTCGTTTTTGTTCGTATCTGGTGATGACCGATTAGGTAATCGAGAGGGCTGCGGAATTTCCTATCTAGGCAACTTCAGATTGCGGGGGAATTTCTTTCGAAAAGAGTATTGGTCTTTCTTATTAGCAGGATATTAGCATATTTTCCAGTTTTAATCTGGCCTGCGCTTTCAGCATGTTCCTTTAGCTCCTCTAGGACGCGGTTGCTGACAGATCAGTTGTTGAAGCCTGTTGTTTTAGGATTTGAGAGCAGATGCCAACCTGCAACTGCGAGTCACGAGAAAAAGACCGTAGAAAAACAAGAAATGCAATGACTACTTAGCATTTTTCGATAAATGACTGATTAGGTACTGGTTCAAAAAGTACCGGCACACAAAACAATCGAGCATCACCAGTGGTTGGGAAAGACTGGTGGGGTATTTGGACCTCATTTAGCATGAGAGAAACGGAGATGAAACATTAATTGATATTAAGATACCTAGGTATAAACCAACCGAGAACTAATGACATTAATCAAAACATTTTCCAGTAAGGTATTTGAAAATCCAAGTGCCCTCACATTTTCTTGCAACCGGTCTTAAAATGTGGTACGGGCTTTCCATTAAAGAGCAACAAATCGAATGCTGCGTCGGAGGCCTTGACCAATGTCTTATATGAAGAAGCACAAATTTTGTGCATGTGAGGATATAAATTGATAAGCACAAAAGTGACGATCACTGCAGCCAAATCATGATTGAAGCCTTATTCTCCATCCTCTTCCTCACGGGCCGTACTCAAACAATACCGGCTCTCTACCTTTCCGTGCTCTTCATGCTCTATCGTGACTCGAGACAAGTGACCGAGGATGTTCTCCATTTGAATATCGCCTTTACTTCTTGCCTTGCGCCCGAGATTGTCTAACCACTCGAGTTTGTTGAGCGTGAAATACACCAAAGCAATGACAATGGTCACGCCGAGCGAATAACACCATATCCGCACAACTGTAACTATGTCCGTCCATCCATTCGTTGTCTCGACGTACTGATCAGGAGGATCGGTTGGCATGTCTTGATTGGTGAACCACCCAAAGAGACAAAAGATCGTGGCCAGAATGTCGACGCCAACTATTGCCCCTACCAGTGGAAGGGACGGTAAACTGTCCGCGCCTCTAGTGACAAAGATTAACCAATTCTCTGTGAGCGCCACTTCGAGGAAAAGGACTTCTTGGATCGAGCCCCAGTTTTGAATGATACCCCCGTTACGGAGAAACATTGTACCTCGGATGACCCAAGTTCCCAAGGCCAGGAGAATTCCCAGTATGACCGATATGAACCAGATCTTTGGCAGCTGCCATTCTACGGGTCTCAATTCAAAAGAAGCATTGTCGTATGCTACTGCCACTGTTGCTAGATCCGCAAAGAGCGCTAAAAAGACAATCAATTCCACTCGGATCGTCTCGTTGAGAATAATCATAGTGGTGACCAGGTAAATTTCTAGGTGCAAACACAGCGCAATTCGGTATTGGATGTAGGCTTTCATACGATGAAAAATTTGACGAGCCACCTTGACTGATTCGATGATAGTCGAAAGTCCTGGTGCCAAAAAAACAATGTCCGATGCTGACTGTGCTGCTTCTGAGGCGCCTTCCACGGCGATACCGCAATCTGCCTTTTTCAAAGATGGTGCATCATTGACTCCATCTCCTGTCATTGCAGTGAGGTGTCCTCGTTCTTGAAGCATTTGAACCACTTGATATTTGTGTTCAGGAAATACTTCTGCGAAGCCGTCTGCTTTTTCGACTAAATCGTGAGCCATTGCGCCACTCAACCCACCGTGGATTAGACGTTCTGAATTGTAAACCTTCGTCCCTAGTGCAAGCATTTTGCATGTCTCCTTTGCGATAGCAATAGCATCACCCGTAAGCATTTTGACGCTGATCCCGAGGGCTTGGGCCTCAGAGATTGTCTGCGCAGTATCCTCACGCGGTGGATCAAACATTGGCATCATGCCGAGTAACTGCCAGTCTTCCCCTTCCTTCTGTACGGCCACACCCAGTGACCTAAAACCACGATGAGCAAACTCTTGTGCTTTTTTTCTGTATAAGTCCGCAGTTCTTTGAGAACACTTAGTCAATCCGAGTACTGCCTTTGGGGCTCCCTTCGTACAGCTATATCGGACACCTTGACATGTGCACACTGTAACAATTCGTTTTGATACCGGGTCAAACGGGGTAAATTTTTCTGTTTTCCATCCGCCCCTCAGGATTTCCTTTGCCTTTGGATATTGTTTGAGAGTCAAAAGTGTCACTTTGTCGATGGGGTCCAGAGACTGTATGTTGTGCGAAGACGCCAGAACAGCCACTGCCATCATCCAATTGACGTCGACTCCTTCGGCCACATATGGATTCCTTATACTCAATTTGTTTGCAGTCAAGGTCCCCGTCTTGTCGGAGCACAGGATATCGACTCCCTAACCAAGTTGTCAACTATGCACTGTCTAATATTTGTTTGTAAAGGATTGACGGATAAGGGCCTACTGCAAGTGATTCTATAGCTGTCAATTTCTGAACAATTGCCTTTCTGCGTGCCAAATAGGCCGCTCCAACTGCCATAGTTGTGGTGGTAACAACAGGCAGACCGACCGGGACACCGATAATCAGTAGCACTAGAGTGTACTCCAACAGTGTCTGTTTACCAGGACTTGCAATAGGGATGTGACGCCAGAAGCCACCGATCCACGCCGCGAGGATCCACGCCATCACCAGAACGAGGAGCGAGGTACCGATTCGATCCATGACGATTTCAAAATGACCTTTATCCCCCGCCCCTGCGACCATACTAGCAGTTCTCCCAACGAAAGAATTTTTGGCCGACACTTGAACGACGGTATACGCTTTTCCCCTTTTGCAATTTGTCGTGTAATAAACGGGATCGCCCATATGTCGATCAACGGCATGAGATTCACCAGTAATTGCGGAATGGTCGCAGGCGAGAATTGGATAGCCTTTTCGGCTTTCCTTTTCTTCATCATCATCGCTCGATTGGCCGCCTTCGCTCTTTTTTCTGGAATCCTGTCCTCCCTTCCCCTTAGCAGCCGATTCCCCATCTGTAATTTTCTCATCTTCTTCTCGCTCCTGGCCGCCTTCTTGTCCTTTATCTTCCTCGCCTGAAGACTCATCAAGAGCGCCTTCTGCCTGCATTCTCTTAAATTCCTCAAAACCATTTGGGTCATCGTATGAGCATATCACTTTGCAATCAGCTGGAACAACAGTCCCTTCTTGGACGATGACCTAGTTGCTTTAGCTTTATCATCCACCCGAAAATTTCCACGTATACATACCACATCTCCGGGAACCAATTCACGAGCTAATACTTCGGTCTCACGTCCTTCACGAACTACCTGACATCGTAGTGCGATATCACCTTTGAGGCTGGCTACAACATCCGCAGCCTGTTTCTCCTGGTACCAGCCAACCGTGGCGTTGAGAAAGAGAATTCCAATGATGACGCCGAAATCTACCCAATCCTTGAGACCAGCTGCAAGCAGCACGGCGATTTCCATTACTTTCACCGCCCATTTTCAGTAAGCCAGAGGCTTGAAATAATTCAATACTGAAGATCAGTTTGACTTACCATAAAGAATCGGTCCTTGGAAATAGGACATGAACTTCGCAATTGGGTTTTCTTTTTGCGAGATCAATTCATTCCAACCCGAACGACGCCGACGGTTGTTGACTTCTGCCTCAGATAGACCTTGTTTGATGTCGGTGAGGAGCCACTCGTCAGGGAACATTTGCTTTGCCTCTGTTGATTCTGGATTGGGTACATATTGTCTGCGCCATGGTGCATACCAGACACGTTTCATCTCCCCTTCTTCGTTCTCGATATCGGTCATCCCTGGCTCTCTGTAGACAGACACATATCGAACCAATCTTTCGTACTCGTCAAGACTTTGGTCTTGGGCAACACTGACAGCTCGCGACATCCTCCTCTCCGCACGAGACATGCGTCTTGAGGTACGTGACTGCTGCTCATCGCTAGAAGCCCGCGGATTATCCGACATCCTTTCGAATAACGATTGTGTGTACTCGATGACTCTTAGCTGCTGTATCGACAAGTATAAGGCAGGGCTCTTGTTGTCTTGAGAGTATTTCTTCCTATAGAACACCAAAAAGGCAGAATCAAGCTGGGAAGAAACGACGGATGCTGCCGGCTTGTTTTCGGTGTGCTCAAGCGAACGACATAACATCAATGCGATGAAATTCAGACCTCGTTTCCCCATGGTGACGTCCGGCAGAGGAATTTCCTCAGCGTTCCTAGCTGTTTGTCAAATTTGACGACATGTTTGAAGAATTCGAAAAACTCAAAATCGACTATTGAATGGCTAAATCCCTCTTCTCTGACGTCGTAGGCGCCAAATTTGTGTAAGTAGTGGTTTACTTGATGGTCACGAAGCTTCTTCTTGCAGCTGGAGAACTCAAAATTCGTGATCGATCATTTGATTCAGCTAGCAATCAGGTAAGCCTGACAATGGAGCGAACGTTCTCGTAGTAAAGCAGCGGACTCGACCTATGTGCTGGTTACTCAAATACAATTGGCCCGGACAATCGACGCAACTCAATTTCAAAATCAGAACCTTGGGACCTTGCCAGTCGCTTACAGTCAATTGCGATCCTCGATCAGAGTGAAATTTATGAGCCGGTTCCACTTTGACTTTCCGGCGAGCCCGACTGAAGGTTAACGTTACGATCAATGGCGCATCATACGACGTTCTCATCCTGACGACGTACTCAGGGTGAGACGATGAATTCAGATACCTGCAGAGCTGAAAGTAGAAGAGGAAATAAGAAGTAAATGGAGATGGAAAGATGAGAGGGAGCTGGGATGGTGGAAAGACAATCAGTCGCGGATCACCTACTGGGAAAAGGAGGCAGGGCAGGAAGGAGCTCACCGAACGAAAACGAGCTTCGTCAGCAACTCGCAGAAAATTCAAGACTGAATGGCTTCATCTTCAGACGTACATGCTTATGCTTATCGTTATATATGTAGCCTCGTTGATAATACAATGGGGTTATCCTCTGCCCAGGTAAGAGACTTTCGCTCAATTTGGAAGCCGTTACTAACTGTCCTGCAGGCTTTCACCATAATTACAGCCTTATCGTTCCTGTTGCTATTCCTCCACAAAATTCTCTCGCCGTGGGTAGAGCTTCCTCGTCTCCCCGAACAATGGCTCGCATTTCGCAGCGGCCTAGCTTGGACGATATTCAAAGACCGTGTGGTATTCTCCGAGGATATGGTTTTAGATCACGAGAGCGGATTTGCAATAATCAGCTCTGACCCTGGACGGGTGTCTTGGAACGCTCTGTGGGTCGGTAGCCTCGACTTTTTTCTTTCTATTTTATTTTCTGACTTGAAGCACTAGGGTCGTAGCCACGCCTCTCAGCGGCATGGTCAATTACTGTTGTACGATTACAGCGGCTCGGGCAGTCTCCGTGAAATAGATCTCGTCAATTTCCCTACGACTTCTGGCTTTCATCCCCTCGGCGTGGGTCTGTATCGTGAGGAGGAAAATAGTCATGCACGTTTATTTGTTGTCAACCAGGGTCAAGACAAGAGCTGTGTAGAGGTCATGGATTTAGACTACGAAAATGCACGGGCAGTGCACGTATGCTCCGTTACAGACAACAACCATACCATACGTTCTCCCAACTCTGTCTCGCCCGTATCTTACACGTCGTTCTATGTCACAAATGACCAGTGCCTCATTCGCCGCAGACATCCGTTCTTGTCTTTCACTGAGAGAGTGCTTGGCCTTCCCCTGGGATGGGTAACGTTTGTCGACTTCAGTATCCCATACAAACCGATATGTACCATTGTTGCAGGTGGCATTCCATTCGCGAACGGAATACTCGTGACGCCAACAGGGAAAGAGGTTCTCGTTGCCTCGACAAGCACAGACATCGTTCGAATTTACGAGCGTGACCCGGAGACTGATGCACTGTCGAGGAAATATAGCAGCGTCTATATGACTTTTCACCCAGAAACGCTCAGCTTCGACAGGTCTTTGGACAAAGATGACTTAACAGTATTCAACTCTAGTGGGAAATTTCTTCGTGGAGTAGTCGCAACGGGGTCTCCGGATGCTGGCCGGTTGTTTTGCATGGCCAAAAACCCTCACGGATGTGTTGCTCCGTCTGTTGTGGCCGAAATTCGTCGACGAAATGGACCTGATCTCGGCCCGTTTCCTGGAAGCCTCTTCAACCTGCATACAAAATACTACGCTCAGACACTGTTCGCCGGTAGGTTATTTGCCCTTCAATCTCTGTGGCATGTATTGATCTGTTATCCAGATGACGGGACGTTCTACCCAAGCAGCACTTCAGGTGATATGGACTCTAAAAGAGGTCGGCTTATTGTCAGTGGGCTTTATGCAGATGGACTTCTGAATATTATATGGGACCCGAAAGAGACTCGTCATTAGCATAAACGCGTACTCGTATAAATAGACGTGTTAATAGCAATGATACCCTTTCAGTATCATCGCTCATCCAATGGTTCTACTGTACCAGCCTTCAGCGAGCCAACTTCTTGCTCGTCTGTTATTTACACATTTTCTCTCCACGGGCTCCCGCCTGTAAGATCCCTTCCTTCTAGAGAGCTGAGATCACGAGCATCAGGGTTAAGAAGAGGGCTCTCAGCTGCCGGGGTGTCATCCACAGGTAAAACCGCACCCTCTTCGGTTTCTGCATTGCCATTCTCACTATCAGTGAATGGAAGCAGTCTCGGACCGGAAGATTCGCTATAGTTCCCATTTCGAGCATTTGCCTCATTGAACCAGGCATTGCGTCGAGATCTTGAATTGCCGAATTCATAAAATCGCCCTGATGCAAGATTGGTCACGCCTATCTAGTCACGGTCAGCTATCAATGCCAATAGTAATGCATAAGAGCAAGAAAAGAGAATACCTTGATCCCCCACCCCAGAACAGCAGCCGCAAACACCAAAACTGCAACCCTTCTCTCCTGCTCACTCCACAGCTGTAGACAACTCTGCGTATACCCCGTCGTCCTCTCACACGCATCATCGCCATGATTCGCATCCTTGAACGGCCATGCTCTATCCCTCGTACTCCGCAATCCGCAACACCGTAATTGATCTTGGATTGTGCGGATGCTGTGCACTTCTTTTCTGTGGTAGTACGACTGCCATGTCTGTTCGAGATGGCAGTTGTCGTCACTTGGGGAGATGTATGTTGCGGTAAGCGTGGCGACTATGACGGGAAGGAGGGTGAGGGATTGATCGATAGCAAAGTTTATGATTGGGTTGATCAATGATAGAAACGAGGATTGGGATCTTTGTGAGGATGGGAGAGGTCCGTTGACTGCAATCACGGAAATAGTATGGTTTCCATTCTCGTCAGAAGCCGTTGAAGCTGTGATTAGATTTTTGGGAGTGTCGTCACGATCTCGCTGGTATCGAGATGCGAATATAGTTGCAATTAACGCTGAAAAGAATGGAAGTAGCGGATAGAGTGTGGAGATTGCTCCCAATGAAGTTGGAAAGGGGAGGAATAGTGAGTTTATGCGTGACCATGCGATTCTATTTGCTGTCAGAGGATTCATCTACACCCGTGATCATCTGAAATTTGGCATACCCTCCTAGTATGATCGAGACCGCAGTGGTCTTATTAGAAAAGGTGATTTAGTATTTTGCTGATGGTCGAGGCAATGGATAGAAGTAGAGGTACTTACGAGAAGAAGCAATGTAACGACCACACCAGTGTTGATAGCAGAGGAAGAAGCAGGCATGATGATATGATGATTGTCCTCTTCAAAACAATCCTTCTCAGTGATAACAAGTGATTCAATTCCTGAAAATTGGATGATAAGTAGTTTAAGGAGTAATGACAAAGAAAGCAGAAGGTAATGGGGAAGCTTTATGGCAGACCCTAGGTGGGGCAAGCATAGCTTGCATGATATTCTTTACTCCAAAGCTCGTGATTTGGTATATGACCCTGGATATTGTTCGAGAGGATGGCGTTACCTTGTTCAGATATGATTTGATGAAACTAGAGAATCAGCATTATAACAGCATATGAATAATGCCAATAAAAAATGATGTTCCATTTCTCTCATCTAGCTGGGAACATTTCTCAGGGGCGCACTTTTCGACCAAAAAAAATTGGCCTTAATCATAACTAAAGACGGTAGTTTTCCTATATATTTAGCTGCTGGTCTTTCCAGTCGGAATCTCGAAGAACACGGCTGGCTTTCCATCAGCAACAAAAGGACGATCACAGCGGTAGAAAGTCTTTCGCTCGAACTGGATAATATCACCCTCCTTGATGTCTGCAACGTTACCATCCGCAAAGGCTTGCTCGCGCCATTCGGTTTTGGGGTTCAAGAAGTCTTCAAAGTTGTCCTCTTCTTGGAGAGAGTCCTTTGTCAAGAGATGGTCGAAGCCCACCAGTTCAACTGGAATGAGCTGTTGGCCGTCCTTGGACAACCAGGTAACCTTCTTGTCGGTCTTCTTGACGTCTCCTTCGAGGTGCAGCTCAAGTTCAAGGTTGGTCACGACATCGCCAGACTTCTCAATCTTACGGACTATCGCATTGCCCCATTTCATGAGGGTGATTTCTTCATCCTGCTTGAACAACTTGGCGTCCTCTTGCTCCAAAATAATATTTTGACTGAAAGCAACCTTCTTTGTGCCGAGTTCGGGGTTCTTGTCATGCTTGGGCTTGTCTAAAACCAACGGGGCCGAGGCCGATGGTACGGAATCTCCAGTGACTTGAGCCGTGACCACGCCTTCTTTCAAAATAGCAGTATGGCGTGGAGAGATAGGGTCGATATATCTCCTATTCGTAGACTAAAATATTGTTAATCTCGGTTGGGACAAAAATCTATGGATTCAAACATACCCAGAAGATAGTCCAGTCCAAGTTGACAATGTTACGGCTTKGGCCTTGCTTGAGAATGAACTCTCTGAGTGCAGGAATCGTCATACCTCGTCGGCGAATACCTCTGATAGTAGGGAAACGAGGGCTGTACACAGTATTAGCAAGTTCTTGATGAACTAGGTTTTATACAATAGACGTACTCATCCCAACCCCAAACAACACCACCATCAACCAACTTAGTAAGCTTTCGCTTAGAAAGCAATGTCCGCACAAAGTTCATGCGAGCAAAGTCCCAGATCTGAACCTTGCGGAGCTTGAGGGCATTCAACATCCACTCGTACTGTGGGTTTCTGTCTCTGTACTCGATCGTTCTCAACGCATGAGTGACTCCTTCGATTGAATCGAGGATAGGGCAGGTGAAATCATAGGTAGGATAGACCTTCCAGGTTGTACCAGTACGAAGGTGGGGTGTCTGCTGGCATCTGTAGATGACAGGATCTCTCATAGCTTTGTTCTTATCGTCGAAAGAAATCTTAGCTCGGATACACCATCTCTGGCCCTCTTCAGAGCCAGACTTCATTTCTTCGAAATGAGCCAAACTCTCCTCAACGGGAGAATCACGACGCTTGCTGGGAATACCCTCCATTCGCTCGTGCGCCATGGTCTCCTTGTCAGTGTCATCCGCGTACGCGAAACCATCCTTGATGAATTGAATGCAGTAATCATGCAGCACTTGGAAGTAATCTGACGAGTATGAGATTCTGTCAGGCTTGATTCCCATCAAATCGAGGTCGAAAAGGATCGCATCGTGGAAAAGCTCTTTCTCTTTGCTGGGATTGGTCTTTTTTGGATTAGTTTCGTGTCCATTCTCATCGAAATCTGCAGGAGATATGAACATACATCATCGAAACGCAACAAAAGTGTTCCCTTGTATTTCTCGTGCGCAAAATAGTCATTCAAGAGAGCGGCTTTTGCGTGGCCAATATGGAGATACCCAGAGGGTTCGGGAGGAAAACGAGTAACGACGCCTTGTTCAGTGTTTTTGAGGGCAATGTCGTAACTGGCACCTGCCTTGGACGCAGCAGCCCGCTTCGCTTTGGCCGCAGCGTTTACCGCATCAACAGCGGCGGTAGTCCAAGGGCAGAGCTCCTCCAAGAAACGAAACCAACGGGTCAAATTGATCAATGTTCCTTTCTTCACAGCTGTGACCGCCACACGGTTTCCGCGGAGGGCGCCCCAAATAGCAATGTCGGGAGCAGACAAGGAGTAGCCGACGAGGAACGAACGGAGTGTAAGATAGGAGTCAAGAGTCTGAAGAGGTGCTTCGAGAGCTTTGTGGTCTAGGGGAACGTATTGGCCGACTTGAGACAACCATTTATCCTCCTATAATGGTCATGAGTAACAGTGCTCCTCACGTGAGCATTTAGCAGCGACATACCTGAGCTTCATATTTGCTCTTGAGGAAGGGGAATTGGACACGGAGCTCGGAAATTACAGCGTCAAGGCCCTGCACGGTCTTTCCACTGACACCAGTGAACTCGATCACATCACCGCTAGGAAGTGTAGGAGCGTTCTCGTAGGTGATTTCAACAACAGGACTAGGTCTGGCTTCATTGACGGATGTGGCGATCAATGTGGCGGGCAGCAAGCCTGCCTGATTGGCGCCAGATGCACAAACCAACTTGCAAGACATTGTGGTATATTTCTCACAACCCAAGATGGAAGATAGAAAACTTTGTAAGATGGCGGGGTGTGAATCATCCAAAAAAGATGCTCGAATATACCCCACAGCCAATCTGCTAAGGAAGGACCCACAGTAAAGTGCCCTCGGCGCCACTTTTTTCCGCTCCTTCCAAAGCTCCGAAAAACATTCGGCCAAGTCTGTCAGGTCAGATCTATCTCCAAGAGAACCGAGCCATTGCTGCGCCGTGACATACCAAATGGCTTCCGCCTTTCGAGCCTTGCCGGTGACGGTAGGCCCTTTGTCAGCATCATGTCGATTGACTATGCGGCAGAATAGCGCCATCGCCCCTTTCCTCTATCCTCTGGGCCAACAAGTGCGAACAGCCATGAGCAATTCAAAGGGAAAGAAGAACAAGAAAGAGACGACGAAGAAGAAGGCCAAGGGATCAAGAGACTATCAACAGAAAGACCTGGGTCTCATTGATCAATATGCATTGTGCGATGCGATGAGGTATGGGTTTTGCATTTCCGGAACTGTCTCGGTTTCTACGGAACGGCATGCTCACAAGACATTTTAGATACATCCGTGCTTTCGAAGTCGGACGCGATCGCGAGCGATCAAAGTACGAGATTCATATTCGATTAAAATCAAGAAAAGACGGTCCAGTCATCCGTAACATGGTCCGATTCCCCCACGCCGTACAGACCGAGTCCAGAATCTGCGTTATTGCGCCTCCAGGATCCAAAGCCGCAAAGGAGKCTCTTGAGGCCGGTGCTTCAATTGTCGGAGATAAGGAAATCTTTGAGGACATCAAGAAAGGAATCATCGAATTTGAACGGTGTATATGTCACACGGATAGCCTCGATGCTTTGAATAAAGCTGGATTGGGTCGAATTCTTGGTCCCAAAGGGCTCATGCCTAGTGTCAAGACCGGTACTGTTGTGGACGACGTTGGTATTCGTGTGCAGATGCTTCGAGGTGGTACCGTTTATCGTGAGCGAGATGCAGTCATCCGCATGCCCATCGGACAATTGGGCTTCTCTCCAGAACAACTTCGTGACAATTTGCGAGCCGCTTTGGAACAGATTAAGAAAGATGCCATTCAATTGAGTGACCGTGTTCCGAAGGAGGTTTATGAAATTGTATGCATACAACATCTTATCCACTCCTTTTATTTTCATGCTAACATGATACAGGTCTTGAGCTCAACAAACGGACCCGGCTTCAGTCTCAACGGAGACTACAAATCCGATAAATCCCCCGAACCAACCTATTTGGCTGGATTGTAAATTATCTTCCTTTCTTCATATATGTATTCTTAAAAGATAAATTTCATTCATGGCGTTCCATGGTATCTATCAAGCAGCTAGCTATTCGGATTCAATTACCAACTCCACGCTATGCAGTGTATTTTTATGTCACAAAGAAGCCCGCTAAATCGCACAATCTATATTGAGAGCTGTTTAAGCGCAGAAACGGCACTAGACTCGGCCTTCAATGAGTCATATAATCGTAAAACTTTGACTGTACGAGTTTCGTCTTTAGTTCCACCTTTTCGAAATTGCTTCAGCGCCGTGTCCAAATCGAGAAGTAATGTAGACCTTATCTTTTCAAGACGAGGTTGCTGGCCAAGCACAAAGGGGTGATCTGAACCTATTCGATCCGACTCTGAGATTATATATAGGTATTTCTGTACGTGACTTTCCAGTCTTTTGATTGATATGATGGTGGATTCGTCGGTTTCCTCCTCCGAGTCCTCGTCGCTTTCCGTGTTGTCAGAAATAAATCCTTCCTGATCTGAATCCGCGTCCTCGGTGGTAGAAGGTAAGCCATTCAACGCCTTCGTACCGACAATCATCAATCGCTGCTCCAATTCTTCTATTCTCTCCGCGATATCGAGTAAAGCCCTTCCCATATTCGCTTTTATCCTATACGCTTTCTTCTCTTGTAGAAGGCTTTCCATCTCGGCTTTTCGGGCTTCGACTTTGGCATGAATTGCTGCAACGTCGCGCTGGAAACCTAAGAGTCCCACGCTAATTTCTTCCACTTTCTCTTCTCCGCCTTGTAGCGCGCCGCCGAGCGACAGGAAGTCCTGGTAGTTCTCATTGACCACATCGAGTAGCTCTTTGTTTAGTCCTTGGCTTAATTCGCGGAGTTCTAGTCGCAAGTCTTCGAGGGTTTGATGTCGGTTGGTCAGAGACGAGAGGAATGTGGCAGGGTCGAATTCTGGAGCTAGGAAGGACGAGCGCGATAGTGGTTTGGGAAATGGGAGGTCTGTGGTGTTTTCATCAAAATCGGACCCTGAATCGGAGTCTGGGAACTGTCGGTCAAGTCAGTGATGTCGCAGAGAATGTGGGGAGAAGTAAAAGATACATATTTCTTGCTCATCCTGGCAGCTTCACATAAAAATAATCCAATATTCAATAGACAACAACTAGTCAATCGAAGATTGTGTAGTGTCACAGTTGTGGTTGGCTGACGGGTGAGTTAGCTGCGCGGACTGATCACCTTCCTCCGAGGCTCAGATCAACCCCTCCCCTCCCTCTTCCTAAAAACATGCAACACAACCAACTCAACCTGCCAACTCATTCCCTGCCGCATCCCCGTCCTCCTGTGTATTTCCTGTCTTGATTGATTAATACTGTTATTGTGTCTTATATCTGTTTCATTATAGTTCCGCTTTTCTGCAGGCTGAGTATGCAACTTGCGCTGCCAACCAATCTGATCTTGATACTGCCATCTTAACCCACGCCATACTGGTGGATTCTCGTCTCAGCTATATGTATGTCTCTGCACTTGAACCAACATTGAATAAATCCATCTGCCTGCCGACAACCGGGGTCAGCCACCTTCTTCTGTACTACTGCGGTCAGCAGCCTCTTTTCTGGCGTGTTTCTTCTCATTGTCACGCACGACTACGTAGCCTTTATCTTGGTAGCGTTGGGAAATAGCCTGTGGCGTTTGGAGTTACTCTAACCTAGGAAGTGTGTGTGTTTGTTCTGCAGCAGAACGTGGACAGAATGGAAGCCAGATCTACAATGATCTCGACCCACCGAAACGATGGATCTCGTCTGTCATCTTCTTTACCACAACCGGTCTTGCCTAGGGGCCTTTTTCTATCGGCAGGCACTTCCTCTTCTCAACCTCGTCAAGTTGATGAGTCGAATTTGGCACGGAGGACAACTGCTCATCGGCAATTATATGGGAGCTCCAAGCCCCTATTACGAAGACTAAGAGAAAACCAAGATAACAGACATATAATCGGACATTCGTCCACCGCAACCACACAACCCGTTTTAGTTAGAGCGTATACTCCCGAGACCAGCAATGCTAGGGCATCTACAAACATGTCATCAGATCCGGCAATGCAACAAATAAATTTACCAGCAGTGGAAGAATTCGGAATCGACGCTATTTTACGTGCAATCGAACCCGATATCCGCAGCACATTGGATTCCATTGCAGAGATATGTGGCAGGAGCAGATTGAGTCTTGCCAATGAGTATGGAAGTCATATCGCTCCGTTTGGCGAAGTCAATGATCCCCCGGGTCATTTGCTCGCTATCCAGGAAACGGCAGCAGATAGCACGGAAAGCCCGGCAGATGCAGATGGTCATATTGTGATTGTTGATGATGATAATGAGCTATATGGCTCACCGTTGGGGTTGTTAGATGACCTTAGGCAGACGGCTTTGGCAACTGGTTATCAACAGACTTCACGAGTAGAACGTGAAAATACCCGTGCTGGAAATATGACGCAAGGGAGGAACCCCAGAAAGGGAAAGCAATCCCCAACGGCGCCAGCAACGAGAATGAATGAATTTGCGGCCACGTCAAAGTCAGATAGCACCGCACTGCTTGCGAGCACACCATCCAAATTCAAGGCCACCAAGTCATCAACCCTGTCCTCTCCCGCTTTGCTTTCCGAGACTCGCCTCGATGCCCAGGGAAATAGGTCCTCTTGGCCATCAGTGCCTCCCGACACACCAAAAGGTTCTCCTGCACTGCACACATCACCATTTGCGGGAGCAGTTGGTCAGACCCAAAATACCGCGGCCGATAGATTTATTTTCGTGGCCGAAGTTCAAGATTGGCTGGATTGGTTGAAAGGTATTGTGCAGCGCGAAACTGCAAGTCAGCAGGCGTTTTACTCGCACTCGTATTCGGCAGAGAATTCTCTGCGTGCATTACTCGTCAGGGATCAGGACCAGGCTGTTGCTTATCCCACAGCTTGAAGACGTTTACGAAATGCTCGCATAATTAGATATTGGAGTTTGGGGGTATTTGATCTTAGCGAGGAACATTCGATCCTTTCACGGAGTTGTTTAATGAGCCTATAATTCGGCAGAACGATTAAATACACTGTTTGTAATGGTTTTCAATACGTTTTGGTATAATACAGTCAATACTGCCACCCATAATCACGGAAGCGCCTGCTCATGCCATGCACAAAACACATATACACGAAGAAATAATATCCACCTACCCCGACTCCGCCTCAATCTTATCCAAAAGATGTTTCGTAAAGCCCTCAAATATAGGATGTGACCAGCAGTCCCTATACTTTTCCACAAGTAACCTCTCATCATCCTCAAACGGATTCCTCTGTATTTCCACGTCCTCGCCATCAACATCACTATCCTCACCATCATCGCCATCAATCTTCTGGCTCTCCACAAGCTGCCCAAACTTAACGTCAACCGGCMCCCGCCCCAGGAACGGAATCGACATCTCGGCAGCCATAACCTCGCCTCCACCACGGGAGAATAAGTTGCTGACTTCTCCGCAACAAGGGCATGTGTATCCGGACATGTTCTCGACGACACCGAGGATAGGAATCTGTGTTTTGAAGCAGAAATTGATTTCTTTACGCACATCAGAGGTTGCGACGGCTTGAGGTGTTGTGACCAGCACTGCGCCGGCGAGGTAAGAGATTCGTGAGGCCGTGGCTGTATTTCGTGAGGTAGACGACATTGTTAGCAAGCTTTCGCTGATGGCGATATGTTCGTCACTTGTGCCCTGGATCATAGTCCTTTAGCATATCTAATCCGAAGTCTGAGAAGGCATATTTGGGGTATATACCGGAGGCGTATCAACAAGCAAATAATCCGTCTCCCCCCAATAAACATCCGACAAAAACTGCCTCACCATCGCCGTCTTCTTCGGGCCCCTCCAAATCACCGCATCCCCGCGATCACGGAGCAAGAATCCAACAGACATACACCTCAATGACCCACGGAGTTGCGCATTTCCCTGCTCATCGTCTTTGATTGTTTCGGATGGATATACTTCGACAGGTATCCAACCGCGCGGCGATTGTGTGATTTTGGCATCTTCTTTGCCGACGAGGCGTGGGATGGAGGGGCCGGTGAGATCGATGTCGAGGATGCCGACTGATTTGCCCTGCAGGGTAAGCGCGAGGGCAAGTTGGAGGGTCACGGAGGATTTTCCGACGCCTCCTTTGCCGGATAGCACCTATATCAGTCGTAAGTAACTGTATCATGAATGTAAAGAGCAGAGACAGTGGTGTCGTAAATTGTTCTGCTGTTATCGATAAGCGGCGGGGAAGTGATATCGACTCACCAGCACGATGTTTTTCACTCCGTCAAGGGGCATTGCATGCGGTGATATCTATATTCTTATGGTGTAATTTTATTTTTGATTACTCCAAAGGGAGTACGTTGAGTAGTAGCGGGGTCGTGTAGACAGATGAGGTTGCTGGAGAAAGAGAAAAAAGTTCTGCGTCATCGGAGGATGATTGATAAGCACGAAATCTCCGCGGACTCCCTCCGATTGCACGACGAAGTGAATATCTACATTAAAGAACAAAAATAAGATATTTCGCTCTTTTTACATCTAGTTGAGCAAAAGTCATAATAAAGGACTGGGTTCAGGACACGAAGAATCCGGAAGTCATGTATATTCGTCTAGTTACATGATGATTTAACTAGGATGATTGCATCTGGGTCATGAAGCTAGCATACAAGCTCTATCGTGGTTAGTTCTATAATTGACAGCCAGAGGAAATTTGTAATCTAGTTTCAAGCATTATTGCCACTTCTGGACAACGACACCACCTCGCTTGAAATCAGGCAATTCGCCTAAAACAGCAGCCTTGTCCGCCAACTCCTTGCTGGGGAATGTGGTCATCAATATCCAGGCGCGAGATCGGCTCGCTGGGCTGGCCGCTGCTACAAAGGAATAAACATCGCCAATAGTATGGGTAGTATTGAAGCGAGAGGTGAGTCGCGTCCCGTCTCCGAGACGGATCTGCAAAGTCACCACCGGTTGCGACTCGTCTATATCTGGCTTGGCTGGCTCTGAAGAGGCGGGCGCAGCAGCAGGCTCGGGCTGGGATGTGCGGATAGCAGGAGTAGGGCTTCCCAGTCGCTGTCCCGAACCAGTAAATGGCTTGTACTTTGGCTTGGGTCGGGTGTATTTCTCATCATGTTGCTTGATTTCCACGTCAACTTCCTGGCCCGGTGCCACGTTCATAATTGACAAAGGAGCTCGTCCCCGACGGATGCCCTCAAGTATGCTTGCATTCTGGGGGTCATCGGATCGGTAGAGATCGCCATCATCGACCGAAAAGCCGTCGCTCCAGAAGTGTAGCGTGCGTTGTACTCTAGGTGGTGGTGTAGGACGATTCTCATTCGGGTCTTGGATCACCTGGCTTGGGGTGTCATCTCCTCCAAGAGTGCGCGCAGCTCCTGTGAAATGCGATTTGCGGGTTTCTGAGTCGTCAGGTTGAGGGGGTTTAGCTCTTAAAGCGTGTTAGTAAATAGTCGTCATCTCGAGTCAGTAAAGTCTTACCGCATAGCCTTTTCTAAGATCTTCTGCTTGATGTCGTCTGGATTTTGTACGGCGAGACCAGACTTTTCACCACCAGCGAAGAAGTCTTGATTTTCATCATCTTCGTTTCCAGAGTCTCGCCCACCACCAGAGGTCAAATCGCCCAAGGTCGCAAATTTCTTAGATGGGGCACGTCGCGAGCTTGATTGTCCGGAGGTATGGGCTGACGAACGTGAGGCGGCGGTTTCGGCCTCGTCGCTAGAGTCTGTTCCTAGTCGGCGGCCACCTAGAGCTTCCGTATCTTGAAGGAGCTCCTCTTCCTCTTGATCAGCGAAGAATTCGGTAACGGCAGCATCGAGGTCCCATTGATTTGTGTCGAGGAATGGGCGGGCCTAAACCATTTGTAGGTTAGGAAGGTATACGACAAAACAGTTTAGAAACCATGGAGACCAAGACTTGCCTCTGATGGAGTGACACCAGTCATGGCGCAGAACTGGGACAAGATTTCATCTTGACTGAGGTTGGAAGCCATCTTGGCGTGGCGGTTATGAGGCTAACGATTCAAGAAGATCTTGTCAGCTCAGTTAAGTGTGCAGCGGTTGAACAAGAGATGAGAATATGACTGGAGCAGGCTTTCAGGTTGAGCTAGCTGAAAGCACTTTCATAGGTAGAAGCACGAAGAAGATTAAGATGAGTGCAAGGTGATAGAGCAAAGCTGGATGAGCTGTTGACAGTGAATGGACAGCTCCGTACGTCACGGTTGCCTGATTGGTCATCCTAGAACCTTCGGCCGCCGCTGAGCGCTACAAAGAAAGATTATCCGCCATGCAACCGTCGAGACAGTTTTATATTTGGAGTGATATTACTATCGTACGGCAATGCCTTACAAAAACTACAATATCTTCGAGTTAGTCCATATGCCCTCGTTGACTCGAGGCTGTGAAAAGCAGACCTCATTACATAAGCGGCTGTTCCCCACCAACGTCTCGCCGAGCCCAGACAGAATGACGGCCGGGGAAGCTTGACGTCGGACTCCATCACATAACAAGATAAATCCTCGACATCCACAACCGTCGGCCAGAATACTTCCACAAGTGAATAAACAAACCTTCTTGTCCTTATAACTTCCATACTATACACAAGATGGCCGACGATCGATCGACCGAGCGTATCGAACTGTACGATTCGGCTATTACAGTCCCTTCCGACTCTGAAAACTACTCCGCCAACAACGAGCTCTCGTCCTCACCACCGTCCACATCTAGCTCGCCGGTGATTCTATACAAACCGCCGACATTATGGGGTCTCTTGCGGGGGACAGCGATCAATGTTCTTTTGCCATTTGTGAATGGGCTGATGCTGGGACTGGGCGAATTACTGGCACATGAAGCTGCTTTCCGCTTAGGTTGGACCAACACAAAGGTAGGCATTTGAAGGACTGGAGTAACGTCGCCAAAACTTACATGGTTTTACAGATTTTCCCTGCCTACAGACGCACGACACCTGTTGGCCCCGGTATCGAGTTAAGAGAAGTTCGTGACCGACGGACGGATCCCCATGCCAACGTTGGGGATGCGGCATCCCTGGAATAAGTGATGAAAGTTCGAAAAGGCAATCCTATTGTAAAAATGTCTTGGAATTTGGAGAGATACGTCGAAAAAGGCAGGAGGCCCACTGTTCACATCTATTATATTGGCTCAATGATTCCTGGGATACTGTACATAGAAAGGGACACATTTTGGTTGGCGTTTGGGCATGTGTATTCAGAACAAGGCATGGATGCGTTAATACTACTCTGAACACTATTAACACTATGCAAAAATCAATCTATACTTACTACATTATCTATGACTTCTGTTGATTCGAACATCGCGAACAAGTGTTAGCTGACCGCCCGGCAGAACCGGACTTGGCGCTTTGCGGAACAAAAATATTGATTTGTCTTCCGCAGATGTTGCCGATGCGGATCCTCGAGAGTTACTTTTCCGCAAGGTCTTTCAATTATAATCGCCAATATGTTTGGCACACGCGGTCTGTCGAGGGCTGCCATTAGAGGCAGTACCAGGATTCCTTTAATAAATCCTGCTTCGCCGGCTCGATCTGTATGTTTCACCGAGAAATTCGCACGCTCAAGATTGAAGACTGACTCTTTACCGATAGTTGTCGTCCATTGCCTCTCGTCCTATTCCTTCTACCAGCCGAAATGACCGGATACGATTGAAAGCTAGCTCATACTTGCCGCCGGCATCCGTCTCGAGTCTGTCGTTCGTTCGATTCAATTCGACGTCCCCAGAAAATGCTGCTGCCCAAGCTACCGAAAATGTCACGCCATTGGGAGAACCCCAGCTTCCCAACATCGAAGATATCCCCGAAAAAATTGGATATTTAAAAGAACTTGGTCTTGACTATGGCTGGGGTCCATCAGCTTTCATGGAATGGTTAATTGAGCATATTCACATCTGGGGCGGAATGTCATGGTGGGCGAGTCTTGCCGCCGCTGCCTTAGTCACGCGTATAGCTCTTTTCCATCCTTCGCTCAAGGCAGCAGACAATGCAGCCAAGATTGGTCCTATCAAAAATGAGATGACGCTGCTCAGAACAAAACGAATGCAGTTTCTTTCCCAGGGGAGACAATTGGACGCCGCCAAGGCCAAAGTAGAACTGGATGATCTCCTCGAAAAGCACGACATCAAGGCGTGGAGAACCTACGTTCCTATGCTTCAGGTTCCTCTTGGTTTCGGTATCTTTCGAGTCGTGCGTGGAATGTCTGAACTGCCTGTTCCAGGTCTTGCGATGGAACATTTTGTCTGGATTCATGATCTCACGAGTTACGATCCTTATTACGTACTCCCTCTGCTGGCGACAAGTTTTATGTATTTCACTATGAAGGTGAGTTTGCTTTTCTGCCCCGTCTTCATCGCCCAACAAGCTGACATACTACAGAAAGGAGTGGACACCGGTTTGAACGAAATGGGGCAGAGTGCTATTGGTAGATTTTTCGTGATTGGACTACCAGCCATATCTCTTTTGTTTATCGCGTGGCAACCGGCCGCTTTGCAATTGTATTTCGCCGCCTCCGGTGCCTTTTCGCTGATACAGGGATATCTATTCAATACTGACGCGACGCGCAAAATGCTTGGGATTACCCCACTCTATCGCCCTCCTGCTGGCGAAGGCAGAGACGGTCTCCGAATGATCCAAGAGGAATTTCTGTCCCAGATGAAAAAAATGAACGAAAGAGGCGAATTTTCTGGATCCCCCAAGAAAGTCGAGAACGTCAGCATGGTGGACAAAATGGTCAACAACGCCAAGAAGGAGTATTCAACCATGAAGAGAGAAATGGGCGACAAAGTCAAGAGCTTCACAGATGCGAATGCGGATAGGAAGAATCATGACGGAACCCCAGCTGCGGCACCTCGGTTGTCCACTGCGGAGAAGCAGAGTGCCGAATCTTATAAGGCGCAGAGAGAGATTGAGGATGCGCATGAATTGGCGGAACGCAACCGACGACGGACACAGGAATATGAAGCTTTTATTGCGCAGCAGCAGATGAATGCCAGTCAGGCATGGAAGCAGAAGGGCAAGGAGGCGCTGAAAAAGACGGCTAAGAAGTCGAAACCAAAGAAATAATATTTTCTCCTCTTTCAGTTTGTCCGCTTGTTACGTCCAAGCGGTCAAGTTCATAGCATGTATCTGTTCATTCGAGACTGTGTTACTACCCTTTTTTCGTCTTGTCTCCAAAATCTCTCCAAAGGGATCATCGATCATCTGGTGTCGCTGGTTATATTGTCTCCATGTTTCTTTTTCTGTTTAGATTCCTTTCGCATGTACCATATGTATAACTTATGTTTCGCATTTTTCTTTCGTCCCTTCACCCACCAGGATGTATTAACAATTTGTGTCATAAGATATATTCTCAGAGGGAAAGCAGCACCGGGCCTATGTGTGAAAGATGATATGTAGAGAATTATAAACTAAACCAATCAAGTAAATATCCTATCCCGAGTATCCCATCGCCATATTTTAAGGAAATTGCAAACCTACCTGTTCAATACATAAGTATCATGTATATATATGATGTACACAATCTTTCTCCAAACAACCCCAATTGCTTCGATATGTCAGTGGTATCCGCAAAATCCAATCTCATCTCCAAAACAGAACCCAGAAACTCCTGACACTCCCAGACAGTACGAAGAAGACAAATATATCAGTCGTACAGTATACTAATGTTTGAAAGTTACATGTTGGCGTCCATGGGGATGTTGCCGCCTAGTACATATCGATCGAATTCGACCTGTTTACAAGCGTCTGATTAGCAGGATAGTAGAAAGTGGTGCATTGGATAATACGTACCCAGTCGATAGCTCCAGGGGAAGCAACGATTTCGGAGAACGGCAGAGAAAGACTGTACGGATTGACTTGATTGGGCACGAATTGCTCCGGTGAGGTGTCAGGTTTTGGTGAGATTTCGAGTGATTCTACGGATGGTATTGATGCTGTAACCGAATTAGTTCGACACCAATGAATGGAGATATGTAAGTGGAATGAGGGGATGCGTACAATATGTAGTCTCCGAGCTCTGTCCCGAGGTTTGCATGGTCCTCTCTGCACTCCTGATCTTGGTAAGCATAACGGCGACAGCCTCACTCGCCCGAAATGCGTCGATGGATGTATCCTTTGATGCGCGCCAGACGTGGTATGACGTTTCCAGTGCGGTCACCATTTCTTCGCTCCTGTCACGGCCCCAGAGGGTAATGTCGCTGGATGCAGGGTGTGTAGTGCCATCCATACCTTGACGCAAGTCTAGACATACCAACATAGCGGCGAGGAGGTAGTCGTGGCGGATGATGGATGTTGCGAGCCACTTGTGGCCGGCCAAACGACCCGTTGGACCGCTTTCGAAATGGCTGATGGCTTGGTAGCTGAGTAAAGTCAGGGCTGCCTCGATGGCTGCCTTTCGGGAATGACTGTATTGCGGGTTGAAACGGGCAAGAGGTAGGAGTCGTCGGTGAAGGACGCATAGACCGCTGTGCAATGTCTGGTCGATTGATAGACGCCGAATGATCATGGCGGGATGATCTAGTAGAGAATCCTGCAGGGACTTGACTTTGAATATGGGAGGCAGCGAGTTTCGAGCAGCGATAATTTCGCGCTCTAGTATCGGTATGTCCGAGTCCCTGGGATGAATGTCTTGTATATGCGAGGCAATCTTTGTAAAGACTTTAACGAGTGGTGCCTTGACTAGAAAAGTGGAGATTTTGGTCATTTCGTTCCATGGTCGTGACTGTGGGAGGGAAGTAGAGTCTTCGTCGAAATCGTCCTCGTGAAGGTTTCTCGGAAGCCCTGTATCGCATTGACCTGTAGGAATCATGCTGGGCAGTCCCACTTGCCATGATATAAGCACATCGGTCTGCGAGATAGCAAGCCACAGACGTCGGCGCATTTCGCATTCAAACACTGAAAGCTCGGTATCAAGAGCAGGTTCACGATGGAGTCCGAGTTTCATTGCCATGCGCACTGCAGTAGCCACATTGATCCAGACAGCCGTGCTTGTGTCCTGACACTGAATGAACTCGGCATCAAGATGCAGTGTCAGTAACGTCAGTCTCTCTACTGTTGGATTGGCATGTAACTCCGTGATTAGTATTTGCTTGGTACGCATACGGAATAGGGTTTGGGTGTCCTCCATGTCTCCAAGGGTAGCTGAAAGATCGATACCAGCTGCTCGAGCTGTGTGCACTGCTGTTCTCATAACGACAAATAAGGTTCCTAGCCATGCCTTTGAGACGCTGTATTGATCCTGCCAGAATTTATCATATTGGCGGAGGAACTTCTTCGGGTGGAGGATAGCTACAATAGTCAGTCAAGGTTATGTAACTTGAAATCGACAACACATACGTCGAACGAGACTTGCTGCGCCAAAGTAGTTTGCAACTAGCAAATCGACTACCGGACGAGGCGGCAGATCATGGGTGAACGTGTCGATGTCCCATTGACCGGGGCTACCTTCAAGTACATAAGGCTCTACCAGAGGATTTCTCGCATCCTCAACCTTTCCGAATTGTTTTTCAAACTCGGTTTCATGCTCCTCGAAGTACATTTTAATTTCTCCAATCTGTTCTTGGTCAGAATCCGGAGTCTCGGATTGATCAACAGCTGCAGACTCACATCCTGAAGAACGGTTTCCCATAAAGAATGCGCCGAGCTGCTAGCAGCCAGATTTGACACTCGGCGCACAGGAGGAACTTCTCCTTGAACAGGGGAAGTGTCTGTCTCATGGCCGTTGTCCGAGTGTTGAGGAGGCATGTGATAATGTGCATGGCTATCGGTCTCGCTGGTCGTTGACGGACCTTCGGACAGAGCTTCATGGGTCAAAGCACCTCTATCCAAAAGTTCCATGACAAGCGACTCGAGTCGCTCAATGCGCTTCTTTGTCTTTTTAGACTCGCGTGTCTGGTCGCGAGTGGCGGATCCATTGACGGGATACACGCAAGTATCTGCTTCACGGCGTTTAACACAATTGTCGCAAGGTCTTGCCCTGTCGCATTTGAGTCTGTATATTTAGTACAATTCATCAAATGTTTTCATGTTATGCGGCGACAGTCTGGGGCCAGATGGACCTACTTTCTGCGCTTGCATGGTGTACATGACAGCTGTGGGCGTCCCCGGATGGGAGCGTTGTTGGATAGGCGCACTCCACCATTAGATTGCGACTCCATGATTTGAGCACGCACTTGCGAGAGAATAGCCAAATTTTCCAGCTATATAATACTGTTAATATCAACTTGATGCATCGACTGAATATGTCACTAGGTTCGATGCAGGACAGGCCGAAAGGAAGGAATGCGACAGCTCCTGGGGGGAATCTGGTGGGGCACACTGGTCAAAGGCCTCACTTGTATTCTCACGGTAATACAGCCAGATGTCACACGATTGCTGCCCTCGAGTCGTGTATTGGTCGAGACCATCATTACTGTATTACAAGCTGGTGGCTGGTCTAATTGGCTCAATTATGTCGAAGGAGCCAACCGATGAGAGCTCTCCTTATCTCCGGCTAACTCCATGTGATGCTATACTACATAGTGTCTAGTTATCTGGAAGTCCAGATGATGCTTATTCACTAGCGATGTCGATCATGAATATATGTATAGGAGAGCAGATGGTAATTTCACCATTCATCATGAAAAGACATCTGCCAGTAGCTTCGGGAAGCACCGTGGACACTGTATAAATATACTCCGGAGATAATCAACTATACCTAATTTCCGAATGCTTCATATATTATGTACCTACATAGCTAGTCATCCTATCCTAATTGTGCTGCTTTGGAAAGCTTTACCTCAATACAGGTAGGTACATGTAATAAGTATCATCGTTGTTTATGTAGACTTGGCCATCAGCCAATGTTGTGTTTTGTTGATAGTCTCCGTAGAAGTCAACTGTCCACTAGACGATCAATGCACCCAGTTGCAACACGGATTGATGATATCATGATCGCTGTACTAATTGACTGGGTATCCACTTTGAGGCTAACATGTCGAACGTAATGTTGTTCGTACCTGCTGTTAGTATTCGAGTAAACATGTCGATTCATGTGATTCGTTCTGAGCCTAAGCTTCAATGTTGGAATGTTGTAAGAACTATGACGCGGGAAACTTGAACTTAGTTTCGACTTCAAACTTTTTCAATAAACAATATAATGGCTGCAAAGCTATAACTTTGATCAGCATGGATATCATATGGCCCTGCCTATAGTGCCTGCCTTCAATTTCTGGCCCTGAATTTCCGTGAGGTCGAAGGTTTGTTGAGTTTGGTATGGTGTCAAGTTGAATATAGCAATGCGTAATGATATGTTTACATGGTCCTTAAAATCTTATTAAAATTTTTTTCAGTCGCCAGACTGCAACTGTTTGTGTTCGCTATGCTAACCCCTTTTGTGCAGAGCATGATGTTGAGTTCATGGCTACAAACGGCGGAAATGACCGGGCGCAGACTGTCTCTTTGGCCTGGTAGAGAGAATATTTGGGAATAATCCAGTCATTTAGACCCTGCATCTAACCTCCAAAGACACTACAAAAGTTGCTGTCATTCATTACCTGCATGTTGAGGCTATTTACAGCAGTCATCTGACTCTCGATCAGTGGAACCATATTCAAGCAATGCCCCAAACAACTTCCCCGATAAGCACGTATTTTGACCAGACATGGATTGGTATGAAAGTTCATATCGATACTCCAGAACAAACTACTGTGGAATGGACCCTAATTCAGAAAATCTACGAAAGAGAGAGGACCTCTAATCATCATGGCAAAGAAGCACGAGCAATCTTCCGATGTACTGATGCAGGCGACAAGAAATGCATCATGAAGGCTCGAATGCTGTACGTTGACATATCTGTTGTCATTTCAAAAGGTAACATACTAACAAAAAGTCATTCGAGCAGACTCGACTGGAAATATCTCCATACATCCCCCTTCTTGACACACATCGAAACCGAAATCCGAGCACTTGGCAAACTCACAGAAAACAACTGCCAGTCCACGCCTCGCTTCTACGGTTCAATGATATGCATTCAAAACCTACCGGATCCCAGCCCTGGGGCCGTAACGAGCTTTATTGCAATGGAGGACGTGCCGGGTAGGGTATATGACTGGACGGTGTTTTGGTCGGGTATGACTGTGTTTGAGCGAGCGCAGAAGCGTGCAGCGTTCAGGAAAGCGTATCAGTATGTTTCTACACTAGATACTTTTGGTTGATCTGCTCATACTCCTAGTGACTGCTTGAAAAGTGGATATTGGAACCTTGACGCTGGGCTTCGAAATCTCGTTTTTGACGACGACAACGAGAAATGGTTAGTCTATGCCCTGAATCTACGATTGCAATTTACTGATATTCAATTCTTACTAGCTACGTTATCGACTGGGAAGCATCCGTTCCTGCCTACGCTGGCGCTGTCAAATTCAACGGTTTGATGTACGGAATGTGGGAATTGATCAAATACAACCGAGCGAATCCTGAGGATTTTACTCAATGGGAATGGTAGTCTGCTCTTGCTGAAAATGCAAATCTATCATGATCATTTCGTTTCTGGCGACCTTGAATCTGCATTATATGTGGATCTAAGTCAACATTCACATAGATAGTTGCTAATCTCAATAGCCCCTGAAGTTGGTCGAGGGATAACGCTATTCTCCAACTTCTTTTTTTTGAGTGAACCTGTCTATATCATCAACTTTTCAGAGTCTGACGTCAAGTCCTTCACGGTAACTCCCACCAACTTACGCCCAGCACGAAGCCATAGTAAAAATATTTCTGTTTGTCCCTCTATCATAAAAGGAAACATGTGACACCCATAAGCGTTGGCTTGTGCTACATGAGTTTTCAGGGTGTCAGGGCCAATATGTGACTTATCCTTGTGCCTAAACAGGATCTCTTTGTCATCTTATATTCGAGGCTTGTGGCTGTAATAGGAAGATATGATACCATAATTCCAAATTATATATCAATAGTGGAGTTTTTAGTGAAGGAATTGCCAGTCTGGAAACTGTAAATACAATGTCTAATGACAGTGCGCATCATTGAGTGTGATGTGATGGCTCCCTCGGACTGATTACGGTTCCTGCCTTGTCAACCTCAGAGATCGGTATTTTCATTATACAGCCCACACTCTTCAACTACCCAGACCAAAGACCTCATCTCGTGACAGCTCTTTCTGAACAAGCACTGGATATCTTAAAATTGATCTGAGCATCCAAATCGGATACCATGTTAAGTCCAAGAATATCCACCCCAAAAATACAGCCCCTGACGCGTCAAGATGGAGCCAAAAAAGCAATCAGACACATCGGCCAGAGAAGACGCCATATCTTCACCGAATGCAACCACAGCATTGAAGATCATCACTGCATGTATCCGCCCAAACATACCGGAAGAATACTTCGCCAAAATCCCGCTACGGACACCGTCGTCCGATTCCATGGGCTATGCAACAACTGCGAGGGAAAAAATTTGATTCGCAGGGCTATTGTATTGGAGACAAAGAGGTTGGTCCAGGGTCATATGGTGGGATTCGTGGACGAGACACAAGTTCGCTCTATGACTGAACGATTCGTGAGGTGGGCAAAGAACAAACTCGTCGTGTACTACAAGTACAAGAAGATGGAACGTGCAAAGACCATAGAAGACGAACATGGCGACGATGAATGGGACGTGCTGCCAGTGGTGGTCGTGCCTACAGCCTCAAATCCCTCCAGGAGCGGCGGCTATCAGTGGGAGGAAGTATACGTGGAGATCTCGTCGAGCCCGACTCTGATCCATGCGCAATTCGATATTCAGAGACATGTGTCTGAATTTGAGCGGAAATGGAACGAGCCCGTCAGAGGATCGAGAGGTAGTCGATGTAGTTTTGCGAATCCATCAAGCGAGACGGATCTCGGTTCGATATTTCCGACATTTCCTCATGAAATGTTGCCTGAAGCCGTGAGGGCGCTCGAGGATCATTATCGGTATGATGATCCAGATTTGCTTGAGACGTTGCCCGTTGCTACTGCGGAGGATTTCGATGAGGAACTTTAAGCTGCATCTGTAGCACGGTCGTGTGGTTGCTTTCTGCATATTTTCTCGTCTTGCTAATGATGACCACCATTTGTACGACTGCCCCTTGCAACTGTGGTCTCAACTTTCATATTGTATCTTCAACTTTCCAGACGCTACCACCCCTAACAAGGAGTTTATCGCACGTCTTCCTAGCCAGAAAAATGATACATGATAGAATGGATGTCTTTGTGCCTGCCCCTGCTGTTATAGATATCGTCACATCTACTATACATGTAAATGAAAGACAACATGAAATTAGCATATTCCAGTATGTACGTAAACAAATGAACTGTTATTATAGTCCCAGAAAAGTCCGCGAGCCTGGTCAGGTGGCATGGTTGTCAAAACATTCATTATCTTCGCCACCAGCTCATCTTCGGAAAGCGCGCTCTCAGTGCTGGGGCTGAGTCGCTAAGTCCCGGTTTGCTGGTACCGGGATAGAAAGCAACCGAAATGGCTTTTTTCTTTTGCTTCTATACCGCAGGAAGCTGTCAAATGTCTTTGTTAACTGTAGTGAAGCTACATTGGAGGCGAGGACTTTGAACCATAATCATTTAATGTTTTGCGAGATGGATGCGGTGCGACTAAACGATGATGCGCGGACTATATGTGCATGTAATCTGTATTTCTCGGTCTCAAGGGCTTTGTAAGGTCCTGACTTGTGAGAGGGTAAAAACCCGTGAAGGTATTTCATGAGCAATTGCTGGCTGACAACAATTCCCAAATATTGTCCAGAGGTGGACTGGCTGGTCACCTGGTTGAGATAGTACTCGCTAAAATGAGGACAATTAGGGTTGGGTTCGTCTTGAGGTTTCAGGTACGTTGCGTATTTTTCTTCTGCAGCGCGTACAATGGAAACCACTCCGCCTGTGGTGAGCCGCATGTCCCGCGGCTCTAATATACTCACCTGGGACGTCACTTACGATATGGTGAGAGGGMCTCCAGGCCCCGCCGATGTATGCTATTTTCTCCAATGCCCATGCTTCGTTTCTGAGCCGTTCTCCCCCAGTGACGACTATGGGCAACGAGGCGTTTTTAAGTAGATATCTGGCGAAGGCGATGCCTAAGTTTGTAGGATTGATGATGGGAGCAAATCTTCGGCTAGCAGTTTGTGGAGCCGTTGTGTGTTGTCGGCAGTCTATGACATTGGCGAAATGAGATTGATTTGAATGAAAATGCAGTGGTTGAGTGTGGAGCAGGTGAAGCTGGGGACAATCTGGGGGAAAGCTTGAGCTCCACACGCCTGATTATGTAACACTCCAGGGTCCTGCCCCCTGGTCTAACTGCTTTTGTGAGCTGGGTCACGGGGTTCGTATGCCCTAGAAGATTCACTTCAGCTTCACAGTATACCTGGGATACTGGTTTTTGAGAGAAGTAGTCGCTGCAGACTTGGGATTTAAAGACTGATTAGTGTAAATTACAATCCAGTTCAATAAGCATCAAAGCTTACACACATATTCATAGTACGGAACCAGCTTCATGAGTTATCCAATTCTAGAAAGCTTGCACTCAGAAGTCTTAGAATAGCAGAGAGAGGGAACATATTAAGACTACTAGTATTGCACTAGCTCTTTGTCTATCCATGATACAGTTCACTTAGTCAGTGTTAAAGATCGTGTTTGGGTGAAGGCAGTTGAGGACGCTCTTTCACACACAACCTGTCTGGACGATGAGCTCAAGATTCACCTTATGCTACCTCCTCTACCAGATCCTTTCCGTGTCATCTCCACCTCAATCATCCACTAGTCAAGAACCAAACACCTTCCCATCGACATTGAGAGCCTTTCAGACACTCATCTTCCTGTTACTCGTCATAACCACTTATTTCCGCCTTCTTAACAGTCATGGAGCGCCAGTTGCCTCCTGCACCACCCTCTTCCCCAGCTGTCTCGAGCGACGCCGAGGCAGTCTCAATTATCAACCACAGCACCGAACAGCGAGATGAGCAGACGTACAAGGATATCTGCAACTCCCGTATCGACCTCCTCGAGAAGCATTATTATCTTCTCAAAGACACGCTCCGCAAAGCAATGGGCATCGCCGACATCTGGTGGGGAGCAGACGACGTAAACAACCTCGAGCAACAAGCAAAACTCGGCACACAGCTCATTGACGACATTATCCAGCCGTACTTCGACATAACTCAAGTCCTCGTCAATACCCATCAAAGCCGTTTTGATAGGGACGAGAATGTCCACGGTTATCTCAATTTATGTGCTACTTCGGTACAAAGTTGCTTTACGCCTGCCCCAGGGATAGACCTCCGAGAAGCTGAACTTACAAAGGGCCTCGCTGTTCGCCTCGCTGAAGTAGCCCAGATCCGCAAAACTCTCTCAGACCTCAGGAAGAACTACGGCCGAAAGATCCTCTTGGAGAAAGGCGTCCGCGACTATGGGTATGACCATATCCTAAAAAAGCCTAAGGAGGACCCACAAGCTATAAGTTGGTCATTGTTGTGGGCTGGGTTGACGAAGCCAGAGGATGTGAAGCTTTGGTCCATCGTACCCCGTGAAGATCTCCCAATGCACAAGCGAAGCGCTTTCGAAGAAATCCAAAACGCACGCATCAGGGTCCTCGGCGAGAAAATTGACGAAGCCGAGGACTTCTGGGATTCTAAACTCGAGCTGATAGATGACGACGACGCTCCGCTGGAGGAGGACGATGACGATGAATGGGCAGAGATTTTTGAGACTACTTTCGCCAACCGGTTTCGGGGGGTGGTTGAGAATACCAAGTTGAGGCTGATGAAGGAGTGCAATATCTTCAATTTCCGCTTTTTGGGCACCTTGCCTGATGAGGTCAGATTCGAGGAAGATCTTCAGCTGCGGGCTCTCGGAGACCTAGAAAGGAAGGACTTACGGGCGTTTGTACAGTACCGAATACAGTTGCTGCAGGCCGAGAGGGCGTGTGCCGAGAACCTCCAGTTCGTTCCCATGGATGATACAGATGATTGAGGTCGGATTCGCGCTTGTTGCACCCACTTCCGCCTCAATTGGCTTGGATAAGGTGAGTTGCAATTAAGAAATATGTGGCTTGCTGTCAGCAATTGAAGGCCGCCCGGAGTGATCAAAGTCTGATCTTCATGTAATAGTTTGTTAAGGTACGTATGACACTGAGCCGACCTCGAGAAGCATACATTAACAATTTCGATAGTTCGAGTTCTTTTCTATTATGAATTCATGGGGGCATCTGTATCTTGTGAACAACAAAATTTGATGATTGATTCAAAGTAAAAAGACTAGTGATGACTACCTAGCTCCAGTTATACTCCATCTAATGCAAATGGTATTGAAATGAGGTCATATTCATAAATAAGCAAATTCAGTACCCCCAGTCGGGGCCATTATCGAAACAGTCTTCTCCCACCAGGTCCAGCCTGCCATGTAAAAGCACCTCTTGCTCCCATCATCGGCTGGCTGAGACCAGACATGCCAGTTCCTCCACCCTCACCGTCACGTTTGTAACGCCGTACAGCTTCACGAATGTGATCTGGAAGTAATTGGCCCCGATGAGGGTTCACTGGAGGTATGGAGATTCGATTGGCAGGAGTCGTCTCTGTTTTGAATCCATTGACCAGCTGGCCTGTATTCGGATTCGATGCATGAGGGGCGAGGTGATTGGTAGGGAAGCCAGCTGCTGACAGTGATGCCATGATATTGTTTGATCCAGGCGGAGATTGAGATTCAAGTTTCAGTCCGTTGGTCGTTTTATCGCCTTCTTTAGTTTCTGCTGGAGTTGATGATGCAGTTGCCGAATCGCCGTTTGTTTGCGCCTCCTCTTTAGCCTTGGTTTCGGCTTCTTCTTTAGCCTTAGCTTCTGCTTCTGCTCTGGCCTTTGCTTCTGCTTCTGCCTGTGCCTTTGCAGCCGCTGCCGCCTCTAGCTCAGCTTGTTCACGTTCCCAAGCTACAAGAGCTGCGAGGTCGTACGCTTTTGCCCATTCATCCTGCACAGTCCTAGCTTTCTCGATGATTTCACCAATGAAGACCTTTGTAAACCCATTCACCACTGTTACAACGCTCTGCGGTACGGATTGTGAGAGAGCATGATTGACGATTCGGCGAAGTGTTTCTTTTCGTAATCGCGTTCGATTCCATTTCTCGTATCGATCGGCTTGAAGTGGTGTGAATGAGCCCGTAAGGACACTGTATAGTCAAATAATCAGCAAAGAGCAATGGACCAGTGAAGTTTCTGCCAACATACGCAAGATTTTTCTTTTCCGTAGCAAGATCCAGAAATCCTTCCGTACCACCAAGCATATCACCCTCCATATCTTGTTCCTCTTCTTCCTCTCCAGCTTCCTCATTGCCTCCAGCTGTTCCCGCTCCACCCGCTCCTCCCCTCACAGAGCCGCCATCGATATCTGCCGAGCCAACTCTCGTACTCCTTCCATCCGCACCACCTCTAATCGAAGCATCCTCTCGCTCTTTATCAGCTTTCTTCTTCCGGCCTCTCTTCTTCGGTCCGTCGACTACACTGCTCGCTCCTCCCAGACTTCCTGTGAAACTGCCCGTTACACTCCCGGCGTCGCTGGGGGCTCGATTGCGTGAACTATCGAAGTCAAAGCCCATACCAGTCGGAAAGGATGTCTGACGTAGGGGATGCATCCGCGGTCGTTTCGCTTGGCCGGATGCTGTGGATGATATTGATGGCCGCTTGCGCGAGATAAGGGGATTGGGAGTGGTGGGTGGCGGTGAAGACATTATGCGTCGATCCAACTGACTGTAAATATGGTGATGCAATTTGCGTGGATGGTTAAAATTATGAAAAATTGTGAAGCCGCGCGCTGTTGAAACGATGTGCAATCAGGCGGCACTCATCGATGAGAATTAGGGACGAAATGAGTGACTGATTTGAGTGGTACAGTGTATAACATAGAGCTAAGTAGTGCGCAGATAATAGGCGCCTCCTTATTGACGTGAAGGTGAAAGAAAAATGATAGCGTGGACATTCAATGACTGACTGAGGCGAACGGAGAGACGAAGCCCAAGTAAGAGACCCACTGATGGAAGTTCTCCACAGTCGTGCTATACTAACCTATTTATAGTTAGCTCGTATTCAACTACTGCTGCCTGAGGCCGACATATCTTGGCATTCCCGCGGCGACGGACCACTCTGGTTGGAAGCCTTCTTCATCAAGCTTGACTTCCGCTCGCAAGCAATTTACCTTGAATAATTTTTCAACATCTTTCAGTTCTTAGCGATTGGTGGCTCTACTGGACCGCGACTACAGCATGCACCCTTTTCTTCCAGTCTAACTCTCGCTATTTTCCTAGTCCACCGGCCCATCAAAAGTCCGCCGAATTGCGCTCCTTCACGATCAGATACACCTTCAGCGGTCGACTAAGCGCTGATACCACAAGATGTCCGTTTGGAATCCGGACAACATCCGCGATGTAGCAGAGTCGGTCGGAATATCGAATTTGAGCAAGGATGTAACCGAGAATCTCGCCCGAGATGTCGAATACCGCATCGCTCAGGTACTAGAAGAAGCTCTAAAATTCATGCGCCACGGACGACGGACGGTACTCACAACACAAGACATTTCGCACGCTTTGCGGGTACTCAATGTTGAGCCTTTATATGGATACGAATCGACTCGTCCGCTGCGTTTTGGAGAAGCATCGCTGGGCCCTGGACAACCTTTATTTTACGTTGAGGATGAAGAGGTGGATTTTGAAAAGTTGATAAATGCTCCGTTGCCAAAAGTGCCTCGAGAGGTTACATTTACTGGTTTGTTTGAACTTTGGGACTAGACTTGCGCAACCTGTACTAATACTTGAAAATAGCGCACTGGCTTGCTGTCGAAGGTGTACAACCATTGATCCCCCAGAACCCTACATCGAACGAATCCCGCAATCTCGAACTAGTCGCCAAGGGCCCCAATGCCAACCCCAACTTAGCTGCCATGAGCGGCAACCAGAATACCGCCGTCAAACCACTCGTCAAACACATACTGTCCAAGGAATTGCAACTCTATTTTGAGAAAGTATGCAATGCTTTCCTTGACCCAGCTAGCGAGGAATACAGAACATCGGCGTACTCGAGTCTGCGAGAGGATCCTGGTTTACATCAACTTGTGCCATACTTTGTGCAGTTCATCTCGGAGAAGGTTACGCACAGCTTGAATAATATCTTTGTCTTGACGCAAGTGATGCGAATGGCCGAAGCATTGATCCAAAACCAATCTCTTTACATCGATCCTTATGTGAGTAGCTTTGATGATGGCGTTCATATTAACAAGGTATGCAGCTAACTGTTTCATAGATCTCCGCACTGGTACCGCCGGTTCTCACATGCCTCGTCGGTCGCCAATTTGGTGGTAGCAATAATGAATTATCCGAGCAGATCGCCTTGCGTGAGCTAGCGGCAGCACTGCTAGGCATGATCGCCAAGAAATATTCCCACGCATCACATACACTCAAACCAAGAATCGCACGATCGTGTCTTAAGAACTTTTTGGACCCTGCAAAACCATTCGGAACGCACTACGGAGCTATCATGGGCCTACATTCTATTGGCGGTGCTGATGTAGTGCGTGAACTCATCTTGCCAAACCTCAAACCATACGAGAAGCTGCTACGAGACGCCATTGCCGAAGAGGGACCACGACGGCCCGAGGCAGAAAAAGTACTTGGCTTGTTGCTCTCGGTCCTTTCTTCATTGCAGGAAGACCGTATACAGCTTACGAATGGTCATTCGGCTGTTGTATCCGATGAGCTCCGCGGACAGTTGACGGAGAAAATCGGCCAGTTGTTTGCTAATAGGATAGCGGATGCAGGGGAGGTACAATTAGCGCGTGCAATTCTGGCGCAGCATTAGACACAACATCTCTTATCTTCTTATGATTCCCATAGTTCCCTGTTTCTCGGGTTACATTTTTTGAAACCTTTCAATGAGGGGACATCCTGACGAAGCGTTGCGGCGGAGGTATCCTCTTTGGCGTTCTGGTACTTCCATAGGCGGAATCACGGACATGACAGGCGTTTTCTTTCTCTTTATATTTTTCTACGTCTTCAACAACCCATCTTGTTGCAAAATCTGGAGGACATGTATTTTACGTTGAATATCAAAATAATAACGACGTGAAGAAAGTTTGTTGCTTACTCGTATAAATTGCAGGAACAGCAGTAGTCTAGCCTAGACTTGACTATATCGCGCTAAGTGGAGGCTGGGCTACGTCACTGCTGCCCAACAACACCACAGCGTGTACAATGACCTACTCTATGTACATTACTATGTATCTGTACCTGGGCAGAGGCCCTTCCTGTAGCCGCCTACAGTGTACACAGCTATGCCACATACATAGAAGATATAGCAAGCAAACGTCAGCCCCGGCCAGTTGGACTATTCACCGCTCCAGCCTCCTGCTTGGTCCTGCATGAGCTGCCGAACTACTGCGTCTGCGCGAATTAAAGTGATACTGGATGTATCACGGCATACGGTGAGAAACGCAGGATAAATTTCCCGGACGTCAGGAGCCTTGAGTCTTTGCATGAATAATAAGAATGAAGTACGTAGACTGCAGCAAAAGAAAAGACAGAAGAGGTCGTGTGGTGGCTTGCCGGAAAAGGTCCAAGCATTTTTATTTGTTAGGCAAGCAGTTGCCCCCGCGCACCTTCCAAGTCTTCCCGCGCAAAAAAAAAGCCCACTTGCCCATCTGGACCTCAATCACACACAACCTCGTCTTCCCTCCAATTTATCTTCCTCTCGAGGCAGCTTTTTCCAATCTCACTATAACTCAAGAATTACCTCACTATCTCACAACTTCAACCCCGACAGTCTCCGCAGTCAATCGGTCGTTGTTCAATTTCCAGGTGCGCCCGTCATCGATGAGTGCTGCACCCACCTCTTTTTAAGCAGATTCTTTGCTTGCCTTCCATGAGCCCGAAGGACCTACTACGTTTCCTGTCCAAGCCTGCAAAGTAAGTCCTGCTAGTGACTCAAACAAACAAACGAGCAGATCTACCAGTCAATCAATCGCTCGGCACTCCCCGTTTGACTTTTTCTCTCTGTCAAACGTCATCCCCAAAAAAGAAAAAATTTCTAACCTCACTTTCCAGGCCTCGATAGCACCCCCGTGCTACCCGTGATTCTTCCAACTTTTACCCTCTAAAATTCAATTTCAAGCAGATATCCTCGTCTGCTAGACCCGATACTCTGAACGGTATCGGTATCTGTCAGTTCGAGGTCTAAACAGATCGCCACCATTTCGTTCGATCTGTTCTTCGTTCTCCTGTCCGCGCGCCCTCCCTAACGTCCCTTCACCGGGAAAACTTGAAAATCAAATCGTCCTTTTGGCTGGCTGATTAGCCAGCTCGTTCTACCTTTCGATAAACGGGCCTTCTCCTTCTCAGGCGGACACCGCATTGTCCCCTGGGTGGCAGATTGTGCTTCATACGGCTTTAGTCGTCCCAGCTTAATCCACGTCGTCTTCTATCTTCGTTGAAGAGTCATACAACTTCAAAAGACCAAAAAAATAATTATCACTTTTCGCTTATAAATACCTTACCATCAGCAACGCTTGAACTCTACGGATATGGTGTTCATTGGCATTCCCAAGAATTATACAACTTCGCCGTCCTCATTTATCGGGACTCCTTCTTTGACTATCAATCATGAAGCCATCGCTGATCTAGATAGCTCCAATGCATTCGAAGGTGGGCTTTTTTCCGACATGTTTCTGCGACGCCTCAACTAACATCCTATCACAGGCCCCGAGAAATTGTTAGAGGTCTGGTTTGGTCCCGCCGCCGACAATCTACTCGGCGGGACTGACCCCCGTGGTCTCAAAGCAGTCCCTGCCGAAATATGGAAGGACATGCTTGATTTAGTGAACTGCAAGGTGCTGTCAATTGTCGAGTCGGATGATGTCGACGCTTATTTGCTATCCGAATCTAGCATGTTTGTTTGGCGCCATAAGCTTATCCTCAAAACCTGCGGCACTACTACGTTGTTGTCAGGCTTACCACGCATTTTGGAAATTGCTGCTTTGTTCGCTGGATTTCCCAAGTCCACTGCGCCCCCTTGCCGTAACCTCTCTGTCGCGGCTGCTCCTTATCGTGTCTTCTACAGTCGGAAGAACTTTCTCTTCCCCGACCGTCAGCGTGGCCCCCATAGGAGCTGGCGCGATGAAGTCAAGAACCTCGACAAACTGTTTGCCAACGGTAGTGCTTACATGATTGGTAAAATGAACGGCGAGCATTGGTACCTTTACCTGACTGAACCCCATACCTCGTTGACACCGCCAGCGAGTCCGCCTCACGAGACTGAAACTCGCGTGCTCAACATTCCGGAGGATCTTGATAGTAAGAAAGCGAATACAGGGTCTTACGAAGAAAATGACGAAACTCTTGAGATTCTGATGACGGATTTGGAAGAGGAGAATGCCGAGCAATTCTACCTCGACCATGCGAGTGCGGTCGCAGATATCCGTTATCGGAAGATCGAGAAGGAAAAGGACGAACTTGTTGACGTATTCAGCAATACGTCTTCAGACATGAGCGATCCCGACTCCGATGGTGAACAGCAGCACACTCTGCCTCCTGAATTGACAACCGAGGGTCATGCCCTTGGCACCGTCGTATCAGAGTCATGCGGTCTGTCCGACGTTTACCCGACCAGCAAGTATCCCGATTCCCGCATTGACGCTTATCTCTTCACGCCATGTGGCTTTTCTGCGAATGGTGTGGTGCCTGCTCCGGATGGTAAATCTGGGACTCACTATTTTACTGTCCACGTTACCCCTGAGCCTCAATGCTCCTACGCGTCTTTTGAGACCAATGTACCCCACGCGCAAAGTGGCAGGGAAACCGCAGATATCGTCAAGCATGTCGTCGATATCTTCAAGCCCGGTCGCTTCACCGTCACGCTATTTGAAGCGAAGCCAGTGATGGTCTCCGAGGAGTCTTTGAGCGAGAAGAAGTATGACCGCTCAGCAGTCCTCCGGGCCCAGAAGATGGAGAACATTCCCGGATATCGTCGTGTCGATCGCATAGTTCATGATCTGGATGGGTACGATCTAGTCTTTCGTTACTATGAACGTAATGACTGGAAGGGAGGTGCTCCGCGGATTGGAGAATATTAACCGAGCAACCTTTTCGGATTGTTCATGTTAATTTTGTGGTTTCTCATTGCACGTATCAGTCCTTACCGCTCTATGCCTGTTGTGTCGAATGAGTTTCATTTCATTGCGCTATGTTTTCCATATTGTCCATACGTGCTCTAGTTCCATTCTAGGGTATCCTTGTTTCGTCGATCGCTTTCCAGCTATTGCATTGCCAGAGTCTGTCTTTACTGCATATGTATCGAACATCAAGTCAATTAAATTATACCTCAACAGTTCACAATTGTAACCAGCTCAAGCATAATCGCAACCTCCAAAATGTAGAGCTCGGTTAAGTAGTGTGTTTCGAACAAGAATCCTATATTTCTTAAAAAAAAAAAAAAAAAACTACCTACATACATTCTACACCATCTAGGTATGTCAGCACGCCTCAACTGGGGTATAACGTCAATCCTCCACCAGAAAACATGGCTATATTAAGCATGTTATTTGGCCCATACAGTGATGTGACAGGAAAACCGAACCGAAACAAAACAAAAATAAAATGAAAACAATTAGTCCAAAGCACGCTCGGGATCGGGTATCTCGATATTAATCACGGGGTATAGTATGTAGTGGATTGAATCTACTTGGATTCTTCGCCGGCTGGTGCAGCAGCGGCGGCAGGTTCGGCTTCCTTGGCGGGCTCAGCGGCAGCAGCAGGGGCGGGCTCTTCAGGCTTGACGGCCTCCTCCTTGAGAGCTTCAGTTGCTGCTGGGACTGGTGCAGGTGCGGGTTCGGCTTCGGCAGCCTTGGGTTCTTCAGCTTTGGCAGCGGCTACTTCTTTGGATGCCTCAGTGGCTGCTTTTGCAGGCTCACCGGCAGGGATGTCATCAATAAGAGGAACGGTGCGACCAGCATCCTTGAGCTCGGCACCCTGTCCACCGTATGACTTGGGAAGGTCCTCGACAAAGGTAAACTCTCTACCGAGGTTGGCACCGTTGGAGATTGGGTGGAACTTGCGGATTGTGTTCTTGCTCAAGAAGATCTTCATGGCGCCGAACATCCATCCCATGATGGTTGGGACGTTGATGAAGAACTTCTCTCGCAACAGTTCGGGGTAAGCAGTGGAGAAAACCTCGATCGTCTTCTTGGAGGCGGCCTTGACAGTGGGATCGAGGCGGAGGAATGAAACGCCCTTGTAGTCGTGGACTTGAAGCATCTGGTAGCGATCTTCGCCATCGTATTCGATGACTTCGGTTGCCTCGTTCAGTTTGAGCTCCTGGACACCCCTCTCCATCAAAGCTGTACGCCAGCGGATGAACCTAGAAATCGGTCAGCAATGATCACGAAGGCATTATAAGCAAACAACATACTCGTCCAAGTCACCAAAGGTACTGTGCAAATCCTTGACTCCTCCGTAGATGTTCCAAGTAAAGATCGTCTCTCCATAGCTAGGGTCAATGTAAGATGTGATGTAGCCCAGGCCCTCAAACTTCTTTGCACTGAATTTGGCACTCTTGACGATTTCGATGGGATTGATCTCCTTTCGCCACTCAAGAGCCTTGGTGAGCTGCTCCTCGGCTTGCTTGACATTGCCCTCATTGGCACGGAGGAACTTGATCAGGACGTTGACGGTAGGGATGTTGTTGGAGTCTTTCAGGGGAACTCCCCACATCTCCGTGTGACCAGTTTTGTTGAGAATCTCGGGCAGACTTTCGAAGAACTTGTTGAGACCAGGGATCTTTGTCAAGTACTCGGGCTGTGCAGGGGCTTGAGGCTCTTCCTTCTTGTCGGTTGTCTCATCCTTTGGCTCGGCAACAGGGGTTGCTGCAGTGGTCTGTTCAGCAGGAACTTCGGCGGGAGCAGGGGTGGTTTCTGCTGGTTTGTCTGTAGGTGCAACGACTGCCTCCTCCGGCTTAGGCTCTGTGGGATTGACTTCGACAGCAGCAGTGGTAGGTTCGACAGTCTTTGTAGTCTCGGGGACAGACTGAGGGGCAGGCTCAGCAGCGATTTCGGAAGACATTATGAACGTAGCTGTTGTTATTCACAGAGTGACTAGAAACTCAAGGAAATGGCTGCAGTATATGATCAGATATAAATATGTAAATCAAATTGAGGACGATGAAGAATCAAAATTTTGCGGACAGAACAAAATCATAGGAGGACGGGTTGATACCTGTGAATACCAGTCTGAAACAAAAAGAAAGTATGTGCTGGCGGCTGGACTCACCTTTAAATCACAAGGAGTCAACCCCCTGACTGATTCGCTCAGGACACTGGAATCTGATTAGATAGAAGAAGATGGGGAAAGGGGTGAAGCATCTTGAGCCCAACGTCGAGTCAGGAAGCTTAAGGGACGACGCAATAATAATAGAGACCGGATTAACGAATTGCCGTGTCTCAGGTGGACATGTGGAAGGAAGTCCGTCTGTAAGCTGACTGCCTGTTGCGGTCAAGCTTGGCTTTTGGCCAATCGGAATTCCATATTTCGCAGGCGGTCAGTATTAGGGGCAGAAAGACGCTCTGACCATCAAACAACGTTCATCCTCTTGAACTTACTTCTTCCGAGATGAGAAGACCAAGGATCAGACAGCAACTTTATATAATGATCTAGCCAAATCTAGGTCCTCTTCATGGCGATCTGTACTCAATGTACGACCGAGCTCAAGACACTAAGACCGCGTTGATCTCCCAGAGCTAGCAGAAAAGTACATTCCTCCCCGTCTCTATCGCTCATTCCCTCCCACGTCAACACTCGAGCATTTGGATATGTGCTGAAGGATTTCGTGTCTTGGCAGAAAGCAACTTCAGATTGTGGTCTAGACATATCTATATCCTCTTGTCATGCTTCCTGAACGAGACGAAGAGAATTCCCAGATACGCTAACTACTTACTATATACTTGTCATCGGAGGTGTGCTCTACGTGGGAAACCAAATGATTAAAACTCCTTTCTCAGCTTTTCCACCGGGGGCAAAACACCCTCGCGCTCAAGAACGTCGAAAGTCTTCTCCAGCTCCTCCCAAGTATCGGCGTACCCGGTCCAACCTAACCGACGCGCTTTGCTCATTGTCCCAACGCAGCTCCAGTCCCTTCCCAGGACAAAGGTTAAAAAGTCCCATGTAGCACTTTCCCACGCTTTTTGATCGAGATTGTACGTATTGCGCAATTTACCCCACGCCTCGTTCACATCCTTGCGCTTCGCCCATTTCTCGGGATCAACCTGGAGAAATAGAGTGGGCTTACCTTCAGCCGAGACTCCAATCTTGTCTGCGTGCACCGTAAGCGGATGCTGGCTTTCCTTTCGCACAGTGCTCGCCTCATATTGACCGAAACCTTGGCTGTCCGGGGTACCACCGTGCGGAAACATCGGTTTGGGAATCTTACAGCCAAAGCGTGCAGCAAGCCGAGGCCACAAATTCTGAAATGACTCCGTATCCCCGTTTATCACGTTGAAGATGTTATTCCCGGCGTTGGGGGCCGTCGCTGCCCAGAGACAAAATTTGGCGTGTAGGTTTGCTGAGGTCCAGCAGTTGAAAGCGAAGTAATTGGCTTTACCGCCAGGGAATGGAAGCTCGGACCCTGGAAGTGCCTTGCTGACAGCGCAATATAGACCCAGCGCACTAGCTTCATTCATGAAGTTGTCTCGTGCGTAGCCCAAGACGTCCTGTGGGAGAGTCACAATCCATTCCCACGTCCCGCGGGTGGCCGCATCCTTAAGGACCCGCTCCTGTTCGTAGTAGAAGATGGGCGGCCAGGAGACGCCACCACGGTTATCCACCAGGAGAGGGTCATCCTCCTGGAGCGGCTGCTTACAATGGCCTAGGTCGACTCCATATTGTTTGAAGCCGCATGTCAGAATGAAACGCTTCAGCTTCTTGATAGCACCTGTGATTTCCAGTGCTTGAAGAAAATTCGACAGCATCATCCCGTTCACACGTGACGACTCGGCTGGGTCATCTCGAGCCAGGTAAGCGCAGAAATAGACGTAGTCCGCAGAGACATCTTTCAGACTATTAGCCATCTCCTTGGGAGACGCTTGGAGATCTAGAGTGGCGTGCTGGATCTTGGAGTTTTCATAGCCGCGGTTGCTTCGGGACAGTGAGTAAATCTTGTCATACCGCGAGTCATTACATAGGTGGTGCACAATGGCACTGCCAGTGATACCTGAGGGTGTGATTAGTAGAGGTTGCTGTTTGAATATGGACGATAGAAAACCGACCGGTTGCACCAGTAACAATTGCAGATGGCATTTTTAAGTAAGCCAAGATTAAAATCGGGATTTTTCCATGTATATAAATTACCAAGCGTTCTTGAGAATACCTACAGCTTTTAAATATCCGTGAGAGATCAAACTCTGATCATAATGGCATCATCAATAGAGTGGACGGGAGGAAAGTTTGTGGTCCATTTTATGACCGTCATTATCATCATACATATATATGTATGAATCACATGAGCCCAAATTTTACTACAGCTCAGTATAGTGATCGCACTGCTTTCGATTGGTGTACCACTGCCCATTACTCACTTTATACACATCTTAGTAAGCATTGAGCTGTTCTAACTCAGCCATCAACACTGAAGTATGTATGACGACAGGAGTTGTGACACCACAACATATCAGGCATAACTAACCAAGAGAAATTGCCTTATGTAAGCTTCCTGTTGTAGGAAATATATAATAGTGATCATAATTGTCTCATAGATAATTTCCATCTACTTTCAATTTCTGGCAGCAGCAGAAAGTCTTACAACCTTCTCAAATATGGGATCCCAAAGTAACGGCCCGCATGTCCTACTCACGGGCGCAAATGGCTTTGTTGCCTCGCATATATTATCAATCTTGCTTAAAGTACAGGAATTCCTTCCACCAGTTTGACTTTGGGATAGGACCCTGGTTAATAATGTACATAGAGTGGATACACTGTCACTGCCACTGTGCGATCACAGACCAAGGCCGACGACATCATCAACACGCACCCTTCATGGAAGGGCAAGATCAGCTTCGTCATTGTGTCTGATTTCACCTCTCAGCAACCATTCGATGAACTATTCAGGAATGCCAATACCGCTGCAGCGCCTTTCACCTATGTAATTCACACGGCGTCCCCCTTGAAGTTTAAGGTCGAGGACATCCAGAAGGAAATGATCGMCCCTGCCGTTATGGGGTTAGCATATTGATATTACTTTACATATGCATATTACGCATGGGAATCCACTAATACGTTCCTAGAACAACAGAGATCCTCAAGAGTGCTCACAGACATGGCGGCACCACGCTGAAACGGTTTGTCCTGCTGGGTAGTGCTGTCTCCGTCCTCAACTCCTTCGAGGACATCACTCGTGAGGGACGCCCTTACACCGAAAAGGATTGGAATCCAGTTTGTCTCATAACCAATTGATTGCTGGTATACTCTGACTGATACATTCCAGGCGACCGCTCAGCAAGCTATCGATCAGAAGGACCCTGTGCTTGGGTACAACGTATCCAAAAAGCAAGCCGAAGAAAAAGCTTGGGCGTTCATGAAGACCGATAAACCGAACTTCGATTTAACCGTGATCAACCCGGACATCATCACAGGTCCGATGATCCATCCCATTTCAGGACCGAGCTCAATCAATGAAACGAACCACTTCGCAATCGCGAGTTTCATCGATGGAACCCATAAGACAGTCGAAGACGTGCGATTCCCATTTTATCACTTTGTACGTCTCATGTTTGCGCCACTATTCGCGTCACTATCTAATGAGGTGCAGGTCGATGTCCGCGACGTCGCGCAGAGCCATGTCAATGCGTTGACTAACCCTGCGGCAGGGCACCGGCGGATTCTGCTCATATCCGGACTAATCACGCCGCAGCTGGTCGTGAATATCATCCGAAAAAATTTTCCCGCTCTAAGGGATCGTGTTCCGGAGGGAAATCCTTCAAAGATCCTGCCGGATGGGGTGCACCCGACAGGATGGGATATGAGGGAAAGCCTAGATATTCTGTCCAAGGGAAAAAAAGATGGTCCATGGAAGTATATTGAGCTGGAGCAGAGTGTCACAGATACAGTACAGTCGATGATAGATCATAAGATCTTGTAGGGCAAGAGCAAGTGATTCTCTGATTCTTTACTAACTAACTGTTGTGTGTGTTGAGGAAGGATAATCTTAGTTTATAGGCAAATTGGTATTCTTCTTTAATAATACTTATACATATAGTATGGAGGTAACCATATATAAAAAAAGGGTAGAAAGAAATTTCTATCAATCTCTCTCTCTCTCTCTTAGTAGCTATATACTTCATAAAAATATAATCCAAAGCTATCTAAAGCTTGTAAAATTGATACATGTATAGGATACATGTATCACCAAATTCATCCTATATCATCATCAGCTATGGCGTTCATCCACTTATGGAGACCTCGACTAGAGCTGCGATCTCCATCTCTTGCTTCATCTGCAATTTGACCAGCTGCAGGAGCTTTTCAGGAAGTATCTGAAAGATCAAAGGTCCTAGTTAGCCAGGCAAAGGTATCAATCGTTAGCTGGAGACCGAAGATGAGAAGTAATAAAAGGAAGAGAAGGCGGAAGTGCAGACATGGACACACGCCTCTTTATGGCCGACGATCCAGGATTTCAGCATCCCGGGATGCCGAAGTCCATTTTCATTCATTTTCCATGCCCGAGTTGATCGATCCCTGTCAGCAAATATTCTCCACCCGAGGCACGGTATTAGATTTTGGATTGACCATTATGTCAATAGTACATAGTTATCTGTCAAGGGGAATCTTCCACAAGGATAGGAGATAAGGAAAGATACAGATGTTCCCGTTATAAGTCTATTAATGACTTGTTGACTCTACTACAGAGTTGTCTCTCATTTCTGGGCTGTCCTTTTTGACGCCGATACGTCTCCATTCTATGCCGAGACTCGTAACGAAAGCTGCTCCAGCCGCTGCTACAGAGACTAGAAAGGCATTAATAACAGCACCACTAAATGCATTGCGAACTGAGTCCAGATTTGACGCGCTGACGATCGTTTCCAGGTCTGTGCCACCTGATGCGATGATAATCGGCACGTTAATGTCTTGAATTTTGTCGAGTCGTTTAATGAGCCATGTCTGAAACACGTTTTCGGCGATGCTGAGCCCGAGAGCTCCTCCAAGAGCCTGAAAGAGTGAAATCAATGCATTGGCCAGGGGTCTGTCGACAGAAATAACGACTACCTGCACAGCTAGGTAGGGGACTTGGACCGAGATTCCGTAGCCAATACCTATTATCACTTGGTATCCGAACCATGCCTTCATCGTACTTGACCAAACCAGAGTGTGGAGAAGGTAGCAGCCCACAGTAAAAATAGCAGCGCCTGTCCACATAAATGGTACGTAATAGCCTACCATAGTGATGAAGATACCACTAACAAGCGTAGCAATCGCGATGGTGATGCCGGAGGGTAGGATTTGCACGCCGGACACCTTAGCGGATGTTGCTTGGACTGCTTGGAAGAAGAATGGAAGATAATACGCCTGCGCCATCATAGCTATTTGTAATAGACAAGTGAAGATGCAACTGATTGCTACGGATCTTTGAGAGATTACGCGCGGTGGTATAAGGGATCTATAGGATTTATAGGTAAGTTCATCAGAAAGGCTATGGCGAGGTGGAAAATCATAGCAGAGCATAACTTACTCGTCTCCATGACGAAACTGGATCAAAACGAATACAGCCAGTAAGAGCCCAGCTCCCAGAAGACAACCCCAGACACGTGAATCTGTCCAGGGATATTTGATGCCTCCCCAGCTGATACCGAGAAGTAGGCAAGTGATGGTTCCCATAAGAATGATGGCGCTCAATATTCCTAGTTTCAGCAGCCTTGGCCAGATTTTCATGGCTGGATCAACTCCCACCGAGGCAGGCTTGTACAGAAGTATGATAATAGCAACAGCAATACTACCGAAAGCTAACCCGCTTATATCAGCATATATTGTGTCAACACCATGGTTGTACCAGCTTACGTAGGTTTATCCAAAAACAGAATCTCCAGGTAAGTCTGGGCGTGTCTGTGAATAGGCCTCCAAGAGCTTAACAGTTGTTAGAGAATCATTAGTCGCAGTTCAAAAATTGGGGAATAGCTCACTTGGGCCAAGAACGGATGAGATGCCATATATGCCCCCTATAAAGCCCATAAACAATGGTCTCTTCTTTTCTCCAACAGCGAGGCCTAAGATAGTCAAGCCTCCACAGAAGATCCCTGCAGCCCCAAAGCCAGCGACGGCTCTCCCCGTGATGAATGAATTAGAATCAGGCGCGGCAGCACAGACAACAGATCCAATTTCAAATATCAGCAATGCTGATAGAAATACACGTTTTATATCAAAGAGGGTATAGAGTTTGCCGAAGGTAGGCTGCAGAGACATTTGGGTAAGGAGATACGCGCTACCGTACCATCCTGCATAGTTACATTGTCAATAAGCGCCAAATCAAAAATAAGGTAGATTCATGCAGGGCATTTTATTACCCACGTCGTCCAGACTGTTAAACTCGCTGGTGATTCTAGGAATTGCGGTTGCTTGAGAACAACCCAACGCATGAGACAAAGACAAAACAGGACACGATACATCACTTACAGATAATAGCATTGTCCAAAGCTACCATAAAGACCGACGATAGTAAAGCGAAATTCACAAGGATTAGGGGTCTTCCATGAAGGAAATCATCTTTAGGAGGGTCAACAGCTGTAAGGGCATCAGCATTTTGCAATGGCTTCTCTTTCGGTACGTTTGTGAATTTCTGTTCGGTGTCCATCGTAAGTTTCATGCTACAGGCGTGTACTTGCACCTTCATTGACACTTCGGGTTATACTGTCCAGCAAGGATTCTCGAGCCATTGAAGTTGGATGGAGAAGTATGTGCTCTCTATATTATGTTGGAATTCTGCCCAACTTCACTTCGGAGGTAAGCAAAGCTAGCAGAAGTTCATTAGAGGAATTATGTATTTCCGGCTAGACGCACCAAACGCGGGGTAACAGCCAACGCATTTGACCAGGGGTTTTTTATATCCCGGAATGATTTTATATTGGATAGTTCTGCGCGGCGTGTCCCAGATTTATCATGATGCTTAGTGTGGTAAAGGGGGCGGAGCAGGCATCTCGTGGAAGACGCACCCGACAGGTGGAGAGTGCGTCAAGGCATCGTCGGAATACTGGCAGCACCCCCCGAGGCCATCCCTGTACTATCGGTTAAAGTTCGGACAGGGATCACATATTCCAGGCTAGGGGTTGTAGTTCATCACCATGCCCTCACAGACGTGGACGCTCTGCGCCGACGCTGCGCGGCTGTAGGCGATTTTGGTGGTTCAAGCTCAGCCATGGTTGTTGATTTAGTTGACTTTACAAAGATGGCGGTATGGAAGCGGCAGAAGACTGACTTTTCTTCTCTCGTGGTCACACCGGGCAGAAAGAGAGGTCGGGGAAGGAAGGTGCTACAAGTAAATGAAGCAGCCTAGAATCTAACAACCCTCGATACTTATGTCTGCTAGTGCGCATGAACAAAATTAGGTACTGTTCTTCCTGACCCCGAGCATCACGGTCAAACGCGGGAAAATGACTTCAGCTGTAGGATGGAATGGATGACACGAAAGCCATCAATCCTTCATATTGAGCGCTGGTAGGCAGAATGTTGTTGGATAAGTCTTCATTCTTTGTGTCTCTACTTGCCGCAAGCAAATTTTGTATAGTCAAAGAGCTTCTTTCAAAAAGCAATTTACATATCATTCGGCGCACTCTCTCATTGAGTGTCTACTTAGGGTTTACTTAGGGTTGACTTAGGGCTAATGATCGTGCCAAGACTGGTATACAAATGATTGGATACTCTGACATCACCAATTAAAGACACGGAGAAGAGTCCGTGCCCTCATATCGAGAACCTTAGAATCGACAACATCAGATTAACAACAGCACCTTCTCTGAGAAGGAGCTCAACGTGGAACAGCATTTCTTCCAACTGTCAAACCTATGGAGATGCTGTGTTGAAGAAATAGCTGGACTATAAGCTTCATTGAGAGTGGGCAGATTCGCGAGACCGCGAGCTGTGCGTATGCGGCCGACATCATGGCCATGACCATGCGCGAGATTGTGCTTTGCGCAGCACTTATTTTTGTCATTGGCGGTATGCTCTAGGTTCACCATCTGCTGTTTGAAGTTAAATAATAATGAATGTGCAAATAGTATCCGTCCTAAACCAAACACTCAATTCAACATCCTCCTTCTCAACCCAGATCCTCCAAAATGGCCAGTCCTCCTCCATCCTCAACCTCCACAAAAAAGAGAAACAACACGACCAAGACCAAATACTACGACTCAACAACCTTCAAGTCATTGGCACCCACAACAGCTACCACCGCGAAGTCTCCCTACCGGAAAGAGTCCATTTCCCAACCTTAATGGCGAACGTCGACCCCCATTATGAAGGATACTATTACTCGCATGCCTCTGTGCACGATCAACTCGAGTACCAACGAGTCCGCAGCTTCGAGTTTGATGTCTACGTCGACACGCACGGCGGCCTTTTCGCGGATCCGCTCATCCGTCGATTAGCAAATATGTCTCAATCAGACAAAGCGCATTACGGATTACCGGACGATGTGATGCGAAAGCCAGGTACAAAAGTACTACACATTGCCGATGCAGATGTCGGATCTATATGCCATACCCTTGTTGAATGTCTGATACAGGTGAAAGCATGGTCCGACTCAAAGAACGGGCAGCATATCCCGATACCTATATTGATTGAATTCAAAAAGACGGAACCCGGTCTTGAGAAACAGGGCGGCGTTGTTGCGGAGGACTGGACGGTTGAAGCTCTCGATAGAGTTGACGCTGAGATCCGCTCGGTGTTTAGCGACGATCAACTCATCACGCCGGACGATATACGCAAACAGGCAATAGACAACGGCGTCGGGAGTCGCATCAACAACAGTGAAAATAAAAACATTACACTCGAAGAAGCAATCCTTGCGTATGAGCACGGCGGTGGCTGGCCCACCCTCTCATCTTCGCGCGGTAAATTCTTCTTCGTCATGGACAACGAACCAMCCCATCCCATACAAAYCCGCGATCCATACCGCAGCAACAACAGACTCAACCTTGAGGGGCGTGTAATATTCACAAACTCTCTTCCCGGCGAACCCGACGCTGCATTCATAAAACGGAACGATCCGATCACGGACAACAATCAGCATGAAATTCAGGATTTGGTTTCGAGGGGGTATTTCATTCGTACCCGCGCAGATGAGCCGATTCAGATGCTTCTCAAGGATGAGGTGCCCGCTATGCGCGACGCGGCGTTGGCCAGTGGTGCACAGATTGTTAGCTCGGACTGGGTCGGGGCTGGAGTGAGTGCACGATACAATAGCGATTATTTCGTGGCATTGCCGCAGGGAAGGTCTGCGAGATGCAATCCGGTCAATGCGCCGGGGGGTTGCGAGGATGAATATTTGGAGTTGCTGGTATAGACAGTTTATTTTAGCATAATATCTAATGACACTTATGAATATATTTACGAGCATTGTGCAGTCATTTTTATGTCAGTCAGTTTGACATCCTCGATCTCTACTCTCGAACAACATGCCTCAAAATGGATAGATCAATTCTCTACACGATTAAACCAACTAGCGGCAAACAGCACATGATATACACCTACAGACGTCCTCGTTCTTGAGATATACAGGGGGTATCCACCTCACCCGTTGCCATTTCATGCAATGAAATAAAATGAACTGGGTATTGGTAAGCCATCGACATAAAGGGGGTGAAGAAGCAAACAGCATCCAAGAATAGAGTATTCAAAGTAACTTCATGAAATCGTAAAAGTCGTCCATACAGCTCGTATCTGCCATAATTGATATTTTGATGCAGGCATAGACCGATTAAGACAAGTTCTTGGGAACCTTTGGCACAGCTAGTGGCTCGGCGTCGTTATCGTCGTCCATTTCGTCAAGCTCTTCCGGATGGCTGGAATCCCGGTTAGGTATACTGACACGATTGGATGTAAAGAAGTATACATACGCTAGGATATCCTTGATATTCCTCATTTCATAATGCTTTTTCCGATGCTCTTCAAACTGACGGTGCTTCTCCTTTGCCTCTTCAGTCGTTATCAAGCCCTCTCCATGGCCACTGCCCTCCTCATCGTCAACGACAACATCAACGTGCTTGTCACTGCGATTCGAGTTCTGACTAAGACTGCGATCGCGCGTGATTCGGCTTCCACCCGTCGCCGCCAGATTCTGCTGAGCGTGGATATCTTCTTCGGGCTCACCGAGCTCAAAATCAGGGATCTCGTTGTCGTGTACAGGACCGGTGGCTTTCTTCTGGCGAGCACTGTTGACAAGATCAAGTTCATCCACCACCAGGTCATGCGCCTCGAGCGTGCGATTTTCGGCTTCTATTTCCATATCTTCGCGCTCATCTTGTGCGGGGTCATAGCTCGGGGCCCATGGGGTCTTGGGTTCGTCGATCTTCATTTTTGCCGTTTTTTCTTGCTCGGTAAGATACAAGTTTGCTTCGTCCCATTTCAGATGAGTAGAGCGATCATCCTGGTCGCCGTGTGCGGAACCTGTGCCAGAATGACGTCTCCCGGATGAAGCGCGACGTGTACTAGACGAGCGACGACCGGCATTTTGTAGAGTGTTCTGAAGGGTAATTTCTTTATTTTCCTCTGTATCTACAGGTAGGGGAGGAGGCGAAATCGCGACTTTCTCGGGTGATGTTGAGTGTTGGTGGATGAAGGAACTTGAGTTTTTCAGGATGCCTACGACCACTCAGTCAGTGTACTTGAAAGTTGGTTTGTAGGCCATGCTCGAATATACCTTTAGGTCGCTTAGGGATATCCTCAGGGCTGTGAGCGTGAGCCGTCGTCTCGTGAGACAGAGTCATGTTGGATTGTATGAACGGTTGTCGCAACAACAGCGGGGTAGTAGAGACGGGAAGACGGATTAAAATCAGAACACTCTAGAAACCCTGATGTCTATCAGTTATCAGGCTGAAAATTTGGCGGTTTGACGTTGTGCTGAGTGCGTACACAATCGCACTATTAGTAATGTTCAGGCGTGGGCTGAGCTGAGCGCAACGAAAAGACCGATCAGATGGTGTATGAGTGATTTTGCTGCCTTCTGCCCGTAGTTAGTACCCGAGTGTTGTTATTATTGTTGTTTTGTTGTTCCTGATGACACTTTTTGTGGACCCCCTTTCTACCTGTCCGATTAGGAGGACCCTTTTTGTTGTGGAGATGGATTTTACCAGAGCAATCTCGTTCGTTGGAGTCTTTTCCCTGGGTTGAGAGTGAAGAGAGAGAAAAAGAGGTGGAAGGTGGTGGAGGACTACCAAAAGTGAGGGAAGGCTATGACGCAATGGCCTGCGGCTAACGACGCTCTCTAACGCTCAAACTATACATACATCTCTCTTTCAAACATGCACTTTTCGGTGTTTGAATACAATTCTATATTCAAGCGTTCAATGATACACCCACGGATTCTACTGCATATGTATACACCATGCAGTACCACCGTTCTTATCGCATCATCCCTCCCTTGCGTACTAAATTCTCGGGCTGCTAAGTGCAGTGGCTGGTAGGCATGTGTCAAACAGCCATTAGCTGATTGCACATCCTATCAGATAGCCAAAATACGTGGGCGTATCTCTATCGTAGCTAACAATTAATTAAACGGCATATAACTTGAGTGCCCTCTTGTTGGAATGTTGCAGTGACCATGGCACGTACGCCACTCTGTACTTGTGAACGTTCTATGCAGACTTGCCCAAGTGTCACAGACTTGGATTCATCTTAAGGATGATATCAACAGCCTGCTCGGCAATAGCGTAGACCGCCGCCTGTATGTTGCACGGCAGAGGTATTAGAATATCGAATCAAAAGTCAACCTTAACTGACTGTTTCTGGGCTTACCACTTAGCACACTGGCATCGACGTCCTTATTCCTTGCGTACCTGGTACTTACAAGGATCCGTCAACCACAGTACCCATACTGGTTGTACCTGCGAAATAGGAACCAGTCAACCCACCCATTCGGATGCGTGTGTCGATAAGATCATCTGGTATATCGGATTCGAGAAGTCCATGACCCTCAGGCACAATTTCTTCTGCGACGAGGCCCTTGCCTTAAGGGGTCTCAAACATGTACCTCGATAACAGCCTCCAGCCCTCACACATGACATATCGCTCGACCTCTGTTGCGAGGAAATTGGGATCGATCGCCGGCGATCCGCCCCATCTACAGATCTCAGCGTAATCGAACCGCGAGTCGTAGGTAAGAAGCCCATGTGAAAGCTCAATATTGTACTTCCATCCCGGGGAATGTCGAGATTGCTCAATTTGCTGCCGAAACCGGCATAGATGGTGGCCAGCCAGGTGAACACGCGAATCAATTAATCTGTCTTTGACACCATCTTTTGCTTGAGCCAACTGCAAGCCTGTCGAAGGGACAGTTGTGGTAACCGACCAATCTTCTGGGGGTATCCCTTTGTCATAGTTCGGTCCCCCAAAAGAGCGGGGACCCCAATGCGACGCCCTTTTCAGCTTCACGCAGCTTCCAGTCTCTGAATACTAGGAGATTATCATAGAAGCCCCGCCCAACATCGGGAAAATGGATGTGCTCCTGGATATTGTGGTTTGATAATTGCTCCGAACCGCCGATACCTGAGAGCAACAGCGAAGGTGGTGTGTTCGGTGGATGAGCGCTACGATAGGCATTACCAAAGTCAGTGTCTTGGCTAATCAAGTAATCCATGTTAGAGATTTTCAGCTCGTGCATATTGTAGTTGACTAACATTCGTATATGCATGGATCCCCCGCTCCAGCTCCGAGGCTCACTTGAAATACTACATGCATGTAACCCTAACCACGCTGCGAATATAGCGTAGAATAGTTTTATGAAAGATCGATAAACTTTTATTGCGTAGCATTTCAAAAACTATCAGAATATATAAATGGTATATAAATAGGAAATCGTTATAGTGCCCCGTGTATCAAAACAAGATAACCTTCGGACGCCGTCTTAAGAACTAAACAGATAAAAATGCTTTACATCAAGAGTGATACATAAGAAGTAAAGCAGCTGTCTTCCTGGATGCGCCTTTTCAGCAACCAAAATCCCAACATAAAAGAAAAGTAGTACGTAGGGAAAAGATGAAAATGAGCGCGTGGAAAAGATAAATCGACGCCATTTGCGATCAACGCAGATAGAACGATGATTATAGTGTCATGAAAGCAAGCTCAATGAGTGCTATGCTGTCAGGGACTGGCTCGCTTCTCATGCAAAGTCGCACATTAATTGTAAAATTGAAAAGATAATAATTGAAAATGAGAAATAAATGATAGCGTAAATCACAGTAAATAGAAAATGGGTATAGGTGCAGATCAGCAAAACTACATAAACGTCAGGGAAAATAAAAAACGATGGAATAAGCAAATAAAAAGAAATTGCATCAAACAAGAGATTCGAACTCTTCGCGTTCGCGAAGACGATTCCTGGCCAATTCATCTCCGCCGCTGGCTGACAGCTGCATCCAGTGCAGCGCCAGACACATGCTTTGTGGATCGAACTTGGAGTCCCTATCGCGACGATACATCATCTCCGCCTTGAAAGTGTCCCGTGGCAGGGTCAGGGGTAAAGTCACTCGCGGAAGTATCTCGGGATGTGTGAGATACAAAATCGCAAGTTCACGTTGTGCAACGGGATAGCCTTCCTTGGCTGTGATGATCCACATTCTGGCCGCATCCTCAATGGGATCTTGCGCCCGAGAAATGAAGTCAAAGTCCTGCTGCGAGTGACGCCGATTCAGTTCTTGGGATACTATCCTGTCGGCTAGCTCGACCATGCTGGCACAGACATCTTCCTTGAGTGACAAGGCTGCAAGTCCGAATTGTAAGAACGCTGTTCCGCTATCTGTCTTGTTTAATGTCTCACTTGGGACAAATGCCGAAACAAATTGAAGATCACGGAACAAAGTCTTGGGTTGCAGCTCTCGCAAGATATTCTTTATGGCCGTGATTATACGGCTTTCAGATGTGTTCAATAAATCATATGACGGGTGAGAATCAAAGTCAACAGACTCTGGTGCTGGTGAAGTAGGCGTTTGGAAAGAGTCGTCTAGCCGTGAACGCTCTTCAGTAAAGCTATGACGGTTTAGTCTCAATTTCTGTGTAGCTCCCATGCCTTGGGAATTGATAAAATTCTGCGTCGGTGTTGGGGATTCATCCCCATCCCTGTCAAGAGAGGCCACTATCAATGCTCTCAAGTCCCTCAGGGCCCCGAGTTTCACATAAGGGTTGGCATTGCGCGAAAACACATCTAAAAGCTGAGAGAATGCAGATTTGTAACTGAAGGCGGACTCATTCGTTGGTGGTACGCCCAACGCATTGCTAAACGGTCCCTCAGCGGTAGCTTTGTGAGAATCATGCACGCTCATCAAAATTGGATCGGCCGATGAACTTCTCCGATGAGACATATGATATTCACCATGTCTCGATCGTCCGAGGCGTTGGTGTATTGACCTCTCAGACTCGGCCAGGAACTTCTGAATTCGGGCTTGCTTATCCATCTGCCTTTGTACCCGAGTCTGATTGAGAAAGCCAATAAACCATGCGTCCGTCTCGCTTCCGCAGCTCCACACAGGAGATCCCAAATCACTGAGTAAAAGACTGGTCAGCGTTTGTCGAAGATCATCCAAGAAAGCTGTTTTGCCGTGTACAGTCCGCTCCGTGCGACGAGGTGCCGGCGCATCGCTCAACATTGATGGAGGGCGAGACTGGAAGCTGGAAGCGCTAGCTGCAGACTGTGCCTGTGTTTGTGATGGTGACCAAAACGTGGTATAAGATTCAGTTGTGGAGCTGGATGCGGCTCTGCCGCTTGAGCCTCCGGACGACGATAAAGTATCCACTTCAAACTTACGCGTGTACTTCCACTTTTCCGATGATAGACTCTGGTTTATTAATGACGGCTGGTCGGTTGGGCGTAAGGAGTCTGCGCCGCGGAAACTCAAGCTGGAGTAAGGCATGCCAGAAAGTGCTTCCTCACTGCTGATACTGGACGGTCGAGCTCCTGGTGTTAGCGGGATATGTGAGTAGCTTCGATTGCTGGGGCCTTCGAATTTCGCGCGCTCTCTCTGAAATAATTCGCTTGCCCAGAGAACTGGTGTCTCCGCCATTGAGTCACCAACGAGCTTGTTGATACTTGATTTGACTTCATAGCAGAAGCGATGAATTCGCTCTTCGCCGCGGCAGAAATTGTCAATACCATGATGAGAGATCCACTTCCGCGTAAGTTCCACCTGCTCGTCGCTCAGCTTGTTAGGACCACCTTGACTTGTCGATGCTTTCATCACATTCATGACGTGCATTTCTGGTTTTTGCAAGAAGGACCCGCCAAGATACCTGGATCCGTTGCGAGAGCGATACTCATTTGTGTTGTCTCGATGCAGATTTGGGTACACCATCGTCTTCAGCGCAAGAGCCACGTGCTTTGCATCTTCATAGCGCATCGAGTGTTTCACATCGGTCATGTACCACATTTTATTTCTCAGCTGGGTCATACCGGCAATACTGTTCCTGCTAAGGTCCCTTAGTTGGTCGACTAGGGGACTCAAAGTGAAAAGACTCTCCTCGCATTCATGGATTATTGCGTTGCATTTAGTAAAAGAGTCGTGTGATGACTGAAGCATAGGACCCAAAATCCAAGAGTCGTTGCGCGGCGACTTGGCCGATTTGGAGAGCTTTTGCAACAGCTGATTTGACGCAGCCCACCAGTAGTGAGCGCCCAGAAAATCTGAGCGACTTTCACATACTGATCGCACGGCATCAAATCTTTCTTTCAATGACGAGGATCGACTTTGACGGAGGAGGGAAGTTCGTGAGCTCTTAGATCGGCTAAGAGTCTCCGATTCGTTCACTAATCTCTGAATAGCAGTGTGGAGTGCTTCGTGGTCTTCCTCAAGCTGTACCGTTCCAGATCGTTCCCCACTATCAGAAAGCCCTTCAAAGATTCCATCAGAGTAGTTTCCAGTAGGGGTATTCCAAGATAGGGACTTCCGGTCTGCAGAAACTGCCAATAAAGTCCAGTCTTCAGAGGATGGATGGTCCAAAACTGGATGAGCTTCTGATTCGCCAAGATCAGATAATTCGAAGCGGATGACATCTGCGCACTGATGGTAACGAGACTTTCGTGTGTGTTCCTGTTTAATAGATTCCAGTGGGCTTGGCCGTTCAAGGACTGTCTCAATCCTACCAGACCAGTGAGCGGGAAGAGCTGCCCGTCGCGGAGTACTATTTTGTGTATAACTTAGACCTGGATGGGTGGAGTTGGACGACAGAGAGTTGGAGGGACTGCTGGCGGTTCTGGGAAACAGGACATTCAACAGAGTAACGACATCTGCGGCACACAGCATTAGGAAGCTGGAAGAATTGTCGAGCCCATCAGCTTGCTCATTTGGATTATTGGGCCCAACGACCGGCGCTGGGTTGGACGAGTACAGACATCTCTTGATCATGCTGTCGATATGCCGTCTCACCTGTGTATTAACGGTGGAAAACTCTGGTCTGCAAGATGATTAGTCGCTTTCGTGACATTGAAGCGTAATACACGTACATTGAATGTAGGACGCGATAGAACTGGGACTGGGCGCGCAAAGCTATTTGACTCAAAAGCTTCTCTCGAGCTTCTTTGCTAATGTGAAAGTCGAGCAGTAAACCCTGGCCCTGTGGAAATGTCAGCGAGACCCATATCTTTCGAGAGCGTAAATCTTTTTGAAAGTTACCTCTGGAAAAGTCAAAGCGTAGTAAAGATATCTAGAAAAAAACCACTGAACGAAAATGAATTCCAAAAAGCGATCCCGGGTCTCGGCATCGGCCAGTTTATTCAAAACAGCATTGCAAAATTCTAGGGCGGCAGATGGAAGACCAGCATCCACATCATCAAGAACCTCAAACAAGGTTTGGACGGCGGATTCAAAGAACTCCTCAGCAGCATCTGTCCTCAATGGATCCGGGGGCTCAACTCCGAGGGAATGGGCAACCGGGCTTTCAATATTCTCCAGGAGGAATGCACCTTTCTGCAAAACGTCCATGAGGTAAAGTTCAATCTTTTGGCGGGCTCGCCAATCGCTGGCTGTTGACCAGTAGGATAGCACCTGACCAACGAAATTCAAGTATTTGTTATCTCCGGACGATAGCAGCTTCGCGCAAGTGGAAGACCAAACATCCAGGCGTAATTCTGATTCCTCGGGCTGCCAGTCCAGGGGAATAGCAAACACATTGAAAAGAAGCGCGGAAAGTGGATCGGATCGCTCAAGAGCCCAGGCATGTTCTTTGAAGGGTATAGAGTTGGGAGTAGCGCGTTTCGCAAACGTGGCGGAATTGCGAGACCGAGCTGTGGAATGGGACGAAAGGGTATCTCCATAGGCAGAAAAACCCACCGGGGTAGTGAGTGAAGTAAGCTGCGAAGGAAGCAAGCCAGAAATACAGTCAACCAGAAACTGAGAGTTTGTCCGGACTTGGGTTAGAATATCCAGAAGATCCCTCCTACTTTGAGAACTAAGCTGATGCATAAAACTGGCAGTACGGATCCGAGGCGAGTGGAGAGAAATTGAAGGCTCCTCCGAAAACGATTGTTGCCGGTTGACGGAACGATTGGAGCCAAGTTCACAAGCCTCCTGGATATCATGGATGGTGTTGTACATGGAAACAAAACCAGTCTTATCTCCATGTTTGAAAGCATCAACAAGTCCGCGCTGCACAGTCGCTCCAGTTCTCAAAAGCCGGGAAGACAAACATATCGAAATTTTGGTGGAAATCAACCGGTTTTCCAAGACCTGTTTCTCAATCTCCGCTTGCTGGCAGCGTCGGTATTGGGTCGCGAATTGATCGAAAGAGACCGTGCTCTCGGAGGCCACGGACAATGGAATTTGAATTGTCGAGTCCGGCGACGTCGTAGTGGATGGAAGCTCGTCCCTTGGTTCCGGGGTGGTGCATGGTTCCGGGTTCACCACCGGTATCTTGGGGCCAGACTCACTTACATCAACAGCCGTTGGTTCTGGCATTGGCACCGGGAAAGGTTCGCCAGTGAGAGTGGAAACGCGCATGGCAGGCGCAAGTGGTACCTTTGAAGAAGAGCATTCTGCCTCATTTTGTTCAAATGAGGAAGAACATTCTATTGGAGAAGCCACGGGAGACGGAGGTAGAGCTGTAATGATGTTAGTTATGTTCACAAGCGATGTTGCGATATCGCGACGGAATCAGCTTGATGTGATTATTGTAAATCTGTCCCCGACTGCAAATGAATCTTGCAGAGAACAGATTGTGGACGGATTAACAAAAAAGAGAAACACGTACGAATGGTAAACTCCAGACCCGGTGGGGAATAGGCATGTTGGGCATCGATCATCTTGCCATGGGCGACCTCCTGGCGCCGTTCCCGAGACGATACTCGAGGGTGCGCAATGCCCGCGGCGAGCGACAAGCCAATTAGTTGCTAGCGCATAATTCTTATCGCTGATGCGCAATAAATGATTGACTGAAAGTCCTCTTGCGCCTATAATTCCCTTCCTAAATCTTCTGCCTCTCTATCCAGAAAATCACGGATCGGGAGTATATCAAAGAGGGAAGATTTTTCGAACAACTCTCAGGGCGGAACAGTTCAGAATGTGGCGGGGAAGTAGTACGTAGTTTTAGTATGTTGGACTAAGACCAACGTAGAGTCGCAGAAAAGTGGAGTGAGTGGTTGGTGCGAGATCCGCTGGCGGGAGGATGAAAAGGTTCCGTGGTTGCCAAAAGCTTATTGACAAAGCGAGTAAACAATCAATATATAGAAGAAGAATCGAAAGATGGCTTCGTATGAAACAGCAATTATTCGGAAGTTGATGCGAAAGACACGACGCCGCGCAAGCTTATGGTGAGAGAAAAGTCGGTAACAATAATCCGACCAGACCAGCTAGTACCGTCCAGTGTCAGGAGGGGATACGAAACTCGAAAAATGATTCGCATAGACGGTTCGGCAGTAAGGGATATTGGCGAATGTACAACCAAACAATTTCGGTCTCGACGAGTATAGTGTGTCTGTGTCAGCCGTTTCGATGAGTCCGACACCTCGAACAATGGCCGCGCAGGAAAACCAAGTCTGAGCTGTAAGTGAGATGTATGTAGCCTCTAAGCATGTAGCATACGAAGTAAATGCAAGCGCGGTGTCTGGGCAAAGCGACTGGCTGGCTAACTCTGTATCTGCACGAGTCCTTGAATTCGGTCTGCTGCAGATTCAAGATGGGTGGGTTTGTTTGCTGGACGAATCAGATAATCGCGTCGCGCAAGGGAAGTTTAGTGACTTTAGTTTGTGGTGGGTGTTGTCCTGTCCACCATCAAGGCTAAACTCAGCTAGGTCTGGAGGGAGGTCTGGACGTCGACGATAATATATAGATTGGATTTGTTTCGAGAATTGTTTCAAGGTTTGTCCTTTTTTTTCTCCGAGCGACTTGACTGGAGCAGATGTTGAGGGATAAAATAGCGATACTATGGCGATCTGCTGTCAGAGAGATGGAAGGTGGTGGTGGTGTACCGGTCTGGATGGATGCTTGGGGGATCACGGGAAGCAGTCCCGCGAGAGGTCACAGGGTCAGTTTTTGCCTTGCCTCTGCTGGTCTCTTTCTACATCTACATACTATGTACGTACAGGATAATACTTATAATCCACTACATCCCTACAACAGTCAACACTATTCTCTACGTGTCTCGCCACGTTTTTAACCACAGCTTGGAGGCAATACCCTCAGCTGGACATGTGCATATAGTCAACATCACGACAATCGCTGTCCTCGGTGAAACCGTCAAGGCAAAGTACGTACAAGCTGAATAGAGACACGGGCTGGACTATACATAGTATATGAACAGAAGCTTTCTCGACAACTATGTACGTACTGTGTACAGTGACTCACGATAATCTGCCGTTCAAGCCTCGTCGATCGAATTCTGAGGGTTTCACGGGTGCCACGTCGTTGGCCATAGACAACCAATCAGAAACAAAACTAACGGATTTCATACAGTTTACTAACGATATACGTAGTATGCAGTTGTCCTATTAGAGTATTTACTAAATTTCTAGGCTTGAGGGCCGGATGTGTTGGCACTGCAGAATGCGCTGGCGTATCTAAACCGCTACGAGTTAAGCGCGCAATCGGCTGTTTTCTTGCATATCATTCGTCCGTGCGTTGAACGACTATCTGCATGCTCTTGCTATAGAATTCTACATTTGAAAAGAAATAGACAGAGCTTATATTCTCTATGTCTTGATTTTGACCAACTCAAAGCTTTTCGCCTTTATTTCATCGTAACCATCAATACTTCGATCGCCACTGCCACTCCTCGGTGGATAGAGACAGCGAATCCATATTTCTGAGTAGCCATTCATGAACACGTATAGATACGTAGCACAGCCAGCTGAAACGTGGAGACCGCGGTTCACAGCGGGTTTGATGAATCACGAAGTGGATCCATAACAGATTGCTCATTATGTATGTAGCTCAAACATGATAGTCTCGTTGTCCTTGATGCGTATCGCTATAGGTCATAAATATGTCTTGTATCTCATACAGATTCAGTAGAATACCTCGATGATAGGCTTTGAAGGATCTCTGTCCTACGTTGCATTTATATTCCTTCATACATAATGACAATTGAAGCTCGTTGCATCGATCCTTGCCATACGTAGCAGTCGTATTTTCAATCAAACGGGCAACTCGTATGACAATAGCGTGGCCGGATTGGCGGGCTTGCCACGTTGTCTCCAGGAACCAGCCACAACCCCGGAACAAGGAACTATAATGATGAATAACCCTGTTGGTGATCTCGGTTACCACCAATCGGACTTCATCATCGATAACCATTAGTCCGTATCACTAGTCTTCCTGATTGGGCCAAGGAGGGACTGCGTGGCTGAACTGTTGCAGGACAGAAAGTAAAAGATAGGCTCGTTTCAAGGATGCGAGATCATTTGCACGTCCATTTCTTGTCTGCTTCTTTTTGACCAACGCGAACGGCTACCGCATTGACGGTATCTTTGAGGGTATCCTTGGAGACCTTGGGAAAGCTAACCGACGACTAATGATTAGCACACATACACACAGACACATAGGCACCCCAAGGGAAAGTATCAACAAACTTACCGCTTCTTGAGCACCTCGATCAAACCAGCCTTGCTCAGGTCACAGCCCTCAACTGTCTGTTTGAATTCGTCCATATGTTCGGGCGGGAAAGGCTTCTTCGCTTTTGACGTGGTTTTGTTGTCTGTAGTGACAGGACGGGGAGGCGGTGCAAGAGGGGATGGCGTATGCGTCGATGTTGACGGAGTAACACCAAAGGCGTGAAGCGTAGCTCGGACTGGAGGTAGTGATGAAGACGCTTTGGGTGCGGCTTGTTCCACTGCCTTTGGCTTTGGCCAGTAAGCCGTAGAAAAGGGATCTACAGGAAATTGTACTGTATCTGTGTGGTTGGTGTTAGCAGTGTTGTCATCAGAATTTGGGAATCGAACGAGTATATACCTGAGAGAACCTCCATCCGATAGACCTCCATGTCTGGGTCAAGATCTTTACCATCTTCCCATCTGATTCCTGTGCAAATAGGTTCCTGGTCGCCGACGATGAGACGTCTTCTGCTGTCCATCTGTTCATCTTCGTCGTCAAGAAATTCATCCATATCATCATCGCCGTCCTCGCTCGCATCGTCTTCGCCTTCCGAATCTAGGTCTTCGCCCTCCTCCGGCTCCTCCCACTCAGCTTCGGAATCATAGTCATAGTTGATTTCTGGTAGGACACGAGCATATGGAGCACGGCAGACCTTGTGAGCTTGGGTCTTCGATAGTTCTTTAGTGAATGTACCGTAATACGGTGGTCGTACGTCTTCTCCGAATCGCAGACTTTTCATTGTCACTTTCTTCAACTCATCTCTCAATGCCGTACTCGAGGTGGAGACTTCCGCATTTTGAGCCCTGGCTAAAGTTGTCTTCACTGGGACGACTTTCAGACCACTCCGGCGTCGAAATGAGATCATATTGAATAATTCCGAACCACGATAGGCTGGAAGCGCAACTGGTTTCGCTAAGTAACCATCTAGCTTCTTCTGGATATGGTTCAAAGCCTCATCATCGCGCTGGAACTGATGGGGCGGAGATAGATGTGTATGGCTCTGGAGGTAGAAGACGGGAAACTCTTTTCGGTAGTCGGACTGCGTGTTCTGTGGTTTTGACGGTGATTCTAGCTTCGCTATTTCTCGAACAGCCTCCTTCAGAGGAGACAAGGGCACTGGACTGGATGCTTTTGTAACGGTGGTAGCTGGCTTTGCAAAAAAAGCATTGAGTCTCATTTGTGACTGTACATTGTTAGATGAAATGTCATCGGCTTATGGGAGATGAATAACTCACTCGTTCCTTCTTCTCTTTTTCCTCCTCTTTTTTCCGCTTCTCCTCTTCCTTCGCATGCTTTTCTTCTTCTTTCTGCTTTTTCTTTTCCTCGCGCTCCGCCTCTCGTTTCTTCCTCTCCTCTTCTTTCTCTACTTCCTTTTTCTTCTTTTCTTCGTCCCTTGCTTTCTTTTCAGCGTCCTTTTTAGCCTTCTCCTCGAGTCTTAGACGATCTTTCTCTTCTTTCTCTTTCCGTCTAGCTTCTTTGGTAGCTGGTGACAATTTCACCTTCTTATTTAGAAGGTTCGCGTCGGCGCCAAGAGCAGTAGATGGTTGTGGTTGCGGGCGGGGAGGAGTTGATGGGACAAAAGGAACAGTCGTAGCAGAAGGGGTGTTCGTAGAAGGAGTAGACGTAGTCGTGGCTGATTGGGCAGGTTGTTTTCCAGACACAGGTATGTCTGTCGTATTATTTATGGCCATGTTCGGAATCGATGGTGTAGGCTTGTCTATGTCCATATTGTGATCATGGAGTAAGGGATCTTGGTTCTCTTGCTCCCCATTCCCAATCCGTTGCAGTTTGTGTGTTTCAGGCTTTGGTATGTTGTTGTCTTCAACCTCGCTGAATGCCCGTTTTCGGGCTTGTGCGTTTGTGGGCGATGACATTGGGCGTGGCAGGTGACCGATACTAGAGGGCTGAAAATCCATCGATATTTCCATCATCAGTTGAGCCGCTCTGGAATGTGAGGTTTAAGTAACGGCGTGTGGTGAGCTATGAGAGAGCGTTCTCTCTGGCTTCGTTCGAGGTGAGTATCATGAGTCGTAAGGAAGGTCGTTGGAAAGAGCGTTGAAGCAGTTCAAGATGCCGAAAAGTGGTGTTTAATTGAGATGAGAAAGTATCTTGTAATCAAATATATTGTCAAAGAGCAACAGAGAAGTGAGGTCAAAAATGAAGCGAATATGTGGTCCGAGTTGTTGTGCTTAACGCCTCCTGCTTGCTCCTTCCTTTGTTAATGTGGTGGATTAATTAATGAGACGCGGTCTCGCGACGGGCACGCGTCACAGTTAATTGAATCACGTGTCTATACTTGTTCTCGGCGTTCGGGTCCCAGATTATCCGAGATATCAACTAGCCGAATGAAGTAAGAAATTTAAATCGATTCCTAACCCTATCTGCTCAAAATCAGAGACACCTTCATTATTGACTTCTGTGTATTTAATCATGAACAGAAGACGGAATATTGGAATCAGCAATATCCACATAGATCTCATCTAATCTTGACTTTCGGCAATAACACAACAGGGTAGCGGTCTCAGACCAGCCCTGATTATTCCCTACCTCGTCACATCCATACCCAGCTTGAAAAACTTCTGGCAATGTCGCAGGCGTGACTATTTCATCATGGATTTTGAAGAAACATCCATCTTTCTCAGGTCGTACATATGCATAATATACGCCGCCTTTGTAATTGCCTTCATGGACGACGACGCTCACTAGACAGTATATCCATGACTCTGATTTAGAAGCAGGGTCGGTGGATTCCACAAAGGGACCCAAATCAATCTCTTCGGGATATTCAAAAAAGTCATTGACTTTCTTGAAGCTGTTCAGAGCAGGATCATACGCAAACCGTTTCAAGTGCAGGTTCAGGACTGGCGGGAACTTGTCAAACATCACCACAGTATTGATCGATGCATTTTCGGACTCGGGGTACCAAGGCTGAATGTAGTCCTGCAGGCTCTCCTCTAGCGAGCGAAAACCACGAACATTCAACTGCAATTCCCAAAAGTTTTCCCACCTCCAGGAATTTTTCTCTTGAGGGGAGAATGATACGCATGACATTGTCTGGCCGACTAGCACATGTTCCAAGATGTGTCTGATGGGTAGCATCTCCATTCGCGTCGCAAGCTCTTGGTGGAAGGTTGATTGCCATCTCTGAACATCTTGAGGCGCGAGATCTGCCGGTCCCCAGTTCAATGAGTCTGTAAGCTCCTTAGTCGATACGGCTTCCGTAGACGTTTGCATGGAGTAGAGGAGGCGCTGAAGGGCCCATATAAAACTCGCGTTGTGTTGTATTCCGGTTGGGACTTCATATATGGTCTACATTGCGTTAGTTCTTAGGTCCAAACAAGTGATATATCATCTAGCCTACCCTTCTCAAGAATTTTATGTGGTAAAACACCTGCAAGATGACGTTGAGCCATCCAGTTGTGCCCTGGTTTTTGAGGCCAATAGGTTTTCTCGATCCTACCACGGCAGAGCTGACTTCCGCTACCGCCGGGGTGGCTGAAATTGAGTCAGATATAGGTCTTTGAACCTAGGAGATTCCAAGGATTCACTCACTCTGATCGACCGTTCCAGCATTAGAAGGCATGATCGAGTACTATAGTAGGAGGTATTGGGGAAGCTAAGGCTTGCAGCTGTAGTAGCAACAATCTGGGTAACCAGTGTACATACATGGATGCTTTAAAGCTTATTGTTGGAGGCTCAGCTGCGGGGTACTTGATTTAAACGTGCTCAAAAGTTCGTCATCATCTTCAAAAGATGAAGAGTAAATGCTGAGATGCAGGCAGAGAGCGCCAATGCGTAGGGTTGCGTCCTTCATATGCCTGGCCCATCAAGGTGGTCGTCTGCTACTTAATTAGTGTGGTATCAGATGCCATGACATTTTTCAAATAGGAGAGCGAATTATTATTAAGTATAGAGCCTGTCAAAGTTGCCTAGAGAACATGAATACATAGAAGTAAAAGATCACCAACAACCACTAAACACCGATAATATATCAAACAGTCATCGCCAAACCGGCCATGCAGATCTGCCCATTGCGAAGCAGACCAGAAGAACACAAATTCAAAAAATTTTGTAGCCAGTACAATGTTGAAATTGAAATATTTCAAAAGGGTATCCGATTGAACTTTTTCGGAAGCGAAAAGTAATAAGAGACGGGAAAAGTGCAAAGATACTAGTCGTCTGCATCAGGGTTGGCGACGAACAGTCTTACGCCTGTCAAGCTTGTAGTGCGGTCGTCGACACTGCCACGGCGTCGGAGATCGTCGGCCTTCTTGACCTTGTTCATGGTGATATTAGCGGCAGCTGGAGCGTTCATTTCACCCAGGTTTCCGAAATCGTGTTCGCCATGCGTGTCATATTCCTCGACCGGCACTTCGATTTGGGATGATGACGATGACGTGGTATTGATACTGTCCTGAGGGATGTGGTCAAGATGAGCCGCCGTTGCATGGTGTTCAGCAACTTCGGGGATGTCGGCCTGTTCGTTGGGAGGTGTCTTGCCCTGCGGACGCTGATAACCACTTGGATAACGTTGCATGCTCCCCAGAGAACTCCTAGCACTTCCTGTGCGACGATGATATGGAGCCCCCTCGCTGGAATGATCATCTCCATCATCGTCGCCAATCTCATTCGCACTAAGCCGTGGAGGAACGATAGCACCAACCAGCGTCGATGGCGAATACGTAGGCGCCGTTTTGCCGCTATGACGAATCTTCCCACTGGCAAAAGTGCTGGAGCGGCCTGAATGACCGTGCAATTCCATGTAAGCTCGTTGCTTCGCCGCTCGCTTTTGGGCTTGTAGACGCGGATCTTCGGGTTGTGCGCGGTCGCACCATACGGTACCCTTTTGCCGCCTCATGAGAGCGACATAACTCAGCGGGACGGTGGTTGAGCGCGAAGAGCCGCTGCGATGGATATCGGCGGAGGATACAGTAGACATTGTTTGGGTTAGTCGTTGATTGCCGCCAGTTGATGAGGTTGAAGTTGTAGCATTCGAGGAACTGCGTGTGGGGACGGGCCCCGCGGAAGAGGCAGGTTGTTGCGCGTGCTGCTGATGCGATTGACGGTGGAAAATATGCTGATGATGTTGATGCTTAGGATGCTGAGAATTTCCGACGTACGGCAACACAGTCGACGAGGTTGTGCGAGTTCGTGTGTGGGATTGGAGGTGGTCGAAGTTCGGGGCAAGTCGCCGTGAAGGAGAGGAAGTCTCGGACGACGGCTGCTGAAACTGCAGTCCGGCGTGGTGAGGGTTACTCCCAACGGGTCTGCGCGACGGGGCCTGGTACATGCGATAGTCCGTCGGGTTATTACTCTGCTGCATCTGCACTCTGGTCGCCATTTTTTTTTCTGTTTCTGTATAATGTTTTTTTCTTTCTTTCACTGTCAGACTATGAGTGAGGAGAATTAAAAATCGGGCAAAACGTGGGATTTGTGGTCGATTAAGTTCTGCGGGTCAACCCAGTGGTTCACGCTTGGAAATCCTGAAAGGCTGAGGGCGAGTCAGTCGCTTTCAAGGCACACTGGTGGTTCCGCTCGACGTAGTGGAGCCTGCGTAGTCTGAGGGTCTGGAAAAGTTGTTGCAATGGATAGGGATTTCAGAATACTCTGTATTCAGAAGAAGTAAATCAAAAATGTAGGAGAGAACAATTCAAGAAACAGGAACTCTCAGCCTGAGCTAGGTAATGATATACTATGTAACGTTATTCTTTCAGCACAAACACACGAGATGACGAATTAGTCAGGGGCAGCTGACTGATGCACCCCAAAACAGAAACCTGCGAGTCCTCTGGTCCCAAAGAGGAATGAGAGATGGAGAACAATGCGGTGCTATGCAGGTAAGAGATGCTTGTCATTGACAACAAAGGCAGTCTAGTCTGTCTGATCTGTTGAAGCTGAATTGCTGCCCAGTTTCTGTCCGATAAGCAGTAATACCAAGTCTTAGTATGTGGTAATACTTGGTACTTACAACTTGCAAATTCAACTAGGGTATTACCAGCCCGTGATACGTCCAGCAGAGCACGTGCAACCCCATAGCAGGCTTAGCAGCGGCTATGAGAGGCTGATCACATCTACATGCACTCCATTAGCTGCATACGCTCGTAGGGTTGGAGGAAGTTCATGTTACATGCTCGTGCCTGAGCATCGTAACGTCTGATCGAGACAGAGCCAATCACAGAACAATACACGGACATCAGACGAGTCGACCAATTAGCAGTGCAAGACAACCGCTGTCCATGACAGGGTAAGACATATAGAAATCAAAACAGATCCATAATAGAGAATAGAGCAGTGCACTGCACTGCAAACATCCTCACAATGATTTATTTAAGTGTTTCTCAATAGATCGGAGTCAACCGTGGAAAATCTGAACGGGATTCGTGTTCTGTACCGCGCCACGTATGTATCAATACGTCTGGTATTTAGTACGTACAGAGCAATGTAATAAATTACTAATGAGACGCTGTGACGTCGACATGACTCCACACTGCCTCATCTATGAATCATTATTTTGTGTGATAAGTCATCGACCATAATATCAACTATGTAATAGACCTGGTAATACATATCCATGTTTGAGAGCACCTGCGCCACAGTACCGTTACAGTCGATCGTCTGGAGTTTGAAACATCCTGATGCTACCAAACCACTGATTTGTGGCGGCCAAATATACGCGTCCTTTCATTGGCCAAGCCTTGTATAGATTCCTTTAGATATGAAACCACGTCTGATATATGACATATATGAGGTAGATCACAGCTTGGACACGCCCTTGGCTGAAACCAGTATCCCATTGTTCTCCTGGTACTCCTTCCCCTTGGTCCAACCAAACCATTCCTTCAACCGTGTCTCACCGCCATCACCAGCAAGCAGTCCACCGCCCTCCCAGCCTGCTTCGTCTGCCTTGAAAGACTTGCCGGGTGTGCTCACCAATGTAACAGGAAGCCTCTGATCAAAGCCCTTCGCTTCCAATTCATCCTGCTCCAATACAGGAGTCGCACAGGCGTCGGTGCCATCAAAGATTTCTTCCCATTCTGCGCGGGTCTTTTCCCTGAATCTCTTTGTGAATATCTCTCTAAGGGCTGGCCAATTGTCCCGGTCTTCTCTTGCAGGAACATCCTTTCTACTAAAACCCAATCCTTTCAAAAGCGCTGCATAGAATTGTGGCTCCAGTGCTCCAACAGCAAAGTATTTTCCTTTGTCCTTCGTTTCGTATGTGTCGTAATACGGACAGCCACCATCCAACAAATTCGTGCCCCTAGGTTCACTCCATACGGGGGTCTTTCTTGCTAATCTGGGCATGGTCGCCAAATATGCCGCTCCATCTACCATGTTCGCCTCAACCACCTGCCCTTTGCCCGTAGCTGATCGGGATATGAGTGCCAATAAAATACCAACAAAACACATGGCGCCACCACCAGCGAAATCTCCTAATATGTTTCCAGGCGCAAATGGAGTCTCGCCAGTACGTCCCAGCATGGAAAGTACGCCAGATACGGCGATGTAGTTGATATCATGTCCGGCCATATCCTTGTACTTTCCATCGCGTCGAAAACCAGTCATGCGAGCAACGATGAGGCGTGGATTGTGCTTGAGGAGAACATCAGTAGGTGACAGACCGAGTCGTTCGAGCACACCTGGCCGGAAAGGGTCGATCAAGACATCGGCTTGCAGTAGTATGGAGAGTAGCAGTTCCCGAGACCGTGCGTCCTTTAGATCCATGCATATCGAAGATTTGTGGCGTGTAAGGGAGTCGCCAGTAGGAGGAAGTGTCTTGTTGGCTGCGCGGTCAATTCGAAGCACGGAAGCACCGTAGTCGGCAAGGAGGAGGCCGGCAAAGGGGCCTATGTAGATAGTAAGCTTTTTGTCTCAATAGTTTCATCGAAGTTGGCAGAGCAGGAAGATGTACCAGGTGCGAGTCCAGCTAGCTCAACGACTTTGACGCCGTGCAATGGATGAGATGACCACATATTCAAGTCGTACACTTCCAAGGGTAAGAAATTTGGAGGTGGTGATGAAGATACACAATCTTCCTGAGTCCAGATATCAACTCATGACTGACGATATACATAGTAGAGTGCAGTTGAGCTTCGGGTTGAAGCTGGGGAGGTAGGCCGCGGTAACTCGGCAAGAGCAGCCGATGCGGGGGGACAACTGTATCTCCGAGCTTCTTCCCCAAATCACTACCATTCGTCACGGACCGGAGTTCCGTGATATTGAACTGGCTCTGTCAATTCCGGTCGATGTACAAGACAGCGCATCGAGGTGTTCTTGATGCTCATCAGGCTTGCTCTTCACTTTCGAATTCGAGTTTTTGTTTGCATTTGGCTCATGTCTCAGTAAAAACCAAAGACAGGGTTGTTCGTCATACACTTTTGGTATAGAACCGTGTCGGATTTGGAGAAGATTGATCTTGTTATTGTTATCGAAAAATCCACGCTCCTCGAGTTTTTTTGGAGGATCAAGACGATGTTTGTATGGCCCATGGTAGTTTCGGAAGAAGCTGAGTTTGCGGAAGTCCTCCGCTTGCGTTCCCCCCCAATCCTCGTCAAGCCGGCATACAAACAGCAATCAGACAAATCCCTGCCGAATTGGATGGTTAAGGAATATTTGAGTCAGGTACCTCCATGTTAAAGGTTATAATTTGTGTCATAATTGACTCAAAAAATCATAAACCTAATGATTAATGATTTGAATATGACTGCTCAATAGGTATATAAGCTATTAAAACCCTCTATCTAGACTATATATCTTGCTTTCTTTCTTAGTCTATATTCAACTAAGCTATCTTTACTATCCCGTATAATCTCTATTTAGAGATTAATAAGTACTAGTTTGTTCAACATGACTGATCAGGGGAAAGTCGTTATAGGTGGCGTGTCTGAAAAGCATGCATATTTTAGGGTTTGCGGCTAAGCTTCTATGTGGAGCGACGAGTAACACGTGGGTGATTAGAAGCATTCTGTAACTTCTTATATATTTTAAGTAGATTCTAATACGAAGCTAATGACGTAAATATTAAGGTCTAGTGCACAATTTAAATTTTCCACATGGTACCAAGAACATGAGAAATCCTTGCCAAACCACTGGACATTCGGGGAGAACGCCGCCTACACGTGGGCGTTAGGGCTGAGGAAGGGCAATTACATATACCCAACGTGTATCTCAGCATGTTGAACTTGAAATCCTTTCATATATCTCTAGCCTTGCCACCTAGTTGAACCTTGGCGAATAAAAAAGAATGAAAGTATCCATCTTATCATTGTCTGCCACGGCAACCCTCGCCCTTGCAGTCAGTGCTTGCACTGGCCATTGCGAAGGCTCGGGGCCTATCCCAACGTATGATAGCTTCCCCACGGCATGCAACTCCGCAGCACAAGTCACCATTACCTATTCACCTCCCGAAGGCTACACATTTGGTGGTAGTCCTACAGCAAAGAGCACCAAAACTCAAACATTTGCTGCGTCCGAGTGCATCGTGACGCCGCTTGGGTGGGATAAAGATGACTCCGGACAAATAATGGCCGCAGTCGAAAAGTGCGGGACAGACGGTACTATCACATTGCCGGCGCCATACGTTTACACTATCAGTCAAAGGCTCTATATGAAGCTAGTTCGGGCTCGATTGAATGTCTTCGGAACTCTGTCCTTCACTCCTGACCTTGGGTACTGGATTGACAATTCTCATCGTATCGAGTTTCAGAACCAAAGCACCGCTTGGATTGTCGAGGGCGAAGACTACGTCATCTCTGGTGGTGGTTGGGAGAGAGGAGGCATCAATGGAAATGGACAGGCTTGGTATGGCAGAGCAGCTGGGCATAGCAACCAGTTCGGAAGACCAATTCCTCTTACTATCTGGAACAGTCAGAATGCAACGGTCAAGGACTTCTCTATCCGCCAGCCACAGTTCTGGTCTTTCTATATCCAGGACTCGTACGACGTAAAGCTCACTGGCATCTACATCAATGGCACCAATACCGATCCGGCCGGTAATTCCTCCAACTACGAAACCAACGTCGACGGCTTCGACTCGATCCGTGTTGACGGCTTGGAAGTCGCAGATTGGGTCTTCCATGGTGGCGATGATTGCTCCGCACCTAAGGGTAATTCTACCAATATGGTGTTCCGCAACATGACCTGCATAGGTGGTGGTATCGCGTTTGGAAGTGTTGGTCAGTACCCCGATATGCCTGACTACATCACCAACGTGACCGCCTCCAATATTACCGTCAAGCAGCTCATCTCACCTAAATATGGAGGAGCAACTGTCAGCGGCGCTGCATACTTCAAATCTTGGGTTGGCGTTTCCGAGGGCCAGCCTCCTCAGGGGGGAGGTGGCGGTACCGGGCGAGTGTGGAACGTGACTTTCTCCGATATAAAGGTCGAGAATATCACTCAGGGGATCTACGTCAACAAATGTTACTATAAAGTAGCGGACCAGGCTAACTACTGTGATACTTCTACCTTTGAGTTTCAGGACTTATCCTTTTCGAACTTTACTGGCACTGTTCGATCTGCTTATGGTGTCTCTCTGAACTGCTCTGCTGCTGCTCCTTGTCAAGACATCCAGTTTAGTACTGTGGACTTTACAGCTGCAAATGGCAGTGCAGCCGGAGTATACTGCGACAACGCCGAAGGGATCTCGGGAGTTCAGTGTTCGAACTAAGACATAAAGAGACCAGATATTATCTGATAGGGCATGTATCATTATGACCTGATGGATTGATGTAATAGAACAGAGGGGGAAATAGGTATTATCAAATAACAACATCTGTAGAAGTTTATTTAGGTTCGAAGGCCTTACAACTACGCAAAAGCATATCTCTAACTATTATTTTGCTTTTGTGCAAAATACAGGAGGCGTTGACAATGTACTCACGAGAGAGAGTTGCTTTATAGGCGTCGACAATCATAACTTAATCGATACTGTCTAAAATTCAGGAAAGGAGCGACCAAAGCTTGAAAGACGTCCTGCCGCAGACCACCATGAAGATAAGGAAAATATACTCTAGCAGTTCCAGACCCATTTCAATCTCATCAATCAAAGCCTCAAACCCTCTGCTATTTCTTTATAAAACAAATTGACCATGAAGCACCTCCACTCCTATCTCTCGTTCCGGATTGTACTCCACTCTGTCGCCATTGCGCCTTAACCGTCGTCTTCGAGACCAAATAATCAGAATAGCGATGACGGCGAAACCTGCAATCGCACATGCGACAGATATGACGGCCACATTCTTGGAGTTACGTATGGGATCTGCCGTAAGTAATTGATGTGATTCTCCGACTTGTTTGTGGTCGTGCAGTAGACCAGGAGAGGTTTGGTTTTTGAGAATCATGACGTTTGGTTCCGGAGCGGTGGATTTACTACTGATTAGACGTTGGTAAGGATTATCTGAAATTGGCGGAATGTACTAACCCATCAGTGAAACCAGGTCATTCGCAAATGATCTCAGGGTGGCCTTGGCTTGGTTTATCGTTGGATAACAACCACATCGAATGACGCTGTAATCCGCGATATCTTCGATTCATGAAGAGAGTGTCGATTGACCTGAAAACTTAATTAAAGAGACACCAGACACTGAGATATTATGCTTCACGTTTTGCGGAATCGGTTTCGACTCAATCCAAGACGATGGGACAGTGTAACCGTGAGGTGATACATTTTTTTAGAACAACCTGCGATCTTGCACCATGACACGTGTCTGAGCAGTACTCTTTTGTGAAGTGATGATCGGTTTGGGATATTACTGGCTTTCGACTGCGGAGTGAGGCTGAAAACGAGATTTATCGTTGCACGGGATATAAAGCCTGTATAAAGATCTAGGCAGTGTACAACCGATATGAAATTGAGCTCATACGGCCCAATTTTACAGTCTTTGCCTGGAAGAGATGCCGAAGTAGGAGGTGTTGTAGGATTGCTATTATCATGCACGGATAATTATGGTCAAGGTAAAGTACATGAACAGCTTAGATTTCTCTTTACCATCCATCCCTGCCCTCGGCTCTACCTTCATCGTAGGCATAATCAACCTCATCACCGAATCGCTCAACACTTCCGACTTTATCTCCGACCCATCCAGCGGCGTTTTCGGGGAAATTTTCGATACCGTTTTCGACTCTGTCGACTTCATATTCGGCTTCTCCGACCTGTGACGGAAGGTTTATTAGCATTCGTAACTGTATGGAGGCTAGTATTGACTGACCTTGTTGCCCGCCCAGTTGGCGGCGTTCTCGGGAAAGTCCTCCACACGTTCCTCGATACGATTCTCCTCGCCTTTCCATTCATCGTCTACCAGAGTCAGTATGCATTTGCCTTGAGGTTTGGGTTAGTCTACTTACGAATCTCCTCTCCCTCATGCATCAAAAGTGCGCCTCCTACAAGGCCAGCAGCAACACCCGCAGCACCATAAGCAAAATTGTGATTGCTACGAGGCTGTTCTTGCTGTACATAAGAGGTTTGCTCATATCCGCGCTGCTCCTCGTAATATCCTCCACCGGGAGCACCACCACCGCCATAAGGCAATTCCCAGCTTCGTTGGCCGGTTTCTTGATTGATGTAAAAATAACGACGTTCTCGCTCATCCCATTCAGCGATCCAGGGTCGAGGGACGGAAGGGGGAGGACCACCGGGGCCGCTGGAATAGTATTCTCGTCGCTCTTCGACGACTTCTTCCCGGCGGCCACCGCCGGAGGTGAAGCTTTCGACAACGTTTTCAACGAACTCCATTTTGATGTATGATGTAGGCTAGAAAAGAGAAAATTGAAATGTAAATGCGGCACAAACACGCTGTAGAAAAAACAAGATGTCAACACGGGGAAAAGGTCGAAATATAAATAAAATCTATTCAAACGGATTTAATAGCTCACAATAATCCGAGCATGACAGCTAAGCCCCTCTCACCCCGCCAACCGACAGACAACATGGATACGAAACACGCCGCAAAGTGGACACCGGTGATTAAAAGTCGCAATTAAGTGGGCTGGCGAGTGCCGCCGTGGCCGTAATTAAGCCAAAAATAGGCATGGATTGGATGCCAGTGACTCTATCTGCTAGCCCCTTTATCCCTGAATGTTTCGGCATTAGCCTCAGCGGGAGCTTGGAGCGCTAACAAAAAAATGGTATATTCTTACAAAATGTCTGGAGAGTATTTACCGTGGGAATTTTTCAAAATGACAGAATCTACTACATTTACTGTATTAAAAGCTAGTGGTCTCCTTACTAATGGCACAAGAACTCCTTCAAGATGCACGCGGCCAACCCCGCCTCTCAACTACTTCAGATCCAGATGCTGTTCTGAATACAGAAGTCGACGATGGCATCTGATGCAGGGAAATTGGTTCCTGCGAGGTCTCAGCTCTCCTTGTAAACGCCTTCAGCCAAGGCAGGAGATTAAATACACCACCACAGGCAAAGACTCCCAACCAAAGTGCCAACTCGGTTCCATATATGACCATACCAAGTATATCAATAGTCGGTCCAAACACTTAATCATGTGTTAGCCAACTAGTCTCTCACTGAAAGACGTCTCATTCAACTCACATATAGATACTAGGGAAAATAAGTCTCCAGCGGCGTCGATCCCGACAAAGAAGAAACTAATACCCCTCACAGTGCGATGGATATAAATGTCCCAGTAATGCCTGAGAACCCCTGCAGCAAGCAGGCATGCGCTCAGAATAGCCATCAAAATCAGAGGCCATTTCAATCCATGAGATTTAGCTTCTTTTAATGCAAATACCAACCCGACCTCGATACCGCCGAGGCAAAGAAGAAGAGGAGCAACCATACTAATACATTTTGTAACGGGGTATCGCTATTTGGGGCATGGAGACCATTAACATGTCGAGAATGTGAAGCGCTCAAAGACGATTGGACCATACCTTTCCATAGTAAAGGCACTGAGCCCACGTAATAAGGCTCAGGGTTATAAGTATCTGAGGCTGGATTTTTAGTGCCACGTTGAAGTCTTCTACAATGTTGTACACTCCGAGAGGAACACCGGCTGTTGCCCAAAGTAGCATCATCGATCCTTGCAGACCCTCGGTATTGTGTCTCCTGTAGTTGATGATGATTTGTGGTAGCAGCTGGGGTTATCAGCGTTAGTAAAACCTCATAGCATGCCAACGGGCTAGGTACCTGAATGGACCAGCACACCTAGAAGCGGTATTAGCTAAGGTTGGGAGGTGAAGATATTGGTAGTGGACGAACCGCGCCAAGGGTGCCCATGATGTTTTCTGCTACTGAATTATCCATTTGAGGAAGCTACACGGCGTCGAGTTGAGCGTGTAGGGATTAAAATGATTAGATATACGTATAATTCTGCGCGGGACTGCAGCCAGTACCGTCTACTGGTGATACACTCGGAAGCGAAATCGGGGTCGGGATCTTACTCTCTTTGATTGTTTCTGAAACCAAATGCCAAGTGAGTCTAAGCTGCTTCTGGCTTAGCTTGGAGACATACGTAGTATTCAATTCGCCGTATCATGTATGGTATTGTACAGTACTTGTATACACACATATTCAATTTTTACAATGCCTGTGACTTGAATATGAATGATGGTGATCTCTACATTCGGGTTATACTTACTTCCTAGAAGAGGTCCTCGCAGGCTGAAAAATGGTCTGAATCTTACAGAGATTGTGATACAAGGTCGATTCTGTTCAATTACCAGCGGGAAACGGTGACACAAGCTTCAATGCGCAACAATTCCGTCAAATCCAAAGAGGCTATTCTTTTTCAAGGAAGACATAATGCACCAATTTCTAATGGACCACTTCATATTACATGCCTACTCATTTATTGATTGTGCAGTATTCCCTTAGATTCACATTCTATCTTTTATTCCAGATCCGCGCCCCGTCGCAAACAAGCCTCACGTCACCTAATGCAGCAAAGTCAACAGCAGCGAGAAGCTGCGGTCAAGACTTCATGTCGACAGAAACTCGTGGATGTATATGATTCGGCGCCACGACACCAGCAGCTTTGATCCTTGTCGGCTTAGCGCCCAGCGGAGACGTCAAGCGCAAGGCTGAAGGAGAATATTGCGGTGAACTTGACGAGGCTGAGCCTCAAAGAAGATTTCTTTTCGTACTCCGTGCTTGACTTCATCTATGCTAAAATAAAGCGGAAAGGCCACAGTCCATTGTCGAAATTTTGGCGGACACCTAAGATGGCTCGCCAACTCAGCCGCGACGACTACACGGTGGGCTGGGTCTGCGCCTTGCACATCGAGCTCGCTGCAGCTCAGGAAATGCTTGACGAAGAGCACCAAAACCCTCTTCAAATCGGCGAAGACGCCAATGTATACAGTTTCGGCCGCATTGGCGAGCATAATGTCGTTATTGCAGGCCTACCCGCCGGCCAAACAGGCATCGCCTCAGCTACAGCGGTCGCCATGCGGATGAAGTCTTCGTTCCCGTGCATTCGATTTGGTTTAATGGTCGGAATCGGAGGCGGTGTTCCAAGCAGAGATGCTGACATTCGGCTAGGCGACATTGTTGTCAGCCAGCCAGAAAAAGGCCATGGCGGGGTGATCCAGTACGACTTTGGCAAGTCAACGCCAAACGGGTTTGAGCAGACAGGATTCCTTAATACTCCACCTCCAGTCCTCCTTAGCGCGATCACGAAGCTTCAGGCTTACCATGACCGAGGTAGAAGCGATCTTTCACATCATCTAGCGAAGCTCAGCAATCTCCCCAAATTCGCCCGCGATAGAGCAGGCAGCGATCTGCTGTTTGACCCAAAGTACGATCATGAAGGAGACAAAAACTGTACGTCCTGCGAAGATACACGACAGATACAGAGGGAAGATAGGACGGATTGGAAACCTGTGGTTCACTACGGCACGATAGCATCGGGGAATCAGGTGATGAGGGACGGCAGGACGCGAGACAAAGTCAGCTCAGAATTCAGAGGAGTGCTTTGCTTCGAAATGGAGGCAGCTGGCCTGATGAACAGTTTCCCGTGCTTGGTGATCCGTGGCATCTGCGACTATGCCGATTCGCACAAGAATAAGAAATGGCAACCTTATGCAGCTGGAACTGCGGCGGCATATGCGAAGGAGCTGCTTTTAGTGATACCAGCGGCAGATGTGTTGAAAACACAGACGGCTGACAGAGCAACACAAGGTCAGTGTAGCTAGTGCTTAGTTTATAGAGAATGAGACTTATTCTCCGCAGAGCATTCGCGTACTCTCTACATTCCTTTTCTACGAAATCGCCAATTTGTTGGTCGAAGTACAGAGCTCAGCAGGCTGAAACGAAAGCTGTTTCAGGATGCAGATTGTCAAAAGGTGGCGATCAGCGGCCTTGGTGGTATTGGCAAGACACAAGTCGCGCTACAGTTCGCATACTCTGTTAAGGAAGATTACCCTGAACTTTCTATCTTCTGGGTACAGGCGTTGAGTATGGAGTCTTTTGAGCGGGGTTGTATGGAGATTGCAAGGGCACTAGGAATACACCATGGGCAAGAGAGCAAAGAAGACGTGAAAATGCTAGTACGGCGATGGCTATGTGCAAAGTCCGCAGGAAAGTGGTTGTTAATTGTTGACAATGCGGACGATTTGGACTTACTTCGTGGGCCGAAGCAAACAGATGGCTTGTTGAACTTTCTTCCGGAGAGTGATGATGGCCTGACAGTGTTTACAACACGATTTGGAGGCATAGCCCAATACCTGGCAGGCAGCGACGTGGTTGATATAGGGAAGATGACCGAACAGGAAACAATAGACTTATTAGAGAAGTCCTTGATTCGAAAAAGTCCCCCTTACAACGAGAACATCATCAGGAATCTTCTCACAGAACTAGAATACCTTCCATTAGCGATCACCCAGGCGGCAGCATATATCAACACTAATAAAAGCTCCATCTTTGAGTATCTACGGCTACTGAAGAATACAGACCAGGATGCCCTTGCCATCTTAAGCATGGATTTTGGCGACAAGACACGATACCCGAATTTAACAAATGCAGTCGCGAAGACATGGCTGATAACGTTCAACAAGATTCTTGAGCACGACTCATTGGCAGCAGATCTCCTTGCATTTATATCTTGTATTGAATGGAGGGCAATACCGTACTCCATTTTACCAGCAGCGCATCCCGAAGCGCGGTTGGCAGCTGCCGTTGGCACGCTCTGTTCATATTCATTTCTAGAGAAAAGGGATGACAAGAAGCTCGACATGCATAGACTGGTCCACTTCGCGACCAGGAGATGGATCGTTACAAACGACCGTGAAGCAGAAGCTGGTATGGCAGCATTGAAGCAACTTCTAAAAGTCTTTCCATCTAATGATTACACAAATCGCGAGATTTGGCGGGATTATCTACCGCATGTCGCACGCATAGATAAAGATGAGCGATGCCAAAACACACAGGAAAGGAGCGAGCTCTGTCTGAAAGTCGGGCAGTGCTTACACACCGATGGAAGAATGAGAGAAGCCCTCCAATGGACGCAAAAGTCTTGCGAATGGAGAGATAGAAATCTTCCTGAACATCATCCCTCTCGACTGGAGTCCCAACATGCGCTTGCTGCAGCATATCACGCAAATGGACATTTTAAGGAAGCAGTTAAACTCTTTGAGTATATTGCTTCAAAAACAGCAGAAATATTTACTAAAGATCATCCTACTCGACTAGTATCCCAATATGCGCTTGCTCAAGGATATCTTGCAGATAGACAGATCAAGAAAGCAATTAAACTGCTAGAGCATGTTGTTACAAAACAAGCAGAAATACTTGCTGAAGATCATCGTGCTCGACTAGCATCCCAACATACGCTTGCTAGAGCATATCTAGCAGATAGACAGGTCAAGGAAGCAGTCAAGTTAGAGGAGCATATTGTTGCCAGACAAGCAGAAATACTTGCTGAAGATCATCGTGCTCGACTAGTGTCCCAACATACGCTTGCTGGAGCATATCTAGCAGATGGACAAGTCAAGGAAGCAGTTAAACTGCTAGAGCATGTTGTTACAAAACAAGCAGAAATACTTGCTGAAGATCACCGTGCTCGACTAGCATCCCAACATACGCTTGCTGGAGCATATCTAGCAAATGGAGAGGTCAAGGAAGCAGTTAAACTGCTAGAGCATGCTGCAATAAAACAAGCAGAAATACTTGCTGAAGATCATCCTGCTCGACTAGTGTCCCAGCATATACTTGCTAGAGCGTATCAAGCAAATGGACAGGTCAAGGAAGCAGTCAAGCTACTAGAGCATATTGTTGCAAACAAAGTAGAAATATTTGCTGAAGATCATCCTGCTCGACTATTGTCCCACCGTATGCTTATTAGAGCATATCAAGCAAATGGACAGATCAAAGAAGCAGTCAAGTTGCTGGAGCATGTTCATAAGATTCAGCAGGGAGTGCTGACACCACTTAATCCTCTCAGTAGTGTTCCGCAAGATAGGCAACCAGTGTGTCGCATACCCGGTGCTTCGGAATAGCTGCTCATTATCACGGGGCAGTCCCTGACTGCCTTTATGCTTGAGGCAAGGCATTATCCGATGTATACCAACACAGGTGGTGGATGCTATCACAGTCAGAAACAATCAAGGATATAGTTAATAATCTATGGAGACCTGATTTTTGCCAGTTACCAGGAGTCGCAAATTTCATTCCACTGACTGGTGCGTTGTAGCTCCGTAGCTATGATTGCAGATGGCCCCTCTGAAGATCCTTTTTAGACAAGGCATGCTGGMCCAGCCATTATCGTGAATACGTTGGCGCACGCTCAGGAGGCTTAACGTCTAAACGCACGCTTATCTACAGACAAATCATGAAACCGAAAGATTAGATGCATTCACTTCGAAGACATACATACGTAAGCTTGACTGTAACTAATTGTTACTTGTATACCAGGAACACGTATTGTAACATTTAATGTTTATGTATATTTGATACAATACCATACATATTACGATAAATTGCACCCGTCTTGCCTTTATCCCGATGTAGTTTAGCTCCGCTTGACGCTGGGATTGAGAAACATTGAAGAGTACGTACTACATAGCAAGCTCCCGACAACGGTTTTGCCTGCGAGTGTAATGTCTACTAAATTGAATTTTCACACTGACTGAATTTGTTTTATCAACTGGAACTAGATAAGCGCTAAATATTCTACACCGCCACAACTCCGACTACACACCAAATTTCTCCATCGCCGTCTCAGCCACACTCCTCCACTGCGCCACTCGATCACTTCCTTGACCCTTTGGACACACCTCCGTAATTGCTCGAACATGATTGACTATCTTTTGCATTGACTCTTGCAAATCACTCATTTTCATCTCCTCCAGCATCCACTCCGCCCCCTTTTCGCGACACACCTGCTCAAACACCTCCTCCATTCGCGTGTGCTCCGCTTTATCCGCTGGACTATTCTTGTAATTCCACAGGAATGCGCGCGGTGGATTCCATCGCGGTGCTGGTACTACGCCGCTGAACTCCCAGTCGAGTATCGCGGTGATTGGACATCCGGGCTCGTCAGGGTCGCACATGATATTCGCAAAGTGCAAGTCCTTGTGCGCGAATATGTAGGTGACGCGATTGAGCTGTTCGATAAGTTCGGGCTTCTGTAGCTTGGCGACAAGGGATCGCAGTCGTGGTATCATGTCTCGGTAGGAGTCGAGTGAAGGATGTACCTCTATCACATGAATGTACCGTTTCAAGCAGCCGACATTGTATGCTACATAACTATCAAATCCCTCAGCAGGAATGGGGTTGATCGTTTCTAATGTCTCGTGAAGTCCAAGAGAAGACCAGTGTTTCTCAAGATCCGGCACCTGCCAAAACCATTCATCAATGGGTGGTCCGCGTGCGCTCTCTCCATCGTCGCCGGGAATAAGGCCACCCACGAATCCTTCCTTCCAGGGATGCGAATGCAGCTCGATCAGATACTCCGTCAATTGGCGGACCATGTTGGTTTTGGTTTCCGTGGACAGGGTATCATAGACTTTATCTACGCTGACACCGGGTGCCTTTTCAAGTAGAGTGAACTCATATCCGATAAGATTTTTCTCCGTGGCATCGTAGCGCACGATTGCTGGGACGGGAATGTGTGTATTCTTGCGCACCCAGTTCATCGCGCCAACCTCATTTAGGGTCTTGATACCCGGCAGCTGTCGTCCCGACACGCGCAGGACCAAGATTAGCGAGCCATCTTTTTCAGTGCGCGCCGCAATGCTTGAAGCGTCTGAAGCAGAGAAATGGATGAGGTATATAGAGTGGAAGGCGGCAGAAACCTCCAGTGGCTCAATTGAAGTCGGTTTGGGAAGATTGAGGGAGAGAATGAGATCGGTGATAGTGTCTGCTGTCAAGGCAGGAGGTAGATAGCTGGTAGCCATGTGTTGGTTCCGTGCAGGCACTGCAAGATCTCAGAATCTACAAAATTCTGCATGACAGCAAAATCGTACTGCGCGATATAAGTAATTGAGCTTCAAATTTGAATGTAGCTGAAGTGGGGTAAGATAGATAGCATGATCGACAATCAATATCAGATTGCTTCCGTCTAAACGGTTAGTGTTCATGACTCATAATGACTGGTTGTTGGTTACGGGAACATCCAGTTACATCGCGTAGTATCAAGCAAAACAAGCATTTTTGGGCTACGCCAATATCAAGAATAATGGCGACGTTGGTATGTTCTCTGAGCCTGGGTATATCTAGAATCACCAAAGATAAATCCAATGTCAAGAGACCTAGGGTTAATGACTGCTTCTACCCTCGCATAGCAAGCCCCACCTCCAAACCGTCAATCGACAGCATGGATACAGAATCAATTCTACTCAAGTACCGAGTATGCTTTGACGCTCTCGAGAGTCCACCAAAGCGTGCAACCTTGCCAATGATAATTGACATGAAATAATCGAAAAAAAAAGAACCTCTTGTGACAAATGCAAGGCTGTCGGAACATACACATGCCAGATACGAATATGTGTCGACAAAACATCAAACCCAGGATGAATACATGCCCGGCGAGTACTTACGTGTGTAAGCAGATCATCCCAATTTGGCCCCAGCAGTATCATCCAAACGCATCTCCATAAGCCGGCAGTAATGATGAAGTGGCATCATCATGGGAGGAACCGGATACATATTTCTGTATTCAGTGCATAGTCAGTTACGGGACTGACTCGTTCCGAGGTCGACTATCTACCCGCCGGCGGGGTAGGTAACGGTTGAAAGTCCGATATCGTGGAGAATTATAGGAGTCGGAGAAAAAGCAACGTCAACCCCATTGCTTGCAACTGGGGAAAGCAAGAAATAATGTACCTAATGCGAACGCATGGAGTGACTAAAGAGGGATCAATGGATGGAGACTGTGCGGATGTTTCTATGTCCGTAAATCCGCCGATCACGGCTATCTGCTCTTCCGCGTGCACGTGACTTTGCTCTATCCGTCATTGGTTCAGATTAATTAATGTTAGGGTTAGCCTTCGGGAGTTGGCGTTGCCCCCTTCCCGATTAGGGTAACTAGCATTATCAACTCCTTGCACATTTCATACCTCGAAACCCCAAAGTCAAGATTGTTTCAGAAGTGGTACTTACGTACTCTGCCTATCCATACTTATCAATATCATCTCGAGCGCTTAGGACTCTACGTGTCGAGATGAAGCCGTTGGCCATGATCGGCCTCGGACTGAGTCGTATTCCTGCGGGTCCATGGGCCACAGCAAAATCTCGTGAGAAAAATTGGATCTCCCGGCCCGCATGAGAGATGCGAATCTTATTCGGCTGGCTGCTAACTGGTCAAATCGGCCCGATTTGGTGGAATTCACGTTTTAATCATTGCTAAACGCTCACCGGACGGACCACAATTTGGGGTTTCCTATCCCATAATGCGGATGGAGAAGCTCACCCTAGGAAAAACGCTCAGCCGGTCATCAAAAATTTGCGGGATGCCCACACTTGACGTCGCCTGCAGGCTCGCTATTTTCCAGGATGCCCCGGATGCCTCACTGTTGAACCCCAAAGAATGTGGGTTGTTGGTCTGGAGGTGACAAATTCCCGAGATCTCTGTGGTTGCTTTTAGAAGTCCCCCTCGCTCCTGAAAGTCGGACTCTTTCTCTCCTACTTCCTCAGCTGTACCAACATTGATCTTCATCCAGCCAAAAGAGAAACAAGGAAATTGGCAACGACGCCTGACACTCACTCTGATTTGACCCTGCTGCCACATTCTTGTTTGAGATTCCATCGTCGCCATGGGTATCCTCACACTGGCTGAGGACCGGCCGACGCCCAAGTCCGTCTACAACTGGCGTATCTACGTTCTCGCCATCATTGCATCATGCGGTTCCAATATGATCGGTTACACTTCCGCCTTCATTGGCACGACTATAACTTTGACTTCGTTCCAGCGCGAGTTTGGATTCGATCGTATGTCCAGCGAACATGTCTCAACCATTGAAGAGAACATTGTCTCTTTTTTCATCGCAGGCGCCTTCTTCGCTGCACTTGGCACCTATGCTCTCGGTCATTTCTTGGGACGCAAATGGAGCTTGGTGATTGCTTCTGCTGTTTTCACTCTTGGAGGCGGTCTCCAGCTGGGCACCAAGGGCTCTACTGGTCTGGGCATCATGTACGCTGGACGTGTCTTGTCCGGCGTGGGAACTGGTATTGCTTCCAATATCATCCCTATCTACATCTCTGAGCTCGCTCCACCTGCCATTCGAGGACGTCTCGTTGGATTATACGAACTGGGCTGGCAAATCGGCGGCCTTGTCGGATTTTGGATCAACGTAAGACTTTCTTCCAAACACTGACTGTCGAGACACATTACTCACTGCATATAGTATGGCGTTGAACAGCACATGCCCTCATCACATGAGCAATGGCTTGTTCCCTTTGCCATTCAGATCATTCCCTCGGGGCTGCTGTTCTTTGGCGCTTTGTGGATCAGGGAATCACCCCGTTGGCTTTTCCTCAAGGATCGTCGGGAAGAGGCCATGAAGAACCTCTGTTGGATCCGTCAATTAGATGAAAATGACATTTATGTCAAGGAAGAAGTCGCCGCCATTGATCAAGCACTAGAAGAGCAAAAGGCCACCGTTGGAATCGGTTTCTGGAAGCCCTTCCAGGCTGTTGGAAAGCGTCCCGCAGTATTGTACCGACTCTTCCTAGGATGTATGCTCTTCTTCTGGCAGAACGGATCCGGTATCAACGCCATCAACTACTACAGCCCCACTATCTTCAGCAGCATTGGCGTCTCCCAATCTGACATTAGCTGGATGACGGGTATTTTTGGTGTGGTCAAGGCCATCTTCACAATCCTCTGGCTCTTATTCCTCGTTGACCAGTTTGGAAGAAGGAAACTTCTATTGACTGGTGCGCTCACTGGATCCGCCTGCATGTGGGTGATTGGTGCCTACATTTGTGCTGTTCGCCCGGACTTGCATCCCACGTCCTCTCTGAACGGAGGTGGTATTGCTGCTATCTTCTTTTTCTATCTGTGGACTGCCGTGTACACTCCCACTTGGAACGGAACTCCATGGGTCATCAACTCGGTAAGATGAATCTCGCTTCAAGACAATTACATTGCGGTGTCAACTAACATTTACTCAGGAATTTTTCGACCCTAACATCCGTTCCCTCGCCCAAGCCGCGACAACATCCAGCAACTGGCTCTTCAACTTCCTCGTTTCCCGCTTTACCAAGCAAATGTTCGCCAAAATGAACTATGGCGTGTATTTCTTCTTCGCTGCCTTGTCGTTCTTTGCATTCTTCTTCGCCTTCTTCCTGATTCCCGAGACCAGCGGTATCCCACTAGAGGCAGTTGACCGCTTGTTTGAGACTAAGCCTATATGGCAAGCCCACGCAAAGGTCAAGGCACAGCTTAAGGAAGAAGAGGAGCAATTTCGCTTCGAGATTAAACAAGGTGTCTTTGGAAAAGAAGGAAACGGTGCACACGCCCACGTGGAGGATCCCAAGAAAGGCGAGGAAACTGACGACACACGTGTGAATGAAGTTTGATTCATAGATTTTCTGCATATAGACTTGGATTATAAACTACACTTAGATTATAGACTATAGAACCGTGACTTTTACGTGCCCCTTTGAAGACTTTTCCGCTTGAGATTGCGAGTGTGAGCGTGAGGACTGTAAACATACTTAAGGAATAACTTGAGCTCAATAGACGCGGTTGTATGTCAATATATGTTGTAGCCACTAGATAGAAGTCCATAAACTTAGGATTATGTCAGGATAAATTCTTCTTCCGCTGGATTTGCATCACGACCAACAAAGTCTTATCTTTTTCACAAATTTATGGCTTATCAGGCCACATAGATGTATTAGCGAAGCAGCCCGAACCGAAATAGATGATTTCTACCGAAGGAATATTTGAGGGGAGCTGAAGACGGGAACAGGGGTGTCCTTATGCAATAGGTACATGCAATGTGGTTTTCCGCGACACGCTACTGGCCAGACATGGTGACTCGTATTACGCCAGTCTTGCAAGTGGGCTTTTTGATTCGAATTATTAGCTAGGTAGTAAGGTTCACTACTGTGAGAAACCACACTTGACAATAATCCGAGAAAGAACGCTATTTATGTATGTATTGGCGAAGAGGCTCTGTTTGCTTCCTAATGACGACCAAGCATTTCTTCAATTTCTTGATTTCTTGCTGATACCTCAACGGTCATTTATGTTTTCGCAGTCAGACTCTGGCTCAAGTATGTCTTTGTTTTATTGGTTCTAGTTAACCCATCTTTGTCGTCCTTCTAGCGTTCGCATCTTTGAGCGACTTCTTGTGTTTCTCATCCAGTTGATTTACGCAAGCGAAACTCTGTCGAGATGGACGCATCGCAGGACGCCGAAGTACTTGAAGATGTAGAGGTATCAATTGAAACAGGTCCGGTGGAAAACAATGTACTAGTAGACAGTGACGCCCAAGAGCATCTCGAATCCCGAAAAGAAGGGCTCCCGACAGACGACGTTCCACCCCTTGATCTTAGTGGTCAGTCAAAAGAAGGTGGACTACAAGAGGATAGAGAATATACAGAAAATATTGATCATGATGAGTATACGGTTGTCAGAGGAGAAGTTTTGCCTGTTGAGGATATTGTGCCGACCTCTTTCGATGTTCCCACAACTTCCGTGCCTCTCAACAGGGATGGACAGCACGGCGTTGCTATTCGCGGAAGTCTGAGTGAATACAATGGAAAAATCGGTGTCTACATTTACAGAACCGGGACATCAAAACTATTCTTCCATCAGAAAAAGCGTAATGAAAGCTTGATCGATGATCACGGGGAAACCCTTCTCAAGGCGGTGCGATTTGGTCAGGTGGATGCCGTCAGGCTACTTCTCAAGGACAAAGTCTCGACAGAGTTCAGAGACAGTGAGGAACGCACTCCACTTTTGTACGCTGTGGAGGACAACAGAGTTGACATCGTTGAGCTCTTGCTACTGAGCAACGCGGATTGGAACGCAGAAGATAGGTCGAAGCGATCAGCATTGCATATTGCTGCATACGACAGACATACTAGAGTAATTCCCAGACTTTTGTTACTCCCGGGAATCAATCTGGACGCTCAAGACGAGAACTGCGAAACTCCTTTGCACCTTGCTGCTAAGAATGGAAGTCTAGACACAGTTGAGCTTTTGCTTGAGTTTGGAGCATTTGTTAATGCAACGGACAAGAAGGGGCTCACACCTCTGCATCTAGCGGCAGCGAGACGAGAATCGGCCGCTTTGGCTGAGGCTTTATTAAACACCAAGAATATTGACGTGGACGCAAAAGCGAGCAATGGACGGACACCACTGATGCAGGCATGTGACAGGGGACCTTCCAAGGGATGCGAAAATGTGGTGAGGTTGCTTCTAGCTAAAAACGCCAACCCTGCAGCTCAGGATAATAACGAAGAAACGCCTGTTTACCTGTCGGCCTTGAATGGGAATAAGGAGAATTTGGCTGAACTGATTCAGGGAAAGCGACCAATCGATATCAATGCTCTGAATATAGATCAACGTTCCGCTCTATTTGGACCGGCAAGGTTTGGCTTCACCGCCGTTGCTGATCAGCTTTTAAAGGCAGGTATCGATAGTACGCTCAAGGACCGTGCTGGGAGGACTGCATTCTTAGAGGCGGCAAAGTACGATAAAGTCGAAGTCGCGCGTTTGATTTTTGAAGATCTTGAGAGAAAGCCCGGACAAGAAGCAAAGAAAGCTCTTCAGCCAGCACTTTTTGAGGCGGCAATTCGGGACAGCTCACATGTAGCTCGATTTCTTATCGAACACGGAGCTAGCATGGATCAGAAGGAACCAACATTACAGATGACGGCTATGGAGATTGCGAATAAGTACGGTAGCTTCAAGGTTGTCGCTGTGCTTCTCGAAAGAGGTGATCAGCTTGTTGGCCAAGGTCCGTCAGTGGGGGAACCTTTGGAAGAAATAGCATCCGAATCTGAGTCTAGGACCTTGGAGGTGGAAGATATTGATATTGACCTCACATTTGGGTTCCAAGCTACGATAGCGTCATTTCCGAAAGATACTCACAAGGAATACAGAATAAAGAGGCCTCAGCTCCGAAGTTTGTTATATGACCATAGTCCTGAAACAATCAAGTATGGGCTTGAGGATGGGCCGATTGGGAAAAATTTCAGATGGCTACACGTACCTTCTAACAATGTATGCTATGCCCCCCTTTCCGTCAACTGGTGTGTCTGGATATGATTGGAAAAGACTAACAAGCTTCTAGATAGTATGGGTTCATGTAAGTGGTGAAACTACGCTATCAGGAACGAACCTTGGAATTGCTAAGCTATCTACGAGAACAGAAGTTAATAAGCAGATTGTACAAGGATTGCCATCCTCCACACATGGCAAGCTATTTTCAGGAAAAATGCAAGCATCTCTTTGGAGAGGAGCTTTGGACAAGACATCAATATCAAATGTCATCTCCGTCTGTTGCGCACAGACGATTCGTCCGTCCAATATGTCAGCGGGTCAAGCGGACAGAGAAGGATGATAACCTGATGATGGTTCTTCCTTATATTCATTGGGAGACCAGCAGCGGCCGGAAAGAAATGACAAAGGTAATAGTCGATGCTATGGTTAGACATCTTGGCGATCCGCAACCTCCGTCAACTTTGAAAGAATTAGAGGAAGCAATCCACGAACTCGATAAGATACGACACCCCAGAAAAGAGGAAGATTCAGAGGACGACGAGACAACTGCTTATTCGAGCTCTTATTGGTCTAGCTACTATACTGATTCATCGAGTATTTCAAGTCAAAGAACCAGAAGGACTCGAAGAACTAGAAGATCCCGGTCTCTGACACGGGAGCCAGATCTAGATTGGATGGCCAAAGTTGCGTCGGAGATGTTGGAAAGTGAGGGCATTCGAGCTGGGCAAGCGCCCACTGAAAGAACATCGGAACGATTGGAACGATTAGAACGAAGAAAGAAGAGAATCCAAAGAATTGCTAAGATTGCCGAGGAAGAATCTTGTACAGCTGACGAAAAGCTGATCCTGGCTTACATGTTTGATGAGATTCCATTACATTTTCGCCGAACTTTGGATCAATACTATTACTACAACCTCCTAACCACCGAAGCCCGCGATCTCGATCAAGTGGTCTCCCGATATTTTGAGAAAACATGGCCCGAAGCGGATGACAATCTGGTGCTGATGGTGGACCAACTCTGGCTGTGGATTCTAGACGACGGTCTGTATTTTACTTCACTCTCCTTCCAACACGTCATACAAGTAATCTAACTAATTCAGATACGGTGGTAACGAGTTTCCCACAACGTTGGAACAAGTCTGACGCTAGAATGAATGATGACCCTGATCCAAACAATGATTCGGATATTGTGGAATGCATTATTCGCCAAATTGGGAACAAAAACCGACGGCCGTTGGGGGATGTGTTTGATCTGGCGGAGTTGATTGTTGGCCAGTGTATTGGTACTATGTTCGAACATCACGACATTGCGAACGAAAAGTTACGTTTCGCCGAATTTTTCGAAGGCTCCATCGGCAACGTGGTAGGTCCCAGCAAAGTATCACCTTACTGAGGTAGTCTCTAATAGCCTTTAGACCTTCCAAGAGTCAAAAATGTTCGATGAATTTACAACACTATCCGAAAAGCTGGCCAAGGACGATCAAAACATCTCAACTTCTGATGAGCTTAGACAAGATCTTAAAAAGCTGTACGATATTTCACAGGAAACTAGGCTGGCTAAGGAGATCAAGGATATTCGAGATGAGCTCCATATTCTTTCGACTGTGCTCGAGGATCAGGAAACCGTGCTACTCGACATGCACGAGGCAATTCAAGATATGAGGACTGAAAAGGCTGTGCAAGACGGTTCAAAGAAACCGGAGACAACGTTGACTTACCACAGCCCACCTGAGCGTGTCGGCATGCATCAAAAGGTTGTTCGTGGGCTAGAAAGGCAGGCCGAAAAGACTTACATAGCGGTACGTTCCCTCCGGTGTCGCAAGAGCCGTTGCTAAGTCGTATTAGTTGAAGGATCTTCTAGATCTTAAACAGAAACAAGGTAGCTCCTTCTAACTTTTTTTTTTTTTCAGAGCTATGCCATGCTTACGATTTGTTAGCGAATGTCTCGGAGGCTCGGACACAAGGAAAGCAGGCAGCAGAAACCGCACGACAAGGTCAAACAATCATGTTGTTCACTATTATTACTGTCTTTTTTGTGAGAAACCACCCACAAAGCGCTTTCGATAATGTGAGCTCATACAATGTCTAGCTGCCACTATCATTTATGTCTTCTTTCTTCGCCTTGAATATCGACGAATTCGTCCGAAATAATGATGGCACGTTCGGCCTCAGATATGTTTCTGGAATTATGTGTAAGAACGCTGATAATTCAATCGTCTCATATACAATACTAATATTCCGGGCAGTCTCTGTTACAGTTGTTGTGGTCGCTATTTCTCTTTTCTTTGGCTTCGGCTGGAGTCTCTTTCTCAAATTTATCACCTACTGCAAAGATTTTCTACGAGATTTGGGTCGGGGAGCTAAAAAAATCTTGAAGTCAACTCTGAGTATCTTTGGGCTCATAATAGCTCTCCCAATAGTCTATGTGGTGTCAATGATCCTTAGTCGACGGAGACGAAGGAGCCGCGAAGAATGGGTTGAAGAAAGGCAAGAACGAAGGCCTCATCCTCTATCGACCGATTCATCCGATAGTGAGATAATCGTCATTGAAGAATCATCACCACCTCCGCGTAGACGACGCGAATATAGCCGTGACAGGTCATATCGTTCTTCGAAACGCACCTCACATTCAATCTTCGGAGGACTGTTCTCAGTACTCGGGTTACAATCCAAATCAGACACCGTATTCGTCGAGCGTTATTCGGGACAGAGAAGGTTTTCGCCCAGGAGATATCAGACAGGATGGTTTGGAGGACGGCAACGACGACGGACAGAAAGAGTAATAGTTGAAGAACGATACACACGAAGAGGAAGCACTACCTCTGACCGGAGATGGTACGGGGACTATGAGCGACGCTCTGTCTCTAGGAGAAACAATTGGCTTCCTTGGAACTGGTTCAGGAAAACACCAACGCGAGTCCAACGACGGGGTCGTACGATTCGTGTTGAGAATGAGCCAAGTCCCTCTGGTCTAAAGCATATCTACGCGTGGCTCATTGCTCATTTTATCACGCCGCTGCTTAGGCTATTTGGACTTACTAAATCATCTTTGGTGGAGGAAAGAGCCTCTGATTCCTCAAGTTACTTCACAAACGAGTATGGAAGCGGTACAAACTCGCATGCCAGTAGTAGTATCAGAGTTAGCGAGTCAGGGTCGCGTCGCACACGTCAAAGTCGCAGAAGTCGCAGATAGTCATCATAACGTGAATCCCAAAGACGCTTCGGTGAGATTAAAGAGTCTTTCTCATCAAACCATCCAGTCTCGCTGTGTGTTTAGGGTTAGGTCGGGTTAGGGCTATTAGTTGAGTGAGATGTACATTATTGGATCGTCGTGCGTCGCTTTCCTCACTAATGACCATGTCTATATACTCAACGTATACATATGAACTCACCTCTCCTTGATGATCGCCGTGTGTTTGCTGTGGACTTGCCTAGTGGTGAAGCAATCAAGACGCTTTTAAGTATACTTCAGCACGTATTTAAGTCAGTGATTATTTCAGGGAATCAATGTATCTGAGAGTTATTGACTCATTGAATATTGCAAATGACAGTTGGCTTTCATGGCTACGAGATAAACTCCATGCGTTCGTAGTTGTGCTTCGTTAAACAGCTCAGGAAGTCGAAGCAGTGTGGACCTAATACGTACCGGGTATGTAAATTACGTGTCTAAAGTAACAATTTCGCAGGCAAAGATAAGAAATTCGCGTAATACTAGTGTATTTAAAGACAATATTACCCAACGCCAACGCGCTGTCCTTGCGCGACTTATCATCCTGCACCATCTCTACAATAATCAACGAAGCCATTCATCTCATGGCGCATACAGCTACATGGTCAGATTCAGACTGCAGCTGTAATTGGTCACCAGGACTATCATTCTGTGACTTGAATTTTGAGCATACGACGAACTATTAGCTGATCAACTATGCCCTCAGCTAGAGAAAAAGAGTGAAGATCATTAGGAATACTTTTTTTTCTATTGACTTTCCATCTTTGTCTTAATTTGTACGTCACTGATTATGTCTGCTCTCGAAGTTCGTCAGGTCAAGAGACCTCGATTGTCACTGACTTGCAGCGTTTGCCGAAGTCGAAAAGTCCGCTGCGGTCGTGAGCACCCAGAATGTACCAACTGTCTTCGAATGAATCAAAAATGCGTTTACGAGTCCTTGGTTCGTGATGAATTGACTGGTCGCCTCCGACAGCCATTCGCCAGCAATGAAGGCAGAGATCTCTCCAGGCTTGATTCTCACAAATCTCCCACCTGGTCTCAGTCAAACCCCTTCACTGGATCGGGGGATATTCGACCGACACAGATACATTCGAACCAGGGTGATAGTAAGAGTTTTGAAAGCGTTAGCAGCAGTGATTTGAATTCTTCTCTGCCGCGCGAACATCAAGTAATGTCAGATAAGGCTCATCCAAAGGTACCTACATGGGAAGAAGCCATACAGGAACCCGTTGACCAGGATGTCTCCGGGCCTAGAGCTATAGCGACAGCGCTATCAGATCAGCGGCTACGATCGCAAGATCACGGGCCTATTATACTGTCTCCGGACTATCTAAGTCTACGACACGGTGGGCGCGTCCGGTATATTGGCAAAGCCTTTTGGGGTTTCGTTCCTGGACAGGTAAGGTCCTCCATGCAACAGTGCCATCCAACCTGAGGGGCAGTTCAGTTGTCAACATTGCTGACCTCCTTATAGGAAAGTCTGAGTGACGATTTTCTTGACGGAAACCGCAATGCTCAGCCTGGTCTACCGCTTCCACATATTGCTGCCGCAGATCTGGCCAATCTTCTGAAATCTTTGCCACCTAAGCCCGTATGTGACATATTCCTTCACGATTTCTTCATCATGGTATGGCCTCTTACCCCACTTGTGCATCCTATCACGCTGCGAACAGACTATGATGAATTCTGGGAATGGTGTCGAAATAGCGAAACTGCAATGCCTCCGGCCAAGATTGTAGATAATCCGACATTCGTTTGCCTTCTCTTTGCCATCATACTCTGTGGTGCTTGTGCCGCCCCTGCCGCAACGTGGACATTACCCGTTCTGCAGACGCTGAAAATGGAGACGATAAAAMCCCACTTGAAGTCGGCTTATAGGGCAAGCCTCTCTATGTGCCAACATCTCGAGCACCCAACATTCAACACTCTTATCTCAACACTTTTGACAGGGCCATTTATGGACCGTCCTTCTGAACCGATGCAGAACCTACTCTCTCTTAGTACAATTGTCCGGATCGCACAGACAATGGGATTGCATTGTGAATCGACTTGGTCCGCGCTGGACCAAGTAACTCGGGAAATGCGCCGTCGGGTATGGTGGCACATTGTGTCGCTAGATGTGCAGTCAAGTATTTCCACTGGTTTACCTTTATGCTGCGGTAAGGATATGCAAGATGCAGTGAGCATGATAAATTTTACGCGAAATGAAGAGATCGGCAATATATCTAGTACTTCTTCGCCGCCTGCTGAATCCCTGGAAACGGGAGAATCTGCTGCAATGATCTATGCCATAGGACGGTACGAGACAGCGCGTCTGGAATCGAAGATCGTCATTAGCTTGCAAAACGCACAGGGATTGAAGCATAGAGATTTTCGCGAACTAGTCGCTGCCACAACCCAACTTCATCGAAGGCTGGACTCCCTCATCGCGAAGATACCGGTTGAAGGGTTCCCGGCAAGGGGTTTCATCCCCTCCAGTTGGGAAAAGGCAAGCTCGCTAACGCATCCATCTCTTTATAAGGACGATACGACTAGACCAACTGTCTTTGCGGCCTGGGTACGCATCATGCTGACGCTACTCAAGTTTGAAGTGGCGATATTAATGCAAAAGCCAATATTGCAGACGCGGGTGCGTGAGAAACCACATGAGCTGAGGACGTGGATAAGGTACGTGACTGTCGTGACTCAAGGAGGAAAGAAGAAGTTCGTGACTAATTTACGTCTGCAGCATGCTACATCTTTGCACGAGCTACCTGCGTATTTATTTGCGTCTTCACCAAGTTCCTGCATTTGCCCCCTATGCGTGGTCTTATCGTACTTGCTTTGGTCCGCTTCAGAGTACATATATACTCCTGACTTATTTATTTCGTTTCCAGCGGCCAACTTTTCATGAGGATGATGTTCGATGTTGCGTCGACGAGGCGATTAAAATCTTCACGACTTACTATCAGTCAATGGATTCCGACTCCTCATTGGCAAATGCGAATTCAGACACATCTAAATCACACGTGCCTGTCGCCATTCAGGTTCTAGCCGATCTACGTCGGCGTCTTGACTCGCCTACAGAAAGCAATGAGCCGCCTCCGTCGCCCGTGGGGATCGTCGATTGGCGGAATGCAGGAAAAGGAGGCACCCATAGCAATGTAGCTGATTCAGGCCCAGATCGAGACTTTATCGCTAGCCTATACGAGCTGCAGGATTGGTTAGTGCGGCTGGTAGAAGATTCGGAATGTTTTTCGCTCTGACGATTGTGATGCAAACGGTAATGAGTAATGATGGGCATTAATCCACCCAGACGTCTCGGTTATCTTAGGTAGGAAATGTTAACTGTCTTCAGTGGTGGAAGTGCATTTCACGACTCCTTTTGTCTAGCTTCATTATTGGTGTCAGTGAATTGGTAACTGACTGGACGCCGAAGAATGAAATTGATCATATTTTGACTATGACTTCCGGGAAATACCAAGCTCCCTATGAGAATGGAGGAGGAATGGCTACAAGCGAGCTTGTTGAAATCTTCATTGGCCCTTGTTTATCGAACCGAACAATTAGAGATCCACATCAGGCCAACTGAAACTCTCTCATCCTTGAAGATCTTTGCTTTCATTACATCTCGACGCAAGTCTTAGAAACAAAGCTAGGCCTGCGTTTCGGGCAAGCGATCACCGGACCCTCTCGTCCTCGAACGCAAATTGTACCAAAATCTCAACATGTTTCTTAATCGTCGCCCTCTATAATTCCCCATTGACTCTACTTGAATTGTGGCGGGAGTGTAGTGAGCTGGCTAAGCTCTGCAATAGTCTCCTCCCAAAGCTTCTTCTGCACTTCCTGCATGGTGGGAGATGATATGTAATCGTTGTCACTGGTAGGTAAAATATCAAGTTAGCTATGCATACAATGCCAAGGCTGCGGCTGACGGCAAACCAAATATACATACCCAGCGATATCTTTGTCGGAAAAAAATTTCCCATGGGATTCTGGCCCTACAACTAGCGCAGCATTAAGAACAATCCAGCCGCCCACCTCCACTGATCGAGCTCGTATAGCTTTGAGGGCATTTATCATTACCCGCAGATAGAATGGGAGAACATCACTCATATTGGTTTGTATCATACCCGGGCACAACATGTTGATAATGACCTTTTTCGGATCGAGTCGAGGCGCAAGACTGTACATGAACAGAAGGCAAAGCAGCTTGGAGTCACCGTATCTGGTGAACGGGGAGAAGGACTCTTCACTATCCATATACTCGAGAACGCGTTTGTCGGGCCGAAGAGGGGTTTTGCGGAGGCTCGTTTGATCGTATGCTCGACTACCGACCCAGGTGATGCGAGCAGGGGAGCCGGTCGTTTCCGCGCCGGCTTCGAGGTATGGTAGCAACTCCGCGATTAGGAGGGTATTAGAGTTGTAGTTGACCTGGATGACTCGGTCATGACCGCTAGGACTGCGCTCGAGCTTGAAAACTCCGATACCCGCGTTGAGAATGAGGATGTCGACGATGGGGACTTCGTCACGGAGCTTCTTGGCAAATCGCTGGACACTGTCGTATATGTCGACGTCCAGCTCCATCACTTTGATGCTTGCCTTGGGATTCCGGCTCTTGATGCGAGGGTCATCGCGTAACTCTTTCACACAATCCTCGCCCTTCGCTACATTTCGGACAGCGAGGATGACGGTTGAGATGTTCAATTGCAATAGTTGTCCAGTCACTTCTAACCCTAAGCCAGCACTGGCACCGGTGACCACAGCCGTCTTGCCTTTGAGGTCAATTCCGTCTGGCAGAGGACTTACTTTTGGCTGGAAACCTAATCTGGCCATGTTGATTGTAAAAAAATGCCTGCTGGGGGATAGGAAGGGCGAATAGAAAAAAGTACCTAGAAAGAGCCTGATACGAACAGTGAGGATAGATTTAAGAAAGTTCTAACACATTCAAAGATTATTCTTGCTTTTTAAACCAAGCAGAAGCACTTTACTACCCCTATAGATCGAATAAGCTTGATAATCATTTTCTGGAAGTTCTCATAGTTGCTTATTGAGCAGGTATGTCATGGGCCAATCGACGCCTGCTATATGCTTAGTAGATAATTGTTCGGCCGAATCTAAACTTAAAGCAGACAAGCGTCGCCCGAATGATTAGGGGTGCACGATATTTGCCCTAGCCTGGATTACTGCATTACATATCGGCTGCATTCTCTTTCTGAATCCATTCTCTGAGCATCCTTTGGGATAAATAATGTATTAGAAGTCGTGACGTGATTGATATGACAACTCTCATGTCTCTCTAGGACCTGATTAGCTTAGCCTTGAGCTTCGACCGATAGGTGGTTACACGTCCTAGGCTCGAAAAGTACAACTTGATTGCTTTCATCTTACAAAGTGAGATAATGCTCTTAGCTGATTCTCGTCATATGATATCACGGATATTCTACAAGGAGTTGAGGCTTTAAATTTATTCCATAGGATTGAGGAATTTCAAGAAACTGTGATTAGTAATCATTTGAAGAAATGAGACACCATCAATTCAATGTTGATATCGAACATTAAACTTCACACAACTTCCTACCTAGAGACACACACTCGACGAAACTAGACAGCCCGCGTTAGTCTTATCATCCGACCATCAACTCCCATACAATGGCTCGACCGTCTCGCGGACCCCAGCAAAAAGCTTGCAATGGATGCGCCAAATCAAAGCGGAGATGCGACCAAAAACGTCCTCAGTGTCAGAGATGCTTAGATAAGGACGCGACTTGCACATATCCGCAGCCAGAAAGACGAAGAGGAAATGTATCTCCTCCTCCTCTCGGTCATATCGAAGAACTTCCGGCTATCCAGAATTATGCCGAGACGAATGCTCTGGAAAGGAGTTTCACTGTGGAGGACTGGGACACATTGGGAGCCGCAGATCTTGACCTTGATCTATCAGACTTGATTATTCCTTACACACCAGCCGTTCCGGCACAAGAAGTGGGAATTGACAACGACAGCGTCTCAAACACAACAGGACCCTGGTTTCTTCAAGAGGAGACCTGGACCATGCGACATTGTAACTCAGAACCGGACTGTGTTTTGGTCAAAATGGAGCGTTTCATTGAAGCCGTAGATGAGATGCTCCGATTCTGGATTAATAACGATTACAACAGCTTTATCCATCAACGATTGTACGAGAATGGGATGCCCAGTTGTGTCCAGGATGCATTTACCACACTAGCGACGTATATCGGTCGAGCTCCAGCGGTGAAAGAGACTATATTACAGATTGTCGAGGATCGCTTATTTGACCTCACTCGCAAAAGCACGACTCCGGTGACCTGCGATGCGCAAGGAATCTTGGCTCATCTCGCGCGTGTACAAGCCTTATTTGTGTATGAATTTATAGGCCTGTTCGATGGCTCCGTACGTTTGCGTACATCAGCAGAAAAACATCTTCCCACCCTTCGGCAATGGGTGCTTCAAATGTGGGAAGTCGTCAGACTGTATCGAGGGGAGGACTTCTCTCTTGGCCTCCGTCCACTTCAATGGACTGCAACCGACTTTGACAGAGAATATAATGACTCTTCCGAATTGTGGCAATTATGGATCCTGACCGAGAGCGTTCGACGTACCCACATCATCATCGATAGTGTCGCCAACGCATACGAGACTATGACCAGAGGACTAGTTGATTGTGCTGGAGCGGTGATGTTTACTGCACGCAATGGATTGTGGGAAGCTGATTCAGCAGTGAAATGGTTCAAGTTATGTTGCGAGAAACCTCCGCTTTTGGTGCCTTCTCTACAGCCTGGACCGTTGATATCACAGTACCCGGCGGAGGAACTGGACGACTTTGCAAAGTTTTATTGGACGTATCTAGTCGGAACAGACAAGATCCAATCCTGGATTGACAAAAGTTACAATACAAACTGATTTACACTGCTGCCGACCATGATTTGTTCAAAGGTTTGTGATATAATTGGAGATTCCTTTGAAAGCGGGAATTTTTGCGGATTATTTTGCGCGGGAGTTATGCGGAGGTAGGACTTTAGTGAAGTAAAACTGCTTGGGAAGAAAATCATTTAGAAAGGTATTCCCAGCACTATGTATATATTATATTAAATAAATATCTCGTCCAAATTGTACTTGAGCCGTTGATCAGCCTTCTATGCCCACTATGTCTCCTCAAGTTCCTGTGAAGATTATCCTCGGCACTCATACGGTAAGCAGAACTTGCCTACTATCACTCGCGAATTTGATCTAATAATATTAGATTGGCGATGCCACTAAGATGCCTGGGATCATACACTTTGATAATGAGGACGATGTCCATAGCCTCTTAGACGCATTCTACAGCCGTGGCTATAAAGATGTTGATACGGCCAGCAACTATCATGGCTCTGAAGCACGCCTCGGTCAGGCTGGTGCTGCAAGTCAATTCAATATTCATACGAAGGTTCATAGTTGGGGATCCGGATACCTTGAACCTGCAAAGATTGAGTCGAGCATTGAGAAGTCTCTTAAAGACCTTCACGCTTCAACTGTAGAGACTATGTTTCTACATGTACCCGATAGACAAACACCATTTGAGGATACGGCGAAGGCAATGAATAACGCTTACCTTCAAGGGAAGTTCAGGAAATGGGGGATCTCTAACTACACTGCCGCTGAGGTTAAAAAGTTCATCGAGATTTGCGATGAGAAAGGCTACGTTAAGCCGAGCGTGTATGAGGGACATTACAATGCTATCGTGAGAGGCGGGGAACAGGAGCTATTTCCGCTCTTGCGTGAGCACGATATGGCATTTTTCGCCTACAGGTATGCAGACTCATTTCTAAAATGATTAGCACCTGGCTAACTTCTGCATTAGCCCTGCAGCAGGCGGACTCTTCTCGGATAAAGCCAGCACCACGGCACGGTGGAGTAAGGATGTGAGTTCCCATACCTCATCTGCTTCTACCTCTTTTCTTGGCTCTGATCAGATATTCAGAACTCTGTCGGAAACCTGTACAATACAATCTACGGCAAAGCCTCCGTTCAGGCCGCAGTAGCCACCGTTCGAGAATCCGCCGCAAAACATGGTATCAGCGGACATGCGGCTGCACTGCGCTGGACGGCGTTTCATAGCATTCTAGATGGAAAATATGGCGATGCAGTGATATTTGCGGTATCGAAAATGAAGCAGCTCAATGATACTCTCGATGCATTTGAGGCTGGTCCGCTTCCTAGTGATCTTGCAGAGGCTATGACTGCTGTTTATGCTACACTTGAGGGTTCAGAGCCTTCTTACCATCTGTAAAAGAGGTGCTTGCGCTAGGGCCGTGGGATATTCTAGGATGTCAACAGGGCATATTTGAATAGTCTTCAATCACGGATGACTTGAATTTCTCGCTTCTGCCTTCTATCATTTTAATGACCTTTTTTTCTTTACCACTTCTATCAGTAGTTTCACAGGTTGGTTGCAAACTTCACATGTGACGTCAAAAAAGAGACTATGTATTTAAACCATATTTGTTCAATTTCCATGATGCTCAAGACTGGCTTCTTTTCCGGCGCGGTAAGCAGCGCGTGAGAAGAAGAATCAGGCATACATGCCATGCCACATGAGTCATATCATACTTTATTTGCAGTGACGCTTGTTCAAAATTATACTCTTCTGTCTGAACACACGTGATTCGTGCTGTTCGCGTTGTTTGCAAGGCTGACCGTGATTGCACCACAAACTCAGCCCTAAAAAGGCCGCGACCGCAGCCCGAAAATTCCTGAAACGGCAAGTTTTGATGTTAGGGCTTAGGCTGGGCTTCGGGGCTGTGCTAGGCTAAATCGCACCGACCATTCAAATAAACTTTTTCTTCAAGTCTTTTGGAGATTTTAATTTTCTTTCGATTCGACTGTTTCATCAAGGCATACCGCCCAGTAAATTAGGAAAGTTTAGCCAATGACTGTGCCATGTATTCATCAAACAAGCCACAATAGTGGTCGAACGAACTATTTCTCTCGCTTACGGTGCTTAGATCCCATGTTAGCTGCAAGTATGCAAGCCAATCTCATTTGCTCATAAGTTGTTCGCGTTACATACTTGATTTCTATAGGTCAATTGCACAAGTAAACTATAGATTGGTTCCATATCGCCAGTTCGGCAAAGGGCTCAATGCAATCATAGCAACTTTGAAAGCATATGAGCCTCATCTGATCCGCCTTGTCAAGTCATACTGTCGGTCGGCGCCTAAGAAAGATCCTTAGATTAGATTCGTTGTTTCTTTCAAGTAGATAGATATTGAGATCAATATAAAGTCATGATACCTTTCAGTTCTTTGCTCTCTTTATCCCGTTTTTGTATCCCAAACAAACAACCCGCACTTTGAAGACAATCAATAAACGGTCCTTCAAATCCAGCTTTAAAAATCGGTCAAGACCTTCTCATCGGCGAATATTCACGCAGCGAAATTGCCCGGCGGTATCCATCTGAAATCAGTTCAATAATGCTTCTTAACGAGCGACCGCCGTCCTACGCAAGCGATGCCAACAACACAACGTTTCCTCCCCCGGCATACACCCCTAAGACCAACAACGCAAACGAAAATTCAAACACGGAATTGAATGAAACCTCAAGCTATGATCGACTCAATTTTGATGCTCTTAATTCATTTATGAACTCCGGAGGTCATCGCGCTAGCAACAACGACAATCCCCGTAACAGCAACCACAACACCAATAATTTTAGCAGCAACAACAGCAACTACAACAATATTCAGACAGCTCCTCGACGCTCTGAGACTTGGTTGGAGCGCATGTTCCAAGTAGACACTCGACGATATCACACATTTACCAAGATAGACACTCAGATGGGCAACTGGGGCGTCGTCTGCATCGCAATCCAGTGCGTTGCAGCAACGATTCTGCTTTGCGTCTCTGGTGTTGCAATCAAATTGTTTCAGAATCCCTGGAATCAATCATCAGTCGTCGGCGGTGCCACTCTCTCCTATGCTCTAAGTGGGTCGATATTGAGCTGTGTCGCGGTACGTCTCTATTCAGTTTCAACTTTGCATGATTTAGCTAATGAGATATACAGGGATCGCTCGCTTTATGTCTTGCTTTCCTGGCCTACCTCAATCCCATCTGGGGCATAATATTCCACGCTATCATCACCTTGATGTATGCAGGTAGCGGTGCATTGCTTGGATACGGCTCTTACATCACTCGCAACAACAATGTGTGCAATAATCAATACACTGGAGTCGAGCTACAGGACTGCTACAATATCCGTCTATCAGCTGGCTGGCGATGCGGGATTGTTGTGATTGCCATGTGTGCAATCAACGTGTAAGTTGCCTTCTACATTATGAGGGAATGAGTAATATACTGACTCGTTCTTCGATAGAATCACGCCGCTGATATACTCGCTAAAATGGACCATTACATGGCTGAATGTTCGAAACAGACAATCGCTCAATGTCAATCAAATCGTTTAAGCTTCTTTGAATCTGATTGAAGCTTTGGGAGTTTCGGGATCTCTTCTTTTGTATAATATCATGTTATTCGCAGCGAGGTGTTGGTGGCATTCTCCAATTTTGCTTTAGGCAATTAAAGTCATTGGGCGTTTCATCAATCTAAGGATCTTCTCATACCAACCTCCATGGCATTATTCGTACCATAATACACATGTAAATCACCATGCTCTATTCCTCCTGTTCGAGATATTGTAACCATCTCTCCTTATCAATACGCCAAAGTAAATCGTTCCCAAACCTATCAACTTTCTCTGGTACCACGGGCTGCATCTTGAACTTCACCTCCACCAGCCTACGCATAGCTACATTGTACGAAGGAGTCCCGATCCTCACTTCAGTCAACCCTAACGCATTCAAACCATAATCAATAACCATCTTGAATGCCTCCGTGCCGAAACCCTTGCGTCTCGCCGCGGGATTAATCACCMCCCCGGCGGCGCCCGCCCGTTTGGATTCTTCCGCATCTTTCATAGGACCTATCCAACCGAGTCCCGCTATGCCGACAACTTCCTGTTGATCTTTCGCAGTAGTATCGATGACAACGAAGTTAAGATAGTTCAGCGGGTCGTTGAGGGTCAGCCATTGGCGACAGACAGACTCCCGTTCTTCAGGAGTCAAAGTGGCAACTGATAGGTCATCCTTTGTGTTCTCTGGGTTGGCTAAGACGTCGATCAATGGTTGGAGGTCTTTATCCTGCGGAATTCGAAGGACGAGAGCTTTGGATAGAGAGTGAAGAATGGCCGTTGGCTGGGTGATGTCGCGGAGATCTGTTTGATGGGTATAAAATGCAGACGGCGATGTTTCCTTGCTAGACATGGTCGACACTAAGTGATAGATTCGGTTTTATATTTTTGGTGAGTAGCGATCCTTTTAACTCCTGCAGAAGAAGACTATGCAAGAAATGATGAATGAAGTACTCTTGAAAATCTGATACTAGCACACTGGTAGCCTAGAACCCCACCCTAAGTCTTTGTTCTGTGGATTGATAATCGTTCATCAATTTCTTCGTAATTGTCAATGGCCGGGAGCTAGGCTGCTAGCTCAACGAGGGTCCGGAAATCAATTGATGGCTCCAGAGCCAAGCTGGGTCTTTATACATGCATACGTAGCATTCACTAGAACTAGTGCCAATCGGCTGCAGAGAACTCTAAGCAATCAATAGTTACGGAATCGCTTTTTTCCATTTGCCCACCACGTGGATAAAAATATCCTCGTGGGAGGTCATATCAGCTCGTGTATATTCCAGCTCATTAGGTCCTTTGATCTTCCCGTGTGTACAGATATACACGTTACACGAGTCGGGTCGGAGGTGCATCGATTTATTCACGGTACTTCGTTTCATTTGCTCCTCGTCCGGGAGCATCTTCTGACTGATAGCATTTCGTGTTATGCATTAGGGGAAAGCCTCTACCAAAATGTATGCGCGAGTCGTGCTTGCCATCACATGGCTGACCTCGAGTCTTGTTGCTGCCACTGCCTATGCCCAGTGCGAAGCTTCCACTTCCAAGTTCCTCAAGCTCGAGACCACCAATGGCCTAATCGAGGGCCACATTGCCGACGATGCGCCCTGCGTCGTCGAGTATCTGGGCATCCCGTATGCGAAGCCTCCTGTCGGTGACCTTCGCTTTGCCAGTCCCCAACCCTATGAGGGCCAACAAAGCTACGAGGCCAAAAACTTTAGCTATGACTGCCCACACAGCACATTCCCCTACATTAACTATCCTGGCTTCTTTGATGACGCAAATCGCATCATTGACTATTTTGCTGCGAGCGCTAATACAACACAGAGTGAGGACTGCCTTACCTTGAACATCTGGTCCAAGGCCACCTCTCGCTCCAACCTGGCTCAGAAGTCCGTCCTAGTCTTTTTCTACGGTGGCAGTGAGTACCCTATCACTTCCTTGGCCTTTATTATGGGTGTAATGTTGCTATATTTTTTCTAGCAGGCAACCCTTGATTTAACTCTGACATATATCCTGTCTCCTTCCAAGGGTTTACATTTGGGAACACCAACACGCCCTTTTATTACGGTGTCAACTTTGCCAACACCGAGGACCTGGTTGTGATTACGGTCAACTACCGCACAAGCATCTTTGGCTTCCCCGGTGCTGATGGTCTGAGCACTAACCTTGGTATGCGCGACCAGCGTCTGGCTGTGGAATGGGTCCGCGATAACATCGCGGTCTTTGGTGGCAACCCCTCGAAGATTACCATTAGTGGCCAGTCTGCTGGGGGTGTCTCTGTTGACTACTGGACCTATGCCTACCGCGATGACCCCATCATCAGCGCTGCCATCACTCACTCAGGCAACGTGTTCAGCCTCCCACTTCCGAATCCTTCTACGCAGCAAGAAAACTGGGAAACTGTCGTTGAATTCGTCGGCTGCGGCAACGCAACCAATACTTTCACGTGCATGCATAACGCAACATGGGAGGATATCAAAGCCGGCGCTGCCACCGTGAAGTCGAGCAAGAGTAGCAGCCCCCTGCGAACCGTTACTGGCTTCTACCCAAAGGTTGACGACACGCTTGTTTTTACCGGCTACCTTGAACGCACCGATCAAGGCAAATTTGCCAATGTTCCTATTCTTTACGGCAACAACAATAATGAAGCTGGTTTCTACGCCGTCACTGTCTACTCCAGCGGTATCGTGCCCACACAAGAACAGGATGACGCGTTCAACCTCGAATCCTTCACCTGCGCCGTCACCAAGCAGGTCGAGAGTCGTCACAAGCACAGAGTTACTGCCTGGGCTTTTCGTTACATGGGTGATTGGAATAACACTCGTCTGTACCCAAACAGCGGTGCCTACCACGGCAGCGACATGCACATGCTGTTTGGGAACTCGGTCGCTGTCAGCGGACTTCTAACCTCGAAGTCTCAGAGACAGCTTACCAGACTGATGCAGAAAGCCTGGTTCGCCTTCCTGGACAATCCGCGCACTGGACTGTCTGAGTTCGGTTGGCCTGAATTCGATCCTAATGAGAAGACGCTCGTCCGTTTGGGCAACGACACTAAGCCTGAATATGAGCTTATGTATCCTTCTTCATATGATGCCCCCTGCTCGAACACTACCCTGAGCTCCCTTGGCTAGACGATACCGTCTTTGGTGAGGCTTGCGAGCAAAGTGCATAAATTCGAGAGTAACATAGGAGGCTCTTAAATTTTAATTGCATGTTGTAAGACAATAGTAGTTCTGAATAAATCAGAAACCAAGCTCCTCATATCTGCCTCCATGATTCTTTTCTAAAAAAAAAAAAAAAAAATATCCTTTACGGTTTCATCTGTGTAAAGTCCCTTTAAGTGTCGCCGTAATGAAAGATCCCTGTCGATTAAGTGCCCGCCACTACGGCAATGGTATAAACTGCCATCGGTCACTTGCCGTTTTAATAGCACTCCTCACATTGACCACAGTCACAACTGTCTTTTGTCATTTACCACTCGTTAATCCCACACGGCACGACGTGAACATTTACCCCGTCGCTGTCCGAGTCGACACTGCAGCATTCCATCATTCAGCGTCGCCTATCTCCACATCTTGTCACAGCTGCAACACAACAAATGCCATGGCAGACCCAAAAGATGCGGCCAAACATCAAAAGATACCATCCGAGTCCAGTACAAGAACGCAAAAGCAGAGACGTCAACAAAAATACCGGCGCAGCAATACCCTTGTCCAAAAGGCCTATGAATTAAGCACAATGGCAGATGTCGATGTGTTTCTTGGTATTCGTGATCGAAAAACGGGACGAATCAAGACCTTCTGTGCTGACGATAAAACTGGATTTTGGTCCTCGAGAATGGAGCATTTGGTATGTTTCTACTGTCTGTCGGAGAGGCTTCAAATCACAAGCTGATTTGGTCTTTTTTAGAAAAATTATTACCCTATTCCTGAGCAAAAAACGCCCGCAGATTTCTCATCTAAAAAGAAAAGCAAGAGAGCTACCTCATTAACCACGACAGAGGATGTACCTGAAGATTCGCTGCCAGAGCTAAGATCTGAGTCGTCAGTCGAGCCGTCAGAAATTAGCAACATGGACTGAGTTGCTTTCGGATGTGCAATTAGCCCTGATTTCTGTATCAGGAAACAGCAACCATCGGCCAAGATAATCAGTATTTAGGCCGGTCTATGAGGTGTAATTTAAGATCTAGAGCGACAAGATGGAAGGAATCAGATTGGAAAGGGTTGTATATAGTGATGGAAGTTTGAAGAACCGAAAAGCTTAGTCTGAAAGTCTGACCAGGTCATGCTGTGATTAGGACACACGGCATCGACTTTTACACACATAGTGTGTACGGTCGATATCTTTCTCGAGATGTTGATTTCATGCCAAGCCGACTGTCTCAGATGGAGTTTAGAAAACGAATTGCCTCTTGGTTTCAAACAACTCACCTGATGCCGTTGAGGTGAAAGTCTATCATTAGTTGGAGCTAGAGTGTAGAGATATCCAAGGTGAGAACAAGAGTGGGTTAAAAGGATAATATCAAGAATTGAGAGAATGGCCCTTTTATAAACCAAGAAAGTAGGTTTGGAGTCATCTCCATGACTCACATATTTGAAACACCCCAGAGATCAGATGAAAAGAAAGACTATTTAGGTACATATCCACGTAAATAGTGACTTTTCGAGATATGAATGATGAGCAATCCAGGTAGTATTGCTCATGGAAATTTGATTTTCCTAAACTGGAAGACATGAGGCGTTATATCACAGTCAGAAAACTTGATATTGCATATTCAAAATATAGACACGAAATCTTTTCGCCCATCCTAGACAAATGATGATATATTTCGATCTTTACCGCTAATAAAGTTCCCTGAGTAGCCTGTTCTTAAATGCCGTCTCTCAGTCGCTCGTCTGAAAACTGCAGGCCTGAATTTTCCCACCAAATAAACAAGCATTCGTCTCGCGATATGGATTCCATCCACCATAATTCGACCATCCTTATTGACCGCCTTGAGCATCTCAACTCTAACCTCAGAATATATCGAATCATGAATCATCGCGGACAATTGTCCCAATTGCTCTAAACATGCAATCGGGTCGATGTCTTTCCAGTCTTTCTCGGCCGGGTCAATGTTGGAAGAAGATTCAACCTGTTTATCCTCAGTTACTTCTGTGGATGTCCTTATGAATTTGCGAATCTTGGTGTCGGAGAGCTCGGGGTTCACGAAATCCCAGATTCCTGTAAGGGTGGCCAATAGTTTGATGTTTTCATACCATTCTTCCCAGCAATTCTGGCCCGCGAGGAAAAGTATGTTGACTGTTACTGGCGTGGTGGTGTGGGCCATGTCCAGCTATTGACTAGTTTTGGGAAGAATTTATAGAAGGTCTGAAATTAAATATCGACGATTTGTAGAAAGGAAATGCTTTCTTGCTTCAATGTTGTTCAGAAGGTAAGTCTGAGCAGGATTCCCCAGGTATTTATTTTTGAGATCCTGCTCCCAGTACATGCAAACAAAACGAAACCAATAAAGACCTTTCACTACCTCCAGGTACCGAGATACACAATTCTAACGGCATGCAAAACAGGAGGATTATCGAAACAAAGTAATTTTTACTATGCTTTCAAACAAATAGCTTCATTGTATACACTTTGATCAAAACTTGTTTGCTTCGAAGAAGCTGGAATGCGACATCAACGAGGCTATCAAATAAAGAGAATAAGCCATACCTGACTGAGAAATGTGAAATTTAACCTGTCGTTTCCGTCATACTCGAAGTGATCACCAGGAGTCACTCCCTTGATAAAGGATCAGACGAAGAGAGACACTAAATACTGTTTAGGTAGAGTTTCCTCAAAACTCTTCTGATGAGTTGCGACCATCAACAAACTCGCATCTGTTGGTTCAACTCAGGCATGAATAAGTCGAGATTGAAAGATGTATCAAAAATCAGCCTGAATCCATGATTGTCTTATCGAGTCTCTATATGAAACGACAAGAGCCTCATAAAGAACATATGTTATGCATGCTATAGTTCTTTATGCTAGCAATTGCCAAGAGTGACTCTCAATCACGATCCAGATCCAGCACGTGATATAGAGTCAGCAAGTCCTGAACGGGTAATACGCGACACTCCCCTTCTTGGCCGGGCCATCGCACGTGGTTGACTGTGGCCAATGGGCATCCACCATTCTATCAAATCAAGTGACTCGCGCCAAGAACGAAAGCACAACGGAGTGCGACAGACAGGGAAGAAATGCTTGTCAATGTTGTCATTACGGTATTCCTGTAACTTATTCACTAACCTTAACCCGGGTGCAGACAAAAATAGACGAGATCGGGAGTCCCCCTGGCCGAAATGCCGATACGTACTGAGATACGCACTAGTACGTCGAGGCTGAACAAGAGAATGACAGGCAGGAAGCGAGTCAGGCCAAGCAGAATTTTAAGATTAGGGCCCTCTTTGGCGCATAAACGTGCACTGACTACTATGAGTACAGCACGCACTATGCAGTCTGGATGCACCTGTACTACGTACTACGTACTGCGTATTATGCACACTGTATGCGATGGGTGCCTGGACGGGCCTTGTAGGCTTTATCCGAGCCAATGGAAATGCTTTACTCTATTGGGGCTCCATATTCCTTGTGTTGTGACTGGGCCGTCGGCTGTCTTGGCAGCATTGGTACAAATTACTTTTGTGGCTCCGTTCCTGGCTAGCGTCCCGTCAAACCGTGGGAAAGGTTTGCCGATAGTGTCCAAGAGGAGCGGATTCTTCCTCTTTGAGAGAGTTTCTGACATTTATTTCCTGTTTAGGGCGTCTGCTCGCTATTTTTCTTTGCGTGGGAGGGAGGGCACACGGGTCTTGTATTTGTAGATACATTCGTATTAATCCACACACGTATTCTTGGGTTGTATCTGTGCTCCAGACTTGAGGGAATAATAAAGACGAGTGAGTGTACAAGCAATTGGGGTGATTCAGTTACTATGTAGTACTATGTACGTAGTACGTACGTATCGACCAGCACGTGGTTCAGTAATAGGAAAGAACCCTGTTGATCCGGTCAGTGCCGTCTTAGCCATACGAACTTGAACTGAGCTAGTACACTTCCGAACCGTCATACGTAGGACGTAGATGCTACCTCAGTCCTGCGCCGCAAAATGCAAGGACAATTTATCCGGCCAGCGACCTAGAAGCAGCCTAGCTGAGGCTCTGTCATGGAACCAACGGGCTCGTCCACCTCTGATTCGCCGCTGATCGGTGGTATCGGTTAGGGCAGCTGAACTGTTCAATCTATCGCGACCAACCCCACCAAAAACTCTACCAACCCTAATTTTACCAACGACACTCCGGCCAATGCCAGCCTAGATGGCTTGGGCGCAGCCAACACCAGCAGCCAATTCGGTCAACCAACAAAGAGGCAACAGCGCCACGGGCGTCAAATTTCCACGGTACGCCAGTCTCGCTACGTCTTGTTGGTTTTCGAAATGGTACGGTGGTATACACTACTGTGTCTGCCTGCAGCGTGCCTGCAGTAGTTGCACAATTCAACAGTCTGGACGCAGCGGAAACCGGTTCAAAGAGAACAATTGGAACGGTACCTGGCACTAGATAAAGCAATTGTTTGTCCGTCCTCAGTCGAAGCCAGGTATGTACTATGTACGTGCGATGAAGTATTAAGTCAGCCGTACTAGTAAATGACATGGATGGAGCTTCAGGTACACTTCTCTAGACCTGGACCCTCTTTGCCTGCTAGTCTTTATAGCCTGCCGTTAACTCGTCGTAAGCGATATTAACTCCCTCCAGGCAATTTCCTAGACTGTTGGCTGGTGCTGGCTGGCACACTTGGCAGTTGCAGTCTCTGTCGTAGACTCGCAGGCACTCGTAGGCACACGTAGCACGTAGTGAGTCGTGACTAGTCGGATATCGGTGAATGCCCCTGTATGACTCTATCACCAGTTTCCCAGACTGGCAACTAGCGTGTGCCTGTCTGTGGTACGCTACTCTGCTTACAGACATACATAGTAGACTGCATCTCTTTTAMCCCGCCACACCCTCTTTCGCTCTCGCTCTCGCTCTCTCTCTCTCGACTTCTTTCCTTCCTCTTCCCTCTCCTCCTCCTTTAGGCTCTCCCCGTCCCTTCAGGCGTCACCCTCATTTCAGCAGACACATTGTCTGCGTCCTTTCGTTGAGCTATCAAGCCTTCGTTTGCTTTCTGGATTTACCAGACTTCCATTCTTTAATTAGGAGGGATTCAAGGAAACAGTATCATTCATTCATTACCAATAATCTGCATTAATTTGAGCACATTCATTTTCAGCGACCATGTCTTCTATTTCTACTGCGGTGACCTATGCTGGTCTTACCTCGGTTGCCACCTACTACGTATGTCCTCTGCTTACCCCGTAAGGCATTGCCATGCTGACAATTACCAGGGCCAAGGAGCATACCAGCCCCGTCTGAGCACATTCTGTGCTGAAACGTCTCTAGACATCATCAACATTGGTTTTGTCAACTACTTTCCCGACGCTGGACTAGCTGGATGGCCCGCGACAAACTTTGGTAACCAGTGCGACGGTACTGTCTACACGCACAACGGCGAAACCACTGGTTTGCTCGCAAACTGTCATCAGATCGTCGAAGATATCCCTATCTGTCAAGCCGCTGGAAAGAAGATTTTCCTTTCTCTAGGCGGAGCTGGCCCCGCGATAGGTCAAGTTATTGTATCCGAGGAGTCTGCCGTGGCATTTTCTGAGTGGCTCTGGGGTGCCTTTGGTCCTCACGATTCCCCGTATGCAACTATCGATGTTCCTCGTCCATTCGACGATGTGGTTGTTGATGGTTTCGATTTTGATATTGAGTTCGGGGTTGACTTTGGTATATACCTCGCTGATTCTGCTTTTAACTTGTCCTCGACTAATTACAGCAGGTTACGGATACATGGCAAACCGTTTCAAGGAGCTCTACAACGAATACACTGAGCAAAAGTCTACATCGAGGAAATGGTTCTTGAGTGCCGCACCACAGTGTTCAATTCCTGATGCCCACCTTTCCAACGCTATTCACTACGCGCCCTTTGATTACATTTGGGTTCAATTCTACAACAGTGATCCTTGTTCTGCCGCCAACTACGTGAACGGCGGTGATGGGTTCAACTTTGATGAGTGGGTAGACGTCATCGAAGCCAGTGCCAACCCCAATGCCAAACTATACGTTGGTTTGCCTGCTGAGGACACAGAGGCCGTGGCTGGCTATTATGTTGGCGCGTTCAGTGTGGAACCTTTGATCAATGAGTACATGAACAAATACCCATCTACATTCGGTGGTGTTATGTTGTGGGAAGCTACCGGTTCCCTGAACAACACTACTCCTGATGGCAACACCTACGCAGACAACATCAAGAAGGTCCTTGGCAACTGTGCTACAACCATCGCGCCGTCGCCCCCTCCTCATACTCCTACTCCTTCACCAACCTCGGCCGCTACTTCGGCTGCTACCACAGCTGCTACCTCTTCCAGCTCCTCGTCCAGCTCCTCGTCCAGCTCCTCGTCCAGCTCTTCCAGCTCTTCGTCCAGCTCTTCGTCCAGCTCTTCCAGCTCGTCTGTCGTGACCCCGACCCCGACACCTACGCCAACCTCGGCCGCTACCACAGCTGCTACCTCTTCCAGCTCTTCGTCCAGCTCTTCGTCCAGCTCTTCTTCGAGCTCGTCTATCGTGACCCCAACCCCGACACCTACGCCAACCCCATCAGGAAGCTCTTCATCTTCCTCTTCTTCTTCGTCGTCGTCGTCGGCCGCCATTTCCAGCTCGGCTCCGACCTCCACTCCCACGACGACACCCAGCCCAGTAGCAAGCTCCTCTGCCGTGGTTATCCCAAGCTCTGCCGCCGTCTCCAGCTCTGCCTCAAGCTCAGCTGCTTCCTCATCTAGCGCTGTGGCCAGTTCCAGCTCTTCTGCGGTTATCCAGTCATCATCTCCAGCTGTCTCCGGTAGCTCAAGCGTTGTCCCCGCTGCTTCCTCTTCTGCTGTCGTACCGGCCACTACTCCGTCTCCATCTTCTCCGGCTGTAGTTAGCACTCCTTCCTCTTCTCCTGTCCGTTCCACAAAACCTTGCACCAAGAAGACCCCAACTCCTTCGTCAACAGCGGCTATCAGCAAATCTTCCTCTTCTTCTGTTCATTCCACGAAGCCTTGCACTAAGAAGACTCCAACTCCTTCGTCAACAGCGGTTGTTAGCACTCATTCTGGCAGCTCATCCACTAAGAAGCCATGCACCAAGTCCTCTTCTCACATTACAGTGCCATCTTCCTCTGCTGTCGTGAGCCCAACCCGTACACGCAGCTGCTCTTCTAAGTCTTCATCAACTGCTGTTCCTCCTAACGGTGGATCCACCAGCACCGGAAGCACCACTGCATCAACCTCTGGATCCGGCTCTCCTTCTGGCACTGGAGCCACAACCGTCGGAACGTCTACTGGATCTGTCGGAGGCTCTACAGGTGTTTCTAGCACCGGCTCGGTTACTGAGACAACTCCCGCATCTGTCGGACCTACTGGAACTGCCTCTGGATCTGTTACTTCCGGTGTCTCTGCCCCCGCTACCACCGGCCCCGTCACTGGTACTTCCACCGCTGTCGCTACATCCACTGGCACCGAGTCCTGGACCACCACTGTCGTGACAACTTCCTACGTCTACGTCTGCCCTACTGGTCTCGCTACCAGCACCATTACCATCACTGAGTCATACTGCCCTTGCACAGCAACAGCCGGTGCACCCACCGCTTTGCCCACTGGCTGGACAACCACCACCGCCGTCTGCACAGTCTGCGGTCCTCAGCCTACAACCGTGACCCTGACTCTGCCACCTGCAGTCAGTGCCACTTCCACTGCTCTTCCCGGAGCTAACCCAGGTTCCCTTCCTGGCTCTGGCTCCTCCAAGCCCAACGGTAATGGCAACGGATCAAACCCCAACACTGGTTCCGAGACTGGTCCTGCCCCTGGCTCTGGCTCTTCGCCTGCCGAGTCTAGCGGCAAGCCCGGCTCCGGCTCTGCTCCCGGCAATGGTGCTCAACCTTCGTCTACCAGCACCGTCGTCCCCGGCGCTGGTGCCATCGGCAACTCTGGCCCATCTGCATCAAGCAGCACTGCCACCACGATCACCGTCCGACCCAGCTCCTCATCTTTCCCCAAACCCAGCGGCACTCAAACCGGTGTCAGCCCCGCCTTCACCGGCGCAGCTGGACGCGCAAGCCTCAGCCCTATTGTCGGCGGCGTCATTCTTGTCGCCTCCTTGTTTGCTCTTCTTTAAAAGGATGATTGATTGATTTAGTTTTTCGATGTGCGTCGGTCTTAGAGGACATCTTAATATCAACGATATGTTTGCAATTAATTCCATGTACAATTCTTTCTTCATGTTTTACCATCCTTTTCAGGATATTTCTTACGACCATTTTTTTCTCTTCTTCCTCGCCTTCTCCCAAGGTTTTCCAGTCATCGTGTACCTTACTACAAGATCTTCGATTGTATGTATAGACAAGTTTTACGTGACTGCTTGCTTTTAATTCGATTCGTGTGCAACATATCAATAATGAATGACATGATTAATATTCATTAGACCGTGAAGTTCTTAAAGAGTCCTAAATTAGAGGAAAGATGGTGATTAAGTACATCCTAGGAAGAAAGGAGAGGGTCTAGCCCTACATCCCTACCTTAACCCTAGACAAGTTCGATCAGGTCAACATTCAGGATTATCCATAATAAGACGAACGAACAACGTCATCGAGGGAACCCTATAATCCTCTTCATCTTCTTATTACTCAGTTGTACACACTGTAGTAGATCCCTTGACCTTGGACAGACTGCAGAGAAGCGCTCGTGCCGACCATCATATGCAAGCCCCTGGATAACTCGCCATGCACGAGACTCACACAACCGACCTCCTAGACACGATAAAACGAGCATTAAATACCTACCGATAGCTATGCATCTACTATCGCCATAAACCCGATGGGTCGCGCCGAGTCTGAGGAGTCATTGTGCACGCGCCCCTTCACACTGCGGAATTTGAGAGCATACACGACCGAGACATTCTTCACCACTCCCGCCGACAGCACGAAAAATCCCCGACCCCTTTAAACTACCTATGAATGGATTTATTAAGTTGTTTAAAATGCAAATGAATCGAGGCACACCCGCCACTAAAAGATGATGCATTCCCCGCCCTTTGTATTTACCGTCATCCATTCTAGCCAGCCGCGTTAAGTGGTTTTTGACGCGTTTTAGCCCTAAGTATCGTCGTTTATATGGGAAATGCGCCCCCTCTTCTTGCTACTTTACAAAACTGATCGCTTATATTGCTGAACTTAACTACTCGATAATTTAACAAGATAGGCAATTTGTGTGATCGCCAATGATTCTGACTGGCGAGAACTGCTAGTAGAGCTGTCGTATACCAACCAGCAACGTCTTGACCATTTCATAACCATGAGCACCATGTTCGGTCCCTCGATAACCACAAACAGAAGCCGACAGGCATGGATCCGTGCAGTTATATTCGTCGGCCTATATCTCATCCTTTCACTATCATTCACGCAATGCGCGCTTGTCCTGTATTTGTACGGCACTGCTCAAGTCGATGGGTTGATGACGCCTGGTTTGATTATTGGATTGATCGCTGTACGTTCTCTCTTTTATACTACCTTTGGGGTATTATTATAATACTGATTTTCAGCTGCGTAGGCATTCCTCTCAGTCCCTTTCGTGGTCATACACACTATCCTCTCATGGCAATATCGACGGGCGCCCGGATTGAACATGCCGCGCAATGCGCTGCATATGGCCTGCTCACATCTCCCTCGCGTAATGGTAGCGATGTGGCTCGCTGCATCAGTTGCGGGTTTGGTGGTCGTGTCCAAGCAGGCGACGTGTGTTGCGTCAACGGCGACGCAGCAGTATTGGAAGGCAGGGTTGAGTTGTCAGATCCATAGGGTGACTGTTATTTTGGAAATTTTGGCATTGTAAGTCACCTCTTCTCTTGAGCTATCGAACGAATTTTCACTGACTTCAGGTAGTATAACCACATCAGCTCTGTTCTTCTGCTTCCAAGTCTGCGAACGCCCCTACGACTCCTCCCTCCTCGGCCTGTACGCCCCCCAACGCCCTCCCCGAGACGGCAGCATCTTCTCTGAATCAAGCTGGGAAAGCGAAACCCTCAAGAACGAAATCCTCTACCTCTGTCGGCATCCGGATGCTGGTCCCGGAAACGGGGAACTGTACTGGTCACCAAATGATAGTTCTTTGTTCGAGACGCCCGTTCGACCACCTAGTATTCGATATCCCGGGCCCACGAGAGTCAAGCCGCAATTACACCTAAACACGCACACGAATTCGATCAGGCCTTCGATTATTGCTGCAACGTCCGTGAGGACGGATACGTCACCCAAAGTGTCACCTGTTGATCAGACAGCAGCTCGATCTATCAGTTTGAGAAGTGACATTTCCCCTCTATCGAGAAATCCGTCACTCACTTCGACTCTACAACCTGGTACAGAGGCTGCATTGACCAAACCCTCGGTAGTGCCGCCGGTACCCAAGATTCCTGATATCCCTGAAATCTCAGTACCGTCCAAGGTTAAGACGAAACATGCAAGGCAAAAGTCGTCGGTCTCGAGTCGAAAGTTTCTGCCGAAGGATTGGTTGTCGCAGCCTCTGTCGGAGGATCCGCAGATTCGTGCGCTTGCGTCGCCACCGGGGTCGCCAGAGATCGAGGCTGTTTTTCCATCTAAGGATGAGGTGAATGATAAGAATGATGATTCGGGAAGTGCTGGTTTGATACCGAATCTTCCTTCGCCGCCAGCACCAACCGCATCGCCGGCCGGCAGGAAATCATCCGATGACGCTCGGTCTGGCTCAAGCAATAGTAACGGTACTGGCATACAGACGAGACGTCGATCAATGACCGCGCCTGGAAATCCACCTCCTGTCCTCCCTCCTGTGCCTTTGATGGTGCGCAAGTCGCGGACATCATATATCAATCCGAACCCAAGGTCAATACATCATCCCCATCACCCAAATTTTGTACCTGCAACAACAATCACACCCAAGACCTCGCCAGATGCAATCCAAAAACCACCAGCAGCCAGGCCCAGTCTAGCTCCCGTGAGTAAAAGTATTCAAAATATCAATAATAATAAACAGCCTCTCCAAAGACACAAATCAACATCAACATCTACCCGTCTCCCGCCCCATCGCCAACTGAGCATGGGCCATCATCCACCTACACGCTTCCCACCGACACAACCCTCATTAGCAGCCCACGGCTCTATCAAGGATCTACAACGAGCCCGCTCATCATCTTCATCCTATCGAAACAACCAGCAGTTCCCTCGGCGAACGCCGTCTCACAACCAGCGCTTACAACAACCACACTATCAACATTATCTAAACCATTACCAACACCATAATCAGCACAACATGATGCATGCCCCGGCACAAACACCACAACACCCGCTAAGACCAACATATACTCGCCGTTTCCACTCCAATGACGGCCGCGGCTTCGACCCAGCACATACGCTACCACCCATCCCACGCAGCGATGACACGGCGACTCTGTATCCGAGTACCCGACGACCACGCAGTTCGATTTATGGCGGTATTCCGAATGTTGCTACAACTTCCAATAGCAGCAGCAGCAGCAACCCACACGAAGCAATAGGTGTAAGACGCATGTCCCTGAGTCTGGCGGATGGAGGCGTTGCGCTAGAAGGGGATAGGGAGATTGTGGAGAGGAGAAATACGTATAGAGGCGCTGAGAGAACGAGTTTTTGTGCGCCAGCGGTGGGTGGTGTGGTGCTGGGATGATGAGAGGAGAGGATGGATGATGTATGAGATTGATGATGTTCATGCTCTGTTTTTTCTTCGGATTGTATGATAGGCGATTGTGTATGCATCAGTTTGCGGTTTGTTTGGCGGGTACCTTCTATTTATATTTTGTATAATATAGCTGTTGTCGAAAATTGTACGTGAAATAAAATGAAAAGAATGAAAAGAAAATAATGTCATTATCATCAATTAAGCTACCATAACGCCAAAGAGCGAGAACCGGGAAATGTAAACACTTGCAAACAACAAAGACCGATATCCATCCCATCCACAATCCTCTGAATGATGCTTTACAAGAAAAACACAAATAAACAAGACTATACTCTACTCCACGGTACTATGCAGATCACATATGAAAACAATGAACGACCGTCGAAGACCAAATCAAGATCGCACGACATACTTGTACCGATACCCCTGCCTGGCTTTCTTCTCCTCCGAACCAGACCCCTCCCCGGTCGCACCACCACCAGCATTATCACGACTCTTCGTCCTTTCAGAAGAAGAAGGTTTACCAACCTCCTTCTCGCCCCAAGCCCACATCAGCGCTTTACCCATTTTATCCCTCTCCTTGAGCAACAACTCTGTCCTGCGCTCCCACTCGCGTTCTCGTTTCTCGATCGATTTGGCAATCATTTTATCCATTTCGGCGGATGTTTCTTCTTTAAGAGCGAGGGTTGATTGTAGATCCTCAATTTCTGACCTCAGAGAGAGGATTTCGTTTGATTGGATGGCTGTTGTTGATTGGGTTTCGAGGAGTTGGTTGTGTAGCTGGGTTGCGCGCTTTTCGGAGGTGGAGAGCATGGCGCGCAGGTGCTGGATTGTGTCGTTGTAGGAGGCGCGGAGGTCGTTGATAGAGGTCGTGTTTATTTCGCGTAGATTCTGGATTTCAAGGCGGTGGGCTTCGCGGAGTTCATTTGTCCTATCCGGAGCGCTGGCGCTTGGTTGCGCTGGAGTTTGTTGAATAGTAGTGGAAATCGTTTCAAGTCGATGTTGCTCCTTCAGACGGTCTACTTCCTCGCGGGTTTTGGCGAGGTTGGAGCTGAGCTCTTGTACCCGTGCTGTCAATCGAGTGTTTTCTCCTTCTATTGTTGTGATAAGACTGCGAGTTTCAGCGAGTAGATCCTTTGATCGATGCCATTCGGTCTCGGCGACTTCCTTCTCGCTAATGGATCTTTGCAGTGCAGATTGCGCTTGGTCTAGTTTGTTCCGAAGTTCTTCTTCTACATGAGATTTTCCATTGCCGTGACTAGATTCTTTCAATTCTTCCAATTGCTGTTGAAGACTTTGGATAACTTCGTTATAGTCCTTGCCTTGGACCTCAATGGACAAGTCAACTGCCATCGTCAAGACGGCGTTTCTCTGCGAAGCGAGCTCGGCTCTCACACCGCTCAACTCTTTTTCGAGCATGATATTTTTCTCCTCGAGAGGACTGTTGCGCGTCTCCAGAGACTCGATCCTCTCTTTGAAGATATCAAACTGTCGCTGAACTTCCGCCATTTCCTCGTCAGCATCTGCAATCTGTATTTCCTTTTCATCAATCTGCGCTTTGAGGTCTTCAATCTCAGAGTTCTTCTGACGCAATTGAAGCTCAATGTTCGCAGTCAGCTCGCGTAGCTTTGTGCCACTATCTTCCAAAGCTTCGTCTCGTTTTTCCAACTGCTCTCGTGCATCCTTCAGTTCCTTCTGGAGTTTTGCGATTTCTTTTGCATCATCCTCGCTAGTTGTACCCTTCTCGTCGGTCTTTAGCTGCAAAGCTTGGAGCTGTTCTCGTAGCACATCCTCCTCGCCCAATCTGCCGTTAGCCTCTGACAACAAAGAATCCTTGAGCTGCAGTTCAGCCCGGAGGTTCTCAATCTCTTCTCTCGCAGATGCCAGTTGCTTCTGGTTCTCTTCGATCTTTTCATCCCGCTCCCGCCGCTGCTCATGCAAATCCTCAATCTCTCGTAGCACAGTCGTAAAAGTCCGGCTCTCTTCCATGCCACTTTCCTTCCCGTTCTTGGAAGGACTATCATCCTTCTCAGGAGAGCTAGGCAGGCTTTCTTCAATGTCTTCCAATTCTAAGCGTGTCTCCTCTTTTGCCGAACCATAATTCTTCCTCCACATCAGGTGCGACGGTGTGGAAATGTCTACCGGCGGGCCGAATTCGCTTTCTTCGCCTTCCTCTTGGTTCTGACTATGGTGATGTCGGGCCCGCGGCGACGGCGACGGCGAATACTCCGGGAGTGCGTCTTCTTCTGAGTCTGATTCATCTTCGTCTTGCTGCTTTCTGTCTTCTGGAGACGCCGTTCCATTTAAATACTTTTCCAAGTTCATAGTGAAATCTTCCGGTCCGCCAAATTCAGGTCCCTGATTTTCATCTTCAAATATGTCCTCGATATTTTCTTTGCTTCCTCCGGGAAACTTGTCAAAGTCGACGGCGTATTGTGAGAGTCGTCTGTCGAGATCAAATGTGGCGACGTCATTCGACGCAGACGTTAACTGGTTGTTCTGTCCATTGTTTCCATGATTGTTGTCTGTGTTACGGCGCGATTGAGGTGACGGCGACGGTGGTGAGGATGGTACCTGAACTGGAGAACTCAGTGTTGATGCGCCGATTGTGTCGTGTGTGGTAGGGAACGGCGACGTGTGGATAGGCATATTTGCGAGGTCGACTCGAGGAGTCTGTGAACCTTGAACGCGTTCAATTGCAGCCGTCGTCTCTCTTCAATTTTCATCGATATTAGATTGGAGGGGCTCCTAGGAAATCGCGTGTTGACTTGACGCGAAAGATGATGGGCAACGTTGATTGGATCAATCGGCCATTAGATAAGAAATGGAGATGTTTATAATGCTCCAGATCGGGTGTAGCGCAGCCGTGCCAGCGATCAAGCAGTAACAGAACCCAACTGTGACTAACTATTGACAAAGCTCTGCGAAAATACCTCGATGATACAACTAAAAAGTTTGGTGCGAAAACGACCTCTTTTTATGAGAAGCAAAAAGCAAAAAAGAAAATATAAGAATATGACATCTGCTCTTACTCGGGATCGAACCGAGGACCTTGTCATTACTAGTGACACGCTCTACCACTGAGCCATAAGAGCTGATTGGTATGGATCGCAGAATATTAAAATATAATCCAATAACATAGCTGAGCACGCCTGTGATTTTTCCGTCTAAGGACAAATTAAGTGCTGATATTTGTATGGGTTTACTAGTGGTACAAAGTCAGTTTCGCTTGGATATACCTAACAGCAGGAGAATTTTACTTAGGCCATGGCGGAACATTTCAACAAATGTCATGAGGCCAATCGTTAAAGGTCAACTCTACCCCTTTCTGTCCCTGTCTACATCTGGGTCAGAAGTAACAAGTAATACGGGTTTCATTATCAGTTGGAAACGTTTCCACACATAAAATTTGGACTTAGTGCCTTCCAGAAACTCCCAGGGCTCACGAATTCTTCCTGCAGCTGAGGAGAAAGATTATCTACCGAGGATATGACTTGAATTACTTCAGAGATGATAAAGGAATAATGAAATGAAACAGCTATTGCGACTTTAGTCTTGTGTATATAAATACCTCTCTTGTTATATTGGAAGTTTCAACTGATAATCTTCCTCTTTAAACTTCATCAATTTCATCATCTCAGTTATTCAACGCCTCTTTGTCTGAACTTTGAGACGAAAAGTACAGTTTCGGAAATCGAACTCGATCCGATGGCAGAGATACTACAGACCCAGCGATCAGGAGTCACCCTACCAATATTTGGAACGCTCACCCGTTCTTCAGCAGATAAAAACGTACCGAAAACTCCTCATCATCGAACAGTTTCAAAAAATACCAATTGTCATCAGCATGGGGCATCAGGCACAAGTTCAAATCGACCAGATTCTTGGCCGAGTTCGCACATTGGATGACCTTTCCACTGAAGATGTTATTGAGCTAAGACATATCTCTGAGCATTCTCTTATGCTTGATAAGTTCAAGGTTTCCCCTACAGAGTATTGTAAATGGCTCGAAAAAGTCGGTGATGACATTCGTGGTGTTGAGTATGATGCACAGAATGCATGTATTGTCTTGAAAGGATGCCCAAGCTGGATGCATGAAGCTGCCGTTGGTATCGTATACGAACTACTTTTGCCTCTGCAAGATAAAATGAGTGCAGCTATGCCTCAGACTACACCTTGATCGGTAGCAAAAGTGAGTATAATCTTAACCCTCTCTACTGCTTATCTGTGCAGAAAACTAAATTGGCCCTAGGATGTAAATTTGTTGGCGAATTCAGCCACTCTTCTAAGAACCAGATGCGTCTATCAAGAAGTCCAGAGACAAATGGTCAGTTGTGGTTCTCGAGGTTGGCATTAGTGAAACTACAACAAAGCTCTACAATGATGCAAAACGATGGTTGAAAGGCAGCAGTGGTCAAACCAAACTTGTGATACTCGTCGATGTTCAAGAGAAAGAAAGGCGGAATACTTCAAATGACAAGTGGGAGCTATCTAAAATCGACTTCCAACACTCTAATCATGATACACTCTCTCATAAGATACTTCAATGGTATCAATCTAGGGAAATTCGGCTTGTCGGCAGCTTCGAGCTATCTGTACACTTATTGTACAGTGACGGTGACAGTCAATGTATCCTGGAGAAGGCTGCGTTTCCCCCAAAAATTTGATCTATTTAACGACCATCCAGGATGTTCCTTTGAGATTAGACTATCTCATACCTGATGGAAGTGATCTTGATATGAGCCAGCCTCTTTTATTTTCATTGCAACGTTTGGTCTATACACTGCAAAACGGCTTTGAAGACATCGAGAGCGACAGGGCAGACGACTTGGCCGATAATGAGCTTGAAAAACATTTTTCATCGTGAAGAGATACTATTCTAGGAATATCGGCGCTTAGCCTGTTAAAATTTAGAATAAATATCTTAAAAATTGGAAGTGATCTGTCTTTGTAATCAACTGTATAACTCTGTAAGTGACGTTACCAAAAAAGGAGTATTTTGATATTAGCTAGGTATGCCCATCTACAGAGAATATTAAGCACGGGAGAGAAAGAAGAAGAAAACGAGAAGTGCTAAACATGTCTTCACTGTGAAAGTGAAGCTGGAAACCTATATGCTGATCGAATACTAATGGATCGAGGTTGTAGCGTTGTCTTGCAAGACATATGGACCAACCGCTCTGCATTGTGTCAGAAAAAAATCACCTTGATGCCGTACGACTCACATTGATAGAACGTCCCCAGCAGCCACTGGGAGAGTGCCATCAAACTCCAAGCCTTCTTGTCGCCACTGGACCCAGCAATTTTGGGTGACTTGTCCTTTCAAACTAAACCAAGTAACAGAATGTTCTATTGACTACCAGTTCCTCACGCAATTGTTCTGGTCAGATTGCAGGCCCTCCTCTATTACTGGGTAGGGTTGCTTCCCTTTTCTTTGCCACTCATGTGGACTTGCAAACATAGCAGAGTTCATCTCACATAACTCATGGCTTTACTGAATTATTTGTTAAAGTTAGGATGAAAGATTGAGCTAACCAATTAGAATATATAAAGAGCTCATGAAATATAAGTAGAAAGTAGGCATATGAACATCTATAAACATGACATCTCATCTCCATACTCACACAATAATGTCTTCATAATCTTCTAGAGAGCTTGGCCCCTTACGCGGTCTCCCCCTCTTCCGACCTCCTTAATCAGCAACCTTTCCTTCCTTCGAGGAATAACGTGAAGCTCGTCCGCCTTTCGATGATATCTCGCGCTAATCAGTAAGAACGCATGAGTCGTTAGTCGAATTCTTAACACATCACTGCAAGTCCACGTCTCACAATATCATGTCTACTTTGGAGTCACCCCAAAGGAAACAGGTCGCGACGCTTACCTGCTTCTCGGGATCCATGTCGTGAAAGCCACCGACCCCAGTAGCTCGGCCTCCTTTCTGGCCTATTTCTCTGAGCTCTTCTTTGGAGCGATTTGCAAAGTTGCCTGGGTTGGAATGAGCAGCTCGCGTTGTCTGTGTAGACGTTGCGTAGTCTCTGAAGCCCAGGCTAGAGGACGTGCGGAGCGGATTCAGAGACCATGGAAAGAATGATTGTGGTCTGATAGTAGTTCCTTTCCAGGGCGAGAAGTGCTGCGCACGGCGCGCAAAGATTTGGCGGCTACCGGACATTGTGCAATATACGAGACGGTCAGCCCTATACAGCAGGAAATTAAATGCTGAATTTAATGAGCAGAGTTCAAGATTCCGGAATGATAGATTCTTTGTGGCGTATTATACTGTGGCCACTCTGCGGTCATACTTTCATCAGCTCCAATTGATATCGCGGAACCATCTCTACCAGAACCCTTGGAAGCATATAACACCTCCAATGAGGTCATGAACCAAAAATCTACGCATATCCGTTGGAATGAGCCGTATGTCAACAGCACAGTAATTACATCTGCGTTAGCTGCCTCGTTGAACCCTAGCATAGCCTAACCCTAAGGATCTGAACAGCAATTACTTCTTCATTTCAAAACATCGAACAGTACATTTACATGATTTGTTGAACTAATAAATACATAATTATAGCAATGGGACACTGACCCTGCCATGAGTTGGTATCTACTTGTCCGCTTGAGGATATTGCTTATACTTGATGCGATGAGTAGGTAAATTTTTCTCCTCCACCCAGTCGAGTACAGGCGTATCACGGTGCAGAGCCCTTGATTGCAATACCCAATCGACCTGTCCAAGACTGACATACGGCATAATCCAGAGCGCAATCATCCTTTGTAACCATCCCGGCCAAACGACAGCACGAATACGCCTCGCAGATACCTTGTATGTCTTCTGTGTAAAATCGGCTCTGTCCGCGTGGTACTGCTTAAAGATTTTGTTCAGAGCTTCGGTCGTCGGCGAAGGGTCAGATTTGAGGAGTTGGCGCAGATGATTCACGAGGACAACCACGTCAATGAACCCGCTATTGTAACCCCAGCCGGCATTAGGGGTGACTTTGCGGATAGCATCGCCAGCTAACACAATGCGATCCGAGTACCATTTATCCACCAATCCTTCTTCCAAATTGATCAACCCGGTGTCCTTCATCCTGTGCTCGTAAATGTCACGAAGTCGGTAGCCCGGAGCCACGAACAAATGGCCCCATTTGTCCAATAATTCCTGTTGATCCTTTTCGGTATATCGAACGTGGTCAGAGCTTGGTGTATCGAGCTGTTCATATACATTGAACCACATCCTTTTACTTCCCACTAGAAGTTGTGTGGAAACTTTATCGCTGAGTCCTTCGTAATTCAAGCCCGCTTCGACGCCCGGGAGTTTGGGTACATCCCCGAAAAAGTTTCTGTGTGAAGCGATGTACGGGTTCTTCTCCTTTTCGGTTGTTGTTTCACCTTTATCAAGCATTGTCATAATCTGTCTGACTCTGCTCCTGACTCCGTCGGTGCCCAGCACTATAGATCCTCTTTCCACATGGCCATCCTGACATGTGACTTCGACACCGTCAGGAAGCACCTTGATATCCGTGACACGTTTTTGTAATAGTATACGACTTCTCGCGTCTTCGGGCAGGGAATCGTAAAGAGCTTTCGCAATATCGGCACGATGTCCCATCACTACAGGATGGCCGCAACTACCGCAATCAGCACTGATGAAAAAACAAAAAGAATAAAAATAGAACACCTACTCAGCCTGCACTAACTCAAAAAACGCAGTCTCATCTCGAATTGTTTTAACTGTATCTGCCGTAAAGAAATGTAGCCGATGTACAACGTCGCAGTACTCTTTGAAAGTGTCTAATAACCCAAGCTGGTCTATCACTCGCAGTGTAGAAGGCATTATTGATAGCAGCGAACCCAAGTAAGGCGTGACGTTGTCGTGCTGCTCTAGGATCACATAGTCAATACCGGCCTTGGAGAGAATGTGAGCTGTGGTTAGACCAACTAGACCACCGCCGGCGACGATTATACGGAACCCCATTTTGGAGTATGGTATCAAGGCGCTGGGAAAGAGCAGTGTTGATTTTGGACAGGTACTTGAGTGATAGGTGAAATGATCATGCGCAGTGATATCCAATATATAAAGGAATTGAGACCGAACGCCTCGCTAGATCCCATCAATCTCTAATATCATAGCTGAAGATGCGCCACTTTTTGATTTAAACTATAAATAGCTGCCATACGGTCTGACGAGTGAGAATGTCTATGCTCATGTATTAAGCAGTTCTAGACAGTGATTTAGGCAAGGGGGCAGTTCATGACTCTTGGAATAAATGGACTTTGCTTCTAGATATGACTTTCTTACAAGTCTTATTATTGGATGGTGCGAGTTGTAATCTGATCACCGTATGGGTGCACCAATGGGACCCATCCGGTTCATAGACTATCGCATTTATTTCCCTTTTGGGGCGAAGGCTACAAATAGGTATCCGATGGCGTGAACGCCATTATGATTATTTGCAAGCGTATGCCGTTGTCATAGTAGTACAACCTTTGTGCTGGATTGTTAGTTGTATCCGCCTTTATTGCAGGTTTGTAATGATATGAATATAGCTCTGTGTGATTTCAAATTGCTTTGATCCGGTTGCTTCGTATAGGGATTTCATGGAGCTGTTATCATTAGAAAGGAGGGCTGGAGGTAATCTCATGTTCCTTTTAGGCGAAAAAAGGTAGTGTCTCCTGCCGGGGATACGAAATTTAGTCGGACAAGCTAAAATCTTACCTCCTACTAAAACTTCCTTCCTCAGCAAATGCTCTCAGCACTGGTAATTCAAAATCTGGAAATTGGGATACAGGAACAGTACACAAGACCAGTCAGCAGCATTCGTGAAACTTCATTCCTGGGAACAATGCAATTATTCTTTCATGCGAAAATTGCTTAAGTTAAGGCTGAAGCTGTGCCTACGCATCAAGATAAAGTGAAGCCAAGCCTTTCTCAGCCCCGGATGGCGATGTCTTCGGTCACGATCCGATTGGGCGGACCTTACGGTGTCGATTAGTACTTCATTTTCAGCCGTACTTCAGAATTCCGACCTTATGAACAACGACTATCACTGTTGGATATCCGAAATCATCCAAGAACCTAGGCAACCCAATATGACTAAGCCCCAACTGCCGCGCCGAAGGGCGTACAAGCCCAAGGTCCAAACCGGTAAGTCCAATTTGTCCGCCGTACGACGGCCACTGATCCACTAACATGCGCGTAAGGCTGTATTCAGTGTAAAGGAGTTAGAATGAAATGTCCTGAGCAGCGACCAGCGTGCGCTCGCTGTCAGCGCTTGGGACTCGACTGCTGCTATCTGCCGCCCAAATCCATGCAGGCTGCTCGCAATGGTCGGAATCAAAAGCGTGCAAGCATGCGGCAGTTACTCCCTGCCACAGCATCCAGGATAGACATGCTACCGTCTTCATCGATTCTATCCCGGTGCAATCTGCAGCCAGGCGGAGGCATGTACCTCGAATGTTTCCGCGCGCAATTGGCCCTCATGGATCAAGATCTCGACATGACCGACTTCTGGCTCCACACCGTGCTCCGGGCCAGTCATAGCGATGACAGCGTCACATATGCCGTGATCGCAATCGGGGCCCTTGCACGCACGCGCATGCATTCAAACAGACCTATCTTCCGTAATCCGAATCCGCCCAATCAGGACGAGATGACACATTATAACACCGCTGTCATGTACTATAACAAAGCCATCAGCACTTTCCGCAGATATATCGCCAGCTCCAAACCGGACGATGCGGGTGTTCGTCGGACTATACTTATCATAACTGTCCTTTTTGTTGTATTTGAGATCTTCCACGGTAACAATCGAGCCGCTGACGCGCTGACAAGTACCGGCATTCTTCTCCTCAGGGATAAGATGCTGCATACTGTAACCACCAGTGGAAGTGCATCAAAGTCATCCCTAGCGGGCTCCATTGATGACCAAGGTATCATCGAAGCCGAGCTTTTCTTGGCCCGATGCGCCGCTATTTGTGCAAAGGCGTTCTACCTCGCTCCATACGCGCATGCGGACGGCGCGAAGGCCATGTTGATGATTCCAAGCACTGACCTGAATGTGCCGCCGCCGCCGGACGGCGATGCTAGTATCAAGACATTCTCATTTCAATTTCTCAATCTGCTGGCTGCTATCCTCATTTGGCATACACGTGCTCGAGCGCATCGACAAATGGGCATTCCGGTCGATAGCCACCCGGAACTCTTACAGCAACAGAAAAAACTCCAGATCCAGCTGCGGGAGTGGGTAAAGTCATACGAAACGCAGCTGAAAATGGGACATAAAAGCAACATCCTTCACTACTTTGAGCGGCAGCTCCTTCTTACCAAGCTGGCGCATGTTATCGTCTCATGTGAGATCGATTACACGGGGAACCTCTGGGACGTCATGGCGCCCGACTGCGCTGAGCTCACAGCCAAGTTCCGAGCTCACCTAAGTGCTGAGCTTGATGACCAATCAATTCCCGATGGCTCCTTGATCTCTTTAGAGAATACTTTTTCGTGGGGAATCTTCCTCACAGCCGCTACGAATCTATCTGCGTCATGCCGCGATCGAAGCGTGCGACTTGCCTGGATAGACATGGCCGAAAAGGCTACCAATTTGTCCTTTCTCAAACATCTACGTGGCAACGTTATTGCTACCGCTTTATTTATTAGAGCAGAGGAAGAGGGCAGGGATGAGACAGGCGTGATTCCACCATCTTCACGGTACGATCTAGATACCGCCACTGTAAGTCGCCCAGTTCAGCTACTGTGTCACACTGAATGCTAACACTTCATAGTGGAACGAAGACTCGGGACAGGTATGTCTCAGGCTAGTAGCGAAAGTGGCGGACGATGATGGAAGGCGCAAGACCAAAGAGGTAATATGTAACATAAATTAGGGCACCTACATAACTTACCCTAATATGAACCCTAATTAGATATTGTGGTTTGCACTGCCAAGACATGATGCTTAGTCATCGAAAGATCAAAGTTCAGCTCGTTAACTTCCAGCGCACTACTTGTGCGATGTATATAATACAACTGCAGGCTGGCCAGTGACTGGCAAGAGGGGTACCAAGTAGTTTGCGACCATATGAATTGAAATCACTGTCTTACTGTCTTTGTTGATTCGCCCTCGCTCTTTTGAAGCCAGCCTCAGGTACCCAAGTAACTAGCGAGTCATTTGTGTAACGGCATCCCAAATGCCGCCTCTGCCTCGCGCTGGATTGCCCAGCCAGCAGCGCCGCATAGTGCTTTATCATCAGACAATAGTGCCTCGTGAACGCGGCTATGTGCCCATGTTACCTTTGGTAGAGAATTACACAGGCGCAACACATATCATATTAGCTGCCTTCCACATCAACAGCCGGCCGGGCAACATCACCCTCAATGATGACCCTCCGGACAGCCCCATATATAGTTCGCTGTGGGAGGAAGTGCCTCAAATTCAGCGGACTGGAATTAAAGTGATGGGGATGCTAGGTGGTGCTGCACAGGGTAGCTTCCAGCGGCTGGATGGTCTGCAGGAGGAGTTTGAGGCGTATTACGCGCCGTTGCTAGCGATTGTGCGAAGATATGGCCTTGATGGATTGGATTTGGATGTTGAAGAGGCCATGTCACTGCGGGGGATCGTTAGATTGATTGATCGGCTCAAGGCTGATTTGGGCGATGCGTTCATCATCACTTTGGCGCCCGTTGCGGCTGCTCTGGTGGATCTGGGGAATCTGTCCGGTTTTAGTTATCGGGAATTAGAGCGCAGCAGAGGGTCTAAGATTAGCTGGTATAATGCGCAGTTTTACAATGGATGGGGCCAGGCTGGGGACCCGCGGATATATGCCACTATCATTTCTCGCGGATGGCCACCCAGCAAAGTCCTTTTGGGACTGTTGACGAATCCCGGAAACGGGAGCCAGGGATATGTCGCTTCAGAGGACATTGGGCCTGTGATTGCATTTTTAACGTTGCAGTTTCCTGATTTTGGGGGCGTCATGGGCTGGGAGTATTTCAATGCGTTGCCGGGAGGGTTGGAGCAACCCTGGCAATGGGCTGCTGAGATGTCACTCAGTATGGGGATGGCACAGGTATTGTCAACGGCGCAGATGGTCGCCGGAATGGGTGCGCTGAGAGAAGGATTAATGGGGTTCTTGAGTAATATCCAGAACCAGAACAGACAGCAGTGATCAATGACATTATGAACGAGTTCACGAATTTTCCGCAGTTTTTACTAACTAGTCAACACCTCGTAGTCGGCTCCATGATGGTCTTCATAAATCACCAAAAGAGACATCCGGATAGTGGTAGACACTCATCCTCGTCAATTCGCCGTCAATAATGAGAAGAAATGGATATGGAGTCAATGGGTGGTTGATAAATGGTCTGATGCTGACGTCATCGTTGGCCCGACATTAATCTCGGCGACTACACCCCTTCAACCTCAATCACTGTTCAACACATCACAGATTCTGCTGGCAGAATTACTCTCATCCTTCTTATGTTAGCTATTCTAAATTAATTTTATGATACCAATTCTGTCGCAATGAGCAACTGGCTCACCATCGCAACGGCTCTCAGCTCCGCGCTGATCCGAGTCGCGAGCTTCATTTTCCTTCGATGGGTGCGTCCTATCTTTCCAAGTCTAGAAGAAATGCTAAGATTATATGTATAGATTCCAGGCCATCCATTTCCTCCTGTGATTCTGGCATGTTCCGGAATATATCTATCGTCAACGGTTTTGTTACTGGGGCCGGCTAATGAAGAGCCTGTGGAAGCAACAACAAGTGAGTAGCTCGTGTTCGCTATCACGAACTATAACTGACTTTTTACCAGCCGAAAAGTCTCGCACAAAGCCGCGCAAGCAAAATGGTTCAGACAGTGGCTCCCTTTCAGCACATCTGATAGGCGTGCCATCGAAAAAAAATGTGTTTGCGACAGCGCTCAACATCTTGATAAACCTGGCTTTGACAGGCTTTACGCTTGACTTTCTTTACCGTGGCCGAGTTTTGTATCCTACGGATGAGCTTGCATTTTCTCGAATCGGCTACGTCTCTCCGACGACGGCGAATTTACTGGTCAGAGAACCACACGTCTCCAACTTCCCCGTGACAATCAAATATCAAGAAGCCACACACTCCGACTCGGATTACTGGACTGAAGAAGGCAAAATATACCAACTCAATGCCGCGAAAGATTTCACCTTTCCAGTGACGATCAAAAACCTCAAACCATCAACACAATACCGTTACACCTTGTCAAACAATCAGACGGGCACTTTTATCACTGCTCCACAGTCTGGAACACAGTCAGCAAACAGACTCTCTTTTTTGACTTCGAGCTGTATCAAGCCGAATTTCCCTTACAGCGCTTTCTCACACCCTCTCCGCATATTGGGTCTTGAGCAAATATCGCACGCAATCAAGAAATTACCCTCGCTGCACCGGCCGTCATTCATGCTCTTTCTCGGAGACTTTATCTATATTGACGTGCCGCTTAGACATGGCTCTTCCTTGGAGGAATATCGAGCTGAATACAGACGTGTATACTCCTCCCCAAGCTGGCACGAACCCGCTGATGAACGTCCCATTGATCTGCCCTGGCTCCATACCATGGACGACCATGAAATCGCAAACGACTGGGACAAGGGCAACATGACACATCCTTACCCAGAGGCCGCTGACCCTTTCAATCTGTATCATGTCAGCGTAAACCCGCCCATCCCCCCACTGCCATATGCCGTCCCTGAAAACACGACATACTTCTCCTTCATACAAGGGCCCGCATCTATCTTCATGCTCGACACACGCACATACCGCACAACTCCAAATCTCCCCAACTCCACAATCCTAGGGTATGCACAACTCAACTCTTTGTTAGCATTCATCTCTCGCCCCGAACCCGCAGAAGTAAAATGGAAAATCATCGCGTCTAGCGTGCCATTTACCAAAAACTGGCGAGTCGGTACACAGGATACATGGGGCGGCTTCCTGGACGAGCGCCGCCTCGTTCTCGAAGCACTATGGCGCGCTGAGCGCGAACTCGGCGTTCGCATTGTGCTACTAAGTGGTGACCGGCACGAATTCGGCGCAACTCGTTTTCCAGACCCAAGCTACGAATTAACATCAAACGAGCTGGCATCAGATACAGCAGATGCATATGGAATCCACGAATTCAGCGTCGGCCCCTTGAACATGTTCTATCTCCCCATCCGATCATACCGCCAAACCGACAGCGAGGATATAATGGTCAAATACGTCCCCGACGGAAATGTGAAATTCGGACAGATCGATATTGATCTGTACGATGGTACGGGCGGCGCATCTGACGTCATGCTTGATAATCTTGAAGGACCACACTCGGTACTTACGTATTCTCTGCATGTTGATGATAAGGTAGTGTGGAAGTATCAACTCTCCATCCCCTTGCTGCCTGACGAGATTGGGACTGGTGCAAAGGCGCGATTACCGCCTGGGAAGGTCCTTTTTGATGAGGCACCTTTGCGTGGTTGGGGTTTACAAGAGCAGATCGGTTTTGTTGAAGAGAAGGCGAGGATCGTCTGGGATAGCTTGAAGGAGAGGATTACCCCAGTTTTGAATTAGGAGAGGAAAGAGATGAGGGTTGACTAGATAGAGTTCTTTGGTTTCTAGGGTTATTCGGGTATTGCATTGGATAAAGTGATTGACGTCAATGAGTAATATGTTCTTCAATGACTTGGTACAGGCTATAATTTCATTCGAACGCCAGACTCCAGGTCTCTTCATGCATCATGCCACATAAACAGGTACGAAGTAACTTTGGTAGTAAGTTGAAGCAATAAGATAGATCACCGCCCCCGTCCCCTACCACCACCTCCACCCATTCCGCCCATACCACCACCTCCCATTAACCCGCTCATCTGACTCATCATACTCTGCAAGTCCATGCCTCCAAAATTCGGCATTCCGCCTGCACCTCCTGCACCACCAGCCCCTCCTTGTCCCCCTTGCAACATCTGCATCATCTTCGCCATATCACCCATACCAGGCATACCGCCCGCACCACCAGCGCCGCCCATGGACTGCATCCGTTTCTGCATAGCGGCCATTTGCTGCTCTTTGTTTCCGCCCTTGAGCATGTTTTGTGCACGCTGCATTTGTTTGCGTTGCCCGCCGACGCGTTTGGCCATGCCGGCCATCATGCGGTGTTGTGACAGCAAATCTTCGACTTCGCGGACTGTGGTGCCGCTGCCGCAGGCAACGCGCACAATTCGACTGGGCTGTTCGACGAAAAGTTTGCCGTCGCTGTCGAGTTCGGCGGTCGTCATGCTGTCGAAAAGATAAATCATGCGGCGCAGTTTCATTGTACCATCTTCATCGTCAAGACCGGCAGTGATATTCGACAAGCCGGGGATCATGCCTGATATTTTTGACAGGGGACCCATTTTCATTATCGAGGTGATGTTTTCACGGAAATCGCGGATTGTGTAGATGCCCTCGGAGATGTGTTTGTACGTCTCCTTTGCGCCAGCGGAGTCCTTGGTTATGGCTTKTACATGCTCGACTAATCCAGCCATGTCTCCCATTCCGAGTAACTTCTGGACAAAAGCCTTTGGTTCGAATCGTTCCAGGTCCATCATGTGTTCTCCAGTACCCAAGAAAATAATTGGGGTATGTGTAGCGGCGACTGCAGAGATAGCACCACCTCCGGCAGCATGGCCGTCGGTTTTGGTGATGATGATCGCACCGAAATCTGCCGTTGCCTTGAAGGCTGAAGATTGCGCTTCGGCGGCTTGGCCGATGGTACTATCAAGCACCAAGATAGTTTGATCTGGTCGCACCGCATTTTGGATCTGAGTCATTTCCTCGAATAGATCCTCTTCCTGTTTGTGACGACCACTCGTGTCGACAATGATAATATCGAATCGCTCCTTCTTGAACTGTGCCACMCCCTCCGCCGCCACAACGACGGGATCCGTTTGAGTCAAACTGCCGTAGTATGGAATCTTCGCCTTGATAGCATTCTGCTTCAACTGATCAAAAGCACCAGCACGGAATGTATCCGCGCAGACAAGCGCCGTCTTGAATCCGCGCATCTGATAATGTCTCGCCAATTTGGTACATGTTGTCGTCTTTCCGGCACCTTGTAAACCCACAAACATGATCACATTGACTCTTCCCTTTTTGGGCTTAAAGGGATCCGCATGGGGGTTGACGAGCGCAACTAGCTCATCAAAGACGGCTTTTTGGATAAGGCGTTTCTTATTGACGGCTGAGGGGAGGGAGGAGAAGTTGACGCTGTGTTTGATGGATTTGCGTAGGTTTTGGACGAGGCGGACGTTGACGTCGGCGGATAGAAGAGCAGAGCAGATTTCTTTCAGCATGTCATCGAATGCCTACGAATAGACCGTTAGTTGAGACAACCAATATGACACTGTCAACCATACCTTCTCGTCGAGTGTGCTTGACCTCGTGAGGTCATTCACGGCGGCGTTGATGCGCCGCCCTAGATCTTGAAGGACCATATCTATTTAGTGTATTTTGTCAGATGTCAAGATAGACTGCGCAGAGTAGAATGCGCAATTCAGAATGTCGAGGTTGTCGAGAGTGGGATGAACTAATTGTGGCAAGTCCAGACTGCGGAGGGTCTCCACCAATCGGAGCGAGCTGGTCTCCCGCCTACCATATCGATCGTGAAAAAAAATAGAGCTTCTTCCGCTCATCTCGCAACAGTCAATACCCTCAATACCGACACAATGGCGATCACAGCAGCTTCTAAAAAGAGAAAGGTCCAGGACGGAATGGCCGGCAGGATCCAGCCGAAAAAGAAATTCAGAAAACAGACCGAATACCACAGCAGCACCGAGGACGAGGACGAGAGCGACAATGATGCGTCGACTTTTGCTCCTGTAAACTTACTCGATTCGGACGAGGAGGGCCAAGTCTCAAAACCCAAGGCCACTCAGGAAAATACCTCTTTGTCTGCGGCACCGAAGAAATCAAACAATAAGGAAGAAATTGTCGAGGAAGACGACGATGTCGAGGACGATGAACCGGATGTAAATGCATCGAGTGGAGACGAGGACGAAGAAGACGACAGAGAAGCCCGCGAGGACAATGACTCCATGGCCGACGATGACGACGAAGAAGGCGGCATCCGTCTTAAGACAGTTACGAAACGTCACGATCCTACCGCATTTTCTACATCTATATCCAAAATTCTGTCCACAAAACTACCTACATCCGCCCGCGCAGACCCAGTCCTGTCGCGAAGCAAAGCCGCTGCCCAAGCATCATCCGAGCTCGCCAATGAACGTCTTGAACAGCGCGCACGCTCCAAGCTCCGCGCCGAAAAGAAGGAAGAGCAGGAAAGAGGCCGAGTCCGGGACGTCCTAGGTATTGAACGCGGAGAAGCCGGCGAAACAGCCGAGGAGGAAAAAAGGTTGCGCAAGATTGCGCAACGCGGTGTTGTCAAACTGTTCAATGCGGTTCGTGCGGCTCAAGTTCGTGGTGAAGAAGCGGCGCGCGCAGAACAAAAGAAGGGCACGATTGGAATTGAGGAGAGGAAAAAGGCAGCGAATGAGGTTAGCAAGCAGAGTTTCTTGGAATTGATTAATGGGAAGAAGGGCAAGGCATTGAATATTGAGGAGGCTTGAGCCATGAGACACGATACCTCGATCGCTATTGCATATCCTGGCGTTTTGGTTTCGTAAAAGTTTTTTGTGTTGTTACATACCAAGGATTGATTATATATCTATCTACAAATACAAGCTGGCGGCTCGCCGAGCGGATCCATAATCACGTCGTAGCGTTGAGTAGAGAGCTGAATGTGAAAGTCGAAAGAAGGCAACCAATATAGATGTCCTATTTGAAGTCGCTTGCTTGCAAGTTTCTCGTCATTGCGGGCAATCGCACCACTAATCCGTCCAAATCTTTCTTCATCTTCACCTGACATCCCAATCGGGATGTCTCTGTAAGCCCAAAGGCGAGATCCAGCATATCATTTTCGTCGTCGTCGGGCTCGGGAATTCGGTCATATAGCTCTGCGTCTTCGACGATTACATGGCAAGTTGAGCATGCGCAAGAACCCCCGCAAGCTCCTATAACATAGTCAGTTGAATTCAATTGGTAAATTAGCAGGTGACGCAGGGCACCCACCCTCCATTTCCAGGTCATTTGCCTGCGCAATGTCCAGCAGATTATCACCTTCGGAAACTTGAAAGTCGTATCTTTCTCCATCCTTGTCGATAAACGACACATTTATCCTACCAAAGTCAGTATTTCTTCAACCGGTTGTTGGCGATTGACTCACTCTTCGCCCGGCTTAGGCGGAGTGATATGGCCATGAGCGGCAGCCGACGTGACAGAAAACTGTCGCCTTGACTGCGCAATGCCTCGCACGTATAAATCTCGTCGCACAGCCTGGCTTATTTTGTTCGATTGGAAGAGCTGCTTTCGTGCGCCACTAAGTCCGCTGATATGCCGACGGTCGACTGAGACTGTCCTTGATGCGGCTCGCCGGAGCTGATGGGCAGCTTCCTTCCAGAGGGTCATGTTGTATTGATTGTACGACAGAGATAATATACTCAGTCGAGAGGGAAACAAAGGATTAAAAGTGGCACAAAACGAAGGGTGTTTTTCATTTCAATGTCCGAGCTAGATGGGCTCGGGCATAATTACCTTGTGGAGACGGGAAAAATAAAGGCGGCAGCGGCAATATTTTCTGTCAGCTTAAGCTCGTTCCGCGATCTCCATAACCTCATCATCATCTCACAACTTACTCATTACCAACCCACATGCCCATTGCTCACTGATCACAACAGAGCACATTTTGTTCATATCGAATGTCCCAAATACTATAACGGAGTCTCACTCCTTTCCAACCCAAACATGGCCTCGCGCGAAAGCAACCCATTACGTCCGTATTACGTCCCTCCTATTGGGCTTTCTCCCAGCGAGAGCCTCAACGCTTCCTCAGCTGCTCACATCACCTCCCATGCCTCATCAAGGACAATCATAGGCGGCTCGGCGAGAGATCTGCTGTCGGATTTGGATTATAGCGATTATCTAGATGCGTCGCCGTCGGTGTCGGAGTGGTTCAGAGATCTGCTCGATCGGGCAGTATGGAAATACTCGAGTGCTCTGTTAGCACAGCCGTTCGACGTTGCGAAGACGCTGCTTCAGATATATGTCGTGCCAGGCGAAGAGGAGACTCAAAATATACATGATGCTCAACGAAGGCAGAGCCAGCACTTTCGGGATGACACTTCCGATCAGGTATATGCGTCTTGCGCTGCCAAACATGCCAACTGCTAATGATTACAGGATTCCCAATCCTCAGACGACGAGAGCCATTATTTCACCAGCACTGCTCCAACAACACCCTCACCTTCTACTCCCAGGTCCCGTAAATCTCGCCCCCAAATAACCGACCGAGCTGGATACATCCAGCAGCCTCCGATCCCCAAATACTGTCTACAAATCAAGAACCCCTCTTCCTTGATGGAAGTCGTCTCTCGCCTATGGACAACAAGCGGACCGACATCAGTATGGAAGGGTACTAATGCCACATTCATGTACTCGCTCCTCCTGCCTACGCTCAACACTTTCCTTCGCAGTCTTCTGTCAGCTATTATCGGCTTKCCGGAGATCGGGAGTGCGTCATCACTCACTGAAGATATATTGACGGTATCTTCGCCGAGCGCTACATTGATTATAACATTCATTGCCTCTGCACTGTCGTCTATCATCCTTGCACCCCTCGACACCGCGCGTACGTTTCTTATCGCAACCCCGCTCACACACGGCCCTCGATCATTATTCCGCGCGCTACGACTCCTTCCAACCCCGAATTATACGATACCCACTCACCTCGTTCCGATTACTGTCCTTCACTCCAGTCTACCCAGTCTTATTTCCATGGGCACGCCTTTATTCCTCAAAAATTATTTCTCCATTGACCCCGTTCTTAATCCTTCTGCTTGGGGTCTATTCAGCTTTGTGTCGAGTGGGCTCGAGCTTGCCGTCCGGTTTCCTTTGGAGACTGTCTTGCGACGAGCCCAGATCGCGACTTTCACATCACCGGCTCTGCGTCAGCGTGGCCATCTCCGTGTCAAATCTTTAAAGTCCTCGAAATCCTTGATCAAAACCGACTCCGAGAGCTCCGAAATCGAAACAATCGTGCCTACACCAAAAACATATCGCGGCATCATCGGCACCATGTGGGGTATCGTCTACGAAGAGGGCGTAACAACAGAATCAGAGGACGAGGTCTCACATATAGTTGGCACACAACCCAGCCAAAAGCGACGAAGACCCGGTCAGGGCATCCAAGGCCTCTATCGAGGTTGGAGAATGGGGATGTGGGGATTGGCAGGTATATGGGGAGCAGGCTTCCTAGGCGCTGCAATGGGCAATGGCGAGGATGAGATTGTGGCATCTACGCCTGGCTTTGAGTATCGCAAGGGCGGTGTCGCGCGACCTTTCTGATCCGTCATCCCATGTATCTTGAGAGAAATCTCTCTGCTTTCCTTCAGCATATATTGATTTGACGAGTTTCGGCGTTTGTACCTGATAAATAGAGCGGACTGGATCGGCGATTGTTCTCTTCCATTTTTAAGAGGTTTTTCTACATATACCATGGCACGAGCATGATGATTGATTCCCATTCTTTTGACTTGTTTGTGCGGTTTTTTGTGTCTGATGATTCCCACTCAACTCTAATATAATCTCCAATACATATTTATAATGTTACTGTATATTCTTCAATAGAACCAAAGTATTGTGATATGGAATATGTTCAATGCTCTCTTTACATCAACAAATGAAACGCACCAGCTGTCATGCACCAGCTGTCATACACCATCTACAACTTGCTCTGCAGAGAATCTCCAGTATAGAAAGCCTGAGTCCGCTTCAGGGACTCGGCAGCCTCCTTCTCAATACGCGCAAGTAGTACTTGACATGTCGGAATATCGTGGATCAGACCGATGACTTGTCCCGCCGTCCATACCTATATCCAATCAGCAAACGCATCACTAAAGCAAGAGGGAAAGTAAGACATACACCAAAGTCCGGATCACCATTAATAAAAACCTGCCTACCGCGCTGCCCACTCACAAATGGCGCAACCTCGGCAAACTCGCCGGTCGTGGACTCCTTCTCAATCTTGATCGCTTCCAGAGATACTTTGTTCTTGAACAGTCTCGTCGTATTCTTCCATCGACGCAACACGAGCGCCGTATCGGTTTCCTGCGCTTTCACGATCGCTTCTTTGATATTATTGTGAATCGGCGCCTCGACGGTACACATGAACCGCGTGCCCATATTGATACCTTCCGCGCCCAGAGATAGAGCGGCAGCCAGACCTTGACCATCTGCAAACCCGCCGGAAGCGATGAACGGAATCTTGAGCTGTTGACGCGCACGACTCAGCAGGATGAAATTCGTAATGTCGTGCTCGCCCACATGACCCGCACACTCGAAGCCGTCAATGGACAGGAAATCTACACCAAGCTTTTCGGCGGCCTTGGCGTGTCGGATGGTTGTGCATTTGTGTAGGATGATTGTTCCGGCTTTCTTGAGTTGTTCGATTACGGGACCGGGACTGTTGCCGGCTGTTTCGACGATCTTGACGCCTTCTTCGATCACGACGCGCGCGTAGGCGGCGTAGTCGGGGGGAACCAAAGCGGGGAGGAGGGTTATGTTTACGCCGAAGGGTTTGGAGGTCAGTTTGCGGGTTCTGCGGATTTCTTTGCGCAGGTCTTCCGGGGTTGGTTGGGTGAGGGCTGTTAGCTGTATCAAGTAGGTTAGTCGTTGTCGGTGCAAGAGGAGGATGTCAAACGTACAATTCCCAGACCGCCAGCGTTACTAACTGCAGCTGCGAGCTCGGCGTATCCGACCCATTGCATTCCACCCTGGACAACGGGGACTGTGAAGAGCCCATCAGTATTTCGTACTTTCATCGGTAAGACGCGCCTTACCTGCAATTCCCAGTTTCCGGGTAAGCGCCGTGTTGAAAGGCATCGTGTCCCTAACACTATGCTAACTGGATGTGTATGTAAGTGTGTAAGTTTGTAAAAGGCAACCACAGGTCACAAACGTTGAAAATAGAAGCGAAGAAATAAAGTAGACGTCTTGCAGTGGAAAGCGTGGTATGTTCAATGTTGCCGGACCGCGGGCGGCTGTCGGCGTGGGGAAGCCGAGGTTTGATTAGTGAACTGTGGAGAGACTTCGGGGATCTCCAACGCCTACGTACCTTGTCGGCTTAACTTTTGTGCGATTGCTAGGTAGTCTCTGGTGATTATTCTACCAGGTAAGTGTATATTTCATGATCCAAGCAGGTCTGATACGGCCGTACCTGACTGATTTCACATTTCAGACGCTGACATGTGATCCTCCTTATCGATAAGGGTTTACTGTGAGACTAACCGGATCAGGCAGTGTCTTCGCCAGCAGTGTTTTTGCTCTCGATTTAGCCCTAAAGGAAGTGGCTATCGTACTAGATAAAAAGAAACATACATGATTACTATAGTACTTCATTATACCGTGTGCATTGCCTATAAGCTGTAGTGATGTCGGAGGTTGGCCAAAAACATAGATGCACGTATGGCATGTATATATATGTATATATCCGAGCAACACACAACGATGCATGTAAATACTCAATATGAATCACTTTGATCATTGAACCAGACGGTTGATTGTCATATCACAGCAACCATCAGTATAACAACTGAAAACTTAATATCCAACAGAAATACACATATTGAAGCCATCCAGTAGCTTATAGACGTAGATTGATAGTTCCGCAAACATTTACGGTGATGAATATAGTGGGAACTTGGAGTCTCTACGTTTGCTGCTGACTCATGTCAGATTATATAGGTACACTATTGATTCAGTGCCTTCAATTGCTTAAGCTTGGTGAGGAATATAGACGTATATGTAGTGATGTTTTGACAGAAAGGGTTTGGTGACTCAATGTTCTGCCTAGGTACTGCGATGGTGTCTTGTGCAAGAACACTTTGGATCCATAGGCTAATTTGCTGCGAAAATATGTATTGTTTACTAAAGCTAAATTGTGCCCAGAAAGCAAGTTATCCATTTAGTACTAGGGTGATACGAGAACGATTGGATTTTACTACCAAGAAGATACGAAAGTCAAACATTCTAGATTAATGAATTATGCCGAGACAATCTTTTATTACATTTATACCATCCTTCACCTAGCAGGAGAGGAAAACAAAAAGACAAGTGATAGAAACAAAAGTATAAGTAAAAGGAGAACCCCTTTGAAAATGTATCAGTCCGAAATTCTCACCATCCCTTTTCCTCCAGCAATGCACGATACTTGACAATCAGCTAGATAGAATGGTAATTGACAGAGATAGAAAAGAGAACAGGTAGTTGTACATAGAGCCCTTTACAAAAGAGAACCAAGAGCGATGCAAGGAACGTTGAGTCCGATGAGGTCGCCAGAGGAGTCGGCAGAGTTGCCCTGGCAGCAAGCAATGTTCTGCTTGCACTGGCTGTTGATGAGATCGGAGATACCGATGATGACTGTATGTGTTAGACTGGAATCGGCACTGAAGCAGGAAGAACTTACGATCGAGGTTGAGCTTGGAGCACTTGTCGAAGAGACCGAGACCCTTGGCACCGTTCTTGCCTCCGAGAAGGTCGGAGAGGGCACCAGCTAGAGGGCCGGACACAACCTCGACCTGGTCGCCGGTGAAGGTGGTATCATCGCAGCAAGCAATTTGGTTGTCATTACCACAGGCAGCCTTAGCTTCCTCGACGGTAACGTCGTCGCTAACAGGCCAGAAAGCCTGCTGTCCGCCAACCTGGGAACCCTTGCCAGGAGCAGGGCCAACGTTGGGGAGAGCGACTGCGGTAGCAGCGAGAGCAAGAAGAGCGGTGGTGAACTGCATTTTGATTTTTGTTGTTTGAAACGAACGAATGTTCTTCGAAAAGTTGGTAAAAGTAAAGAGTGCTTGTCTGGAAGACTGCTCGGCAAAGAAGTGAATGCTTGAGAGAGTGTGATTGTGATGATGAGAAGAAAAGACTGTTGAAGGTCGTTGATTCAACACCCTTATATAGACGAAGGTGGAGAGGCTTCGGGCTTGAATTGTTTTCGACCAAAAGGCTATTGTGTATGGGTGAACAAAGCAAACTGTTTTGGAAAATATCGTGGAATGCAACATTCATAGGAACTTCAGTGAATTGTTGTGTGCTTGGGCGCTGTGATAGGCCCTGGAATGGGATCCAGGTAAATTATGGAATGGATAACCCTCCAACCACCCAGGGAGAAGCATCTGCACGAGCCTTTAGATTCAGGAACACCACTCATATGCCGCAGATGAGGTATGCTAATTTCAATTCTGCGCTATCGCGTGTGGATTTCTCATTCATGACTGCGATCTTCCCCATCTCTAACGCCGCAGAAACTGGTTACTGCAAGATCGAGACCTAAGGATCTTCCTTGTTCAGGTGTGTTCAAGGTACTAAGTGGTAAGTCTTTTGACTTTGCCCCATCTCGTGGGAATAGTTTGTACCTTGTTGACCCATACGTGGATAGGCATAACTCTTGACGGTAGCATTATTGCAGTTTGCAGGCATAGTACTAGACCCGGGAGATCTCCTGCTGTAGTAGAAACTCGATCCGCTATCAAACTTGATTTAGTAAAGGGATAGACTTAAGCGCTACAAAAGTCTCCTACAACTCAATAAGTGGAATTCCTAGGGCTAAGCGAGAAGACATGGAACGGAGTCCATGCATCCTAGTAAACCTTCGTCTCCTGCTTAGCCTTCGCTGACCCTACTAGATAGATAGCCAAGGTCACGCCTGTATTTTCCTCAAGCCTGTGATGTACGTGGCGTGCCAAGCATCCTGGAATGCCTTGTAGGGCGGCTCATATTGTAGAATTGTATATGCAAGGACTGCACGAGGGATGGCGGGATACAACCAGTCAGGAAGCAGCACATCGTCCGCGAGAATTAAGCATTGAAATTAACGAATGAAGCACCAGGAATTTGTGATAATCAGTTCGGTGCTTTGGTCAAGTTTCCTCAATCGGTGTGAGATTTATCAGAAAAGGTATGCGAGGTTATTGTTAGCTTATTGTTAGCTATGCCTGAAAACGTAAGCAGCTTTGGTGTTTTCGGCAGGGAATGATCGACCCTCATTGTAGGAACGAGGAATAGTAGAATACTGTACGTAGGAATCGAGTTGATGATAGCGTTCAGCACCGTTGCATTATTCATTAAGTGATGATGCTGTGAGTCCCGATTTATTATCAATGATTTTCTTCCGATTAAATTACCAAGTTCGTAACTCGCTGTGATTACGACTAGCTCCGTAAAGTTGGTTATCAGATTATCCCCAGATATGTTCTTAAGTATGCTGATACTTGTTTGTATCTACTGTAGCATTGGTGACAAAATAAAACAAGGCACGTACTGTCGAGGGTAGTGAGGGAATTTCCTTCGGGCCAGTTTGACGTCAACTTTACTGGAAAATCAAACAATACTCAGAAGAGAGCCGGAAGAAACAGGTGCTTGAAAGATTTCTCTTATGGAAAGGAAGAGAGATTGTTCGGTATGTTACGATTCTTCTCGGTCAATCATCTTGTGGCATGGGCTGGATAGTGTATCATGTCCATATCCTTCAAATCCTCCAAGTAATACCCAAATGGCTCCATCAGAGTAGTTGAAGTTGGGATGGGATCTGAGTCGTAGCACAGCTTCAGTAAAGTTTCCCTTTACAGGCCTTGGCCGTCCCCCGCCGAAGGGCTTTATCGCTCCCTCCTTAAGATATTCATTAACAAAGTAATCCAGAGATGGATATGTAGGACGGCCTCCTCGACCCTATGATCAATCTATGGCTACCTATGTGACAACCATGAAAGGACCTTGAGTTTACAAAAGAAGGGTGATGAAGCTATTCACAACATCCATTACATAAGCTATCTTACATAATAAGGACATTGACCCATGGTAAGGAGGCACGTGAGCAATATATGAAAAACTTTACCTTACACTCTCGAATTGTGTGGGAAAAAAAGAAAGAGGCAGAGGAAACCTGTATAAAATGTACACAAGAACTGGTCTTCTACCCAGGTGATGACTGATCCCTCCGGCCCCGTGCAGGGCATAACAGGAGAGTATACCGGATCAAGCTTCACGGTGCGGGCCACCATTATTGCGCTTCTCAGCTGCGCTCTATACAGCGCAATTGAGCTCACTCTACTCATCTTTTTGACCTTTCGGAGGTACCATGGTCTCTATTTCTGGAGCCTCCTTGTCTCGACCGTGGTAGGGGTGATCCCCCAGGCTTTGGGCTTGCTTCTCAAATACTTTGCGCTGGCACCCCTGGCGCTTTCAGTAACGTTGTCAACTTTTGGGTGGGCAATTATGGTAACGGGACAATCGTTGGTTCTTTACTCGCGCCTCAATCTGCTCGTCCGCAATACAACAGTGCTCCGCTTCGTGTTATGGATGATCATCGTCGATGCCATCATACTTCAAATCCCACAAATCATCCTCTCCTATATGGCCGTGTTCGGGCGCAAAGCCATCTATCTAGAAGTTTACAACATCTGGGAAAGAATCCAGCTCACGGGATTTTTTGTTCAAGAGGTGATCATCTCGACCATTTTCATCGTTCAAGCGATTCGGCTTTCATATCTATATCCACTGCACCAGAGCCGGAAGAGGGTCTTGATGATGTACCAACTGCTCATCATGAATATAGGAATCGTTGTGATGGACATTTCTCTGCTAGTGTTGGAATATTTGGATCAGTTTATTCTCCAAACTGTGTTGAAGACGTTGCTGTATACGGTCAAGTTGAAATTTGAGTTTGCTGTATTATCAAGGCTGGTTTCATTTGTGTCGGCACAGCATGAAATGAGCAATGTCCAGGCGTTGGCAAGTGGGACATCACAGTTGACGTGAGTACTTTTGCACCTTGCACAAATTGTTGTATATACCGGAATGCCTCGAAGCATGGAATCGGCACTACCTGTATTGCGGCATATAATACTGTACATATGCGTATTCTTGCACAAAAAAGACTCTTCTTAAATGGTGATTTTTTGGTTTTGCCTTCCAGAAACACATATGCTTGGGCTGTTTGATAGATCAGAAGATTGTCGTCAGGCCAGCCCCTGAGAAAATATATGTAATGCTTAACCAGGTTAGTGCTAGCTCGATTTTCGAGTGGAATGAACTTGATGAAAAATGACAAATGATTTTGAATTTTTCACTGGACGTATACGCTTGTGGTATTCATTTTTCGTAGTCTGAAATTGCTAATTTCACCTCGCTCACGATATATTTGTCGTTTGACGGTGCTTGCTTCGATCTACAGTCCAATATAAACTTTTCCAGGACGAACAATGTCTATCGCTGACCATTAAATGACTCGGCATTGGCCCAGCTGACAATGGGGGTGAATCAATAGCGCATCGACAACAATGGACTATTTCGTTTTAATATAGGCTGATTAGCTCCACGCCGCCAAAGCCGAATTGGCATCTCAGCACCGGCTTTATGGTGCGGGGAACATCGAAACTTGGGGTAATTCACCGACCATCTTGTATAATGGTCGGCATGTCGGTTTGGGACAGCCGACTATGATATTTTTCATTACAATATCGACAATGCGAGTCGTTACTCGTTCCTGGTCACGATATTGTTTGTGCATTCTCAATGAAAGGATTGGCTTGTAGACATGCGTCCTTTTTCTCCGTCCAGTCTTCGTGTGTTTCGAAATTCCAATCTCAAAGAATCTAGTTATCAATACGGACAACAACATGCTCGAAATTTCGGATCGAGTTCTGTTCGAGCTTACGCTTATTTCAAATCTGCACTAATCAATAGAACGAATGTCATAGATCATCAATACGAGTATGTCCTTGCTTCTTTCTTGGTTCTTTATCAATTACTGATCTGCCAGCGCCCTCGTGGTAGGGGCAGGAGGGGCAGGTCTGCGAGCAGCCCTGGGCCTTGCTCAGAGCGGACTTGAGACTGCGTGTCTAACTAAGTTGGTGAGTGTTCTTTTCTGTTCTTCACTCACTGTTCTAACGAATTGATGTCTAGTTTCCCACGCGGTCTCATACAGTTGCCGCTCAAGGTGGAATCAATGCAGCACTCGGGAAGTATGTATTCCAATGAACACAGACGCGAACTCGGCACTGACTATCAGCGCTTAGCATGCAAGATGACGACTGGAGGTGGCACATGTACGATACAGTCAAAGGTTCTGACTGGCTGGGAGATCAGGATGCAATCGTATGCCCACATACTCCCATCATTTTGCAAGTCTCTAAACAAGCCAATAGCATTACATGTGCAAAGAAGCGCCACGCGCAATCCTAGAACTCGAGGCTTATGGAATGCCATTCTCGCGAACCGCTGAAGGCAAGATATATCAGGTTTGGCAAACTCACCTTGACTGAGGAGAGACTTGAGATTGACGGTCGTACTAGAGACCGTTAGGAGGTCAATCACTGAATTATGGAAAGGGAGGACAAGCGTTCCGGACTGCTTGTGCTGCTGACCGGACCGGTCATGCATTACTTCATACTCTCTATGGACAGTCTTTGAAGGTATGTTCTCACACGCAGGTGGTTATCTTGTGGCTAATCCGTACAGCACAACTGTAATTTCCTTGTCGAATTCTTTGCGCTAGATTTGATGATGGCTGACGGTAAATGTGTCGGCGTGACTGCCATTGACATGGAGACTGGGACGCTTCATAGGATCTTTAGCCACAACACGATTCTAGGTTTGTTACCGATCTACATAAAGCTTATGTTCAATTAGACCAAACTGATACAAACAGCTACCGGCGGCTACGGAAGAGCTTACTTTTCATGTACTTCTGCTCACACCAGTACCGGCGATGGTTGTGCCATGGTATCTAGAGCAGGTCTCCCTCTGCAAGACATGGAATTCATCCAGTTTCATCCTAGCGGAATATACGGCGCGGGTGTACTAATAACAGAAGGAGCACGGGGAGAGGGCGGATTTCTACTCAATTCGGAAGGCGAACGGTTCATGGAGAATTATGCACCTACGGCAAAAGACTTGGCTAGCAGAGACGTGGTATCGCGATCAATGAATATCGAAATCAGGGAAGGCCGCGGTGTTGGATCTGAGAAAGATCATATTTATCTTCAGCTCTCGCATCTCCCTCGAGAACACATCCTCGAAAAGTTACCAGGTATTGCAGAGACCGCGTCGATCTTCTCAGGTATCGACATCACTGTAGACCCCATTCCCGTCCTTCCAACGGTGCATTATTGCATGGGTGGTATTCCGACAAACTATCACGGTCAAGTTTTGGATGTTGACAGCTCATCGAATACAGAGCATACAGTCCCGGGCCTTTATGCAATTGGCGAAGCTGCCTGTGTCAGTGTTCATGGAGCCAATAGACTAGGCGCTAACTCATTATTGGATCTGGTTGTGTTTGGTCGCGCAGCTGCACACCACATCGCCAGCAACAACGAGCGGGGAATGAAACATACATCTGCTCCGGATGATATCGGTATGTCCTCCTTTGACGATTTGGATAAATTACGCACAGCAAGCGGCACCCGACTCACCGCGGAACTGAGGACATCCTTGCAAAAATCAATGCAAACCGATGTCGCCGTCTTTCGTACCCAGAAATCATTGACTGAAGGTGTCAAGTCCGTACAAGATATCGAACGCGCATTCCGGAATGATGTTTGTGTCAAAGATCGGTCATTGATTTGGAATTCGGATCTAATTGAGACTCTTGAAACGCGCAATCTGCTGACGTGTGCGGCGCAAACTGCCAAAGCGGCGCTGGAACGGAAAGAGAGTCGTGGAAGTCATGCGCGAGAAGATTTTAACGAGAGAGATGATGATAATTATATGAAGCATACATTGACATGGCAGCGCAGGGAAGCAGAGGAGATTAGAGTGGGATATCGGAACGTTGTGTTCAAGACGCTGGATCAGGAGGAGTGTGCGACAGTGCCGCCGATGAAACGGTCGTACTAGTTCTAGATGCAGTAAAAAGCATCAGATTTGCAATATATAGGAGATATAGAAAATCTAGGAGGTAGCTCAGACCAGATGACGTCGAATATACAGACATCCCAAATTGGTTAGCGTGATGACTCGATCTCCACTCGCTTTTTGGTCTAAACCAACCATCTTCTTGATTCTTCTCTTCCTTCTTGATCATTCAGTGTCACTGTCAACTCTGTCATCATTTCATGTGACTATCTACTCAGCTACAACTGAGCAGATACGTGCGAGGACGGCACACTGACTCAACCCATTTTGTGATTTCTTCGTGCCGAATGCCTTCAATCCAGACTAAGAGTTTTCTTTTCACTGCTTCCAAGGTATCGCAAGTTTACTAATCTCAAGGAAAAATGGGCGAAGACGATCGCTCAGTCGTTGCGACCACGGCGAATAGTCCTCCTACGAGCGCATTGAACGTAGAGCCAGCGAGTGCCGAGTCATCGAGGACGGAGCGAAAAGAGGACAACGTTGGAGTAGACAGCAATCAGCAGAGCAGTCCTGAAGACGAGAGCGAAGAGAAAGGTGAGGATGATCTCGAAGAAGGGGAAGAAAAAGAGGAGAAAGAGAACAAAGCTGCAGAGGAAGGTGCGCCACCATTACCAGACGAAGAAGTACCGCCACTCCCCGACGAAGCACCTCCAGGCCAAGACACAGAAGGCGACGATGGATGGGAGCCCGTCTGGGACACAAACGCTCAAGCATTTTATTTCTACAATCGGATCACGGGGGTATCGCAGTGGGAGAATCCCCGTGTGCCAGATGCTGCAGCTGCAGCTGCAGCAGCTCCAGCACTGTCGATACCGACAAGTCAAACGGAGGTCGGATCAGTCGCCCATGAAGGAGGTTATAACCCCGCGATTCACGGCGATTACGACCCTACAGCTGCATACGCGCAAAAAACCGAGCCAGACACACAACAATCACATACTGCGACAGCAGACCAGTTACAATCCTACGCTGCTACGGGTGCATTTAATCGCTTCACCGGCCGATGGCAAGACTCGAGCTTAACGCCCGAAAATTTCAATGATGAGAACAAATCGCGGCGGCAGATGAATGCTTATTTCGACGTTGATGCTGCCGCGAACAGTCATGATGGGAGGAGTCTCAAGGCCGAGCGGAGTGGGAAGAAGCTGAGCAAGGCTGAGGTCAAGGCTTTTCGGGAGAAGAGGAGGGAGCGGAAGGAGGAGAAGCGGAGGGCTTGGTTGAGGGATTGAGCTTGTCTCTTAGCTTGAAGCGCTAGGCTCAATTGCGAAGTTGTATTCTTCTGGCTGGAACGTGATACCATTGGCGACTGATGTTTTCAACATGCTGTACTATTTTGTATCATTTTGGGCGTTTTGACCGGAATTGGTTCTGCATTGGATTGGAGTTATCAACAAGAGCTATCTCTTGTTGACTTGTCTATATATATCAAACTACCTGTACCACAGCTAAAAATCTTTATCTGTTCTATAGCTAAGTACATGGACCATAAGTTTGAAAAATGTTGCTATAAACACCACATTTTTCGAGGTCACGTGGAGATACCCGCGATAGCCACATGCTTTTATCGCAACTTTTTTTTCTCCATTCAAGATCACCTTCAATCTTCAATAGTGCATTCGAGAACAGAGCTACGCCTTCCTTGCTTTGAGAAATAAAAAGTGCGTACCATTTTATGCTTTGATGCCACAGTTTCATTCTGCCCAATTCACCAACGAGACATTGTGTTCCATATCAATTTTTGTTCCCCTCATTTTGATATACATCCACGCCCCGCTGTCGGCTTAAAAAAAGCTACATATGTCGATGATAGGATTTCATCATTGATCAGACATCCAGACTGACCCAGTCACAGTTTTACGAAATATCCGGTCCAAGAAGAAGCCTCAATCAAGAAGGAGAAGAGAACAAAATGTCAAAATCATACACCAACAACCCCCCAGCCCCCGTGGCCCTCTCCTTCGAAACAATCGACGAACTCATCTACAATGCGCGCCTCGGCGACATTCAAGGGTTGAAAGACGAAATCCTTAAAACTGCAACGGAACACAACACGTCTGCTTCGACGATCATAAGATCTGCTCTGGACACTGAAGATGAGAGCGAAGGCGGTACTGGAGCGTGTCTTTTGCATTGGCCTGCTGCGAATGGGAATGTTGGTACGTCGTCTCCTCCCACGACCCGAGCCTCTAATTTGGGAGGGAAAGATGCTAATGGTTCTAGAACTTTTGAGCTACCTCCTGCAAACCCTCACAGACCCCTCGGCCGCATTGACCTCAGAAGACTTTGCGTCATTCATCAACTACCGCAATTACACAGGCAACACGCCCCTGCACTGGGCCGCACTGAACACGCACCTCGACTGCGTCAAGGCGCTCGTCGAAGCTGGCGCGGACCTAAGCCTGAAGAATGACGCGGGCCACGATGCCCTTTTCTTGGCCGAGAGAGCGGATTGGGCGGTAGTCGAGGAGGACGATAATGAGAATACTGAAAATAACAATGGGGAGGAGGAGATCGAGATTGAATTGAATGCACAGCAAAATGGCGACAAGCCGGCGCCACCGCCGACGAAGGCGCGGCTGGTGGTGGAATGGTTGTTGAGTTGTGACAAGGGTGCTGGATTTGAGGAGCCCGTTAATAAACAAGAGGACACGAAGATGGAAGATGCTGCATGAGAAAGGAAATCGAAAGGATAAAAAAGATACCCGGTAGATAGAATAAGAAGTATATAACAAGAGGCAATGTAGTGAATTCGCCATGCGATATCTATCCTATTTGATGCTATGTAATGTTAAGTCTTTTGAATGAAGAAAATAATATATGTACATACAAAAAAAGTCGATCTTCACCCTTTCACCCCATGAACCATTATCAATACTCCTTAGTCAAAATCTATACCCCGAAATGAACAAGCGATGATAAATCAATCTTTTCGAGTCTTGTTCCTCTCCGCTACGGAGGAACTCGACGATGACGATGACGAACTCCGTCCGGGAGTCGTACTACCTCCATTCGAGTACGACGAATCGTTGACATTCCGCAGGATACCATGCTGCTGCACAGAATGATTAACTTCACGCGCTTTCGTGTCCCAGAGCGAGACTTGGAAAGAGCGATTGCGCCATGTTACCGTCGMCCCGCCATAGACAGCCCAGAACCAGATGGGGAACGCGAGGGATTCGCGAACCGTCCATGCCGSGAGCCACTGCAGAAAGGGGCGGCGAGAGGTTTTGTTTTTGGATGATGTTTTCAAGGCTCGTGCAAAGGGTGGTGTGTTTTGGTCTATTTCGACCGTGGCGCCGGAGTGGAGTTTGAGGTATAATGTCCAATCGATCATGCACCAGATGAATATGCTTGTGGTCCACAGTAAGAAAAAAGTAGGCCATTTTTGGAGGTAGGCACTTAGATCAGTGTAGCCGCGGCTTTCGAGGTATTTGGCGACTACCGTACTCATGCCAAATGCGCCGTATAACGAGCAGACGATTGATTCAGTGCCCGGCTCGACAAGCGTCGCTGCTAGAACTGTATATTTACGTACACGCAACCAACGGACTCGTCGCGCAATATAAGCCTTGACGCTCATGTTCGCAACAGGCTGGAAGGCATAATCTCCGAAGACCATGCCATGTTTTCCGAGTGCCTTTCTCGATTCTTTCTCTTCACGCACTTTGTTCCTCCATAACCAGTCGCCGATGATGTGATCTTCACATAGTTGGTCGGAAACCCAATCAATACCCGGGTTGCGAGCTGGTCCATGAACGGGTGCCGTATCTGGACTTTCGGTGAGATCGTTCAGGTGCGATTTGCGAAACATGTTTGATTTCCCCACGATACACGGTGCGATCAACACGGTGTTGATGGCCGTATACATTTTCGCATGCGACGAAGATAGGAAAAGTTCCTCGAGACGGCCGCCTCCTTCTTTGAGTACTGAGTCCGTTCTGTCTGCACCCACTTTGTGAACACCATTACCATGCGCCGCGAGCAGAGGTTTCGTTTCCGCCGTCAATGCATCCTCTGGGTCGACGTTGACTGCAATCGGGAGATGATGCACGAATTTGTACCGTTTGCCGCCATAACCACATAGTTTATCGACCATTCGACCGCAAACTCCCGTTCCAACCCATACATTGCAATCTATAATCCAGATTATATCACCCTTAGCCTCTCTATATGCGCGACTCATGTTGCGGATCTTCGGATTCGGGCCCATGGGATATGTGCTTTCCTCCTGAAGAAGTGGGTCTTCTTCCTCAACGTAAATGCGCACATCGCACTGCCCTGAGAAATCCTCGACTAACTTCTCGAGTATGGGAAACGCCGGGTCGGCTCTTGTAGAGACGCAAATACACGTTGTCAGTCTGTCGCGTGGGTAGTCTTGTCGTAGCGTCGACGCGAGGCATTCGTAAAGGTATGGTTCAATGCCTTTTACGGGCCGGATGGTGGTGACATGGGGTGCGTCAGAGGAACTGGCAGACTTTGATCTCGGGGGTGCATTGGAATAGAGCCGCCATCTGATCACTCACTCGTTAGACTCCCTTACAAATAGAGTAGGAGGTAGATTAATCAGCAGGACTCACATTTGCAAATAACCCAAAGCGCACACAAAAACAACTACCAGATACCAGGCAAAAGCAACCCATCCAACACTCTCAAGTAGCCATCGTGTGTCAATGGTTGAACTTCCGGCCGCTGCGCGTTGGAAGACAGCGGAGGAGCTCAGCGGAATTGCTATCATGAGCGGCGGGACGTGGGACACGACAACAACAAAGTGATCATTTGTACAAGTAGACTGTCGCGTGCAGCATTCGCTTGGGAATTTAAACAGAATAAAAGAAAGGAGAAAGAGAGTTTCAATTCAGGCACAGAAGTTGTACTATTTGTGGTCAACTCTTACAGTAAGGTTAGGGTGGATCCGAACCGTACCGGAGGAACGCTTTTCATTTCGGATGCTTCGGTTCCTTGTTGCACTTTCTTCCGCTTCAGCTGACTTTAGATTGAATTAAGACTGCGATCTGCCTTGGCTAATGACTACGATGCTTGGCTCGCGATTCAGCTGTGCTAATTAATGCAAGCCACTATCTGGAGATGAGGGCGTGACTCGTCTGGTATACGTACTACTATCCGGATACGAATACGACTCTTTTCGCTGCTCTGACTTCATTTTTTTTCTTAAGTAAATTTCAGCTATGTCTTTTTCTTCTTTCGGACAAAACTGGCATTGAGAACATTGACCCCTCCGTCTTTGGACGTGTCCAAGGGTTTGTCTGTACCGTTTCTATCTGACGGCTCAGCTTCAACGCTGGTTGTCGTCGGTGTGGGCTCAACCTCCTTCTTCCGTTTCCGAACAATGAGCCCTGAATCGATCGTCTGCGCCGGTGCTGCTGGCTGGGTTGTTTCCGTAACTTTCTTCCTGCCTGTAACTTTGACTCCCCACCAGAGGACATCCGCGACTGATGCCACTTTGCGAATCCAGGCCATGGTGCCTTTGATGGCGAGCTCTTCAGTCTCAAAGTCTTGATCGAGCAGGACATCGTTTGCAATTTTGTAGTCTTCCTCGCTCAGTATGATCTCTCCTCTGCCTATTTCAGGCCAGTAGAAAGCACTCCGACCAGCGTCCAATGCACTTGTAGGTGGTTGGATTTTTTCATGTTGTAAACCGGGTAAAGATCTGTCGTCGAATTTTGCTTCTGCCGAAGTAGTAGCTGGCGCAAGTTCGTCTTCCTCGGGGGGTGTCTTCTCTTTCGTATCGACAGTCAGTGCTGCAGCACCCTGGCTCACCAATTTGTCCGTGCTGCGTAACCCAGGCGGATTAATAACCAACCACAAAAACCCAACAAGTCTGCCCGCAGAACACTCCTGCCGAAAAGACATCATCTCCCAAAACATCTCCAAAGATCTGACACTCCGCCAATGACCGGGCTTTTTGTCCGTTTCAGAAGAACCATCACCACCACCGCTGCTTGAAGAGCTAGGTAACTCATCATCCAAATCATCCAAAAAACGTGCCTTGGGATCGTCCGGAAACCTGGGGACGAGACATCGTGGGGGCGCATCGGGGTGACTACATATCTGGCTAAGGGGATACGACACCCGCCATCGGGGATGATGCTGATTCTCATCTGACCGCACTGTAGGCGGAAAGAACGCGCGAGTCTCGTACTGATCACATCCGGGAACGAGTAGATATGCCGTCGCCGAGCTTTTCACACTTTCCACATTCCCATCTTCTTCGCTGGTTTGTCGAGATTCAGCAGCATGTTCACGAAGAAGCGGATCAGCAGCCCGGCACCACCATTTAATCAATCCTCGATCATCCAAAACATGTTTCCGTTCATTATCCGCACTTCCCGGAAACAAATACTGATTCTGCGCTCGCGCAAACAGCGACAGAACTAACCTCACGCCCAGCCTTTGATACGAACGCGCCAAAAATCGTATAAAAGTGGTCGTCAATAACCTCAACAACGAAACCTTTGGCGTTGCTGCTGTCGTTGCTTGAGATGCAGTCGTCAAATGCACATACCCCGTCGAATCAGCCTTAGACACAAACAACGTCGTAAGCCGATCAGTCGTATACACATAAACCTCCACACCCAAAACCGCTACCTCATCATCCACAACATCGTCCTGTCTATTCTTATTAACCGTGACAACATAAAAATGAGATTCGCAAAAGGTAATCTCGGGCTCTTGGCCAGGCGGCGCGGAGAAGATAGCGTCACAGCGTGTAGGCGTTGTGGAGACGTGACGGACGTTGAGCTGGAGGCCTGAGGGCAGGACCTCAGCTAAGAGGTCTTCCAGCCGTGGTTGTGTAGCCATTGTTGTTGTTATCGTTAAGCATCACTACCGGTGCATCATTGATATAATTCAGATATAATAGGTAGAGAGGATGGATTGGTAGCTGCTTCCAAGGTTGTGCCTTCTTTTAAGGCTGGACCGGCGTGTGATTGGCCGCTTGATTCGAGGTCACGTGCTGTATGTTATGTTTGTATGTATTTTTTCTTCAGCTATATCTTCCATTATAATTGATTTATTTCCCTTTACCCATGTAGATGTACGTAGTAAAATGTTGGATATTATATGACTTGTACGTATACCTGATATGTCAACTTGGTACATGCACTGTCCACGAATCACCGGAATGACGTGTATCACAACTTAACAGTTAAATATACCGAACCTGCATGTTCGAAACAACGCTATTGCATAAAACTCTGGGCTGAATATATCTAATCATATAACGCCAGCAAGGCTAAGCTGCAAGAATACACATGTTTATATTATCGATCAACCCGCCTTCAAATCTCCCGCGTCGTCGGCGAACGAACACTATTCGGATTATCTTGCGTATTGCTATTCCGTCCCGGAAGCCTCAGATTACCTATTCGGTTAACCAGGTTGCTTCCCACAGCATCAACGGCGCCCTTTGGAGCCAGCAGTGACGGGCCCTGAGCTGCTGTTTCCTGGACTTTGAAGAGCTTTATACCCGTTCCATTCCAGACGCCTACTGAGCCTGGGGTGGAATTGCTTGCAGACCCGACGAGCATTTCGCTGGAGAAGATGAAGCCCCATAGAAGAGACTCGTACCAGCCCAACGCGAGCGCGGACCATTCAAATGAGTGGACTTTGATGGGCGATGGATCTGTCAGTAGAGCGCGTATGTTGGGCTCTTCGGCAAAGGTGGGGAGGTTGTTAATCAGGGTTCTTGCTTCAGGGTTAGTTGATGATTGTAAAGCGGCGTCGGGTATGTGAGGTAGTATTGAGGAGATGATGGTGAGAACTGTATGTAATGGGAGTTCCACAACCCATGATTCAATCTATATAGTGATTAGTAACTGAGCAAATTCTTGAAAAGAGCAAACATACCCATGCAGCTGTTGGAGTGAACATCGCTGGCGTAGAATGGATTGCAGCTGAATAACTACTTAGACTGGTCAAACTGTTCTGTCGAGAAAAGCCCATTTGTCCAGCCGGCATCTTTCCTCGAGCCTTTTCAGACATGCCCCTGACCTGTAACGGCACGCTGTCGTCAAGAGAAGACGAGATTGAGGGAGCACGTGAGGTTCGTAGAGAGGGAGAAGATTGCGACGGAGTCGTCGGTATATCGCCATCGTCATCAGAATCGTCACCCCCAATAGCGAACGGACTGTTCTCTTCGGGAATGTGAGTCAATGGAGATCGTGCACCACTAGACCTTCGTAGATCTTCCATGGACTGAGACGCGGAACCGGTAAGTCCATCATTTGACGATGCTGCTTTCTTGAGTTGGTTCTGGCGTTCTATTTCTTGCTGTCCGCTCTCTAGCGTAAAGGTACGCAGGGCTTCGAATTTTTTTCTTGTTTTTAGTATACCATAGACGAGAAAGGGATTTCCTGAGGCAGTTAGCGTATTGCTCGCACGACATGGTATGAATTACATACTTGTGAACTGATGCTCCAAAACCACATTGATAAACTCAAGCAAAGCCGAAAGGAGGTAGTTATTCGACTCGTTTGCGAGCAGAAAACTGGGGGATGACATGGATGCAAAGAGCTGTAAAATCTTCGAGCAGGCGGTTGATGACAGACGTTCCACGTACGCTCCGATATTCTTAAGAATAGCCATAAGTGCGGGATATACTGCATCTAGCTTTCCTTTACTGCTGGTCATCAAAGTATGTATCGACTATGGCTGTTAGTGAATTTCGCCAAAATGCTGTCGCGTACTTACAATGATGAGATAATCAGCATAAGTGCCGCGGAACCCGGCGATACGGATACTTGTCGGCAGGGTATCTTGAGCTTCAAATTTCATATTCAAACGTTTTCCGAAGCTCTCTTCGACGCTGAGAGTCTGGAGAATGAAAATACACATCTTGACCATTCCTTGTTTTGATGGGTCATTCCGGTACTCAGTTGCATAAAAAAGGCAAAGAATGACAAAGTCGTGGGACCTGTTCGATTCAATGATGAAAGCTCTGAATCGCTTGTTGCACTGCAGGGCTTCCCAGAACAACATAAGCATCTCAGGGGCCCATTTGACGGATTTTTGACTACCGGGGAGGTATGAACTCGTTACTTGCATCTAGAATACGTTAGGAGGCGACTCTAAACTATTTGAAACTCACTCACTGGCTGGTTAAGAATTCTGGTCATGCCCTCAACGAGGAATTGAAAATCTTGTGGTCGATGTAGTCGTCCAAAGTAGTGACGATAATAGTTCTTCGGAGGTGCACCACGTCCATCTTCTGGAATAGGATATAGAAGGATTACTAGTAGTAGCTGTAAACAGTAAATGACCAGTATTTGCTTTGGATCTTTCCAGACGACATGGTCATAAGGAACTCTCCAAATAGCCGGATTATATTTCATAGTCTAAATTTCAGTCAGCAACGCTGTCACAGGGTCTGTTGGCAGAACTTACTGTATTCAGTAATGAACAGAGGAGGGTCAGAACGATCTGCTTATCGGAGCATGTGGCAAGGTATGTTATGGCCTTGACACCTTTGACCGGAAGGAGGGCTATATGGTTTAGTGACTCGCATGTCGTAAACCCAGGATAGAAGGATACTGACTAGGAGACATGTACATAGATTTGCCAGTCAACGTGAGCAAAAGCCTCAATATCTCCATGCGATTATTCTCATGTTCCTTGGTCGAGATCATTGCCGTATTGCATCCAACTCCACTTTGCCATATCGCATACGACACTTTTCCTTCCGATGTGGAAAGTTTTGGGATGGTAAAGCCCGTATAGAAAAGAAGATCTGTAAGCGTATCGATCAGCTCCTCCGCTAAGGGTTTGGCATCTTCGCGGTCGTCGGCTTTGGGTTGGGGTTGTGTATCGTTAGTCTCAGGCTGGCCTTCGTCGAACAGTACTTCGGCGGCGACTTGTGCCCGACGAGTTCTCTTTTTGCGAGGTGCCCAGAAGAATTGTTCCTCCCATGCCTCTAGATGATCTGCTTCATATATGAACGGAAGGACTCTCGTCAGGATGCGAATGCAGTTTAAAGCATGAGTGTCTGGAGCGAATTCTGGATCAGGGAATGAAGGATGATTCTTTAGGACGATCAAACGTGAGCAGATAGCGAGCAGGAGCGTTTCGAGGTTGGGTAAGGATGAATCGCGGGCACGGCGTATGTCTGTCGGAGTGAATAGACTAAAGACATCTTCAGTAGATTCAGGTAACTCCCAGAACTGAACGTTTGGTTTATTTCAGCAGGAATTCATATCAGCAACAGATGATTTTCTCACCTTTATCCAGAAAGGGTCGTCCGCGGGAATGTTTTGGTCTTCATACAAGCGGAAGATGCCCTGCTTGAAGACAAGTTTGGACTCCGAGGCTCCCATCTCCGAAGCGCGGCGACTATTTTTGCGTTGCAGTCATCCAAGTATATGGTTTGTTGAATTGTCTGACTTGGCTATTGTTCTCTTCGCTGGAGCTGAGCTGATCTTTCAGCGCTTTGACGTGGGTTGAACCAGGGCGACCAAGTGCGGGAGGGCCTTGACTCCGTATCTGGGCCGGAAAGCTCCAATGTCTTATCCCCACATTAAGTTTGCGCTACAATAGTCTTATCAGTTTCTACGAAAAGAGAGAAAGGTGCTGTCAAAAGCTTCATGACATTGTTATATACATATCCACCCACCCTACATCTGTGGTTGACTGCATTCGGGTTAGCAATCACACTTTTTCATTTTTATTATATCAGAATCTGGAGTCACTTTCCCGACTGTCCGCTTGATTGACCTCTTGCTAGGTACTTTCCAAGTACGGGCCTATCTTTTTCGAGCATGTTCTTATTTGCGTCTTTGCCACTCTGTTTCTCAATAAGGCCAGCGGCTTTCCTTACCGCTGTTAAATATCATTTGGGTCATTGATTTCTTGGACGTTCTAACAGTGCTGAGATTGTCGCTGCTTGAGGTCTGTCGGACTCTAGATGAGGGCATTACGACACGTCCGCCATCCTCAACGTGTCGTCGAACCGACAGTCGAATTGTCAAAATGACAGTCCTGGGAAAACTATCTCAGGGGTGAGGTCTAGTAAATTATATGGATAATTATTGATACGAAAATCACGTGGTCTTTACAGGTATAAATGGACCGTGCATCTCCCCGCTTACACCTATCACAGTAATTAAAACACTTTATCGTGTGCATGACAAAGTGAGTACTATCATAATTTATAATCTGGCTGGTGGAAAAACTTGGCCAGAATGGAAAAGCCTTTCCGTCTTCTAGAGCTTCCTGCCAAGATTCGAGACCAGATCTACTATGAAATTCTGTGCACATGGCCAGCGTACAAATCAACATAGGATGAAGAGAACCAAAATGAGGTGGCTATAATGGACTGCAAGTGTCAAATTGCCATCCTTTGCACCAGTCTACAGGTCTGCATCGAAGCCGGATCGGTTATGTGAGAGGGAACCAATTCATTCGCATTAGCATGAAGGGATATCAGCCCCTACAAGTTCTGTTTATACCTAGTCAGGTACCCATTGTGACCATGATTCAAAAGTTTATCACCAGGTTCAGAGGGTTTGTGATGACACACTCAATTGACTTCACCAATGATCCGGCACCATTCTTCGAAGAGCCAGTTTGAGGTTATGATTATACGGCGCGATCTGGATCGATTTGTTCAAGCGCTTGGGAAAGCGAATTGTAGAGCTAGATTATCGAGACATTTCACCGTGTTGGTTGGGTCCCAGACTCTAAATCTTGGAAAAAACTATTTATTATTAGACCAAGACATCTATACTGGCTTATGAAGCTCCTATAGTATTTTCACATATGTTTTATCAAATTAGTATGACTCTCAAAGTCTTCGTGATACTTTAAACAGTCAACTTATGATTCTCTATTTAGAACCATATTCGTTTAATAATAAAAAATAATTAAAAACTATGTATGACTGATCCAACATGAACAGCTATATACTAAAACCCAATTTATAACGACGTCTTTTGTCTCCAGAGATTCAGCTAGACTCAGGAAATTATCGGTACCAGTTCTACGGCCACGTCTAGAATAAATTAACTGCGTAGAGAGTATATTGCCTATCACTGGATTGTGGATATTAGTATAATCGACGGCCATTTTACTTGTTATCGTACAAACGCATAAAAACTCCAGAAATAAATCGCTTCAACCAGCGCCAGACTCCTTATATCAATGAATATGCGATCGATTGTAGTCTTAAATCAGACTATTTCCAGCGGAGTGCCTGCGACTTTTCTCGTATAGCCACTTGTTGCTTAGTCCCAACTTATTTCCCTTTCCCGCTGATGGAGTCGGTGTTTGAGGAAGAGCCGTAAGAGAAGACGATTCTCGCAGAGAAGCATTCAGGGTAGAAGAACCAAAGCTTTGCCGACGCGCGCCATCGCGACTACCAGGAGCCATCGCTTTTTGGAATAATGGGCTAGTCGTCGTGGGGGAGTAAGAGAGCTGGCGAGTCACAGGACTGCCACTGGCCAGAGGCGAGGAACCACGACTGACGGGGCTGCCAGCTCGCGATCCAGAGACGACTCTGTATCTTGGCGGGGTGGCATACTGCGTACCTGGCGTCACAGGAGGGCCGGCGCTGGGGTTGAGACCCAGCAGAGAGCGCTGGGTAGGTGTCAATGGAATATCGGAAAGGTCATCCTTTGGACGAAAGAGCGGGTATAGAGCAGTGAGAATGTTGACGATAAAAAGCAAGCGAAATATGACCAGAAGGATATCTGCTTTTGCTGTGATTCCGGCGACCGCAGCCAGCCTGTGAGTGAGTTAGAACGGACGAGTGTTCAGCGACGGACGCTGTGTATTCTCACATTGAGTTCAATGGCTTCTCAGCAATGAGAGTTGCCAACATAGCGCTGACGTTCAGTGCTATGGTTTTGACGTTGCGACTGTCGAATGTGGTCGCATTCTGTCGTTTGACAATCTCTTTGAGTCGGGGGTGTTGCCATTTTCCTGGCGACTGGCTGTCGACGGCAGGAGAGGCGGCTGCTCTGGGKGTGGATGGAGKCGCGACTGAAGCCATTGACGCGAGGAGCGAAATCGAGATATGGATGAAAGGTGAATGAACAATGAGGTCTTGCTGTTGAGCTGTGAGCACATTTGTTCGGTGTAGCTGACTCGAGAGGATCGCGGACGGCGACTTACCAAGAAAGAGTAAAAGCAATCCTTACCGAAATACTTACCTGTTCAAATAGTCATGCTGTTGTTAGTGAGAGACGCGTTCATTGTTGTCGGGTGTCGAGCGTCGAGCGTTGAGCGATGAGGGAAAGATGTTTCTTTGATGTTTGGTTTGGTTTGGGTAACGGCTGTCCCAGTGACCGCTGAAAGAGCTAGCACTGGTCGGGTTAGCTGCCACCGCTCTCCGTCATACGGGCTCCGTCGTACATAAGTTGACCCCACGCCAGCTTTGTTCCTTCTTTCTGCAACATCTCGCCAATTACCAATCCAAATGTCGACTACGACTGGCAAATGATCCAGGAACTCTGTGCCGAGTTGAATGAGACCTCAGTCGACAACCTGACTTGCATCCTCCCTGCTCTGAAGAACCGTTCGGTCCTCAAGATGGCGGCAGAGGCCACCGGATTGGCTAAGCTAGATACCTTCCTGGCTGGTATATTCGCCGACTGGGATATTTACTCGACTATCATCACCACGGTCATTGTTTTATTCGCCACATACTCTTTACTATCGTCAAAAGATCCTGATGTTCACCCTTACCTCCTTGCTAGACAAGCTACAGAAGCTCCTGTGAGACAACCAGGTCAATCAGCTGCATTCAGAAACCTAGAGGTGCCCCATGGCTTTCCCTTGAAGAGCGGTTTAAATGTCAAGGACCCCGAAGCTCCAAAATGGACAGGCGGACGCAATGGTGACTTGCGTGATATCTGGAAGACCGCCCTTCGTGGCTCAACTGGTGAAGTCGGAACCACTGCCGGACAGCGCGGCAAGATATACAGTGTTCTAGGAAAGAGTGCCATTGAGCGCACTCTAGACGAAATCACAGCAGAGATTAACGTCATTGGTAGATATGTCCAGGACTCCAAGGCCAAAGTTGTTGCTATCAGCTTGTCTGATTCCGTCGAGCTGTTGGCTTCTCTGTTTGGTAGGCGTCGTCTCTGAGGAAGTGACATAGGCTTTTCTTACTTACGAATTGTAGCCAGCGCCTTCTACGGCTTCCAGACAGTCTTGATCCCACACAACCTGGATCCCAAGCAGCTAGGAAGCTACCTAAACAAGGTTCAAGCGGAATTACTCATTGCAGAAGCCGGTGCCGTCGATCTTACAGTCATTACCTCAGGTAACAAGCAGTTAAAAAATGTCATTTGGGTTGCAAAAGAGGGAAGCCGACACATGGATTGGAATGAGGTTCCCGCAAAAGCTGCCGGCAGTGTCAAGGTCGCTGTATGGCACGAGCTTGTAGAAGAAAAGAAGAAACTTGATGATACGGAGGTTCCTGCTTATGATCCCAAGTCTGCAACTCCTTCTATAATTGCTTTCTGGCCCAACAGCGAAGAATTTATTGAATATAAGCCTCAGGTTAGTACTGAATGCCACCACCTACTCAACCACTCGCTTACTGGTATAGAACATTGTCTCTGCAATCGGTGCACTTCTCAGCTCATTGCCCAGAAACCAACGCTTGGATTCCAAAGACGTGGTCCTAACCATTGACTCGCTTATCCGCCCCTACGCATTGAGTTGGATCTTGGCTGCTCTCTACTCTAATTCGTCCATTGCATTGAACTCTGTCGCTGGTGAGGGAGTCGACTTTGCACTTGCAACCTTGGGCATTTCACCAACTGTGATCGTATCTTCAGCACGCACTGTCTCTGACTATCACAAGAAATTCATGAAGCCCCACACCGGCCTTATCTCGTCTATAAGCCGTTCGACCCAAGCGCGCACACTCGATGCTGGGCGAATGCCGTCTCAGAATGCCCTCAGTCGCTTGGCCAATATTGGACCCACTGCTGAGTTATCCTTGTCGGAGCTTCGATTGCTTGCCATTTCTTATCCCGTCGATGGCTCTCCGGAGGATCTTTTGAGTTCAGAATTATTGACCGATCTTCGCATCTTTACTGGTGCTCGCATCGTGTATTCTTTGACTGCGCCTGGTATTGCCGGCGGTATTGCTCAGACCCATTTGTTTGATTACAGACGACACTCGGGTCCCGCTCATTTCGGTGCCCCATTGAGCAGTATCGAGATTGTGCTAAGCGGCCACACTGAGGACACAGGTATTGAGAGAGCCGTTGAGGGACAGGTATGTCGTATCCTCTTAAGGTTATTCTCCAGACTAATTATCGCAGCTTACGGTTACTGGACCGGCGGTTGTTACCAAGACTGTTACGATTCCTGTGCGTGCACGTTTCCGCGATGACAACACGCTGCAATTGCTCAAGTAGTCAATAGCATTATGACATTAGAGCTAGACTTGTGACTCTAAGTCAAGCAAATTTCGGCAATGTATGAACAAAATGACATCTAGCAAATTATGAATACAGCTTAAATAGTTCCTCGATACGAATTTTGTATATCGGATAGTCTACTTCAGGCTAGAAAGACTATTTAGGATCCTGAAAATCAATAAAAGTACACGAAGTTATTATAATACACTATCGAAATAAGTCTAGCAAGGATGTCCGCTATAGAATGGATTGAATCTCCCTCAACCCCAGCGTGGGCGATTCCTTTCTGCTTTCAGGTGCTGTCTCGACGGCACGCTCAGCAACAGTCCTCAACTGTCTCAATCGCTGGTCAATAGTCTTGACCAGATCCTTATCCTGCGCCACACTCTTAACCTGTTTCGCCATCTTCAATCCGGAATATATAAGCGCAATTTCCTGCAACAACCTATCCGTCTCATACCACGATTCAGTCTGCCGATCCAGCTGCGCAAGCTCCCACGTCCCTAACAACTTTTGCGTGTACGAAAGCACCTTTCCATCCACATCATCTCCCTCTACCTGATCAATAGCACGAGCAGCACTCAACTCCGTCAACAACCCAATGAAGAACGGCTGCCTCTTCGCATCCTGCGAGATATCATTATTGGTATGTTCAGGCCGTTCCATTAACAAGGCTGCTTGCTCCGCATATCGCAGCGAAGCAGACAACGCATCGCCCGTGAACCCAGCTTTTTTAGCCTTTGCATGCAACTCAGAAGCAAAGCGGGACGCAACAGTGCGATCCGCAAACGAGAAACCCGTCTTGCCGGATTGTTTCGCAGCCTCTAGGATAAAAGGCAAATTATCTGACTTTCCAGCCAATCTCACCCATTTCTCTGCATGGTCTGGCTTGAACTTGTATTTGGCATGTAGCGAGCCGATCAGCAGCGGCACGAAATTCTTCCAGTCCTGCGAACTGCGCATGTCTTCAACGGCGCTAATGACTTCACGTTTGCTGGGGAGGGATTGGCGGTGCGCAGGCTTCAGAGTGAATTCTTCGTTGCCGATGGTGATTTTTACTTGTTCTTGGTTCAGGCGCTCGCGGTACCGGTCGCGGAAGACGAGGCGTTTTTGGTGTTCGGCAAAGTACATGGGGACGAAAAGCTCGGTGCGGATGCGGTTGAGTTTTTGGTCGAGGGCGGGCGAGGAGCTGGGGGTGAATGATGGGACGGCTGCAGCATCTTCAGTTAGTTTGTGTCGTATACTTAGAGAGTGTTGTAGATGTACCTTTGGTGGACTGGCATCTTCGTTGTACCAGAGGGTTTATTGTCTGTTGGAGGCCGCTGCCAGAGCGAAAGAGCTTTTTGCCAATGGCATTGTGTGCCATTTTGGCGAGTCTGTCTCTGCTTTAGACTCTTCTTGTTGAATTAAATTCTTATCGAAATAAGAAAAGATTAATTATCGTTTTCAGGAGTAATCAATTGTTGTGATTGTTGTAATTGCTGTCGAGTAATGTAATCTGAAGTGAGCAGCCGAAATTCTGCAACGCTCGGACCACCCGACCTCCGTCTTGCGCTGATTTCTCCGCTGGCTAAACTTCTGGTCTTCTACACCAACACCGCACAACACAACCAATGGCTTTATTTCTACAGAGCCTGCGGCCACTGGCCATGGCCAGGCCGAGTAACGGCATCCTGACACAATCGCGAACAGCCATGCGAACGATCACGACCAAATATACACCGAACCCGAAGCCGGTTCCTCTACCAGAAAATCTACCACCGCAATATTATTCGCAGCTTCCGTTACACATTCGTCCACAGCCAGGTGCGTTTTAATTTTAAGAAAGCTCAGATGACTCATATCTGAGATACAATTTGTTGTTTCTTGAGGATGGGGAGCTAACAGCTAGACAGACAAGAAAAAATGGCGAATCCATCCATCCCCCCCCTCCGAAATGAACATATGCAAAGACCCCGTCGCCGCGGTCTCAGGGCGGCAGATAACTATGCTCGACCCTACCGGTGAACGCAAAGCTCTATTCGACTACCGCCGCAGCGCCCGCAGCGTGAAACCAGGCGACATTGTGCGAGTGACATTCAAGAGCGGCGATCCGTTTGCCGGTGTTTGCCTAGCCATCAGACTGCGTGGCGTGGACACATCGTTCCTGTTGCGCAATCAACTAACCAGAGTTGGAGTGGAGATGTGGATTAAGGCGTATAGTCCGAATGTGGAGGGTGTTGAGATTGTGCAGAGGACGGAGAAGAGGAAGCGCAGAGCAAGGCTTTATTACATGCGGTATGCTTTCCCCCTTTGTCTTTTTGATTTGTTGTTTTATATCTCTATGCTTACTAACATCAATCAGTCAACCCAAGCATGATATGGGCAGCGTGGAGAATATTGTCCGCAACTACCTCCGCCAGAAGTCGGCCATGGCTGGGCGTAAATAGAGAGTGCAATAGGCTCGGCGGTAGGGCTGGTCGCATGTCATCAATATCTGTATATTAGAATCGGCAATGAATTTTTTGTTTTGTTTGTGCACTACGTCTTCTTTCATGGGCGATACTGAAAAGGGGAGGCGACACTTGACGGCAGGACCATGATCGATATATGCCACTATACCCCAACCATATCGCATATCGTCCTAGGGATCGGAGTCTTACTATACTATATACATTGAAGTGGTATGCTATCAAAGAAGAATAACTACGTGACTTAGTTAACTAACTTAGTTAACCAACCAGTACCAATTGACGTAAGCATACAGCAAATGGACGAAACTGGGAAACTCCCCGTCCCCGCGGGCGCTGATTGGCCCAGGAAACAACAACCCCAAAAATGCATGATGGATCAAGACGACACTGTGATGCCAGAAATGGATGATAAATCAGGACGACACTGTGATGTCAGTCTTTTCCTTCCTTCCTACTCCCTATAATACACCAGATCCTCCCCCTCCAGAATGGACAATACATCACTCCCCGTCGTATCTTGCTACAGATTCAAGTATACATATCCAAAATGGCCTTCGCTCAAGCTGCCAACGTGGTCGAAAGCGCCCTGCCTCGTGAGCAGCGGCCCATCACCACCGATATCAGCAACTATTCTGCCAACGACTATGGCGACCCTAGCCATTTGATGAAGGCGCTGACATGGCAGGGCAAGTACTCTGTCAAAGTTGGTACGAATACTACACAGAAACAAACAAACACAGAATAAGTTCTGATAGCAGACAGTGGACACTCCCAAACCAAAGATCATCGACGACGAGGATGTGATTATTAAAGTCACCGGAAGCACCATCTGCGGCAGCGACTTGCATCTCTACCACGGTAAGTTCTTCCACTCGCTCGTCAATGAGCTTGTGATCTGACATGTCGCAGGAGTAATTCCTGAAATGCAAAAAGGCGACATCCTCGGCCACGAATTCTGCGGCATCGTTGAGTCAACGGGCCCCAAAGCAAAAAAGTACAAACCCGGTGACAGGGTTGTGGCTTCGTTCCAGATTGCGTGTGGGAAATGCTACTACTGCAAGAAGAAGCTCTCGTCGGTCTGCGAGAACACGAATGCTGATGCATTGGCGTCCAAGTTGTACGGGCGACGGACTGCCGGTAAGCCTTTTTTCAATTCTATAATATAATTATGAAAGACCTTATTGACACGGTATAGGAATGTTTGGATACTCACATTTTACTGGTGGCTTCGCCGGTGGACAGTCCGAATGGGTGCGTGTCCCATTGGGCGATGTGAATCTCCTCAAACTTCCCGACAATGTTCCCGATGAAAAGGGCCTTTATCTGTCAGACGTCCTCGGCACATCCTGGAATGCCGTTGTCGACACCGGCGTCGAAGAGGGCGATACAGTCGCTATCTGGGGTGCCGGCCCTGTAGGACAAATGGCTGCTGAATTCAGTTTCTTCAACGGCGCAAAGCGCGTTATATCAATTGACGGAGGATCCGGGTCATGGAGACTTGATTTCCTCAAGAAGCGCATGCCACAACTTGAGACGATTAACTTTACAGACCTACCAAAAGGGGAAAGTGTGACGAGTCAGTTGAAGAAGATGTGCGATAATCGCGGGCCGGATGTGGCCATTGAATGTGCGGCGGGCGAGTATGCGCAGAGTTGGCAGCATTACTTTGAGACTTTGCTGGGTCTGGAGACGGATACATCTGAGCTGCTCAATGAGATGATTACATCTGTCCGCGCTTTTGGCCGGTGCGGTGTTACGGGTGTTTACGCTGGATTTGTTCGTTCCCTGATACTTTTGTTTCCTCCACTCCATAATTCGATCATACTGACTTAAATAGTGCAACCATTTCAATATCGGCTCCCTCATGCAAACCGGCATCCGCTTTATCGGTAATGGTCAAGCACCTATCCACAAATACTGGGATCATCTACTCGAACTCGTTCAGGCCGACAAGATCAAGCCCTTGCATATGGTCACTCATCGCTTCGATATCGCTGATATGGAGCAAGTCTATACCCTGTTTGATAAGCGACAGCCTGGTATCCAAAAGGTGTTTATTCAGACACGTCATTCGGMTCCGCCTTCTCCTGGAGCGCCTAAGTTGACTCGATTGTAGAGTAGTGTTATCTTTCATGATAAGATTTGTATATGGAGTACAGGTATAGTTTTGTGTCAAGGTGCCTCTTTTATAATAATGTTCAGTATGTTAGTGTCTACTTTAATCAAACAGATTGAATGATACGACGATTGAGATAATACTGCTTGCTTGTTAATAAGAATTTGAATAAATAAATGATTAGAGTTAAAGAAAACTCTCCACTTTCGATGAGAAAGAGAATGACAAGATTGTGAAGTATAGTTGCCACTTCCTGATATAATAAGTTTGGTCACCACCTGGGCATGTCTCAACTTACTTTCCTTTCATCTCCCTTGTCTTACCGACCAAGCTGATTGTATCCATGGCCTTATCAGATGAGAATAGATGTGATATTTGCACAAAATGCTGTTGTAATTCCAATGTTGCAGAAAGCCGCTTTCAGAGATTGACTCCTTTGTCATCAGAGCATAGAGTAAGTTACGATGAGGAATAGGATGGTCGGGCTGCTATGTAGAATTCCTTAAATAGCTGGTCCCTAGCCCTTCCTGACTTCCTCTTCTATTATCCTCTAATCATCCTCATTTCAGAGTCATATATATCTGGGTACATGTCCAACACGTGCCACACTGACATCGCATGGTGCTGAAGTATCCCGCAGTACCACACAGCTATATGTGTTGCTGGATCAACTTCCATAATTCACGAGTCAATGCTACTCTCCTTTTCAATATCCAAATTGCGCGTACTATTTGCTCCATATTGCGACTGCGGAATCAATCAAGAGCAAGCCCGCACTTTACATCAAGACAACATCGATCAAAGCATATCCCGATATTCTGATCGTTTCACTTCAGAGCTATGTGTACAATCCAGCGCCCTTCGATGCTGAGTATATCCTGTACATGGCCATGCCCCAATAGGAAGGTTCTAGCTTTCGGACTATTGTGGTTCAGCTGGAATCGGTGTCTACTCGATGCGCTATCATGCCATTATCGAGAAATACGGGAACGGTTCACGTTCATGGGATCTTCTCGGATATAGTCTCACGGTTGGTGGTTGGTAATTCTAAATGTTACCACAGTCTGGAGTAATTTGGTGCTGATATTTGTGTTGTGAGTAGTCGAGGTCTATATATGTACTTGCTGTCCAAAGCCACGGAAACTAGCATGACACTGCTTTCTCCATCCATCTTTCCAATTCAAGTCAGGCGCTGTCGATCCATGGAATATACGGACTCACCAGACGTGGAATTCGTATGGCTCAGTTCCGATCCTTGTGCTCGAGAGAGGTCAGATTTCTCCAATGGGATTCCGTGACATCAAGCTGACGATGTTAAATTGACACAGGGGAACACAGCCAGATTAACGCCTGAATTTGGTCGAGGTTGATGTGCCAATCAGAATGCTATCAGCGAGGAGACTGCGATACCACAGTGTTAACAGGGTCCCTGAGACAAGGTTCAATCTCAGATGTAGCTCAAATGTCACAACATGGTGCTGTATCTTCAATCTCGGTTCTATATATTGTTGTGTCAAACTCTATGAATAGGAAGGCACATTGCGAGGACCATCGAGTCAATGATTTGTCCTTCTCAATGAAGAGAACGCCCAACGAAGGCAACAACATCGCAGGCGACCTGGTTACAAGTTGCCGATACGTTCCAGTCAATTCCTACTTACCGCCATGACAACGAGTGGAGTCACGACAAGCCAACATAGTCATTGAACTCATGAAGATTATATACGAAAGGTTTTCCTTCGACTGCGATTGTCCATTGGACCTTGAAGGAGAATAAGGAGAATGCCTTAGTTGACTTTGAATTCATACAAATGATGGAAGGAAACACCAGGTCAGCCAACTTTTTCACATTGGGCAGGCCAAACTGTGTCAATTACAAGGTCTCAGAAAACATGTTTTCCTAAAATTCCTGAGTTGTTACCTCAGTTCAATCTGAACCCTACGAGTAGCAGAACAAAAACCCTATTGAAGATCGTCTCAGGCTATTCTCGTTTCCTTTCGTTTTCTCTAGCTTCACAATCGTGGAGTTTTGCCTCCATTCATTCGTTTGGGATGTTCTTCCTCACGAGTGGTCATATATTACCGACCGCAATAGCTGCGTGCCACTGACATGCGTTGCGGGTTCGACTGCTCCCATACAAGGACCTTGAGAGGTCAACAGTCCCAGAATCCTCAACTTCGACTCTGTATTCATACTCAGTGACCTGTGAACCTTGCTACGACGAGCGCTTGAAATGGCAGTGCCGTCAATAAGTCCGCGTTTGATACTAAAACAGCGGGCAGACGAGAAAAAGGCATACAGCTGCCGAAAAACCACGGTATGAACGGACTTCCAAAGCCATGGCCGAAGAATATAAGCGTCAAAAAAAACCGCTAGACTCGTTCTTCTCATTGAGCGTTCACTCCCCTGAGCACGGAGCCAGCCTCAATATTGCGAGATTGCATATGCATGATTCATCTCATGAACGTCCCCGATCATGTCCTTGCTTCAATGATGGCTTCGCCACTACTTCGCTTTCCCACTGCTGCTAATCCGGAATTTCAAGAAAGACCGTGCTGTAAGTGGCTATGGGAGAAAGACAAAGATGGATATGTTTCCGTAACACAGACACTGGGAATTACACGAACTGGCTGCTGGAGATTCTTTGGAAACTCTAGCACAAAGATCAATGGGCTTAATGCTGACGATGAACTTAACAATCTAACTGCGCGTGTACAAAATTACGAGCACATGGCTGGAAATTTAACAATTGATTGGAATCGATGGTTGGACCGCGGTATTTCCTATAGACTTCGAATTCGTCAGTGAAGGAGAAGTCACCAAGCCCAGACGAATATATGGAGAGATGGCCCTCAATTGCTAAAGGTTTGGAGTAGACCTTGCCGATTTGGGATTCCATGCCTTGATGCACTGCATTCGTCAGACTATCGGCGCCATATCAACTTCGCGCCAGGGGAGAAAATCCAGGTTTTCAACAGAAGTATTCCTCTTCGACTACAGTCCCTCAAGTTCAGGAGAGGAAAATGAGGCACCAGGCCGACAAGAGGATTTTTGAATGGCATGTCCCTGAGAATCGTCTATTCAAAACATTCCAGCTCAACTTCGATTGTTTAATGTTAGACAGGGAATAGATAAGGGACGATACCAGACCTTCGATCGCCTAAATGATCCTTGAATACCATTTTCACATCTCATATGCTTGTCTATCCAACAAATTTCCCGTCGACTTCTGACTCTGTGACGTCGGACTGAAAGCCGAGAATATCCCAAATAGTACGGCAAGAGCGCGAAGCCAATGTTCTCCTCGACTGATGGGCAGTGTTTAGAGCTAGATCAAATTCTTCTAATACGGTGTTCGACAAGTTTATTGGCAAGGATTCAAACGTGAGAGACATTTTGAATAGAAGCTGAGACCAAGGGCACGTATATTGTTGCGTCTCAGGTCGACTACAGGAAACTGATCGCACAAAAGCAGAATCAGCTGGAATCCGTTCAGGTCGACTTTACCGACGAAGACTACAGTGGCAGAACATCACCAGGATTACTTCAAGTTGCTATGGTTTTCCTGCGACAATACGGACAACGACGAATGCACACTTCACAAACCAAAATTAAGGTCCATCCACTTGTAATAATGGGCAAGAGGAATGGAAGGACTTCCCAAGGTGGTCCTCTTGCCAAATGCCTCCTCAAACGAGGAAACTATCTTTTTGGTCGAACCGGTCGCCACTATCGACTATCTCGAATGCTTTCCAGCACCAAATACGTGCAAAAGGAGGGTGAAGGGAAACTTACTGACAACGAAGAGGACAGTGATGAGGGTGATACTCAGGAAGGAGCTGACGACGCGAATAAAAAGATGGTCCCGGAGATGATAGTGTGGTCGGAGACGAAGAAGGCCAGCCAAGAAGGACCACCTTTGGAAATTTGTTGTATACTACTGTATCTACGCACTTGAAGAGATCTAGACGATATCAAAACGCGAGGAGTTCATCAAACCAGAGAAGATGAAACGATTCGTCGCACGAGCTTTTCACGGGAGTCAATGAAGGCGTCTCATGTGTGTGCTATCGCCATTTTGACACATGGAGGCCCCTGGTGAAGACCTTCTGCCAGACGAAGGTTGAGGAACGTTGCTTTGCATGGCACTATTTCATTCCATACTAGATAATTTGGTATGTGCGCAGCTTTTTGGTCTAGTTGGTTGCACCAATATAGATCGTCTCCTCCAACTCCAATCATCTCTCTATTCCGTAAAACGCCAAGAATGACAAAGTCAATTTCTTCGGCCACTATTGTTGCAACCATTCTCACCTCTACCTTTGACTTGATTGCCGTAGGGGTTGATTGTGAATGCGAGGTTGTACGAGGCGAGTGGTCTTTCACATCGGAGAAGAGACCAGGCATATCTAATGATTGGTAGATTTAGTTGCCTGTTTCTACGTAATTTGGAATTCGCTCCGGCGATCTGTAGACGGAAGATTTCCCCTCGACGGCAACTATCTGCGCATCATCTAAGCTGTAGTCTCGTGAGTCATCGGATCGAACGGCGGTGTGGTGCTCAGCTAGAATCGGAAAAGACCGCTGCACAAAATGAGTACGGACTAGAGCAGTTACAAGAGGGTCCAAAGGAGGGACAACACAACTCGACTCCAAGCACAAGAAGTGTAAAGAAGTTCGTATAGGTACAATTTTAGTCAAGTTCCGGTTAACATGTATAAACATGCGATCAACGGTGTGGATCGACAGCAAAATAGAAGTGAAAAGAAGAAATTCAGTGAAGAACCCCTCCATTTCGTGCTGTAACAAATCGCTCAATAAGGAAGAAAACGAAGTGAAAGGCTTGGCTGATATGGCCAAGTGGAGAAGCTGTAAAGTGCAGCCAATAAGCAGAGATTTTTCGATCAGATAAGATTATCGCTACCACAAAACGCAGGTAGCGACATCGGATGGCTGACGAATGCTCACGTGACTAGATCTAATCAATCAGATAATCGGGAGTCCCCGCCGTTTTCTCTTTTCTCCTTCTCCCTTGCTCCCTCGCACTGAATCGTCTGCTACATCTTGAACAGATTGATACCCCTAGTAATTGGTCGTCCATAGTCTTACAGCACGACTGGTTGACTGGTTGACTGTTGACTGACTGAGTTCCGCTCAGCAACTGGCCTACATACCTGCCATCTGCCACCACTCCAATCTGATCGGCTCGGAAAGCCGCGCATTTTTCCGAGCTTCCGCCGACGCTCCGGCCGCCGCTGCAGAGGCTGAAAAGGCGTTCCTCTTCACCATGTCGGCAGCCATCGCACCATCGCCATCTTCAGCTATTGCTGCTCTGGCTCCAGCCATGCAACCAAAGCCAATGAGTCCTTCCGACACTAACATGTCTCCGCGCCCCGGCTTTACGGGCTCTCTGACCAGCAAGGAATGGGTCATTCCGCCAAGGCCAAAMCCTGGTCGAAAMCCCGCCACTGATACTCCGCCTACAAAACGCAAGGCTCAGAACCGCGCTGCGCAACGGGCCTTTCGTGAAAGACGCGCTGCTCGGGTCGGCGAACTCGAGGAGCAATTAAAGAAAATTGAAGATGATCATGATTCTCTTGAACAGGAGCTTAGAGACCAAATCACTCTACTCACTAAAAATCTGGATCAGGCTCAGAATGACCTATCATGGTGGAAGGATCGGTGCCGCTCATTAGAGCAGGAACTTATTCAGGAGAAAAGTCAGAAAGTCAATGTTGCAGACACCGTTCCTATCAATATACGTCGTAAGACAAGCAAAAGGACCAACGTACATATCATCGAGCAACATACAGATTCGGGCAACAATCAATCAGATCTTGCTGCCACAGGCTGCGGTAGCTGCTCGACAACTCATTGTCAATGCATTGAGGATGCTCTTCAAGCTACTAGTTACAGCGACAAACCCGATGAGCGCTCAGCACCTGAGCCAGCCATCAAGTACGACCCAGATCAAATGGAGATTGATTTTACATCTCGCTTCGCGGCTCCACGAACAATCGCCGCAGCACCGCCAGTTGAGACCAGACCATCAACATCGACTCCTCCAGCAGAGAGGTGTGGTTTCTGTGGAGACGGTACTGCATGTATCTGTGCTGAAATGGCGGACCAAGAATCCTCCAGGCACCACGACAACATTTTTGAGCAGAACCGTTTGGCTCCTATTCAGAATTATTCGCAATTCACGCCGCCCCCTTCGGACAGTGATGCCCGAGAGGTGACGCTACCGTCTATTTCGCAGGCTACGAACCCATGTGCCAATGGACCGGGTACATGCGCACAATGCAGAGCCGATCCCCGAAGCACGCTTTTCTGCAAGACTCTAGCTGCTTCTCGAGCTGCCAGTGGTGGACCATCTGGTGGTTGCTGCGGGGGTAAAGGAGCCGATGGCGGATGCTGTCAATCACGTCCTGCTCCTCGTCCATCTGTATCTAGCAACCCATCGCCTTTGACGCTGACATGTGCCGATGCGTTTACAACACTTTCACGCCATCCGAACTTCTCTCAGGCCAGTGATGAGTTGACGAGTTGGCTGCCGAAGTTGCATACCTTGCCTAAACCGCGGGAGCCTTCTTTGACTGATAGTCTGGGATCGGCACTTTCAGAACGGCCGGCTATGGAGGTTGAGGCTGCTAGTGTGATGGGAGTCTTACGCTACTTTGATAGACGCTTTGCTTCTAAATGATGATCGAACGAGGATTGTTACACATCTTTCACTTCATACCCTCGAACCAGCTACATGGCGTGTCATAGCATGTCATAGCTTCATGTATCGTGGAAAGCCATTCAATTCGAGTTCCGTGTCTACTCCAATAATCTCGCTCCCGGTGAGTCGAGTCCAACGATCTGCTACGAGCTACCTGAACCACGACAATGATGAGCCATATCTGCCACTTCGCCTCGTTACTAATGAATGAGCGAAACGTGGGAACGCGTCGAGTGTACATTATTATGAGTATTTAGTCTGCAAAACTTATCAAGCATGCTTTTGTATATAGTTTCAAAAATGCGTGTCATGATAATGAATTTAATCTCTATTCAAATATCTCGATGATAATATTCAACTTCGATTAGCTCTGATTATTATGAGCCAGAACTGGTTATATGAGCCTATAATTAAGTCGCGTGTATGTTTCCCTGATATGAAACCCAGCCATTTCATTGACAGAAAAGAGTGGGCGATTAACGACGGGCAAAATCCCTCTCAGGACCTCTTAGCAAGTTCTCTGGCGATAACGACAGAAAGCCGCATCAGTGAGACTTTGTTCACAGACATAGCATCTTACAAGAATTTGAGCTGTAGACGTGAGGTCCTTGAGAGAGAAGGAGAGAAGAGGAAGAAAGAGAGGAAAGGATTAAAAGATTTGTTTATTAAACAAAACTTTCGGGTAATGTCTCTCCGCCTACCGTTTTCGGACCCGGCAGATCGGCGCCGTATGATTGGCTGGACAACGGGAGCAAGCACTGGTAGCGTCCCGAGGTTCCCCGTGACGGCTTCAACGCTTTGCCGGCCACGACCTAAACCTCTTCCCGTTCAACCTACGTACTTGCACGTCCAATCTCCTCTCTTCGTTACGTGAAGTCCAGGACAATTTCAACATGATCTCTCAGAAGGTTGCGCAGCAATCGCTGCGGCGATGTACGTTAAGTCTCTGTTTCTGGTCGCGTGGTCTGCTAATTTGAGGTCAAATGAATTAGTGGCTGCCCCCTCGGCATTGACCTCGTCAATGGCCAAGTTCGCTACTCCAGCTGCCATTGCGACTGGCAGATATATGCAGATGAGGTACCTACCCATTCCCCGCCTTATGTCTCACCTCTTTCCTCGTGATATTCTCTGGTTCAGTGGTGGTGGTTGGATATGAGAAGCAGAAGACGTCATCCGAAAAACGACATGAATTTCGGCTAACATACAACCTCCAAAAAGACCAACCTCAACGACACCCACAACAACAGATCCCACCAAAATCCTCGCCCAGCAACGTCTCAAGCGCCCCGTCTCTCCTCACTTGAGTATCTACCGTCCCCAGATCACCTGGTACGCCAGTGGTCTCCACCGAATCACGGGCTCCGTCGCCTCCGGTGCTCTATACACCTTCGCCGCCGCCTATCTCGTCGCGCCCGTGTTTGGCTGGCACCTCGAATCCGCCTCTATTGCAGCTGCTTTCGGTTCTTTGCCGTTCGCTGCCAAGTTTCTCGTCAAGTTGGGTCTTGCAATGCCATTTACTTATCACTCTATCAATGGAGTTAGGCATTTGCTTTGGGATACTGGTCGCTTTTTGACGAATAAGCAGGTTATTCAGACCGGTTGGGCGATGATTGGGTTGAGTACGATTAGTGCGCTTGCGCTTGCGCTTTTGTAAGGATTATATAACAAGGGAGAGGTCTATCTTTGATATCTTTTTTTTTGTCTGTGTCTGAATTTCAAGAAAGTATTATAAAGGTTGTATAAGAAATCAAAGTCGAATATCAGACTGAATATCAAACGGATACGCACCAACATCTAGATATATTAACGATTGCTCCTGTAGAAAACTCACAACAATTACTCGATCTATTCAACTTCCGATGCATCTTCCCAGCAAATCCAGTTGCTTGTCGGACTCAGTTGCACGAAGTACTCAACCAAAAGGCTCCAATGGCTTCGGTCATATCGTTTCCTGAGTGTATGAGCAACATCTAGTAGTTCTATATAGATAGCTATAATCATGAATACATTTTCACCACGACCAACTAATTAACATCCTCTCGCCCATGACTTGAAGTAGTCTTTCTCAAATGTCGTAGATCAATGTTTAGTATATATCAGTGACTAAAGCAAACTAACATAAAGCATAACCTAAAGACAACAGCAAAAGGGAGAGATTCAAAAAAGTAAGAAAGACATCTCGCACGATTCATCTAGGTATCTGATTCCAACATCCACAATACCTAGGTACCCAGAGGTAAAGCATGCCATCTCAATATCGATCTTCTTCGTTACCTTAAACCCCGTTAACAAGAGGGACTTTCAAACGAAAAGATTGCAAAAATGTACTACGTCTTCTCCCGTTCCCATCAATCCCCCGATCCTCCATACTGATACAATCAAATCACCCATCAACGCCATGGACTGGACTGGGAGGCGGATTCGGCGGATGAGGAGGCGGGGAAGGCGGGTATTGAGCTGATTGAGAAGATACTGTAGCGTAGTTGCGTGGTGTGTTTGTGGTTGTGTACTTGCTGTATTGATAGCCTCGTCTGGGGGTGGGGCTTATGATGTTTGAATGTGATTCCATGGTTTGGATGAAGAAATCGTGAGGGTGTTGGACTGGGTATGTGTAGAGGTAGTGGTGTTGGTAAGTATATTTGCCGGAGTTAGGGCAAGGTTGATATAGGACTGTAATCTTGCAACGAGGAGGTCAAGATGGAATAGAATCAGGAATATGAACGACTGTCAAAAAAATCTTTGGTGAGTGATTCCAATGATTAACGATACATGAGTCAGTCCTCATCTTCGAATGTGACAGACTTATGATCTGTTCATCTGTAGACGGGGGTGGTTCGGGGGATTTTTATAACCACGTCTTCTTCAATGCTAGATATTCCTACCACATAGATACTACGACGTAAATGCATGCGCTTCTCCAAAATTGACCTTTGTTCTATGCATCTACGATACCTGCTTCTTGCATGCAGGCCTGATTGATTGGGTTGGTGTTCCTTCCAGACCGCCATCTTGGATCTTCCTCAAGCCACTCACTGTTATTCCTCCCTATCATATTTTTTGTCCATCTGTTGCAGCCCAAGCGGACAGATCTCCCTTTCTGACTAGATTTCAGAATTTGCTTTTTCCTGAGCTTTGACATTTAGGTTCAATTTTGTTTTATCCGCTTATGCAAGTGCCCGCAGAGCTCAAGATAGCTGCCTGTATGAAAAGTCCGCTCGAAGACTACATATTCGAGAAAGAAAAGACGATTCCTTGTAAAAACCGCAAAGGTCTACATGTCGAGTTGACACATCCAAGGGTGTAGTTGTACTGCAGATGTGTTTGTACCTTAATTGATAATAGGCTTGGCCATCTCTACACCGTTTGTTTTTGATCGTGATGATTGGCAAGTGGGTTGTCTGGCTACCTGATCGGTAAAGCATGGCATTGTTCGACAACGTGGATTGTCTGTTGAGTACTCCCGTTGCTGTATCCTTTGTCAAAGGACTCGGAATACCCTTCCTCGAACTCCCACCTGTGGGCAGTAGTCCACGATTGCTAATCATTTTGGCTTTTACACCCCGTTAGCATTCTGACCAAGCTATACCTGAGAATAGCACTCGTGTTCCTCGGCAACGTAATCAATACCACTCTGCGCTGCGATGACATGACCAGGTTGGAAGTCAATATATCAAACAATGATGTGCCCCCACAAAACTGTTCCGATATGTACTGTCGGGATGAAGCATATCAATCTCAGCCATGGTATGCAAGGAACCGCTGTGAATAACATCGAATGGAAGTAAATATCCGCCTTGACTGAGACCAGATTGATGCCCGTGTGTAACTCTAATCTGAAATTCTTATCATTAGCCAATATGGCTCTTTTTCTCCATGCTGTACGTTCGATACTACATGACCCGGCCTGGGCATGTAGCACTGTTTGGAAATGATGCCTTACTGCTGACGGAACCTGAAGAACTGCTCAACAATGGTATAGCCCCGAAGTGGAAAGTTCATACTCCAAAGGCAGCTGGACTCGAGCTCGGTAGGTGTCTTTACAATCTGTGTCACGAGGGTGTTGCCAATACACCATGGCACTGCGTAAGTCTCATATATTCCGCCTTAGATCAGCAACCACGTGTTTTTCTGCAATATTTTTATCACCATGTGTTCGCTGTATGGACCCAGTCTCCTTTTCTTTGGGTAGATAGCGGTAGCGACGCGAGCCCACTGTCACATTGGCGTTCCCGTAGCATTCCATAGTTGGACCCAAATTGAATATATACCGTGGCTACTCACGAGTCAAGTTATATAAGGTATCCAGACGGAACCAAATTGTTGCGATGGGCTAGGCGAGGTTGTACTGGGCGCCTATACTTGAACTTCGTATGTCAATCGTGTAACTGGGTGAAGATTGTCTCTTAAAAGCATGCCGCTAATTTGCTCAGACCCCTGAAGAAGCCTGGGACCTTGTAAATTGCGATGTTGACGGAGGAACCGTGACTTGATAGCATATCATCTCGATGTTGCGCAGTATGACGTTAGTCGGCGATCTACAAACTGTCAAGCGTCCATGCTAGCCAAGCTCCTGGTTGAATGCTTGCCCAGCCCAACTTCATCATTTCGAAATAAGGTAGAGGAAGGTCGAAAAAAAAAAGGAAGAAGAGATGGACAGCCGCTTGGCACTTCCGTGATGTCTTTACTAAAAGGGACTAGCGCGGAAACAAGAACTTTAGTTCCGTCCAAATTAATTTGAGCAGCATCACCAAACATTTCATTGACGACAGTACTTTAACCTACTTTCCTGCGCCTTACATCCTCGATAAGCGATTGCTCGCCGCGCAATTGCTTGCTCTCTCTACACCATGTCGACCACCATCCCCCGCCAAACGATACGAGTCCTCTCGTCACGAGCACGTTCCTCCCTCAGGCCGTCTTCCGTCTCCTCGTCGCAACGTACCTTTTCCAGCTCGTCGACCTGCGCCGGCGAAAAGAACAATGAGTATGTAGACAAGCCGCGCTGGTCATACACTCCTCCCGGCACAAAGGCGCCGTTTAGTCTTCGTCAAATCGACAGTACCCGAGAGCCTTATAGAGCAAACGAGGACCCGGCAGTCTTGGACAAGTTTTATAGGTCACTATTGGGACCCAATGGAGATAAAATGCTCTCGGAGGAGATCAAGTGGCTGGCAGTAACTCATAAGAGCTTTGATCAGGGACGACGAGGTTATAATGACCGTCTAGCGCTGCTCGGTATGCTATACTATCTGGGATGTCGTTGCGCTCCTGCTAATCATAGATTCAATGAATAGGTAAACGGATCGTGCAACTACAAGCATCGCTGCTTCTCGTCCAGAACCCAGGAAGTTATAAAACCGAGGTTCCGCCTTTGAGCAAGGAAGACCAGCATAAAACCATCAAACATCCTGCTCTCGAGGGCCTCGAAAACCTCACCTTGGATAACCGTGGATGGTTCACACACAAGTTCAACGTCTCGAAAGTTGCGGAAAAGTACGGATTGCTGAAGGTACTTCGATGGGCGCCCGTGAAGGTAAGCCATTAACAAGCAACTTCTAGGATATATACGCGAGTCCGAGAATGCTAACAGATCGTTTCGAACCAGCCCAATGATTTGGAACACTCCGGCCTCAACGTCGTCCTCACCCATACAATGTACGCTATCGTCGGAGCCATTGCCCTCGAGAGAGGTGGCGTTGAAGCCAATGAATTTGCTCGGCAACGCATCTTGGCTCCCCAAGGACTGGGAAGCAATTGATTGTTCATGGGGTTGGGCTGTTAGCGAAAGGAGCATTCAAGGCGTTATCTTTTCTTTCCATGTATTTATATTCGGATTGTACGTGGTCTTTGATTGGTTTACTTTCTGTCAAGAGGGGAAATGTGTAGAACAGCATCTTGTATTATACGACTTCAGACCGGGCATCTCAAATATATATCTGTATAATGTTCTAACCGACGTCTACGTTCCCTTGAAAAAACCAAGAACGAATAAATAATGATGTATGATTCATCTGACACCGCCTGTGCAACGGTGAAAACCTCGCAAGAAGTCATTACACAGCCAGCTCTTATAGAACCGATGATAAAAAAATCCTACTCTCCGCACCTCAATATCGCAAGGGTCAGCAATAGGAAGCCTGATTGGTACAGCTGACAGAATGCCAGAGTAAACCAGGTGTTGTCTTGCACTGTCTTTAGAGAGCGTTGAGAGAAAAGAAGAGAAAAAGGAAAGAAACGAAAAAAATTAAAGAGAGAAAATATATGGAGCGGAATACGCTAGACTGTTTTGGGCCTGGGCTGCGGAACTCCTAATGAGGTGGGCCATCTGAGGCTTTGATTGGTGGGAGACTAGAAGGGCCACATGTAGGTCAATATTATGGAGGAGCAGCACGATGATGATGTTGCCCGCAGTCTACGACAACATCATTTTCACGGCCTCGCATTGCTCCTTACTAATTTGAATTGATTGTTGAAAGAAATTGCGAGGGATTCAACTCGTCGAGATGTGCCTTTAATTGATTGTATTCTAAACCCCCGCCGACGACTACACAACCTCCGAACCTCCCAGAGGACCTTGCACAGCACGCACATCATGGCGTCGGCTCTATTCTTCTTGGACTTGAAGGGCAAGGTATGGTTATTATGTCCAAGTATCATGCTGCGACTCATGAGTTCAATGCTCTATGAGCTGTGACCGTGATCTCCTGTGCGGAACTGACTGTATGCAGGCCCTTCTTGCCCGCAACTACCGCGGTGACATTCCCATGTCAGCAGTCGAGAAATTCCCTATCCTCCTCAGCGAAGCTGAAGAAGAGAGCTCAGCCGTGCCTCCCTGCTTTTCGCACGAGGGCATTAACGTATGTGTTGTCATCTCCGCCGATTCCTCTCCAGTTCAAAGTAGCTAATAGACCATGACCGCAGTATCTGTATATCCGTCATAATAATCTCTACCTTCTAGCGTTAACGAAACGAAATACCAATGCAACCGAAATCCTCCTCTTCCTTCACAAAATTGTCGAAGTCTTCACCGAATATTTCAAAGAATTGGAGGAGGAAAGTATTCGGGATAACTTTGTCGTTATCTATGAGTTGTTGGATGAGATGATGGACTTTGGGTACCCGCAGACTACGGAAACCAAGATTTTGCAAGAGTCAGTCTTTGACAAGGCCTGAACTGTTTTGCATAAGGCTAACTTGGCTGTTCAATAGATATATCACGCAAGAGTCACACAAGTTGGAGGTTCAGGCCCGACCACCCATCGCCGTCACAAACGCCGTTTCATGGCGAAGCGAAGGTATTCGCTACCGAAAGAACGAAGTCTTCCTCGACGTTGTCGAGTCCCTCAACCTCCTCGTCTCAGCAAACGGCAACGTTCTACGCTCCGAAATCCTAGGAGCCATTAAGATGAAATGCTACCTCAGCGGTATGCCCGAGCTACGCTTGGGTCTAAACGACAAGGCCATGTTCGAGACTACGGGACGGGCGACTCGAGGCAAAGCAGTCGAGATGGAAGATGTCAAGTTCCATCAATGTGTTCGACTATCGCGATTCGAGAATGACCGCACAATCAGCTTTATTCCGCCGGACGGAGAGTTTGAGTTGATGAGTTATCGTCTTAATACGCAGGTGAAGCCGTTGATCTGGGTGGAGTGTGTGGTAGAGTCTCATTCTGGGTCGAGAATTGAGTATATGCTCAAGGTTCGTCAAGCACATTACTTTACTCTCTCTCATACTAATTAGTGTAATCAACAGGCAAAAGCTCAATTCAAACGCCGCAGCACAGCCAACAATGTCGAAATCCTAGTCCCCGTCCCCGAAGACGCAGATTCACCACGTTTTCGCACCAACATAGGATCAGTCCACTACGCACCTGAAAAGTCGGCCATCATCTGGAAAATCAAACAGTTCGGTGGCGGCAAGGAATTCCTTATGCGCGCTGAACTCGGCCTGCCTTCGGTCAAAGGCGACGATGAGCACGGTGGAGGCATGACTGGCGGATTTGGAGGCAGTATGGGAGGAGCAGGTCAAACTGGAAAAGGAAAGCGCCCTATAAATGTCAAGTTCGAGATACCCTACTTTACGACGAGCGGTATACAGGTGCGATATTTGAAGATTATTGAGCCGAAGGTATGATCCGTCGAAAACAAAAGATGAATATTAAAACTGACATGTTCTAGTTACAATACCCATCTTTGCCCTGGGTACGATACATTACACAATCAGGCGACATTGCCGTTCGCCTACCGGATGTACAATGATGAGTTGAGCAGGATGGGGTAGATATAGCTGTATTGAACAATTTATCTGAACGATCAGATCAAATATTATAATGAGCGTTCATATCGAGTCAGTGTGTTTACGGGAGTAGTTTTGGCAGGATGACGGCATTATCTAATCGGCCCCATGAGGAAGGCAGCATCCTGAGTAAGGCTCACAAGTCTCACCAGAAACTCCTCCCGACACAATACTTAAACATCTGTCCACTATGTAAAGATGGGCCATTCATACACTGTAGCCCTCCAAATCCTCCCAAAGGAAGCCACATACGTCCGCCCAACCTCTATGAAAGTAGAGAGAACTTGATAGAACCGAAGCATATCATGGTGACTTTGATAAGAGAGTTTTTCTTTGAAGCCACTGGCTTATAATGGTTGCGATTCAGGAATATAGCCCTTGCGTGAGCTTCGAGGCGGATAGTGAATGGAGCCGAAGTCCTGTAGTCCTTACACGAAGAGATCGTGTAGCTTGACGATATAAGCTGGTGAGTGAGGGCGTGTCTATCGCTAGTGACACAGTGAAGGGAACATACAACGGTAAAAGTGCCAACAGGATAAACTAGCACGGCTATTCTAACCTAATATCAAGAACTGGGGTTAGACTTCAGAATAGCAAGCTGAGGGCTCCGGCGACCATGGATCTGTGTAAACTTGTTCTAGATTTTGACTCGGTATGTGATTCTGACTGTGTGCGTCAATTCCTCACTTTTCAGGTACCCTCCAACCATAGTTGCCACCACTTTTTCCGCCTGAATCAGTGAGTGGTTTGTCAGACAATTGCTAGGTCCTCGGATAAAGTTGACAGAACCCCACGATCTAGATCTAACAGATCAATTTTCCCCATATCCAAAGGTACACGAGGCACGGTCCGTGGTGGGTATCTCAGCTGGGTAAGTACGCGCTGTCTGATGTAGTAACTCAAGTCTTGGGCTATTTTCACATCACTTGCTTTACACAAGCTACTTAGAGCCAATACGAGCCATTACTAGAACAAGTGCTATGCATTACCGGGGCGCATTCAACCTAGAGTATCAGCTAGGCTAGGTTTGTGGCAATCTTGACCGCGGCTGTCATGACCAAAAACCCAGAGCTTGATTGTAGAATTTCATGGTCACATAGGTAATTCGGATCAATGCGAGCCGTATCATGCGTAAGGAAATGATTCTGCAAGGTATAAAGATGTGTTGACTTCTTCCTCTGCTTTCTACTTCTCCATCGTTCATCTGTTGAAATCCTCCTACTAGTCATCTACCAAAATTGCTACCCTGACGGAAGATTTTCCGCGACTCATAATCCTTGAGGGACCTCCTTTAGTGCCTTCTTGTCATTCAGACCATGTAGTGCACTTATGACTAATAGAACAGATAGAGAAATCAAGATGTCAGCAGAAACAAGTATCAATGACTGGCAGCGCTCCTTTGAGAAGGAGATTGATTTGCTCCGTCTTGCCTCTACGGAAGGAAATGCTCCGCTCGTGACAATTTACCAGGAGAAAACACCCCAGATGATCACAACTGAGGCCGCTTTCTCTTACATTAATTCTACGGCTATGGATATATCTACAATATATGAAGTTTCAGATGTCTACGCACAGCTAAAAGAAAAACTTGACACCGCAATCAAAGAGACTGAGGCTGACTGTTCTGCCATCCACAAATCCATGCAGCGCTTCAAGGAAACAAAGAGCGATGCTACCGAAAGAGTGTGGGAAATGTTTCTCACTGAGGAAGTCGAAAAGCAGAAGGCGGCGAGCAACAAACGATGGGATGATCTCAAATGTTTTGGTGTGGAGAAGATAAAAAAACTACCAGAAGTCTCTCGACCAGATGCAGCAAAGATCTATTGCATGGGTCTATCTGTCTGTGGCAAGTTGGCTAGCCAAGTCATCAATTGGCTCAAGGATCGCATGGTCAGGATCCATGAACTCCCTTCAAAGGCTGGGGAAAAGATCGCGGAATTCGGTCAAAGGTATACAGGATGGATCAATGCTGCTTTTAGCACTGTCACTGGCGCCTTTGGCAGCATATTTGCCAATTATGCAGCTGTAAATTGTGTTCAAAATGATCAACTTGGCGGATCGAGAGTTGTCAGTCCAGATCGTGACTCTGTATCAGGCGTCACTCTTGAGCAAGCCAAGTAATTCTTCAACACTTCGTGTATATCGCAGTACTGGTGATTCATGACAGCGCAAATTCCGCACCCTGTTTGAGAAGCCTCCATGGTCTGTTATTTTGAGCTAGGCTTGGATGATTTTGGGCCTGTAATATCTTTTACTTGGTTGTTCGTCTTCCAGATGTCGAATTATTCTTTACCAACATTGAATTATCTGGGCACACATGAGACACTTGTGCAAGACTTTATGTTGGGACCTTCATATTTGAAATAGTGTTTTGCTTTGCTCAATGTTTTCTCGCTGCCTTGAGAATATCGAACACAAAAACGTAGCATAGAAGCTGTTGGACGGGGATCGCGCTAGAATTTCCCAATCGGGTATTTTAGCCCTAAGACGCCTGCGCTAACACCTCGGCCCAGGCGATCGCGTTACAATAGAACAAAGTTACCCCATGTAAATATTTATCCAGCAGCCTACAATTTAATTTGACGGAATAAATACAAATTAAGCATGCACTCGAACCACCTCGCATCACTCTCACTCATCCCTTAAATCCTAATTGCAAGCTCTACGTTGAGCCTCCCAGCAAAATGGCCTTCAACGTCCTAACCACCACGGCATCAGACCTCCAAAATCTTCTAGTTCAAAACAAACTCACAAGCGTCCAAATCGTCCAATCCTACTTCACACAAATTGATCGCCATGAACCCTTCCTCAACGCACTTATCTCACTTGCGCCACGCAGCAAAGTCCTTGCGATCGCCGCAGCCCTAGACGCAGAGCGCCAAACTTCCGGCCCCAGATCCCCCTTCCACGGAATACCAATCGTGCTAAAAGACAGCTTCGTGACCGCCTCAGAGTCATTGGGGATGAGCACGACCGCCGGATCCAGGGCGTTTATAGGATCTGTAACCTCGAAAAATGGCGCGATCACGCAGCGGTTGCTTGATGCCGGGTTGATTATTTTGGGGAAGGGGAATATGACTGTTCGTATCTCATTTTGTCTCTGTGAGGTGATTTTACTTGGCATTGATCGTTATAATAGGAGTTCGCGGGCATGAAAATGACAATGATGATGCCTGGCTGGTCTGCGCACGGTGGTCAGACGCTCTCGTCGTACGTGGGGAAGATGGAAGAGAATGAAAAATTACTCGGTCATTCTGTTAGCACAAACAAATTGACTATTCGCAATTCAACCTACTGATGAGTTGTATAGGCACCAGGCGGATCATCGACCGGTTCGGCGGTCTCAGTAGCAGCTGGTTTCGCTCCTCTCGCTATGGGCACAGAGACAATCGGTTCTATCGTTACACCCTCGACACGCGCTGGTTTGTATGCGCTCAAACCTACCGTTGGAATTCAAGATACCACGGGGCTGTACTGCATGACGGAGTTTTTCGATAGTCCCGGGCCTATGGCGAAGTCAGCTGCTGATGTGCGCGTACTTACTGAGATTTTGCTAGGAAGGAGCTTCGATTTACCCGTCGAAACGGATACTTGGGAGAGGATCGAGGTAGGCTTCCTGGATCCGAGGGTGTGGAAAATGGGAGAGGATTTTTGTACCCAATTTGAGGGGACGGCGGAGCAAATGGTACGTAGTTCAGACCCATTATATGTTCAAGAAGCTGATCGTTCAGTGTTAGGTGGATGAGTACGAAGAGACGGTGTCTATTTTACGACATAAAGGCTGTCCATTGAGGTATCCGATCAGTCTGGAGGATACTTCAGCCCTGAAGGGAATACTCGCGATTGCATGTAAGTCATCACCCACGATTCACACCTTGAGATGACACCACTAACCAATTGTTCCAAAGATTGGGACTTCAAAAACATCTGCATACCTAGATTCATCAACTCATTCGACGACTGTCTCATCAGCAGCGTCGCAGATATCGTCAGATACAACAACGAGAATTCCGAAACAGCCCTTCCTGTCCGTACGTTGCCCCCTTCCCCTCAGACCCCGATACTTCGCTTAAAGACGTGTAGCATTCACAGAACAAAATGACCTCGAATCCGCAATGAATAGCACCGAAACAAAACAAGACATCGACAAAGTCAAATATGACCTCCGCAGGACAGCAAGACAAATTCTCGATGGGGCCTTTGATGAACAGCAGGTAAAGCTCATTGCTGCCCCGGGAGATTCGCCATTGTGTATCCATGCTGCCGCTGCCGGTATTTCTCCTTCCTCCTGGTGTTTTTGAGAGAGGGCTATGGTGCTGATTGCGTTTGTAGGGTATCCCATTGCCACGGTGCCGATAGGACAGCTTCGATATAACAATCGGCCATTTGGGTTGTGCATTGTCGCGAAAGCTAATGATGAGGAGACATTGCTACGATTTATGAGTGCTTATGAGAAAGTAGCGAAACCTCGTCCGGTACCAATACTATAGACATATATGCCGTATAGAGTCTCCCTTTCCAGAAGTAGGCGGCGTCTCACATTCCAAATCCACCTCCACAGGCACAGGCACCAACACAAACAGGGCCTGCGGACTCTTCGTCTCGAGGCGATGTCGTGCCTAGTCCCGCTGTTTTGCGAGATGTGCCTGCGCAAAACCTACCGCGTCAACGAAGTCCTTATCCCAGAGCGCCATTCTCGCTGGCTTTAATGCCGTCAGGTAGCCATCTTAACACGTCACAAAGAGATTGACTGCTTGTAGCGTCGAAAACAACGGATAGAGTTAGAGCCACGAGCCAGCGAGAACAGCGAGTCGCGCAGTTCATGTGAGATTTGAGCACTGTAAAGTCGGCTTTCGTTGTATCTCAATGCAGAGTTGAAGATGTTAGATAATTTCATACATCATGCTACATATCAGCCTCAAACTGGATTGGATGTCTAGATTCTGGACTAATTTTGGTAAAAATCCATATCTCGACCAAATTGTTGAATAGACAGCAATCGTCTGAGCTGTTCACGAACCGACGAATCATCCTTACACTGACCTAGGCAATTGATGTTTAGTAGAAATTGTTAGGGTATCTGTTCATTTTGACTATGTACATGAGTTTTGTTTGTATCAATAAAGCGCCGGACTTCAGACTCATACCGAGTTCACACTTCGCAAGTAACAACGCCATCGCTGAAAATAATCAACAAATCAAGCCTAGGATCGTACAGGCAATGCGGGAGTCTATCGGATCTATGGCACGACCCCGGCAATTCATATCGTTCATTTCATCAATCATTCCCGCAAGGATCCGTATTGGCCTCCATTCTGACCCTTGGAATGCGACGCGGCAGACGTAGACATCGGCAGAGGGAACCCGTCACCACCATGGCCCGCCAAAGCCGCCTTCGCGAACCCTTCTCTCGCCAACATTGTATTCAGTACTGCGCAGTTGTAGGCAGCTTCGCCCGGTGGCACCACCACAAAGATGTACGTGTTATCCGTAAACCGGCCCAGAAAGACGTTGAATTGTGGCGTCTTTGTATGCATAACCAGAAACCCTGCAGAGGCCGGAGTAGTATGCGTATTGCGAGCTGCGCAGTGTTTGAATGCCTTCATGATATTGGATAGTCGTTCATGACGATCGTAAATCGGGTTCAGGCTTCCGACCTCAGACGCAAATGATGTAACCGTCAAGAACGTCGAGCGCTCAAATAGAATGACCTCTTCTGCATCGATCTTGGTCGCGAACGCGCTCAGGAAGCGCTCGATAACGTACAAATTCGGAATGAGTTTGTGCACGATCCCGGCCCACGCTTTGTACAGGGATTGATCCCAGATACTGCTGCCAAAGGTATCAATATCGAAATGTTTTGAGCGGTGGCGGATCAGCGACGACCTTTCTTCGTAAATGCGTTGGCGGTGCTCAGCTTGGATTAGGTCGAGTTTGTGGATCAGACAGAACACGTGTGCGCTGGGACTGTGTTGGTGCAGGGCCTCGATGACGGCGTTGTAGGTATCGAGGTCGCGCTCGACTTCGCGGGATTCAATATCGAACACATAGATGAGGACGGCGACGTCGGAGAATATGTTGCTTCGTTGGCCGCCGAGGTAGGTCTCCATGAACGCATCTTGTCTGGAGGAGTCAGTTCTGCGCAAGATATCAAGAAGAAAGAAATAATTACCCTCCACAATCCCAAAGATTCAAGGTCAAATTCCCCATAAACTTCACATGACTGTGTTCCACATCAATGGTGGCACCTAATCGGCGTACATCCTTTGCAACGTAGTTGCTGAAAATGATTGATCGCATTGACGACTTTCCAGAGCCACTTTTGCCCATTAGAAGGACCTTCCTCTTCTTCTTGCGGAGATCCATAGTGGATTATGACAAGCTATTTTACCAGGGTAGGCACGAGCTGGTTATGGTGGATGGCTGAGGTGGTTGTTCTCAGTCGGGTGTCGCATGGACCGTGGTCCTGTGCGTTAGAGCTGGGCGGGGACTCCCATGCAGGTGGGATATGTATAATTCACAGTGAATTCACAGTGAATTCACACGGTATAGCTATATCAGCTATGTCAGCTATTGTGCAGTGCGTGAATACTGTAACTAAGTGAGTGTCAGAAGAGCAATGGGTTGAACGAGGCTAATGAAGAATACGGCAAGGCAGGAAAGCCAGTGCGTCATTACTAAGAACTGCCGCCAATAGCCACTACAAGTGGGGTAACCATACGCAGTATGTTAATAGTATGTATAATAAATATATATATATATTTATAATATAATATAAAGAAATAGAGAAGAAATAAGGTGGTATTCTCTACAATCCGAATATAAATAAATATAAGCTCAAGTATATATCACACCGGGGATCCAAAAGGCGTGCAAAGAAGTAAACACAGGGGTTATAAGAAGCGAAAAACTAGACAGACTGCGTCGTCTGGAAAGAAAGGAAGTCGATGCGTCGATGGTATCGATTTTCTGATATTATTATGCTGGTAGATAAGATGTAGTCATGCAATGCGTAGATTGCATCGTAATCAAGGTATGGTCTTTGCCGTCGTGATAGGGAAACTCATTTAACCATTGGTATCATCATCAATCAAAGACGTCTCTGTATTGAACAAAAGGTGAAGCGAAAAAGTCGAGACAAAGAATAGAATCGAAGAATAAAGGCTCGTCATATTCGATAGAAATATGCCCGAGATTTGTAATAAATGATCAGAAGACTGTGCCATCGGATATAATCATAATCGGTGGCTCTTTCGTGTTTGGTCTTGAGACTTCTGCAATCTCGCGTCCGCCCTAAGTATCATTGATGAGATTTCATTTCTTTAGACTTGGGAGAACAATTTACCTTCCATGTGCCAGCTTCAAGCAATTGAGCTAGAGAAAGAGCATCATCTCCCCGAAGACCGAGCTCATGATTGACCTCCTCTAACAAATCGTCCAAGAATCCCACAGTGACAGCTCGCCATTCGACAATAACGTCGTCATCTGCTGAAAACACTGGAACGACCTCCATGCTCGGTTGACCCTCTCTCCGAGCATTGTCTTCATAAGCTTTGAGGCCCCTCTGCATCTCCGCATCCTTCAGGGTCAATAGTCCCAAGTCAATCAAGAGACCACCGTTTCGGTACTCCGGAAGACCTGTTAGAAGCTCCGCGCCGGCGAAATGAATCTTCATCAACCGTGTCATGGGCACCATTATGGAATAGCATAGCCATTGCGTTAATTTGTGGAACGGTGCAATGCCCTCCCAGGGCTTAGCTGGCGGATGTTGTGGTAAGGTGGAGCATCTCCATGCGTCGCCGATCGAAACTCCGTCGATTTGTGTCCGTGATGGTGGCCAGATGCCAGCTAGTCCGTCCATCAGCACGGACCATAATGTGGGTATCGACACGATTGGGACTGATGATGCGAGTGTCGTAGGGTGGGAAAGGAGGTAATCTAATGTATATTAGCCTTGGTCTCCGTCTGACCCCCAGAAATAACATACCAAGCATATTGCCCGGTCGAGCGTCAACTCCAAAAAGCTCTTGATTGTTCAACGCCTCGGAAAGTCGTTGCAAAAGACCCGCTCGACCCTCTAATCCTGCAAGCGGATTATGCTCCGAGTGTTGCATACCCTTCGCTAAGAGTTCAACAGTCACTTTCTTCAATCCTGCACCATCGACCTGGCATGGCTCAGTAGGATCACTGCTAAATAAACCCGTCTTGAACATTTCCAGGCTTGCCACGGCAAGGCCCTCGCTTCGCGAAAACACCTTTCCGGACTCTTTAGACTTGTACGTCCACTTGTTTCCTGCGCCGGCGTCTAGCAAGACAGATATCAAAAATAGGTCGATTAATCTTCTGGTTCGTTCCGTGGGATCGATTGTGCTGGGCCATGATTGTAGGAGCTGGTCGATTCGCGGCCTTCCACCGACATCAAAATGCTGCCAACGGCCGTGCGGAGGGATTGACGAGTAGTCGGGAGCATAATCTCGCTTCAAAACAGGTTAGTGAAAGCTGATAGCATAACAGACAATGGCGCACCTTTATAATGGAAACGACATATTGCGCAGTCGCTTCAAATTTGCTCATATCCACATCAAAATGTGTCAACTTATCTGCTCTGGCTTTTTGAAGCACAATCCTGGAGCGCTCGCGAACGGCATGTATACTTCGTAGATAGGCAGCTGGGTCGAGACTTGGATCAGGAGGCTTGGAGATTGGGACTTCTGGAATTGACACCGGCAAATTTCCGGTTGATTTGATCGCAGACGACCTTAAGGAGGCTGTTGAATTGCGTGTACTGTGCGCCGATTGGGCATCCTGGTCCTCCTCGCTGTGAATTGAATGTTTTGAATCTTTCCTCTTAAACAAACCCATTGTGACTGAATGTTTCGATTCAATCTATTGGGTGTTTGGGGGTGTTTTGGTGGTGGTTGAGTGCGCGCCGCCTGGCATAAGAAAGATAAGTCGAGAGCGGGGAAGGGGTGAGGGGAGAATAAAGGAGTTAGATGACACGTGCTGCAGACGTGGAAAAAGCAAATCTTCAAAGGCCAGTTGGTCACAAAAGATCGAGACGTAAACTCAATTCGAAAGACGCTTTTATTTTCGCGATTTGGAAGTCTGGACGTGGTGCCAGAACGGAGGATTAGAATCAATAGTACTTTTTTGTCAAGCAAGGAGCCGTTAGTTTCGTGAGAAGATCCGGCGGGGTGATTATTTGGTGATTATCCGACAGGCACCGATGAAAGAAGTACTTTTGGAGAAGAAGAAAAGCAGGAAAAAGCAAAAAAGAAAAAACCGGAGACAAATGACCACAACAGAACGAAGACCAAGAAGAATCGAAGTAAAGTTGGAGGAAGAGGAGGATAGATCAAGAGACTGTAGGCGTCGGGTAAACTGGGGCTCCTGAGTCCTGACTAGTCGGAGCGTCCGCCGGCTAGAGCCTGGACCCTGGAAGAACCTATTTTGTTAGTTAGACGGAGGAGAGACTCTGAACGCCCGAAGTAACCAGTGAATAGCGATTGGCATGGTGAACAGTCCGGTCAGAGTATGTATTTGGAATCTGAAGGTAGAGTCGGCGTTTGGGTGAGTGGCATCAACACATAGAAATACTGGCTGCGTACTACGTATCAGTGTATCACTATCTGGTATCTTCACCGTGCTATCTCCATTACCCTACTACGTACAGTGTACGCACTACGACGTGCCATAAGACGGAGCACTATCCAAACAGGCAAACAATCTACGAACTAGCCAAGGTACGGCGCAGACCCTTATTTCGCTAGCCCGCCCAGTGTAACAATACATTCGCGTCGAGGCGTTACCTTGCCCCTCATGGAGTTAGCCCATAAGCTACCCTCTGCATTGGACGGAGTTCGCCGTCTAGAGGCATATCGAGCTTGCATGCTCGCATGTACGTACTTGCGGCATGCCATGACCTGATACATTGATACTCTCTTGGGCTTGCATCGTAGATCAACACTGTAAGAACGTTTTTCAGTATTGTATGTCGTTACAGAAGCAATACAGAATTACCGACGCTCGGAGTCTATTTCCCGGGCCTCAATTTGGCCTGTGCTGCTTGTTTGCGTGTGTCAAAGCACGGACTCCCGCCGATGGCAATGACCGGTACGTACTTTCTTACCGTTTGTGACAAACACCATACAGTGGCTTACTCTGTGGCAGGGTTACAATCTTCTCTATCTTCTACCAATTCATTTATTCGCTACAGACACGCGATCAGTCCTATCACAATAAGGGTAAGTCCGGCCGGCAAAATGTCTTGATAAGCCGATCGCTCGTACCTTAATAGTGTCTGATTATCGATACGTTACTGATAGCGATACACAGTTGATCCTACACACAGACAGAAATAGGCATCCCCGCAGTACGCCTCCGTACTCCGTACTATGGTGTCCAGTAACCCGTCTCGCTTAGTCCTCCATTCGTGTGTGATTTCTCCAGAGTTTATACTCCTTGTGGTGGCAAATTCCATCTTTAGTAACTTGACAACTCAGCGACGGAGCATAAGCTTGATCCTTTGGCTTTTGATCAGGGTACCGAACGGCACATGGACCACAAAACAACGTATTGAGCCAGAACGTTGTGCATACTCTGTATGACATATGTGCACAACACGGAGATTGTTCCCTTGTCAGGAAAGGAAAACCCACGATCATACTTTAGCTTATTGAAGAAAAAGTAAAAACAAAAGTAACATAAGAAAGTCAAACTTGCAAGATACCCAAGAAGAAAGCCTGGGTCCCAAGACCTTGACACCGGGTCGCATATATGGTCTGTGATTCGTGTAGCTTGAAATCAGGATGGACACAGTTTGACACAGTTTCCTATATGTACGGAGAACCTGTAGAATGCATGATTACGCAGATACGTACCGCTAATACGTACATTACTCTGCAATAAGACGTATGATTATAGCCGCGTAGCGTGCCATTGCATATGCCAATTCGGGCGATATCAAGTCCTCGACGGTCCGCTCCGATTGCCAGAATTGGTAGACCGTCGCACAATCAGCACTGCAACATACGTACTTAGTCGACCACATGGCACAATTGACTTACTGTTGCTGTTGTTGTTGCTGCTGCCGCTGCCGCTTACTCGAAGTAAAATGCACTCGGCAGAAATGAAGAAGAATTCGATTGAGTTTTACCAAATTGGATAACATTCAATAGTCGCGAATACAGGAGTAATACCGGCCTGGTATTGGTGGAGACAGTGTGTGCTCAACGGGAAGACTTCCGATGCGTCAATTTAGACGAACTCTAAGAACGAGGCCCACTGAGGTCAAGACTTTGTAGGTCTGTATGGAGCATCTCCCGTGACTCTCCATATGGAGAAGATAGAGTCATGTGGTAAGAATCAGGTGACTCCCATCGCGAGTCCATGCTTCAGAATCGCCGTCGGTAAACCGTATGTTGTGATCGCCTGATGAGACATAGGTTGGTGGTACATTATGAATGGCGTCATGGGCTGCGAATAACAGCAAAGCCGGATATTTCTTGGCACGCTGTGGGAGCCTGAGGCAGAAAGCCTGATCACCGTCCACCAGCCACAGTGCTCTTCCGCTGCCACTGTGGCACAACGACAGTGACACTATGTTAAGCCACATATCAGTGGCTGCTCTCGATAGCTAACTAATCTCCTGTCGCAACATTGACCTGACGGCACACGACGCCTCGTTTCAGACATGTATTTTCTCTGAACGGCCTCCTGTTCAATTGATGGACATGATTTAGTCGTATCACCGTTTATAGTCTCCGTGACTCATCCCCTGCCTGATACTGTGCCCCTCTACGCATCCCGCACAACTCGAACCGCCTCATTGTTTCCGCGCCGCCTAACGAGTCTTCTACTCACGATGGATGATCTCGCCGGTCTGAGCTGGACTCCCAGCTCCAATGACTCCAACAAGAAACCCTCGCCCATGACCTCGGGACTGATGAATACAATGCGCATTCCCTCGATCCAAGCACGGCCGTCGCCGCCGCCGCCATCGTCGAACGGACATTCCAACCCGCCATCGAAGCCTGCAACGCCGGCTAACGACAGCTTTGCCAATTTGGTATCTTTCGGAAGTTCTAACAACAATAAGAATTTATCTCTATTGGAGCAACAGAAGAAGCTGCAAGAACAGAAATCCAAGCAAGAAGCCGAAAAGCGGAGTCAGTACGAGGCACAGTATGGAGGACAGAATGCTCAGTTTTGGGACACTTTGGATGGGAAAGGGAGCACAAGGACTGCGTCGCCAGCATCTGCGGCGCAAATACCATCTCCAGATGAGGACGATATCTTGGCCGCCTTTAATTCAGCAGCACCTGTGGATGCATCTACAAACTTTCCCATTCCTTCTACATCTACTTCTCGATCAGCGACGCGGAGCCCAATGAATCGAACAATAGCTGAACCTGCAAATAAAATGGGGTTCGATGACGACGACGATCCGTTTGGTTTGGGGACAATGCCACAATCTAAATCGACAGCGGTACAATCTACAACGCAGGACAATGATGACGATGATTTTCTTGGGTTATTGGGAAAGCCTGTGTCTGAAGCTGCGCCTGCAAGGGCCAAATCAAAATCACCCGTCCCGAGTCCTCAAGCGCGTTCTGACGATCCACGAGACCGCGCCGTGGCCGAACTTGTCGATATGGGATTTCCACCAGAAAAGGCGGCAGAAGCTTTACAAAGTACAGAATCCGGTGTAGATGTGCAGGCGGCTGTTGGATGGCTCTTGAACCAAGCACACTCAGAATCGCGGCAGAAAGCAAGATCTAAGGCGGGACTTCCACCTGAAGAACATCCACCGCGCAATCGAGAGGAACAACCACCCGGTAAACAATACTCACCTTCGTGGATGAGAGAAGGGGAACCGGAGGGACGTCGAGGGGATAGCAGATCCCCGCAGCCCCACGAGCGAGATGTCGGAGAAATGGCTGCCAGCTTTGGCAATTCACTATTCAAGACCGCGAACTCCCTGTGGAAACAAGGAAGCAAGAAAGTGCAACAGGCTGTTCAGGAGTTTAACGGTGAAGCAGACCCAAACCAGCCTAAGTGGATGCGAGAAGCTGCTTCTGCTCGAAGTCCGGAAGAACGAGGTCATCGTCCTAAGGTCCCCGAGAAAGATGTACAACGACGTGGTCCGGTGCGTGAACAGCCCACAAATATGACGGACGAGGCTTTACTGCTAGAGTCTGGCGCTGGTCGGCCTACTCGTAGTGCTCCTCGGAGACCTGGTTCTGTAGAGCCACGACACCAACCTGCGCCTGCGCCTGCACCTGCGCCTTTCAATGAAGCAATAGCTGAGAGACGAGAGAATAGAAATCCTTTCCGGCAACCTCAACCACAGCAGCAGCAACAACAACGGCGTCCTCAAGATTTCGGCCGAGATGTCAAAAGTCAACTTACTCGAAATGCGTTGGAAGAGCAATCAGCACAGGCATATGTCAGCCCAGCAAGACGGCGGAAGCCACAGCAGCCTGCTCCATCGGCAGTCACTGAGGATAATCATATAGATCTATTGGATAGCTCAAAACCTGAAAAACCAGCCCCCGCAAAACCATCCGCGCAAGCTCCGATTGCACGAGCTTCGAAACCATCAACACCTATTCCATCACGGCCCAAAGCTCCCCCGCGCACAATCCCTTCAGTCACACAGTCGGCACTTTCATCGTCACACAAGGACCGTGAGAGTGGAAATGATGCATATAAACGGGGGGATTACGGCGCAGCGCATGAAGCGTTTACGAAAGCACTATCCCATCTCCCATCGGGCCATCCCGTAACGATTCTAGTACTCAGCAATSGAGCCATGACTGCATTGAAGATTGGAGAGCCAAAAGTAGCAATCTCTGACGCAGACACGATTCTAGCATTCATTGGACCTGCAAAGGGCGAAGGGGAAACTATCGAGCTCGGCAACGGTCAACCCGCAAAACCAATGAAGGACTTCTTCGGAAAAGCGCTTATGCGCAAGGCCGAGGCCCTCGAGCATCTCGAGAAATGGGTCGATGCAGCAGAGACATGGAAACAGGCCGTTGAAGCGGGCCATGGCGGTAGCACAAGTATTCAGGGTCGTAATCGATGCGAAAAAGCAGCTGGCATCAGCAAACCCGCCCCAGCTGCTGCCGCTGCACGACCTACTACATCCCGACCTCCTTCCAAGAAACCGTCACCGGCCCCTCGCACTTCCGCTCTAAGCGATTTGTCGGGCAGCAAAGCAGCCCCAACCGCCGAAGCAGTTACACGCCTCCGCGCCGCTAACGAAGCCGCCGAGCGAGCCGACGAGGAGAAATTGGCTCTCACAGACAGCGTCGACGCAAAGATAATGGCATGGCGAGATGGGAAACAGGACAATTTGCGCGCATTGCTGGGAAGCTTGGAGAATGTCCTGTGGCCGGAGTCCGGGTGGAAGAAGATTAATATGTCTGAGTTGATATTGGCGAATAAGGTCAAGATTCAGTATATGAAGGGGATCGCAAAGGTGCATCCTGATAAGGTAGACCTCTCTAGCATGCCTTTTTTTTTCCTGCTGATTTGAGAATTTTTGACTGATGATTGATAGATTTCTACGAATGCTACCACCGAACAACGGATGATTGCAGGAGCGGTGTTTAGCACACTAAACGAAGCATGGGATAAATTCCGCCAGGAGAATAATCTATAAACATTGTCAAGATGAAGGAGATAGAGAAGCATAGAGCGTTGAACATTGCACATTTCATACGGCACGTTTGCGTGGCACGATTAGAGATATCACTGAACATATTACGAAGAATTGAAATGATACATAGACACCGAAATTGCATCTTAAACCATGTCTCATAGCTTCTATCTTTCTCTATCTATATTTATAGACAGACTATGCAGGTCGCGAAGGCCACAGTTCTCTCGCTTTCCGCTCATCATCCGCAGACCATGCGCGAGGCAAGACTGCAAAAACGAGATATGAAGTGTGCGTCTTGAGATCCGGTTCTGTGCGATGAACCAATCGGCCCATTTCGTACGATGGAATTTGTGACGAAGTTTCTTTAGTCTGGTTGGTTGCTTGCTGTTTCTGAATTTCCTGTTCTTTTTCTTCAACTGATTCCTCCTCAGCTTTGACAGGAGCGGCTTCGCCGTTGGCAGCAGCGGCAGCAGCAGCTTCAGCCGCCTCCCTTTGAGCTTTTTGAAACTCCTTCAGCCGTCCCTCCACAACCCTCAATTTGCCTACCGCCTCCTCCACCGACCGCGGATACACCATCGCCCTTCTGACGCCCTCCGTCTCGAGACCTACGACTTCTCTGCGGACTTCAATCCGTCGATGCAGTACCTCTACCATTGAAATTTGCAGCCAACCTTGTTGGCGGAGGACGCTAATTGTCTTCTGGACTTGTTCCATGCACGGCGAGAATGTACATATGCGTACTGCGCTTGACGGGTCAAGGGCGGATTCGGTGCCGTCAGCGGGTTGACGGGTGAGATGTTTGAGGGCTAGCCAGGGGGCTGGAAGATCCAAAAATATTGCGTTTGCTTTTGGTGATATTTTCTCAGTAGAATTTTCAATTTCATTAGGAAGTAAGAAGCCATCATTGTAGACGTCGCGGTGCGTGACGCGGACCACATCTTCGAGGCCGTGTTGTTTCAACTCTTCTTGAACTTTCGTTGCTCTTGTTGCGTGGAATTCGAAACTGCAGACTTTGCCGAACCCTGTCTTTTGCTTTTTTTGTGCAGGTTCTAGACTCGCATATCCGTTAAAGACGGCTCGAGCAGCGGCATGCGTAAACGAGCCACTCCCCGCACCAGCCTCGATAATCGTCTTGCCCGGCGAAGCACGTAGTCTGTGCAGAATATAGCTATAATCCGGTGTGTAAACCACCTGCGTCCGATGCGGCAATGCCGAAGTCCACGACTCGGGCGTAGGTGGAATTAAGTGAATGAACCCGCTACTCGCAGCTTTCGGGGATGCGGCCGTCGCGGCATTGCTGGTAGTAGTATCGTCACCACCATCAGCCAGAGCAGCCGCTTTTCTTTTCCCTTTTGTGCGCGATCTTTTACCGGTGTTGACATCTGAGGCTACTATTTGAGAGCCCCATGGTTGATTGATTAGTGTAGTGTGGGGAAACGAGCCGAATCGTGTGTTTACGACTTTGCCTTCGTCGTAGCCTTGCTCTTCGTCGTCGTGGGTGCGGAGGATTGTCGGGACGAGGGCGTCTCGGCGGAGGTGGAGGATGGCGAGTTGGTCGGCGGAAGAAGTTGTCCCGGGGTTGAAAAAGGGGGAGGGCATGTTAAGAAGAGAAAATCTCCGAATCTTAGAAAATCAATGGCAATATGTAGAGTTGACAGGAGTTGCGCAAACTGTCGCATGCTGGTTGATTGAACTTTTTTGCGGCCCGCAGAGCTCACCCAAGGCGGTTAGACCAGGGTTAGCAGGGTTACCTCTTCAGACTGAGTCAACATCGAATGGATGACTGCAACTTTTGACTCACAGCCCCTCCTTGCGCCATTCTCCAGATGTTACTGGCAGCTCAATAATAATAAAGCCCCTCATCCCTTCCTCTCTCGCTTCTCTTCTTGTCTTTCTTCATTTTCAGACGGCGCTCTCTCTCTACATGAAATTGCACATTTCTGTCTTCTCTATACCACGATTGCGTTTCAAACCACCTACCCAGAAAACATTCGTTTCGATCTTGTGCCGAACCATGGCGACTGCTCGCCAGCAGCCAGCATGGAAGAAACCCGCCGCAACCGACGCAGAATTGCCCTCACTCAAAATCTACAATTCCCTGACCAAGACCAAAGTGCCATTCGTGCCAATAGATCCCACGGGGAAAAAGATTAGCTGGTATGCGTGCGGACCAACTGGTCAGTCGAAGCAACTCTACCCTGCTGAGATATATGCGCCGGCGCATAGCTGACTTTTTTGATTGTGTAGTATACGATGATTCACATCTTGGCCATGCGAGAAACTACGTTACGACCGATATCATTCGTCGCATTCTCCGCGACTACTTCAAATTCGATGTACATTTTGTCATGAATATTACTGATGTCGATGATAAAATCATTCTCCGTGGTCGTCAACAATACCTTTTCAACAAATTCGTCAATGCGCATCCTACAGTCGACGCAGCTGTGCTCGATACCGCCAAGGCTGCATACAAGGCTTACTTGACCAAAAATTTGCGACTGCTCGACCCCGAACTTGCGCCGTCGAAATACCAGGCCGAGGTGGAGAAGGTATATGCAACCGTATTGAGTGGAGGTCCTCTGCCTGGAAACGAGAAGCCCGGTGACGATGAAGCCAAGACGAAGATGCACATCAAGACACTTGCGTCGGCAGCAAAGGTTATCGCGGAGGCTGAGGTCGCTCCTCCTGCATTGAGTGAAACTTTTTACGCGGAAGCTCAGGATGTTTTTCTTCCATACCTTGACCAGCTCGAGGGATCGACGATTGATGCGAGCGACTACTCCATCTTCACCAAGCTTACGAGGAAATACGAAGAACGGTTCATGCGAGACCTGCGGGATCTAAATGTCTTGGATCCCGATGAGCTCACTCGCGTCACCGAATATGGTCCGCAAATCGCCCAATTCGTTGAACGCATCGTCGAAAACAAGTTCGCATACGTGACTTCTGACGGCTCGGTCTACTTTGATATCAAGGCATTCGAAGAAGCTGGTTTTCCATATGCCCGACTCGAGCCATGGAGTAGGTCCGACGGCAAACTGGTCGCAGAAGGAGAAGGAGCCCTGACAAGCAAGACAACCGAGAAACACTCACCATCCGATTTTGCGCTGTGGAAGGCATCAAAACCAGGCGAGCCTAGTTGGTCCAGTCAATGGGGCAAGGGTCGACCTGGATGGCATATTGAGTGCTCGGCCATGGCTTCAGATAGACTGGGCAAGTCGATTGATATTCACAGTGGTGGAATTGACCTGGCATTTCCCCATCACGATAATGAGTTGGCGCAAAGTGAGGCTTATTGGAATACTCATTCACATGATCAGTGGATCAATTATTTCTTGCACATGGGACATCTTTCGGTATGTTTATCTCTGTTGTGTAGATGTCAGGTTGCTAACATTATGTCTAGATTCAAGGATCAAAAATGAGCAAGAGTCTCAAGAACTTCACCACAATTCGAGAAGCTCTGGAAAGAAAAGATTGGACCTCCCGCAGCCTGCGCATTGTATTCCTTCTTGGCAACTGGAACAGTGGTATTGAAATCACAGAGGACGTAATCAACTTTGGTAACGCGTGGGAGGACAAGCTAAACAACTTCTTCCTGAAGATGAAAGACCTCGATATTTTGAAAAAGTCGACTTCCGGTACAGATCAGTCACTAGGCGAAGCCCTTGAAGCCGCCAAGGCCGCTGTCAACGAACATCTTTCTGACTCGTTCAATACCCCAGCAGCCATGGCCGCCATCTCTGACCTCGTCACAAAGTTCAACTCTGCAGATAAGGCAACAGTCAATCCTGATCATGTTGAGCAAATGGGTAGATGGGTAACGAGCATGGTCAACATCTTTGGATTGAACGGGTCTGCATCTCCTGACGCTTCTGAGATTGGCTGGTCTGGAATCGATGTACCGGAAGAGGCGAAACCATACTTATATCCTCTGTCTGCTCTACGCGACTCGCTCCGTGAAAAGGCGTTGTCTAATGAGGGTATCTCCGCTGAGGATATCAAGAGCATTGTTAGCAGCCAAGCAGAATCCGAGACGCCAGCCTCTGACTCAGCCAAACCATATGCAAAGGTGCTATCAGACTTCAAAGATACAGTCGTCGCCCTCGATAAACCAGAAACCATCGGAAAAGAGATTCTAGGTCTCTGCGACCGTCTCCGCGACATTGATCTCTTCGATCTCGGCATCTACCTCGAAGACCGAGAAAACCTTCCCGCTCTCGTCCGCCCCGTCACAAAGGAGCTGTTACAACTTCGCGAAGAAAAAGCTGCCAAGCTTCGTCAAAAACAACTCGAGAAAGAAAAACGCGAGAAAGAAGCACGCGAAAAGGCTGAAAAGGGCCGTTTGAGTCATTTGGATATGTTTAGAACGAATGAGTATAGCGCTTGGGACGATGAAGGTGTTCCGACGCGCGATGCAGCGGGTGAGGAGATTACGAAGAGTCGTGCGAAGAAGTTGAAGAAGGATTGGGAGAGACAAAAGAAGTTGCATGAAGCTTGGTTAGCGACTAATGGTGCGAAGTGAGACCAGAAAATGTGTTCTGAGATGTTTAGGGTTATTGGTGACGCAGTGTTGATTCAAAAGTAACACTTGCATGGAAGGCGTTTTATAAGCTGCTCGGGCTCTCCTTGTCATTTTGCTAGCTGTTCATGTAAATTTCCAATAACGTGACAGAAATATACCCAATAAATTTTATCTTTTGTGTAAATAGTATGAAGCTGTAGTTGTTAGTTTGGCGGATCAAGCTCCCCGCACTGAGAAGGTCGTGGAATCTTTCTAGAGACAATGAACCTCAAATTCTTCTTTCATCCAACACACACACATCTGGCTCAGCTATTCCAAGAGTTATTTCGAACTTGGCTTAAAATACCCGAATATTCCTCCTTCAAATTCTCCATCTCCTCTCCAATATTCGACCTCATCCTTAGTTTGAATAAGCTTCAGTTCCGCCCCACTACGTAAGCAGACGCCTACGATGAACGAAGCAACCCAAGGCGACAAAGCCGGCTCCCAGTCCAACTGGCCCGTCGCAATAACGCACTATACAAACGCACTTATCGAAAACCCACGCGCCCCCAGCTACTACATCAAACGATCGACCGCTTACTCACGCCGCAAAGCCGTCGATGGCGGTCCAGATCTAAACGCCGCTTTGGGAGATGTCGAGCTCGCTTTGGCGCTGGCAAGGGAACGGGGTAAGAGAGAACTCATTATTGAGGCGCAGCTGCGTAGGGCGATTGTTTTGTTTCAGCTTGAGCGGTTTGGGGATGCAGAGTACTTGTTTGATTTGCTTGAAGACAAGCTGGGGATAAAAGATGGTGATGGTAGTAGTGCGGGTAACAAATCTGCGCAGGTACAGGCTGCAATGTCTGCGCAGAAAGGGCAACAGCAAAAATTGGAGAATGAGTTGAAGATATGGAGACTCAAAATCAAGGGCAAGATCGGCAAATTGGAGACGGGTGATGAGAAGCTTGCGGTGTCGATTAAAGAGTATCCTGATATCAAGATTCCGGAGGAGGAGGAGCTGAGGAAGCGTCTCAAGGAGCAGCTTTCTTCTTCTGGAGCTGCATCGGTTGTGGATAGGGCGAAGGAGAGCACACTAGATGTGTTAGGGTCGACCTCTACTGCGCCGCCGTTTACAGCTGGTCCAGGAGTAGCGGCAACTTCTACAACACCTGCGCCTGTATCTGCACCGGCCAAGGTTCGACATGAGTGGTACCAGTCACACGACGCTGTTGTTGTGACAATCTACGCCAAGAATGTCGACAAATCGAAGCTAGAGACTGATCTTCAGGATGACTCTGTGAGTCATGCCACCCTATTCTCGGATTCTTGTTTATGACTGACAACATTGCAGCTATCCCTCGAATTCCCTCTCCCATCCGGATCAATTTACTCCTTCAACATCGATCCCTTTTATGCTCCCATAGACACCACCCAATCCAAAATCAGCGTCCTATCCACAAAAATCGAGGTTACGCTTCGTAAACGAACACCAGGACAGAAATGGAGTGCCCTCGAAGGCTCAGCAACGGCTCCTATTATTTCAGATGCTGCCAGTACTACGATCACAGTAAATTCAGCTGCCACCGTACCAACTACTCAAAATTCGTCACAGGTCAACAACAACACCGGCGGACCCTCCTACCCGACTTCATCACGACACGGAGTCAAGAATTGGGACAAACTCGCCGATGATCTAACAGCCAAGAAAAAAAACAAGGACGAGAAGAAGAAGAAATCCGGAGAGGATGCCGAAGAGGACGATGAAGACGACGCGGCATCCGTTGACTCTGACATCGGCGGCGGCGACGCAGTAGACTCCTTCTTCAAGAAGTTGTATGCAGGCGCAGATCCGGATACGCGTCGGGCCATGATGAAAAGTTTTTATGAGAGTCAGGGGACGGCGCTGAGCACGAATTGGGATGAGGTTGGGAAGGAGAGGGTGGCTGTTGTTCCGCCTTCTGACGATTAATCTTTTTGCTTTCCCAAAAGCGGAGATAATTTTTGCATGTGATGTGCTTTGCTTTACCGCTGAGTGTCCTGTTTTTTACATTTGCCTTCAAAATTGTGATCATAGCGTTTGATGGCATGTCGGAGTTTTTAAATGAGATTATCACAGATGGGGACTTGTGATGGGTTATCAGGAGTCCTCCCTTCCAATCACTAGCTTTATGTTAGATGCAATCAATAAAATCAAATACTTTTTAGATCTAGAAGCAGTTTCTATTCTATTCGGTGACTATATAATCAGTAATCATCGTCATCCTTTTGATACAGAAAAAATTGTACAAAAATAGCCATATCCAACAACAGCGTCCCCAAACTCCCTATCAACCACGAACAATTGACAAGGATATACCGTCCATAAACCGCCGAGGCTTCGCCCGGCTCACAAACGCGTGATCGACAAATAGGCGAGTAGGCGAAGATCGAGAGTACATAGGTGAGATTGCCGATACAGGCGAATAGGAAGAATAGTAATGAAACACCTTCGGTGGATTTCCGTTGGTAATTCAAGAGGAGTTGCGGGATGCGTGAGCCGAGATACAATATGGCGCAGAAGTAGCCAAATACCTGGCCCCAGAGGTCGAATGTGAGTGGTTCAGATGGGTTGCTTGGAAGGTCGTTGTTGTCGCCGTCCTTGGGGTGTTTATTGGATACGCGTGTGCTAATGTACCATCCTAGAATACCCGCTGCACAGACAAGGATGATCGCGAACGTGTTGAGGAGTGCGGCTTGAAGGTTGGAGGTTGACGAGCGCCGAGTATCCTGTGTGCTTTCGTCCTCTGAAGAGGGAACTGTGTCGATGAACGGAGTTGCAGGAGAAAGGTGTGTGCCGTCGATTTGATGGGTTCGTTGGGGTTGTTGCGCAAGACCGGTACCGTTGGTATAGCCATGCCCGTTTCTATCTCCATTTTCTTGACTCAACAATGCTGTACGCTCTGTCGGTGCTTCTCTCTCAATATCTCCCTCTTCGAGCGTCTCGCTCTGTACGTCCTTTACACTCTTCTTGCCAGAAAACCAGATCCCGCGGTAATACAGGCACTGTCCTAAGAGGACGATATCTGCGAGTGTATAATACACTGCTAGGATAATCATAGTGGGCAATACACCCTGAAGCACTGCTCCAAGGATATTAAAGACATCGCCTGCAAGCCAGACGACTATAAACAACAGAGAAAGTCCATCTGCTGATCCGCGTCGGAAATTCTCAATGATTTGGGGCGAAAACACAACAACCCAGCAGGCTATAGAGATGGAGCTAAAGAGAGTTAGTCTATCGTAAAATAAAAGAGAATGCGATCAACTGGTGTTCGACGTACCCAAGAATACCACTCAGGGCCTCGATATCTAGATTACTAGATTGTGGAGGAAACATTATCGTATCGGAAGGAACTCAATCTTTGTCTTTATCTATAGCAGAGATTTTGACCGGCAAGTCTTCTGTGCGTGGCTATTCGGATCATTCAATACTGGCTTCATATGACGACATGAACAAAAGACCAAAACCTGGCATGGATTACACCCTTCAATTAAGCGGCACCAAAACAAATAGAATGAAGTTAGAGCTCAAAAGAAGGACGAGAATGTATAAACGACCCTATCGTGGCACTGGACGGTCTGACAGAGGTGACAACGTGAAACTTGACGATGGGGTTTCCAAGGAAAAATTTAATGCCATGGGGTCACGTGCAGAAACCTGATTGGGACGAAAATCTGGGGAAGCTTAGCGTGCTTACTTAGTTGGGATTAGTGCCAATTCATAGTATATTTGATTCATTCTATAAAAAGACATTTCATTTCCATTAATTTCAAATCTTGCCCTGATTTTAATTGTCAAAGCTATGAAATATAAGAAAGGCTACTCTGACTTTGACTTGATCAATACGATCAATTTGTCTTGCATGTCGCAGAAGATGTTGATGGCCTACACAAACATTAGTCAGAAATATATCTTTGAATCCTGGTCTATAACGTACCTGCGTCAACTTCTCTTCACTTGCTCCCGCAAGATCTCGCGTAAATGCAATTCGATATGCCGCCTCATCTTTGAGATAAGGCGTTTTTGGGAGCACCGACACATCCGAGACATCACTATCGAAGAACGATGGAGTAATTGGACAGTCGGGAAGAGATAAAAGCTCTAATAAAGGTGGAGCAACAGTGATATGGTCCACACCAGCGAGAGCAAGTACTTCGTCTGTTGAGGTAAGGCTTGCTGGTAAAACTTGAGTGACGGCGCCGACAGATTTGTAGTACTTTTGGATCGCGACGCAGAGGGAGAATAGTTTATTCGGGTCGACAAAACTGTTGAAGCTGTCAGTTGACCAACTTATAGAACGATGACATAAATTGAAGGGAAACTGACCCAGGCTCAAAGTGTACTTTCAGCTGATTTACGTAAGGTGCTACATATGTACAGCCCACTTCTGCAGCTAGAATTGCCTGGGGCATCGAGAATAGCGTAGTGGCTAGGGTATGCACACCGGCTAATTGTAGTGTGCGACAAGCCAGCATACCTTCCCAAGTGCTGGGAATCTTGATGCAGATTCTAGAACTGTCCCAGTTAGGCGCAAACTCTTTGAAGAGGTAGACGATGCCTGCACAATATCAGAGTGAAGAAACCTTCCAGGAATGTAAACAGTCTTACGAAAAGCGTTTGCGACTGTCTTGTCGGTTGAATATGCAAAGTATGGATTAGTCTGGATGTGCATTTTGCCTTGAAGATGGGACGTAATTTGTATGGCGACTTTTACAGTCTGATCCACCATTGGCAAAGTTAGCGGGATGACTCGAGAGCTTAAATGTGGTACACTATGCGTACCGCGATTTCAACAGCTAGTTCATCAAGTTCAATACCAGCAAAGCGGGGATCCTTGGTCTCTGCCATGGACCTCAAGAGTGTTCCAGCTCTGAGGTGAGCCTCGGCAAGTAATTCTTTATGTTCGGGTTTTGATAGCTCGAAGAGTGCGATAGCCTGTCAACACTCATAAGCATGAAGCTTATAATTATAGCCCCGCGAGAGGTGTACCTGATTAGACGTGCAGTCCTGAAAGGGCCCTAGTATTTGTGCCACTGGTATGCGTCAATATCACTTCTCCTTGGAGACTTTAAACAAGGTATCAATAAACGAGTACCTTTTACGTCAAGCGTATCACAGTCAACCAGACTTCGGGTTCGGAGATAACCCAAAGCAGAGCTTGGTGTTACAGCCATGTTGCTGAACTGCCCTCAGTGTTCAAAAGTAAATAGGTACAAGTACGTATGCAAATAGTGGTCGGCCAGAACAGGTGGCGCAGGTTTGTCGAGATTGTCGTAAAAAGGCGAGAGAATGGCGGTGATAATTTGACTTTGGATGTTGTTGTTGTTTGCCGATCGTGCAGTACCTAGCTGTCCCTCAAAGGGAAGGTATGCCGATATCTCTGACCTTCCCCGCACGAATCAAGTGACTTAGGGTTGGAGATTGAGATTATGATAGGGTTATAATTACCTGTCCCTCCTGTTCGGATGATCAAAAAAGCTGCCAGCATCTCACCATTTGTGTCATGAGTCGAGCAATTTCAAATGCTTTGCTCGCATAAGAAAGCTATTCGAAATGCAACTAGAGCATTTATCACCTCGTCAAATGGAAGCGATAAAATGATCGAAATTGTGTCTAAGGTGTGGTGTTGACAAAGAACGTTTGAAGCTCGAGAAATGGCATCTGGACCTGTGTTAATTTAGCTCGAGATTGATGTAAGTATTCTTTGTTCAGTGAACCAATCAATCCATCTTCATCCATTCGGTGTATCGGTTATAGTATCACTGAATGTCAATGATGCCATGGAAACTCAGGAAGGAAATCTGCTGCTACTTACGGTTACGCTTTGGCCGCCAGTATCATCCCCGAAGTCTTAGCGAAAGTGTACGATTCGGTTTATGAAGGTTGGAAGGATGGGAAGGATGGGAGTGGGAATGTTTACCTGGCTGGAGGATATGTTTCTGCGGGTTTGCCTTTACTTGAGGCTTGTGTGAGAAGTGGCTTGGAAGCTGCAGAGGGGATTGGGGCAAGCTGCTGTTCAACTTGGTCCGCCAGACGCCTTCCTTTCTAGACGGCATCGTGTTTGATCGTTTAAACTTGTGCTGCAAATAGGGCGAGTGAATTATTATTATACTATATTACAAGACCATATGAGACCTCATAAAAGACTCTGAACATCATAACAGCAACGGCTAAGACAGAGCCTCATTGCCAAACTTTTGAGAAAACAGACCCAATGCTCGGATGGGCCAGTAAAACTTGTAGTTGGGATATGAGATCATACTATGCAAAGTCAGTAATGTACACCTTATGCCTAGGGGAAGTACCTACCAAGACATGTTGAAAACACCTTCGATTGCCTCCTGGAGCCACTCGCCATTAGCCTGTTGTCGGGACATTAAGAGCTTGATTCCTCTGCGAATAGGTTCTGGATCAGGGTATTCAGCTTCCATCAAAGCCAGGCAAACCCAAGCTGTCTGGACAACCTGCGACATCTCGTGCTGGGTGTAAACGTGCAATTCGCTGCTAAGATACGACTCTCCCCAACCGCCGTCTTCTTTTTGTTTACTCAGTAAGAATTCGCAACCCCGGCGAGAATACTCGCTCTTATTATAAGTTTCTCCAATACTAGAAAGACTTTCTAGTGCAAACAAGGCGGCATAAGTATAGCAGATACCCCAATTACCATACCAGCTTCCGTCTGGCTTTTGGGTGCGCTTGATATACTCGACTGCCTTGTGCTTTGCAACTTTGATTTCGTCAACTCGATAATCTGGGTAGAATCTGCTGAAAAGTGATAAGGCGGTAATGGATGCAGTTGTGCATTCAACGTGGTCGTAACTAATCATAATTCCGCCAAACACCTCTGCTGCATTGAGCAACTCCAAATGAGGGGAGCCCCGTCTGCTCTCGTACTCACTAAAGCCCCCGGTCTCGTTCTGCATCAAAAGGAGACAATCGACCGAGTCCTTTAGGCGGTCCGCAGAGACAAGTTTAGGATATCCGTACATCTCTTGGAGTTGCAAAACTGATCGTAAGCCCTCTGCAGTGCAGTCGCTGACCGTATAACCTTGAGTCTTGTTGCTGAAAGGCCAAGCTCCTTTTCTGTGTTGGCGATAACACTTGTCTTGGTCGGGGACGTTCTCTCGAAGTTGATGGTTATCCAGAAATTCGAGAGCTTTGGTCAGCATTGGCCGCCATTTAGGATCTTCGGCAAAACCAGCCACAGAGACAGCCTGTGTGATAAATGCCGTGTCCCAGACTTGAGCACCATTAGTGCCATTGCAAAGCATACCCTCATTCTTCATCCACAAATATTCGTGCAGCGTCTCGCGGTGTTTTCTAACCGATTCACTTCCCTCGCCGTCATGAATGTAGCAACAAACGAAATTTAGAGGATTGCTGACGGGCGCAAGTCCTGCATAATCTGTGTTCCTATCCTCCATTTGAATCAATTCCCATACCCAGTCCTCGGCTTTCTTGACTAGCGCCGAAAATCGAAGCACGGGCGTCCACAAATTGACGAGAAAACTGTTGATCACATTGAGGAACATTGTCTTTGGATAGTAGTTGTCCTCTTTAGCAATAGAATTGCGGTGCGAAGCAAAGTTTATACTTTCATAGGGTTGTGTGTAGATCTCATTTCTTAGCTGGCGCGTCAATTCGTTCTGCGGGAAAACCCATTTTCTTGACCACAGAAAGGACATTGGTAAAAAAACCATTCGCATATGAATCCACCATCTCCAAGGAGCGATTGGTACCCAGTCAGGAAGTAGCCTAAAACAGTCAGCATTTTTAGAATCTCGTTTTACATGAAATTTAAACGCACCAAAGCTCCGGTGGGACTGGATTAACGCAACTCCAATCCATGACACCCAAAGTCGAAAGCCAAAATTTTGCCCAATGCGGTGTGTAAACTGCACCCCCAAGCTTATGAACAAGTCCTCGTGCTTTGATCATCCGAGGATCTTCTTCACTTGCTCCTAAAATACGGAGAATCACATAGGTCATTACTGTGCCAAAAGCCGAGCTGTGGCCTTCGATATGAAGTCCCCAACCGCCATCAACCGGATTTTGTCGCGCAAAGAGGTATCGCTTGATTTCCACCGCATACTCGGGAGGTATGGGCGTGTTGGTAACATACCAGGTGATCACAAAACCTGGTAAAAGAAACATAGGACCGCCATATTCACATGCCCAATGTCCAGTTGGCATCTGTAACTTGGAGAAAAATTCCAGGCCATTGGCAGCTGATTCTAGAGGAGTCGTCGCCTTTGGCAGCTCCGGGGCACCCTATAGAGTATGAATACAATGATACCAAGATATGTGTAGAGTTGGCTTACCGTTGGAAGTCCCAGGTTGTACTTGTCGTAAAAAGTCTGAGGCCATTTCTCGTTTTCTTCATCAGTTTCCAGATAGCGCCACGTTAAGCGGCCGTCATTATCGTGCAATCTCCACCTTGCATAGTCGGTTTTGTCGTCTCCCTTGGCGTCCTTCGTTAGGTGGCCATTGGCTTTTGTTCGCCAATTGGCAATGGGCTGGATTTTGCTTTCTTTCGCCATTACTGTTGCCTGTAGTAAGTAACAAGCTACAGGGCGAAGGAAGCCAGGGTGAAAGAATAAGATGGTAGAGTTGTTTATCGAAGAAGCCTGGATACGCCAAAGTGTTTATTCCCCGGATAAAATTAAGGAGGCAAGCCGGGCTGGCCAATGGGAAACCCAGCCGTGCCGATCTGTAGTCACGTGATAATATATATATATACAAACGCTAAGCCTGTTTAGACGAGTCTACTATCGCCAGCCATCGTCGTCTGACCAGCCAGAACTGGATTATAAATCTAAGTTATAGATAGCTCAAGACTAGAGCTACATTATTTTGAATTCTAGGGAAGCGAGTTGTTAGATTATTGAAGCACAAAACAGGTATCGAACATTCTCAAGAGCGAAATGGAATCGACGAGTCAATATACAACGGTAGAGTTACTTCAATTTTATATAAGAGCCCAATTCGGTTCGTCAAACATGGCAAATCTATCCACATTGATTAGAGGAACAGGCACGTTCAACATGGATCACGAATGACGAACGATGATGTTTCACCACTAACCATAGTTTCCACCACGGTCTCATGAGATGTATTGAGATGATCCCACATTGCTCTGTGAGAGTTGTAACTTCGGTGGTCACTTAACAGCCGACCACAGCCATAACAATACCACATATGGCCGTGAAAGTCCACTGAGCCAAGACGTCCAGGGCGCCTTATGAAGCTCGCATGGTATTTTCGCACATGTTCAACCATGTCGGCGAGACTAGCAAAGCCTTGGTTGTGCTCGGTACAACTGTAATTATCCATCTAGAATAATGTTCATGTTTTCGGCAATAACGATGAATCCATGAAATAACAACAGTAACGGCGAAAATTCGTAGACTCTTCATGGAGGCGTCATCCTCATTGGGCGCTAAGCCTCTTTCGACCTGTCTATCATCTTGGACAGACGAGATGTTGACAGGGGTAGGCCGTCTGTGATTGGCCAATCAGCTTGCTCAAGTAGCTTAATAAATTCCGAGAAGAGTGTTTTTTTCTTTTTAGTTTAGTGGAATAATGATAGAAGAAGTCATCCGTTGATGGAGATCCATATTGGTATTGCATAAGAATGATGCGTACAGAAGGGAAGTACGACCGGCACGAGGAGGAAGGAGGGCAGTCGCMCCTGCCACAAGCTTGGAACGAAATCTGGGAAGGAGCAAAGAAACTTCATCCTCAACTTTTGCAATGAGCAGTGCATGAGACATGGACCTGCTTCAGGGTATTTCCATCGAGGACCGTCTCGTACTGCAATTCTTTGACCGGCTACAGCTGTCATTCCTCAATGAATTCGACAAAGATGTCGCACAGCCAGCAATCACTTTGAAGAAAAGACAGACGCATTTCCAAATTGTGGCCGGCAATGATGATCCCGAAGAGAGATTGCTGTCGACCGAGACTCGTGGATCTGAACGACTGATAACATATTCGTGGCCAGGAAATTCCCCCTATGAGGCTTGGAAGTTTAGTATGTGGTTGCATACATCACCCTAAGTTGTGATCATGCTGAATCATAGAAAGCCTGCGTTCTTCGAGTTCTGTCTCTCATCATAGAGGCGATCCAAGAGAACCTGTTGATCACAAAGAGGTTTGTGGTCCTTCGAAATGGACTTGGAGATTGCATCCATGCTGAGTCGGAGTAAAGGAGCATATATTACGACAACCCAGGGTTGTTCGGCACACAAGCAGTAGTGGATGCAATTCTTGACGACATAGCCTATACTGTTGGGGTTGACCGCACGACTCTCCATGTCGTATGTTCCCTATGAACGTACTTCCGAATGAATTCTGATTGTGGACGATCTAGATCTCAGTCGGCAAAGGCCTTGCCGTTGGCGCCGTTCGGATCAAGACCAAAAGTGACACCGTGCTTGATATGACGGCTGAGGTGTGATTCAGTAATGCCTCTTCTTTTGAACGAGCTGACCTTGTGTCGAAAGGATGCCCTTATACCCCGTCTCATTGAAATCAGCAGCATCGATTTACCCGAGGTGAAATGGGTCTGTATCGTAGAGAAAGAGGCATGTTTATTTGAACACTGTCCATGATACACAGGATTTAACAAGAATAGGCCATTTTTCGAAGACTTGTGCATAACAAGTACCATCTGGAATCGGTTGCTGGTAAGGGCATTTTAATCACGGGGAAAGGCTACCCAGACATCTGCACGCGCGAATTCGTCCACCTGATTTCAGATATCGCCTACAGAAGACACAGCCTCTCTCTTCAGAACCTTGAGATCTTCTCGTCGCCCGCGCCACTGCGCTTCTTTGCCTTGGTGGATGGAGATTGTGATGGGATAGCTATCATGTCCACATACAAGTACGGCTCCAAGGCTCATGCTCATGCAAGTGCGAGCCTCAATGCTCCGAAACTTGAATGGCTCGGAACACGACTTGAAGATGTGATTGTTGAACAGAACGGAAATGAAAGTGAAGACGAGGATTGGGTATTGATCTCATTATCTCACAGAGACGTGAAGAAAATCCAGAGCATGTTGGCCAAAAATCCAGTTTTTGGCGAGGACGGCCCAGAAGTTCAGTGGCGAGCGGAGCTGCAAACAATGATGATGCTGAACACGAAGATTGAGACAGAGGTACTGTATGGGACTGAAGGTGGTCTTGAAGGATGGATTGACCGTAAGATGGAGCGCCTAATGCATTGAAATTAGTACCAGTAAATGTTCTTTCTACAATGGCTCATTTTCATATGCAGCCAGCTGGTTCAGAGATACTCATTTCAATTGCATCATAATAAAAATACCTATGCATATATATGTTGAATCAGACTCTACCCAGAGAGAACTGAGGATGCCAAACCCTGGAATCAAGAACGCCCGCCGTAAAAATAAATGCATCCGATAACATCAAGCATAACGATAACATACCACCATGGCAGTTTTGCATCATAATCAAATCCCACCTCGTTCTCCTTTCTTGAGAGAGAACCAAGACTTAAAGACCCAAAGTCTTTCTGACTTCCTCTCTGACGCGTTTCTCATAATCACTCCTTCGCTCACGCCACATCTTTGCTGCCTCGACGTTCGCAGGACTCTCATCGTTCGGTTCGGCCAGCATACTCATCACCGAGATGAGGATCTTCTCGACACTTTGGATTGGTGACCATCGCTCCGAGGCATGCTCGTAATGGTTTGGGTCGTCACCAGGTGGGTGAAGGATCGAGATACACACTGTTCCATTGGGGTACACTTATCGCGCAGTTAGCATACATCCCAAAATCTTCAGCCAACAAGTCGGCAGTTGCGGGAGAAATACCATTCGGATGCCAAACCCCACCCAAAAACTTCATCGTAGGCGGACTCAACGGATAATCCTTCGGAAACTTGAGTTCCGCAGCAAATACCCCCCCTTCAAACGGCGTGCCCTCGGGTCCTTGAATGAGAGCTTCCCAGTGGAACATGTCATCTTCGGTGATGGGGCCGGCGGTGATGCCTTCCGGAGGGTTGGTGGAGAGGTTTTTGTATTCGTGGAAGAGGCGCTTTTGCGCTACGTTGGAGCCCATCTTTTGCTCTCTGTCTATGTTGCGCGGTTTGAATTTGATGGGTGGATATGGGTAGTTGGTGGGAGGTATGGGCGGTGACGTTGAGTGCGATAGTTATCGTCGTGGATTGGGCGCGTTGATGTATTCAGCGATATTTGAAGACAATGCTTGTAGTGCCGGGTGACTGTGCTTTATCTGTACTATTTCAGGTTGCGATTCTATGATAGACGTTGTCGAATCAAGAAGGGACCTGGATGGAGATGGAATGACACCAAACGGGTCAACGGTTATTGCCCCTCACGAACGGTGGGTCGCTGCTTATCCGCCGGCCAAACACCGAATACAGATACTTATTTCATTCACAACAATGCTCAGACAATATCCTTCCTGACAGGTAACAGATTGATATATGATATGCTTTGTTGATGCTGAGGAGGATACGTCTATTAAACAAGCCAAGAAACCTCGCATTGAACCGGACAGTCAACGTCCGCATGCTGTTGAGACAAACTCAAAAGAACCAAACAACCAAACAGACAATGCAGATCGCTAATATACTCCAAAAAATCTCTCAAGCTTCCTCATGTAAGCTCAAGATATTGAAAATCACAGCAATCCTTTGCGAGCCAACTCAATCTTCCTCGCAGCTTCTCCAGCCGCCCATCCTCCCCTCGAGACACAAACAGCACTTCCTTCACCCAATTCGATTTTGTCTTCAACACTCGGATGCGCACACGGACAATGATGCGGGAAATGGACGCAGGCTAACGTGTTTGGACATAGATATCTCGTGCAGTGTGCTATTTCCCCCAAAATGTGAGCTCAACAATACAGAGTATGTAGTATGGATGTAGTCGAGGATATAAATGCTCACCTCCTTCCCATGTTCGTTGGTACCATGCGCTATCGCTGGAAGTTTCTTGTTCTTGAGTATGCCCTCCTTGCGAACCGCCGCCGCCGCCGAACATGTGATCGAAGAATTGGAATTGTGCCTGTGCGGTGGAGATGAGGAGGAACAGTGTCCAGATGGCGGTTAACGGTTTGGCGAGCATATTGCGGGAGGGAGCTCGGAGGTGGCGAAGAAGTATACAGTTGCAACCTTTATTCTATGAATAGATGAGATACGCTGTTGCGTAAATCAATTAGTGAGTTGTTCGATCGTAGAATGAAGCCAGATATCGCATCACGATACTGTAACGATGCCGACACGTGACCTGTTTACTACCGTCGTTGGTCCGTGCTCCGATTGCTCCCCCGAGAAAAAGTTCCGCTGTTCGCAGTCACTAAACTCAACTCCTTCAACAGCAACCATTGCACCCGGACCACGCGCCATAATCGGCCATTGTGCTCCCAGGAGCAAAGTTTCATCACCATTCACAATGCAGCAAAGTCTCAGGACATCATGGCGGGCCCTGGAGCGCTCCTCGATTCTATCAACCTCTCGTTCCGGCATCTCGTCAACACTGAGATCGACACCCTCCATTTTCTCATCCATATCGAATAATTTGACATCAACAACATCACTCCCTCGCTCCACTATCCTCTCCGTCCTCCAAATCCGCCACGCCTCCCACGCAACCCAAGGTCGCGCCAACGCCAAAGCCCGCGATCCCGCCGGCAAACGTCTCGGCGCCAAAAAGAGCGGCGAGCAATACGTCGTTCCGGGTAACATCATCTTCAAACAACGCGGCACACTATGGTTTCCTGGCGAGAACTGCGGAATGGGTCGAGATCACACCATTTATGCTACTGAGGCGGGCTATGTGAAATATTATCGGGACCCGGAGTTGCATCCGAAGAGGAGGTATATTGGTGTTTCTTTCGAGAGGGAGGGCACGTTGCCGACGCCGCGGAATGCGCCGACGAGGAGAAGGTTGAATATGATTGCTGTACCGCGCGTGGAGCCTGTTGTTGAACAGCAGGGGGATCTGCGTGCGGATGTTGAAGGAGATGGCACGAAGGTGTTTGATGTCGAGAGTGCATCCAAGTCTACCCTCCCACTTCGTCCAGGATACATGTACCGTGAAGCCAATTGGCAGATTGGAAGGGCCGGTGATGAGGTTGCTGCCACTGCTGAATCGTTTGATCGCAATAATCGATGGTTAGCATGGAGAAAGAGACAGGCTCGTGCCCAGCGTGCTGCACAGATGAAGAGTTTGAAGGGCAAGAAGAAGTCTGGCAAGAAGGCTGCCAAAAGGTGATCGCCTCGTTAAATTCTGGTGATTGGGTTTTGATAAAGGCGTCTGTTCTTCCTACTTTGTATTCTATCTATTACAACGGCAATCGGTCGAGTCTCATTGTTATCAACTGAGAATTGTATTATACTACAAGCATATCCAAATGCACGAAATTGATCATTTTCTCAATACAATCGTGTTAGCGAAATTTATAGTTTATCAGTTCTCCGTACATGGGTGGGTATCTTCTCAGTAAAACAAACGATGTGAAGCAAGGACATCAACAGGAAGCAAACATATATAACAATTCTACTTGCAAATCTTCCCCAGGATCAGGCTCTGACAGACGAGGTCATTGCTTATAACTCGTGGAGAGGCTCTTCCCTCATGAGCTTCCATAAACAGGGCGGACCGCTTCCTCTTCTTGCTGGTGTTGGCTGTGGATGTCTCGTAAGGATCGCCCATCATTGCCTCTGCTGTGGCTTCTTCACTATCATCAACATAGAGCCAATCCCATCTAGGCCCCTCCTGCTTCTGGGCTTGTTTTCGAAGCAGCGTCTTAGCAGACTTCAGATCAAGAACACGCGCAATTCTTGCGGCTCCCAGAGCGTACATGAGGAAAATGTAAGCTTTGTGTCTTTCTTCTGTTTTGCCACGTCCAAGTACTAGAAGCACAGATTGTTTGTCAAGGAGCTTTGCTCGTGCATCAAATGTTTGTGCAAATAGAGCTTTGTCTGCGGCGACTGGAGTAAGTACCCTGGACTTGATAGCTCCATGGAGGAAACTCGATTCACCGGCAGGGAGAAGATAATGTTCCCAATTGAGAATGCGATTCTGCTCAACACAATCTTCAATCCACCTTCTAGAAAGACAAGGCACGTTGAGAGCCAGAGCCTGCATATACTTGGCACGACGGGAGTGTTTGTCGGCTATCAAGCATGCGAATCCTGTATTTTCATACTTAGATGCTAGACAAAACTCTATTGCTTCTTCGGCAACCTCAGCCTGTGATAAGGTTTCGGCTTGTGTGACAGCAGGCGCACTAGATGGAAATTCAAACAGTTCCTCGAACCCGTCTTGGAGGATCTGGCCACCGTTCAAGGATATCAACTTGACAAGTCGACTCTTATGAGTGTCTTGGTCGCCCAAGGAGATAGCAAAGACCATTCCAGAAAATAGACCCAAGCGTATAGTGAGATGAGTGCGTGATAGCCTAGAGCCTGGAGATAGTGGTGTTGAGGCACCTCGAGTTGGAGTTTGTAAAGCAGTCGGGGCTGGCTCTGCTCTCTTAGGGACAACGAAAGAGCGGCCTTTCATCTGGTTCCACAATATCATGTCTAGATAGATACTATAGATAGGAACTTCAATCGTCTGCTCACTCTCCAATTGGCCTCCACCTGGAATGCTCTTACGCTGCTTGGCGGCAACGATGATTGTCGAGTATCCATATATATCCGTGACAGGCAGATAACCGTACTCATTTCTCTGCGTCAATTCTTCGGGCTTGAGTTGCTGAGAGAATCCGCGGATAATATGGGTGACCTTGGGCACCTTAGGGAAATCAATTTTGATGGCGTCTCCAACACGTAGTTGTAATTTCTTCACTGATCCAAGAGCAACATCGACGGGTCCACTATCTGCAAAAGCGACCACGCATCGTTGTGGTTCGTCCGCATGCATGAAAGTGGCAGGATAGTAAGCACGTTTGCGACCATTCCAGAAAGCCAAGACCTGATATGGGGCGATGACTGGGCCTTCTGGCTCTGGAGACTGAACATCAGATTTCAAATTGTCGGCCTGCGAGTCTCCGGTCGACAATTTCGTGCTGGTAGGAACGACAGATTTTTCTTGGGTTGTCGAAGCTGCCAGATCTGATTGAAATTGATTGGCAACCGCCTCTTTGTCCGAACGCTGCGAGCCACGCACTGAAGACTTTTGTGGCTGTAACAAAGCAGACTCTGGGGCCGTTTCTTGCTGGGGAAGATCTTGAGATGATCCAGATACGAGACGTGTGAAGGTCGACTTGCGCGCTCGTGGTGACCCATCCATCTCATACAAGTCCTCGCCGAGCTGTGATGGCCTGGCGCGCTGACGACGAGCCACAGCACGCATGGGCGGAGATTCTAAATATGCGCTCTCTTCCTCGGGAGGCGCAGATTGCTCCGCATCTAGAGTGTGAGTTGATTCCACATTTTTCAAAGGGGAAGAACCGTATTGTGAGTTGACATAATCTTGTGTGGTTCGAAGTCTTTTCCTTGGTGTAGGACGACTAGGGCTTTTAAAGATCATGCTGAAATCTTGATCTTCGTTGTTTAAGAAATCATCAAAGTTAATTGGTTCACCATTAGCTGATTGAGGCGACATCTCAGCAGACAGTTCTGATAAAGATTTGATAGATCCTTTTTCTGGGCTAGAGCCGATCAAAAAGCTCGGCTTCTTGTTTGGAGAGGGTCTTGAGGCTGGTAAACCACTGTTTCGTTGCCGTATGTGACGTTGAGGAGGAAGGTCGTCATCTTCTTGTTCGGCCTCTTGCATCGTAGAAAGTTGATTGAGCGGCCCTACAGCCAAGCTAGACTGCTGATTGCGATGCGGACTAGACTCAGGAATACTGGTTTCGGGAATGATATCATAAGCGACCTTGTTCAACGGAGTGTTGGCTACGAGTGATGGCATAGAGGATGGTTTCTCCGTACCATTTTGAATCGAGGAGACTGGATCATTGGAAGATACTTGATGCTGCGTAGACCGAGTTGGAGGTCGAACAATTGCAGCTGGCGAAGTCTGCTGCACAATTCGCTTGCTGGGTGACAGAGGAGCTATTTCTGTGATGTGATTTCGGCGCTGCCTTTTCGTGGGTGGTGACGAATCGTCATAGGATGATTGAATATGTACAGACTCGGCTTGAGAAAGTAGGCTTGTAGTCCTCTTGTGTTTGGATACTCGTTGACTCGGTGACGGTTGAGAGTCTCGCACATTGATCTCCTGCTGGGAGTTTTTGACATAAGTTCCGGCTAAGTCATGTGTTTCCGAAGGTGGTGTATCAGTCATCGTCAAGTCATTTGGCATATCTAGCGCTTGTGACAGACGATCGTGCGCTGTGGTAGTTGCCTGTGCCATATCTGCATAAGGTCCAACGTGGTTTTCCTTGTCCTCTTCGGAGGACGATGGAGCCTGTCGAATTTGACTTTGGGAAACCTCAGTAACCTCCTCCTTATCTGTCTCTTCTTCGCTTATACCCTCGCCATTGAAGGGGACAGAAGGCTCCTGTGTTTCATCCGCTTCTACCGAGACCTCTCGACTTAGAGGCTTAGTTGAGGCGATTGAAGGCTTGACTGCAGAATCGCTAGACGATCTTCCATGTGTGACGGACGCCAGGCGCAGGCTGGTTTCGTGATCAATGTCCCGTCGACGATTTATCCGCTGAACAAGACTCGATTCTTCTTCAAAGTCCCTATCAATCGGCTCTTCTGAGTTAATATTCTCAGCTGATCTAGTTCGTCTCTGCTCCATCATTTGGGCACGTCGTTTCTGTGACTCGTCCATCGAGACATATGAGAAAGGACCGGTGTGGGTACGGATCAAATCAGCTCGGGGTGTGCGAGTGGGAGAAGATGTGTATCCGCCTARGGGGSGAGCCTGTATAGGAAGATCGGGAGAAGGACGGTCTGACAGTGGGCCAGAAGGTAATCTATTTGCAAAAGGTGAGACAGGAGTTTGAGTAGCCTTGAACAGTTGGCTCATGGAGAGGATGCCCCCGCTAGAACTCATATCAGCGGCAAGAGGGTTCCGGGGGAGGGACGGGGTCGTGGCTGCCATATCGGGAACGTCCCGCCGCTTCTCTACGGTAATTGGGGTTTCCAAGAAGCGCTGCGACTCTGGGAAGACATTGTGATTTGGAAACTGCGCAGGAGAGGATTCCCCATCTTTTGAGCTGATTGCCTCGTCATCTGAACTATAATGCTGTGCAGCTGCTTGTTTGTTGGACTCAAAGTCGGCTAATAAATTTATATGGCCGGATTCCCCTTCTTTGACTGTCATCTGAAACGATTCCTGGCCGGCATTGTACGCATCTGACAACCCATGTTCGCTGGTCTGTGAGCGATGAAGAGATTTCCCGCGTGATATGATGTTTTCGAAAATCGATTGCGAAATCGGTTGAGTATCGCCGGCGGCGGTATCCCCAGCACTCATCTTGGGTACATTCGATTCGGGAACGGTGCTCAAGGGCTCTTCTTGTGTATTCAAGACTCGCTCGGTGATCTCGCGAACATCGTGATTCGTAGACGAAACTACGTGAACAGCGACGACGGACTCGACAATTTTTGCACGAGAGGGGCTTCGAGGGAGAGAAACACGTTCTTCGTCGTCTATATGTTCGGCGGAAAAACACCGAACGTTAAGAGAGGAAGAAATCGGAGATTCAGCTTCGCTCACATCAGTTTCCTAAAAGCGTTATATGAGCTGTTAGCGCGTTTAACAGGGATGCCGCACGCCACCGCCATGCCAATCGGCTCAGCGCGAGGCGGAAAAAAGGGCACATACATCAAACCCTAGCGCAAAACGTTTTAATTTTGCAATGTCAAGACTGTCAGGCTGAGAATCCATACTCCGAAGTGATTAATCACTCTAAAAAGGATATTGTCGATTGAATTCATTAGAATCTACGAAATGTCTTTCATCAACTTAGTCTCGGACATCCATGACGCGAAACGCGTAACGCACGTGACGGTTTCGTGTTTGGTGGGGCTACTAATACTACCTTCTCTGGCTAGCGTGTTCTCACTCATTCAAGATCTCTATTGAGGCGCAAGGCTTGTTAATTAATTTGTTATTGTTCAAGAATTTGGGTATCATGCTATCATACAGTCATCAAGCATCTATATACAGGCATATAACAGACTTGCTCATACGAAAACCACAGCCACGAGAATATTAGTCACGCGACCGATTCGGTAGCCATCGCCGAAGCAAAATCTCGCGTACTTTATATCCACGAAGAGTCTCTCCTAGATTATCCAATGATCCTGACGCTGATGGAGGCGGCACGTCCACAAAGCATAGGATAAGTGTCTTCTTGACTTGTGCCTGCACACGGTTGACACCATGTAACCACCACCAACTCCGCGACTGCTTTTTAGCCGAATACTCTCTGAGTTCGGCGGTGGATTCCCAGTATGAGTTTTCATATGAAGGTAGAACAAGGACCGCGAATTCTGCGTGCGCAAAGACCGGTCCACGGTTGTAAAGTAGGTAGTCAGTGCCGAACTTGACACCAGATCGGACTACCCAGCCAAGGGAACGGAAGTGATGGTAGGCCACGTAAGAAACGAGGAACGGGTCATCCGGAGCAATAGGTTCTGTGTCGGGCCGAGCGGGAAATGTAGAATTTTGAGTGAAGAGTTTGATGAGAGATGGCGTTGGAATGACGGTGTTGGTGCCTTGGTCGAAAACCTGAAGGGCTCCTAATCCATATACAAGAAAGAGGGCCTCTTCGTTGGTAAGCTGTAGATGCTCCTCATTGATCAGGGTATCCTCTGTGGATTTTGCTGAGCCATTGATATGCCCATGCTTTGGCTCAGGAATAAACTTTTTCTCTTCCACCACCGGCGAGAAGCGCACGGTCTTGGTTGTGCTCGATTTTTCACTGGACGATATGGTGATAGTTTCAGCGGACCCATTCAAAGAGCCATTTGCATCCTCGTCAACCGTCACGGGTTCGGATGAGAGAGCAGCCTTATCGGCAGATCCATTCAGAGTGCCATTCATATACTCGCTAGCAGAGATAGTCGATGCCTCTGATGAAATAGCAACACCCGCTTGTCGAGCTGCTTCCTCTTTCAATTGCTGCGCAATAGCTTCTTGCTCTTTCCTCGCTCGCTCAAGTTTCATTTCACGACGCTCTACTCTTCGCTGGCCCGTTACTTCTTCATTCGTCTTGTTGGCTAATAAACCTCTTCTCTTTTTCTCACGCTCAAGCCAGCTAGGCTCACTTCTGCTCAGGCTACCTTTACCGAAGAACCCCATCTCCCACAGAGCTCGCATGGTTTTTGGATCCGTGACTTGTATGGATGAGGTAGAAGCATCAAAATAAGCGGAATATATTTCTTTCTCTGGTGGAGAGACTAAGTATGTTGTGAGATATGACAGAAGGACACTAATGACAGACAATGGATTGTGCGGGATCAGAGGTGGTAGTGGATAGACTGTAACAGGAAGTGGGAAGCGATGAATGTGTCTGTAATTAGGCTTTTGGGGCCGAGGATGCTTGTTCTTGCCGCCGCCCTGGGTCTGCGGTGCCGCCAAGTTCGCCATTCTCAGAAAGTCGTATCGATGGCCGAATCACTACTACGACAAGTCATTAGCTTTGAACGCGTCACATAAATTCAAGCACATCTGTAAGTATGATTCGAGGAAATTCGCTTGCTCAGATACCGTTGTAGTCTATAATCAAACGCCACCACTGACAAACAGCAAGAAATCAAAAAGCCGTAGGTCTAGGCATATATGATGTGGTGTCATCACCGAAGCGAGGGTTGTGCTAAAGGGAAGTGTAGGGGGGACAGCAAAGGTAGCTTACCAGTTATGGCGGATGGAGCACGATAATACCTACAATGGCGGTGCTTCGCAGGATTTGCAGTATGCTTAGGTTAGCTGATCATCTTAAAGTCTGAACATATCATCAAATGTATGTATGGGCTATAAGCTGTCGAGTAGAATCGTGGTTGTCAAAAGAACAATGATGAGAGGAGAATAAATAGAAGAAAATTAGCGGGAGAAAATCCTGGCTTAGTAAAAATCTCTGTCAGCGCGGCTCCGGACCAATGATATGCCGAGATCGAGGAGCTAGCGCAGCGTGGCGGGCGGTGAGAGAAATACACCAAAAATTTCTCCGATAGAGAAAATTGCTTAGGTCTAACAGATCGAATATCACTGCCAACATACTTATCTCACACCACCCGTTACAAATTAGTATCTCAACACCGTCAAAATGCATCTTATGGTATGCAATTCCCTTGATTTTTATGAGTGACAGCAATGACACTAACAGTGAAATAGTACACTCTCGATAAGGATGGCAAGCGCATCTGTTCGTCTCCCATATGCAATCAGACAGTTGAGAAACTAGGTGACAATCGCTAACATTGGGATTGATTAGATACGCTTAAGAAAGTCCTCAGCGGCGAAGTCACCAAGTCCGCACACCCTGCACGATTCTCTCCGGATGACAAGTACTCGAGGTGAGCCCTTAACGTTGCCATAGTCTAGCAAAGAACAATCTCGCTAACAAAGTCGTCTCTATAGACACCGCGTCACATTGAAGAAGCGTTACGGTCTCCTCCTCACACAGCAGCCCGACAAGGTGGCTGCCAAGATGTAAAGTCTGCTACACGGAAAATGGGAAAAGCAGGTGTTGAAAAGTGATACCTCCTCGAAATATATGGCGAACGGTGTTTGATCTATTTGGGACGTTGTTTGATTTCTTGAGATTTCCTACATTATGGAGGAGAAGCATTCCAGTTTGCATAGCTACAGTGTATGCTTGAGTACGTACGATATGGACAATTCTAACTGTTGGCATAACATTGGTATATTTCTCTACACATTTCCAAGATGTGGTATAGATATGTACTCATCGTATAAATCATCTAAATCATAAGTAAGAGGGAACAGAGCGGCATATGCACATATAGTATGTATACGATCCTCCCAAACGCCATCATAATGCAATATCATGCGCGCAATCATCGCCTTCTCGAGTTGACATTACGACCAGCTCCAACCTTAACTCGACCACCAGAACGATGTCTCTCACCAGTCAAGATGCCAGGAAGATAATCCTCATCCATGAGATCGCGCTCTCTCCGTTGCTGACGCTGTTCGTCCGTCACTGCACGCATATACTCCTTTTGATCCTCAGCCAAGATGAGGCCAGTTCCCCAACCGCCTTGTCCACCGCCGCCTTTCCATTTGCCATTGGAAGATCCGTGTGTCGGCTTGGGTACACTGAATACGTTTCCACGGTTGTTCCATTGCATGTTTTTCTTGAGGTGGAGTTTGAACTGGCCGTTGGCGTCGGTCGAGCAGGAGACTCGTGTGAGAGTGTCTTTTCCGCAACGAGGGCAGAATTGCTTGTTCATTTCTTTCGTGATGGAGAAGCATGCATGGCAGCGCTTGACGAATGTCCTGAGGTGACGGATCCGCTGCAATGTCGTTGTGGATAGTAGGTTCAAATTCATTTGTAGAAGAACATTTTGACACTGGGGAACGATCAGTACGGGGATTTACACTTTTAGTATGATGTAACTCACAGCAAAATCAGTTGTCATGGTGGCAACTTGCATGACTTTAGGTTCTGGTGTTCCTGATAAGCCTGCTTCTTCATCGCGAGCTTGCTTCTTTTTGATATTCGAGGGTGTAATCCATTCACCACCACCATCCGAGTCTTCGCCTTCTTCTTCGTCTTCGGCAATTTCGACGGAGATCTCCTCTGTGTTATCTTCCACTGTACCATCAGCGGCAGGAGTATTCTTTTCAGACGCCGCTTCGGTTGCTTCGGCACTTTGAGTAGCGTCCTCCTTGATTGTCGTTTCGGCGAGCTTGTCAGTAACCTTGTCGACAGCTGCTGTAGAAGTTTCTTCATTTATTTCTTCTATTTTCGGCGCTCTTTCGGCAGCCTCATCAACTCCCTCCTTCTCAGTTGTCGCCTTTTCCACGGATGTCTCTCCTTCCTTGACCGGCGGCTTCCCATTCACTCTCTTCTGACCAGGCACGCTCCTCAACCTCCAATCACCACCATTCCGCTCACACTCAATTTCATAGGCAAGCGCCAAAATCTCAATATCGACTTTACTCAATACCGCACGGTCTCCCGTCTTGCGCGCAAACTCGCTTATGATCTGCACACTTTTGGGCGATGGTGTTCTTTGTTTCATAAAGGGGAGATATAACGTCTCAACGCGGGATCGGGCAACCGGATCTCGAATTTCACCCATCACTGCTGGAGTGGTCACCAATTCTTCGGCTTGGGCGAGCAATGTCGATAGCGGGGGAACGTTTTTTAGGATGGGGCCGGCGTCGAGCACAATGGTGTGCACCGGTTTTGTCGGTACAGGCTGCTCAGCCATATTTGCGGTAGATATATTCTCCTGTACCTAGCGATTCGAATTTATTTCGAACTAAGTGCCGTAACAGTATATCAGAAAGTTAGTGTACCTCGTAAGTGGTGCTTGTAGAATTTCTTCCACTTTTTCTGTGGATGGCCCGTGCACGGTCATCCTTATCTCTTATCGGGATGTCCTTATCTTATCGCGAGATCATCGTCAACCCTAAAGGCTCCTAGGACAACCAGCTCGGATGCTTTTAGCAAGTGGATGGCATGTTATTCGACAAATGAGTACATTTAGAAATCTGTTAAGTATGTATATCTGACATCCCGAATGTCGGTGGTTGCCCAATGGCATGGAATGACAGCCTGTAAAAATTGAAGTACATCAACCTCGTTCAAAAAATCAAGAAAAAAACTAGATGCTCTTTTCGTCAGTTCTACTTTAAAACCAGCCAGTGCTCATGGCATCTGAGACAAATGCTGCTTTATTGTAAGGCTCAATTATGGACTGCTTTTAATTTATACTGGAGACCAGCAAATAAATTCTAACAGAGGAAATTCATCTACTTCAGGATAATATCGCCCACCTCTAGATGTCACAAGCAATGGAAATTGTACAGATTTTACAAAGAGTAACCAAAATGAAGTGAGCCACAGTATTAGCCTTAGACAAGAATACTGATTGATGCCATACTGTAGACTGATCGCCTTCTTTCAAGGTGGTTGGACCGGTCTTTGACTCGTACAGTGGTCGACATCAGACGATATTGTAGAAGGTCTCTTTCAAAATCAAAGCCCCTCCATACTACACCTTGACGTCGGGCGTAACTTATGTCCTATCATCTGGGCGTAACTTGAAGACACTCGCTATCGTGCTATCACCATCAGCGAGAGACCTTGGACTGCCTGTCAAGAACATGTGACTTGCCTCCTGTCCCCTCCCTCAGCTGTCCTTCCTTTTTAGGTTCGTTTGCTTGTGACAACAGGATAAACACCATTTGTCTTTCAATTTCGAGCTGAACTCAGCAATCTCCTTTTCCTTCTTGGTTAGTTTCTGACCCCGACCTTCAATTTATTCAAAACCTTCCATTTGTGAGGCAACACTGAATTCTCTCGCTCGAAATGAGCACCTCTGAACCTCACGTATTCCCTATGGGACACGAAGCTAAACATGCAATAACTGCGAGTCTGGTTCTCATGGGAGTAGCCATTTCCTTGCTGTTCGCGCGTTTCTACACTCGACGCCGTCTCATTGACGCCGTGCAGGCGAGCGACTACATGGCTTTGCTTGCTTCGGTAGGCACTCTTTCTCTTATTTCTTTCGAATACTATCTTACATTGAACTGTTGGTAGATGTTTGCCGTGATATTTGTTGGAATCTTCATTGCTGGTGAGTTTGCTACTTGTGTTGATTTGATCGTGAGCAGTCGAAGCTGACAAACATATTAGCTGTCATTTACGGTGTTGGTGTGCATCAACCAGAAATCGATGAGATGGATGTTATTCAGCAAAAGAAAGTCAGTCAAACTAAAGCTCCCCACAAATCAAATCTTTCAGGTGCATACTGATCACAATCGTTAGCTCTGGTGGCTGGGCACCCCATTCTACAACGCCGCCATGGTCACCGCCAAAGCCTCAATCATCATTCAATATTTCCACGTCTTCCCAACCAAGAAGATGCGCGTTGTCTGCTACATAATGGCCATTATCATTGCCATATACGGTACTTGGGTTATTATCAGCGCATTCTTGAACTGTATTCCAGTCGCACGTTTTTGGGATCCAAGTGTTCCAGGCCATTGTCTCGCATACAAACCTCTTTGGTACTCGAACGCGGCGTTGAATATCATGACTGATGTAGTAATCTTGATTATTCCAATTCCTGCGTTGATGCCATTGGATCTGCCCCTGAGACAGAAGATCGGGTGTTGCTGTATCTTTGCGCTGGGCGGTTTGTAAGTTTCTACCTATTTAATTTGCTTGATGCCTCCTCCCCACAGAACAGAAAGAGACGATACTGATTATTGGCCAACCTTAGCGTCTGCATTACAAGCATTTGTCGTCTCTATAGCATCACAAAATTGTTCAGTTCCCATGACCGTTCCTGTGAGTCTGTTGCCCCTGAATCCTCCTAACACAAGCTGATACAATATCCCCTACTCTCTGTTCAGACGACAACCTAGCTGTCTTGATGTGGTCCGCCATCGAATGCAACACGGGAGTCATCTGTGCCTGCATACCGACCCTCCGTCCAGCTCTCGCCCGCCTCTGGGCTGCATCAGCTTCAATCCTCGTCCCCGGCCATCGACGCGGTCACACCAGTTCCGGTACCATAACATCCTTCTACGGCCGTAGTGATGAGAGTGCTGCCGCCCCGATTGTTCATGAGACGCGCTTTGCTCCTAGAGAACTTGAATCAAATCGCGAGTCTGTCGCTACAACCAAGCCCGGGAGTAGTGCAGGTAGCAGTAGTATGCAGCAGCAACAGCCTCCAAATGTTAGAATGATACCTACACCGGGTAATGGGTTTGCGCAGGATCTGGCGCGGAAAGGCTCGTTTTTTGAGCAGCAGCAGCAGCGTCCTAGTAGTTACGTTTGATGTTGCGGGCTCTGAGGAAGTGACGTGTGGTAATGATGCTATACGATAAGGGAATGTGTCCATGAGAAAGATGATGATGATTAGGATGATGGTGGTGTATTAAGCTTCGATATAGGAGTGTAGCAGTCAAACGATGATGAAGTTTATTGTCCCTCATACCTCCTTTCTCTCAGGTATAGTAATCTTAGAATTGTCTTGGCTCGCTTGGTTTTGAAAAGTAGTAAGGCATGTCTGTACCGGTGAAGACTACGAACCAATTTACACGACATCACTGAATGGTCGTTGCCTGGAGTTGTATGCAGGAACTTTGATAAATAAATTTCGAGTTCTTTGGAGGATAATATTTATGCATATTTAAGCAATCTACATGTCATCATGAGCTGGTGCTGCCTAATACTCCCTTTGTAGACATCATGCATGTCATTCCTTTCGCGAGACAACCCTTGAACAAATGCTCAAATTCAGCGCAGTCTTTTCTAGTACCATCATGGCATCATCACTACCTCAAGCCTGACGTGCAACTCCTCGTCGAATGCTCAATGGATTTTATCACATGCGCGAATCTCGTCAAGATCGAGTCGTTGACCGCAACGGGTCAAACTCTTGAAGAAAGATTTGTCGAGGTTTGGAGAATCTACCAAACCATACCGAGAGCCTGACAATATAAAAAGCGACCAGTGCTTTACCCCGTTCCGGAGAATCACGCAAATCAGAGGATCAAATTGCCGTGGACGCCACTTTTGCGAGAACAGAGTATGAGACGAGGACCGACCCAAAAACCACCTTCTTTCAGCCTTGATCTTCTCCGTCGACTGGGCAGTTGGACAGAAATCGTTCTGTTCTTCCGTGTTTGATCATTGATAAAATCCAATTGGACATGAGCCTTGTTACGGATTTGAGAAGCTTTAAGTTATTGGTACTGGCTTTAGTTCTTCATGGCAAAATCATGAAATGCTTATCTAATTCTATTCAACGATCAAGTTAATCTAACAATCAGATTATATGCTAAAGCAGACAGGATAAAGATACTTCTTGAACAGATATAACTCATTAAAGACTTGGAAAGCTCTTATCGACCTCCTCAAAATGATCAAAGAAGCCCTTGAATAACTTCACACCCAGACCGGGATCGAGACTTCCCGTCGTTGCTCGAATACTGTGCATACTCAACTGTGGGATACCGGCGTCGACAGTCCTCAAACCAATCTGTGCACTGGTCATGGGACCGATGGTACCACCAGACCGAGAATCATTTCTGATTTGGAAGATTTGTAGCGTTGAGTCGCTTTTTTCGGCGACTTGTTGCAGGATTGCGTGGCTGACGGCGTCGGTAGCCATGTGGCCGTTGGGGTCTGCCGAGACAGTTACTCCGACATTCAGGCGTGGCATGTGGTTGGGAAGGTAGGCGTTGAGGAAGTTGGGATTCACGGCGTGGATAACATCAGACGAGATCAAGAAGCTGTTAGCGACGGTCTGGTTGTAAAGGTTTGGTCCGTAGTTCTTGTCGGCAAATGCCTCGACAATACGCTCAATGACACTGCTCAGATAAGTCGACCGTGCGCCCTGACGGAGAAGGGATCCGACTTCCTCATCGTCAAACATACCGACGAGTTTGACGAGACCCGGCGATGTCGAGTCGGAAGAAGCAAGAAGAGCCTCTTGAGCTGCAAAACAGCAAAGCTTGTCGTCAATGCGACCAGCGAAGATAAGATCTTTCTCAAGGCCACCAACCTGCGCAGGTTGGGTGTCAAAGAGCTCCAATTCCCAGTTGATAATATTGCTGTAGTCGGTGACACCGAGCTCACCCGCAATGACCTTGACCAGTTTGGGAGGCTGGGTCGCTGCAAAAGTGCCGACCTTGATACCCTCTACTGTCTCATCAGAGCCAGATGCACCACCAAACAAATCGGAGTTATCAATGCCAATGATAGGGACCATATTCGTCTCCGGATTAGCGGCGGTTGAAGCTGCGCCGAAATGAGGAGCTAGTGTCGGGATACGAGCGATGGGCCAGTCGAGCTTGACCAGCTTCGACTTGACAACGCCATCTTCACCCTTTACTAGTACGCGACCACCGATACCCAAGTCTCGATCCCACCAAGTCTTGTTTAAGGCACCTGCGTATGGAGCAACCGCAATCTGCTTGAATCCAACCTTGGTTGGCAACGTCGGCACAGGTTTAAGTCTGGCGGTCAACGCATCGATGTGGCCGGCAACAAGACCAATACCATTACCGCTCTTGTATTCACTACCCACAGCAAATGCGACTAAGGAACTGTCATTACGAGTGAGGTAGTACTTCCCGCCGCGCTTCAATTCGGATGTCCACGTGTCTCGTTCGGACAGTTTCTTGTAGCCTTGAGCTTCGAGCTGCTTGCTGAAGTGGTTTACGGCGTGGAATATAGTAGGGTTTTTGCTGATAAAGTCGATAAAAGGCTGTGTATAGGCTTCTGGGGAGAAGGAAGTGTTCGATTGCTGCTGCGGGGAAGCTAGCGGACTGGGTTCTTCCACGGCGACAGGCTCGGATAGCTGCAGGCGCGAGACCGAGGAGTGAAGGGATGAAATTTGTTTTCTTGTCATGTTTTATATGCGTCCAGGTATGCAGAATGTAGGAGATAGAGCTAATATTGAAGTCGGTAGTGAAGATAGGGAGCAGTATGTATAATCGGAGAGGTATGCGAAGGAGAGTTAACAGAAGGCGGAAGGGAGGCAGCGACTAAGCAAGGTACCAGGAACAGCCACTAACTAACGATGATAACATCGGCGCCCTATCAGCCGCCAGGGTCACGCGCCCCTCTTATCTTATCAGGAGGTCACGTTGCATTCACAGCCCTAATTACGAACTCCGATGTTTTACTCCGAGGCTAAGTGAAGCAAGGCACACCGACTATTGTCTGAGTCATAGAGTGAATACAAAGTGTAAATGATCAAAGATGTGTGATTGAGATGTCCAAAGACACACATGCCACACCAACTATGTACAGATTCATCGGATTGAAGGGTCATCCCACTTGACTCGATCCAACAACTGCGTTCCAATTGACCATCCCATCAACACAATCAGCCGTAATAGCTGGACCTGTGGCATATGCCACTTCTGTCTCGTTTCTGACAATCCAGAATGTGGTATTCCCAGTTTGACCATTGAAAGGCACTTCAAAAGTGCTTAGCCCAGCCTGCTGAGCATAAAAGCTTGTTATGTTGTTATTACTGCCAATCCGTACACCAATCCAGCTCGGCTCCTTGATCAAAACAGCGATGTAGATCTTATCTTCCGCAAGGGAAGCTGGGTCCATCGCTTGTTGACCCTGTTGCGGGCAGTTGCCGGTCGTACCCCCATTACTACCGGATTGATTTGGATTAGGTCTGTACCAGTAGACTAATGTGTCTCGTGTAATGCGTATTCTGGATCTGTCACCTAATTTGTAAGACGCAATCAAGTATGGCAGTAACTCTCGCCACGCATCGTGGGAATTGTTCTCGACATATCGTGCTGCTCCTTGCGGGATACCATCGACATGAACAGGGCCGATGTAGTGCGATTCGCCATAGTCATTCCACGAAATGATCTGAACGAAATCCGGCTGAAAACGGTAGATTTGTTCCCAGCGATACGTCCAAAGTTGTGCGCCCTTCCACAACCAATTTTTGTTCCATTGCGGGAGATTCGTGTAAAACCATGGCGAAACGGGCATCATATAAGGTCTGCCGTGGGTAGCGTTTCTCCATGTTCGGTCACTGTCGATTGTTTTATCATCGGTACCAACAGGCCATGCATCCCAACTGAAGAAGCCATTGACATTCTGTCGGACTTCTGCAAATCGCTGTGACCCTAGACTCGTCCAATCTGGTATGGCGAAACAGTCCGACTTGTTGCGTATAGTAGGCCAGTCATCGATATTGGCCACCCCTTCAAATGTCGATACAAGTGGTTTATCGTCGTAAAAGAATTGTGCCGGCGATTTTTTGTATTTGTTGATAGTATCGACTACTCTGTCCACGGGCCAAGGTCCACCGGATAGATAATCGAAGGAAAGAAAGAGAGAAAATTTTCCGACTTGTCCTGCTGCGGCATACGCTTTTTGTAGGATCTGATCAGTGTTTGTGTCTTGTTGGGCTATATTCAACGCGAAGCCGTCGATGAGGGAGTGTTTGGCTAATTTGATTTCTGATTCCCACTGTTCTTGTGTGAGAGACGCTGCATTGCCCACCTTGACAATATCAGTCCCAAACATAGACTATCGAAGAATACTTAGATTTGTGACGATTGTACTTACGATAAAATGTGCAAAGACGAATTTGGGCATGGCAGCCGTGACATGGTCTATGAGAGCGAACATCAATAGTGTCAAATAGATGATCATATTGACCGATAGTAGCACCAAAGTTACGCTTGTCGAGCAAGAGAAAAGTATTATCCTGAAATTGGAGTTGGAAATTGAGTGATATATGTAGTAGAAGAATGATACGTCTTCTACCTAAACCTTCAACATTCCTAGGTTCCACCGACATCCTCAACTAGTCCAAAGAAAATAGTTAAACACAGACAATTGCACATAATTCAGTAAGACAAAGATTAGAAGACTAGTATTTAACTCATCATAAACTTGACTTGGATACGTAATCGATTTTTGCTATCAAGGTTGTTGTCTCGGTCTGGTATGGACAGGGAGGCGTCCCCACGTGTTAGAAATTCCGGGAAATTGACTACGTGCTCAAAGCTTTAATTGCATGGCTCTAGGAGTTTTAGTTAGGAGTAACAAAATGTTAAGCACAGACTGTCAAGTTCCACAACTAAGGTGAGTTATTGCCTTAGGGAAATTAGATTCAGAGGCTTTCAAACAGCCTTACCCAGCTGTATAACCCGAACATGAACATTGTTTAAATTTTATGGTGAGAAGCAATCGTCAAGATTACGAAATTTTTTTATCATGAACGAATATTTCGTACGCCCTTTTATACTCTATACCAAGCAGACAAGGACGTTCTTCTACAGTGTGCGAAAATGATCAGTGTACACTATCCAAAGAATTCTTTGTTAGCTCAAGGTAACCCCTCGTTTAGATAATTCATGAAGTCTTGTATACTAGTTTGAGTAACTTGAGAGGATGAACAATAAACTTGCTTAATCCTACTCAAGGCTAGAACCCAGCTATCCTTCCGGATTTAGTCAACTAATACCTCTGAATGAGCAGATTTGAGACACTAAGATGCTCAATATGCCTCCGCTTCATGCTCAGCATAGCTCAGAGTTTACCTAGGTACTACTAGAAAGGTGAACAGGACAATGGTATATTAAATTTTATTAATTTCATCCAATGGCTAGGCGATTCGCAACAGCCAAGAAATATCGACGCCTGATCGTTCATTTTCAATTGTGTAACTGTGTATAAGAATGATACATGTATGTAGGGTTCAAATGAATCTCTTTCATTTAAGTCTAGTGAAAGTAGACGACGCGAGATGCATCCATTGATTGGATACATCTTGTTCACGGGCCGAATCCTGCTATCATAATCATCTTGAACAATTCTATATCCTGCCTTGCATCCTGTGCACTGCTCTTTGGAGTCTTCCTATTAACAGCACAGTCATAGAAGTCCAAAAGTTCAAGAGTATAAGCGTCTTCGTAAGTTTTGCGGATTTTTCTTTCTTGAAAGCCTCCATTTCCGATTTTCTCGCGTACGGTCACAGTCACTGGAAGGCCCCTCACATAGGGCGTGTCGAAATCGACGCGCACAATCTTTGCTGGCGAATAAATTTCGATATGTGCGTCGAACTGTGGGACTTCACTCAAACCGGACTCATATGTGACGGGAAAGCCGTTATATTTGAAGAGAACACTGAAAATGCCAGGAATCTTGAGATACGCTCCTGCAACGCCTTCAGGCATACCAATCATCTCACGCATAGCCGATAAATCGTGCGTTCCTAGCCTGCATTATTGTTAGTAAAGAATTAGAGGTCAAAGTGGGTTAAAACCAACGCTCCAAGCACTCGTAACATTCTCTGTGTTTCTGGTGTGTCCTTCAAGCCGAATTCTTTGCAGAGGGCCTGTTCATAAATGTCATTTTCCCTTCTCACTCTGTCTTCAGAATCCAGCTCTGAGACGTCGTTAAACCGTTGAGGAAATGTGCACGATTGGTTGACAAAGGTAGCATTAGGTCCAATAATGTCCCTCACTCGAGCATATGTAATCTTTTCCATGCCGCCTACTTCTTTGACAGCATTGAGGAAAGCAGGCGCATAGCGTCGCATAGTTCCAACAAATACCCTGCCCTGCGAAGTCTTCTCAGCCTCGATAAGTCTGTCAATGTCGCGAAAGCAAATTGACGCTGGCTTTTCGATCAAGCAGTATTTATCGCTTTGAAGAGCATATATTCCATGTTCAACATGAAACACATCGGCATTGGCAATGATCACAACGTCGACATCAGGGGAGGAACAGAGCTCTTTTGCGCTGGATGTGAGCTTGGGTGTCTCACTAAGAACTCTCTGAGCACAGTGGCGCAATGATTCTGGGGAAATGTCACAGAGGTACGTTGTTCGGAAGCGATGGCTCAGGAAGTTGATATTTGGAATATGCGCAACTTGTGATATTTCGCCGCAACCTATTATACCAACCCGCAAGACGGGGGCAACTGTTGATTCTTGTGCTATGCTTCCCATGATGGCGATTCGATTCGAAGAAGTCCAAAAACAAATAAAAATAGAGAGAAATCGGCTGTTCAGCTCACTGATAAGTAGATGAGAACGAAGAAAAGTACATCACTATCACAAAAAAGAGTCTAGGGTTATGCCGGGGAGTCGCGGAAGTCTGGAAGGCCTCACGTCTCCACCATATTCGTAGTTCGCTGGACGCACTGATTCGGCATTCAGGCCGTACTTTCGATCAGCTATAGTTACCGGGAAGTAGTGGTATTCATCCCGAGTTTCTGACTGCGTTTCCGGGATGCATACATGCTTCCAAATATCCAGGCTGATATTTTTTTTTTTGCATCACCAGGTCAGTACTTCGTCGGCAAGCAAAATTTTGATAGCAAAGCAAGTTCGTAACACCACACTAATCCAGTCAAATATCATGACAACCGAATCAATTCCTACTCTGCGTTGGGGCATAATCGGTACGGGATTGATTTCGTCCTGGTTCGTGACAGATCTAGCCATAGATCGACCGAACAAAAAAGCAAATCACATCATCCAAGCGATAGGATCGTCCTCCACGGAGAAGGGACAGATATTTCTCGAAAAACATCTTCCAGGGAAAAGTCCAACCGTCTATGGAAGCTATGACGAGCTCTATCGAGACGCCGATGTCGATATTGTGTATATCGGAACTCCTCATGCCTTTCATCAGCAGAACTGCCTCGATGCCATCCGAAATGGAAAACATGTTCTTTGCGAGAAGCCGTTTGCTCTGAATGAATTTCAAGCAAAAGAAGTGTTTGATGAAGCAGAGCGACAAGGTGTCTTTGTGATGGAAGGCATGTGGACTCGGTTCTTTCCATTGATGCTTAAACTGAGGAACCTGCTACATCGTGAAAAAGTGATTGGGGATATTTATCGCGTCTTCTGTGACTTCTCCATGCCGATGGATATTGCAACTTTGCCGCCCACGTCACGCCTAAAAAATCCGGCTCTTGGGGCAGGTAGCTTGCTAGATATTGGTATTTACAGTATAACTTGGGCAATTTTGGCACTGGAATCAGAACCGAGTCCAAAGGAACCTCGAGTATTGGCATCACAGACGTTTCGTGATGACATCGACATTGCTAATTCGGTGATATTAAGCTACCCCGATGGCAGGCAAGGGATCGCTACGTGTTCGGTCTTTACGAAGACACCGTCATCGTTCTGCCGAATCGAGGGCAGCAAGGGAACAATCACTGTGGATGGATTTGCAGCTTCGGTTCCTGCATCTTTTATAGTTACGCAGGTAGATCAGGAGCCGAAGAAATACGAATTTGAGAGACCTGGCAAGGGATTCTACTGGGAAGCGGATGCGGTGGCTTTGGAGATTTTTGCTGGTAAAAAGCAGAGCGATATCATGCCATGGGCTGAGAGTTTACGCATATTGACTTTACTGGATGAAGTTAAACGTCAAGGAGGACTGCAGTAGTCAATTAGTTTTCGCCCTTCAGCAAACTAGTACGTTTATTTTCCATTTTGATACATGTATTGTCATCCTTCTTATGAGAAGATATTGTTTATCAGTTTAAATAATGCTCATAGATTAAAACAATGGCCTTTGCTTTAACAAATCAAACATGATCAGTTTTGAGAAGTTTACAAGAACATGGTTCAACAATTGGTCGGTATAGCATTGGAGGGAATTGGTTCTTATTTGAGGTTAACCCTGAACCCACTTCTCCCGGAAGACCCGCGATTGGTGCTAAGGCCATCCGCGCCCCCGCGATTCCCCGGACTCCTTTCCTACCTATTACTCACTACTCGCAGCAGCAAGTTGTCTTAACATGGAAGACAGACATCAATCATTCCATGATGATGGGCCAAGCCAGTGCAAACGAGCAAGAGGAATGGGCATGTATCAGCGCAAGAGAGCCCTAGCGGCGTGCCTGCCATGTCGCGCTCGAAAGACCAAGTGCGATAACATCAAGCCAACCTGTGGCTTTTGCACCAACCATGGAGCTCAGTGTACTTATGCTGATACGACTACTGACCATTCCTCGTATGTCAACGTTCACTAGGTCTGTATTCGATAATTTGCTCACCATCTTTAGCTTCGATCCTGCTAGCCTGGCCATTCTCGAGCGCTTGAACCACGTAGTGTCATTACTGGAGACTCAATCGTCCTCATTTACGGCTGTTCAACATGGCAACCATATCTCAATTGATGATTCAACTGTTTCCCAATCAGATATTCTTGTTCCAACATCATCTCATGGTGCTAGCAATTTGATTGACCTGGATATCGACGACGATCTACTTCTTGACATTTCCGGGTTTCCTGCCACGGGCAGCAGTTGCGAGGCGATCATTAAATGGCCGATCTTCAGCAACGATTCTTTACCCGAGGTCAAATCATTTGTAGTGGATGCCCAGTACCATGACTCGGTAAATCCTGTTGCATCTCGAACACGTGCAGCAACGCTAGGTAGGGGTATCCAGGAAGAGGACTTCATATTACTCTCAAGACGATTCTTGTCATATGTGCATATCAAAAATCCCATCCTTGACGTGCCTGAGTTCACTTGGCACGTAAAAAATGCGGCAGAGACTGGGATACGATGGGATGGTCCTTCATGCCTTGTGGTAAGTAACACTTATCAATTAGTTTTGAGATATTCTAACATGATGCAAAGCTCATTGCATGTGCTCTGGGTTGCTTATCAGCGCCTTTCCCGTCTTTGAACAATATACATGATACTCCATCAAGTGCTGCATCCGTTATAGCAGATAAGGAAACCGGAATGGCATATTATTTGGCCGCCAAAAAGCGCATGCATTTGATAGATCCATCTTTGCTAAGCGTTCAGTGCTTGTTTCTCTGTGGGGTTCTAGAAATGTACCTCATAACCCCACTTCGAGCATGGTACTATGTCAATCAGGCCTGCGTGCAATTACAAAATCTTTTGTGGATACAAGAAAATCATCAGTCCAGCTGTTTAGGGCAGACTTTGGATGAAAATCGGCGTTTGGGGCAGCGACTCTATTGGTCGTGCATGAAAACGGAATCGTAAGTGTGTCTAGATAGACTTCATCAGTAGTTTACCTATGCTAACGAACAATGACCTGGCTTCAGTGAATTAAGGTGCGAAATCTCGCTTCCACCTAGTGGCCTAAGTCGTTTCGGTGCTCATTACGCGTTACCATCACCACCCCCAGAGCTGGTATCGCCGCTACCCCATCCAGCAGTTGAAGAAGACAGTACGGATTCAACTAGGATTGTGTACCAGGAGGAGGAAAGGAGCTGGTTTTACTACCTTGCCGAAATATCGTTTCGTCGAATGATGAATCGAGCTTTCGCCTCGCTTGGAGCTGAGGGAGAGGGAAGTTGGATCAACAAGTTCGAGCAAATTCTAGTTCGTCATCATGCATTGGAGGAGCAAATCGATTTATGGTAAGCCATGTGTCGGTCCAGCAGGATAACAACCTCATTTCAGCTATAGTGACTGATATTAATCTTCAATAGGTCCTCGCACATACCGCCGCAGATTGACACAAATGAGGGTGATAATCTCGATAATGAGCTGGCCCATATTGTACGAAACCGCGCCGTGGCGTGTCGGGAATACATCCATCGTCCATTTCTATACTACGTAATCCATCAGCCATTGGACGATTTTTTCATAGCACAAGCTATGCCCTTGGCAAAGAAATGTTTGGATCTTTGCGTTCAGTGGCAGTCCATGGCCCAGCCTTTACACCGTCATCATGGGACCTGGTACGTGGCTCGTACATCGATGACCCGAGCTTTATTACTACTGGCAGCAGCGAGAAGTAAAAAAATCGAAATGCCGCAGAATTGGAGTGAAGCAGTAGATCTTGCGTTGCAGACTTTGCAATATTGGGCGAAAGAGGCCCCGGATCTCGAAAAGGCTGCTTCTTATTTACGAATTTTGATGGACAATCTGGGGGAACAGTGATAATATCAATGCCATTATCTTGATCTCTTTCATTTCCAATAATGTGTCAACGCAGAGATAGCATAAAAAACAACCAATGACTTCATAGCTCACAAAAATCATGGAGTGCCTCTGTCATCAAGACTCGCAGGCCGGAGAATCCAAATAGTGGGGATTTATGCCCATAACATTTTCATCTCTCATTATGTCTGACCATAATGGTGACTAGTGGGTGGCATCCTCGACCTGAGTCGTTGTAGCTTCATGCTTCTTTCCCAGCTCGGCATCTTCCTCGTTCTCGTCTTCACGGAGCTTGTCATTAGTGGGATCTTCTCGTTTGCCCTCAAACACTTCGGTGATCTCCTCCAATGAATGACCCTTAGTCTCAGGGAACAGAAAGTAAATTATGACCAACAACAACGCCAAAAGACAGCAGAATACAATGTAGTACTTGTACCCAATAGCTTTCATAGCAATAGAATTCACTTCGTTGCCTACGATGAGACCAGTAAAAGCAGATATGTAGCTGACAGTCAACCCGCGACTGCGAAGAGTGTAGGGAAAGATCTCAACTGGGTATGCCTGTAGTAGTGGGGTCCAAGCAATATCGTAAAAGAAGTAGTATATGAATATAAAAGCCACAACTACCCGTCCCACAGTTTCAGACTTGCTCGCGACGAAATGCGCTGTTAGAGCAGTCCAGATGATGTAGCTGCCAAGCATGCCTGCGGTGGACACTAAGAATAACTTTCGTCGCCCAACGCGGTCAATCATCAAGGCTCCAAGGAAAGTCGCGATGAGCCAGTTGAAAACTTGGAGAAGGCCGTTGATGAGGGCTTGATCATGAGTTTTTGTGATGCCGATCGTGTTCAGGACCAAGGTTATGTAATAACTGACGACGCCGACACCGTTCCATTGACTGAACCAGCCCACTATAATCGCTATCATGGTTCGTTTGCGATTTGCCTTGGTGCGGATGAGATCTAGCCAGGAGGTGGTGGATAGAGTTTCGGATTCTATTCGTAGGGATTCTTCGATCTGGTTCATTTCGAATTGAACGAGGGGGGAGTTGAGATTGCCGCCGGCGTGGTGATCTGCGAAGACTTTACGAGCTTGTTCGTGCTTGCCTCTAGAGACAAGGAAACGGGGAGACTCTGAAAGGAGCAGGACACCGGCGAGCTGGAGGAGGGGGATGGCCCCCTGGAGAAGGGAAGGAATTCGCCAGCTCCATTCGCTGTTGATCTTGAAGGTACCGTAGGTACACCACGCGGCAAAAATGGCACCAAAGTACTAATAGTTACATTAGTTACATCAATTCCAAGCTGGAAATCACTTGGAATTAAAAGACTCACGTAAAAAGTATTGTACAGGGCGGTCATTTTGCCACGGTGAGAGGGATAAGCGAGCTCTGCAACTAGGATAGGACTTGGTTGGCTGATGAAGCTCGTGCAGAACCCTAGCAAGGCACGGGCAGTCACGAAAGTGGCGAAGTTATGTGCGAGACCTTGCATAATGCTGAACGCAACGCATCCGATCAATCCACAAACCAGAGGAAGCTTGCGGCCAAAACGATCAGAGACAAACGCCACGAAAGGCAAAGAGACAACTTTTCCCAAGGGGTAGACAGCATTCATGAGACCGAGCACAGCGCCTGTTGGATAATTGAAGAACGCGCGCCATTGAGTAAGAGTTTGGAGACCGTTCATCATCGAACCTTGAATATGTGGTTAGGGCTTTGGTTGATAAGGAAGACTGTGTAAGTGTGGAACGAACCATCATATCCGACGGAGGCAGACGAGATCAAGGGGACGAGGAGGATCACGTTGAGTTGGACAAGATACCACGTGCGGTACCATGGCCGGCCGTTCGATGGGAGAATCTTTGTACGTCAGTCATGCCCAATAGCAGCATAATCACGAGTCCTTACTGCAGCAAGCTGTGCGCCAGCAGCGAGCTCGGTTTCTGTCACTCCCATGGTGTGGAAGAGTACGGGATATGTGAGGAGCGAAAGGCGTGGGCTCTTGAAGAAATCGACCAGTTGATGTTCTCAAGTGTTTGTACTCTGACTGACCAGAGTCTAGCCACGGGATGGAGACGCATCCTCAAATATAAACGACAAGCTGCATAAGGAGGAGATTAGCGGGATTTGCTTCCCCGTGGGGAACTTACATTGCATGCAAAATGAAGGTGCATAGCAGGTTCGGCTAGAAGCAAAACTATAAATCCGGCATGAACATAGTCTCGCGGGGTTGCGGTAAGTGGATATTGAAGCTATCCGCGACTCCCCGACCATTTCAGCTCCGCTCTACTCACTCCAAACTTTATCATAACAGCGATCAATTTTATTCTGTATTTCCGCAACGTCACTCGTAGGCAGCTTCTGGCCACTATGGATTTTCAAATTTAGGGTATGCTCAGTCTTGAGGCCCTAATAGAACAAGAATCATTAAGATACCAATTCCCCTAGCGATCATACATTTACCAGAAGTCACCCGGGGACCTTTTGCCCTGTATTGGTTTATAGTGAAAATCATAATGATGAAAACAGTACTTTTCTATAAAAATGACTGTCTCTTGTATTGTTCCTAACCAGAAGAACGAAAGATAAACCCCAGGTAGCTAGCAGGAATTGTGGTTGAGATGATTTCCCTTTGAGATCTCACCAGAGGTTAGTACCTACGTATGCATAAAGCATGAGTCAGGCTCAACTTGTCGTTATCCAGCAACATATTTCCCGAATACAAATCAAACGCCTACGCACACGTAGTAACCCAACCATAGGTTGTCGCAGTTGGAGTCAACAGCCGGGTTCCACGAAAGAAACTGAGCTTGTGTAATGCCATTCGCTGCTTCGATAGACGCACAGCCGTCTCCGGACTGCACAAGATAATATTTGCTGCAGTCGCTCACGATGCTAGGCATTTCGGGAGTTGGCCCAGTAGACGTGGCTGTTGGGCTAGTCGTTGTCGTTGCCCCTGGAACACCAACGCAGACGTAGTAGCCGAGATAGAGGTTGTCACAGGCTATAAAATAGATCTTGTTAGTATTTGCAGCGAGATTAGACAGAAGGTGGTCTTTCGTACTAGAGTCAATGGAAGGGTTCCAAGTGTCAAATTCCTGCGCGCTTATACCATATTTGGACTCGATAGTGGCACAACTATCACCTGATGCGACCAAGTAGAAATTGTTGCAATTAGACACAAGACCGGATTGAGTGGGCGAGTATGGGGACGAAGTTGTCGTAGTACTGACGCTGGTCGTAGTAGTCGCCCCGGGGACGCTGACACACACATAGTAACCCAACAAAAGGTTAGAGCAGCCTATACCGGGTGTAAGTCACAGAAAACTGTTTAAGAGCGGATTTGTTACAGACCAGAGTTAATTGCAGGATTCCAAGAAGCAAATTCTTGCGCACTGATTCCATATTTTGATTCGATTGCCTCGCATGTATCACCTGATGAGACCAGGTAGAAACCGTTACAGTTAGAGGCGAGACCAGTCTGGGTCGGCTGGTATGGAGAAGAGCTCGATGTCGTGGTAACAAAGGTAGATGTGATAGTAGAGGAGGGAGTGGTGGTAGTGGTAATGGATGTAGAGCTGGTGGTCGTGGTAGTGGTAGTGGTGCTAGTAGGGGAAGTCGTCGTAGCTGACGAAACTGAACCCAACACACAGTAAGACTGATTGGGTACCAGTGTCGTTGGGCAAGCGACACCTGGATTCAGAGCCTGGAACTGTGCTTCTGTCATGCCCCATTCAGCAGCAAAACTTGTGCAAGTGTCCCCGCTGCTGGCAGCCACGTCGAACTCGCATGTCACCTGGCGAGTATCCAGGACATGAGCGGAGAGCAAATTTGGGAGCAGTCCCAGGATGAACAACGGAACCAGAACCATTTTTAGATCTTGCTTGCTTACTGAAGACGAGAGACAAGGAGCTTAGCAACAAAGGTAATCAAGAAAGGTATCATGATCTGGGTAGATCATTGCCTGTTAAATAGTATTTCAAAGAAATTACACAACAGTCAGGGTTGCATTATATTTGTATATAGAAGAGGATTTTAAGTGCACGGTATCCAATGATCCATGCCCGTTCAAGTGGTTTGTTGGTTGGTTGGAGTGTTGGTTGGTTGGCTCGTTGGTTGGTTGATCAATTGTAGTTTAAAAGAGCTGGTAACCTAATTTCAGTGTCTTTATGCAGCCTTTTTACACATATCATTAGTGAAATCCAATTCTAGTACCTTCAAGCGTCAATCATGTGTACTGACTCTTTAGAGGACATGGATGAGAGGGCGGGGTGTCGGATAATGTCGGTATACTACGAAAGTCTAAAGTAGGAATAAACCCAACAGGACGGGACGAGGCTTAGATCTATCAAAGGTTACTAGATCGCTAATTCGAGGTTACTTCGCACAGTTACATGCAATAAGCTCTGCATTTTGAGGTCCGTATTAGCGCATTCCAAGATGCTGGACACGTCTCGTTAATACCTTTACAGATGGAGAGTGAAGGTGTTATCGAAAAAGAACATATCAAAATAACCGGTGGCGCAGTTTATATCATGTGGAGTTCCACGCTATATCCTTGTCTTTCCATGATGCAGACCAGATTGAATGATTAGATTACAGGTATATATAACCCAGAGTTTCGCTAAACGATACAAAAGATATGTGCTTAGTACCTACACATATAGAAGATGTAATGCAATTTGTAAAGAGGCCCAATCTTTCGCTAATAGACAACAAGTGGAAAACGTCTCGGATATAAACCGGGGCGTTAGTCTGTTGCAACATCTCTTGGATGCATGAAATACTGGTATCGCTTGCACTAGTTGCTCGTACTGAGGACATCACGCCGAGTGGACTTAATGAATCCTTGCAAGGATAAGAGTCAATGTTTCTATACGTAGCTCCCATCGTATTTGGTACGGATAGCGCGGCTATGAGTCGGGATCAGGGGGAATACACCGCATATACCTACCTGGGTAAACTTGAAATAAATTTAAGTACCTCCAATTGAGGAATTCATTGCTCACACCTCGTGCTGTTATTGCACATTACTTGTGTATTTATCATACAAATATGCAGTATTAAGATCATTATTGTGTATTAAACATCGTGTGGGCACTGCCCTGTAAAACATGACATCAGGTCTGATTGAAATCTAGAGTATCTCGAATGCAACCAAGAACAAACATATCAACCACCAACCTGAAAACACAATGACCCTCCTAGCTGAACTTTGATTGGTGGGCTGACATGTCACGGATGGTAACTGGAGAGCGCAGGCAGCAGATGTGATAGACGCGGAAATATTCGATGCGGCAGCTGAGTTTATGGCCGCACCGCAAGGGTTTGCAGGTGGCGTAACAGGCGAAAGAATGGCACAAGAATTTTGACCGTCTAGGTTTTCCGTATTCCAAACATCCACTGTCCCCGTCACATTGAAAGTAAAGCTCTCCTTGGTACCCGCGCAGACGCTACTGGCTGAAGCAGCGACGAGATCGGGCTGTTGCGTGCCGTTTCGGGTCGTGAAAACGATGCTATTCGTGAAGACGATCCTATTTTCATTGCTTTGACTGGTACTGTTGGGTGAGACTGCCTCTGGGTACGTTGAACAGTTATTCGTAAACAAGGACCAGGCGAGCCGCCATCGGCCATTAATGCCATTTAGTTTGGAAATAGCGGCCCAGCCAAAGTATGGGTCACTGCTTGAGAAGTTTGTGGAGGAGAAATCCATGAACGAAGTGAAAATCTCGTCAGAGACGTTGGTGTCACTCGTGATGGAGAACTGGATAGAAGGGTTGATGTATGGCGCATATTGACTGTCTTGTATAGCGAAAACAATCGGTAGGAGAGGGTCTGGTGCGTAAGTATCGTTGCGCGGGAACACAAGATCGACTTCCACGGTGGCAGGGAACGTCGAGTTCCCGGCTTCAACATCACTGAGAAGCAAGGCTACTAACAAAGCCAAGAAGATAAACGACATGTTGACACTCTAGGCTTAGGTTCTCAAGTAGGAGAGACAAGTGGCGGCAACAGAGATGGTGGAATGAAGGGAAGATGAAAAGAGAAGAGAGGAATGGGAGGGCAAGGAGATACTGACAGATGCCGATGAGGAGAATGGAAAAGGAGAGACGCTGGAGTGTGGTGGGTGTGTGGGTCGACGATTGCATGGTTCTATGCGGCTGAATCTGTACATACAGTAAGTTACAGATGATCGTACGGGCCTATGGGGTGGATGGAGACGGGCGGTTCCGAGGCCCCACAACCTAAGTTAATCGAGACGTCCAAGGACCCTGAATTCGAGGACCCACGTGCTCATAAGTCCGTATTGTTACTGGTTTGGAAAAATAGGGGTTTCTATGTACCCCCGCGATCACTCGACCTTCCCCATCCATACAATGGCCATTTTATTCTTGGTGGCGAGGTTTGGGACATGGAGATGGTTACAAATCCGTCCAGATTCGAGTCCAAACATCACATTCACTCCTGACTCAATACCCGTACTCACTCCCATACCATCAATCAAACCTACCTAATCTTCTTATTTCACTGAGAATAGTTCCAACCTTTGCGAATTGGACTCGTGCTCGATTGATTGTTTCATCTGAAGTATACCGATTCCAGAAGCCCTGTTTTGCCCTGTGTACTACAGATACGATGGTCGAAATCCTTGTTTATTTCCCGCTCTAGCTTGATTGCGATTTGATGATGTCTTTACGATTTTGAGTAGAACCCCTCCTTTACACTAAAAGTAGATAGTATGTGGCGATACTAGTAAAAGCAATTATGGTGTGGTTAGCCCTGGCCGGGTCTCGGTGGCGCGACATGAGTCGTATCCTTGAGTCCACGGCGAGACTTTGATTTATATGGCTGCATTTAATAAACCACTCCACTTTCATGCAGATTTAGTCGCCGAATTAAATGAAAAAGTGATATGCATATTTTGCGGCGCAGCCTCCATTTACATGGTAGGTATCATTATATGCCTCTAAGGTTGAGCCACATCTTACGATTCTATACTAGACAAGGTTGATAGCCATATTCGAACCTTGTCATCCGAATTCTAACTTATCTGAGTGCTATTCTACTAGAATAGAAAGAGATGAAAGGACCCGACAAGAGCACATGTCCGGTAGCTGAGCGGCGACATATCATCAGAATTGTGTGTAAGACTCCAGTGCGTATATCTGAAACTCCCTAGGCTCACTGAGACTTGTCGAAGCCTAGATAGACGGGACGAGGCGGAATGATACTATACAAAAACTCTAATCACGCGGCTAGCATTATTACTATCGCGGTAAATCTATTTTACCTGCGGCACAGCATCTGGAACTAAACAAGACTGAAGCCAATGTAACCATAATGCCTAAGTACGGCACGTGTTAACATTTGTGGCTACTTCTACTTGCATGAGCATGTCTCTTCATGCATGGAAGAGCGCCTGTGCTGTGTTTTCAGTCTTTACCATGAGTCAGGTCATGATGATGATTATTTCCGTAGTTGATAATTGAAATGTGGTGGAAAGGCACAAGCGCCCGCTTTCTAATCAAAAAGTGATCATATGCTGCCCGACCATGGTATAGAAAAAGCAATTGTACGAATTGTCTCGGAAATATTTGCGTTGATCCCTGTGCTTTAGTATATTGTTGCTTGTGATGACTGTCTGGTCCGTCGATTGATTCGGACTGGGCTGAACCAATTCAAGTTAGACAACTTATGTTCCCCTTGACTCCATGAAATGACGATAGGAAGTAGCTATAATTGTTGTTTATCCCCAAGATTACCTATTAAAGTTACTACATAACAAGTTCGTCGTATAGTGCGTCTTTATCCTTACACGTGTGCTACTCCGACCTTGACCGTCTCCTTTTCGTAAGAAAATAGTTATAAGAGTAGCTCTGAAGCTCTTTAGGTTTTTCTACAAGAAGTTCATTAAGGCTGTTGCTTTCCCTTCTATCCCAAACCCCCTGTCTCATAGAATTGTCGGCAACAATGTCTCTTTCAATCTGCTTGTATCTGATCCTTGGTGCTATCAATCTCCACCTTATATCTTCAGTGCAAGCTGGTTCTTGGTCATCAGGCCCAGCTGGACTTCGGTTCTCCGCCAGCCCAGGCTATCGCGGAGTTGGAGATGCTTGTCCAATGCGTTGCAGCACTTCCGGGGCTGTATATAGAAACTGGTCGGTTTTCCACAGCCTAGAGCAAACCCGCCTATGTGGACAGACCCTGTTCTCTCTTTTCAATATCTATGATGATGTTGAAGACCCTAACAGACAACACAAAATTTATGCCTGTTCATCTTACGGTCCGGACTGGGTCAATCTACCATCCCAAAGTTTCCCGGTGGCCATTGTAAACAATACAAACACAACGTATCAACTGGGATGGTGGACCGATGGCACATTCCAACCGACTGTCATACAGAGCCTAGCCCGAGAAATGGGCAAATATTTTCGCAGCGGACATGGCTCGATAAACGAGTCTGCAGTTCTCTTTGCCCAGACTGGGGGCGGTGCCGCCGGTATTTACATTGGGAAAGGCCTGCAATATGAGGGTGTTGCAGATTTTGCTCTCAAGTACTTGCAAGATACCATCCAGTCCCTCAACGTCCACAGCGGAAATGTGGCCATGCAGCTTTGTGGTCCCCGCTATGATGCCGATCACACCTTTGGCTTCATCGCTGCTAGTAATGGTACCTTCAGTCAAATCCAAAACGCCATTCAAACTTGGTACAAGGGGGGCTGCCTCTCTTTTTACGCTTCTCAAAATATTAGTGGTCCTTCCTATTTTGCAACCCTCTCTCGAAACTCAAGTATTGCTGGAAATGCAACAAGCTCGACAAATGTGACTTCGGTCTATCCCGCTCGTGGCTCACGCCTTCGGGCACGTGGTGACTGCACGACTGTCCAGGTTCAATCTGGTGATTCCTGTAGTTCTTTAGCCTCCAAATGCGGAATTTCTGCCGCAGACTTTACACAGTTTAATCCAGCATCCAATCTTTGCTCCTCACTTCAGCCAGGTCAGCACGTATGCTGTTCGTCCGGGACGTTGCCAGACTTCGCGCCGTCACCCAATGCTGATGGATCGTGTGCCACGTACACAATTGTCGCTGGCGATTCGTGCTCGGCAATTATAGCCACTTACAGCTTGACACTGGACGAGTTGAACAATTACAACCAAGACACCTGGGGCTGGGGAGGTTGCAACGATTTGCTAATCGGTAACATAATCTGCCTAAGCTCTGGTACACCACCGATGCCGGCCACTGATACAAACGCCGTGTGCGGTCCCACCGTGCCTGGCACGGTGGCACCGACAAATGGGACAGCAATTTCAGAGCTCAACCCCTCCCCCCTGAATGCCTGCTGCAATATCTGGGGTCAGTGTGGCATTACGGCCGACTTCTGTACCGCTACCAACTCAAGCACGGGAGCTCCAGGGACGGCCGCACCTGGTACAAATGGGTGTATCTCCAATTGCGGCACAGACATCGTCAAGAGCGGTGCACCAGCCACATATCGGAACATCGCCTATTACGAAGGTTCTAATTTCGACCGCTCCTGTCTCTATCAGGACATTTTGCAAGTCGACACCTCGTTGACGCATTTGCATTTTGCATTTGGCACCCTAGACCCGACCAACTACACTGTCAGTGTTGGCGATGCACTTAGTTCGTACGAATTTGAAAACCTGAAGCGCTTGTCGGGGCCCCTGCGAATCCTGACAATTGGCGGCTGGGATTTCTCGACTGGTGCTAGCACGTACACTATATTCCGCGAGGGTGTGGCTGCGGCCAACCGTTTGGCTATGGCGACGAGCATTGCGAATTTTATCAAAGACAATGGATTGGATGGTGTGGATATTGATTGGGAGTATCCTGGTGTACGTATAGGAGATGCTCTAAAGGAGTCGAAAATGTAGAAATATGCTTACCTCACCTAGGCACCAGATATTCCCGGTATTCCACCCGCCAGTACTGATGACGGCTCCAACTACTTGGATTTCTTGGTGCTTCTGAAAAATCTGCTTGACGGTAAATCGCTGTCAATCGCGGCTCCAGCATCTTACTGGTATCTGAAGGGCTTCCCCATTGCTCAAATTAGCAAGGTTGTAGACTATATTGTCTTCATGGCGTATGATCTCCATGGCCAAGTCAGTAAACTATGGACTCTCCAGGTACTTTTTCTGTTGCTAATTCTTGTCAATAGTGGGATTATGGCAAGACAAGCTCTCAAGAAGGGTGTCTGACAGGCAATTGTTTACGAAGCCACGTGAACTTGACTGAAACGCTGTCTGCATTATCTATGGTCTGTGACCTTCATCAGTCTCATACTGGGACAAGACTGATGTTTGCATACTCACCGTCGTCTAGGTTACAAAAGCCGGCGTACCCTCTAACAAGGTTGTCGTTGGAGTTTCAAGCTATGGCCGCTCTTTTGCGATGGCCGAAACTGGCTGTTACACTGAGAACTGTTTCTTCACTGGATCTGCATCAGCATCCAATGCAGAGCCAGGCGTCTGCACGAACACGGCAGGGTACATTTCAAACGCAGAGATTAATGAGATCATAGGTAATGCGAGCAGAGTCACGACTTCCTACGTCGACGAATCAAGCAACAGCAACATCCTTGTCTACGACGGTACCCAATGGGTTGCTTACATGGATGACTCAATAAAGTCTGATCGCGTTGCGTTCTACCAAGGCTTAGAAATGGGCGGTGGCACTCTTTGGGCTTCCGACCTTTCAGAGTATAATACAGCTCCTTATCCGAGCACCAGTTGGACTAATTTCGTCGAACTTGCTGGATTTGGGACGGATCCGTACGCTGAAGGTAATCGGACCGGCAACTGGACGACCCTGACCTGTTCGGACCAATCCGTCACAGATCTCAAGGACTTAACTTCAAAGGAGCGGTGGGACCAGATGGACTGCCCTAATGCCTGGGCAGATGCCGTCAATGTCTGGCTCAAAATCGACCAACCTGCCAAATCACTAACCTTTACTGAGTCAATCTCGAACACGCTTCACGCCCCTGAGATGGCCGCTTGTGGGGACTTTAAAGACACCAGCAATTGTGTTCAGACCTATACCTGTGCGGGAGTTGTAGGAGACGGCACTGGCCCGGCTGGCTATGAGATCTGGAACTCAATGGTCATTGTGCACGAGGTGAGCCCAATAGGAAGAAACCCGGTAAAACTCCTATTTATCATGATGGAAATTGTTGACTCCGGTTATTCAGATTTATACCACCTATATTAAGGCTCTACACGATGCTTTCAGTGACGTGGTCAGTCCGGCACTCCAAAATCTCGAAGACACGTTCGCGCCCGTCTCCCCTCCAGAGAGTGACGAGTGGCTTGGTATTCTACTGTCTGTGATCGGTCTCGTAGGTACCATCGGCGGTTCTGCGTTTTTCAATTCATGTATGTGCTACCTCCCCTTTCCATCCTTGTTTCACAAATCCTCTTCCACCTTTCCTCGTTGCGTCAACTATCTAGTCGCCTGCTTACATATCTTTAAAGATTTGTCTGCCATGCCTTATTTTAAAGCCAATAAAGCTCTCTACGACAACCTAAAGGATACCACTAAAGCAATTGTGTCGTTTGGCACAAGTCTGACTTCTACCTTGTATAAACCAGGAAGCGTATCAGCGTAAGTTGTCCCACAAATATACCTTATATTCTTTACGGGCAACTACTGAGGCTGACGCGGGTTGCAGCGGGGATTGGACCCTTCAGGACCAGGCCGTGTTCTCCCAGTACATGGGCCAGTCCATCTTTGCCTGGGCCAATTTGACCCAGATAGCATTGAAGAGTCTTTTCGACGGCGACACAGATGGACTAACAGCGCTCACCAATCTCATTTCAGACGGCAAGCTCATTGAAGGTTCCGCCGATGGTGCAGAGGCCGATTATCCCACCGACCTTGACAGCACCTATGCTGCGCTGGAGGCAAGTATCGCTACGTCTTTTTTTGCTTTTACAATCCCAGCTCTCTGGAACTTTTCAAGCACGTACGCATTTGTCGTAGACTCTGGCGCTTCATGTGATACCAGCAACCCGCTTTCTGCATACATGAGCAGCGACGACATGACTGCCTCCGGGTATTGCTACAACGACGATTGGTATTACCTGGTCTACCCACACTCATCACCAAGTACCAACTGTACAACCGGTTCTGTAGGTACTGCAGAATGTGATGACTATATATTCGGAGCAGTTCCAGGTATCAAGTCTCTTGATGGCACGTTTGGGGGCGTCACTCTCGCGGCACTAATTGTCGGTGCCGTGAATACCTACGTGAGCAACGGCAACGCAAACGGCGGTGCCATCGCTGATCCCGCAAACTCTGGTACATTGGATCAACTATACGATCAGAATATCACCGCACCCGGGTATGTCACGATTCCGGTCTGCAGCCCAGCCACGGCTCAGGCAGCAATCAGCGCCAAACAAAGCACCGTGGCCAACTATCCCTGCAATGCACTGCAGGCGATCAGCGACTGTGGCGATTCATCATTTGTCGACCAGACTAGCGATGCATCTCCAAGTGTCAACGACTGTTTGCAGATCGTGGCCAATATCCAGAATACGCTGGGTGAGTGGGAGGTGGAAAACGCCGTCGAGGAACAGCACCAGTTAGTGCAGTATGGCAGCTGCAAATTCGGTGTCCAGGGTACAGCTATCAATGGCAACGTCAACTTCCACGTTGGCGCCCAGGATGTTATAGACATAATCCATTCGTCGATAAGCAAATTTGCTTCGAACGGCTTGGTCGGTGCCAAAGGTTCTATGGACTGCAACGGTGACGTGAAACAGCAGCCGGTAGACTGGGGTCTATATTGAGGCTATGCTGACTACTACTTAATTCGGGATATGTATGAGGCAACATCTTATGCGGGATAATTGATTTCATTACGAGGTTACTTACTTGTCTGTGTCGCTTATCTATGAACTATGTCAGATTACCTTTCAACAATCGTACAGTCAGTGGAACATTTCTTAAGTATTATTGGAATCTATATAGTTTGTCATATATTCCACCTAGGTATAGAACTAAAAATCCAAGATTGAAGCAAGACAGATTGAATATCCTGAATAGGCAAAATTTACTGATTAGGGCTATCGTGATCCCATGACATCTGGATGGAGAGATAACGCTACAAGTCAGTGATAAAGTGGGGTTGAACGTATGTCTTGAGTGAGCTGACCAGTTGAACACATTCTTCGTTCCTCTTCTCAACTTGAAAACAGTAGCAGCAAGAGCGAAATCCGAGAAATTATCACAAATGTCTGCCGACCTTTTGAAGCCGCTCGCCACATTCTGTACGCAGTCGATCTCCCAGCGATACATCAAGACTGTCAGAAATCTAGGCGATGCATGGCGCACTCTGGCGGAACAACCGCTATTGCCTGAGCACACAGATTTAGCCGTAATCGAAACGACGTTCGGCGTGACTTTGACGATAAGAAACGATTTTAATAGCAAAGATTTCTTCGCGATGTTGGACATCCCATCTCTCGAATCAGCAAGTCAGGGCGTGCCAAGAAAACATGGCATAACAACCCCCCCTCGGCATTTTCGAATATTTGCTGATTACGGTACCGATTTTATCTGGCTTAATTATAATGATCCTATATACGACGGCGAAAGCAGCTACATTGAACTCGAGGATGCACTGTCCGGCTTTCCACACGAGGTATTTGACAACTATGATTCCTGGGTAGAAATATATACGGTCAATTTCAAGAAGAGATGTGACGATCCTGGCGATTACTCTGTGCATGTCTTCCCTACAGTGGCAGAGGAAGTTGCGTGGAATGTTGCTGGGTTTTTACTTGCCTGGCGTATTGCGTTGGCTCCGCATGTGGGTAGCGTTGAGTTGGCAGTTGGCCGCGATAAATATCTTCTCAAGAAGGGAGACGATACAGAGAACGAGGTGACCTACAAATTTTTGGAGAACCAAGCCGAGGTTCTAGCAAAGAAAGAGACAGTCGAATGAAAGGAGTATTATCTTTATCGAGTTTGAATTTTCTTCAGTGCATGCTAGAAAATCCACATGTAGTACCACTTATGTCACTCCTAATTGATGCCTTCTAGGCATGTCAATACTATCCAGGTATTTAGATATCGACTAGAGCCGAAGACCACAATAACTAGATACTCTTCTGGCCCGAACTCTGAAGCGTGCTTAGGCAATTAGGTATCGCAAATCAATTCCATGTCTCATTGTGATCTCTGAAAATCCATTTGCGACATGACATCGGCATACTGGCCTTAATAAATATATCGGAAACTAGAAGAACACAAATGTCAGCTTTTCCTCTAATCAATAATAAACCAAAAAGAAGAAATACGTACTTCAAGTTCTCTCGATCAGTCAAGTCCAAAAAGGCAGTAGCATCCAAATCCCTTCCTTGTAGACCACCCTCCATCTCCGACTGGATCTTGTCACGTTTCTTGTTCTCCCATCGTAGGAGAAGGCCAAGAATTGAGATCAGCACGACTTCGATGAGATGAGAGCCGATCATGGACCAGATGCCGAGGGAGTATGTTGGTCTGCATGTATTAGCCGCGTGATTCAATTAATGTGCTAATAGAGAGGGAGGAGCAAAGAGACATACGATTGATCAGTCTTGTAAAAGAACGGACCCGCAATATTACCGGTGCAATATCCGAGGAATAGTACGGCATTCGTCACGACTTTCTTAGTATGTCCTAGATACCACTTTTGCATCAGCTATCACTCATGCAAGCAGAGGGGGGACCGTACCAGCAGTATTAGCAATCTGCATACTGAGCACCAACACAAACGCTGCATTATACGGTCCCGTCAAATAGTAACAAAGCAATCTTCCAATCTTGCGGTCAAGAGGGACAAATCGTAGTCCAAATGCACCCGTGATATTAGGTATCAAGAACAGAAGGACGAATACGCAACGTTTATTCTCGAATCGATCGTTTAGGAAGACGCAGAGTAGAATGGAGAGGGCGATGATGACCCCGTAGGGAATTTGCATTAGTGTAGTGACGAGAGTTGAGAAGCCGAAGCCTTGGATGATGATGGTACCGAAGTTAGAGATTCCGCCGTTGGGGACGTTACCTATAAGATCAGTACTGGTCTGTTTGAATGTAAGAAATGAGAACCTACAGACGACACCAAGGAAGAAGAACATGTATAGCTTGTAGTCGGTAAAGGCTTCCCGGATCTGGTATGGTTTCAGGTGCTTGTTTTCAATACCAGTCTGATTCTCGCGCAAACGTTCCACGGCGATACGGCGTTCTCGTAATGTCAAGCCTTTGGCCGTTACTGGGCTGTCAGGAAGAAAGATGAACATGACGATGCCCCATGCCGAACACAGGGCACCACTTTTATGCCACGTTAGTAAACCGACTTGTGTCAAAGAAGGCTTAGGGTCATACATTATCAAAAACTCATATTTCCACGACGGCAATGCGCCTCGAATATGACCAATACCATACCCTAGGAGCCCACCTAATGCGATTCCAAAGCCATTGGCCGTATACCAGAGGCCAATACGAACGGGTTGCTCTCGTCTCGTGTACCACATACTGGTTACTAGCATGAAACCTGGATCAGAACATGCTTCGGCGGCACCGGCGAGTGCTCGCAGCACTCCCAGGGTAGCGAAGTTGTGGCATGCAGCTTGAAGCATGAGGAAGACGCCCCTATTTCATTCGTTAGTCTGGTATTGATGAGTCCATAAGGGGTGATTTACCACATGAAGATATTGAAGCCAAGATATTTGCCTAGACATAACTAAGTCTATAACACCAAATAAGGGACATTTTGAAGTGATACATACCAATAGGCAACTTCTGCAACAAGAAATTGGTGGGAAAAGCCCAGACCAAGAACCCAAAATAAAACAAACTACTCAGCCAACTGTACTCGGTCCCGACGAGATGAAGATCATTCCGGATACCAAATATAGCAGCATAGCTAAGCGTCGTCTTTTCCTCCGCAGAACACATCAACACCCATGCCCATTGTCAGAGATAGAAAGGAGGAAGGAGAATCACGAACCTTATCAATATAAAAAAATGCATAACAAACCGCCAGGTACGGTAAAATCATGAAATCGATCTTGCGTAATACTTTCTTCTCATCCTCGTAGCTGACGTGTTCGTGGAGTTCATCGCTGTTTTCGAAAAGGGCGAGCGCCGCGTCGCCGTCATGAGTGTTCCACTTTTTGGCTTGGAGAGGGTCTTCGACTGTAGGTAGCGCGTGTTCGCGGTGGGTTGTTGCTGTTATATCGTTGGATAAGGGAGGGAGCTCAGCTCCTGTTGTCTTTGATTGTCCCATTTCGACTTATATGTCCAATGGAGACGTTTAAAGATCTTTGTATCGCTTGGGATGGTTCAAGCAGATAAAGAACAAAAAAGGAAATTTGCAACACAGCGCAATGATCATATTTTGAACCTCCAGCCCAGTGAGGAGCAACATCAAGTACGGCATTTTTGCCGATCATCTGCTCCCCAAGATCAACTTACTTTCCCTACCGCTCAGGCCCATAGGAGACCTCTCCGACCCCGTACATATATCTCCTCCGAACGTAGAGTACTACGTAGTACATTATCGCGGAGTATTTGCGAAGCGGAGAAATAGGGTCTGCAGATCAATGCCCCCAAACTTTGCGGGAGGTGGAGTATAAAGTATGGGGAAGTCCCTTCAAATGTTGGATACGCGGGGTTGAACTTACCAAACCTGGTGGCTTTGATAAAGTGGAAAGTCTATTCATAAGTAGTGTTGACTTGGTTGGTGGACAAACCTGTTTAGGGTGATGTGTTTATTATCGGAGTAAGTCCGACTGACTTTCTCGTCTTGGATCGAGATTCGCAGTATGTCCGAGATTTGCCTATATGTTTTACCTAGGTTATCAGTTCCACCATGATACACAATTTGTGACCAGTCTACTTAATAACTCATCATTGCCATCGATAAAACCGAATCCCAGAATGCTTAGGCATGCCCGAGCGGTCACTGATGGGTCTGAACTGCTCAGTAATCATCACTGAGCGCTTTTCATATCTTTATAGCAATGGTCAACAACCAAGAAAGTCTCTAAAGTGGATTATGCCATGTATCACCATATCTGGGAAAATTAGCCGTAAAGTAATCCTACGAATTCTCCAACCAACTAATATACATATCGATAACCAACGATCTAGTAATCAGTAAGATCCGATAGACGTATACCCTCAAAATTCTCTTCAAGACCAGCGAGTCCCTCCATAGTATCGCAGCTCCTAATCTCCGAAATGAGTCCGTTCGGTTGAGTGCTATCTCATCTTAGGGTGAATGGTCTACCAGGTAATTCCTGTGGTATTGTATGACAGGCCCTAACTTATGCCCAAAGAGGAAGGTACTTGTCAACGATTGCTGAATGAAAATCTCATTCTCTATGTAGTAGTCTATTTCCACCTCTTTTCTCTCCGAAAATGCAAACGACTAAATCGGAACCCCGCTTTTCTGTATATTCGATGCCCGAAAATTCACAATGAGCCCCTCAAGATCTAGATTATGGACTATACAATAAGAAATATAATAGTAAACCAATGAGCGAAGCTGCTTTAACGCTTATTGAAGTTCAGGTATCGTGCCTATAGAGTATTGTTAGTGGGTTCGTATGAAAAAGAAAGAGAATACCAGGTTGCACTCACTCCAAGGAAAAGAATTATGATGTTGCTGACAATGAAGCACAAGAAGATACCCAAATCTCTCCAACGGTTGTCGTAGCTCAAGTCAAAGGCGGAATAGAACTGATCTCCAACCTTGTAAGCACAATACTGGCAGGCGCTTGTCGCATTATCAACAATATAGCCTGGTGCACCAGCTGCAAAATAAGGGGCCATGTAGTCACCACAAGTCTGGCCGTCAGGTGCAGAAAAGGTGTTGAGTTCTGAGGTTTTGCAGACGACTGGACGATCGTGTAACTCTGTCACCAGCATACCACCAATGAGTCTGGTAAAGGGATCAAGCTGGTACAGCCACGCTCTCCAGAACTTGGGAATCTGGGGTTTAGGGATAGCGACACCACAGAACAGCGCAAACACAATGATAAGCGGAGGATTGAGTTGGGATGAGATGTATGAACTCGGGGTAATTGCAGCAACCATTTGGCCCAATGTGACTGAGAAGAATTCAGTGATCAGAATCATGAAGAACTGATAACCTGCACGGTCTGAAGCACTCTGGAAACCTGGAATGTAATAAATTGGCAAGAAAAAGGCAACAGTACAAAGCAAGCTGTACGGAATCTCCGCAACAACCATGGCAACTGCAAACGCAACCGATTTGTAGGTTTTCGATGCAGCTTCCCGGTACGAAACCAACCGTGACATCTCATACTTAGGCTCAACCTGTTGAATGATGATGGCCGGAATGACGGTAATCTGGAACAGAACAAAAACACGGTATTGAAGAGATGATCGTGAATCATCTAGTTGAAGGAACATCAGACCGGTGAGAAGTGCAATAATTGCGTGTACGAATAACCTAGTGAAGCCGTAGTTTGGTGATCGCCAGAAAGCCAAGTTTGTTCGTCGGACAACAGTCTTGACTTGGTACCAGGTAGGTGTTGCGTATTCTACCTCTTGTGGTGCAGTGCTCTCATCCTCCTTATTTTGTGCGGCGCGTTCAGTCTTCATTTTTGTAATATCTGCCTTGATTTGAGCCAACTCTGGTGAATCACGCCAAATATCGCCCCAATCACGATCTCCAATGCGAGGAGTTTGACCGGCACCGATGGCATCAAGCATCCACTCAGCGGGGTTTGCGTTGGGAGGGCATTCGGCTCCATTGCGTCGGAAGTAGTCGATCAAAACATGACTATCATTTCCAATATCACCAAAGTAGACACAGTTTCCTCCTTTTTGTAGCAAGAGCAGTCGGTCAAAGCTTGAGAATAACGCTGAGTTAGGCTGGTGGATTGTGCATAGGATTGCTTGACCGGCTGCAGCTAACTTTCGCAGGAAACGAACGATGTTAAAAGCAGATTGACTGTCAAGACCAGACGTAGGCTCGTCTAAAAACAACAAAAGCTCGGGCTTGGCAGCGAGTTCTACACCAATGGTCACTCGTTTACGCTCCTCAACAGACAACCCAACCTCTGGGAATCCAATCACGGCATCTGCCAATTTTTCCAATTCCAGCAGTGACAGGATTTCTTCGACGTAAGCATGCTTCTCTGCCAACGGCACGTCATACGGTTGACGGAGCTCAGCCGAAAAGCGCAACGCTTCACGTACCGTTTGGGTAGACTCGTGAACATCTAATTGTTCTGCGTACGAGGTACCACGCTGGAAGGATGGACCAGGTTTGCGACCGTCGACTAGAATGTCTCCCGAGATGACTCCAATACTCTTTCGAGCTGCCAATACGTCCAGAAGTGTGGTCTTTCCGGCTCCAGAAGCTCCCATCAGAGCTGTCAGTTTGCCTGGTTGGACATAGCCATAAACTGAATTCAGCAACCGACGAGTGCCAGACGGAACAGGGACATCGTAGTCGACAGCCTCCCAGGTAAGCACGGCCTTTGAGGTGATGTTCAAATTCGAGGAAGAATCGTCGACTTCCTTGTTCTGACGTTTCTGCTTCTTAACCATCAGTTCCTCGTTCAGTTTTTTCCGTTCATCATTCTCCTTCTGGAAAAAGGTGATGGTTCTGCCGCCAGCTCCCCAGTTCACGGATTCTCCCAGATAAGCATTGGTAAATAAGAAGAAAACAATCAAGGCCACGATGATTCCAAAGTTACGCCATAGATCCCGAGTTTCGTAACTGAAGCCAGCACTGAGGTAGGAGGAGCCGGGAATGATATTCGAACCCGGAGAACTCCCTTGAAGAGTGCACGTTTGGTGAGCAATGTCGCCATATGAAGGCACCAAGGAGGACTCGGAACAGGTCAAGGTGAGTCGTTTGAATTCATTTACCATCAAAGCCGAAAATCCCAAACCGAGAGCATTGATATAGAAAATCCATCGCAACCAAACCTGCTCACTTTGATATTGGATAAGATACCCAGCAGTAAGCACATAGAGTGTAATAATAGTGGCGGCGAATTTCATAGCGTAGTCGAAATCAGGACACACGCAACCAATTGTTCGGAAGAACAAAGTCATACAAAGGTAACCGGATACAATGATGAGGACGAAGGTGAAGAAAGCACCGGCATCAAGGACTAGGCCGCACATGAAGTAAACAATGATACTAAAAACCAATATTTGCACAGCAGCGAAAGCAGTGTCGACCAAAATTTGAGCAATCCATAGAGCACTTGGGCGGTGGAAGGTATAGGCTTTATGTTTATTCACGATCGGACGGCCGAGCATAGTCGAGCCCAGTTCTGCAAAAGCTTGGAAAGCGTTGAAAAGTAGCGATATGAACAGTAAACCACCACGAGTAAAGGCACCAGAACTGGTAGTTGGCAATTTGTACCAAACGGTTCCCAAAACGATAGCTGTAATGATAGACGTAGCCCAAGAGACCGTCAAAGTGAACTTATCTTGCCACTTCACAAGGAACTGGCGCTTCATCAAGGCCCAGACTTGTAGATAGAAAGGAATTGAGTAAACCGAAGACTTGGGGGTGTGCTTGCGCTTGGCTTCTCTGTGAGCAAGTTCAAATTCGTCATAGACGTGCTTCTCTTCTTGAATTTGAGTACGATAGGCGGCAATTTCTTCGTCAAGCAATGTGCGGTACTTCGATTCATCGAAAGCCTTCACTAGTTCTTCCGGCGTAGACGGCACGTTTTCAGAGCTGCGACCCTCTTGATACTCCCTTTCGAATGGATCGGTACAGCCGGTCAAATAATCAGGTGTTGTCTGTCGAGGCTTCGGCATGAAACCAAGTCCTTCAAAATAGGCTCTTGCTTCAGCAGTAGGGCCAAAGAAGACCTGACGACCTTCGTCAATGACCATAACCTTGTCAAATTGTTCATAAATGTTTTCTGAGGCCTGGTACAAAGAAACAAATGTCGTTGTCTTGTAAATATTGGTCATGATCCGGAGTGACTTTGCAAAATCCAATGCGGTAGATGCGTCCAAACCTCGAGTTGTATTGTCCCAAGCCAGGACAGTCCCAGAGGTAATCATCATTTCTGCTATACTCACACGTTTGCGCTCACCTCCAGAAACACCTCGGACGAATGCATTGCCGACGACTGTGTTGATTGTATGCTCAATGTTGAACATCTTCAATAACATTTGTATGACCTTTTCCTTGAATTCCTTTTTCGATACGCCAGCGGGTCGTTTGCCTGGAGTCTTGGTGTCGAGAGCGAAAGAGAGGGTTTGGCCAACGGTCAGGGTGGGATGATGAACATCATCTTCTTGGTTGTAAACAGCTTCACCGCGGAACCTCTTTGCAAAGGTGTCGCTATCGAACGGTCCGTATGTAACTCCGCCGTCAAATGATGTATATCCATAGCGTTGATTTGTGACTACTTTCAAGAACGTAGTACAACCAGAACCGGGTCGACCTAGAACCAAGACCATTTCTCCGGGTTTCAGGACGCCTCTAAAATTGTGAAGAATGTCGACTTCGGCGCCGTGTTTCTGCAATCCCAAGAGATTTTTGAGTGTCTCGTATACGTTAAAGAAGCCAATTACGGCATCTGGAAATGTTTGCACAAAGGTCTTGACTCCACCATATCCTCGGACTGTAAGACCATCCCAAATAACACCTGACATATTGGTCAGTTGCGCCGACAGCCTTCATACTTGAGTTTATAAAACCTACCGATGTGCTTCGGCTTGATACCGGCCTCATTCTCGGCAGCTTTCGAGCCATGAAGAGCAGATTCCAGATCCCACTGCTCGGTGGTAGATGCGGGCGAACTTCCGGTCTTTTCAATATCGTGCACGGAGGCGCGTCTTGATTGCCGTGATGCCTGTTTCGAGAGTCGTCTCGTTTGCTGAGAGATATTGGAAAACTGTTTGTTGAGCTCCGCGAAGTCCTTTTCTGCGCGCTCGACGTCGACGCCGGATTGGATGCGCGCGAGACCGGTAGGATTAGAGGTTCTCACTTGCTCGCGGCCGTCTTCGTAGGTTGATTCGGTACGCACACTTTCGTCTTCCTTAGTCCAGGATTCGGTGGGATTGGCGGACGACATTGTGTCTGCTGTATGCGCTCTGGCGCTGGCGCAAAGGTCTAATGCTATAACCTAGGATGAGGAGAATGGTAATTCAGATGGTATTTTGAAATCGATACCTATGGTTAATAATGTGGATCGAAGTTTGGGGATGGTGCTGGCGAGGCGCAAAGACGAATAGACAGCACAAGACCCAGAACCATTTGCACAGAGACTGTGCAGGATATCCGGCTTGTGAAGAATGGGAGACTGCCAGCACACAGGCGAGGTTGAAAAGAAGGAAGGAAGATGAAAGAATCCTAAAAAAAGGAGGACCAAGGTGAAGAGCAATTAAAAAAATAAAAATCTTGATGCGGCGGCAGTCGGGCCTGCCTTTTTTTAGCCGGGTGCTTCCCAAAATGGCAGCTAGTAGCTACTGTGGGCGTGGCTACCATCCCCCCATATGGCAGCCCCATCGTATAGACTCTACGGTACATGGTAGGCCCACAACCCAACATTCAATTTACTAACGTGGTAATCTCGCTCCAAACTCCTCCGTGCAGCCTCTAACCCAACAAATACCCTTGCGAATTACTAATCCTCACTCGAACTACATGAAAATCTGCCCAATGATTTATGAGCCAACCAACATATTGCTATGATACCAAATGACTTCCTACGTAGTAAGTTAATATATTTTAAGTCCATTTTAAGTCCGGCCTAGAGCGGCGTCTCAAAACAGCGTACCGTGCCCTCCGTTGCGGGGCAAGCCTCTTGGGACTCCAAGTGCGGACTGTCGTTTTTCTCGGCGAGTACGCGTCTATACTTGGCTTTTAGTCAACTATGTACGATGTATGTGACTACGATGAATCATCTTGACTCATCGATCTGAGATGCAGGTATCGATTGATTGGCAGTTTCCGCGTGTCGAACCCTGCTTGATAAGTCATGGCGCGACATGCAAACAATGCAAACACATCAAACAGGTAGCTCCATAGTACAGTACATTAGGGCCTCGGCTCTCTGAGCGAAACAGCATCCGTGCCGCACTCCACTCGTGCTGTTGGAAATTGGCCAGTCGCGGTGCTTGTTTCGGTTGCCCGGCAATTGTTGCATCTATCGCTGAGTAGAACGAGCATGTGTAGACGATCGATTTCTAAGCACACATACGTCTCTCATCAGTTTCACTTTCACCTGACAATTGAAACGGTGAAATCACAGTCAGGGTTGGTAATCCGGGGCACACGGAGTTTCCGTGTCTTGCAGAATGTCAAAAAGCCCTACCCGGATTACGGAAGACAAGTGGCTTCCGAAATGACTCGTCAGCGCCTGGCCAATCCTCATCACTGAATCATGCAGGAGGCGATCTAGCGTTGTTGGCTTTCTGGCTTGTGCTTGTCGATCTATCGCACTATCGTCTTCTACGTAGTACGCATCAGATTTTCAATCCTTCTCGGTGCCGCCTTCCGCGGCTTTCTGTTTTACGTACGGAGTAATGCTTCGTCCGTTTTGTCCGTCGGCCTGGCAGATCTTGATATCTTATGTAATGTCACATCGCATCCTAATCTGCCCGACGCGTGCTTTGATGTAGTGCGTACTGCAGCTATTGTTGTCACGACTCTCACGTCTAGAATCATTACAACATGTGGAAGTCTGTCGTTTGGGTCAAAAGAAAGAGTTATGTTTATGGCATCCATAAACCAGAGCCTCAATCGATTGAGACGATATCTTACATGCTTAGCGTGGTTGGAGGTTCCCAGTCCTAACAATGTGTCGAACAGAACTCAACGTCAAATAGATATCGTCATACCCTCGCAAAATTGCCCTCCGACAGAAATCTCTCATGCACACAACTAGCACACACCTTCCCATCCACACTCTCCATCACCACCCTAAGAGTGGCCCATCTTCCTCCCCCGCCGCCACAACCCTACACCTCAACCTCACCACCATGCCCCTAAGAAGCCGTCGATGATACCAAACTGACAACGGTCTGCTAATCTCAAACCAATTCCAAAACCCCGGTCTGCTAATCATATACAGCGCCTTTGAGCTAAAATTATCGAAGATGGTTGAGACAGCAACGCCATGTATGTTGCCGTTTTTGTTGCACATAATCTTCGAGACATGGAATTCGTAGACGATTGTGTGTGTGGAGGGGAAAGATGTTACGTCTTTGATTCCACGCAGGACGGCGGTGTCGACGCCTGTGTATGTGGGATCGGTGGTGATACTGACTTTGTAGGCTCGGATGAGGTCGTCGAGGGAGAGAGCGAAGTCGGTTGTCCAGTATGCGTCGCGAGTCATTTTGATTCTTGTCAAAAGAGTATTACATACAGTTTATCATGAATATATGGTGCGATTTCGTGAACGTTCCTACTCATCTGGATATGGATTTTCTTTCACATTTACTCAGTCCGGTTATAGACCGGCTTTGTTGTCTATAAAGCCGTTCATGGGGCACAACGCTACATAGATGTTTAGACGGGAAAAAGTTTCCCATCTTATTTATGTCAGTTACAGTATTATGATTTGCAATGTGTGAGGTAAAAGAGGGAAGCAGACAGCTCTCTTCTGAGTCTTAGCATATTGTTTTTCAGGTCGCGTACATACCTCGAAAAAGCCCTAACCCACCCAAGCCCGAGGCAAGGTAAGTATTCAACTACAACAAAGCCTTCAACCCCAACCCCTTCCTCTCCCCATTCTCATCAAACTCAATCTTCTCTCCCGTCACCAAACTCTCCTGCAACGCAATCGCCAACTTCATCCCCTGCAACGCCGACGACAACTTCAACGGCAATTCTCGCCCCAGCAAAATAGCATCCACAAACACCTCTAGCTCAGTCACAAACGCATCTTGATACCGCTCAATCCAACCCGGTGTCGCATCCTGCTGAATCCCCGCTATATTCGAGACTTGCACTCTATTCGCATGAGGCACAAGATTGATAGAGATTTTGCCCTCGCTACCGATAATCTCCGTGCAATTGTCGTAGCCATGAAACGTAGTTCGGGAATGATAATAGTACGCAATTCTGCCGCCCCAAAACTCAACTACGCCGACCGCATTATCCACGTCGTTGAATTCTTTCAATTCTTGATGGTGCGCAATCAAACCCGTTGCCCAGAGCGCTTTGGGTTTGCAGTTCTCCTCCCCGAGGAAGGAGAGTGTGAGATCGATATCGTGGACGACTGTATCAATGAATATGCCGCCACTGTGTCGCGCATACTCGATGAAGAAACCGGTCTTGTCGAGTCTTTCGGCGCCTTGGGAACGAATGATCAATGGTGTACCGATTGAACCGTTTTGGATGCTGCGTAGAGCTGTGCGATATTGTTCGTCGAAGCGGCGGACGAAGCCGACCATTACTTTGGAGCGGCCGTCTTCGCCGAGGTCATGGAGTAGCTGACTCAACTAACATGAATGAATCAATACGGCCATCCTATCGTTTCAGTATAGGGGGCGTGCTTACTTCGGCCAGATCTTTAGTCAACGGCTTCTCACATAAAACACAAATACCACGCTTCACAGCTGCAAGGGTATGCTCAATATGCAGCTCCGTCGACGATGCAACGATCACCGCCGCAAGGCCCGGGGCGTCAATCATTTCGTAGAAGTCAGAGAATATATTGACGCCTTCAGGCTCGAGTTTGTTTCTAGCCCATTCGAGTTCGTGCGGTGTTGGAGAGCAGACGCTGTATAGGCAGGCTTTGGATATGCGGTGCAGCACGTTTAGGGCATGTCGTTGACCCATCCGGCCTAGGCCTACGACGCCGATGTTGAGTTTTTGGTTGTTTGTTGTCATTTTCGTTCTCGAAATGAATAAAAAACAGTTGAATGAAGTTGAGTACAGAATACATGTAATCTCTTTATTTATGCCTATATAAAATGAGAATATCTGTTGAAAATTTTTGCGTCCAGGTATATAGTCGGCTGCCACTAAGCCTGTCTCTGCAGAGTCCCTCGGATACTCTTTTCCGACGATAGGGACTATCTCCACTCTAGACTTGGGAGCTGATCTTCAATTCATGTGCTAGATTAGCTTTTAATTATCAATTAGTCCCTGTTGTCGAACGATCGATATTCACAGAGCCACTGCTTGGAGCTTGTGGAACAGGGGAATAAGAGGATTGAGGGCGAAGATCTTATAAAGCCACTATGCGACCAAGACCAGATATTGTTTATCCAATTAGAGCCAAGATCTTCTTGTGCCATATTTAGGCTCCGGTGTTGGCTGGGTACATGTAATCCAAAATGTAGGGCAGTGTTATCAGATATAAAGATCCACTGTAAGAGCGATGAAGGTCATGGAAGCAGTGTTGCTTCGTATAATCTTGCAATCTTGCGCCAAGGAGTGGGATAAGGTATTGAGAAATCAGTAGATCAGTTTCTCACAAAATGCAAGCTGGCGACAAAGACTGTCGGCGATGCTCTGCCTTTGGTGACTTGTAACTCCAAACCAGTAGGGTTAGGGCTAAAGCTTCATTGCATCTGGCAATTGGTCAGAATGCGGGGAACGAGCGAACATTGCTCTGTTTGCTCTACAACTTGTCAAAATCTCATAGATTGTACTTACTGTTTTAACCTTCTGGTACATAGCCAAATAAAAATCGCAATATCAGTTTCGTAGATATCAACAGAAGTGGTCACTGCATCATCTCAATTTCAAAAAGGTCGCATGATCAGGGCCTTATCGATAAGGCATCTGTGGTCCCTGCAGTAGGCTCTCCGATATCGCTGGCGCCAATCTCAAAAATTATTCGCTCGCTGGTCTACCCACGGGCGACACTGAACTTTTTCTTGGGCTTGCGCTATTTGGTTCGTATGGTTCTAGGTTGTAGACAGAAAGAAGGAAGTCAAGTCGTCTGAGGATTGCTTGGATTCTGTGTCTAGCAATAGAACAACAGTGCTCATGCATTTATGGCATAGACGCAGTGCATGGAAAAAGCATCTGCTAGCATAAGCGAGCAGTGGCAGTCATCTCGAGTTCATGCAGCTCAGCCTTATAATTTATAACCCTGCCGACGTTATAGATGAAGCTAATAATGACTGGTACGGAAAGCGAATCCGGCGTTGACCTCAGCGCGCGATCTGTCTCCTTGAGAATCGGAGCTCGGTCGCTGACATAGCGAGCTCAAGCCCGGCTGAACACAGGAGGGAGGATGGCATTCCTTTATACAAATAATCCCCGGTCAAGGTCGAGCTTCTCGTTCCGTAGCAATCGGGTAGGAATTAGGTGATATGTTTCTCCGATCGAATCCGCAGATCGATGACCGGCACACAACGGTAGCTCGAAGTGGCGAATAAGAGATCATCGACGCTATAAGACGGCTTTTGGATATTAGTTGCTTCGTGGGAAGAATTCTTATACTCCGATAGACTGTACCTCTAGTCAATTGATCAATTGATCAATGTAGACCGTAATAATTTGCAAACAGAGCTTCGAGCAGAAAAAAGAGCCTATGGCGCCATACGGCAATATTCTCAGCAGTGGTACCCCGCAAACTCACCGCTTCGGTTTTCCGGGCAACCACTGGACGCCGCGGAAGGAGCAGCCCTGAGGGAGCTCCTGCTTTGGCGGGGCCCGAAATTTCGGAGGCCGAAAAGCAAAGTCACCCCTCCTGCTGTACCATTCTTTTTTTTCTTCCTTTAATACACGACTCATCTCCTGTGTCTGAACCTTCATTTTGTTTTCATCCTTCATCTCACAATCTTCAATTGTCGCTGATAAACTTGTTTTCTTGTCTTTCAGCGAGATTGTATTGCCTTGTGAGGCCACTTGATCACCCTTTTTTATCTATTCATACATAACACAAGTCACAATGGTTCAATCCGCAGTCTTGGGTTTCCCTCGTATGGGAGCCTTGAGAGATCTTAAGAAGGCCACTGAAGCTTACTGGGCCGACAAGATCTCCCAGGAAGACCTCGTTGCTGAGGGAAAGAGACTCCGTCTCGCTCACTGGAAAATCCAGAAGGATGCCGGTGTCGATGTCATTCCCTCCAACGACTTTTCCTTCTACGACCAGGTCTTGGATCACATCCAACTCTTCAGTGTATGCATTGCTCCGCCCTACTTTCAAAAAAAGATTGCTGACGATATTCTGATAGGCCACTCCCGAGCGCTATGCTTCCCAAAAACTCAACATCCTCGACGAGTACTTCGCCATGGCCCGTGGTCGCCAGCGTGCCGGTGTCGACGTCCCCTCCATGGAGATGGTGAAATGGTTCGACAGCAACTACCACTACACAAAGCCTTCTTTCAGCGACTCCCAGACTTTCGCTCTCGCTAAGGATGCTAAGCCCGTCCGCGAGTTCCTCGAGGCCAAGGAAGCTGGCTTCATCACCCGCCCCGTCCTCCTCGGTCCCGTTTCCTTCTTGGCTCTCGGAAAGACTGAGCGTGGTCACTCTGTTGAGCCCATCTCTTTGTTGAGCAAGCTTATCCCCGTCTACGTCGAGCTTCTCAAGGCCCTCAAGGCTGCTGGTGCCGAGTCGTAAGTCGCATTTACAATATCTGAGTGGACCTGAACAATAACTAATAGAATCTTCTAGTGTCCAAATCGATGAGCCCGTCCTCGTTTTCGACTTGAAGCCCGAGATCAAGGCTGCTTTCAAGCCTGCCTATGAAGCTCTTGGAGCCGCTGGCCCTGAGCTCACCGTTGCCACCTACTTCGGTGATATCGTTCACAACATCGACGCTGTCTCCGCTTTCTCTGGTCTCCACGCTCTCCACATCGACCTCGTCCGTAACCCTGAGCAGCTCGAGACCGTCATCAAGGCTCTCGGCCCTAAGCAGACTCTTTCCCTCGGTGTTGTCGACGGACGTAACATCTGGAAGAACGACTTTTCCAAGTCCCTTAAGATCATTGACACCGCCGCCTCTGCCCTTGGCAAGGACCGCATCATCGTCGCCACCTCCAGCTCTCTCCTCCACGTCCCTCACACTCTCGCTAGCGAAAAGAAGCTTCCTGAGGAAGTCTACCAGTGGTTTTCCTTCGCCGTTGAGAAGGTCAAGGAAGTTTCCATTCTCGCCAAGGCTGCCACCGAGGGACCCGCCTCTGTCCAAGCCGAGCTCGATGCCAACGCTGCTGCTCAGAAGTCTCGCGCTGAGTCCAAGCGCACCAACAACCCCGAGGTCAAGGACCGTCTCGCCAAGATCACCCCTGACTTGTACGACCGTAAGTCCAGCTTCGACACCCGTTACGCTCAGCAGAGGACTCACTTGAGCTTGCCTCTTTTCCCCACCACCACCATCGGCTCCTTCCCCCAGACCCAAGAGATCCGTGTCCAGCGTAACAAGTTCACCAAGGGAGAGATCACTGAAGAGCAGTACGATGCTTTCATCCGCAAGGAAATTGACTACGCCATCCAGATCCAGGACGAGCTCGGCCTCGATGTCTACGTTCACGGTGAGCCTGAGCGTAACGATATGGTTCAGTACTTCGGTGAGCGCTTGGAGGGTTACGTCTTCACCACCCACGCTTGGGTCCAGTCTTACGGATCTCGTTGCGTGCGTCCCCCCATCATTGTCGGTGACATCTCTCGTCCTGCTCCCATGACCGTCAAGGAGAGCAAGTACGCCGCTTCCATCTCCAAGAAGCCCATGAAGGGTATGCTCACTGGACCCGTCACTTGCCTCCGATGGTCCTTCCCTCGTAACGACGTCCACCAGTCCGTCCAGGCCATGCAGCTCGCTCTCGCTCTCCGCGACGAGGTTGTTGACCTTGAGAAGAACGGTATCTTCGTCATCCAGGTCGATGAGCCCGCTCTCCGTGAGGGTCTCCCTCTCCGCTCCGGCAAGGAGCGTGAGGCTTACTTGGAGTGGGCCGTGAACAGCTTCAAGCTCTCCACCGCTGGTGTTGAGGACTCCACTCAGATCCACTCTCACTTCTGTTACTCTGAGTTCCAGGACTTCTTCCACGCCATTGCTGCTCTCGACGCTGATGTTCTCTCCATTGAGAACTCTCGTTCCGATGCTAAGCTCCTCAAGGTCTTCATTGACGAGGCCTACCCCCGTCATATCGGACCTGGTGTCTACGATATCCACACTTCTCGTATCCCTCCTGAGGAGGAGATCAAGCAGCGTATCTCTGAGATGTTGGAGTACCTCCGCCCTGAGCAGCTCTGGATCAACCCTGACTGCGGTCTCAAGACCCGTACCTGGGAACAAGTCAAGCCTGCCTTGACCCACTTGGTCAATGCTGCCAAGTACTTCCGTGAGCAACACAAGGCTTAAATGCTTTGATGCGCTGAGGACTGGTCTATCTTGAATCTCTCCACTATCATATTCTTCTTACCTCCCACCTCCAGACCAGTGTGCTCATACTCTGTTTCAGTTGATATCCCAATTACGTATTTCCTTTGTCTTTCCTTTGTTATTATACCTTGGACTCGTATCCAAAAAAATCTTTGTTTCAACAGCATATGCATTTACCGGAGGGTTATGGGTGAAAATTTCCTTGTTAGACGAGATGATGTGTGATGAAATCTTGAAGCTTATCAAACAGGCGCCATTCTCAACGCGGCGTTTCTTTGGGGGCATTAGTTTGTTATAGATAGGATACTTGTATCCAGAGAAAGACCTCTAAAAATATGAGCTTGTTTTCCTCTACTGCTTGCTTCAACTTAACCTTCTGTTTAAACTGTCCCGTATATCGTCAACTTGCGCCATACGGCATCACCGCCAATATCTAGGTACACAAAGCGTATTTCTTTGCTGTTTTTAACATCAAATCAATAGTACTTCCACATCTCGACTTTCCTTTGTGTTTCTTACAGTACATGGTCACTGATTCCGTGGACCTGCTTATAGAGTGCCTTGAGCGTGATCACGTGGCTTTCCATGCCCTAGGTGATCCTGCTATTTTGGTGCTACATTCTTTCCCAGAGGCAAGCAGTAGTATAGTGTCTGTATCAGGTAGCCTATTATTGACTTTTATGATATCCAAATGACTTCAACCGGGTTGAGTGGAGCTCTTTTATCAAATGCCTTTTGGGGCTTGATGACAGTGGTGATGTCCAGGTCGTCCATGATTATTCTTGAGCTCTACAAGGTCTGTGTTCAGATTGAAAATAGCTCGACTATGTAACTCTACCAGAGCATGGTAGTCATGGACGCATTAGCTTCCAGACTGATAGCAGCTATCAGGTCTGTTGCGCCCTAGGTTAATGATAATGCGTAAACGACAATGGTTGCAAAACTTGACTGGACATTTAGCACACCACGAACCCTCCATTAACGCGAACCAAAATTGTTTCTCAGGCACTGTCCCTCGGTAGAATTGCCCGCTGAAGAAATTACTAACGGCCTTCAGGGGAGCTATGCAAGTGAGATGGGGCGGTTTTTCAGCTGCAATAAACTACTGTGATGTGACAAGCCATGAATTACCGGCCAAGGTGACTTTGCCGTTACACCGTGGTAAAACAGCGATTACCATGAAGATATTTTCAAATTATCTTGTATACTACTGCACCAGATATATTTATTCAATACTTCATCATTCTACCTTACCAGCTCAAGCTACATACGCAACAGTCGAATCTCACCGAGGTATAGAGCCCATTACGGCTAGAGATCGTCCAGACTATAGAACCCTGAAATATCCCATAGGAAAAGGCAAGGATGAGTAGTATCAGAGTCAGCACATGGAACAGCCTCTCGTAACCTCTCGTAACCTCTCATGATAATCCTCATTCTACCTTGGTAGCTTCAAGTAGGTGATCTCTTAACGATCTTACTCTATACCTTATGCCTTTCAACAAGGCGTCTTTGTATCTCAGTGAATAAGCCAAGACATGCACCAGAACCAGTCTTTTATTGTATAGGAAGATTGTTCGTGCCTTGATTGACATATGTATAAAGACTAAACACATGTCATCCGGCAATCAGTTGCACCGATCAATGACGGAGACGGAGAAATTGATAACAATAAAGATAATATTTGGCCTTTTTAATTCACAAGGTTGCTTCATCTAGAAGATATATTCATCAGCAATGGACTAAGTCATAGTGAGGCTAAAAGGTGCGTGCGTACTCCGTATCGACGGCCGTAAGACGGGTAGGGGTTTTGGCGCCGGACTGTTGATTGCGCCGATACGGCCATTCGTCATGGATGCTGGATACAGCTTTACAAGGCGAAATGGTAGGTATAAAAGGCTTGAGTAAATGATCAGTGTCAATATTCTTACTCATTGAGTATTTACAGAACATACCCAACATTCTATGCTAAGTTTTGAGATCATTGTTACCTACGGATCCATCTACTCGTATACATACTACTACCCGTTCTCACATCATATCAGCCACCAGCATTGCCTTACCAATTGATACTTTTGATATACCCGACATTGGAGCATCTCAGACACTCTAAAACAAGCTTTAAAGAAGAAATTATGGCCACTACACGCACAATTCTTGTCACCGGCGCAACTGGTAAACAGGGCTCCGCCCTAATTGATGCCCTCCTAGCCGCAGACAACACCAACACACCAATCCACATCATCGCAGTTACGCGTGACACCACCTCTGGAAGTGCGAAAGCTCTAGCTTGCAGACCTAACGTAAGCGTGATCGCAGGCGACCTGGCCGATCCAGACGCCATCTTCGACCAGGCCTCTACTATATCCGAAAATCAAGGAGTATGGGGCGTCTTCGGCGTCCAAATCAACTCCCCCTTCGAAGAGCAACAAGGCAAAGCCCTCATCACAACCGCCGCAGCCCGTGGAGTCGGCCACTTCGTCTACGCCTCCGGTGACCGCGGCGGTCCGCAAAAGTCAGAAGCCGATCCCACCTTCGTCAAAAACTTCGCCGCCAAATACGCAATTGAGAAACATCTGCAAAAGCTGGCAGCAGGTAATAATAAGCAGGGAATGACATACTCGATCCTGAGACCGGTGACGTTCTTCGAGAATATGACGCCCGACATCAACGGGAAGGGGTTTGCGCGCATGTGGGAGCAAATGGGTTCTCGTAAGCCGCTACAACTCGTTTCTACGCGGGACATCGGCCGCGTTGCTGCAATGGCATTTTTAGATCCTGGCAAGTACAGGAATGTAGCTTTGACGCTGGTGGGTGATGAGTTGACGCAGTCCGAGGCAGAAGTCATTTTTCAGGAGGTGACTGGAGGGGAGCACATGCCTATGATACCGTGTCCCGTGGGGAGTGCTGTTAAGTTCTTTAAGAAGGATACTGTGGGGGATATGTTTCGGTGGTTTGAGGAGAATGGGTATGGGGGAGATGTGGGTTGGTGCAGAGAGGAATTTTCGGGGATGATGGATTATCGAACTTGGTTGCTGGAGAGGAGTGCTTTTGCTCAGAGGTCGATGAGTGTCAAGTGATAAAGTATATCACTATAGGAGATCATGAACATACTCTTTTATATTTTGGAATTATCAGAAACCTCCAAAGCATGCAGGCCGGGTGTTGAGTCGCGTGAAGGACATGGGTATGTACTTTACTAGATTAAGTATCAAAGCTTATTACAAAGTGACTATGGATAATGTGTCAAGAATGAAATGAATGGGAATTGGACTCCGAATAGTAGTATATCACAAGAATGATTTTGTATACAAGCACAAATAAACACAAGAGAGAAAGTCAGTTCGATTTACATGCCAAAACAGTTCAATGGGAGATGGATATCCCTACTAACAGATCCACACAACGGAAAGGCAAATGGTCGTTTCGGGCTGATGATGTAGCTTTATGTATATGTATCATCGATTTTTTACAGGAAGAGCATGGCACCACCGCTGAGAACAGCGGTGAGGATGTAGGCGCTCAACTGCCAAGAGCCGACAAAGACGGCGCTGGGGGAGGCACCAGGGAAGGCAGCACCAGAAGAAGAGGAAGAGCTACCAGTGCCGGTGGCGGTAGATCCTGAGGCAGTGCCAGTACCAGCGGTACCAACGGCAGCCAACTTGGTAGAGCAGGCACTGCCGGAGGTAGTGGCGGATTGGGTAGTGGCAGAGCTGCTGAAGTCACAGGCATTGGCACCGTTGCCCTTAGCAGACTGGACACTGTAATAGGCGTTCAAGGCCCAGGAGAGCTGGTCCTTGAGCTCGCACATACTGTAAGCACCGTACTCTCCGCTGGTGGCATTGGTAGAAATACCAGAGACGTAGTCGGAGACACCAAAGCCGTAGATCAAGTCGAAGAGATCACCGTACTTCGAGGAAGAGACGCTGGAAGAAACGACACAGGTAAGGGATTTGGACATGCAGTTGCAGAGATCTTCATCAGGAGTAGGGGGGAGGGTGGAGCTAGCCTTCCAGAGGGAGTCGACGGTGGGGCAAGCCTGAAGCGCAGTGTTGGTGACAGTGTAAGAAGCACTGTTGACACCAGTAGGAGTAGCCGAGACAATCTCAGTCGAGAAGGCGCTGTAGTCGGATTTGGTGCTGATTGAAGAGCCAACAAGAGAAACCAAACCATAGTCGTTAGCCTCGTCGAAGTATTCGTAGACGAAACCACCGTTCAGCATATCGTTCATTTCAGAACCGTACATGGTATCAATGTTGGTAAAAGTACGAGGTTTTACAGTGTTGCAACCATATTCGGCAAAGAAGTAAGGGACGGAGTAGCTGGAGAAGTTCTTGACGATTTGATCGTAGCCAGACTCGGTGAATGAAGAATTTCCGCACCATTCGTAGACATTGTCACCGTAAAAGTCAACAGACTCGTCAGCGGAGTTGCAGTTGAAGTAGTCAGCGACTTGAGTACGGATATCGGCAGCGTCAGCAGTGGCGTATCCAACACCCTTGTTGTAGCCCTTCTGCTTGATGTACGCCTTGGAATCACGGACAGCAGCCTTGACGAAAGCGCTGGCTTCGGTATAAGAATCGTTGTTGGTGACTTCGTTTCCGGCGAAGAAACCGATGACGTTGGTGTAGTTGGCGAAAGCGTCAATAACAGCAGTGTAGCGTTGGTAGAGAGGAAGCTCCCAAGAGGGATCAGCACGGTTGATAGAGTCAGTGGGGGAACCAAGATCGATGATCATGTAGATGTCGGCGTCGGCGAATGCGTTGACACAATCGGAGTGGTCGTTGGTAGGGTCGACACCGTAGACACGGATGGTGTTTGTGCGGATGGCAGTCAAGTAGGGAATATCACGCGCGCACGAGCTCAAGTTGGCGAGGGGATCGATGAAGCTGTCGGTGCTGGTGGCGGGCTCTTGATAGGCGACACCTCGAATATAGAACTGAGTGCCATTCGTCTTGTAAAAGAACTTGCTTCCCTTGATGACGATCTCGTCGACACTGGCGAGGGCAGTGCTGGCGAGAAAAGCGCCGGCAACGGCGAGATTTGAGAATTTCATGTCGTGGTTGTATATCAATGTTATTCACGAGTCTTGATAAATTTGAAGGAGATAGCGAATGTTTGGAAGAGCTGGAATGAAAAGAACACGCTCTTGCTAAATTAATAAAGGTATAATGAATGACCGACTAGAAGATGAAAATATGTTGAGCGAAAGTTTAAGAAAGAAAAAACCTCATTGAGCAGTGATGAAAAGGCTCAATGGAGGAAGATGAAACTGGTTGTCGAGAAGAACGAACGTCAAGTGAGTCTTGGTATGTATGGAAGGGAAAGAAAGAAGGAGGAGAGGGAATGGAAGGAAGTGCCAAGGAGCCAGGGAGCATTAAATTACTGTGTCAGCGCTGCGTGTATTGTCCTAAATACGGGGATTACACACTAGGGATTCGAGCATGCGTAATTTAGCGCTAATTTGTGAGGGCCAGCCCCCGCTCGGCCCACAGGTGGGTTCCGGGTGGTCCGCACAAGTGGATCAGGGACGCTTTTTGTCCAATCAGCCACTGAGACAGCACTAATCGGCGCTTGTTATGTGTCCCAGATGCTGAGCCACGCTCTATGATTGGCCTTGAGCGAGTCAATTACCTGTACGGCCGCGTATTGTGTCTCGGAAGTTGTATTGAGCTAAGCCCAGAAGAATGAACCCCTTTTCGACCAAGAGACGTGGTTGGTTTTGAAGCTGGCCTCTCCAGTTTATCTCCAGTTTATCGCCCATCTACCGGCCAAGGAGAGATCTCTGCGATCCTTGCAGTGGATCGGATTCATCACTGATTCGTATCATCTTGACGCCGTTGGACGACTTTCAGTATGTATGACTTTCAGGAGTGATGATCAAACTGCTTATCATAATCAAACTGGCAATCACCCCTGAGGTTTGACATGAGCTGCCACACACCAGTGGTTTGAAGCAGATTCAGCAAACTCTCTGCGTCTCAGAATGCTATGCTATTAGGCGAGCTCTGACTTCGGACTGCAAATTTATCCGCAACTGGTAAACCAATCGGCAAGAAGCAAGGGTGCAGCTGTCTCACAGCTGTCTCTTACAGTCTCACCCGCAGTTTCCTTAGCCCAGTCAGCGTTACCTCTTCAGAGAGTTGAGTACAGTTGCACCAGCTGGTCAGACGAATCAGTGAAGAACCAACCGTTCGTCTTGATTAAACAGAAAAACAGTCCGTTTCTCGAGAAGCACGCAGTGCGTCGCTTGTTTTGTTTGTGTAGAGTTCTCGAAGAACTCGCACATCGTAGTTCTTTCTATGTCCTGGCTTGTGTCTCCGGGCCAGGCGTTGAGTTCAACCCCGGAATGTCACCAGCCAAATATTGACGGAGAGATAATCGGTTTTCCCTAGTAGAGCAAAATAGGTCGATAATTTCAAGCTTAGACCTCATTATTCAGAAAAATATATGTTCATTGCCGCTTCTTGAGAGGTAGGTAGATAGTTATTGGCGGGAAGTACAGCTACAGCCATCAACCCGTCACGAAGCACACATCGCTCTCAAGAAATGGATCCGTGATCGACGCTTCTCGTCAAATCATTTTCACAAAAACTTGACGATACCTCCAAGTCTATATCAACTTATCAAGTCGACATGCATCATGAGTCACTAGCCGGTCAAAGTGTCGGCAGTATGTGCTCCGACGCAGTCCTCGGTGTGTAGTAGTAGTCGCAACGTCAGTATAATAAGTCGGACTTCTCGGCGATGTTTCAAATCAATATAATTATTGAAACAACTTGCTCAAGAAACAAGTGCGAGAAAAGCAATTCCAATAATACTACTGTACGTAGAATCGGCATTCCGTAGAATTTTGCGTAGCAGAGGATTCCGAACACTCGGCCCGGCGTTGACGCGGGACTTTGACGTCATACATTCATTCCATCTCTTCAACGTCTGACTCTGCATCAGACAACACTTCGAGGTATTATCATGAGCTTCATCTTCGCAAGTAAAAACATTTCGGACATCACCCGACCCGGCACTACTGCAGCACCTGCTAATATCCTGACCCTCAACAACTCTCCCAGTTTGATTACTACTACTTCAACAGACCCACCTTTCTCAACTCGCTCACCCAATCCATGTTTTGCGAAGTTTTACCTTGCCTGCACGTAGCATCGAGTATCCATTTTATTTCCCTCCCAAATCCATAATAAATCTGCTAATCTCGCAGCCAATAAATGAGGCATGGTGAGCCATCCAATGGTGATGTGTTTGTCTGGTGGGTCATCCACCATCTTCTTCACAACGGAATCGTCATAGCTGGTTAGCTACGTCGGTTTGTTCATCTTTTCACTTTCTCTTCTCTTTTCTTCCTTGTAGTCCATAGGTTTGAGTGAATTTCTTGCTTCAGTGATTGTCCGATTACTTTGAGATCTTCATTCTGATATTATCATTACTTTTGACAACTACATCATCATCATCATGGCTCCGGTTAAGGTGTTGCTCATTGGAGCAACCGGAGAGACCGGCCGATCGATTGCGAACGGTCTTCTCGAAGCTGGCGGATTCGTATGCTTCCCTGCTAGCGAACCCATCCATTGATATAGTCTGACCGTGATATAGGAAGTCTACGCGTTCACCCGCGCGGCCTCCGTCGCCAAACCCCAACTCGCCGAACTCGAAAAGAAAGGCGTCATAATCCGGCAATGCGACCTAACAGCACCAGAGGACGAACTCGCCGAAGCACTGAAAGGAATCGATATTGTCGTCAGCAGTGTCGGCCCGTCAGATCAACACATTCAGATCAATATCGCGACGGCGGCCAAGGCTGCTGGTGTCAAGCGTTTTATTCCCTGTGGCTTCATCACGGTTTGTGCGCCGGGGGGGATTATGTGGTTGCGCGATGAGGTACCCGTCCTGTTCTTGTTGTATGAAATGAATGAATGAGCTGACATCTCGTAGAAAGAAAAAGTATACAACCACGTCAAGCAAATCAAACTCCCCTACACCATCATCGACATCGGCTGGTGGTACCAAATCGCAACTCCGCGCCTCCCCTCCGGCAAAATTGACTATGCCATGACCACCTCCAATGACGAGCTGATCGGCGACGGCCAGACGCCCAGCGCATTTACCGATTTGCGAGATATCGGAAAATACGTTGCCAAGATCATCGTTGACCCCAGGACAGAGAACAAAATGGTTTTCGCGTACAATACTGTGACGACGCCGGCGGGGATTTTCGATACAGTTGAAAAGTTGAGTGGTGAGAAAGTTGAGCGGAAATTCGTACGTTCTGCGCCTGTCCCCTAACCCCCAAGCGATAGATCAAAGCTGATATAGGGTAGATCACGGAAGAAGAAGTCCACGCCCGCGTCGCCGAGGCCCGCGCCTCAAGCGAAACATACCCTTTCGAACCGACGAAATTCACTCCTCGCTTCGCGGCTGAGTACCAACTTTCATGGGGTATCCGAGGCGACAATGTGCCGGAATACGCAAAGTATTTGGGTTATTTAGATGCGAAGGAGCTGTATCCGGATTTCAAGCCGATTTCATTTGAGGAGTTCGTACAGGAGTTGTTGGGTGGGGTTGCGACGGGGGTGTATACGGATCGGATTTCGAGGATTTATTAGTCTGTTGTCAGGTCGTGTCTCTTTTCTTTGTTGTTGAGTGTGTTGCATGAAGCAGCTGGTTTTGCTTCCGATGATCAATAATTTGTTGAGATAGGTATACATGGACGGAGCTTGTGTTATTTGCAGGTAGTTGTGAGATTCCCAATCAAAGCTTTACCATCAATTCGATCATCTACATTTTAAAGATGTAACAATTTAAGTTGTAATGTTCAGTAATTCATTCCTATTCATAACACAACCCATCCATCACTAATTCAATAGCTAGCGAGAGGTTTCATGATTTACCATCTCTGAGGACGGTCGTAGTCAGGGTGCCACTGATCCTGTCCACCATAGTGCTGGTCATACAGACCCTGCACATTCTCCTGGGCATGACGCTTAGCCTCGATTCTGTCGTACTCGTCCAAGCCCTTAGTTTCGACGAGCTTGTCGACTTCGGCACCGACGAGGCCGACGAGAGCCTCTTTAGCGAAGGCGTGGGAGACGGGTTGTCCTGTTTGCGTAAGCAGGTTTTTTTTTAGTTTTGTTGTAATTATTGGGAGAGGGAAGAAAACGTACCCTCCTTGCGGCGGTGGTCTTCAAAGGCCTTGAAAGCCTCGAAGCTGGCGGCGCCGGCAATCAGCTCGTGGGAGAGCTTGCCCTCGTGCTGCTGGCCGTACACCTGCTCGTGAGAGTTCTGAGAGTCGTCTGGCAGAAAAGATGTTAGTCCTGCAGTATGTATGTCATGCATAGCCTCATAGCATGTGCATGAAGAAGAAGAAGAAGAACATACCCCAACCGAAGAAACCCATTTTGAATGTTTGTATGAAGAGTTATGTTTGATGATAGAGTAGTTTGATGATGAAATAAAATCAAAGCTAGCTGAGAGCACGAGAGGGGGAGGAAGAGCTTCTTATAAGCTGCGGGGAGCGCCTACCCCTCAGGTGGCCTTACTCGTTACAGCGCCGAGTTGGTATTTACAGAAGGTGTTTACAGTAGCCAAGCCAACTGAACCAGCATCATTTCTGTTTCTGGTCTTAGTGGATGGGTACAGTACACGTATCCAAACTTTCATTGTCTCTCGTTCTGCTGTTGTAACCACTGTTGTTGTACGTACTCGTAATGAAGCTTCAGCCAAGGTACTTGGCGAAGCTTCGAGCTTCAATCTCGTGGGTTGCACATCTCCACTGCTGTGTTACCAGCCAATGAATCAGAATTATCGATTGATTGAGGTCAATGGTTGGCTGAATTGAGGGAGTATCATATTGACTCAGCCACACGCAGTTTTTGTTTTATTGCCTCTGATTTGCTGACAGGAGCTAATTATCGTGTAACGTACGGTATCATGGACAATATCAAACGTAATTTACCGTCGCCGAGATTTGGTACGCTGACCACAGTGGCCAATTGTGGCATCATTCTGGCGATGGATAGGATGGATAGACCCCTGAGCCAGGAAGAGCTGAAACAATGGTGTAATCATCTGTGATGGTATCACTGTTCACCCAGAAGAGAACAGTTTTGTTGATTTACTACGCCGATGTCGCGTATTACGATCTGTCCTACCATGTCCACCCATGTTGACGCTCAACTAGCCCCCGGGTCTTCTCGAGTCGGGTGTCAGTCACTCCGAGGCTGTGGCAGTGTGGCTGGCTGGAATACAACAATTGTCTTCCATAAAATGTTGACAATACCACGTACTGTTGGACAGTACGAATGGCGGGGCAGGAGGGGCTCACCAGCCACATATGATGTGATGGATGTGGCGGTGCTAGTAGTCAAGCACACTGTATAACAATAAAAATAGAATATCTGATTAGACCCATTGGAGCAGAGTAATTGGGCGAGTTGATGTTAAAAATAGTCCTGTTCGAGTGTTGATCAAAAGCATCATACCATAGGCGTCAAGAATATGCCAGATCCACGTCGGCGGTAAACTCTACCTCTGTCTTAGAACCGCCGAGTCAATACGTAACATAAACTCACCACTAATAATCCATTGCGAATGCCGCGTACGAAAGAAGAATGACACCTCGAATCCCAATCGCAGATGACTTCCCCTCCAACGTGACCGTAGTAATCTCCTACCCGGGCTCACACGACACCACGCCTCCCCCAACCAGCGCTCAAAAGCCGGGAGCAACACAGAGAGCACAAAACATCCTGATCCTCCTCCACGGCCTAGGCGACACAGCCACCAAATTCGCCTCCTTCGGCCGCGCACTCAATCTACCCGAGACAATCTGCATAACCGTGCAGGCACCCACGCCCTTACCGAGCAGTTTCATCGACCTCCCCGGCGGCGGATACCATTGGGGCAATGACGTCGTCTTCAACAACGACAACGACGCTCGCACCGAGGGCGCGTTAGCTATGGACGCCGGCTTTGATCGTGCGCGATCTTTGCTTGTGAAAGATGTCGTTACGGATACCCTTGTCAAGAAACATGGGTACAAATTACGCGATATAATGTTCCTGGGCTTTGGGCAGGGAGGTATGGCCGCGCTGGATGCGGCGAGGGAGTTGGGTCTGCATCCACCTGTGGAAAGTGAGATGCCTGTTGCCGCGAGGATGGAGTCTTCGGCGGTGCCGTGGACGCCGTCGAGTGCAAGTGCGAGGGAAGGGAGAGGGAAAGTAGGCGACAGACAGTATCATGCTTCGCTGTCTGGTGTTGTCTCGTTCGGTGCCGCGTATCCGTTATCGGCGAGTACGGTGGCTGGTAGTGGGACGAAGGATAAGACACCAGTGCTGTTACTTGCAGGGCGAGATGATGGGTCTTCGGCTGTGACGGATACAGCACTAAAAAGGACGAGGGATGTCTTTGAGTTTGTGGAGATACATCGTTGGAATAGACGCGGGGATGGTATGCCGAAGAGTAGAGAGGATATGTTGCCTGTGATGCAGTTTTTTGCTAGAAGATTGAAGAGTAGGAAGGGCGTGCCGGACGGAGCTATTGAATTGACTTGACAGAGATTAAAAAAAAAAAACTGGCTAGTTTACAATAATCTAATATACTAATACAATATACATCATTTCTTTTGAACATCCTCAAGCGCCTTTCTCGCTTGAGCAATGACCTGCTTCGCCCGCAACTCAGCAGTTTCTTCCCTTGGTAACGAAGGACCATCTCGAATCAATTTACGCAGGACTTGCTCCGTTTCAATTAACGCGGCACGCCCCCTTTCGCGAACGTCGGCTTGCCATAATGACTGCGCCTTTTCCCATTTGACTTGCTGCCGCCGCAGGGAATATATCAATCCAACCGCGGCAATGGTGCAGGCTTCGTACAGTCCGGTTGATGATGATGTGTACAGCAGTGCTGACAAAGCGGATGTTAATCCTGTAGTTGAGGCGCTGAATAGGACAAGGCCTTGTGAGAGTGCTTGGAGAGATGGTATTGTCGTTCGTAGCATGTTGAGACGACTAGTAGCGATTTGTAATGGCCAGGGAGGATTCTCGTTCTCAGGTTGGGCAGAACCAGACTCAGTCTGCTCTGTATCCTTGGCTGATACTTCAGCTAAATCCGGAGAATTAGGAGCTCCATCCAATAGACCGGTCTGTTTCACCCGTCCCGCCGTCCAGATCATCTCCTTCTCAGATCGAAGCAAGAATCTAGTCTGTAAGACCTCCGACATGACCGATCCCACATCATCGACACGCCAAAACAACTTCCACCACGACAGTCCATTCCATCTTTGACTGGCGAAGCCTTGGTCCAAGGAATTACGAAGTTCAGTATGAGCTCGTTCAGCCCATATGGAGACTGATTGGTCGAGACTTTGACGTGTTTCGGCGGATGTGTTGGTCAACTCGAATTCTCTGCTACGAGTAATCTCATCCGTGATGATGCCTTCTTCGGCTGTATCCAGTAATGACTGAACCAAAGTCTGCAAGTCTTTACTCAGCCCGTTCGTAGGTGTCGTATGTATCCAATCTGCCACCGACTGAACACCGCCTGCAGTCCAGCCGCGCTCATACTCCGAGGCGAATTGCACTGATTCGCGGAACCTGGCCAATGCCGTCTCTGCTGCTTGCGTATTCACAAACGTCACTGTGCTGTCCTTTTGTGTAGCTCCTTCAACCTTCAACTCAACAACTCCATGCACCAACTGTTCCGACGACTTCAAAGCAGCACGGCCCAACAGTCCAGAATATGCCAGTAATCCCTCTGTACCCGCACCACATATAATAGTCTTATGTACCGGGTMCSGAGCCACTTCATGCGCACCACTTTCCGTCGCCTGCACAGTGATGGTAGGTACAAAAAATGCCTCGTCCGTGACAGGCCCGTTATCCGGCTCTGGTCCCGTTCCGAGCGTACTCACAAACAATTCGAGTTTGCCCTGTCTCAGCAGCGGAGAGTTTATCGATATCGTAGGACAAAGACTGTTTTCGACGATGCCGGATTCTTCACCGTAACTGTGACCCCAATTCTCATTAGCCATTGCCGCTGTTCGTGTTAGGTTGAATAGTGACATACCGAATCAACAGCCCATTCGCCCCTTCAATCCCATACGAATCTATCAATTCCTCCCACGACTGTTCCTCGGTCAACGGATCCGCCAACAGTAACCTCACTAATCGACGTGTAGAGCGCGCATCATTGACGCCGAGCACTACCCACCATACAATAGATCAGACATCGGCCCAAAAAATATGAGTGAAGGGAGAGGGGAAATACCAGCGACACGAACAACATGCTCCTCCGACTCTAATCCGCGCTGCGCAAGTTGCAATCGACTCAAACTAATATGGTCCGCCGCAACGTCCTCTAATTCCTTGAGCGCGGCGTGCAATTCTCGAAAGCGCGCGGGTACATTTTTGTTGATGTTGGCGGCGGCAGCAGCACCGTTGAACCTCGCGGTCGACGAATTCAAATACCGGCGAACTATCGTCGTCGTGTCGGCGTTGTTATTGTTGTGGAAAACATGCCGAAATCCTCCGTTGCGCGTTCGGTAACTATTGCTTGTAGCGGCTGTTGAGACCATTCGTCTTCGCCATGTCGAGCAAGAAGGGCAATAAAACACCGTTCCTTCTGCCGTAATGCCTACATTGCCACCGCTATTCTTCCCTGCAAGAGGGAGTAAGCTCTTGCGGACTGCGGTGCGCAGTTTTGCAGGCATTGTTGGTGCTGAGTACAGATGATGTTGAGGATTGGATGGATGGACGGCGGAACTTTACTTTTCGATATTCCGGTTTATTGGGCTTAGCTACGGTTCCGCCCGCGGGTACCTTGACACCTACATCATACTTCCATGTCTTCAATTTCGAGATATTTTGATATGAGAAAATAAGATGTTGTCATCAGATTCATAACACAGACGCCCGGTCACTGAATAAATCATCCACTAGTCATATATCACCAATGCTCCGTCAGACATCCTGCAGGCAGCACAACCCAGCCACAATGCAAGGAAACAAAATAGAAAAGTCTTAACCACTGTTTGTTTAGTCATTGCTCATTCGGTTATGTACACGTTCATGTCGATACATTTGACATTGTGAGGGAGAAAGAATTAGAGACTGAGATAGATTATAAGTCGCAATGGGTATGTTCTTTTAGTCATCGCTAATGTCGATATCTAATTAGAAGCATCGCGATGGTGTGCTTCCCTCCGGCGTCTCGAGTTGCCAGACCTAGTATATATTAGCTTTGTACGATGGCTAAGAAAGAAGAGACTTACACGCTGATACGTCTGGCCATGGTGTTCAGCACAGGATCGTTGTCGGCCTCGTGTTGAGCCCGCTCGAGAGCGATGCGGCGATCCTCCTCGCTTCTGCGAGCGACTTCTTCCTGCGATGGGGGGAGTCGCTCGTTCTGTAAATCGACCTTGCGCGCATCTTCAAAGTTGTGGATCGCCTGCTTGATACCTTCTGCGCCCAACATGAGTGTTCCAGCGGGAAGACGACCGCCAGAAGCAGTCTTGAGTTCAGTGACTCGCTCAGACTCCTCTCGCAATACCTGAAACACTCGAGATAGACGACCAATGGCCAAAATCTTGTTCTTGATCGCCTTTCGCTTGAAGTCGCTGTCGTCCTTGTCGGTAGCAGATGGCGGAGATGACGGCAGTGTAGGCGAAATGGATGACGGCGTGTCGTCTTCGAGCTCCTCCTTTGAGCAGGTGTTCAAAATGGCAATAAGCATATCGGTAATCTTCTCTCCAACGAAAGGAAGTGACCAGGTAAAGACATCCATGAAATTAGGAAGCCAGTAAGGATGGGGCGTGCAGTTGAATTGGCGGATATTCATCACATTGTTCTCGTACTTGAGAACAGCCGCCTTGTTGTTGTAGACATCCAAATAGTTGGGTGCGCTGAAAATGGTCATTACACTAGGGAATCCAGTGGTTCGAGTCTTTCGATACATTCGATAACCAGCATCTTGAGCTTCGTGCGCGCGAATGATCGAAAGCAGATTATTCTTCTCAAGAAAAGCGCATGCAGCCGGATACGAGAAGAAATACGAACATCCTCGAACGTTGTTGTGCACAAAGTATTCGCCAGTCTTTTCCTGTCCAAACTCCTCTAGTGGATCGGCCCAGAGAATATCGCACATCAATCCGTGGGTAGGAGGCTCCCTGAACCGGTCGATGGCTTTAATATCCTCAAGGGTATGCAACTCTGGACTCAGTCCACCGTGGATACACAAAAACTGCTTATTCATGACGGCAGCTAAGGGTAGTGAACAAAAAGACTCCATGCATGCATCGTAAACCTTCTCCGAATATTTGTGTTTGCACTCGAGCTTAAAAGTGAAGTAGTCTGTCAAATGGCGACATTCGTGGTTTCCTCGTAGCAGCCAAAGGGAATTGGGATACCAGATTTTGAGCGACCATAGGTAAAGCACGCACTGGATCTTGTTAATCAACGTACCGTACCAAACGCGACGAGTACCAACCTCAATACTAAAGTAACCTCTATCGACATAATCTCCCAAAAACAAATATCTAGTCTCGGCAGGATCTCCGCCGACTTCGAACAGTTTCATCAAATCGTAATATTGGCCGTGTACGTCACCGCATACTGTGATCGGGGCATCCATCTCGAGGAGGTTGGGCTCGGAGCGAAGAATTTCAGTGCCAGCCTTGATAATCCATAGCGCCTGCTCTTCTGTGAGTCGGCCTTCTCGGTAAAAGTGTTGCTTCAGGAATGGCAAGTTGGGTTTGTTGGGATCATCCGGTGACCAGAAACTTTCGTCAGAGGGAGTTGTGAGCGCGGGTGCCTGCACCTCTGTAGGATGTCAGTATGAGACTTGGATTGCGTATCGTCATCCAGAAACAAAGTATATACCTTTGCAAACTCGTTCCATTGTCGACACTTGGGTGCCATCTTCCATTCTGTGCAAGGTAAAATCAATCTCGGGGACGGGCTTTTTGTGCGTCACCGCATTTACGATCTGATTATCCATCATCTTGACTGATAATCAATATCAAACCAAATAGTCAATATAGTGTATATTGATCGAGAATGGACGCTCGTACGGATGGGCGTGTGAGCAGGTCGAGGGGAAATGAAGGAGGAAGAAGTACAGCGGAAAGGAGAGAGATCGCGCGTGTGGCGGCGGGGTTCGTCGAGACCTTTTTACTTCGAGCCGCTCGCACGACTGGGACAGCAACTACTGCCGATCACGACACGCAAATCGATCGTATCTATCGGAGACCAATTGTCGTATATGACGAAATATGCTGCGGATCAGAAGATGGGGGTTTCGAGAAAGTATCGATTCGGAGAAGAAGAGAAAGAGGATGATGGTTGAAATAAGCTCTCGGATATTTGTTTGTTGATCGCAAACTGGAGGATGCTCGTGCGGGTCGCGTGCTGCGAGGTCTCTTATAAAAGTACGGCAGTGGCAAACAGAGAAACCAGGCTGAGAATGGAAAGCAGAACAAAAATCTGGAGTGATCGTTTTTCGTCAAGAGTTATCCTTGAGTTAGTAATGTGGTGTAGGCAGGTGCGGCTGACGAAATTAGGGAGGGCCAGGCCTGTGGAATCAGGCCGCCGAGGGAACACTGGGCAGAGTCCTAACTCTACCACCCATCATGTGATTTATGTCAAATACTGCAGTCTGCCGTGGTATACTTCACTGGTTCTGTATTATCTGGTTGAGGAACGATACAAGAATAACAAAATAAGGATTTATCGCTATTGTATTATATGAAAATATAGAAATCCATTGCATTCGCCAAATACTCCCAGTGCGATTTATCAATCATAACTGTACGCATAGTAAACTGAGTTATTCAAGGCTGGCTGTTGAACGAATAGCTTTTCACGGTACACAACTAAAGATGAGGTCGAAGGGACACTCCGAATTCTCAAAGCAAGTAAATCTTTTTGGCATGGTCTTCGTGTAGAAGTTTAGCTCATACGAAGTCGTTGGGGTGATACCCATCTGGAAAGTCATAAGAAATACCACCTTCGAGCCACCAGGCCCTATTTTCCGGAGCTGTGTTCCACGTATGAGATTCATCCGGTAATAAGCTATCTTCACGCTCAGCGTCAAATAATGTTGAAGGAAGCGTTGCAGTACTGGTTTGGGCTGAGTGTGGCGGTAATTGAATGTCTTGGGCGTGAGTCCCAATGGCTTGCGGGGKCTGAGTTGTCCAAGTACTAGTTGAAGATTCGCCGTTATCTGGAAACGGGGAAGGGTTGACAGGCGTCAGAGCCGGTTGGGATGCACCCCTGGGTGGTTGATCTGAAGGAGGCAAATCGTATATATCTTTCGAAGATAGTAAGTCGGGTACGGAATACATATTCAACCTATGTATGGCCTTGTTAACACGTTTCGAAGACAAAGTCCCCGTATAAGGTCAGTTCACCTGCCATTCCGTGTAAGCATCATATGAGTCGAACATTGAGACAATCGATCCGCCCCAAAATAAATTCCGAGGCGCCTAGGCGATCGAAGGTTACGGGCAGCTTTCATTGTAGGGTCTTTCTTCAATCTTCCGTCTCCTCGGTAAGGAGTAGCAAAATCGCGTTCTATGTCTTCAATCTCCTTCACTATCATAGACACCCACTCATTGAGTAATAGGCATATATGAGCCTGCGCAATATGAGATGTTAGTGATTATGCGTTCATTAACAATCAAGTAAAAGCCAAATTCACCAGCTGTTGTGAAATCGGATGGTTCGTGGCGCCCCATTTGATGGCATTTGAAGTCCGAAGACACCTATATATCAGTTCGAGAGTTCGAGCTGCGACGTAATGATTGCACTCTTCTGTTTCGACGAGCGTTTGCAAGTTGTATCTAAGTTGTTGGTAGAGCAGACACAATCGATGAGCGAAAAGGTTCACTAGCGCAACACCAGTCAATCTTGCGGTATTTTGTTTTGTATATTCAGTGTATATATTGATGTGATCGAGATTGGCTAAGAGTGTAACATAGCCGCAAATCAGCCGCGCAGTCTGAAGGGTACTCTCCTGTATTTGGTTAAGTACATCGAACTGAAAGCTTGGGCGAGGTAACATGCTTACTTACTTGAGCCTGGGTTAATCTTGATTCTGGCTGTTGATCGTGGCCAGACCACATTTTCTTTGAAATGAAACGATCGAATTCGATCATATCTATGGCCGGTTCTATGATAGCAGGATGTGTGAATGTGAATGAATCGATCGGCATATACCTTAGCCTGTCAAGGTAGAAAATCACGTCGTGTTCGTCTTGTAGGCCTGCTGCTGATGAATTTCCTTCCATCACCATATGCAGGGACACAGTATTGCCATCGGACCGCAAGTGTGCTTGAGAACTCGATCTCAACGCTTCATACAGGCGATACAGAGCATCGATCATCGTCATCATTAAAAAGTCTAGCAAGGATCAATACAAAGCAAGTACATAAACAGGGCGAACCACGAACCTGGAGCTATAACCTGGCTGGAGTAGGCAGTGAGAATTGCTGGTAGAAGGTCTGCTCTGTACGTTGTACGATGTTCACACTGCCCATTTGACTTAGTATTCTGACCTATTCAGCGTTGTACGAGCGAACAACCTTTCCCTTTTCGAACCTGCACTTCAAACATTTTCGCCCCCGTCTTTCCTCATTTTGTGGTGTAGGTCCAGGGATCAGTCCGGAGAGAACGAACTCGCGAATCTGCTGCCAATAAGTCGCTTCAACAGTTGTCTGTCTTTCCGTGGGAGCGAAGGCGTTGTCTGCGACATTAGTGACCCTAATGGGATCTCTCGGGTCAGATATAGATGTAAGTGATGGCACTTGATCATCGATTTGCTCGTGGTAGAGTCTCGGATTAATGTATGCTGCTTCTGCAGCGTTTTGCGTTGGAAATTCTACAGGCCCTCGCGGCGGGGATAGATTAGGAGTATTTTCGAAGCGGTCGTGGTCGTCGTTTTGGTAAGGCTAGGTAAGATTAGAACAATAACAGAACCTTCAAAGTTGAGTGGTGTTCGTTACGTACCGTTCGAAGTAGCAGTTCCTGTGTAGCATCGATGTTTGGCAATTCGGAGAACTCTTGGTCAATGAGTCCCAGAAGCTCAGAATAATATTGACTCGAATTCTCCTCAGCGTCGTGCGCTCGATCAGGCTGGAGCTGGTGTGCCATTAGGGCTGCCAATCAGAACGACGGATGATGAAATATCCAGCGCTTGACCAGGAAAATCATGCACAGGAAAGGCGCGTATATAAGGAAATTCCGTTTTCAAAGGAAAGAAAAGAAATTTCGTGAAGACTCTCAGTAATTTATGGTGTGCGGATTCGTAGGGAACTACAACACACAAGGGCTTGTCGGAGCTCATAAAGAGCCGCAGCACTTATCACGCGTCTCGGTGGCGGCGAAGTCACTGCCAACTTGCAGTCGAATAAACTGTACCAGGTAATAACCTTTCCACGTTCACATAGCATCTATCTCCGGAGGAACAGGTCAAGGGTAATCCCTCTACCTTTTCATAGCTCAGATCCGCAGCTCAGTCCATTGGTCGGACTTGGGAGTCAGGTGGTTCGCTCCCACAGTCAAGAGCTACAGTTAATGTGAGCATCCTGCCTGCAACAGGTATCATTTACATGTCAGGTCCGACCGATTCACATTGCATCATCACATTACACTCGAGCTCTTAGTTTGAGACTGACCGTAGGTGGCTATGGCAATGACAGGAGGGCGGGGTAGACAGGCGCGATACGGGTACAAGTCAAATACACGACTGGTTCGTGTGTAGAAATTATTGAGCCAAATGTCCCTATATGTACTTCTGAGCTGTGACGATGGCGGACACCGGACTTTGGAGAGACTCACAGTGGGGACCCCAAGAACCGGTGACTCGCACTAGTCAACCCATTGACGAATCTGATTGCTGTTTTCGAAGACACAATCTCAGTAGTAGTGGGTCAGAGAATAAGAATCAAACTAATCTATCCAAGATCTGCTGCGTTGCGTCTAACCGGAAGTATTCAGGGGAGCATTGGAGTAGCCAACTGGGGCAGCGGCAGGCTATGTCTATATCGTAGCTCCAACCCATGTATGTATTCTGGTACAGTACCTGTAGGTCGCTCCTTTTAATTCAACCGCTTTCGAAATTGCACCTGCCTCGTATGACTTCTGTATGCACAAGCAAACTTCAACAGAACAAGGTCCAAAAGCGAACAGTAGGCAATAGATTGATCCTTCTCGTAGACTACAAATCACCCAAGTTTGCTGATAGAAAAATGGTGCCACACTTATCCGTAACTATTCCGGGGGCATCTTTACGCTGACCATGCCAGAGTTTCGACGCGTTCCTCAAATCTTGTGTTGGAGACCTAGAACGACTTAGTATTTAATTTGAACTGCAGGTTGGTACTGGTGGGGTCGTACTGTATGTTGTTCCTATCCCTCAGCATATGGCTAGAATTGGACCAAAAATAACGCCAATTCGTGCAACTCTCCAGCAGATCGTAATATCCATGAGATTAGTTCACAGAGAACGTTACTAAGCTAGAGTCTTCCTGCTTTGCCACTTCTCGCCAGATATTGATCAAGCATTTGTTTAATCTCCAGCCGTGTGAATCAAGGGTATCAGGTCGAGGTGAGGACATGCTAACACAGGTACAACTTGGACAAAGGGCCCACCAGAGGACACCGCAGATTATACAAAACGTGTAAACTCAGAGTTCCCATATCAGAGACGCAGAATTTCATACTGGTTCGCACTGTCTGATTCTTGGTGGAGTAAAACGGGCAGGAATGGCAAGTAGACGGCCCCCGTCACATTCGAAGCCGAAGAGGCCATAACGGGCCCCACCATGAGGCGTGTCTGGGGACCAGAGAGGATGGCTCACATGATTTCGATCTCGAAGAGTAAGATGAAGATACGGAAAAAATGATATCACGCCATCGTAGCGCCCGCGCCGCCTTTTGAGGGCCGGAGCGTTTAGTGCCTCGTGCGTGAACAGCCTTCGCGGTTTGAGCGACAAACATTCGGCGCAATATTCCCCCACCTGAGATTCTCAATTCGAAGAAGGAGTTGAATCCGAGTTTTGTATTGGCTGCTTACGTATGAAAGTGGAAGATGATGGACAGGAGGCTGCGGAGGAAGCATCGAGATACCTTTAGCAAGCACCTTGTAGCCAGACCAGAATCTTTTGCAGCTGAGAGCCAAACAGATTTGTTCGACCAGGGGAAGATACTGATAGACCTGGGTCAAAAGGCTATCATTCAAGCAATGGATGGTTATGCTCTCCCTTTTCGAAACACGACGACGAGAAATTGAGCCAATGAAGGGTTGGAACTGCGCCATTTCCTCTCATTGTCTTGCTTCGTAGGGGCTTTGGTATGCTTCTCTTCTACTTCCAAGCTTGTCATTGATGCGATGCATACGCTTCCTTCTGATCATCGACAAGAAAACGATTGGAAGGATGTGTTCGTCCACGGAACAATAATTGAAAAGGCAGCAAAACGGTGGCCTGGATTGAAAAATTATTGACAAGCGGGCGTGTGGTGAGAAATCTTTCGAGAAATCCATTTCGTCTATGACGTGAGAAGCATCTCATGACTTCAACCTCCAAAGAGAAGGTTAGGGGCATCCGTGGGTACAGGACCACTATACCCGGATATGTCGACCAAAACATCCAGGAATATCATGTTCATTGTAGCCCAGTGTGAAAGTCAGATTATTCTGCGTTGTGTCGGGATTCTGAGAACAGAGAAAAAGAAGTCTGGTGACTTTGTACTAGCCATAGTATCCAATACTCCCTTGCGAAATCAATTGCAGTCTTCTGAATCCCCTAGTATGTCTTGGAGGAGTCATCTTGAGCACTCTAGAAGAAGTCGAGACGTTGTGTGTCGCACTTGAATGCACGTACGTAGATGGATGGGTGCCGCGTTGCAGTGGGGGGATGGAAGCTCACTAAAAGTTAAGGCCGCCCAAGGCTTACGCCTCGTGTGTAGCATGTGACCAATCGGCGCCGCGCATTCGGGCATCGTGCCAAGTGGCAGCATACCCCGTAGTAGAGCTTGCGACCAGCTTCTTTCTTAACACATATACAAATACCAGGTACTACGTATACCTGGATATGCTCGCTTCACTATTTGTTGATAGCTGAGCATTACTTCTCTCTTCTATCAGCACAGACTGCTCAATTGTTTGCTGGCAACTCCAAATCTTGCATGGAGTGCAATCAATCGCCATCTCCGTCTCCCTATACTTCCTGAGGGACTGGAGTTTCCCCTCCTCTTGTCCGCTATCGGACGCTGGCTTTGACTACAGCAATCATGTCGGAGTATATAAGCCAGGTTTGCGTGGAATGCGCACAGATTCTGAGCACTGTTCCACCGTCTGTATTTCTTATTTCACTGGCCGCTGGTGTCATTGGACTCGTTGCGCTTGTAAGTGTCCCAAGATTAATGACCTTAAAACCCGCGTTACGATTGGGTATGCTGATTGTTTCTAGGTATACGTTTTTCTCTTTGCAGTTGCGTTTCGACCCCGAGCACCGTTCCCCGAAGAAAAGACCTATCGTACATTATCCAAAGATGGCACACCGACCCGGCCCCAGGAACTACCATGCTGGCAGGATAGCTGGGAGCGCGAGCGCCAGAATACAAACAAGCGTGCAGTATTGGATATTGAGAAGCCGGAACTGTTCATGTCGGTTGTTGTTCCCGCGTATAACGAAGAGGAGCGGTTGATTGGCATGTTGGAGGAGACGGTGGACTACTTGGAACATGCATATGGCACTCTAGCCGACCAAGCCACCAACGAACAAGTAAAAAACAAAAGCAAGAATGATAGCGTCCGACAACGCAAGACAGGCAATGGACATGTCGCAGATAACGACTCCTCCAAAGGATGGGAGATTCTGCTTGTTTCGGACGGCTCTACAGATAGAACTGAAGAGGTTGCATTCGAATTCGCCCGGGATCATCAACTATCTTTACATCCTCGGGCTCATACGGGACCTTGGACATCGGATAAACTCGAAGGGGTACATATACCTCCTGGAAGCATTCGTATTGTCACTTTGACTCAAAACCGAGGGAAAGGCGGTGCAGTCACACACGGGATGCGACACGTCAGAGGAAAATACGTTGTTTTTGCAGATGCCGATGGCGCAAGCAAGTTCTCCGATCTCGGGAAGTTGGTGACTGCTGCTCAGAAAGTTGAAGACTCTGAAGGGCGAGCGGTAGCTGTTGGTTCGCGAGCGCACATGGTGGGCAGCGAGGCTGTCGTAAAGGTGAGACTACCTACACCTATCTATAAACTCTAAGCTAACATTTCCAGCGCTCCAAACTCCGCAACTTCTTGATGCACTCCTTCCACCTCATCCTCTGGCTGCTGACTCCCCCGGCCACCGCCAAAGTAAAAGATACCCAATGCGGCTTCAAGCTGTTCTCGCGCGCCTCACTCCCCTACATCATTCCTTATATGCACTCCGAAGGCTGGATCTTCGACGTTGAGATGCTGATGTTGGCCGAGTTTGCGAACATACCTGTTGCTGAAGTGGCTGTAGGCTGGCGCGAAGTCAAGGGTAGCAAGTTGAATGTTGTCTGGGATAGTATTGGGATGGCTTGGGGGTTGTTTGTATTGCGAGCGTCATGGGGGATGGGAGTGTATCGCCGGACGTAATTTGCATTGTACATAGACTTGTATATAAATAAGTGATACAATATATCATGAACAGCTGTAATACATACATAGTTAATGGAAGTATCAGCTGAATCCGCTATTCCGTTCCTGGCGCAGCTACCCCAGGACTCGACCAATCACGAGCGCAGCCGTTGACTTCACGCGAAATTAAAAGAAAGATCTGACCCATCTCAAACCTCAAACTCCAAACAGCGCCAACTATTCATCTTTCTTTATTCTCTGCATATATTTAACAACACGAGTCTCGGACGACAAACGAAACAACAACAAGTTGATCTACTATTTATACGATCGCTTCGTCTGTCTCAAGGAGAACATTAAGCGAAGCGGGATCTACGTATCAACTTCATCGTTCAACGTCACTCATTCTTCTTTATATACGAACAGGACCATCTTTCTACTAACGACGTGACGAATTCTCTTTTCTTACGATACGACACTTATTGAAAGAATAGCTTTCTGAAACTCGTCTCCTTTCCTGTCTCTTTCTTCGATCTTGCTCAGCTCGATCATCAAAGTGTGGGGTTCCTGTTTGAAGTGCCAATCATATAGCGCAACATTTCTGCAGAGTCAATCTTCAATTTTCGACGTTCGCTTGAATACTCAATATGGCGACAGGTCAGACCTCTCTTCTCAGATAGAAAAGGAATGGACTGACATTGTCCAGATGTGCCCAAAGTCGTCCCCCTGACTTGTCACGGGCATTCTCGCCCTGTTCCACATATCAGTTTCTCATCGATAGTGGAAGAGGAGCAGTACTATTTGATCTCGGCATGCAAAGGTTTGCTCTCGACCTTGAACAGTGTGTAGTCCATGAGCTTATGAATGGTTGCAGATAACAACCCGATGCTTCGCGATGGTGTTACTGGTGATTGGTAACCAACCTGCCTTTTGCGATGGTTGAACATTTAACTAATATTTGACAGGATTGGGACGTTTCTCGGCCATAAAGGTGCCGTCTGGCAGGCGAGATTGTCTGCAGATGCAAACATAGCCGCTACCGCAGCGGCAGATTTTTCCGCGTATGTCATCTCTCAAATGCATAATTTAAAAAGCATTGAAAAGTGGCAATGCTGACTTTCCTGCCAGAAAGGTCTGGGACACACACACCGGCGAATGCCTGCACACATTACAGCACAACCACATCGTGCGCGCAGTCGCATTCCCAATCCAGACAAACCCACAAGTCCTCGCGACGGGTGGCATGGAGAAGAAACTACGCATATTCGATCTTACGCGTAGTAGTGATACTTCCAACGACGGCTCATCGCCTCCCATAAGTAATAACGACAACACAAATTCAAATGGATCAGTAACGAGTTACGAAATCGGGCCTGGGGTGCACGGTGGAACCATCAAATCCATCATCTGGAACACAGATTACAACATCCTCACTACAGCCGCCGAGGACAGGAAGATTCGCTGGTGGGACCTGCGATCTCGCCACCCTGTTGTCGAGTATTCCGTCGAAGGGACGATTGGTAGTTGCGAACTGAACGTGCTCGCCACGAGGCCCAATGAGGCCGGTATCTTGAGCGTTGCGGCGGGAAAGAGKGTTTACTTATTTGATGGTGCGATGCCGGGCAGATTATTGAAGAAAGTCGATTTTAGGTATGAGGTTGCCAGTGTGGCCGTCAATAATGAGACGGGTAGGTTCGTGACTGGTGGTGCGGGTGAGGATACTTGGGCGAGAGTGTATGATTTGCATACTGATGAGGAACTTGGTTCGTTCCCCCCCTCTTCTCTGCTTTCAGCCTTGTCGAGGAAGTGATTTGACTAACCGTGAGCAGAAGTGCAAAAAGGTCACCACGGCCCCATCTGGTCGGTTAGTTACTCGCCAGATGGGAAATTGTACGGTACAGGCAGTGAGGATGGAACTATTAAGTTATGGAAAGCGTGTCGCGAGCCATATGGACTATGGCGGTAGTTTATCTTTCACTTTCGAAATTCTTGGCTAAGTGAAACATACAATTTTAGGCTAGGAAGATAGACTATCAAAATGAAGCTCTAAAAGAAGTCCATTTGAGGATGACGTTTTGTATTTCGGCTTAATCGATGTCTGACACGATAGTGATAATACATTGGATAGAAACCCTATGACATATCGGGCTATGTAAGACACTCATTTTGTCAATATCCCTACTCGATCATGTCAATGTCATCATCATTCCCTGCCGGCGCAGCACCAGCTAATTCACCCGCAGCTACAGTCGCAGGTGCAGAAACAACCTTTTCCTCAGCACCATCAGCAGCAGCGGTGTTGCCCCAGTAATCATCCATCTCCGCATCAAGTTCTTCCTGCGTCTTCTTGGGCCGAGGACCAGTACCGCCATTTGCGCCTCGACGAACATCCCTATTGCCACCGCGTCTGTCATCGCGACGTTCTCCAGGACGACGGCCCGTCTGGCCTCGACGAGTCGGTGAGCGTTGCGATTGTTGCTGGCCCGGAACGTAGCGATCGATGTGATCCGGGGCAGGTTTCGATGTGTCGCTGCGCCCTGCTCGTCCTCCTCTTCCACCTCGACGACGTCGTCCTCCATTCGTTGCGCCTTCTCCGTCAGGGCTCAAGCTACGCTCGGTTCTGTCTGCAAGGGGGCGTTCAATTCGGTCAAAGAGACTTTTTGACTTTTCCGCCTTTGATCCTCCAGCACCACGGCCTCCACCTGGCAAGAGAGTCAGTCGGATCGGCTGGCCTTTGGCGTTGGCTCCATCGAATTCACGGATCGCCTGTCTGGCATCTTCGAGGTATTGATATGTCACAGTGGCGGTTCCTTCCGAGCGGCCAGCACGGTCAAAGTTGATGCGGACTCTCTGAACTGGTCCGATGTTGCCGAACAAGCCCTACGCAGTATTAGTATTGTAGCCACCGAGACCGAAAATCAGACTGTCTAACCTCCAAATCCTCCTCCGTCAAATCCCAATGAAGGTTGTCGATGCGCAATCGGGCTCTGCAATCCATCTTAGCATAGGCAGTTTGTAATTCATGATTTGGACAAACTCACGGTTGATCGCTATCCGGCGAGTCTCTTTCGCGTCTAGATCGGTTGTCACGTCGTGAAGAACGGGCTGATACAGACGTAAGCCATGGAACGAACCATCCGCAAACACTCAAAGGTAAAAATTGACGCACAGTCTCCATTGTTATCATCGAATCGATCATGAACCCAATCACTTTAACAGCAACACAAATCATCAGCAACAGCATAACACCCCGTCGGGGAAAGAACTCACCGATCAAGATCAACGCGGTCACGATATGACTGTAAACATCAAAAGGAGGCACAAAGGTCAGCTGAAAGTCAAATTGTTTTTGGTATACGAATATTTCCGAGAGGCTTTTCTGCTCCAAATGATCGTCCAAAATTATGTGTTGATTGCCATCGGTAGAATTGTCCCGGTCAGTTTGCTGACTTGCATATCGGTCATTGAAAGACCGAACTGACCGACTGACCATAACGGTCAGACACATCAGATAGCAATCTTCGAGGTGGATTTATTCTCTTTGCTTTTTTTTTCTCTTATTGTGGAACGGAAATTGGATGTCGATGGAGGTGAGGAGGAGAGAGGAGGAAGACCTATGGCAATTTTCACATCTCGTTAATTCTCTAGCTCTACTTTTGGAAACGGGCGGAATGTGTACCTTTTTCACACCATCGCGTGGCGCATTGCTAGTGTTTCGACTGCTTCGCCCCCGACGATTCTGCTGCTGCTGCTGCTGCTGCTGCTGCTTCGCCTGAAGAATGACAACATTAGTCGGGTTCACAATCATTCCAACACACTTATGAGGGATATCATACAGGTCGCTCAGAGATAATTTCCTCCAGACTACGATCCATGATTTGTTCAACAAAATCTAATGGTTTGAATAAAAGGTAAGTGGTGTTTGAAGTAAGTTGATGGATTGAATAAAGTTGAATTAAACTCAAGCCAAGGCGGATAGAAGATGGAGATGAGCTCAGCCGCAGAATATATCACGTGACATGTACGAGATTGACAAAACAATACGATTGATATATGTTTAATCTAAAATGCTATTGACATGGAGATTCGTTTTAAGAAGTATTATTATAATACCAGTCTGATATTTGGACGGAACAATTTCGGCCCTCCCTAGAAGAAATGCACATCCAAGCCAAGCATACAAACTATAAATAAACACAAGAAAACAGACAATGCCTGGCCAGCATGCATAAACAATTCAAAAGTATTACCTGAAAAACAACACGAGCTATGCATTGAAACAAACACCCCCTGTATGTATGTGACGGACGAACACCAGATATGCTGATTACTTTAAGCAGTTGCCAACTTCCTTTCTATGAATCAATGACCGCCATTGAGCGAGCGTTTGGTATCTTCTGACGTCCCTTGATTGTCCATCATTTTCTCCATAAATGTGATATAATCGTATTTCGGTAGATCCCGATCTTCGAGTAGGTCAGGCCCTTCGTGCTTGGGCATCGACTCGAGAAGATTATCGATGAGTTCGTCGGGAATAAGAGAGTGTCGGAGGTCGAGTTCTGTTACGTACGGCTGCATACGGTTAGCTTTGAAACGTTTCTCTGTTATAAGTTGCTTACCTTTCCATCAGCCACTTCGCGGAAGCTCTGAAACACCTGCTCTGCAGTGTTCTGATCTTCCGTCACACTAACCATGAAGCGAATAAACTGCTCAAAGCTAACTGTCGAGTTGCGGCCACAAGTCTCTAAGAACACCTCATGCATCTCTTCTTCATCATAGACAAGACCAAGACTAGCCAAAGCGGCTGAAAATTCGATTTCTTGTAGAGTGTTTGATCCATCTCGATCGAAATGTCGAAACACGGATTCGAATTCTTCCAGTTGTATCGGCGTGAGATTGGTCATATTTCGTGCCACCATTTGATTCTCTAAAAACGCAAGCTTCTTGGCTACGCTGGATTTGACCAGCCCCAGCTCGTAAGACAACTCGTCCAGCGTATACGTGGTGTAATCGTTCTCATCGATATTTGCCTCGACACACTGTTCCTCTAGATCTGCAATAGTCTCTAAGAATGCATCAAGAGGCGGTAGATTATCATTCAGACGCTTGACATGAGTCAGCTGGTCTTCAACATCGCCTTCAAGACCCGAAATGGCAAGAGTCAATGTCTTTAGGGTGAGCGCAAAATCATTGGCTTTGTCGGCGAAAGAGCGGCGCAATTTGTTCTTGATATCCCGAATGGTCTCATTGATGAGCTGACTGCGTCCTTGCTCTTCTTGCATCAACCCTTCCCAATCTCGGTCGCATCTGTCCAAAGACAAATCTGCCGGGGGTTCGTAAGGTCGCAGACGGTACGTGCTGAGCTTGGTCTTGATATTCCCCAATAAAGCAGCAAGATCGGACTTTTCTGCCACCCATTTTCGTTTCTGGTTTCGCTTATAATGTGAAAACTCGGCGAGCTGCACCTTTGCATCAGTGTATGTACCTTCAAAGGACGCGCCTTGCCATTCCGCTCTTTGATTCGCAATCTGAGCTAGCAATTCCTTCATCCGTTTCTCGTAGGAAGACTGCATTTCCCAAGCGCCTTGCATATTGCTCACGAACTTCTCCACTCGTCGACCGGCATTTTCGACCTTTTCCAATTGCGAGAAAGCATGGAACCAATATGCAATGTACGTCATCAATGACCGCTCATCGGGTTTGTCCACGTCGCACACATCCTCCACATCGAGCAAGTCTGGGATACCGATCTCATTGGCAGCAATATCAAAGGCCAATTGCATATTCCCTCGATGGTCATTCTTATCCAAAGAATCAAAATCAATCAGATCGGGTCGATGAATATCCAGCAACGCACAAAAAGCCAACCCATCATTCCAACTCGCTGAGAAATCTCGAACTTCGACTTCGGGGTAACAAGCCGTTTTGCGTTGACACCACAGCAACAACCCTTCCTTGGCGGACATGCCCTCAGAACTGATATCGCTGATGGTGAATTTCGAAATAAGAGTCCATATCAACCCGAGTATAATCTTTTGATTTCCGTCCACGATATCTCCAGCACCGATGTTGGTCATTTGGATTCCGCGCAGCTTGATGAAATCTAATCCTTTATTGACATTTTCGAACTTCTGAACGCGTAGCTTGGGTTTGGAGGCATATCGACCGAGGGACTCGTCTCCGAGGATTTCCAGTAGATGTATAAGATTAACCTGTGCCAAACGTTAGTTCTGGTCTGGAATGTAATGAGGCAGTCACTTACTCCATCGGACAAATCTTGCGTCAAGTCGCTGATGGCCAGATTCCTGACCTTCAACTTGTTGTTGAGCCTGTAGATTAAAATTAGACGGTTATATGTGCACATATTCTGCCAACATACCATTTGGTGAATGTCTTTTGCTGTACAAGAATCCACTGCTTCTCGACCATCAACATGGTTGCATAGAGCGCCGCGGGGTTCGGACGAGATGGGCAACAATATTAATAACGTATTCAGAATAAAGAAGGAGTTTGTTGAAAAGCGAAGAATATTCAATGAACGCAGCGAGCTGCAAGGAGGGGCAGTGTTGAAATGGTCGAACGGATTGAAACAAGACGTAGAATCTTCAATCCCCCTCTCTAGTGTCTCCACGATCTGACGCCGATCCGGATCGAAACACGGGATGCTAGTAAGAATCGTAAGATGGAATGTATCCAATGGTCGCAGAACAAAAGTTTTCTTTCGAGCGGAACAAAATAAAAGTAATGATTTGCAACTACAAGACTGGCTTGTGCGGTGGATGTTTGTTGGCAGAGTTGTCTCTTCTCCGCACGGGTAGGGGCGACTGACTCCCTTTTTTTGTTTTTGCCCTTTTGGGACTAGGGCTTGTGTTGTCAACAAACACTTAGCCGCCAGCCAGACCACAGCAACCGGCTGCCCTGCCGAACCACGTTTTGGTCAACTTATTCTTATTTTGTCCTCAGTGTGTTTCTTTTATATTAGTCCGCAAGATTATAGACTTTTGGGTTTTCTTTTACTTCTAAGATCTACATGCTTGGTTTGAATCATGTGCAGCAGATAGGTGGTGCTCGGATAGCCCCTCATTCTAGACCCTGTATTTATATACAGTTGATAGTCGCTTCATATATCCAGAACATATCAAAAAGCGCCAACGTACAGTAGTTATCACTTACACACAATGCAGTACCAACACATCTAGAATTGTAAATTGATGTAGTGAGGAGCTTCAATACCAACCCAAAGAAAAGTCCCTTGTGATGATATCATCTCTCCGATTCCGTCAGCTGGGCAGGGTGGGGTTTTATCCACCATCTTACCGATCTGACATTTGCACGTCATGTCTAAAATAATTTCCCTTCACCACTCCCCTTATTCCATACACCTCAATTGACGAACGAAAATACAAACGCAACAATGCCAGCTCTCAAAATAACAGACACCCTTCCCCTCCCCCAATCAACCGTGCATATCCCCCGCCTCGGATTCGGCGTGTACCGCAGCCACGGCGACGATTGCGTCCAGAGTACCCTCACAGCCCTCAAGACGGGATACCGACACATCGACTCCGCCCAGTTCTATGGCAATGAGAAGGAAGTCGGCGAGGCATTTCGGCAGTCCGGCCTGAGACGGGATGAAGTCTTTATAACCACCAAGATCATGAGTCCCGGCGGATCGCCGCAGGCAACCTACGAAAAGATTGTGGAGAGCATAGACAAGATTTCTGGAGGAGACAAAGATGGCTTTGTCGATCTGTTTCTGATTCATAGTGCCAAATCGGGCTCGTCCGGCAGAAAGGAGTTGTGGCAGGCGCTCGAAAGAGTGTTGGAGGAAGGTAGGACGAAGAGTATTGGTGTGAGCAATTATGGGGTTGGGCACATGGAGGAGATGAAGAGTTATGCGAAGATTTTTCCGCCTCATATCAATCAGATTGAGGTGCGTTTGCCAGTCTGGTGAAAGTGCTATAGCCATATACTTCAGAAGATGCTGACTGATACAGCTCCATCCATGGTGTCAACAACGTCAGACTGTACGATACTGCCAACAGCATGGTATCATCATCGAGGCTTATTGTCCTCTTGTCCGCGGTAACAAGGCCAATGATCCTACACTAGTGTCCCTGGCGCAGAAATACGGAAAGACTACTGCCCAGGTATTGGTCCGGTATAGTCTACAAAAGAACTGGGTTCCGCTACCCAAGAGCTCAAACCCCGAGCGAATTGCCGCCAACGCTGATGTATTTGACTTTGAGGTTCGTCAGGAGGACATGGATGTTTTGGATGGATTGGATCAGGGCGCCGCGGGGGCTATCGTCGAAGCGGTGGACGATTATTAGACAGATCATATACGAGATTACTGTATTTAGCGTTTATATCCAACCAGGTCATGGATCAATCTGGCCTCTGCAAAAGAAATGCGTTGACTGATTGGAGTGTCGCTCGTGAAGGGTTCGCGTCCGGTTTTGACGTTACGATCCATGTCAAGCGTTGGCGGATATATTGTTTGTCGATGTATACGTCTGTTTGCGGTCCGACGAACTTGCCTAAGTACGGTTGGTTCAGTAAATAAGTACAGAAACACAGTCGAGGAAGATATTCACCATTGTCATCATAAAAAAGGCAAATGATAGTCAAAAGTGTCCCGACAGAAAGATCCTTCCCCGTTTCACAAGTGACTAGTATTGATTGTGCCGGATTGGCCGTGAGGTTGTTCTCTGCAAACGCTTTCACTTTGTCCAAGGCAGCCCGTAGATCTCGACTGCCGAGTTTGTGAGAACCACAACCAAGATTCAACCTCTTCGCAGTGGACAGATCAGGCTTGTCATTACAGGCGATGGCGAGATCATATTCACCCTGTATTCTTAAGTCGTTGGGTCGGGACTGGCAGATGTATAGATTCGACGATGGGCGGATCGGGACGCCGACTTTAGTATCACCATTACTGTGGGCATCAGTCTTCGAGACCAACTCTTGAATGACATGCGGTAGGTCGCTCTCATCTGTATTAATGAGAAGGTCCCGATTTGCCCAAAAAATAGGGGGAGTCAATCCATGAGACCATTTCTCAGCGTCGTCGCCTGCGCCTTGAATATACCCTCCTTCAGATGCCTCGGCACCGTGCACTCTTCTCGAGGCCGAGCAGAGCACAAAAAGGTTGTAGCCATCCCCTTTCTGAAGTGTGGTAGGATAAAAGTAGGTCTGATTGGCCCATGCAATCTTGATTGGAGAGCCTAGATCCTTTCTCAATTGGTCCAAATCAAGTTTCAACTCCTATCAAGCACAAATATTAGCGACCGGGTTCACCGGAGACTAAGATAATTGCCTACCTTGAAGGTCTTGACAAATCCGTCAATTCGTCTCTCGATTTGTGCTTCTTCCGAGGCAGGTAGAAAATTAGGCGGGAACTGGACTAGGTGATATGCAGGTTCTGATGGAAACAGGGCTCGATTCAAAACAGCACTCCATATCGGAACAGTTTTGGAGAGAGCATCGGGCATCACTATTGCACACGTGTTAGCTCAAAAGACGAGAAATGGCTTGTCCAGGTTCACATGTAACCATAACCCATGTATGTAGACAAATGCGATCGACCCCGTATTTCTTCGGGATCAGAATGGAGAGAGTGGATCAAACGTACATTTACCCCTGCGGGTAGAATCCACGATAATACACCTGTGTAACAACCATATTAATCTCGGTCAAAAATGACTCGTCGCGACGGAACTGGTAGCGTATGAATGATAGAGTCGAGAGCTTACCCGCCACGCTGCCGAGCAAGCTCGAGAACCTGCAAATTGAGCCTACGGAAACTAAACTCCCAGACCCCAGTATGGCCATCCGTGCTTTTGAAGTAGACGCTACCGGCCTTGCGCGTCGGATTGATATACCAACTGCCACAGCGTTCGTTGGCAATGAGGGGTAAACCCCCATAATGCTCGGCCACCTCTGACACAAAGCGGGCGTCTGCTTCAATTGAGCGTAGACGATTCGTAACTGACAGCGCAGAACGCCGTAATGATGTTAGAAGCTGTGATACTGAGACGGCTGCAGACGGGAACTCGATTTCTGATAGGGAGACCGGGTACGCATTGCTCGTCGCCCTTTCGTCGGAGCTCATTGCGCCGGATTGTATGACTGAGTTTTGGTCTAACTTGTACAAGAAGATCAATGAGGGTTTTTTTTTTATCTTTATCTCGTCAGGCCATTGGCGAATGAGTGATCAGAGATTGTTCCTGGAAGATTGTGTCCAATCACGCTTGACATCAGGTACGGAAAATTAGATATTGGGACTAGTCTGTTTCGGTCAAGGGAAGTTGGTGAACAAACTAAAGAACGGGAAGACGGGCTAAGCTGGAAATGGCATGGTGGATTTCCGTGCCTTGTCGCCTTGTCCGCATCATCACTTTCATTAACCGAACCTTACTAGTGTCAGGTCTCTGTGAAGTTACTATGTAGAGGAAGTCACGGCAGTAACCGATTCCTTGGTGCAGAAGGGGGCACCTATTACCTAATACTATGCGTAGGGCAACGACTGGGTGTAACTGAGTGCTTTTTGATCCCGCTGTCTTCTTTTAGGCAATCATGACTCTAAAGTGTATACCCAAAACGGTTGACCGGAGAACTCACGATGATACGAACCGCGCAGTGGGGCAGGGCACCGAGCCACTTTGACGTCGTATTGAATCATCCAAGACCTCAGCCAGTGGCGAAGTCACGATTCGATTCAGCTTCTTTTCATAGACTTCACTGCGTAGTACAGTAGCGCTGTTGTACGGAATAAGCACATGAGTGAATTAATCGTTCCTTGTCAGTGTCCACTTTCGCGTCGACGTCCTTTCTGCCGAAGAGGTTGCACGGTCGACGCGGTGATTGGGTTGACAGCATTTACATGTGCTCCTGGTGGTATCCTAGCTGAGTGTACAACCTGAAAAAGAGGCCCCGCTTGGCGGTGCTGCAGTATCATCAGAGCCATCCGTGGCAGGGACGCTGGGCGAGAGAGCGGGCGTTTGACACCAGAAACTGACGCTAGTCCTGTTTGACTGCGACGCTCCCCGAATGCCCCCGACCGCCTGGCATTTGACCAATCGCAGTCTATTGTCGAATCTGCCCGCTGCTCCGACAGGGCGACGTCACCGCCCGGGTCTGTGATTAGTCACAGTCAGTCCCACCAGACTGCGAACTGATGGGTCCTGATTGGCGCAGTCCTGACTGACTGATGCAATCGCTCATTTCCGCCGGGACAGCGTCATTGTCTGCCAGTGCGCGCCTTCCCGTTGAGGTCATTTCCTGTGGTCCCACGGTTCTGTTTGTGCTCCCCCTTTGGGAGTCGACAAACGTATACCAGCATACTTAAAACACTCATTTCCCCTTCTTGCTATTCTTCCCCTCAACTCATCTACCAACATCCTCTCACATTCCATCCATTGTAACTCGACCTCAGCCCCCCTCACTACCCCTCCACCATCTACATCTATCTATCGATCACTCACTATCAACTCCACCTCACTGTTCAGCTTTTGATATCACATAACCAAATAGCAAAATGGCTAAGGTATGCTTCCCCGGATTCCAGCATGGCTCAAGACCCACCACTGACACCCACAGATCACTCAACTCCTGTTCGACTGCGACAACACCCTCGTGATGTCCGAGGAGCTTGCCTTCGAGGCCTGCGCTGACATCGCCAACGAGATCTTGGCTAAGCGTGACATCACCGACCGCTACACTGGTGAGGAACTCATCAAGGACTTTGTCGGCCAGAACTTCCGCGGTATGATGGTCTCTCTTCAAGCCAAGTACGGCTTTGAGATGGACAAGGACGAGATTGAGTACTACGTCAAGGAAGAAGAGAACCAAGTCATCGCCAAGCTCGAGGCCAAGGCTGTCCCCTGTGTCGGTGTCATGGAGGAATTGGAAAAGCTTCACGAGTCCGGAAAATACGACATGGCTGTTGTCTCCTCTTCTGCTCTCCGTCGTGTTCGCGCATCTATCAAGAAAGTCCACCAGGACAAATACTTCAAGGCAGACCACATCTTCAGCGCTGCTACCTCTCTCCCCAAGCCTACCTCCAAGCCCGACCCCGCTATCTACCTTCACGCCATCAACGTCTTGGGCAAGAAGGCCGAAGAGTGCGTTGCCATCGAAGACAGTCGCTCCGGCGCTCTCAGTGCTATCCGTGCTGGCATCCCGGTCATTGGCTACGTCGGTAGCTATCACGGCGACGACCAGCGTGGCGAGATGGCCGCCAAGTTGACCGAACTCGGTGCTAAGATCGTCATGAAGGACTGGGCCGAATTCGAGTCATGCCTCAAGCACATCGAGGAGCCTTCCAACACCAGCCTTGCTAGCCTTTAAGCATTGGCTTTTGTCCTTGGTTTTTTTTTTCTTTTCTGATACCTTTTACTAGCGCTACTTCACTTCATCTTTCCAACCTTTTACGAACCATCTTGAGCACTCGGGTGGTTCAACGGAGTTTAGCTCCCTTTTTTTCTTTCTAATGAGCATCACGAGGTTTCATGGATTGCATGATCATGTACTGTACTTTTTTCATCGGCGAAAGAAAGCGCAGAGGTCTGATCTGGCGCACGGGTCTGGATTTTTTTACTACTTGGGGCTATGCGTTGTCCTTGTTACTTTTCATTTCTGCAACACCATAGACATGATTTCTGTTACGGTAGTTCCAGGAATAGAGTACCCTTGCAGAACATCCATTCCATCATTCTAAACGTGTAAATTTTTCTACCATCGCCGACATTGGTAATGAGTGGACGTCGACAAGATACAGCCTCCATCGGAAACGTCTCCACAAAGCGCGACGCCAGTGGCTTGCACGCTAGATATGCACAACGACAATTTGAAGACGAGGCTATTCCATGTCTGCGTTAGTGTCCCAGCGGGGCTGCTGTACGTACTGCACGTCAGACTGCTGAAAGTGCTATCGGTTCAGAGTCGTCCGTAGACTTGTCCTGTTTGGTGGAGGGTTTGAGGTTTGGATTTATCCGGCAGATACTCCGTAGAGCGGGTATTCGAGGATTCGGGTTGAAGGCCGAGGGTATTGAATTATGAAAGGATTGGGTTGGAGATACCTTTTTGTGTTCTAAGAGTATACTACGGTGATTCTACTATCCTAAGAGGGATTCTGGACTGAGTGATGATGTTCAGGTTCATGTCATCTGTTGAATATTTATATATGAAAGGGGCGATGCTTCCAAATTGGGAGTTGCCTAAATGATCTAAACATTAGACGGTTAATGAATCTCAACATCAGATGGATAATGAATCTAAAAATAGCAGCGTTAGATAACAGAACCCCTGATGGTGTAGTTGGTGAGTACAATGTTCACGGTCTATGGTCTGATTCATAGCTAACAAAATCCAAAGGTTTATCACGTTCGAAATATCTATTGTGATCGAAAGGTCGCTGGCTCGATTCCGGCTCGGGGGATTATTTTTTTCCTCTATCTCTCTTTAGGGAAAACCTCTTTTTTATTGATCCTTAAATCTTTTTGTCTATCTTGAAAAAAATATACCTTCATCTGTACAATCTGGACACTATAACAGTTGGGAAGCTTAGTTTATCTTGCCAAGATGACTTGTTTGATTCTATCTGGTACCGAGGCCTCGACAGTAACTGGAGAGGTGGTGCGCTCATGAAGTTGACAGATGGCGGACAGGCTCTCGGGTTCGCTACCGGAAAGTAGAAGATGTGTTGAACAAAAGGCCAAGCTTCTATAAAAAGCTAATACTCAGGACAGAGAAGAATTGTTACGCGTATGTGCTTTTCTCTTGAACACCACTCAACCAGAGGGCTATCTCTGGAAGATCTAACAAGAAGTGCCGGCATGTCTACAGTGGAACCAAATCGAGAGCAGATCCTCAAGAAAGTATTCAAGCCTGAACATTTACTGTGCAGATATCAGCACCCTTAGAGGAAAAGAAACGGAAAGGAAAGAGATCCAAAAAGATTATCCCCTGAGCGGAAATAAAGATTTGAGGATTAATTAAACAAGAGGTTTTCCCTAAAGAGAGATAGAGGAAAAAAATAATCCCCCGAGCCGGAATCGAGCCAGCGACCTTTCGATCACAATAGATATTTGATAAACCTTTGGATTTTGTTAGCTATGAATCAGACCATAGACCGTGAACATTGTACTCACCAACTACACCATCAGGGGTCCTTGATGACATCGATTCGTGCTGGATTATTACATAAATGATCAGATGAATTATTAGACGAATTATTAGATGAATGATCAGATGACTATGGTAATCTTGGTTACCTACGTACATTTGTGTCGCCAGATGTCCCAAGAAACCTGCCAATATGCACAGCGATTATCACGCAGTCCTTTGAATATCCTGTTGTAATCGGATTGTTTACAGAACAGGGCTCCGGCTCCAAGTTCTGACGAATAGTGGAGATATTTAAGGCTGCGCAGTGGTCTATGTGCCATCTATATATATAGTTTCACCCTCGTCGATTAATATTTACAACCTTAGTCGTAATCAAAATGAGTACTTCTTCCCCAACTCAATAGCCTCTGCCAACGTGCCTACACGTGCATCAATTCCAAATCCTTCCTGTTCGAGGCGCTTCGTCTCTTCATACAGCGTCGCCAAAGGAACCGTGAAACATTCTATGAATTCATTTTCCTCCAATTCTGGGACGGGGCTCTGGTTCTCCGGAAGACTCATGTCGATTCGTATGTGGACGAGGCTTGAGTTTGCGTTGGTGAGACCTGGGTCTATCCCCTATTAGAATCATGCACATATGTAGATGAGAAAAGAAAAGCAGGGAAGCTTACCGTGAAACATAACCGTACTCGTCTTCTCGACCGCGCCTACATAACCCGTCTCCTCCTTGAGTTCCCTCACGGCACATTGCTCAGGTGTCTCGCCTTCATCGATCAATCCAGCAGGTACCTCGATAGAGACTTTGTTGATAGGAGGTCGGAATTGTTTTTGGAGCAGAATTTCGGGGCCCTGGGCCGTGTCGAGGATGGCGATAATGCCGACGCCGTCGATCGTACTGTTTTTGGGGCGGGTCTACAGTTTCACAAGCATGAGAAATAGTATGGGATGATCATATTTCTATGAAAGTGGTACCTGTCGCTCAGCCGTTTCCCATACTCGTTTCACGCCTAGGGGATCCGTGTAGGTGATTTTGCCGAGTCGTATCCATCGGGCTTCTGCAGGGTCCTGTTGTCATTAGGATCGAGGTTGAAAGGGAAAGCGCATGAGGCCTGACTTACCAGTGGACTTGTTTCGAGGATTTTGGAAGCTTGCGCTGAGCGCGCATTTGATTGTGCCATGTTGATGATGTGAATGGAAAGAGAGGATGCAATTGAGGAAATTGATGTCATGTCTTCAATGTGGGGTTGTCCTTATCGATAAGAATCGCGTTCATTCTACGCGATACTTCATAGTACATAGACCAGCAGAAAACGAGTTCGAAGACGAATGAGGATCAAAGAGTGAGCTAGTTTTATAAGGTATAAATCTTAAAAGCGTTGAAGATAAGCTTGCTAGACGTACAAAGATAGGTGGAAGGGATCATACGCTCGCTTTCCATTATCTGCCGGGTGGGCTGTACCTGGGCTGTACAGTTGGAAAAGCTCATTTTTAATATAATTCTGAACTAATGTTATCAAGTAATTCAGCCTCGTTGTATAGCTCCAATCACCCTAGTGACTTATGAGGTCGCGTGGTGTTGTCGATTGATGCCTGGCACCGCGACGGATAGCTCCATCTCCACAAGGCTGATTCAACCTGACAAACTTACATCATACATCACCACAAACCATAAATTAGAAGGTATCACCACAACAGAGAAGAAAAATTCCTCATGAAATCACTACTCAGAGCGAGACAATACACAATTTCAAGATCAGTACATCCTCCACCAACGCCAACACCACTAGTGCCCTCGGCACAACGAAGACAAATAAGAACAAAAATGGCGTCAACGTTCACAATCCCCTTCGACAACCCTCGAAACACCAAGACCGACGTACCAGTAACCTGCCCTCCCATATCATCTGACAACAACATATCAAAAGACCAACTCCTCGCCTTCCCAGCATTCAAAACCTGGCTCTCCTCACTCCACAAATCCCTTGCAGAACAAACCTCATCAACCCACGAGTTTCACAATGCGCCTTACAAGCTACGTAAAATCGACATTCAGGCTGTTGATTACTTTGGTGCTGGGCGGTTGGGCTTCATCAAGATGAAGGCTGATGTTTCTAATGATTCGGGCGAGAGTTTACCGGGGAGCATATTGCTGAGAGGGGGGAGTGTTGCAATGCTTGTACGTCTTGTCGTCCCATTATTGCTTCATATCCTAGGACTAACAAATAGTAGCTTATTCTACAATCCGACGATGTACCACCCACATCCGAAAAGGACAAATATGTCATCATGACAGTCCAACCGCGCATTCCAGCCGGTACACTCAAATTCGCCGAGATCCCAGCGGGCATGCTCGACGACAGCGGCACGTTCGCCGGCGGAGCAGCAAAAGAGATTCACGAAGAGACCGGTCTGTCGATTCCGCAGGACGAGCTTATCGATATGACGGCTCTAGCTTCTGCATCTTCGCGTGTGACTTCTCCTTCCTCTTCTGTAGAAGATGACTACCTGCAGAAAGCGGTATATCCATCTCCAGGCGGAAGCGATGAGTTCATTCCTGTATTTCTGTGTCAAAAGAGGATGCCGCGCAAGGAGATTGAGGCGATGCAGGGTCGGTTGACAGGCAACAGAAACGAACGGGAAAAGATCACGTTGAAGATTGTGAGGTTAGCAGATTTGTGGAAGGAAGGGTTGAGGGATGGGAAGACTCTTGCTGCTTGGGCCTTGTATGAAGGGTTGCGGAAGGAGGGGAGAATCTGATCCGTAGCATTTTGTGTTATCAAGAGATAGATCTTTGAGCGTTCATGTTTGCGAGCAGGCGATCTCTCATCTTGCCGTAGCATTACCGGGTTGCTATTAGCTTTGATCGGTTAAAATGTCACTTCACATCCAACCCCCCAAAGGCCCTGTCTAACTCCTCCCCCTCATCCCTCGGCGCAATAGCAGGCACCGACTGCGCTTCCTGCTCCCTCGTACTCGAATCCAAGATACTCGCATGCCTATCGCCAACACTAACATTCTGCGCATTGTGTGCCGCCAAAGAAGATGCAGCTTCAGGCTGCAGCAACTTCTCATCTCTATCCAACCAACCAGGCGCCAACCTCCGCTTCTCTGCTAGTTCGCGTTGCCGTGTACTCTCTTCCCATTCTTTGATTGTGCGCTCGGCATCGATCATGGTCTTTTTCAGATGTGTCTCGAGCGCCTGGCAAGATGCTAGGATCTCGTCTGGGTGCGCTACATGGCCGCCGGTGGAGGAGACGACGTAGCGCGTTTTGCCAGCGTTTTCGGTGGTATTTTCAGGTCCAGCAGCAGTTGTGATGGAGGGCGGCAGCGTCGAGGCGATGGATTTGTAGGTGTATGGTAGAGTTACGGCGGAGGGGAGGGAGATGAATGGGGAGACTGTGAGGGATACTTGAGCTAGGAGTGGGTGGGGTCCTGCGCATGACGATTAGTGCTGATAATAACATCTGAAAGGATATATACTCACGGTTTGAGTCGTACATGATGGCCGTGGCTTTTGTCGTTCGAGTTGTGTTGACGTTGTGTTGTTATTTTGAGTAAGTGGAATCGGCCTTGAGCCCTGACGTAGAACTGGCGCTAAATCATTTTGGAATGGGTGGGTCTTGGATTCTCAAAGAATGGACACACTTATGAAATATCCGATTATTTACTTTGTAGTAGGTATTTTCATCCACAACCCTGATAGGTGCTGTGGAATCTGGCTTTATCTTGTTGTCTAAGCGTTGCTTTTCCGCCTGTAACTACAGCAGCACCATGGAATTTTCCTACTGACAACATGAATGAATGTAAATCTATAGCTCAAACCGCCTGATAAGAACTACCATATCATTTGTATACTGACTATGAGGTACGACACTATTTGTCTTTAACAAAAACGAGACGTAAGCTACCAGTGCTATCGATGAATAACACTTAACACGTTGGGGTGAAACTATGCGACGTGAACAACACAAAAATAGAAAAAGAAGCAACAAGACGAGAAGACATAAAATACATGCTCGAATACAATTCGCTATATATGCCGGATCGAAAGAAATGAAACGTAAGGAGAATAAACCACCAGAAATGCTTACCACGAGTCAGGCTTCTGCCATTTCGATATCCGTATCGGTTTTTCTGCTCGATGATTGAAGAGAGCGTTGCTGTTGTCCCGATGATGCGGCCTCTGTGCTTGCTGCCTGAGGAAGGAGTTGATGCTGTGCGGACAGTGCAGCGAGTTCGTGTGCAAATGGAGTTGCGCAGAACCTGCGTTCCTCGGAGTCGTAGGCTAGCCAGCAGTTGAACTATAAGTAAAGCGTTAGAGTTCGTATTAGCAGAGAGCATAAAGGGAGGACAAGACATACCTTGGCAATCTTACTTCCCAACCACAAACATCGTCGAGTCCGCGGGACAATCACAGATGGAAGCTCAATCGAGCGCTCATCGTCTTCGGCCATTTCACTAAAGAAGCCCGGCGGGTAGTATAATCTACTCCAAGAAAGACCATGAATCAAAAAATCCTCTGGCAGTTGGCGCGACGCTCCTGTCTCCTGTGCAGGGAACTCTGCGTTTTCAATTTCGGAGATATTAGTATCCGGCGTGATCAATGTGTTCAAATACGTTGCGAGTCGTTCCCAAGGAACGTCCGCTTGAATACGGGTCATGCTTTCCGGGACCATTGCGAGACACCAAAGGAAAGCTAGAGAAACGTGGATACTCGGCAGCGTGTTCCGGTCACCGAGACGAGCAAGAACGCCATCCAAAGTGGTAAATGCAAAATGGGATGCTAAAGAGACCACCTCGCCACTACTGCTGATCTTTGCATCTTTGGATACCCGAAGATCGATGCCGACTTGGCGACAACTAGGCTTTTGCCAATGATAATATGCTTTCTCGAGAATATCTAATTTTGCCTCCTGGGTAAGCCCAGCCTCATTGAATATAGCCGAATTTTCTGCATCGTCATGACCATAGTCGAATATAGCAGCGTAATTAGAAGCCGTGATGTATACACCCTGTTCTCGGAATAGAGGACCAACTACACCCGCATGTCTATCAAGCTGAGACAAGAACTCATTGGCCAGTCTCAAAAACGTAGGGATATCCTGCCTCGTGAATAATATACCATGCGCTTCAACAAAGATAGTCAAGGCTTTGGGGTAGTATTTTGAATATTTTGTCGCAGCCTTGGCGGGGTCGAGGAGCGGTCCAAACAGGAGCAAGATACTATCACGCGCGTTGGTAAAAGGCTGAACACTAATTAAAGCCTTGGAATAATAGAACAGCTGTTGTAGCACATTTGGCCTAGCGAGCACTGCTAGATGATGCTGGACCCGGCCGATATCTGGATTAAGGTCGGCGGCCTTGGTATACCAGTACCGAGCTACTCCAGTGTAGATTTCTCTATCCCGCATGTCCGCCTCTTCAATCGCCATCCTGTAGCGTGCTAAATCTCCCAGGCACTCAATCCACGTCTCCTCAAATTGTGGGACACTCTCTAGCAAGAGCGTCATAATTGCATACGCCATACAGATGAAGGTGAGCATGTGATCAAGTGACAATGGCAATTTCTTTCGCAGCAGCTCCAAGAAAGAATGTATGCCGTATCTCCACATCCTCGCTGGCATCGAGTAGGCTTTGGCTAATCCTTTCAACGCATCGCTTGCCGCAGGGTGATTTGAGGCAAGGAAAAAGTCGAAATGCTCGTGCAAAAGTGTTCTATGCAGTGCAGTGAGGGCTTGCCATTGTAGTACAGTTAATTCGCCAGGGTTTTCGTTCTGTTGTTTGACAATCTCGATACATTTTTTCTCGACCATGACTAGCCCTGCGTAGATCGCTCTGACTTCATTTACTAGTTGCTCTTCGGTTATTGGATGCGTCTCAGGTTGCAAAAATATGCCACTGGCTTKGTCGACAGGCTGATAGGCGGCTGCTACCGGCTTCGCATCTTGTTGATAAAAAGAAGCAACAGAAACAGTACGAGAGTCTGAAGACGCGTCTTCATCATTTTTTGGCAATTGTGTAAATGTTTGGTCGAATACAGCAAGACCCTGGCTCAAGAGCACCGGAGAGCCATTCTCGTTGTCGCGTAGACTTCTCTGGGCCACGTTGCTTGAGACTTCATTGTCTTGACTCAAATAGCGATTCTGAACATGTAGCTCTTTGAAGCGAGTAGCAGCAGTAGGAGAATTCTCCATAGTACTTGATCTTTCAGAAGGTGAGAGAGCATTTCGGTATTGCTTTTGGGAGACTCGCAAAGAAGCCTCTGTGAGAGGGTTGAGATCATGGAGAGTTTCTGGTTGTGTTCCCGGTGAACTGGCTAATGTCAGTTCCGAGACAGAAAGGCAGTGGATAGGCAAAAAAACTTACCTTCTATTACTCATTTTTGCAAACTATCTGTCGGCACATATGCACAGAACACTAATTTTTGTATATGATAGTAATCAACAAAATGCCACCATGCAAAGGATCAATATAACGTGTTGATGGCCTAGGTGATGCGCAATGCAAAGAAACAGTAGTGACTGAGTGAAAGATCACAACGACAGCGATTGCACATGTTCTAAATCGCGTATATTCTCATAGAGTCATACTAAAAACCAGTCAGTCTTTTGGCACTCTGATTGCTGCCTCTGAGTCCGATCATCCGATTTCAGAGGCATGTTTGTGGCGTGTGGCGGTATTCCAAGTTGCCATCTGGTCAGGTGACGAATCACAAGAGACGGAAGGGTTTGCTTACTTTCAGACTCAGTAGGCCAGCTATATGAGAGCGACTGTGGTTTTTGTAGGTTCTGACAATTCAGATGAAGATTATTGAGCTGACTTTTATACATTTTGAGATCTGAATGTGAATTGTTACAGCAAGGCTGTTTGGAATTTCGCATTAGGCATTTGAGCCGCAAGTGAAATGAACACAGATGGTTCGCACGATGCAAGGCAACCGCTAGGTATTCCGTCCCTGCTAAATTCTTGCACCCGGGTTAAAACCAGTTTCGTAAACTGGAAGGAATTATTGTATTTATATTCGATTCAGCAAACACTTTAAATACGCCCATGGGATCGATAAATAGAATGTTTTCTGCAAGTTATCCTCCGAGGTCGATGGGCCTGGTTCTCAGCCTTGTCTCCACACTGCTGCGTCGGTCTTCCAAAACGCTGCCCGAATCAACATGACTAACTAAGTAGGCTAGATACTATGATCTAATCAATCAAATGGTAGCTAGTAGATGTGTTATGTAGTGTGTATAGCTATATCTTGAAGGTATACAGTGTAATGCCCTGCCGTAGGAAGTGGAGAATCTTTCGCAACCTAAAAACCAGCCCCAATTTGCTGGTACCTGGTCAGGCAAAGTTTCAGAGTTTCCTTTCCTATGGACGGAGTCAAGACACGGATTTCAGCCTTACCTCTTTACGTACAAAGTGTACGTAGTACCGGACGAAGGTCGATCTATTAACCAAATTTGGTGTACGTAATGGTGTGTGACGCGTATCTGCAGACATGTTCACAAGCGAAGTATACTTGAGATGGGTCAGAGCCTCTAGAATCCGTGCACGGCATTCGAAGCTGTACGCTGTGACAGGGGTCTAATAAGGACACATAACCGGACCCTGCAAACATCGAAAGGAGCCAAAGCTAGATGTTGGCTTACTTACATGTACGCATATTACACGGAACCAAACTCAATGAAGGGTCCCTGCATCAGGATGAGCACATACCTAGGGTAACGTCGATATGATTATCCCAGCTGAAAGTGTACGTCGTACAGGATGATACATGGTCATAGGTATGTCACATGTATCGCGAGCTATAGTCAGCCTGAGTCATCAGGCAGACATTTTCATTCTTCATTAGACAAGGCTATCGTAGCCTTCTTCTAGCGTTCTCGAACAAGGTCATCTCACTTCTAGAAGTCGCCGACAGAAGGCAACCAGCGCCTAAGCCCGGGTCGAGGTGATGATGGGAAAGGTGAACGGTTTGTGTCGGACCGGCGAGCTCCGCAAGTTCGAAAAAAGAATCATTATCCAGCATGGCATAGGCTTTGGTAGGCATTGTGTGTCTGTCTCATGATAAGACCTTGGGGTTTAAAAAGTAGAAGCCGATATGGCCTCGTGAAACGAAGCCATGTCCTATAAACCAGGCTGCCAGCCTCAAAGTTGGCCGGTAACCAACCTCAAGGTGTTAGTAATATTTCTCTTCGTGGAAGAAATCATTGAAGCCCAAAAAAAGCAAGAAGAAGGGGCCTGCTTTGCTTTTAAACAGAAGTATGAAAGAAGCAAAACCAATGAGCTTTGTACCTGAGCGTAAGAATATCGATTAGACAACAAATTTATTCATCCACCACAAGCTCTTATCAGTCCGTAGTGGTCTTGCTGAGGGGCAGCGAATAGCTCATATATCTGGGGTTGGACGAAATAATTCGCGCAACTCCGTACTTGGCCCATCGTTCAATCTCCTATGGTAGGCTGACACCCACGTGTGCATTAGTGGGAGATTGCCATGTGAGGGATTGCAGATTTGACAAAAGAATTAATCTTCGGCGTCTTTGATCAGGAATTGAGAGAAATGCTGGGAAAGTCTTGTGAAGGTTGAGGGACGTTGTTGATTCAAAGTTGTTAATCTTGGGAGATGTGGAGCGAAATTACTATTTGGGCGGCCGTCAATGGGGAAGCGGGACCTTGGTGAACAAAAAGCCCTAACCCTAGGATATCTAGATCGCGACATAGCGAAAGTTAGTATGGTAGATGCGGGATTTATCTCGACGATACAATTTTGCTTCATTGTTCCCTGTGGCTGAGCATGGATGAGGGATTTACACACTACAGGAGAATATCTAATCCAATTAATTCTTGGCTCAGTAGGGCTACAGATAAGAAATATTCGATTGATTGGTTTTCTGCAATAACCATGTGCTTGACGTTGGTTGATCTTAATACGAACTATAGAAAAATTTGAGCTATGAGCTCAGGACTTAAAGACACTCGACAAGCCCGCTGTACTGCAGTTCAGTGTCGGTCGCATTGCTTTCTCCTCCTTCCCGATAATTCAACTCCTTGGCCATTGCTTGGAAGCTTTAGAAGTGATGGGCAGTTCAAGCGAGTCCACCGATCAGATTGATGAGCAGATCTATATGCCATCCACTGGCGGTGGTGTTTTCTCCGCAAGACACCCAGGGCATGAAGACAAATCCCTGCGTCGCCGGTCTACTGTCAAAGACGGAGATGTCGAGACGGCGTCTGTCAATGAGAAGGATGATTGTGTCGACGAGAGGGACTTTCACAAGAAGCAGACCTTTAGTGGATGGCAGCTAGCATGGTGAGTGGATATCTTTGTGAGAATAAGCAGCTTGTTTCTTCCAGGCGAAAGGCTAAGGAGATCGTGTATAGGCTCGCCTATCAATCACTCGGGGTCATATACGGCGACATCGGCACAAGCCCTCTATACGTCTTTTCGTCTACCTTTAGCGACAACCCCAGCCAGGACGATGTTCTCGGTGCCACATCCCTCATCATCTGGGCCTTGACCATCATGGTGACTATCAAGTATGTTGTGATCGTGTTGAATGCCGATGATGAAGGAGAGGGTGGTACTTTCGCGTTGTATTCGCTTATATCTCGATATGTAAGTTGGGTCTCATCTGGGAAGCACCAGTTGCACAGCAGACGCTGATTGAAGGACCGATGTAGGCCAATCTGATTCAGCGTGACCCCCGCCAACGCAAGTTGGTTCGTATAGAGAGATATCAAGACCAAGACATGCCCAAGCCCAATCTTTTCATTCGTTCTTGGATGGAAAAAAGTGTGACCATGGGGATCATATTCAAGGTTGTGGGTGTCTTTGGCGTGGCACTTCTACTGGCCGGTATGCTTATCAAACACCAATCTAGACAAAGGGTTACTCTTGCTGAAAGGAATTGATTTAGATGGTATTCTTACCCCAGCACAGTCACTGCTTGGAGCAATTCAAGGGTAAGCACTAACCCATGGCATTCGCTGCATGTGAGACTGATCGATGAGGGCTGGTCCAGAATAACCGTTGTCAATTCCAATATCTCGCAGTCCACAGTCGTCGGTGTTTCATGCGCCATTATCGTCCTGGTCTTCCTTATACAACCGTTCGGAACGGGGAGGATTGCTAACACGTTCGCTCCAATCGTTATACTGTGGATGTTCTTCAACTTGAGTTTTGGAATCTATGTAAGAGACTGCTGAATCCTATCGTTGTGAGTCAAGTGGTTGACAATGATGTGCATAGAATCTTGTTCAATACGACGCTTCTGTCTTCAAGGCCTTTTCACCATATTTTGCTGGCGCATTTCTTGTCCGAAACCGACACGATGGATGGGTTCAACTAGGAGGAATCTTGCTTGCTTTTACCGGAGTAGAGACACTATTTGCTGATCTCGGTGCTTTTTCCAAAAGGTATCGTGGTCTAATATCGTATTGCCAGGACCTAGCAGGCTGATAACATCTGAAATAGAGCCGTGCAGATTTCGTGGCTGTTCTTCGTATATCCATGTCTATTGATATCAGTCAGTTGAAGTACCATCCATGTCAAACTCATTGACTAACTTTGACATAGTATATTGGACAAGGCGCCCATATGATGGTTGATCCGACTGTTTATGCCAATCCATTCTATTTGACCGTTCCACCGGGGATGCTCTACCCCAGTCTGATCGTAGCAATTCTTGCTTGCATTGTTGCTAGCCAGGCCGTCATTACGGGTTCATTTCAGGTATGGCTGAAGACTGCATCTTCGAACATACATTACTGACAATCTCATCACAGCTTCTGTCTCAAATCATGAAACTTTCGTACTTTCCTCAAGTCGAAGTTGTTCATACCTCGAAGTTATTCCACGGGCAGGTCTATATCCCCCTGGCGAATTGGATCATGATGATTGGAACAGTAATTGTGACGGCCGTCTATACGAATGTAAGCATGCTTGTTGCACAGCCTCATGAAACCGAGCCCTAACAATTCCAGACCACTGCTCTTGGAGAAGCCTATGGATCTTGCGTCATTTTGGTCTCCTTTTTGACTACCTGTATGGTCGCAATCGTCGCCGTGGTTGTTTGGAGATTCCCCATATACCTTGTTCTTCCAGTTTTCATAGTCTTTGGTCTTTGGGATGGCATGTTCTTGTCATCTGCACTCAGCAAAGTTCCACATGGAGCTTGGGTCACTCTCATGATTGCTGTTGCCTTGACCCTGCTTTTTGTGTTATGGCGCTATGGCAAAGAACGACAGTGGAAAGCCGAAAACTCCGACAACGTTCCATTATCTCAGACGACAACATTAAAACAAGGTCAACTTGCTCTACAATCAAAATTTGGCGATTCCACGATTGTCCCAATCAACGGTTTGGGCATTTTCTTTGACAAGGCTGGTCTTTCGAGCACCACCCCGCCCGTCTTCCTTCATTTTCTGCAAAAGTTCGGCGCGGCGCCTGATGTCTCTGTTTTCTTCCATCTGAGAGCACTCGATGTGCCTACTGTTCCACCAAATGAACGGTATACCATCGGTCGTTGCTTTACCTATGGCACGGAAGATGGTAGCAAACATGCAATTCCAAATACCTTCCGGCTGATAGTGCGACATGGCTATACCGATGAAGTCATCACCCCAGATTTGGGCGTTCTTGTTCTGGATTTGATCCGGGAGTTTTTGGACAATGAGACGTCTAAATCATCTACTCCTTCGGCAACTGACAACAGTAAGGTAGCAGAGTCAGAAGCTTTGCAACGTGCATTCAAGTCCCAAGTGATCTATATTGTTGGCAAGGAGCATCTTCGTATTGCGCCAGGAACGAACATTTTCAAGAGGCTTGTGTTAATGATCTTCCTGTATGTCCGCGACGTGACTAGCAACAAAGTGCAGCACTTGAATGTGCAGGCTGACCGGGTTGTGGAAGTTGGATTCGTCAAGAACATTTAGCGGTCAAATTGTCAAACTATTTTTTTTTTGAGCTTGAATAAAGAAATTCTAGAGTGGCAAGTGCAGCCTTTGGCAGTCATTTAATCTAGTACGAATACGGCATGCCTCCCTTCCTCCCGAAAAAGCAAGCAACTTCCCAACTTCTTCCCAACTTCACTCTCGTAGACTCTTTCTCTCCATTCTTATTCATCTGACATCGACCGTAACTCTCTCTGTTACTGAGTTACTCGAATTTGCTAATATACTGAACAATGTCTCCACGACTAGGATAAGCTCGCACGAATCCACATTCGAGAACTCAAAATCAACGGAACAAGATCAATTCGTCAATGCAACTCCAATGGCCCACAAATAAAGAGCGGTCTGCGCAGTTCACGTCGAATCTAACCAGATCAGCTAGTGTCTACGATAGCTTCGTTTGTTATAGACTGAGGGTTCTGCCTAGGCTTTGTTCTGTCAAATTGGCCAATTGACTCAATTCGGACCATCAGTCTGGCTTACTGTACCGGTAATCAGTCTAGAGTTTCGCATCAAAAGCAATGAGCTACATTTGAACGGGTTACCCTGGCTTCTTAGCTAAGGGGTATTGTATGAAACGATCTTACCTTCAAGTCTGAATAGGAGATAAGATTCAAGACCCGCTTTCTTACGCTCCACCTTGCGTACGTTTTTTCTGATTTTCGAGCCCGCAGGCTACAAACTCAAAGGGGCAAAGAGGACCCCCCACTGCCTTCGGTTTCGAGGCGCCACCGTGAGCGGAATAAGAATCAGTGAAAAATCTGCCTAGAACCATGTGTGACAGGCTGCCCATGCTAGAAGCCGGTGTTTGTCAGCGTTTGGGTCACCATAGTCTCCACAAGAATCTGAAATACGCTACGTTCTCCACTGACTACTCCATAGTAAGTATCTCAGGCTCTCAGCGGTCAGCATGCAGCCACTGATGGCGTGGATTGCATTGCATGTTCGAGTACTAGTATAGGTTGATCCAATGCTTGATAGATTGCCCACAATGCCCAGGCGAAGGCAACCGCATGATTAATGGGGCTTCTAGCTGAATTCCTCTCGAAGTTGCCTAGCTGGCAGCCAATGACAACAAATGGCGATGCTAGGCAAGTAATGCTAACTTTTCACTGGCTGCTCTCGATATTCGCCTGTCAGTATTATGACATTTCCAGCAATTCAGCCAGGTGTTCTATGAAATCGCTCCATTAGAGTCCGTTCAGCCAAGCCCGGGCGAATCGTCGGGTGTTGTGTTATAGGCTGCCCAAAAGCCTATTGGCTTTGAGGAGTGCCTTTGCATCAAAATCTGGGCTGTTCGGTCATTTCCTGGGTAACAGAGAGTGATTAATAGACCGGATTCGTTCCTCATAAGAGCTAGTCGGTTGCCTTGCATTCTTTGAATTACGCAGCTCGACGTTACGGGCAAAATGACAGGCTTTACCCAAGATGTTCGCCTCATTTCAGATCCTCAAGCCGATTATTACAAAACCTGAAAGATAATCATTTGTTACAGTGTCAGGTATGAGCAAACCTTACCCCTGTACTGTTCTGTCAAGTCTACTGCGAAAGTTGAGCTGCGCAGTATCAGGAAACCCTCGGTACTTATCAAGTACAATTAATCATCGTGGATGGATGACCTAGTCTATGACACCTTGACCTGGCTTACATCGGTTAAGGTTGGGCTTGCGATTGTGCCCGACAGTAGACTGCTTATATCAACCTCTTGGAGACCTCTTGTAGCTGTTATCAAATACACATGCTGTGGAAAGGCCATTACAGTACAAGATAAACTCCGATGGAACGATTTCGATCTCAGATGGGGGAATCACCTGTAACTTGAAGGTAGGGTTGTCAGTATGAGACATGATTTCATTGGCCGATTATTAGGGCTTGAGGCAGCCTTGCCATAACAAACCTGAAACCCTTCGACTGGAAAATGATAAGTTAGTACTCCTCATTTCTCAAGTCTGTCGCCTCGTGGCCTCTGTGATTCCGCAATATTAGCCCTAGGAAGACACTAGTTCCTTGGTGTCTATGGAGTCCACAGAGAAGGACACTTTCTGGAGGCTCAATAGACACATGGTATAATAGTAGTGTTTCCGAGTTGAGTATCATATCTACTGAGACAGATTTAAGGGTTTCAAATGTTATTAGGACAGACTGGAATGGGGTATGGACCAAAATAACTCGTTGCTACGACCTGTTCAGCACCAACGTTGAAGGTACAAACTCTGAAACCCTAAATGCCTCTCCAGGTACATTCGAAGTTAATCTTTGGTTATCATACCTCTTACTATGTAAGTAGAGCGTTGACATGGCTGCTTTTCTGCGTCTAATTACTCGCTCAATATCGAGTCCGCATATGTAATGGGCATTTTGTGTTCTTGACTATGCCGGATAAAGTCTAATTAGCTTCTAGAACGGTCAAAACTAATGAAGAGGTGTCAACTCGGCAGATCTCCGGATTGTATGATGTCAAACCAGACCTTTCCTGACACATACATAGCCTAAGACATGCGGGGATATACATGACCTAGGTAGGTCCACTATTGTTAATTCGATCCCAGAGGTGGTAATGACTCGATTGACGATAAATATTCGGGTTGGTGTTCAAGGTGTTGCACCAAAATAGTTACATCAGTATCGACGGCTATATAAAACAGGTTTAGTGACCATATCATAAAGCAAACAGTCAGTTTGAATATATGACAAGGTATGGCTTGCATCTAGCATGGGCCAGATGGACCTGGACCGCTACCTATCCAGATTCATACATCTGGAACCATGATATATATATTCATGGATGAGCAGCCATTCCGAGGTCGTGTCGAGGCACCGGGATGATGAATTACGTGGATCAACTGAGTGATTGTCTATCATACCATAGTAATCTAACGGGATGGCTATCATACTACCGTGGTCATAGCAGCAGATGAAGATCCCCAGAAATGACGTAGCCAGTCACATGGGTGGCTGTCCTTCTTTTCTCGCGACCAGAAGGACAATCTTTCGATGGCTTTTTTCTTTCGCTTTCTGATATATTCAATATCTTACTAGTTGTATCTTGTACCTGAGATTTCTTCCCTTCTACCCTCTTCATATCTTCATTCAGGGACTAAGCGCAACGGTGTGACGTGCCACGTTGTGCCTGAGCTCGTCTGAATCAGTGAGCTTCCCCACAATCCGGTCGGGATGACAGTTGACTGACTCTCACTGACTGATCAGGGACTATTTGACTCACACACTCTTCAACCAGTCATCTACCAGAAGACAGGAAAGAGAAATGCAAATGAGAACCAACAACTGATTGTATACTTCTCCTCATTGCGGTCATCGAAGACTGCGAACAGGTACAGCTAGCTGCACCCCACGACAAATCGACTCAAGATCGATCATAGCGACCCAACTCAAGGCATTCAATGATCAGGCACCAGCGACACTCGTGGTCCGTCAACTGCCGTATCCCTAACCCTCTCTCTTCTTGAACCTTTGGAAGGACTCTCACCATCTCAGGCTCTTGTGCCTGGAGTGGATCTCGTAGACTTCGAAAGTGGGTATTCGGTCCCCGATTTTTCCTGACTAAACTCAACTGTTTGACCTACGTGCAAACATCTCCCACCGAACAAACGACTATCATTCTCAAAATCGCTCATCATTTGCAAGGAGTTATCTACAGTGGCAAACACGACACGACAGCTTCAGATCAGTGGATTCGGGCTCAACAAGGTCATCCAGGAATTGTCATTCGGAGTGAAAAGGGTCCACAATCCTTCGAGCGCACATGCATCCATCGTGCGGAGCCGATAACAGCGCACGTACTATCCACTAATAATCGGTCTATCAACTAATCTAACAGCCTGAGCCTATCGAATCAATAGACACACAAACCCCAGCACGACGCTACAATTCACAATTCACAATCTACCCGAGGCTAAATTACGTTCATCTTAACATCTTCTCAATTATCCGATTATCACCTTTTCATTCGGTTCAGCTTTCAGACTGCGGGACGGTTTGAGTCAAGAGAAACAATCAGCATCACACCAATTTATAAATACAACAGCAAACGAAAATGTCGCAGCCTTCGTTGAAGAGTCCGTTGAGCCAGGACAGCCATTCGGCCTCGTTTAAAGAAGTCCGCTTCTCGCACCCTCTCGTTCCTGTACGCCGTGCACGATCTGTTGCGTCCAGCAACCCCTACCTAGATTCAGCCTTTCAAGCCGCTCGGGCAGCCAACAAAGCAGCGAAAGAGAATACATACAGAGAACTGAGTGTTTATGTCGACCAGTCCCGATCGCTATTGGAAAGCCAGCGATTACATTTCGAACGTGAGCGATTATTATTCTCGGAGGAACGAAAGCTATGGGAAATGGAACGGTCATTGCTCAAATCGAGGATTGCAGAGCTGGAAGCCGCGGCGGGGGGAAACAATGTTCGATCGTATTCGAATCATTTCCGATCAAGTTTCAGTCTCAAGAGCGGCGGAGTAAGCAAAACCGGCTTATGGGAATCGAACGGATCTTCGAATGCAAGTAGAGATACACAAGAACACCATGTCTGGGAAGGACCTCTACCAGGATCACGCCGGCCAACCCGTGTTTTCCCTGGAGAAGATGATTTTGATGTGCAGTCGACATTGTTTTTGGCTCCAACTGAAGCGAATGGTTTCGGTTTTAGTGCTTCACTCGACGCCGCACTTTCACCCCAGCTGTTTGATCGAACGGGCCGTATCAGCATGCCAGTTCCTATTGAGAAAGTCGATAGTCAACTCGATGGAATTACCTTGAAGTCGACAGCGCTTCCGCCAGATGTGGTTGCCAAGGTTATGACACCTCCAACCTCCATTTCTCCAACATCATCACCCCCGAAAGACGAACCTGATGCACCTAAACCGGGAACTGATGGGAAGTCACCTCTCAAACTAAAATTGTCTGATCTTGGGCCGCCCGACGAAAATCTTGTTAGAAACGCAGGCCACACGCCGATGGCAATCCTTGGCACAGAAACCGAAGCCAGCAATCTATCGCCAAATGAAATGACGTTAGGAGAGGCAGAGATGGAGGAAGAAGAAGCCCCATTAGCACCTGTCGTGACAAAGCAACCGGTGGAAAATGGAGATTCTTACTTTCCCGTCATGGAGGTTGATGAGGATCCAGCCTTGCAGGGACCTCTCACATTAGAAAACAACGAAGGAGCCGACAGCGCTTTTCTCTTACAGCTAGACCAGAAGCTCCTTGATGAAGCTAAGAAAGTGATTGGAAGGTCATTCGCTACGGAAGAAGAAGTGGATTCGGAGGATGACACCGCAGGCGGCGACAACGAACCAGATTTCGAGTTGAAGCTGAAGCCTTCGACTAATTTTGGCACTGCTTTTGGACAGTGCTGAGCTGGCTTTGCATTAATCTTTCCCTGCATTATACCCCTATACTTAAATAGCCGACTGAAGCGGGTCGATTTTGGCCACCATTCCCTTTTCAATATTGAATGTCATGTCAGGGCAGAAGCTCTCGAGACTCGTAGTGCATGCTACATCATGGATTTGGATGGGTAGATCATGCACTCTTGTGATGTAATTTATATTCTGCCAATCTGTATGCATGTTTTGGGCATTGTACCCCTTTCTATTCATGATACCAGGACCATGTTATGTATACGATATGCCGTGTTGGAAATGTTCATCCTTTCACTTGAGATTGATACGTACCTGCAAGAGGTGCTCTTAGACGATGAGCAATATGATATTCATTCAAAGCGATCGAACTAATCTATCAAAACTCTAAAACGGAAAAGTAAAGTGAGGACGTCCTAAGATGTCTTTCCCCTGCATTAGGGCAAGCAACACCGAACACCCCTTACATCGAAATTGTTTCATTATAATGATATCACCATCCAAGCTCCTAATTAATATACTATTCAAGATAATCGAACCAATTAGTATTGTCTTTGGCATCGCACTATTGATTTAAGCATGACGCTGGGGATTGGTCTTCAGCATCATGCAGGCAAAAGAGCCGCATATTGATCGTTTTACTTTAGAGGCCTGTCATCCAAAACCAAATCACGATCGACCATCGTATTCCGTGCTGCCTTGCATGGCTCATTTTGTTGGATTGGTATCAGCAGAGAGTCTGTCGCTGTGATGCTTATGTCCGTTTTGGGTCGAAATTGTCCAACACGACGAAAAGCAAATCCGCCATTCTCCGAAATCGAGCCCTGGGTCGTACTGGACATAAAAGGGCTCGCAGGATCCCATTTTCTAAAATCCTTATTCATAGCAAAACAAGCAAGCAAGCGAACAGCCATTCTTTCAAATCTCCAACTATCAGTCACTCTTTTCTCGTTCCTGCTTTCGACAATTAAGTTTGCTTTTTTGAAACCAACTATCAAAATGAAGTACACAACCGCACTCACCTTCCTCCTCGCCTTCGGGCCTGCGACCAGCGTCCTCGCTGCTCCTCTGACCCAGGGACCTGCCTCAGCCCTGACGGCTGGTCCTGCTCCTGAAGGACAAGCTCCTCCCGGGGGACGACCCGCTCCTGGAGGACCTGCTCCTAGCGGACAAGCTGCTCCCGGGGGACAACCCGCAGGATCTACTGCCGGAGGGCAAACTGCTCCGGCGCCGAGTGGCTCGTCGTCGGAGGCATTGAATGGAGCCTCGATGGGAAATGAAGGTGTGTTAGACAAGGTTGAGAAGATTTTGAAGGATCTCGCCAGCGGTGTAAGCCTCCTTGGTCGATGCTAGTGGAAAGAAAGGTTGATGCTGACAGAACGTATAGCTGCGCAAGAGAAGCATCATTGAAGAAGTCGGACAGGCTGCAAAGTTGACCTTGGATAGCGTGAGTTTTACTTCTTACATGGTCATCCTAGCTTTCGCTAACAGTGCGTAGACCAGCAAGCTCCTCAACGGCGAAAGCTCCGGCAGTCAGAGCTCTTACAACACCCAGTCCACTGATCCAGATGCCCTGCCTTCTTCAGGTTCCACGACTGGCAACAACCAAGCTACCTCTGCTACAGGTCCAACTCCTCCAACTCCGCCAGCACCAGTGTCGAAGGGTTCCTCCTCTGGCTCCTCATCTGGTTCTGGCTCCGGCTCCGGCTCCGGCTCCCAACTCAGCAAACTCCTTAGTGGCCGCTCTCTTACTGACGAAATCGACCCCCTCAACACCTCCGGCTCAACAGCACCCATTTCCAGCTCCGCTGGTGAACCTTCTTTCCCTGGTTCTCCTGTCCACGCAACCAAGGGATCCAATCCTGTAGGAAGCGTCGCCCCTCTCGATACACAGAAGCAGAACACCGAGGAGGACAAGAAGGAGAAGGAAGGCCCCAACAACGGAACTGCTGCCACTGATCCACTCTACCTTACACCTGAAGAAATCGAGGCGCTGGAGACGGTGCTTGCGTCTCAGTCCCAGGGTCAGGCCAAGGGCAAGGGCGAGGGAGCCGGTGCCGGTGTGCCTGGGTTGAGCAACGCGTAAACGAGGGCCAGTAAGATGACGCTCGGACTAATGGACCTTCTCTTCTTTATCTCTTTTGATATTTTTTTATTCTTCTACGAGACGTTTTGTTGTTTTGTTATTATTACTTCGCTTCTTCGATCTCTTATGACTCATTAGACTACATTTATTTCGTTTCGATGTTGACATACATAGTTAGTTCACAGTATTTGTCAATGGCAGATTTAGGGTTTCTCTATCTTCAACCTCTCTATCTTCATCTCACAGGTTTCTTGGACAAACATATATCAAGGGCGTGAGTATCAAGGGCGTGAGTATCATTCTGACTTGCTAAATCAAATGCGTAAATAAGGACCAACTCCCAAACATATCTGCACATCATATTCAGTCTAAACACCCATCGTGAAATCATGCTCTATACCCGGCGTAACACTCGAAATAAATTTCAAAAACACAACCAAATACTGATCCACGCGAATCGCGGCCTGGAACTCGTCTTCTTCCGACTGACTGCCGTCGTTCTGAAGGACTTCCCATTCATCGCCCATCATCGCATTGTTGTTTGGTGAACTTCCGTCTTGGAGTTTGCGTTGTCGGTCGGCGAGAGACAAGTTTTTAGTATCGTCGACCAATCCCTCCAGACCGCTGTCGAATTTGATGTTTGTTGCCTCGTCGGCGGAACGGGCTTTCTTTAGCTTCTGGCGGCGGATCTTGAGGGCTGCGTCTGCGCGGTCTAGGAGAATCTTCATGACGGAGGCGTGTTGGCATGGATGGACGGTGGCCATGGGCACGCTGGTGTCGAACCAGGGGAAATCTTCTAATGTGACTGTTTTGTCTTTGTAGTCGCCGACAATGTCTTCCATCATTAGGTGTGGGGGTAGTGGTTCGGAGGGGGAGAGGTAGCCTGATAGATAAAGTCGGGGTGTGCGGTAGTAGTTGGCGTATGTGATGTAGAGATTATATGTTCGCAGGGGACTGAAGTTATCGTTAGTGTGTTCTAACTTATAGATAATGGAGACTTACGCTGTGGTCCCCGACTGGCCTGAGGAAGGATCACGAATAATAGCCTCCTCATCGTCATCGTCATCCTCCATATCCGGAATCTCATCCTCATCCTCTCCCTGCTCACTGACATTACCGGCCTCATCAACAGTCCGCACATCCTTCCTCTTCGCTTCCTGCGTATCGGCATACTCCCTCTTCCCACCTGTCTGTAACCATCCGTCGTCGTCACCGTCGCCACCGCTACTCCCCGGTCCGGCGCGAAGCATATCTTTGATGATTACATCCTCCTGCAAATCACCCGCGAAATTATCATTCAGCCGCCGATGACAAGGCACTCCACGAGTGACTAGATATTGTTTTCCGGGAGGTAGAAAAGGCACTCGTTGAGCGGGCGTCGATGCATCTGCCCATTGCCACGAGGGGAACTTGAAGACGAGATAATCACCGGCAGCGACGAACTCCTCTGGTGTGATTTTGCCGGTTTCGCGAAATGTGGATGTATGCGTTACAGGGGTGATCCAGTCGCGCCATGTGGACCATGTTTGGTGGATGAGGTTTTTGGACATATTGTCTCGCCTTGTCTTGGAGATGGCGATCGCGATGGCGTATCAACCGTTATCGCGAGTAATGCGGGGTAGGTTCTTTATCAAGTGGTGTCGTTGGAGGTCTGTATTGGATTTGGTGTTGGCAAATGGATTTTTTGACTTGGTAAGACGGTGACTCGATCTTTGAGAAATGAAAGAGAGTTGATGTAATGAAGGAGTAGGCAGATGATGAATGGGGAGCGAACCTCGTGAGGGGTCGGGGATGAAGGCTCGGGCTGTCCAGGCGGTCTAGCGGGTGCCTACAGCATGGCTCGCTGTTATTGGCGTCACCATGGGCTTCAACTACTGTACAGTACGCTTATTTCTCTGAAAAGAATAAATACTGGGTGAACATACTCGGTTTTTCGTATTCTGGCTGTTGTCTGTGTCTGTAAAAGTAACAAACCATGCTTTGTAGTCAGCTGACTACAGCTGATGCTGATGTAGATTTAGATGTAGATGTCACCTGCATCCATCACGTTTCGGAAACACCAGCATTACCACTGTCCCAACAATTGTCAAAAGACATGTGTATGGAGCATTTATGCCAGTGATCTGTCGCTCTATGTCATGTAAAGAACCAGCTAGCAGCAATTATCCATCTTGTAGCGCCGCGAAGAGCTTAGAGGCGAAACTCGTAGTATGAGCTCGTTAGCGATAGTAGGAGCTGTATATCTCGCTGGCTTTGCCGAGTACAGGTTTGACATCTTTCGTATTTGCAAGCGCAACTCGAACCATCAGTTGAACAAAGCTGACAAGTACCAAGAGTGTTGCAATCCGATCGCATGAGAGCTCGTGCTCTCATGTCCCAGTCGTAGTTCATTCGCCTTCTTGTGACTGTCGTTGCTGAAGTTCCTTTTCAACACCCTCAACAACCAGAGGTATAGTCTTGCCCTTCCAAGCTTCCTTCTCCGCCTTCGCAAATTTTTCCATACTGTTCATCGCAACCACCAAGAAACCCAGCTCCTCACGATCGACATCAAACACCTCCCACCATTCATCTTCCGCTAGTTTTACACCAACTTCGCGCGCAGCAAGGTAAATAGCGGCAACGGCCAAGGCATTAGGCTGATGTGTTACATAAAGTAACTGCGGCGATAAAAGCGACGCATTCAGATGCTCAAAAACTCGTTTGCCAAGAGCGCTCGATGCCGCATTGATGGTTTGTAGATATGTAAGCGCAATCGTATGAGGAATAACGACGTGAGTGTTGAAGCCGAGAGTACGAAGGATTATCGTCTCTGTTTTAAGAAGCGTCATGCGCTGAGATTGATAGCCTCCCTCGGAAAGGTAATAGGTCTCTGGTTTGGGTTTGCCGTCGACACCGGAGGGATTGACGAACCATAAGGGGGACGCTTGTTTCGATAAAAGGTAATTGTAGGCGTTGAGAACGGAGCGAGGCGACGTGGGATGGAAGGATAGCTTGGCTATTAGATAGAGAGAAGCTGCAGATATGTCCTGTCGAAGTCAGAATTTGATCCAATAACTGGCAGTTCAGCGACTTACCTTTGCAGAATGTATCGCAAAGCTTCCACCATCGGGGCCAATCCAGAATCGTGTGAAAATCACGATTGACTGAGTAATAGCATCTTGAGGAAGCCGTAGCAGTACACCAGCTGCTTGCGTGAGTAATGCACCTGCAAAGCGAATTGACGATTCTAGGTCAGATGGAATGCCATCGAGAGAGGAGGACGAGCTCGATAATTGTGCCGGTGTTGCGAGAGCATTGGTGAGGCTCTCCAGGGTGAGAGCTGAAGTCATGGTGGTGGTGTCTAGGAAGAAAGAGCTCAATGCGAATATTTGTTTAGGCGGAAAGCGGCGCTGCCGATCGTCGACCTTAGATCTCACAAACCACCGCCACCGTTCTATTCGAACCGACTGCTATCGTGCTCTGCTTTGACAGCTATGATACAACGTGCTCTCGAACCAACGGAGTTCAATCCTGAGCGTATCAGTCGTCGATGTTTCGAATTGCAAGATGACGGCCTACGCGCTGATGTACAGCCACATCACCGAGAATGCTTTCCACCCGACTGTGGCGGTGCGTGGTATCGCCAACCTGAACAGGCAGAACACAGCCTAGCTTTGTTCCGATGTCTGACTGGTTGTTGAGCGACACTGCATTATATTCATCTGATGTCCAGGTTGCTCAAATTATTGGTTCGAGTGCATGCCAACACTGTCTCGAGTCAACCTAACGCACATCGTCCGTGGTTTAAATGGGAATCACTCAGATCGTGATATCTTGACTATATCTCGACTACTTTGAACATACTCTGTATCTTAATACTGCGACTGACAAGATTAAGCTTCTGTGGTTAAAAGCCATTTCAAACGACATCACGCTCGACTTTTGGCATGTCACAATTTCCTAACACGCCAGAGTCAATATTGCCTCGCTCTGACTCGCGAAACCCAGCTTCAACATGTCGAGGTATCACTGTGAATGGAAAGCCATGTCGTCGCACCTTGGCAGCCTCCACTGCTCCGAAAGGAGTCGTTGCAATACTGAAAGGCCAGCGGCAACTTGACCCGACTGTTCTCTACTGCTGGCAGCATAAGAATCAAGCTCCACAAACACTTGATCTTTCAGTCCGGAGCAAACAAGCACAGGTCACGGCTGTAGCTAGAAAGACTAGCATTGAGAGCTTGGTGGAGAGATTGGGAATACTCGAGGTCAGTGATGGCCAACGTCAACAAGGCAGTCATACCGAACGGGGTGCCAGACATCAGAGGATTCAGTCCGACAGAAACTCTAAGTCTGAGAGAAGACAAGTGCAACAAAGCTCATTGTGCTGTTTCACCACAGTGGATGACTCCGAATATTCGCCAGCAGCAAAACGAGTGAGTTCAAGATATGGGCATTCACAAGAAAAGCCCTTAGCTTCTCGACCTCCGACAACACCACAACGGCCTGTCTTTGTTCGAGATCCCCGATCAAGGGAGTCACCAACCATTCAACAACGGTCAGCTCCAGTTACACCACGGCGGTGGTCCGAGACCCCACAGCGAGCAACTCCACGAAACGATCGATCACAGTACCTAGGGACACCTACCAGACCTTCACTTCCGAGCACACCCAATTCACAGTCATCACAAACCCGGCCATTATTGTCATTGATACCGGAGCATCTCAGTCCTCAGACTACAGCGCTTTTGCTGACCGAGCTCTCGAAACCAATTTCAAGCGCAGATGATGAAGGGTACATTTACATTTTCTGGGTGACGCCTCAGAAACCAGACTCGGTAGAAGCGCCGCCGCGAGACATTGCTTTGAACTTACTCCCGCCTCCGGGTCGACCAAGCCATTCTCGTCGGACAAGTGATGCCCTGCGCGCCGCACAAGCGATTGACCCTCGCTCCAAAGGAACTGCTGGTCAACCAGGAACCATTCGTCTTAAGATCGGGCGCACAAGCAATGTCCATCGCCGGTTGAATGAATGGTCAAAACAGTGCTCCCACAATCTCACATTGATCCGCTATTACCCCTATACCAATTCCTCACCATCACCATCACCGTCTCCCGCTCGGAATCCGGATAGTGGACAATCCCAGGGACACGGCCGACGGGTGCCTCATGTCCATCGTGTCGAGAGATTGATCCATATTGAGCTGGCTGATCAGCGGGTCAAGGGCGAGGGCCCATGTGCTCAATGCAATAAAGAGCACAGGGAATGGTTTGAATTCAGTGCTACCAAGGATGCCTTGAAGATTGTGGATGACTGTGTCAGACGCTGGATTACATGGGGAGAGCAGCATACATGATGATATGTCGATACGAATATTAGAGAGTGCATGTTTGGTGTTTTGTTTAGCATCGGAAGCGTTGTCTTTTGGTCATGCGAGTAATCGTTCACATACCGTACCGGTTTCGATTAAATCAAATGAGATTTAAACTCATCATTAGGATTTTGCGTACACTTTAGATAAGTCAAATGAAGAATAAAAATATTTAAGTTCTTATCAAGTCTTCAAAGATATGATATCGGCATGTGACTATGACGGAATTCTATTGGAGTAAGCAAACCAGACGGAATCGTGCATCTCCAATTTTCGCTTTACATGATCTTCAACACAACAATATCGAACTCCATGATGTCTTCTTAACATTTATTATTATTTTGGGTATTCAAGTTCTTCTTCTGTATTTAAGTCCTGCATTTGAGCGATCGAAAACAGCATGTCCACAGAAGCGTCACAAAACGATATCATGTCTACAGCCAGGTCGAGACTGGCTGCGATCTTGCAATCAACTTGGACCCAGGTCAGCACAACAGTTAATGAAAATTTACCGCCCGAGACTCGAGAAAAGATAAAGCAAAATCTGGTTGTCTTTGCACGATCACGTCCCATACTTGCCACGCTTATTCTATCACAACTCGCATTCTCGGGCATCCCACTGCTCTTATTCATCGTTCTTACCGCCGGCATATTCATCTTCAGTCTGGCCGCCGCCCTCGTCTTGGGTGTACTCAGTGCATTGATGGTTACGCTGTTTTGCATGGGATTGGGCTCATTGATTCTTGTTCCGACCTTGTTTGTCACTACGCTCACGGCAGGCGGGATCTGGCTTTGGGGCTGGGGKTTGTATTATGTTGTGCAATGGGTTGGTAGTGGTGATACGGCGCTGTTGACTAGGCTCAGCTTGCTACTGATTCCTCAGAGGCCGGAAAAGCCGGAGAAGTCAGAGAAGTATGGGGGAAATGGATATGGCGGGCAAGATGTGAAGGTGTCATCCGAGTCTAATGGACAGTTTGAGAAGCAAGTCAATGAAATCTGAGCATGGACTGAATCAGCAGTGTCAATATGAGTCATCTTCTTGATTCTCTTCTAGCCAAGTAGACAGAACATAGCTGAACAGTTTGTTCAAGTCCATACACTGTATAAAAAGTTGTAACAGTGTCCTCTTGCTGATTGGCGCAGGGCAGCTGCTAGCGGCTCCGCGGGGAGGGCTCAAGGCGGCCTAGCGCAGGGAACTGGCCAGCAAGGCAAGACACACTTTCCACCTCGTCCAAATCTCCCCTTCCTGAATCAATTCCTCTGCTACTCTACGCATATCTATCCTTTTCCTCCGATCCCTCCTTTTATAGTTTCCTTTTTCTCTTCTCGGCCCTGGTCGATACCAGTTCTCACTCTTTCTGCTGGGATTGAAGTACAGGTTTCTTCTTTAATCATTTAATTCCCCTGTTGACAGCACAACCGTCGCCATGAGCGGACGTGAGTTCTCCATCCCAGCACGCGACCAGCCATGGCTGTGGCCTGCGCGCTTCATACATCTATCAATTGATCGCTAACATGCCAGCAGTACGCTTCCTCGATCTGATCAAACCCTTCACGCCCCTCCTCCCGGAGGTGGCTGCCCCCGAGACCAACAAGGTGCCTTTCAACCAAAAGCTCATGTGGACTGGGGTACGTCGTTCATCGTCTGTCGCAAGGTGTCCCGAATATTGCTGACGATCTATGTAGTTGACCTTGTTGATCTTCTTGGTTATGAGTCAAATGCCGTTGTACGGTATCGTGTCCTCTGACACTTCCGATCCTCTTTACTGGCTCCGTATGATGTTGGCCAGTAACCGTGGTACGCTGATGGAATTGGGTATCACACCCATTATCTCTTCTGGCATGGTTTTCCAGGTATGTACTTAGTCGACATCCGACCAATTGACCGTAAAACATCCGCTAAATATAATAGCTTCTTGCCGGAACCCACCTCATCGACGTCAACCTCGACCTCAAGACCGACCGTGAATTGTACCAGACCGCCCAGAAACTCTTTGCCATCATCTTGTCCTTCGGTCAAGCCTGTGTTTACGTTCTTACTGGTCTCTATGGCCAGCCCAGTGACCTCGGCGCCGGTATCTGCGTTCTTTTGATCGTGCAGTTGGTCGTCGCCGGTCTCGTCGTCATTCTTCTCGATGAATTGCTCCAGAAAGGTTACGGTCTTGGAAGTGGTATCTCCCTCTTCATTGCCACCAACATCTGCGAGTCCATTGTCTGGAAGGCTTTCTCTCCCACCACCATCAACACCGGTCGTGGCCCCGAATTCGAGGGTGCTATCATTGCTCTCTTCCACTTGCTCTTGACCTGGCCCGACAAGCAGCGTGCCTTGCAGGAGGCTTTCTACCGCCAGAACCTCCCCAATGTCATGAACCTCTTGGCCACTCTCTTGGTTTTCGCCGCTGTTATCTACCTCCAGGGTTTCCGAGTTGAGATCCCCGTCAAGTCCTCTCGCCAGCGTGGTATGCGCGGATCTTACCCCATCCGTTTGTTCTACACCTCCAACATGCCCATCATGCTCCAGTCGGCTCTCTGCTCCAACGTCTTCCTGATCAGCCAGATGCTCTACTCCCGTTTCTCTGACAACCTTTTGGTCCGTCTTTTGGGTGTCTGGGAGCCTCGCGAGGGATCCGCTCAGCTCTACGCCGCCTCCGGTATCGCTTACTACATGTCTCCTCCTCTCAACTTCAAGGAAGCTCTCTTGGACCCTGTCCACACCGCTGTCTACATTGCCTTCATGCTCGTTGCTTGCGCTCTTTTCTCCAAGACCTGGATTGAGGTTTCTGGCTCCGCTCCTCGTGACGTTGCCAAGCAACTCAAGGATCAGGGTTTAGTCATGGCCGGTCATCGTGAGCAGAGCATGTACCGGGAGCTCAAGCGTGTTATTCCTACCGCTGCCGCTTTTGGTGGTGCCTGCATTGGTGGTCTATCCGTTGCTTCCGATCTTCTCGGTGCTTTGGGCAGCGGTACTGGTATTTTGCTTGCCGTTACGTAAGTACTTCGCATATCACCTATTTAGGCACCTCGCTAATTATATATAGTATCATCTATGGCTACTTTGAAATTGCTGCCCGAGAAAGTGACTTTGGCGCAGGCCTCCGAGGTCTCGTCCCAGGCAACTAAACAGAAATCTTACAACTTTCCCTTTAACGTTATATGGGACCAAGAAGGTTGTTTGAATTTCTCTTCTTTTTCATCTTCGTTCTGTCACACGAAAGACTTAACATTCTGTTTTCTGTTTAAATATACAGTAAAACAAATCATAGCATTTCGATTACCTACGGTTATGATATGATTGTCATACTATGGTCGGGTTGAGGCCGAAAAGTGTCCGTTGAAATCAATCATCTTTATGGTGTTGCTGTTTGCTGTGCATTGGGAATGTATTGGTCGTAGCTGTACAGTATGTGTGTTTTATGTTGGTTACATTTGCTGGTGTATTATTTATTTGTTTTTCTAGGTAAGTAGGGAATTGAATGTAAGAAGAAATGAATTGATATATATATATAAATTTCTATCCCGGAGAGACTCGATACACTGTCTAGGTATAGATAGCTCAAGTCCGATAGTCACCGTTAATAGTAACATACTCATGGCTAAAATCACAGAACCAGTACACAGCTTCCTCTCCTCCAAGACCCCGTTCCCCCTTCTCACCACCACCAAGATCAACAATGATCTCCAAATCCTCATCCTGCAATATAGCACTTGCGCGCTCCTCATCCACAACCTCAGGCTCCCCATTCACCAACAGCCGCAGGATAGGCGAGCCGTCGACAGGCTTGAAACTGACGCTCGTACGTTCGGGGACAACTGTGCCCTCAGTAACGCCATCTGCATATCCTACTGCGCACAGGATACGGCCCCAATTCGCGTCTCGTCCGTACAGCGCGGTTTTGACGAGCGGTGACCGCGCGATCGTCGACGCAATGCGGCGCGCGGAATCGTAGCAGGGCGAATTCTGGACGCGGACAGTCACGAATTTCGTTGCGCCTTCACCGTCGCGCACGACGAGTTGAGAGAGTGATTGAGCGAAAGAGGTGAGCACTTTTTGTAGCGCGGCGTAGTCTGCTGATGTTGCTGTAGATGGTGATGATGGTGCAGTGACGGGTTGGCCGCCGGCCGCGCCGTTGGCGAGGAATGCGATTGTGTCGTTTGTGCTTGTGTCGCCGTCAATTGAAATGGAGTTGAAGGAGCGGGAGACGGCGTGTAGCAGAAGTGGTTTCATTGCGGAGGCGTCGACTGGGGCGTCGGTGCATAGGACGCCAAGTAGTGTGGCCATGTTGGGGTGGATCATACCCGCGCCTTTGGTCATGCCGGCCAGACTATAAGTGATTCCGGGCGACGATGGCAGGGTGAATGTCTGGGAGATGAGTTTGGGGAATGTATCGGTTGTGCAGATTGCGCGGGCTGTGGCGAGCCAAGCGTTGTGGGTGTTGGCGAGGTTGGAATGGGCGGTAGGGATTTTGTCGAGGATTTTGGTTATGGGGAGTCTGTCAAACGTTTAGCTCTGTAGTTGGCACTGAGGGCAATGAAAATGTACCTCTGACCAATGACGCCGGTACTCATGACGAGAGTACTTGGCTCCGAAGTACCATTACACTCATCCACCTTCGTAGCCATACTCCGCGCATCCTCCAAACCACCTTTTCCCGTAACAGCATTCGCGCATCCAGAATTGATAACAACCGATTGAATCCCGTTGCCCTTCCGCTGCTCCAAGGTCAATTTACTAACCTGCACAGGCGCGGCTTGGAACTTGTTCGTCGTAAACACCGCTGCTGCCGCGGTACATGGCTCATCAGACGAAATGAGAGCCAAGTCTGGGTATTTCGTATTCGAGGCTTTGACGCCGACATGAGTGCCCGAAACGCGGAAGCCCTTGGGGTACGTGCCAGATGAGGGAATGTGTTTTCGTTTTGGTTCGGGGATGGTAGTGTCTTGGAGGATGTTGTAGAGGCGGATTTGGCCGCGGCGAGTTGCGGAGATAATGAAGGAGTTTGTTACGGGACCGAGAGGTCCTACTTTTGCGAGGAGGACCATTTTGTCTATCTCCCGCGCATAGGAAACGAGGACGGTCTTGTCCGAAGTGATATAACCTTCCCTCGCAGTGGTATGACTCACCGCACGTATCGCCTGGTGGAGTCGACCACACTGTATAGTAGTGTCCCTTGCTCAATTATAGAGTATAGCCAAATCTGAAATCAAGAAGTCAGTCGGAAAGTGTCTGATTGTGCGAATCCTGAGTTTTGTGAATTTATAGCTTCATTGTGCAGCTCCGAAATCGCTGTTTGTCTTTGGGGAACTCAATTGCTCGACAATTCGCGCATATATCACAAATMCCTCAATTTTATAGACTCACCCAAGCCAATAAGATAGAGAGCACTTCTTGCAAACCACAATTTGAGTGATTTTTGTCCCGCTTTCGCCTTCCTGAGTAAAGAAAGAAAGATAAGGTGAAATGCGATTATTTTGTGGATGAAAGACTAGGCCCAAACGGGAAAGATAGATGGCTTGAAGTCTCGCGCTCCTATTGGCTTGTCTGAAGGTCTCAGGCTTGTTTCCCTTGCAGCTTTCACGCATGCCTTTCTCCGAGTGCCCTTTTGAGTGTCCAGTCAAGGCTCTAGTTGCTTGATCAAGGGGATCGTCTAAACTATGGTATGCTGTTTTTCGCTCAAGGATATTACCTTTATCTTTCTTTTTGATAGGCAGGTTTGATCTTACACTGAACAATGAAGCGCAAAGCAGCAGATTCTCCGAATGGGAACCACGCCAACAACAACGACGATAATAACAATGACTTGCCCGCAGCGTCCACTCCGAAACGGCAGAAACGAGGTCCCGGACCTGATACAGCCTTGAGAGTGAATGGCCACGGATTGAATGGCGACGTCGTCACCCCGTCGAAACGAGCGCGAAACACGCCGAAAAAGGTCGATACGTTGACTGCGTCTGGGCTCAAGACGCCGACACACAAGGCAAAGGCGAAGTCTTTATTTACGACACCGAAGAAAGATGCTATAGCTACACCATCGAAAGTCAGAAACGCCGACCGGTCGGCTAAGAAGAAGAGTGCAAAGATACTGCTCGAGCAGGACGATGAAAATACCTGGGACGGCGCGGATAAGCTCGCAGAAGAGATTCTCGAGGACGACAACCCGAAAATAAATGGTGTGATTGAGACAACCGAGAAAGATAGCGAAGCTCCAGCTGCCGAACCGCCCGTAAAGCGCAGAGCAGGTCGACCTAAAGGCGCAAAGAATAAACGATCACCGACTCCAGAGGGAGACATACCGCCTCACGAACGATATTTTTTCCAGAATCGACCGGGGCCCCCGAACACGTCGAACAATAATCTGAACAAAGTCTCGCTGCTGGCACATGACGAATATTTCGAGTTGCTCGGCCGACACGATGATACCTTTAGCGAGGAGAAGGAATTGCTGCTCAATATTCATCGTCGCTCGTTTCCTCAATGGAACTTTGAGTTTGATGAAAAGTTTAATATTTGTTTATATGGATATGGCTCSAAGAGGGGACTGGKACAGAAATTCGCCGACTGGTTATATGGATCCAAGTCGCACCAACCTATAATTATAGTCAATGGCTACGCTCCGAATACCTCTGTCAAGGCGATACTCACTGCGATTGCGACTGCTGTATGCGGAGAGGATGTGCCCTCTAAAATCGGCGGGACACCCAGTGAGGCACTCGAATTTTTACAATCGGCTCTACAGTCCCGGAAAACGCCCATAACGGTATTAATCAATTCGATAGACGCGCCGCCCTTACGCAGACTTGCACATCAAGCGCAACTGGCTCGACTAGCTGCGCTACCTAATGTCAATGTGCTAGCTACTGTTGACACGCCCAATTTTCTGACCATGTGGGATGTCAGTCTACGCGATCAATTTAACTTTGTGTTCCACGACTGCACCACGTTTGCGCCCATGGATGCGGAGATGAATGTTGTGGATGAAGTCAACAATCTACTCGGAAAGAAAGGTCGACGCGTGGGTGGCAGAGAAGGAGTAGCGTTCGTGCTGAAGAGTTTACCGGAAAATGCCCGCAACCTTTATCGATTACTCCTTACAGAAGTCCTTACGCTACAATACAGCGACGGCAATGGAGGGTTCAGCGATGACGAGGATGGTCAGGAGCAGACTACTCAAACACAACAAAAAGGTAGCCGGCGTGAAGAGCCCGGTATTGAGTTTAGGATGCTGTATCAGAAAGCGGCTGAGGAGTTCATTGCGTCGTCTGAGATGATGTTCCGCACGTTGTTGAAGGAGTTCTATGACCATCAAATGGTCACTTCGCGGATGGATGCGACCGGGACCGAGACGCTTAGTATTCCTTTGTCGCGAGAAGAGATGGAGGGTGTGCTGGAGGATTTGGTGTTGAGTTAGTTATACCCTTGTATTTTTGACACATAGCATTCCAGCATGTAGCGATAGATTCCAGTGTATCTTATGAACATTTGACTCATCACCCTTCACAGTTGTAGAATCAACTGTAGTCCGCAAAACTAGCAAAAGCAGCAAACGCCATTGTTGACCCAAAGCTGACTTTGAAGGGCACATTCTCCCTTGTCGCGCGCTGTAGATCGAATCTCTTTACGTATTTTTGTAGTGTGTTTACAGGGACGATGTTGTATCCTCTCGACGCGGCCCACTATCACAGTCAGCACCAAAGTTGGTCGTGTAATTTGGCCGTGGTAAAGTTAGGAGACAAACCTCAATAAGCACAATACCAACCCCCAACACAAATACCAACGCCTTGGAGAATACTCTCAACCCTAGACCAGTTGCTAACCCCAGTACACTCCCCAGACTGATCTGTCGCATGTATCGCGCATTCAAGAGACCTGTGCCAGGCTGCGAGCTACCGGTCCGACCTTGTTTTGCAGCTAGTCCTGAGCCGGCAAGAGAATATCCCGATTCCGGAGAGGCGTTCTGGTTGTAATAGGGCGCGGTGTATTGGCATTGGACTGGTGCAGCGCGGAAGGGGGAGGATGGGACGAGGAGGGAGAGGCCAATGCCGGTGCCGATGAGGACGGGACGGAGACTTGATAAGAGGAACGACATTTTGATTTGTTTCTACTATGTAAGTAAGTAATTGAATATGCTGAATATTCAATGGGTGTTATGAGTGTAGGAAGTAGTGAGATCTCAAGTGTCTACTATGTGAGATGTAAGAAGAGTACCTAGACTTGACGTCACATCTGGAAGCCGAGCGAGCCAATCACACGCGCGAATTGCCTCAGGTGTCTCTAGCTCGACTAAGCCAGTTACGGCTAGCTCCTCTGCTAAGTGCCTGAGGATCTTTCTTCTCCTGCTTCTTCTTATTTCCCATCTCAGATCCTCACCTTGATCTTGCCTCCCTGCTCACTCCAGTCTCCAGCAAAAAGTGGCTCGGTACAGGCACTCTCATCGGGCGAATGGCAGTACCCGAAACAGTATATGGTGCCGCTTATCGATTGGCTGTTTGATCCGCCGTGTTTCCCTCGGAGAACTCTGTCCAATCATCGCCGCCTCCAAGAGGGTCGGGCGATCAGACATGATTTGCGCTGCCTCCGCGGGGTTGCACCACTTCTCCTATGGTCCTACCCATGGTTGTTTGACAATGTTTGTTCTGGACCATGTGGTAATATTTTTCTTTCATGTGCGGCTTCGGACGAGTCAGATTTTAGTGATTGATCGCTGGGTAGACTCGGATGTTTTCCGGAGGAACGTGACTCATCGTAGATTTATAGTCCCCGGTGAGGGGATACCTTTCACCTTTTGTACTTACATAGACCAAGGCATTTATCACAATCCAATCCATTCATTCATTCAATCTCAAATTCTCTATTCCACACCGTTCGTCTCTTTCCACTTCTCTTCAAACATATCACGCAATGGCTGCGCAACAGAACGGTGGCAATGCTGTCCCCGATTTCACCGTCAAGGCTGGTCTGGCTCAGATGCTGAAAGGCGGCGTGATCATGGACGTCGTCAATGCCGAACAGGTGAGCTCTTTCTTCTTTTCTTCTGGTAAACAATGCATTGACGTGTATAGGCCCGCATCGCTGAAGAAGCCGGTGCCGCAGCCGTTATGGCCCTCGAGCGAGTCCCCGCCGATATCAGAGTCGAAGGTGGCGTTGCTCGCATGTCCGACCCATCCATGATCAAAGACATCATGTCCGCAGTTACCATCCCCGTCATGGCCAAAGCCCGAATTGGTCACTTTGTCGAATGCCAGGTAGCCCCCTCCTTGTGGCATTCATCCTACTATGCTTGCTAACTGTACAAGATCCTCGAAAGCATCGGAGTAGACTACATTGACGAATCCGAAGTCCTCACCCCTGCGGACGACAAATACCACGTCAAAAAATCCACCTTCAAAGTCCCTTTCGTCTGCGGCTGCCGGAACCTCGGCGAGGCGCTTCGCCGTATCTCCGAGGGTGCAGCCATGATCCGCACAAAGGGTGAAGCAGGCACCGGCGACGTCGTCGAGGCCGTTAAGCATATGCGCACCGTCAATGATCAGATTTCGCGCGCTCGCGGTATACTCTTGGCCTCGTCGGACCCAGAGATTGAGCTGAGGGCTTATGCGCGCGAACTCGAGGTTCCGTATGAATTGCTGCGCGAAACAGCTGAGAAGGGTAGATTGCCCGTCGTCAATTTCGCGGCTGGAGGTGTCGCGACGCCTGCCGATGCGGCGCTCATGATGCAATTGGGTTGTGATGGTGTATTCGTCGGATCGGGGATTTTCAAGTCTGGTGATGCGCGCAAGAGGGCCAAGGCGATCGTGCAGGCTGTTACGCATTATAATGATGCTACGGTGCTGGCGCAGGTTAGTGAGGGGTTGGGTGAGGCGATGGTCGGGATTAATGTGTCGCAGATGGATGCGAAGGATAAGTTGGCTGGGCGGGGGTGGTAGTGTTATCTACTGCAACATTTGTTAGAGGTCCTGCCTAAAAGTCGTTTATATGGCGTTAAGCGGTGGAAAGAATTTTGTTCAGCATGCATGCATGAGATTACGACACTGGCGTGTTAAGATATAGATAGCTATATGAACATATGAAAACTTTGAAGCTTCATTTCTACCTCCCCTTTTCATAAAATCATAGCAATCGTAAGTCATACAGCCAACGTCATCAAGCTTGGTAGGCAAACCCTGCGCCCCGGCAATTGATCCAATATGTACGGACAATCTCTTGTGTTGCAGCCCCTCCTCTTGCTCCTAGTAGCATCGCCAGAAATCTCTCTTTTTCTTTCGAAAGTCCAGAAGGGGTCTGCTCGTTTGGACCAGCCAGTGAAGCCAACGACGCAGCAAGAAGGTTGCGTGCTTCGCCCTGGAATTTGAAAAGAATCTTCTTGAGCACTTCGCACAGATGGTTGATGTCTGATCTGGCGCAGGATCCGCTCACTTGTGTCATCAGCACGTGACAGAGGCTTGGGAGATATTCTTGAATCGCTCGAGATGCGTTCGTCATGCCATTCGTAGCATTTGGTAATGTGAGGACGCCGACCCAGAATTGAGAGGCTGACCGTAGCGGCAATGGTTCCCGGCCAGATAGCGCATTGCTGATGAAATTCAGGATTGTTTGCAGAACTGGAATTTCCATATTCATGTTAGGTGGTGGTGCAGCGAAGTGGAATGTAGAAGCAGCTGGGGCTGATGTCAATGAGAAGAGAATCTCATGATACTTTGGTAGTGACCGAGTCAGGAATGAGATTCCGCTATTTGAAACTTCAGGATCGTGACTTTGTGGATTCTGCATCATGAGTGAGAATGTCCAAGAGACATGAACGAATAATAGAGCGGCCTCCTCTTGCACTTTTCCTGGGTTGCTCTGATGCGAGGCAAGAAACGAGCTTGCCGTGCTCATCACCACGTCCGCCGCCCCAGCTGCGCCGAGTGGGACCGTTGTAAGAAGATGGACTGTAATTGCAGGTCTGAATACAAACGGCCCGATCTTCTCCGTGAAACCAGCTTTCAAGACTTCACAGATACCCTCAATGATCTCATGCTCCAAGGGGAAGCCGTTCAAGTATACCAAAAGGCACTGGCGCAATTGCTCTTGAAGAGGATGTGTGTCCCAAAATGAATTGTCATCCAATGGCGTTTCTTCGCTCTCAAGATCAATGACCTTGGAGTCATCGCTCCGAAGTCCTCGGCCTATTCCAGAGATGCACTTAAGGGCTAAATGACCACGAGTATGAGCAGACTCAATGTCTCCTCTCAACGCATCATCCCGTGCAGATGCTGTCTGGGAGAAGAATGGCCTGAGTAGTTCGTCTATGCAAGGAGCTTTTGCCTCTTCTGACGGGAGTACCTGAACAACTGCAGCTATTCCTTCAACGACACGCTCCAGGCTCTGCACGGTGACAGCTTGACTTTGTTGAAATTCGCTGCAAATCCTCAAGAAGACAGGAAGCTCAGCAACTAAAGCTTGGCAGCAAGATTTGCAAAGAGAACCGATAGAACGCGATGCATTGTTGGTACACGACCCAACATTCAATGAAGAAAACAAAAAGGTGAGGACTTTCGGCAAAAGGCTCGGGTTGCGCTCAAAGTAGCTTTGGTATTTACCAAGCATGTCAACCAGAGTTTGCCGAGTTTTGGTGGGTAGTTGATCGCTGTTAAAGCAGATCTCTGTAAATTTGTCTGATGTGAATATAGCATTCAGATGGTCAAGAGCAGCTTCCGAGCTGTCAACGGCTTCGGAAAGCTGAGACAAGCAAAAGCAAGCAGCCTCGAATTCGTTCCAATCTCCCACATCCAAAGCAGAAACAGCTTTCTGGCGGAACAGATCGAACAGCTCTAGACCCAACGTTGCATATGAGGTAAGCAGGAAATCTTCGGTGTCCCGCCTAAAGTTATAGAATTCGCTTCTTTCGTCAGCAACCCATTGGTCAAACTCTTCCTCTGCAGGCCATTTCAGTCGATTGTAAACATTGAGTACCGCCTTTGCAAGATGTTGGCGAGCCGCCTCAAGCCCTTCCTCTACGCCGTCGAGCAGTGTATCTGCTGTCTCAGTCCACCATTCTAAAAGACGAGGAGCTATGATATCATCAACTCCTGGATGACCAGGGCCTTGGAACAGCACATCGAAATATGTCAGAAGCACGGCATGGCTCGGCCCAAGACTGTTCGTAACGAGGTCGACCCTTCTGGATTGGGTATAAGCTTCGAGGAGGTCCCAGAATCCCATGGCATCGTCATCTTCATCTCCATCAATGAGTCTTTGTACTAGCTCCGCTCCTTGATTACCTTGAATGTAATTCAAGATAAATTGAAGGTGAGCCGGTTTCAGTAGACGATCTTCCATGTTGAGCATATCGGACAGAATTTCTGTTGCATGGTTACATAGAGTTGTAATGTCGACGCACAGAATTATTCGATCAACTGTGCTTTGTACGTTGTGTGACTCGGAACGGTCTCGAAGATAGATAGAAGTCCGCACGCTAATCCACGCCTATCCGACATAAGCCAAGAACAGCATAAAGACATATTTGACTTACACGACAAGCATCTAGTACTCCAAATCCAGTCATCTCAGTGACATCGCCCTCAGCTCTGTACTGATTCAGTAATACTCCAAGAACGTAGTTGCATAGACTAAAAGCATCTTCTATGCTTTCCGTAATAGGATGACCGCCGGTGCTAAACATATTTAGAATGTTTGTGGTCAAGCCGTGTGGTGTCACTCACCTCTTTCGAAGAAGCCCGCAACTTTTTACAGAGTCCTCGGCCAACGTTTGCGCGAAGGATAGCAGTCCTGAGATCTGTGTCTCGTTCAGGGCAGGTATAACCGTTCCCTCATAGTCAATTTCAGAGGACGACTCACGGCCATGTTGCCAGAAGAAGTTCGCAATATCCTGAATGGGATGAGTCCATGATTCGTCGGCAAAGAAGATAGCTATCAAGGCCGCTGAAAGTTTCCTAGTCACCAGTTGCTTTTCTTGCGATTCAATAAAAGTGACGTAGGAGCCAATCAGATATGTCTTGAGTTGCTGAATTGCGTCGGTAGAAAGGTCGGACCTTATAGGCATGTTAGCCGGAGACTACCTGGTTTTAGCTCTTAACGCACCAACTCTGATTTATCTTTACGATAAATGTCAAGGCTCCAAAGAACTTGGTGCTAGAATTAGGGTGGTCTAATAGATAACGAGCCACATCCCAGCCTTGGGGTGATTTTTGGATCTGTTGTAGTCTATCTTGTATTGATTTTATGTTGTTTTTAATAGTCCCCGTGGGGTGATTCAATTGATCAACCAACTAGTTGAATGTGAGACACATAGACGCAGGGACTTAGAGATGACACTTACTGTCTCCGCCTCTTCGAACAGTGCCTGAGGTTCTTGGGTTGGATTCAAGACGGTGGCGTGTCCTGCCACGTCCATGCTGAAGTTGATGTGGTTGAAGAAATGTCGAGGAGGGATGGCTGAAAGGGAAACCGCGTTTTGATAGCGCTAACGTAATCGGGTAAGGCGGGGTACTTTGCTAGCCTCCCACCACGCAGAGAATCATTACAATTTGATCTTTGAATTGAGAAGGATTCAGTGCTAGCAGCTACATTAGTAGTATATGGCGATGAGGCTACTTTGCCATGAAGCAACTCAGGCGGATGTCGACAGGATTCGGGTGCCGTAGCGACGCTGATGGGTATACTCCATGGTTCCTCATATAGAAGAATGTATAAATCTGCCAGGCTTCGCAATGAACTGTATACAAATCTCGATATGAATCATTTTACAGTATATGCAGTCGTGTACCTGGTGCCGTTATGATGTGTAGAGTAGTTAGAGTTATTGTCAACCCTAACCCTAACCGAGCGGCAAGACGCGGCGCTGCCACTTTCCTCCTGCTGCTCGGCCAGCACGAGACCAGCTACACAACCCCACCAGCTTGTCGCCCTTTCTGCTGCTCCCCCGCACGTTTATCTTCGAGGTTACTTTTACAAGTCACGCCCATGCTCTTCTTATGTCGGGCTTCTCCTCTCCTGCAGCGCACTGCTTTGTTGTCTCCTCTACGATTCTTTGCGCCCTCCAAATCTTCATTCAATAGGACATTCGCCAACACTGCTGTGCGCTTCTCGATCGAAATGGAGACAGTGGATACCTCAGAGCGCCTTGCGCAGCTTAGGGAGTTGATGAAACGGAATAACCTAGATGTGTACAGTGAGTCTATTTCTCTTCCCTGTCGTAGTCCTGAAAAATTGCTCACCCGTCGATTCAATTTAGTCGTTCCCTCCGAAGATAGCCATCAATCCGAATATATCGCCCATTGCGACGCGCGCCGAGGTACCTACAACTCGAATGATGTTTGGACGTATAGCTTACTGGCGACTTTTTTCATCTAGAATTCATTTCTGGCTTTACCGGGTCAGCAGGAACGGCCGTCATATCCTCCACCGCCGCCGCGCTTTCCACCGATGGACGTTATTTCAACCAAGCTGCCAAACAGCTCGATAGCAATTGGACTCTTTTAAAACGAGGATTGGAAGGTGTTCCGACATGGCAAGAATGGTATTTCGCGATCTACCTATATTACATAACAGGATCTCATGTCTTACAGGGCTACGGAGCAAGCCGAAGGAGGAAAGATAGTCGGAGTCGACCCGACTGTGATTACTGCTTGTACGATTGGCCTTGTATTAAACGCGAATCAGACACTGACTTACTGCTCTTCAGCAAGCGCAAGAAAACTATCAGAAACTCTGGAGAAGAGTGGCTCSAAGCTCCTTGGAATTGAACAGAACTTGGTGGACCAGATCTGGAGCGACAAACGTCCTGCTCGACCTAATGAAACGGTCAAGATTCATCCCGCCGAGTACGCCGGCAAGCCTTTCCAAGAGAAGATTGCAGACTTGCGAAAGGAGTTGAAGACGAAAAAGCGAGCTGGCTTCATCGTGTGTAGGTTATTCCTTGACTCGGTAGTCTATCTCAATGATATCATCCTGATCATGCTACAGCGGTACTTGACGAGATTGCGTGGCTGTTCAACCTTAGAGGAAACGAGTATGTCACCACCAAGACCGAACCTTTCACCAATAGCTAACGACGAGAAGCATCCCATACAATCCAGTCTTCTTCTCATATGCAGTGATCACCCCCGACACAGTAGACCTGTACATCAACGACGAGAAGCTATCGCCCGAAGTCAAAGCTCATCTTGGTTCAGACGTCGTCATCAAACCCTACGAGTCGATCTTCGCCGATGCAAAGGCACTCAGTGCGAAAGCCCCCTTGACTGAGAGCGGCAACCCCATGAAATTCCTTACCTCTAATAAAGCATCTTGGGCTTTGAGTCTTAGCTTCGGTGGCGAAAAGAAACTGGATGAGGCACGGAGCCCAATTTCCGATGCTAAGGCGATCAAGAATGAGGTTGAACTCAAGGGCATTAGGGATTGCCATGTTCGTGACGGCGCAGCATTGTCTGAATACTTTGCATGGTTGGAAAATGAGTTAATCAACAAGAAGTCCACACTCGACGAAGTGGATGGTGCAGATAAGCTTGAACAGATTCGCTCCAAGCACGACAGGTTTGTGGGCCTCTCGTTTGACACAATCTCCTCAACCGGACCAAACGCAGCTGTGATCCACTATAAGCCCGAAAAGGGGGTTTGCTCAGTGATCGATCCAAATGCTATCTATCTATGTGACTCTGGTGCTCAATACCTCGACGGCACAACCGATACTACCCGAACCTTCCACTTCGGTACGCCTACCGAGATGGAAAAGAAAGCATTCACTCTTGTTCTGAAGGGACTCATTGCACTTGATACTGCTGTATTCCCTAAGGGTACCAGTGGATTTGCCCTTGATGCACTCGCTCGTCAGCACCTGTGGCGACATGGTCTGGATTATCTGCATGGCACCGGTCACGGCGTGGGTGCCTACTTGGTAAGCCACATGTTGTTTTATTAGGCGAATAGCTACTAACATATATAGAACGTCCACGAGGGTCCTATTGGCGTTGGCACTCGCATCCAATATTCCGAGGTGTCTTTGTCACCAGGAAATGTGATTTCTGATGGTGAGCCTCTACTGGATGAATACCCTCGATACATACTAAGATCTCCAGAACCCGGATACTACGAAGACGGAAAGTTCGGAATTAGGATTGAGAGTAAGTTCTCCAAGCGTAGCGCGAGATGGCGATGCACGCTAACTGTGCGCAGACATCATCATGGCCCGTGAAGTCGAAACACCTTACAAGTTCGGAGACAAATCATGGCTCGGATTTGAGCATGTCACAATGACCCCCATTGGACAGAACCTTATTGAAACATCGCTGCTCTCGGAAGAGGAGAGACAGTGGGTGGATAGCTACCACGCCGAGGTGTATGAGAAGACTAGCGGATACTTCACGCAAGATGAGCTTACCTTGAACTGGCTGAAGAAAGAGACCCAGCTTTTGAGATGAATTATTCATCCTGTACAATCATGGAAAAGCATCAGCATTTGAATAGAGCGGGGCTTAGGATTTGTCTGTCGCATTTTCTTGCAATCTGTTAGGTTGAATGAAGGTGATCAGTAAATACATAACGGATAAGTAGTACATTTTGTGTCTATCTATAATTGTGAATGCCCAAAGATCAATTGATCAAGAGCAAACTCATACTGATCGTAGTAAATTGAAAGAGCCAATGGAGAGGTCTCGGGGAAGCCGCAAGCTCGTGTGGAGCTTCCCGGCGCCCGCAATGATCTGGCACTTGCATTTGTTTGACAACCCTGTCAAACTTCAAACTGCGCCAACCCATCCAATGCTTTGCAATTGTGACATACCGTGGACTCGGAATTTTTGACCATTATACCACCAGCGACAGCAAGGAATAATTAAGAGCTCACAATTTTGGGCGAGTTCGGCAGAATATGACCATTGCCAGGAGCAATCGGACCTAATTCGGCTCGTCGCAAAGATCGCACCACTTTAAACACATTTGGCCATTTAACCTCTACGCTCGAATGAGACACAGCATATAGTATCAAAATTACCTGGCCACAGATACTGGCATGAGTGGCCGAAGCCCCTACGCGAACGGATACGGATATCCCTCCGACTCGGGACGCTCAGAGAACGGCGGATATGGCAGTTCCAGCAGTCTCGGCGTAAACGGATACGGAGGTGCTAACGGAAGCGGAAGTCGAGAACGAGAGCCCCGTGACCGTGATCGTGAACGACGTCCTGGCGGATATGGCGGGTTTATGAGCGAGGAGCCGCAACGGCCGCCGACGTCGTCTTCGACTGTGTCGAGAGAAAGAGATAGAGATAGGGATTATGATCACGGGAGAGGAGAGCAGGATAGAAGGCCTTCGGCGACGTCGTCGTCATCAAGGTCACGGCCCAGGGACGGGAATACTGGTACGAGATGGAGACCGGGAAGAGATGAGGGTGATCATATGAGGCCGATGCCGACGAATCGTCCTGAGGCTGCGGCTGGCGGAGGACGAGGGCCTCAATCAATTGAAGGTAAATACAGTGCTCCAATGATCAGGGATATCTTTCTAATTTTTCTTCAGAGGTGCTACAAACGATCCAACGAAACTGGGACTTTATGGCTACGGATGACTGCATACCGGTACAAGTCGCATTACAATTGATGGACAATAGTACGCTGGGCAAGGCAGACCGCGAACCCGAGTTTTTACAGACTCAAAAACAGATACAAAAGACTTTGAGGAGTATTGTGAATGGTACGTTATGAATTCCTTTGTTGATTACGCAAATGCTCATATCAGCAGAGCATCACCAGGGATTCAACAGCTCCATCGGTACATACCATAAAATACAAGCCAGTATTCAAACTTCTCAGGGCCGGGTTCGCACGTTGAGGAGCTCACTTGAAGAAACAAAATCCGGACTTCTTACAACGAAACCAGAATTACAAGGTCTGGCGACTTCATCTCAAGACTACGATGATATATTACAGCTTTTCAACCAGATACACGAAGTGCAATTGTTGCCTGAGAAATTGGAGCAGAAGATATCCGACAAGCGGTTCTTGTCGGCTGTTGATATCCTCCAGGAGGGTCTTCGCTTGATACGTCGATCCGAATTTGAAGAGATTGGGGCTCTTTCAGATCTACGGTCCTACTTCACGAACCAGGAGACTTCTCTGACCGAGATTTTGATTGAAGAGTTACATGACCATCTATATCTGAAGTCTCCATACTGTCAGGATCGTTGGAAATCGTCAGCCACTGATGAAAAAGCGACTCAAGGATCTGCAAACGGCGCAACATGGGAGAGACCTGTGTATAGCTTCCTTGCCAAGTTAGATCCGTCGACACCTATGCTAGAGGACTCCTCTCGTAATCCGGAAGCGGATACGTTTCACTATATTAGCCTCATCATCGAAGCTCTGAACCGCATGGGTAACCTAGATGTCGCTGTGGACAGAATCGAGCAGAGGCTTCCGGTAGAGCTCTTTGCTGTTGTGGATAAGACGAGTGCGGAGGTGGACGCTCATCATCCAAATCTCGCGCGAACTCTTTTGTCCCAGGATAATAAAAGCGGACTTCCTACGGAAATCAACGAGCAGCGTGGTCCTGTGTTGACTGAATTCCTTTGGAATCTATATGCGAAATTTGAGGCTATTGCTGAAGGCCACCGCGTCCTTCATGATGTTATTGTGGGTATCATTGACCGGGAAAGATTGGGTAAAAGCACATTGGCCAATGGATTCAAGGAGCTATGGAAATTATATCAAAGTGAAGTATGTTCAAACGTGATGAAGTGTTGCTACAGTACTGACCGTTGAAAGATACGATCTCTTCTTCACGACTACCTCGCCACAGATGGCGATGATTCTTATCGGACCGTCCCACGACAGGCTGAAGCGAGACGGAATTTCTCTCTCAACCAAAGGGATAGGAACAAGGTAGGCTGATCATTGTTGAATTATACACAGAATACAAGCTGACAGAATAGAAAATGTTCAAAATGTCGGACATTGATCAAAAGTCAAGCGACATGAAGACGGAACGAGATGAATTAGATGAAATCCTGCGACATTCTGTACCTGGTTTGGTCACCAAAACAACCGAGCGAACCAACGGCGATGGCACCTCAAAGTCGAAACAAGGAAACTCGGGCACCGGCCATAAGCTTCTTATCCAGCCAAGTGTCTTCAACATGGGACTGTTGCTTCCTCCTTCGCTTTCGTTTATCCAGAAGCTCAAAGATATCGTACCCGCAGACTCGGATATTGTCATGAGCACCCTGACTTCATTCTTGGATGACTTTTTGATCAACGTCTTTCAGCCTCAACTGGACGAGGCTGTGACAGATCTTTGCGCTTTGTCTTTTATCGCTTCGGATGCATTTTCTGAAGATCCCAACTGGGTTACTGTGTCTCCGAAGCCAATTTTCAAGGTAAACCTATTGTTTCGTGATATGTTGTTGCTCTAACAAGAACATAGGGAACCATCAATTTCATGTCTTTGGTCAAAGCGTTTAGTAAAATGCTTGACAGTATTCCTCATGATCAGATATTCACTCAAATGGTGCTCAGTCAGATTGTGACATATTACGACAAGTGTTGTGGCTGGTACAAGGGKATGTTATATCAGCCTGCCAGATCGGATGTATACTAACGGTTGTAGCAATGGTTACGCGCATATCGTCTCCTATCAATGGAGGTACGCGACTAAAAACGCCTGCTCTGTTTGCTGATGCAGGTGAAATCCATGAGACGGTCAAGAAACTCCTTGTCGGGAACGGTGACAGGAAGTTGCTTATTGATAAGGTAGATCCAAGAATACAATTGAAAATCAGCTGTGCTAACAGTGAATATTAGGAAACCGAGGCACTTCTACGAGAGACAAGTGCAACTCCTCTGGATGAGTTTGATCTCATCTCTGATCCCAAGAATGTGGTAACATTGTCGCTATTGCATAACAGTTTGGTGAGTAGAGTATGCATACATCTGTATGGAGAATGCTAACGTATATAGCAATGGCTTGTGGGTCAACTATCAAAACTCAGATACATCACCAGCAATTCGGTCGACTCGAGTCGGAGCGAGTCAAAGCGGATGACGCATGCTCGCCGATGGACACTGATCAGCAAGATCAAACCGAGACGGGATAGCATCAGCCAACCAGTGTATCTACCGATGAATAATGAAACAGTGATCATCTTCGACAATACGCTACAATCCCTGCGCAATCTCGCGAACAATGCACTCCTGACCATGCAGATCGACATTCGGTGCAGAGTGATCTACGTTTTGACTAAGGCCATGGCCGGCCCGCAAGGCCCACAACCACAGACGGTAGACACGCCATCAACACCAGCGCCTAGCGCGAACACGAACTGGCATCTACTTCTGCCTACGTCGCCTACAGCAGCGTCTCCACCGGTGTTGGAGTTGAATAACGAACTTATTGCGATAGACACCAATTTATCTTCATACTTGGCCCCAAGCGAACGGCAGTTTATTACATCGGGACTGGCACGGTTCATTGACCAAACATTCATCTTCTGTACCCAGTACATTGGAGTTCTCAACCACAACGGTGCCTTGCGACTACAACTTGACGTCCTCGTGCTACAACAGAACCTGAAAAACATTATCATCGAAAGCGAGACACCGGCCGAAAAAGAGACTGAGCCGACTGAAAACGTCGCTCTCCCCCGTAGCGCAAAATTCCTAGATTGGTTCCTTGAAGGAGCGCAAAAGGCTCTGGATCACGCGAAGGAAGAGAAAGAATTGTTTGCATCGCAAGGTGACAAGGCCCTTGCAGCTGGTAACGGCGAGCCATTCACATATGATGAGTTGCGGGTGTTAATTGAGTTGTGCTTTTCGGAGATTATGCGCGGACCACGTGGGGAGCAGAACCGCGAGGATTTTATGGCTGCAAAGAGGAGTAATGGGGATGCGATGCTGAGGTTGAGTGAGGTGATGTGGGATAGTAAATAGGTCCTATGTATATATGTTGATACTCATAAAGGAATAGCAGTCAATTATTGTCTACCTGGTAGTTACCCAGTAAGCTCATGAAGCTTTTCCAAGTGCTTCTTTGGTGGCTTGGCTTGATGAGGATCTCCTTAGCCTGAGCTTGTATGTCTGTCTCCACGTGGGTCTAGACCCGTGGCAGTGCTTTACAAATTTTCAACTAAATACGGAGTACAATACACACTCAATACGAACCAAATACAATAGTCTCAGCCATCCCATAGAACCATGTAACGGTAGCTATCCAACAAACAACGTTTTGACTCAAAGTGGCACGTGAGTTGGCGTTCAGGCCGGAATTCAGAGCCAATCGTTCTGGCAACGTTTGGATTATGCTTGAAATGGCGGACGCCACTCATTTAGAGCATACTATGATGTATGTTGCAGAACGATCGTGTATGGTCACGGGATGCAGGCACTCATTATCATCACTATCACCATCGCCGAGTTTGCATGGGATTGATCAATCATACGGGAACTTTCCATTGTAAAAAACGTAGTTGTGGTTTCTCAGCAAACATAGAAAAAAATATGGTATTCCCGTAACAGCCAAACCAGTGCATATCTGCTTCCGGAATAGCCGTAATCTATTATGTATCCAATTGGACAGAAGAGCCGCCATGCTAATAATAGCGGGCAAATAAAGGGGTGCAAGGCTTACGACACCGTCTTCGGCTGTAAAGTATCAATATTAGATTATATTGACACGTATTTCAGTTACTCCGTTCTCCTCTTGTTGGTGCTGTCAAATCAATAACCGGAGTACGGCACTCTTCTAGACTCGTCGGAAAATATGTTCTATTGAATTGTGCCGTAAGTTTCACAGCCTAAAGTAATTAAGTACGTAGTAGATTGTCAGTGGTCATACTATGAGTAAATGAATCATGCGTTTAGACCGAGGAATCACGGCCAGATCGTGCATATATACATACACCAGGCTTATAGCACTTAGCCAGTATTTGTCTTCCCCTTAATGACTTTTCACCTTCAAGTACTAGGAAATCTCATCCATTCATTTCATTCGATTCAAATTCATAAGTTCATTCTTCAATATCAACTCCGCACTGGATCCGGTGCCTGTCGCTGCATCCGTCGCCAACCAATCACCGGCCGTTCTCAGGCAGCGCTTTGCCCCCTCCCGCCGGGCCCATCTGCTAACCTCCCTTTCCTAAACGCTGTCTCACTCTATTTTCTCCTTTCTCTCTGTCTTCTCATCCACGGCATGCCCTTTTTCGCTCGTATAGGTGTCGTATTCAATGCATCTGTCGGCGGTCTCTTCATCATGATGCCAGCTCGAACGGGTCTCCGATCCATCCTCTCGCTATCCGTGTTTTTCGTGTTATTTGTCTTCGCCTTTGGCGCATTCGAGTTTCTGGACGGTCCGCCCGACGGTCGCGTTGCCTGGGAATTTCAGAGATTAAACGATGAGGATTTGAGAGAGCAGGAAGCAAATCAGCGTCCTTTTGCTGTATGTTTTTACTTTGTGATATGACTTCCGGAAATGCGTTGCGCTAACTTACCCTCGTTCAGGAGGTAAAACTCAACTACAAGTCGCCTCAACAAAGATATCTCGAGGAGGCCAAAACAGTGACTACGTCAGTCGAAATCCATGCAAATTAGAAAGGCAACAAACTAACACCCCCCGCAGTAGCCAATTCAAAAACTTCAAGTCAACCTTCAACAACATCAAGGCCCCGCGCCCACCCTACAACAACTCCCGTATCATTGACGATCCCCGTGCCTCTGTCCAGTCCGCCGACATCGCAAAATCGGCCAAAATTTACCGCCCTTACCCTAACTACAACAGTGAAGAATGGAAGCGCACGCATCGAGGCGCCTTTGTTCCCTGTGTCGGTCCTCGTGGTAAAACTCTTGACGACAGCTGGGACGACAGCGTCAGCGTTTACGTCGGCGTTCCAGAAAGTATGTTTCCTGATACCTTGATAATATTATTGCAAGGCTGATTGGTATAGATTTCCCCGAGCCCAGTTTTGGTTCTCATGACGTGATCGGTGTCGACGGACAACTCTCGTACGATCGATACACCAGATACGCCGCCTACGGATACGGAGAAGATGACACCTCATCCGATTGGATTCGCCCCTCTAAAGTCGATTGGGAGACAGTGAATTGGGGGAAATTACAACAGGAATGTGTGCAAATTAACGCCGGTCGGTACAACACCACTGCAGCAAGCGACAATAGTGGGTTGTCTTCTTGGTTTGGCCGTCGATCACGCCCAGCAAATCTCATCAACCCTGAAGCACCTCCTGAAAAGCGCACCGCTATCCTCATCCGTAGTTATACCGACAAGCAATACTCCGAAAATGACAAGCAGGTTATTCGCTCGATGGTCCAGGAGTTGTCTCTCCAGTCCGGCGGAGAGTACGAGGTTTTCTTGCTGGTTCATGTCAAGGATGACAGCATCCCTATCGACCAGGAAGACGCCTATGAGCAAGTCCTTCGTGACAATATTCCTCCTGAATTCTGGAACATGACTATTCTCTGGAACGTTGCTATGGTGTCTAAGCGATACAATAAGCTCGACCCTGCAGTTTTGAAGTGAGTGATTTTCTCAACATACGACATTATTCAAAAGCTGACGAATTAGTGTCCACCAATCGCAATGGCTCCCTATTCAACATTTTGTTTTGGAGTACCCCGAGTTCGACTTTGTATGGAACTGGGAAATCGATACCCGCTATACTGGTCACATGTACGAGTTTACGGAAGCAATTGCATCCTTCGGCCGCAAGCAACCCCGCCGTGGTCTTTGGGAACGTAGCGAGCGGTTCTATATTCCCGCCATCCATGGCAAATACGACACCGAGTTCCGAGAGTTCGTGGCCGAAAAGGGTGGATCGGGTGTTTGGGGTCGTCTCGGCTATGAAATGCAGGCAGATAAGCTACCAACGCCCAAAGGGCCACCACCACCAGTTCTTCTGCCCGAAAACGACGACTACCAATGGGGTGTAGGCGAGGATGCCGACTTTACTGGATTCTTGCCTATTTTCAATCCCTACCGCACCAACTGGGTGTTGAGAGACGACGTGTTTGGTTATCTCGGTACGGAAACACCACGAAGAGCCACCATTATCACCCATTCTCGAGTCTCCAGAAGACTGGTTCTAGCCATGGACGACGAGAACCTGAATGGTCGCCACGTTGGATCCGAGATGAACCCTCAAACCGTGGCTTTGCTTCATGGCTACAAGGCCGCATATGCACCACACCCAATCTGGTCCGACAAGCCACTTGCACCTAAACGTATGGATCGATGGTTCAACTCTGGTGTCAACGGTCGATCAGGCAGCTCTTTGGACAGCCCCTTCTCATGGGGTCGTGAGCAACGGTTCCGGGATTTGTCCTGGTACTACCGCTGCAATGTTCCTGGTCGACTGTACTGGAACTTGCTAGGATGGGAGAAGGACTCGACCGGAGGGCCAAGCGTGAGTAACCTTTCTACTTTATGACTCAGCGTAATGCTAATTGATAATAGTACGAGAAGAAATACGGCCGTGTAGTGCTGCCGTCCATGTTCTTCCATCCCATCAAGGATGTAAGCCCTGATTCCGATAGCATGAACTATGACCTTCCCGTTTAACGAATTACGTGGTTCCGTATAATCTTCTTCCCCTTTCTCACTCCTCATTGTCACCTCATCAGACTTTCCGCATCTATCGAAAGCATCACTACCCACCGCATTTAGCATTATACATATATTTGTCGAGCGGCTATCATTCACATACTTGCCTTTGTCTTTTCTTTTTTCTATCGCTTTTGATGTGACTTTACTTGAAATCTGGGTTTGGTGTTCTGATGTGTTTGTCATTGTTGCTCCCTCTTATGGATGGAGTCGCCTAATCAGGTGTTTGTTGTTTGCTGCTTCAAAAGGTGTTGCCCAGGATATCATGTATCATACCACTTTGTTCTTCTTGTGACATAGATTATAGACATTTCTGCAGCCTGTTTGCTAAATATGGTAATCAAGATGTACTGCCTAGTATTGAGTATGTAAGGCACGCATTCATTAACCCGGCATGCATTCATGGATGAAGTATAAGCATCAAGCGTCATTTTATTCATCACTCATCAACCTAACATCAACTCAAGACTCTCAAGCCTTGAATGTCTCTGTGAAATATTTACATGAAGAAAAGAGCCCGACACGCCAACTGGCTCTCAACAGACAACAGACAACAGACAGCATAGGTTACCAGCTACTTAATCAAGCAGTAGCCCAAGCAGCAGCAGCAGCCACATTCTCCGCATACGTCAAATGCGGCACAAGAATCAAGTCTCCGTTGAGGCAGATATCGTCACCGCTATGGCAGACGGTGTACACATTCGCCGCGTTGACGTTGGGGATTGCTTGGCCGTCATCTGTTCCTAATGTCAGACATGGTATCGCCTTCCCAAGGGTCTATAGAATGGGCTTACCTGGATCACCGAAGAGCAAGACCTTGTCAATCCAAGCAGCTGTCTTGGCGTCTAATTTTGAGATGGCGTTGTGCGTCACCTGGCAGCCCTGCGAGTATCCGGCGGCAATGAGTTTTGTGTTTGGGCAGGAGGAGTATGCCTTTGAGATAAGGGAGGCCCTGAAGTCAAGTCACAAGGATCAGTTCTCTGGTCATCAGGTAATACAACAGGAAAAAGACGTACATGTTCGAGCTACCACTCGGATCGCCACCCTCAAGATACCCATCTACCGAAGCCGAATAGTCATTAACCCCCTGAATCGTCAACCCACTCGTTCCCACGATAGCCTGCAACGCCCACACCAGCGGTGGTCCAACGAGCACACCCATATTCCCCGGCTCAGAGGTTCCGCGCGCCCAAATCAGAGTATATTCAGCACATGATCCTCCGGAGGTCAACTGATTCTCCGTGGTGTTTGCGCCGATAAGGGCGGCGAGCACGCTGTCCAAGTCGGTGATTATGGTTGTTGCGTCGTTGATGGTGGTGTTGATGTCTGGTAGGTACTCCAGAAGATCGGAGAGGAATTCGTTGAGGACGGTGTTGCGTTGTTCAAGGGGTAAAGGGGTAGCCTGGGTGAGGGCTAGGGAGGAGGACAGGGAGAGGAGGGTGAGGACTGTTGATTGACGCATTGTGTCTGTTTGTATCTGTTTGCCGGGTGGTTGGTACTGCTGCTGCTGCTGGTTGACCGTGCCTGTTCGTCTCGATCTCCATGGATTGATGGGATGAGGGGAGGTCTTTATATAGCTACATTTTTCGAAGTTGCTGACAGAAACAACAAAGCAAAAAATATTGACTCAGACCCACGGCCAGGAACAATGGGATACCACCCAAACGGCGATTTTTACTGCTCATTCGTGACTAGTCGGCATTTGTGATTGAGCCACTGGCACTAGTCACCAGGTACGGACCAATCCATCCGACTGATTGGTGTAGAGTCAGAATGTTCTCAGGGTAGACAGGGAAAAGCAAGGTGCGGGGAAACGAGAAAACAGTCCCCCATACATGGGCTATCCCCACGGTGGATCTCATGAATGGATGGATCGACCACGTACTCCGTGTCATGCGCGCGATTAGCTTTGGGGTGGCAGACGGGATACTTTCCTGTTTGGGAAATTTGGAGTTTTTATGCACTTCCGTCTGTTTTTTCAATCGAGAAGGAGTCTCGAAAAAGCTGGATACAACTGCATGACGAGTATGAGCATGAGAATTCATGTGACAGGCATACAGACACAAAGCTGGACACTTTACAACAATCAAGTTCTAAAGAGAATGGCTGCCTACGCCTTGTTTTGATCAAACTTGCAAGTGCCGGCCAATGTAACCTTAACCGAATATGATGAACACGGTACTTGAGCGCTCATGACCATGATCCATAAGTAATTAAGTATGGCTGGATGTATCGGAGTTTTGTCATACATTCACCGCTTGGTCTGATCCACTCATTGTCTATCCACTCGTCATGGGTGGTGATGTTTGGTCCTCCGGCCAGGGGCAGCACCCTCAGATCGTTAACAGACTACATCTTATACCAGGACACAGGGCCTCGTGGGAAAGTTCCTGGATCTGGCGATCCAATCATAGCACGCGGAATAAGATGACTTGAGTAACCACAGCTTGGTGTACCTATGTTAGTCCCGAACGGAGTGGATAATTATTCCGCCAAAGGATTCAGACAGGATGTTCAGCAACGCCCCCGATACTCTAACCCCGCAAAGCATGGAATTATCGAAATCAATGTCTCCATCACAATCTCTGATGCATGTGAAGATGCAGAAGAATCCGGAGTATCCGTGAAGAATGAATGGGTCAAATGCCCCAGCTTTTAATATACATTCCCCAGTCTTCATGCATCAAAATACCGGCATTTATTCTTCAGCAATAGAGTCCTCATTCCTACCGGACGCTATTGAATTGTATTACGAATAAGCTGACTCTTCCCATGTCGCGGTTTCCGATTATTTCCCGTCCGCTTAAAATCTCGAGCCCTACATACATCAATACATGTACCGAGCAGTAGAGTTCTCCCTGCAGAACCCCAAGCAATCGATGTAACATCTCTACGTCAATTCAAGGTCACGAGCTAGGAACAACACGAAAACATCGAACACGAACCTGCATGAATCTGAATCGAGACTTGCATACTCCGTGCGTACATAATGTATAAAAGGGGCCCCTTTCTAACATATGCTTTTCTACCTGTTTTGGAGCTTTGCACATGCCAATCCGTGACTTTTTGGGGTGGTTCCGAGGCTTTTTTCTGTTTCTCGTAGCCTCGATTTACGGACGTGCTTGCTAATGGACTCGAATACCCCGCAGATTTGAGGTGCGATTGTCTTGGAACTGACTGGGGTTTTGCGCATTGCGGGGGGGTTGTTTGTTTCGTGTAGTTGTAGTGTTAAATGTTTTGATGAGGTAGGATGATGTATTTGTATGGAGCGAGTTCATGCACATACAATTTACTACAATTCGACCTCAGGGGCGAGAATATTATCGATTATGTAGAAAAAGTTTGATGGAATGATTATCATTAAAATTAAATGCAATAATGCGATGCGATGTGAGGAGGCAAATGTCTAATTATATGTACAAAAATTTTTTTTCCATCTCCATTCATCATATTCAATCCTCCTCCATACCAGCCGCCACAATAATCTCCCTCGTAATCGAACTCTGCTCACACATACTCCTAAATATACCACCGGCATCGAACAACTCCAACGGCGACGCAACCTCCGCAACTCTGCCCCTATCCATGACACAGATCCTGTCATATCCGATAATCGTCTTGAGTCGATGCGCAATACACAATAACGTGCGACCCTTGAAACCCTCCGACATGGCCTTTTGGATCTTGAGATCGGTCTCAAAGTCGATTGAGCTGGTGGCTTCGTCGCAGATTGTGATTTTGCTGTTGCGGACGAGAGCGCGCGCGAGAGCGAGGAGTTGGCGTTGGCCGAGCGAGAAGTTTGTGCCGCCTTCTTCGACGATGGAGTCTAGTGTTATTTGGGATGGCTGAGTGGTGGTGTTGTTGTTGTTGTTGTTGTTGTTGTTGTTGTTGTTGTTGTTGTTGTTGTCGATGTTTTCGACGGATGTTTTTTCGTTGGTGGCTGTTGTTTCGGTGTTGTCTTCGACGAGATGGGCTTGTCGGATAGCGGCCCAGAGTTGTTCGTCGGTGCGGGTGTTGAAAGGATCCAAATTGGATCGAATCGTACCCGCGAACAGCGTCGGGTCTTGAGGAATAATGGACATGCGAGAACGCAAGTCGTTCAATCCGATCGTACTAATATCAATACCGTCCATGATGATTTTGCCTTGAGCCAACTCGACCATACGGAACAATGCCATGATGATAGTCGACTTTCCAGCACCGGTACGCCCGACAATACCAACTCGCTCACCAGGCTGAATATGCAAATTAAATTGTTCCAATGCATACGGCAAACCGGGGCGGTATCTGAGATGCGCATCCGAAAAGACAACCTCTCCTCTACTGGGCCATTCCTCAGGAACAGGAATGGTGTGGGCAGGGGCTTCCTGCTCGATTTCTCTTCCGTAGTAATCAATCCTTTCGACCGAGTTCATGTTATTGTCCACATCCGCTGCTTGTCGTACGGTGAATTGAAGCAACTGGACACTGGACAGCAGATACGACAATACCAAACCACTGATACTAGGCGACACGTTGAATCGAGAGGTAACGACCAGAATCTCAGTCACAAACACCAATATCACACCGAGCACATCAAGTCGCACAGCGAGCCAACGCTGATTAGCAAAAGTCAAAAAGTAGGCGCTGTCGACTTGGTCGATATCTTCATTGATGGACTTGACAAACGATTCCGAACGACCATATGCCCGAATCGTCGCTATGCCGTAGACAGATTCATTGAATCGCGAGAACAGACGTCCACGTAATCTCGACTCGTGTTTTGAGATCTCTCGCGCAGATCTGTTGTAGAACAAGGCGAGCGTGATATAAATCACGAGCAGGGGTCCAAGAGCAGCTGCAAAGTAATAGTAGTAAGCGATAATGAGGATAAAAACCGCAACGATCTGCGCCAATGTCATGGTGGCAAGACGCATTGAGTCGGTCATGTTGTTATCCAACGTGTCTACATCTTTGGAGAATCGGTTCATGATCCGGCCAAGGGGAGTAGTGTCAAAGAATGAGACGGGTGCGCGTAAAACTCGGCGAATGGCATATTTCAGCAGCAGTCTGCTAGATCTGGTTCCTGAGACTGAGAGCGCGGTTGAGTAGATGAACAACAAAATTGCTTGACCGACACCTAGTCCGACATATACGCCAATCTAGAAGACTTAGTAAGTGAGCACAACTCGAGGATAAGGTACTTACGTATGTTCCGGTACTGTAACCAAATTTATCGGACGTCCACCAAGCCAGCCACAAATTGGTGACTACAGAACCACCCGTGGACAATATCAACAGCAACAGAATGATTGGAATGAGGAAAACCGAGCCTGCAACTGCATAATATCTAAAATAGATATTGCTAGACACTCCCGTGGCCGAGTCGCCCTCCTCTTGTATTAAATCATCCTTTGGATGCTTGGCAATTGACGCGATCTTTTGAACGGTAGCTTCAGTCGCAGCCGGACTCTGTTCTAGGTCCTCCTCCTTGTGGTCTTGGTCAACCGTTGTCATCATCTCTTTGAATCTCTCGTTGTTGGCGACCAGGTTGTCAAAGGTGTCGTTGGCGACTATCGTTCCATTGTCCATCATAATGATCCTATCGCAATGGTGCAGAACGTGCAGCTGATGTGTGGCGAGGATGCGGCATTTGTCCTGGAGAACTCCACAAAGAGCATTTTCCATGATGTGACGACCTACATGAGCATCAACAGCCGAGAGAGGATCGTCAAGCAAGAGAATATCAGTATCTGCATAAATCGCTCGAGCCAAGCTGATACGGGCCTTTTGTCCACCAGACAAGTTGATGCCGCGTTCACCAATCTGTGTATAGCGACCGTTGGGAAGAACCAGCAGATCATGGCGAAGAGAGCAAGCTTCGATGACTCTTTTGAATTTTTCTTCGTCAAGCTCTTGACCAAAAGTAATATTGGCTTCGACCGTGGCGTTCTGGATCCAAGCATTCTGAGGGCAGTACGATATTGATCCTCCAACAACGGCGTTTCCATTGATTTTGCGCATTTCGCCAGCAAGCGATGCAAGGAAAGATGTTTTGCCGGATCCTACACCTCCAACAACACCGAGGAACTCGCCCTTTGCGATATCGATGTTGAGGCCGTGGATTTTGAACGGTTCTTTGCTCGACTCGGTTGTACCTTCAAGAACCTTTTCATCCCCGTCGGTCGAAGATGTTTCACTGGATTTTCCGGTCTTTTCGGACACATTTTCTGTCTTTTTGGCGCTTTTCTTGGCTTTTTTGTCCTTTTTCCCTCGCCCCTTTCCTTTCTGTGGCCCTCCGTGATCTTGGCCATCAACAGCCTTTTCCCATGTAAACGCGGCGTCTACCATAGAGACCGCGTTTTCGCTGTCGATTGCCTGTGGCTGTTGATCAAACAGTGTATCCTCTGCCAACAAGAAATCCTCGATTCTGGTCACGGCTGAAGATGCATCCGTAACCAAGGCGATAACCATAGGCAACATCATGGCCGGGAGCCGAAGACCGTTGAAAAGTGACAGGGACGAGAAAATCGACGAGGGCGCCAACTCATGGTTTGTCAGAGAAAACGTAATAAAAGCCAACATTGACGCAAACATCGGAACAGAAGTTCCAATGGCAGTCAAGAGGTTTCTGATCATGAACATGAGCTGCACGCCGTGAATCTCTTTGCGCCGAATGGCCGAAATACGATCTAGAAAATCCGTCTCCCATGCATAGTATTTTACGAATCGGATAGCTTGCAGGACTTCTTGGGTAAGGCTGACTCTCTCGTCGGTGAATTTGTTGGTTCTTGCGCGAAGTCCAAAGATGCGCTTAACGGCCCACATCAAGAATGGAGTGGATAGCAGAAAAATTGCAATACCGGGCAGAGCGCTGTATGTCAAATTGACCAGCAAAAGAGCAATGGTGATGAGAACGGTTAGGGGAATGGTCCAGATGAAATGAAACCAACCAGCAGCCTTGTCAATACGGTTCGTATCGGTTGACATAAGATTGATAATTCGACCGTTGCTCCATCCCTGCACACTCAAATTAGCTTCTTCCAGCTGTTCCGCATACCACGCTTTCTCTGCGTCACTTCCCGGGGTGATATCTGCCGGAGGCGTCTTGGGCGGTTTCCAGCCAGCCTTGGCTCGGCCAGAGATAGTCATTGCCTTGCTGAAAATGAGCGAAATAAGAGCTGCGCGGACTTGTCCTCCAACCACCATTCCTCTATACATGAACTGATTGTTACCGATACTCGCCAGAATCTGCATAGCCGATAGACCAAAGACCCATCCAAGGCCCTTTCCAATCGAGGGGCCTGCCTGATGAGTATACTGCGCCAGGTATGCATCCGTCGCGAAAGCGATTAGATATTTCAACAAATACGGTAATATGATTTGCGCCACACTTCCGAGCACACAGCAGAAGCCACCGAGAAGGATTTCGAATTTGTATGTTTCATAGATTGCACCGACGAGCGCGTGCTTAGAACCGGCTTTTACGCGCTTCTCAAAATTGCCATGCAATGCTGCGGCCATTACATTGATTGAGCGGCTGGGATTCACGCGAGGGATATCATTTTCTTCGAGGGGTCTTTGATAACCGACCTATACACAATTAGTCGAAGCATAAACTAGGTAGGTAGAGCAAACATACAAACATAATATGATTGATCCATTGCCAGGTAATCAAGCTCGCAATATTGGCTTTGTGTTCGGGCGATTCTATCCTCTCGTCGGGAATGGGAGGTGATCGTCTCCTCCTGAGAGGATCTAGACGCGAAAGCCATGATCTTTTGGTAGAGGGGACATTGCCCTCTTCCTTGGCTTCAGACATGCGTGTTTCTTCGTGTGTGTGCCCGTTCGTTGTTTCAGTCGTTTTTGTTGTTATAAGATCAGTACAAGCGGGATGACCTCATATATGATCTCGGAGAGATATAATGATTGATCCCTCAATGATCGACTCTGAAGATCTGCTAAGCTTTGAGGCAAGGAGAAGAAATTCAAGGCCGATGATGCGTGATGTCGCAGGATGTAATCGAATGTAGGTTAGACCTAGAATATGACCGGCATAATATTTGCACATCAACAGACAACATCCAGCCCGCAAGTTGACACAGATGGAGATTTCAAAAAACAGAAAAGATAAGATGGCAACAAAAAAATAGGCAGACGTCGCGACTAGGTAACATCTCTTATCCTTTTGTTAGCCCAAGGTCTAAGGCAAAAAAGACTTCTTAAACCCCGTCTCTAAAGTCCGCTCGCCCTTAGTTAGAATTTAGCTTGTTTTCAACTTCCGAACTTTCATCGGAGCCAATCAGCGCACGATAATACAGCGAAATGTCGGACTTCCGCCAGATCTAAGGGCCTCCCTGCGTATTACGTACATAGCAGTGTGTAATAATACAAGTAAGTGTGCGGAAGATGTAATACACAATTACGGTACGTATACATTTCCTCCATTGGCTCAGGAGGGAGTTATGCACGGCGTTTCCCCACTATTCGGAACGTCGGGTCCGTGTTTATCTGATGCTTGATGTTGATAGCAAATCGCGAGTCTCTGATTAGCGAGCTACCATGTCTCGCATACTCGGTAGTAATATGATTCTACAAAGTCCTAATTTCTTTCTTGGCTTTTTTGGCGGTAACATGTTACGGGCTTCCAATCCGTACAAACAAGTACATACCAGATCAGCAACAAGTACGGGACAGAATCTCCATATGAAGTAATGCATACATAGTATGTTTGAAGAAGTTCAAAACAAGCACTCGGCTCCGAAGCCCTTCGAGCCCGAACGACGATCGATCGTAACAACCAATACGGAATAGATGCTTAGCAGGCTACAAGCAAAAGAGACATAAAATCAAGTTTCCACTATGTACATACGAACGGAGTACGTTTCTCCCCCGTCGGGTACTAGTCTGTCCCACTCGTAACCGTATTACTAATAAGATACGTACTAATAAGTTACATACGACGTAAACGAGACGGATTACGGGGTCTAGCTGCTTCCGGATCCCGAGCTACTGACTAATGGGTTAATTCTTGTGGACTGATTGGTCAGCGCGAAAATACCGATTGTTAGGACTTTTGAGCGGCTTTAGGTATTTAGTATTTAGGTCTTTCTATTACGCATGACAAGCGATCAAAGTTCATCATAGATTAAGGGGAAGTGTGTGGTCCACAACATAAGATTGGTATTTAAATTAGCAGATATCATGAACATACGGAGTATATCACTGCGAGAAGGAATAAGACAAGCAACTTTCCCAGACAAGTCTCGCTTCGACAACAGTCTTAGACTAACATGACTCAAAACCATCAGTTGTATCGATACCGCCAGACAGTCCTGATGAGCAATAGAAATTGAAAGAAAAAATAAAGAAGGAAGAAACCCGTGCACCCGTATCGCCTGCCCCGTCCCGATAATAAAGAAAGCCTGCATAAGGAAACTGATAAAGTCGAATGAAGAAGTGAATAATTCAATGGGCCTGGGTTCAACATGCCGTAACCTCGACAGCTATGACCAAGCTGTTTTCGCGTCAATGTCGTGGCAACGCCATGCAGATAACCGGGCCCGGTATAGTGAGTATAGAGCTGTCGTACTCGATTTCATGAGAACATCATGCGGCAAGAACACTGGACAAACAATCACATGACCCGTCACGTGAGAATAGAAACCCTCAAAGCGATAGCCATCAAATGTTCTGAGTGTGATCAGTGTCCAACTGACCAAGATCCTTTTCATCGTCATAATCGTCAAATTTGAGATTCGCTTCTCGACAGCGCTGGATCCATTTTAGTGCAACATCGCCTCGTCGGTTGGCTTCTGCTTTCCATTTGGCATTTTGTGTATTGATCTCGGCGAGAGCTTGTTGTGTGGTGAGGTTTGTATGTTCCCAGCGCGTGCTCATCTGTTTTTTCTCTTCGTGTAGTTGGGAGATGTATTCAATTGCGCGCTGTAGGATGGCTCCTTTGTTCTTGTCGCAATTAGGCACCAGTTGGGCTATTTGGTTAATACCTTCATTGATCGTCTCGCGACGACGACGTTCAACTAAAAATACAATTAGCCACTCACTTGATAAAAAAAGACGAACTCGAGAGTAAAATTGCATACCTTCTTTATGATTGTTCTTGCGCAAAGCATGCCACTCCGGCGATCCTACAGTCGGTTTCGTAGTCATACTCTGAGCCTCGCGGGCCGCGTAAACAGCCGCTGCTGTTGACTCATGTGGTCCTCCATGTGCAGTCAATCCGCCAGTAGCGTGTGTGAGCTGATCGGCAAATGGGAGGCCATGCGAAATCTGGCTATCGAAGCCTCCATCAGGGCCAGTCGGGTATTTGTTTTGTGGATTTGCGGCGAGGGCCGCCTTTGCATTTGCAGTCAATGTATTGTCGTCTGGCATTCCGTTCGATTGCGCGACATGAGTAAGCAGTTGTTCATCAATGTTGATATCCGACGTGCCGTCATAGTGGCCCAGCGCTGAGTGAGTAAATGCTTGTGTGTCCGAGGGGCTCGTTAGTCCGGGGATACTGCCGTTGGTACTGCTGTGGGAAGTTGCCAAGCGCTGAGGGTCGGGTCCAACGCTGTCTTCATCCTCGCGTTTCCGTTTGTTGCCGTTCATATCGGCATTGGTCAGACCATTGTCAGACATGGCGACCAGACTCGTGTCGAACTGATTCATTCCATGAGCAAGCTGTAAGCTTAGGTGAGGTTGATCTATCCTGTAGATAGCGTACCGAGGTGATTGAACCGTTCAAGTCCTCCGTCGCGTCAATTTTGAATGGTGGGCTGCTTTGCAGCGATAGCTGGAATACATTAGTCTGCAACTCTGAAAACAAAGTCGAAAGTGAAAAGCATATTTGGCATATCAACTGTCTTTTGATTGTCAAGGTGGTAGGTAGTTCTATTGCGGGGTATACAGGGAGGAGGAACGCGTCGGTAAACATCGGACATCACACGCACATGGCTGGTAACAGGCAACAAGATGTTCACAATCGAATCATTGATTTTCTCTGAGGCACTGAACCATTTTACTATTTCCATGAGAGATCAAGATAGATTGTGAACATATAGTCAATCACTTAGTCATCCAGCCACTGATGCGACCGTGTAAGACGCGACCAACAAACAGCAACGCGCAAAACAGCATCATGGCCGACCGTGAGCAGCAACCAAGCAAGAACAGTGTTCATGGTTATTCATGGACAATGTCTAAGTTGCCTTACTGACTCCTGGTGCTTGTTGTGATGCATAATGATGAAGAAAAGCAAAGTGGAGAGGATCGTACCTTAGGGGAGTCGTACGTAGTCTTTGGTTTTTTGTTCGATATCACCTGACGAGAAGTCACGGGAAATCAGGTGAGTATGGGCCGAATATCTCGAATCCGAATATGGTAAATTCGAGAAGAAAAGAAAAACAGTTGAAAAACTCGGTTAGAGAAGAGAGGAAAAGGCTGATATATGTCGACACAGGGACTATGCGCACTTTAAGAAGTAAAGTATCATAGAATTCTTGGACGGGGGAAATAATGAGCTCGAACTGAGGGAATCGCGAAGTAAGTACGAGAGAGAGAGAGCGCGGGCTGCTCACGTGGCGAGGACGTAGGAACTTATTCCTCAGGCAGAAAGAATGGCAAGGCAGACAGACCAGAGGTGCCGCACTGATCACCTGACCGAGCCAGCCCCTCTCAGCCAATGGGCTCCGCGCGTGCCGCCGGAAGCAGCATAAGCTAAAGTACTTTGCACGTAGTATTTGGATCAAACTCAGCGCTGTTGTATGATTTTTGAGTGGTATTTTCTTTCAAATATTATCTGCATAATATTCTCTAGTAATTCTGACTACTTCGCTAATTCTTATCCATAGTGTATCAGAAACCCATTCTCTGATCATGTGTGACGATCCCGTGGCTCAGCCGTCACTGGTCAGATACTCCGATTCTGAGCGCTCATTGGCCGAAGAGCCCATGATTTGCCCACACGTGCCGGCCCTAGCCCTCCATCCGAGAGGCAGCTTGAGGTGACATCCTGCGAATCTTGATTGTGCAGGCCCAGACTGGGCTAGAGAAGTGTGTATGAACTGTGAATTCCATGTGTAGTCATTTCAGGGCAGATGACTGATTAGCCAGAAACATCGAACTGGAAGATGGGTAGGGCAACCTGAACTTCTCGTGTTGAGTGCTGACAGGGACTGTATTAGCTAGCTATGTACTGTACTGTTTGATGATGATGATGACGATGATGATGAAAGAGGTTCTATGGCAGTGAATGTGCTTTCTACCTGCGTGTTTCCAAGTTTCTATTGTTAGCGCAATGACTCAAACCTAAGACATAACCCACAGTTCTTCCTTCCAGATCTCGATAGCCAGCCTAGACTCAAATATTAGATCTATCTTCCAATGTTACTAAGAAACTTCAAAAGACAAAAGCAAAAAAACTTCTAGGTGTGTGTACCCCACCACTATCTGATATGGAGGGTTGGAGTCGTCACATGCTCACCACATTTCTGGATAAGTTTTAAATTGTACGTGCTGCTAGCTGTCTACCAATCAGGTTTCGTATCGGAGGTAGGACTTTGGAGGTTGGTGAAACATGAGGAAGTTGATGACATTGTACTCCGAATATTTAAGTATCAACCAGTTCAAGCATGTTAAGAGCTTATTAGGATGGAATTATCTTCGTCAGAAACGAGATGTTTCATGGGATCAAGTACCATTCGAGACTCCGAGAATCTTTGAGAAGCTTTTGATTCCCTCACAGATGATACTTTGCACCTTTTAATGGGATGGTTGATAAGAATATCTGACTCGCTATCTATCCAATCGAACTGAGTAATGCGACCAGTAGTCACATGAGCCACCTTCCAGAATCACTTACTCCATTACAACCTGTGGTTGCATATCCTATTTCCATATTTGGAAGTCACTGTTCAGCTTTTCACCGTCTGCATGAAGAGAAGGCTCTCTTAGACACATAGTTATTGACCCCGAGCCAACGCAAGGATACTCGGTCCCGAAGAAGATCATCTTATCACAAGTCTAATCTGTGTATGTGTGTGTGTGGAGAACAGCCCAAGGTATCAATAGTCTATAATTGTGGTCAATCAGATGCATCACCAACCCTTTTCACCACAAATGTCATCTCAGGCTCTGAGTCAACATCTGCAAAACAAATCCCTTCCTCTCTCGCCCCCTTGATCCCCCAACAATGAATCTTGACATCCAAATCCGGCGAACCTTTTTTTTGCGTAATCGCAATAATAGTACTCGTCCCAGCATACACTGCCAGCGGAATAACACACTCCGGCCCCCCATCCTCCATTCCCGTTCTATTAGCAAAGACAATAATGACTTTTGTCTCTGTCGAAGAATCAAAGCCATCGAGCTGTGTATCTCCATAGTTGATCCTTTTTTCAATCAGTGGCCAGAATCTACGAATCCAGTAATTGAATGTATCCATATCAGGCAAGTCTGCCGGTTTGAGCACAATGCTATTCGTGTCGTTTGTAAGCCAAGCTGTAGACAGAATGACGAGATAGGACCGAGAGTCTAAGACTCGATGCGCGAATTCATATGCGTCGAACGGTGCCTCGAATTTGTACGGGTTGATGTCCATACAGATTCCGAATGTGGTTGGAATCTGTATTGATTTATTCGCTGTTTCTGCTGCCGCCGCCGTAGTTGGATTTAACATCCCTGTGGGAAAATCTAGGGACTTGAAACTCCATTCAGCTTCGCCTTCGCTCGCCCACGATTCGTCCGTGTAATACAAGAACCGCTTTCGATAATTGTGTATGACCTGTCCTTCTTCATCGACGACTAGCAGGGAGTTGTACATTTTGGCCGGACTTGTGACCAAATTGTTACCGTTGCTGTTTTCTTCAACGCTTTTCGCGCTAGATGTGTCTGGGATCCGATGCATCTCGGGATATCCCACGCAGACTTTACACTTCAGTCGCCGCGCAGTTCTCTGAGCCCACAGTGCAGAAGGGCCTTTGCCTTGAACCTCTAGATAAGGCCTTATGGCTTCTAGAGATGGAAAATTGTAGCCTGTCAATTCAGATTAGTACATATCCATCCAAATCCTTACATGATACGGGTCTCTCACCTGAAAAGGCCATTTCTGGCAATACGAGGATATCTGGTCGCAGCTCCTCAATTCCAGGTTGCCCACTAAAGCGAGCTCCATCATCTTCTTCCGGTGGCGTCAACCTGAGTATCTGATCTGCGAGTTTGATATTGCCCTCAACATCGCCCAGGCGCGGCCCGAACTGGAGGGTTGCGATCCTCATTCCAGATTTGTTGATGCTCAAAGCACTTGGTTGCTTGATTCTGTTCGCGGTTATGGAGGTGCTGGCGGTTGTTGTGGACTTTGTTATTAATTGCAGGTTATGTGGTCCGTGGATCACTCCGTATGAATGATAAGTCCGACTTTGCAATGTCCTGATGCACCTCGTGTTAATAATGATGGGTCTCTGGACAATACGAAAAGTACAATGTGAGAGATGCATCAATCTTTTCTCTGTGTTTCGTCGTCAATTGTCATCAGGTATTCCTCTTTCTAGGGTATTGTTCACTCGTTCTTCAGATTGTGTTCTCCCGAGATATGTATTTATATTTCGTGGCCTACCAATCCTCCCTCAACACCACTCGCTTAGAACCCGTTGATAAGCGTTATGACAGAAGTTGTAGCCTAGATCAAAATTCATTTCGTGTCATGCTATAGATACCCGAAGTTTAACGATTATGTGAAAGCGATGAAATCGAGTGCCTTTATAAGCGGGGAGAAAATCATGTGATCAGAGACTCAAGGGTTAGGGTCATAAGCTTCGCCGAAACATTTTTGAGAGCCCATCCAGCATCCAGAGCAAAGAAGAACCCCGAGGTACCAGATTCGCCTGAGTGAGAGGACATCCGAAGGGGAATACTGATTAGAATGTTATATTCCACCATGACTTTAAATGTTCCAATATCGTAGCTAGATAGACCAACAGCGCCATGCTTTGACTGATATACATTGCGTAAAGACGTAAATAGATTCAAACACACCCAGGAACTCCAACAAGTGCAAGAAAACCAACAGCTTATAGGTTCACCATTCGTTATGTACATGAATGAAGAGTAGGATGAAGTAGTATACTGCTACACAGTAATACTCGCTCAAGGCAAACTTCTCTTTTTAGCCGACTTCTTGCTCGAAGTCGCTTTTTCGGGAGTGAGTTGAAGTGGCTTATATGCCAGACCCTTCCCTCCAGTGAGTCGAAGACGCTGTTCTGTCCGGGAGAGAGTTCGACCAAGACCAAGGGGTGTTTCGGGCGCTAATGCAACATCATACCCGTTGATGCGGACATAAGGTGATGATCCAGATAGAGAAGATGACAAAGACGACGACAAACGTGAGTCGGAGTTGAAACTCCTCCCAAATGTAGAAGAGCGAAAAGGATCCGTGTAGAGATAGTCAGTTGTTCTGTCGAGAAGCCTTGGGCCATTTTTCAGTTGTTCTGCCGCAATACGGGCTGCTGAAAGAAGCATTTCATCTTCATCGATTTGTGATGTTCTGGAAGACACGGTTTCGTCATCAACTGGCCGCTTGAACTCTGTCAGCTTCTTGACTTGCTCAAGAATTGGAAGCGTCGGTAGTGGTGCTATAGAGGCTAATGCCAATGACTTCTTTTGTTTCCGATGGGCGCGCTTTGGTTTAGGGACCTCCCCATCACGTTCTACAGGTGCCTGAGGCTCATCAATCGATGCCGCTAACTCTTCTTCAGATTGCAAGGCCTCAACTTCCAGGGGTCGCTTTTTGTTCCCTTTCGAAGTTCGATTCTCTATTGCCGACTTTCTCAGAGTCTCAATCCATGACCTGCGAGAGGTTGATGATTCCTCAATGGCACTTTCCGATTTTGAAAAGACCTCCGCATCCGATAAACGACTTTCTGCATCCACATCTTCAGCAAGAGTCTGTCCTTGCTCTGATTGCACCTCTATCTCTTCACTTATCGGTACTTCTTGGATGTTCGTAGTAATATTGTTATCAACACTGAGGGTCAAGCTAGAAGAAAGTAATGGTTGCGAAGTGATCAGTAAGTCGTCAGGAGTTGTTTGTCCTGTCTCTTTGGCAGAACTCAATACATCTGCCTGTCGTGGAAAAAGAGGGGCTTGAGCATTGGCGATTGACGAGGTCTCGGTTGGTGTGAATGTGACTGGTAATTTCTGTGACGGCCGTATGTTCGAAAAGATAGATTCTGATGTTTTCCCAGGTATATTCGATGTAGTAGTAAACGATGGAGGCTGGAAGGCGAAGGGTGATGATGGTTTAGTGAAAGGTGGCTCCGTAAGTTTTGCAAGCGAAGTTTCAGCAGCCTTAGTTTCTGTTTCCGGAGGTTGAGTAGTTGGGGCGAACGAAAACAGTGGCTTTGATGCTTCGGTTGTAGCTGTTTGAACGACTGTTGAAGTTGCCTTTGGAGGGGAGAGTGTGGATTGACCAAAAACGGATGCAGGTTTCGGTTCTGTGGTAGCTGCGGGCTCAAGAATTTTTAATGCACTGTCTGAACCTTGAGAAGCAGCTAGCCACGACAAGTCTGCCTTGGGCTGCTCAACTGACATCGCAGCCAAGGTAGAAAGTCTGGTAGATGAACTTTGAGTATTGGTCGGCCATGATAATGATGGCTTGGGGGCATCTGTGGAGGTGGCGCTTTGAAAGGTGGTTGACGTAGAAGGAGGTTGAAAAGGTGATAGTGCTTTCTGGGTAGGGGTATATGCTGATGGCGCAAACGGAGACGTGGAGGCAACAAATGAGTTTGCAGGTCTACTGGACGAGAAGATATTTGTAGCTGTGGACGTCTGAGTCGTTTCCAGCGGCGCAACGGGAGGTTGAAATACCCCAAACGGTCCGTTCGATTGGACTGGAGATACGACAGTTCCAGTGACAGGCTGCGGCGAAGTCTTGAAGGGATTAGGAAAGAGTGTTGCTGCTTCTTGCTGCGCAGTCGATTCTTCTTGAGCGACAAATAGTTCATTGTCGTCTTCTTCGATAGGAGAGCCGTAATCATTAGTCGGTAGTAAGGACACATCAATCATGCCCCGGGCGGCTGCTTGTTTGATATTCAATCCAAGAATGATGGCAGCAAGGGTTCTACCACCGCGTTTCGCTTCGACATATTTGTCAGAATAGGAATGCTGTGAAGAAGGTGCGAAATCTAATACAAGCCGAGTTAGATCGAATAGTTAAGCCAAGTGAAAGCCGAACGTACCAACAACATCAATGCTGCTTGTTCCCCAGTTGAGGTACATTGCACCATCGTTTCTTTCCAACAGTTGTAGACCTTGTTCCTCACAAAAAACTTCGGCTTGTGACTCATCATCAAAATAGAGAACACGAGTGAGCTCCGGTATGGTCCATTCTTCGTTTTTGTGTTGCTGAGAGATAGGGACACGACAGTACGCTTTCCAGATTGACCGGATAGCAGTTTGTCTGACATTGTTGAAGTATATTTCCGCAACGCAGCCCATTAGATACGACACGGCTGGCGAATCTACTAGACTGAAGAACCTATCATAGAACCCCTGAGAGATTGCACTGGATCGCATTTCATCCAACACAATCTGATACTCCCAGTAATTATTTGCAGCTGCCAGAAGTTCCAAAGCAACTTGGACCTTGGGGCTTTGAAGGATTTCTGCAGGCCATTTCTGTACACGGTCTTCCACGTCAGGGCGTTGATCGTGAATTGCCAAGACAATATAGTAAGCGCGGAATTCTTGCTCATTTGGAAAGTTCATGCGATCTCGGTTATCGTCGTAATAATGCATCAGAGACAGCATTGTATTGTTCAGTTGCTCCCGTTCTTGATGATGGTCGAATTGCTCTTCGTTGTCGGGTGAGGAAAGCAAATGTAACGAAACGATGTGGAAACGGGCAATACGCTCCAAACACTTTACCGCAATTTTGATATCTTCAATTTTGGTCAATTGCTGAACAGAGAAGTCGTTTCGTATAGAGCGAGTCCGATCCCACACGAACTTGTGTATCAAACCGAGAGGGTCAGGACCCATCACGACATGGCGTATCAGGTAATTCACGGTTTGGAGGAGAGTGTTTGGTGTGCGAATGTCGGATGGTAGCTGTTCATCATAACCCGCCGCAGATCGTCTGAACCGTTTAAGCATCTTCAATTCCGTCACTTCAAGGATATCGGTAGTTGGATCGAGGCTCTATATTCAGGAATTTAGTAGATGTAACACATTGTCGCTGGCACACTCAGGAGTACCTTTTCAGCCCTGTCGACCATTTTCTGAACGATCCTCTCCACTCGCTCAAATTCTGGACACATTGTAGTACATGTTCCCACAGGAGTTATCGCTTTGTTCAGCAGAGTCGGTTGATTCGGATCAGCCATTTGACCTTGTCTGATGGCATTTTCTCGTTTCTTGACCCGGTCGAGTTTCAACTTCGCAGAAATAAAAACGTATTAGTTACCGTCGGTGATTTTCAATGAGCACGTCGTACCTTTTCATATCGTTCTTGATAGTCGATTGGCGTATTGCCGCCCGCCACGGTTGTTTCCTTCATTTGGGCCTTGGGGGCTCGTTTGTGCGAGGCTGCCTTAACACGAGGATCCCTCTCTGATTGGATCGAGTTTCCCATGGGCTGGTGTGAGATAGAAGGTGCTCCAAATCCATTCGAGGCGACGCTTGCTGGGTTTGGCGACGGTCTTCCGAACCCAGAAGAGGCTTGCGGCGCGCCGAATGGCGACGAGGCTGTAGTGGAATCATTTTTAATCGCAGCGAAGGGAGAGATAGAAGCTGGCGCGCCGAACCCCGGCTCTTTCCCACCGACAGCTCCAGCGTCGCTAGCTGTAGAACGACCACGTGCCTGGCCTCTTCCGCGTCCTCGAGGTGCGCCGCGATTCGACTGAAATTTGGATGTTACCGCGCCAGATCCCTGTGTCCGTCCACCGCGTCCCGGATTGACTGCATCTTGCTTGCCTCCACGGGTTGCGCCCAAGACGCTCCCTGGTTTAGGCATCGGTCGTGCTCATCGAAGTTCAGTGGAAGTGGTTCGACAACGACGAAACAATTGGATGCGACCAGCGGAAGACGTTAAGTTTGTAGCAGTCTTGTAACCTTACCGGTAAATGCGTAGACCGCAGTCGATTAGGTCCCTGCTCTAGAAGCTGTCGATAGACTGAGCAGGGCCGCTGGCTTGATGATAGGTCGTTGAGCTTGCTGGGAAGATGTTTGCCCGCGCGGTAGATTATTACGTTAGCGCACAGACCACTGTGTTGACACCTTGAGATCCAGGCTGCGATTTTTTCCACTACTTCGTATCATTGTATACCAAGGTTTTTATCTACATATATTCATCTAGCCAGACTCATCGTTTTTGCAGCCAAGCACGCCTATAATGCCATGTTCTGTAGCGAAATGCCATCGCATACTGTTAAATCCCTCAGCACTATTCCTCATCTCAAGCTATTGTTCATAGCGACTCCCAGACCTTGAAAACCATACTGACAGATTTTGAGCCCAGCAAGCTCCGTCGCGAATTGCAGTTTGCGTACATTATCCCAGTCGTGTTCATGGCATAGAATGCCGAAGAGCATACCCGCAACAAATGTGTCTCCGGCGCCTATTGAGCTGTACATCTCTGAGTATTCTGTTGTTTATATCATGACATGATACTCACTCCTTTACTTTGGTATCTGGAACCTCTAATGCAGGTACCGTAATACGGGCGTTGCCAGGCTTTGTCAACAGTGAAGCACCTTCCTTGCCCCATGTACAGCAGAGATATTTCCTATAGGCGTATGATTTAGGTGCAGTCAATACAAAGAAACTCGGGATCCACGTACGCTTTTGGGGTGACGCCGATTTGTGCTTCCAGGCATTCCTCCATGGATGAGTGTCCATTGGCCTGGGCCCAGCTTTTGGCGTAGAAAACGAGATCTGCCTCAGCTGCGAGTTTCTCGAGTTCTATACGCCGTGGGTTCTCAACCTCGACACTAATGAACGCCGAAGGGTATTTGTGCCGGATGTGCAAAATACACTGTAAGTTGACGTCCGCCATTGTTCCCTATATGCGGGCATCATGAGATCTTCGAGTTGGCATAGACAGGAACAGGACATACCTCGAAATGAAAACAGGTTTGCTCTATGGGCCCAATTTTCTCGACTGAAGATGAGAATTCTTCAAGAGTCATCTGCGGCAGCTCGTTGTAGCTTACAATTGTTCTGCTTCCCGTTCTCTGACTATTGATAACATACGCAGAAGCGGGTTCAGTCGAATCCTCCCGATAGATACAAGAATCACAGTTCACCTCCGGCCCTAGGGTTTGTTTTATGAACCGTGTACTTGATGAATTAAGCGCTGGAAGTACGGATATGAGATTCAACGACAGTTTGAACTGGGAGAGGTCTACGAGTTGTTGTATGACTTCGAGAGAATTGGGGCAATTTCCTCCGCGCCGCCGACTCAGAGCTGATGCACGAAGCTTTTCATCTTCCTCCGGATAGTGATCCACACTGAATGCCATTGCATCGCGATTAGCAAACTGTACCAACTATGCCCATCAGAAGAACGGAACAGCCATGCCTTAGGATTGTGTCGACGAAACAAACGCCAACCATAATTAGGCGCTCCATTGCAACACAGCAGTAGTCCATAGGGTATATGCTCCAAAAGGTGAGAGTCCGAAAGGAGAACTGTCTGCCGATGCGGCGGAATTCCGCCCTTATCTCCGACAGCCTAGCCCCTCTTAGACTAGCGTGAAAGTCTGCGTCATTAGGCTATATTAGCTGCTTTATTACTAAGCCGCCTTCTCGCTGCTGCTTCAAACCACATGGCGGAGAATTTCGTGTTTCTTTTCTCAGCTCATCACGCCCAACAACAGGTTCGTTATCTCCCTCTCCTTCTCAGAAGGGCTATATCTCACTCATTCATTTAATTGTCCAGGTCGCTTTGGAGTGTGCGCTCTTCACCAGGTATACTGTGCTGCCGACGGAAAATGATCGATGGGAATCCGCAGCTCGTCATAGGCAACGACCGTGGCTCTACGGGCCACTTCTACACCGCTGCTAACCCGCTTCATGCTTCAACAMCCCTCCGCCAGCCATTTTGTGGCAACAGTGAAGGATGGGGGCCCATAAACTCGGATGTCACTGACTTCACGCCATGCTTCGTCGACATCCCAGTCTCCATTGCCGCTGCGTGGGGCGTGGTGATGGGCGCCGGGGCATTATGGCTGTTACTTAAGAGGCGCGAACCACAACACGTTCCGAAGAATTGGCATTTCTACGCTAAGCTAGTAAGTGGCTACTTTCTCATGGGTAGATAACGAGACGAAATAAAAGGCCTAATGGTATTTGCAATAGGTTGTTCTGGCACTTCTACTCGCGTCAACGGCCACCCAAGCTATTCTTCAATTGGTATCGGATGCACAACTATATATCGCCGATTTCCGTTTCTGGGCAACTGTTTTGACGCTGGCTTCACTGGCTGTGGTTTTTGCGGTGCAATATTTCGAGCACTGGCGCAGTAGACAGCCAAATGGAGTGGTCCTCTTCTACTGGGTCTTCTACATCATCGCGCATGGTATAAAACTTCGATCGCTCGTCACTCGTGAAGTTTTTCACTCTCATCTTCCCTACTTCATCGTTGTTACCATCAGTGTCGCCCTCGCTGTCGTTGAGTTCATTCTGGAGTACCTCGTGCCCAAGAAACAGAGCGCATACGATACCTTGGGCAAGGAAGATGAGTGCCCGTATGAGTATGCGGATGTCTTCTCCATTCTCACCTTCAGCTGGATGACACCGATGATGAAGTACGGCTACAAGAACTTCCTAACTCAGGATGACATGTGGAATCTGCGCGATCGAGATACCACAAAAACAACGGGTACTCTTCTAGAGGACTCTTGGGGCATTGAGCTAGACAAGAAGTCTCCTTCTTTGTGGATCGCACTTTTCCGTGCATTTGGAGGTCCCTACTTCCGAGGAGCTATTATCAAATGTGGTAGTGATACACTCGCATTCGTTCAACCGCAGCTATTGCGTTACTTGATCAGCTTTGTCGATTCCTATCGGACCGATCATCCACAGCCCGTCGCCCGAGGTGTTTCTATCGCTTTAGCCATGTTTGCAGTTTCGGTCTGCCAGACCGCATGTCTACATCAATACTTCCAACGAGCCTTCGAAACCGGCATGCGCGTTAAATCAGCCCTCACTGGTTTGATCTATACCAAGGCGCTCAAATTATCAAATGAAGGTCGCTCGGCAAAGACTACCGGAGATATAGTCAATCATATGGCTATTGACCAGCAGCGATTGGTGGACTTGACCCAATTCGGTACGCAGCTCTGGTCCGCGCCATTCCAAATTACCTTATGCATGGTTTCTCTATACCAACTTGTTGGTAACAGCATGTGGGCCGGTATTGGAGTCATGATTCTCATGATACCGATAAACGGTATCATTGCTCGAATGATGAAGACCCTCCAGATCGTCCAGATGAAGAACAAAGACTCTAGGACACGTCTTATGACTGAAATATTGAACAACATCAAAAGTATCAAGCTATACGCCTGGAACAAGGCTTTCATGGGTAAATTGAGTCACATTCGTAATGACCTCGAGTTGAATACACTTCGAAAGATTGGTGCAACTCAAGCCGTGGCGAACTTCACTTGGTCTTCGACCCCGTTTTTGGTATCTTGCACAACATTTGCGGTGTTTGTGCTGATTGATGATCGACCTTTGTCTACCGACCTTGTCTTTCCAGCATTGACTTTGTTCAACCTTTTGACTTTTCCACTATCAATTTTGCCTATGGTCATTACTTCAATCATAGAAGCTTCAGTCGCCGTGACACGTCTTACTGACTACCTTACCTCGGATGAGCTTCAAGAAGATGCTGTCCTCTTCCAAGAGCCGGTTACACACAATGGCGACGAGTCTGTCCGCATTCGAGATGCATCATTCACTTGGAACAAGTATCAAGGTAACAATGTCTTGGAGAATATCAACTTGAGTGCGCGCAAAGGCGAATTGACCTGTGTCGTCGGTCGTGTGGGTGCGGGAAAGTCGTCTCTACTCCAAGCTATTCTCGGAGATCTTTGGAAGAGCCAAGGCGAAGTCGTTGTGCGTGGCCGAATCGCATACGTCGCACAGCAATCTTGGGTCATGAATGCAAGCGTTAGGGAAAACATTGTCTTTGGCCATCGCTGGGATCCGCACTTCTATGAACTTACAATTGAAGCCTGTGCGTTAGTTGACGACTTCAAGACCCTTCCCGACGGTGACCAGACAGAGGTTGGCGAGCGGGGTATCTCGCTATCCGGAGGACAAAAAGCTCGGTTGACACTTGCTCGAGCTGTCTACGCACGAGCGGACATTTACCTTTTGGATGATGTCCTCTCTGCTGTAGACTCTCATGTTGGCAGACATATCATCAACCGGGTACTGGGACCAACTGGTATTCTTAACGGCAAAACACGTATTCTCGCCACCAATGCTATCGCCGTGCTGCGAGAGGCAGACTTTATTGCACTTATTAGAGATCGCACTTTTATTGAGAAGGGTACATACGAACAACTGATGGCAATGAAAGGAGAAGTGGCAAACTTGATTCGCACAACAACTACCGACGACGATGATGAGAATGACTCCGAAGCTAGCAAAGGCGACGCTAAAAGCCCTGTCTCCCTCGATTCAACAACTGCCGATGAGTCTGATCTGTCTGAAATTGAAGAAGCCGATGACAGTCTTGGTGCCCTTGCGCCCATCAAGCCGGGTGGTGTGAGAAGATCTAGTATGGCTACTCTGCGACGTGCTAGTACTGCAAGTTGGCATGGCCCGCGTAGGGAAACCAACGACGAAGAGAATAATCTCAAAACCAAACAAACCAAAGAAAAATCAGAACAAGGAAAGGTGAAATGGAGTGTCTACGGTGAATATGCAAAAGAGAGCAATCTTTATGCAGTCGCTATCTATCTATTCTTCCTTCTTGCCTCACAAACCGCACAGATTGCGGGAGGTTTTTGGTTGAAACGTTGGTCTGAAGTCAACGAGATTTCTGGTCGAAACCCCGATGTTGGCAAGTACATTGGAGTCTACTTTGCATTTGGATTAGGATCATCTGCTCTTGTGGTTTTGCAGACATTTATCCTTTGGATCTTTTGCTCCATAGAGGTCCGTTACATATTTCTTGACTCAAATTTACACAGCAGCTTACAAGATGCTTAGGCTTCTCGCAAATTTCACGAACGTATGGCGTACGCTATCTTCCGGTCACCTATGAGCTTCTTCGAGACTACACCTTCCGGCCGTATTCTCAACCGGTTCTCAAGCGATATATATAGAGTTGACGAGGTACTCGCACGTACCTTCAACATGGTAAGTGTATTTCTAGATTGTTCAATGGTTGATATAACTGACGCTCATTTAATATTAGTTATTCGCCAATGCCGCCCGTGCATTTTTCACCATAGGCGTAATTACATTCTCAACACCGGCGTTCTTAGCCGTTATCTTCCCTCTTGGATTTGTCTACATGTCCTATCAAAAGTACTATTTGAGAACTTCCCGAGAACTAAAGAGATTGGATAGTGTCAGTCGCAGCCCGATCTTTGCCCATTTCCAAGAATCTCTAGGCGGCGTATCGACGATTCGCGCTTACAGACAAACGAAGAGATTTGCCATGGAGAATGAATGGCGTATGGATGCCAACAACCGGGCATTCTTCCCGTCGATCAGTGCCAACAGATGGCTTGCTGTGCGATTGGAATTCATAGGATCTATCGTTATCCTATCTGCCGCTGTGTTAGCTATCATATCCGTTAGCACGGGCAGTGGCTTGTCAGGTGGTATGGTGGGKTTGGCTATGTCTTATGCTCTCCAAATCACCCAGTCTCTCAACTGGATTGTGCGACAAACGGTCGAAGTTGAAACAAATATTGTTTCCGTCGAACGTGTGTTAGAATATGCCAACTTGCCTAGTGAGGCTCCCGATGTTATCTTCAAGAATAGACCTACTATCGGTTGGCCAGCACAGGGTGGAGTGTCATTTCAGAATTATAGCACTCGTTACCGTCCTGAACTCGACCTTGTCCTCAAGAACATCAATCTCGATATCAAGCCCCACGAGAAAATTGGTGTCGTCGGTCGGACAGGTGCCGGCAAGAGTTCTCTGACATTGGCGTTGTTCCGTATCATTGAAGCCTCGGAAGGCAGTATCAGGTGCGTTCTAAACCTCAATTCGTAAGCATCAGCTAATCGTTCACAGCATTGATGACTTGAACATTTCTACAATCGGTCTTACTGACCTGCGTGGTCGCCTGGCAATCATCCCTCAAGATCCAGCAATGTTCGAAGGAACTCTGCGAGATAATTTGGATCCTCGTCATGCTCATGATGATACTGAATTATGGAGCGTTCTCGGCCATGCGCGTCTCAAGGAACATGTTGCTGGCATGGAGGGTCAATTGGATACCGTGATTCAGGAAGGAGGTAAGCTATTCCAAGGTCCCAGCACAATTTCCTAAACATTACTAATCAATTGTCATCTTAGGCTCAAACCTGAGCCAGGGTCAGCGGCAGCTCGTTTCGTTGGCTCGCGCATTGCTAACGCCAAGTAACATTCTGGTCCTGGATGAAGCAACGGTAAGGGTCCTGTAATGGCAAGTCGAACATTTCCAGTGCTGACGGAGAGGTTACAGGCCGCTGTAGATGTTGAAACCGATGCTTTGCTCCAACAAACCTTACGTAGCAGTATCTTCAAAGATCGCACTATCATCACCATCGCTCACAGAATCAATACCATCATTGACTCTGACCGCATTGTGGTCTTGGATCGGGGTACCGTCGCAGAATTCGATACTCCAGCCGAGCTTCTCCGGCGGGGTGGCAAGTTCTATGACCTCGTCAAAGAGGCAAATCTCCTGGAAAGTGATGCTGTAACAAGCATGCTGGGAAAGAAATGATAGGGTCATAGCCATGTTTCGGGGAACCGGGACGCATCAATGGTCCCGCGGGGAGGGTCTTGTTTGGGCTTAACTTAGGAACCGATCGACAAATTTGCCTGTTCCTCTGACCCTCCTCTTTTTGATCTCCCGCACAAGGCTGGGGAAGCAAACTAAGATCGTAGGAAAACTTCCCTGATGATCAGAAAAAGCCTACGTCACCGCGATACAAATCTTGACATTATCGAATACAGCCGTGCGCCACGGGTGGCACAGTCCCCTTGATATTTCCCATCCGTATCCTATGCAAGAAAAAGAAAAATAATTTTGCTATACACTGAACTTGGATTGGAGCAAAAGAGCCCCGGGTGGAATCACCGCTCATTTCGTCCAGGACGTAGCTGAGTCTGGGCCGCACACGTCGCACAGCAGCTGTCTGTGCGCCAGCATCCCCGTGTTCCGCAGCTGTGAAACAGTTCTTCTACACCAATGCGATGGAAGAATCGAAACAAGATCTACTCATAGCTCGTGTTGTTTGGGGTTTCAAGTTATATTATATGGATGTTTGGAGTTGATAGCCATTTGCACGCTGATTTTGTATAAGAATTTCTCTCAAAAGTTGGAGAAAAGCGTGAGATGAAAAAAAGTGATTGTATATTTTGACATGTAATTTACTGTATCAAAAACAATGGAAGGCTAATTCTCGATCTTCAAGGACTGTACTCCTAACCAATGTTCGTATTGCGAAAATACCTCATATGTAGTTGTCTAAGTACGAGGTTGGGAAGGATGATGCTTGCTGTCATCCATGTCTTAGGTAGGCATGAATGCATACTCAAAACTTTTCAAGGTACCAATGCACTTTATAAGGTGGTTATAATTAGGGGCCAGGTACTATTACATAGCTAGACACTTTTCCATCCCCGCATTGACCTTCTTCCTGCACCGCTACATAGAGGGCAGCATACCGCTGGTTTCTATCTGCATCTGTTTTCTTTTCGGTGTACGATCTCATTCCGGAAAGGAAACTTAATCAAGGCTCTGCTGCATACGCAGAGACTACCGGCCTACATTTTTTACTATGTGCAATATGAACGCATGCTGGACTAGAATCGAGCATTGAGATTAAAAAAAAAAACAAAAAAACAGTGTTCATCCTGGAGTACATGCATAGTCATACACGTACATATATTAATTGCATTGCATTAATGCTCAGGTATATTTGCTTTTACCTACAGAGGTACCCTAGAGGTGTGTACTTTCCTAGGTAGATGGTCGCTTCGAGTCTTTGACGTCAGAGGCTTGATCTCGCTAACGTGGCCTGCAAGCCCAAAAGCCAGTTATTAAATAGCTCTCTCCCTTAACATGGGTGTGCATTGATCATGGGATGTACTAGGTACTTATTAGTGGGAGAAGAGTCGAGACTGCGGAATCATGTACTAGGTACATGGTAGTACGGACGCGTATGTCTTCGGAGTTTGATCTGAGGAGATGATCACCGTGTAGTTACCGAGCAGTCCCTTGAAACCCGGGGGGCTGAAGAGAGGTCTTAGTACCTCTTACTTATGGATATGAAGCTTTCTGTCCGATCACATGGTTCATCGGCACTTCCGCAACTTTCATAAACTCAACATAACCCTGAAAAGTATGCAGCCACCGGGGCAAGGGTCCAGAACGACTTTTGAAAATCGAGAGCTTTCGACGCTTGATCGGTGTAACCTGATCAAGATCTTGCATACATATAGGTGCAACACAACTCATACTTGCAGGTCTTTTAGCACCCTCTGACCTACAGTGTCGCATACATGCACTTATGTAAAAATATTGTAAAAAATTCGTGGACAGTGGCTGGGACCTCTTGTCGAGGACTTAACCAAGTAGTACGTAGTCAGTTGGTGATCAGTAGTGATTATGCATTATTTCTTCAAAGTAGTTAATCACTTACTGGAATTGGTACGTCGTAACGGACTGCCTGGCGCTACATGCTGATAGCATCCCTTGCTTTCAGTGGCTATTTTTAAGCAGACAAAGACAAAACTCAATTTTCAGTCCCGACTAAACGCTTACGTAACCCCCAGCCGTACTGGGTTGTTGAGTACGTACGAAGGCACATTTAATTACCTATAAGGGAAAATGAGTGAAGAACCACGCGAGCCGGCTAGATATCAGGATGCGTTGGTGACATCGGGCCAGTGTGGGTAATGTGGTAATCAGATCGAGAATGGTAGGTTCTCTGAAGATCGGTTAAGCGGCTAAACTTTCTGTCCTAATTCATGCGGCGATGTTGGAATTCAGAGGCTGAAGGCTGAATTTTTGGCCTTTCGCTTGGTGGACCCTACGCAGCAGCGTGGATGCCATGCGGATGGAAAGCGTAATCAGATCGTTACCTACATTGTATGTATGTGCGTCCGAAGTTAAGTTACGGAGTTGTCCATAGGGATTAGGGAACTGCAGAACCAGCCACACAGGTGGATATTCAAAATTTCAGCTACGTATCGAATTATTGTAAAGGAGTTGTATTCCGTATGCCGTATTGAAAGACCAGGGACTCGAAATTTATGCTTTGATCTGTCCAAAGAAATGTTCCCAGGATCATGCGAGACGCCGAGTGTCTAGGGCAGATTGGCGTTCATCCCTTGTGCTCAGGAAGCTGTTCCGCGAAAGCCTAACTCAGCTCGGCTCCAATCAATGGGCATCGTTTAGTGTCATTAAGGAAGTAGTGCCCACACGGACCAGCGCTAAATCCGACTACTAGGATGCCCCGGCTATGCTAGTCGGTCCGATCACCCCAGACTAGGGATACGGCCCTCGATCTGCGGACATTTTTCCATTTTCATGACCCTGTTGACGGTAGGACTACCATGATGATTCGTTCTCCACGACGTAGCGTGTTATACAAATGACGCAGCCACTGCGGCTTTTCTTCTTCTGTTTCGGCGTCTACCAGAACGCAGAACGGCGACTACAATGGTTGATGCTGGACAGACACATACCTTGCTAGATCTTAACGACTAACATCTTAGTCTGCATGCTTAGGATATATGCATATCAATTGTGTTTACTTCTCAACTGAGCGTTGTACTAGTAGAGTTGCCATATCCGGATAAACCTCCGATCTGCCTACAGGCTTGATTGGGTATTCATATTGTGGTGTTTGGTGTTGCATATGTAGCTGTCTGCCGCATGCTACTTTGCACTCGAGTCGTCCTGCTCTCCCCACCCTTCTAAGGGACTCCCAGTCTATCCGTCATAGTGGACACTCACACTCGCGCAAAATATTCAGACCAGTCTCTGACACTTCTTTCTGCAGCTAAATGCGGAACAGAAGTAGCGTGTGGCAAACTGCAAGTATTGACTCGGTGTGCAACCAGTGAGCTGGCTAGTGCTCTAGCCTGGAGCCGTTATGCATTCTCGTCTCTCGAAATCGTGAAGGTGAATACGATTGCATGAGCCAGATGAAGACTAGCTCACATTGTACTCGGAAATCTTTTGCGCCCCCATAAAATTGTCTCCCACTATCTGAAGCGTTGTAGATTATGGGCTTGCAGGGTCGAAGTCTGATTCACGGAATTGAATACCGGTATGAATCGATAGATCTCAGGTACGTCGTGACTGCACTCGGTACTCCGTCCATGCACACGGTCAACTCTAGCCACACTACTGAGTATACAGCAATGAAACATTTATTTTGACCACATTTTAGGTATGGAACCTCTCAGCAAGTCGATCGACACGAGAATGTAGCTGTCCGCACTGGGGAATAGCGGGGATGATCATTGATTGGAGCGTCTTGTTACTCTCGTAGCTTCAAAATGGATGAAAACCCACATAGGTTCGCGAAATGTCACAGAAAATGGTTAGTTCCCGCTTTGATCCTCGGGGAAGAGCCTTCCGACGGGAACTTCCGAGCCCGCTCATCCTCCAAACTTTCCCTGTACGTACGCATATCGTACCCGGCTGCTTGGGTCAGATTAGATCTTTATACCAGATCCTGCATCGATTAACGCTGACAGCCAAGAGGTAACAGAAACAAAATGTTTAGCATCCCAAAGATATTTGCTCATTGTCGTCCTCCATTCTGCATATGAGACGGTCAATTCCCGAACCTTCAGGTGGCGTGCTTCACTACTGATGATGTATCCCTAGATACATGTGATTGGTAACTAGGACTAGAGAATACCATGATTGACCGCGGAGATGTATTGCGAGTCTGCAAACTCTAGGTCCATTACTGCTCCCCAGTGGGCTCTGAATCGGTGATCCCTGTATACAGCATTACAAGATCGTATTGGTAAGCGAACTTAGCACTAGACATAAATGCGTGCCCCACAGTGCCTTTTCCGGCTTGCTACATAAACCATCAAAGGTCCTTTTTTTTGGTCTTCCACTTAACTTGAATTATCTACAAAATGCAGAAATCCGGCAAGGTTATGATGCTGCACGACCATCAACAGGTTGAAGAAGGAGCCGGCTTATGCTCGGGGTCTATAGCTAGCGTCTGCACAGATGTATGGGCCCATTGGTCTTAGTGCGCAGCTATTACTAGATTGCCGTTTCCCTCGTCTCGAATCGATATTTGGTTTACCGATGCAGTTGCGTACATTTGCATTGCCGCAGTCACATTTAGCTCATGTACGTACGAGTGAACGAGTCGGTGGCGCGATGAAACCTAGAATCAAACCCAGTCTAACTTCGCGGCGTCAATCCATTGGACTCAAAAGTCCCGAGACCAAGAATTGAGACTGGCTTCTCTTCATCTTCCGAGTTAACACCGACAAAGTTGATTTATGCCCATCGTGGAATCACTGCTATGCATGGCGCTTACAAGTTTCAATCGATTTAGCTTGAACTCTTTTCTGAGGAGCCCTTACTTTTCTGTATAGATGCCTTGCAGATGATAGACGGCGAATTTTTAACCCTAACCAATTGTTTGTAGTAGTAGTGATGAATGTAACCACATACACTGGCTGAGGAGTCCTTTCCTGATATCTTAGTTCTAGGGATATTTCAACTGACAAGCA